GTGGGATAGACGATGAACAAGTTCAAAGAACTACTCCCGGGGAGCATAGTATTAGCAAGCATTCCCTTGCCTCATACAAGGGGGTTTGGGGGGGTCTAATGACATGATACTACTCATATGCAGCCACCATCAAGGCCCCGCTCCGGTCTTTGAAACTTGGAAGCCACTTAGCCACGCATGATGGGCTTGCGGCTATCGCGGGGAGATGGGTTTCACGATATGCTTAGGTTACATGTTATTTGCATCTTCACGAGCTTTTGTATGGCTACCTCGGAAGGGGGTTATACGTATCTCAGTGTGAAGGATGTTTGTTACACTCTTGGTCACGACCTTATCTGATATACGTAATATTGGTGTAAGCAAAACCTATTCTATGGGCTCATTTATTCCTCGCAACAGGTACGGCATAACAATGAAAATGTAACCTCCTTATCAATGCATTTCTCCATAATACGTGGCGATGTATACACGTATTTGTCTCGATCACATGTGTCATTTCTCCTTATCGAATAGGTCGCCTCCAATAGAGTTTTGTGGCTAAGAATGATGAAACCCCCGCCTGAAATGTTTTGGGCCTTGGGAGAAGCAAATACGTAATAATTTTCAGGTGATTTGAAAGGAAGAGAAGTTGAGATGCCGCTTACGTTACCTCTTGAAGTTTTCTGAGCTTCCGGGTAGTATGATATGTGGATGAAGGAGACTTACACGCACGGAAAAGCACTCTAAAGGAATCCAACAGGCGTAAATGTTGAGAATTTGTACAACTTGTATCAGACAATAAGACCGGAAGATATATGTAGTGGTGTAGGGTAGATGCCAAATTCACTATCATTCTACTAAAAACCAACTCTCATGATATAGAGCATTGCTTCACGGTCAATGAAAGCATGCTACTCGTTCCGTTTTGTGCTATCTTGGGGAGAAATAATAGTAACCTTGGTGTTAAAACTTTTAACAGACGAGTTACTTGCTCATGTTACCCAAAGTTGATATGAGAAGCGTCATGTCTTGAATGGCACACAATGACAGCACTAGATCGAATCACCAGTACACATGACTTGATATCTTCCAAAGAAAATGATATTCCTACAAGACCCATATCAGAATAGCCTCATCCCAACATCCACCCATCACATCTACAGCATTCCTCATCAAACTAAACTATGATACATGTAAAAGGTGGCCGAGGCTAAACCCTATTTCCCATAAGATAACTCTCCCATGACTTGTAGTATTACTCACATCTCCACCTCCCAAGTAAAACATCCCCCGGCCCCATGATAAGGAAAAGTAAGAAGAACCAGAATTCGTGTGATTATATACAGTTTGAAGAAGAAGCTTTTCCATCTCTTGCCCTCGGCAGGCCATGGAGCCGAATAAAAAAAGAGTAATAAGACATTAGAGTATTAATTTGGCATGGCCAGCGTTGCTGCCGTCATCCAAAACGCGTTTCGTCATATGTTTCGCCATCAATATGAGATGAACAAAGTATTAAAAAAGGGGGAGAGTGTGCGTCTCTATAGCGTATTTGCGCACATGTCATTGAAGAATAACCAAGTGGTGTCATGCCGTTTATTGGGCCTTTTCAGCCTGCTTCCTGTCACTGGGCTTGTTGGAGCGCTTTCCGCTGTATTTGGTTCCCAGAAGCTGGTCCCAGAAAGTGAAAAAGGGCTGTGAGAAGTTGGCCTTGATTCCCCAAGTCTGGTGGTGAATGTCGTGGTAGGCAGCATTGTTGCTTGTGATGAGCTGAAGAGGGTCCCAGGGGAAAGCGTATCCGCAGTGGTCATCAATGGTCTTGATGGTCGAGAAAGAGAAGAAGCAAGTGCCCTGGAGCAAGGACATGCCCGTCACCTTGAATCCGATGCCAGCACCAAGGGTGTCGAGGAGGAATCCCTCAATAGGGTGGTTGTAAAGGGCTCCGTAGGCGTAGGGGACGTAGAGACGGTGGTGGCGAGAGTGGAAAGTTGCTATAAGGAGACGAGTGGTCAATGACGTATTCACACAAGATAATGGATAGTAGAATGAGACTTACTATACAGCCAACGGTTGACGTGCATCAGTCGGTGAAGGAAGTATTGCCAAGTGTCAAGAATGAAGACGGCAACAAAGTATTGCAGAGCAGGAATGAGGAAATGGTAGATGACCTTTGCAAGAGTCATCTCCCATGCAGTGAATGTCGGGGCAGCGCCGGCCGAGTCGGTCGAAGAGACGGGATAGTAGCCGCCGGCCAAAACACCAGCAAGCAGAGGGTAGGAAGACGACATGCTCTTGGAGATGGCGGTCGCGTTGAGTCCGACTAGGCCGAGCAGACCGGGCAAGGCGCGCTGGGCAAGGCGGATGCGAGTGGCCCAAACAGCAATGTCGTAGTCCGTCTTGCCAATCATCTCCTGCGGCTCGGTGATGGCAAGCGCATATCCCGTCGTGATCTGGATGATTTGCTGGATAATGACATCACGCGCAACCTCGTAGCGAGTCGCGTGGTTTCGCTTGGTGATTTCTTCCGGGGTATGGAGGCGGTAATGAGGGAAGAGATCCAGCATGTCGATGGTGTGGAAGAAGAGCGACATGACCCAGTAGACGATGACGGGAAGAACCAGCGACAGCCATAGGTCGGAGATGAAGGGGAACAGGTCGGGCTTTGGCTCGAGTGTATATGCCGGCAGCGGCGGAAGCGAGGAATCGTAGAGACTGTGGTTCGCCATGATTGGGGCCTCAGACGAGAGGTTGTCCATGATGCGATTGAGGGCGTTGACCATGCAAGAAGTGCAGTCGAGAGGTTTTATTCAAAGCACGGAGAGGTCGGAGCAAAAAAGCGAATTAATCTCGGCGTTGCGTCGGATGGCGCGTGCGAGCGAGGATGGATTGTATACAAGTAACAGGGGGCGAGATGTTTAAAGTGGGATAACGGCTTATCGGAGAAAAAGATAAACGACAACGACGAGAGCGACGAGAGCGACGAGAGCGACGAAAACGACGTGGACGATAAGAGGGAAGGACAAGAGATTGAGATTGAAATTGAAGTGGAACAAGAAGGACGCGGTTCCTCTTAAAGGCGCGACCGGATCGAGAAAAGGAGTGTAAGATGACGATTGAAACGGCAATGGATGACAGCCTTCGAGCGTTACGGGTAAGCCAAGCTTCCAGGCGGTGGGCAGAAAAATGAAAAATAAAACAGCCAGCCAAAAGGCTAAAATGTTAACGAGTGGGTGCGAAACACATACAAAGTTTTATCACTGTCGGACACTCGGAGAAGGACGCCGGCCGCCGGATTATTCTCTAGCCCAAAGCAGAATTTCCCCTGGAGCCATGGAAAATGACTTGCCGTGTCGCGTGTTGGGATCCACGATCAGACCACTTAACACGAGTCAAGGGGATAATAGTAGTGAGGATATGCTTTGGATTGTTTTCTCGGGATTTTGGAAGCAGTGAGGCTGGCGAATCGGGTCTGCAGCGGAATAGCAGCTGGCTTGTATCTGTTGTTTCTGCAGGTCCTGGGATGCGAGTGACAGGTATCTGGTACCTGCTATATATGCTGTGCCTGGTAAGATATTAGCGTATATGGTACCCACCAACTGCACACCTCACTTACACGAGTGCTCGACATGTGCTGATGACGAGGTATCAGCAGCCAGAGGATATAAAAGGGAAACGCTCTGGGACGATACATTCTAGCAGTGAGCTGTTTCTACGACTGATGTTATTTAGAGAACGGCCAAGAGGATCGTGGCTTTTGGTTTTTTTTTAATTGCAGAGAATCCACTGCAATGCGGTCGCATTCACATGCATGTGGTAGTGATGAATTCACTTATACAGAGGTACCTACACAATTTCACACCAACCCTCTTTACACAATTTTATAGATTGAAATAGCTTCATTTGATTAAGTGAACCAAGTTAACAATAGTATAGAGTCTGAAAGAACCTGATTCATATCGAAAAAATGGAGTGCCATAGCTGCTTAGGGCTTGTTGCTGGCGGAATATCTCCAACAGCTGGCAAACACTCACGCAAATTACCCAGCAGCTGGCAGCTCTCCCACAGCCTGCTATTTATTTCTCTTTCGCGTGAAAAATTCTCTCTGTTTGTTTGTTTTTCATTTTCATATGCTGATTTCCCCTTAACTCTAGCTCTACCTCTTTAAGCGAAAGAAAAGGCGCTCGATTCGCCGAGGATGCCTCGATCTTCAGTGGCCGATCCATTGCCTGTCGTCACGCCCCTTGAGAGTCTCCAGCCTGACTCAAATATCGAATCTCTACGCAGATGCTATCTTGAAGCTTGCTTAGTGCCTACGACGCATAAGACCATCCATGATTTCTCCCACACGCTTATTGCCGGAATATTTCGTTTTGTCGGATCAGATATCCAAGAATACCGACAATGCCTCAACGCTTGTGTGCATGTGTGCAAGACGACGGGCGTTTTCAGGGCCACCACCTGGGATAGCTGGGATGGCTTCGCAATTTTTCTAACAAGAATGGAAAAAGTTGAGCGTCTGACCCGACATACTAACCTGCTCCATTGCTTATCTGCCCCAATGCTGGTAGTGGCTATTGCAGTGCAACAAGTCATACTGCACGACAAGATAGGCGAACATGATAAGGTATCTCGTTTTTTCAGGGATTTCGACTGCTACAAAAAGGCCGCGACGGCTATCTATTTCTACGAGATGAATTATCGTCAAGAGATTCTTACTTTGGATCAAGTATGGGATGCAACCCCTTTTGCTATACAACGCAAGCCAAACCAATCGATAGACCAGATCAAGGCAAAGCTTTTGTCTCAAAGAACATCAACTCCGAGAAACCAAGTACCAACTGAGATCATTGCCTTGGACGACGAGCAAATCCCAGTCAAAAGAGAGTCGCCTGTTTCTCATCAAGCCCCGGAGTTCAGAGAGCAGAGGTACGCAGAAGAAATGCCAGCGCCGATGCAAGTGCAAGTCTCTGCGCCTATACCAATGACGATGCCAATGCCAGCACAGATGGCGATGTCCGCCCCAGTGCCGATTCCTGCGCCAACCTCGATTCCTAAATTGATGCCTTCTATGGTGAGAGAGACACTCAAAGAAGTCTTTCGCGGAGATGTTATGATGCAGCTCCAGCCTCTCCTAGATCGACTTAAAAAGGAAAACTGGAATGGAGTCATTCAGAGAGATATCATGCAAGTATTGAACGACAGGAACGTCCGAGTGTTGCCGACTTTGGCAAAGAACATGCTACACATATGGGCAACAAGATCGCAAAATGCAATGCTTCTATCCTGGCTTGAGCAAGCGCGGGATGATGTTGATGTATTTCAATGGACGGAAAGATACGTTGAGCCCGCTCCCTCTGTCTGGCTGAACCCCCAGTCGGCTCACGCTCTGTTCCATGATTTAGATGCCATGATTACGCAAGTACCGCAGTCGACAATCCGAGGACCACTCCAAGCTAAGATGAACATGCTGAGAGGCATCTTCGATCATCAAGAGAAGTCTCACAGGGATGAGATGCTGTTCCGCGTTGATAGCCTGCAAATGGATATTGCGAAGATCCACGATCAGATGGCAGAATCGAAGCAAGCGGAGGGACAAATTGCGAAGGAATCGGCCGTAACAAGGGATGACGCTGCAGAGACCGATGAAACCTTTGCTGTTCATATTGTTGAGAGAGGTGACGATACTGATGAGGATTTGGAGGAGAGGAAGAAGAAGAAGCGAAAGGGGGAGAAGAAGGAGCCGAAAGCTGAGGAAAAGGAGAAGAAGAAAGTGGAGAAGAACGGAGGGAAGGGGAAGAAGAATGGTAAAAAAGAAATGACGATGGAAAGGAAGATCAAGAACAGAGAGAAGAGGAAGAAGAGATCCCGCCAAGAAATGATGGAGGAGGACTAGAGGGAGAGCAGAGGGGGCCTTGTAAGATACATGTATGAGTACCTAGTTTATTCAGCTTGGAGCTATTGGGAGAGCTGTAACACCACTATCCTATCTTCGTTTTACTGGAGATATCATCGGCTTGCCTCGTTACACTCAGTAAGAGCTATGGCTGAGGCAGATCGAGGAAATGTTAGAGAGAAATTGAGCTTTTGCACCTTTCCTTTGCTGGGAGGTGGCTTAGCCATCAGTCCATGCGCTTGTAGAGATGGTCATTCCCGAACTCTTCCGTATTTGCGTCTCTAGGTCATAAAGTATCTTGAAGCTTCTACAGTTAAGCTCCATTGAATCTTGCAAATACATCACAGGTCCATATTTAATTGCTTATCGACCAGCTCATCAAAAGTAAATCTAGTTCCTTCATCAATGGCTTATTACTAGGTATAGGTAGTCCCACCTTGGAGCTAACCTGTACCTCTACAATTTTTTTTTCAATGCGGGGCAAGCGTGTGAAAATCAGCCCCTCTGCTTGGACACTCAAAAGCCCCTCCCCACCAAAAAACGGCAAGCCAGCCAATCGCGTCCGTTTCTGCCCACTTTGATTTTTACCTATCGCCAAACTGCCTCTTCCTCACCAACCCCTCCATCTTGCCTTTTTCTTTTGCTTCCTCTCTTTTTCTCCTTCTTCTCTTATACCAAAATCCTCCTTTCATTTAATCCCTTGGATTCACAACCGCCGCCATGCTTATCTACAAGGTTGGTTTTTTGCTCTTCGCTTGTTGCCTTTCTCCAGCTTTTCCCACCACCATTGGAAGAAAAAAAAACAATTCAACTGACCCCGCAAATTTAACAGGACATCATCACCGACGACGAGATCATCTCGGACTCGTATGACCTCAAGTTGGTCGATGGCATCGTCTACGAGGCCGACTGCGCCATGATCACCGAGGGCGCCGTCACCGTCGGTGCGTACAGAACCCCGTCTAGCTTGAGCTTTCTTCCGGCTTTTGTCTCTGTGCCACATATGCGCATAGCTACATAAAAACCGGCTGAACCGTGCGAAAGCGAAACAATCCATTGGTCCTATACCTCTTGATACGGTCTCATATCTAACATGAATTCCATTATAGACACCGGTGCCAACGCTTCCGCTGAGGAGGCCGAGGAGGGTCTTGAGGATGCCGAGGTCAAGGTCAACAACATCGTCCACTCTTTCCGTCTCCAGTCCACCAGCTTCGACAAGAAGGGTTACCTCGCCTACCTCAAGGGTTAGTTGTTTCTTTGCTGCTCCTTTACTTGGCGGCATACTCGCTATACCTGTGTCCTTCCTGATTGTCAGTGTTACAATCCTGCTGACACCAGTACTTCAACAGGCTACATGAAGGCTGTCAAGGCCGGTCTCCAGGCCAAGGGTGCTCCCGCTGAGGAGATCACCGCTTTCGAGAAGGGTGCCCAGACCTACGTCAAGGAGAAGCTGCTGCCCAACTTCAAGGACTTCGAGTTCTACACTGGCGAGTCCATGAACCCCGACGGAATGTAAGTGGAAATTATGCAACCATACTATTTTGCTTTGAGAATATTGATGCTGACTCGTTCCGCTTTAGGATCGTCCTCCTCAACTACCGTGAGGATGGTGTCACCCCCTATGTTGTTGTCTGGAAGCACGGTCTCTCTGAGATGAAGGTCTAAGTGCTTTTTTTTATCATTGTCCGGAGCCTCGGGCTCTCCAGATTGTGAGGGCCAAGATCCTTTTTTCATAAAATAAGAGGAAGATACATTGGAGAGAGATGGAATGGAGGAACCAAAGTTACGAGTCACATTTTGCGTTTTACTCGGCGCATGGCATATATCCCTAAAAGCCTCATAGCTGGAGAAACAAGCGGCAGACGATTTAAACAATACAAAAAAAAAGTTGCTGATCCAAGACATGTTTTTTTCTGATACTTTATTCTATCAAACTGAGACCCCGAAAACTCCCTTGCGCAGTATTCTGGATAACGGCTATTCAATCCATGGATTCCCAACGCCAGACGAGACAAACAAGAGGATATGTGATGTACGGAATGTAAAATGCAAACACACCAAGACGCAATTGCTTCGATTAATGAAATGTACAGCAGACTTTTCTCATTTAGCGATAAACGTGAGAGAATGGTTAGTATGATGGACGAGTCGACATGGGAATAGGGGGTGGCGCGCCCCCATTGCCTGCAGGAGGTGCTGCGGCAGATAGACTAGGCTTCTTCTTGGGGGGCGGAGGCGGCGGCTTCTTCTTCCCTGCAAGCCCTGCAAGCCCCGACGATCCTGTTGATCCTGTTGGCGATGGCGATGGCACTGGCGATGCCGCCTTGATAGCAGCTTGCTTCTGTGCCCATGTAGTGGCAGTGGCTGTAGCAGCAGTCGTAACCTCGCTCGGAGGAGTCGGAGGCCCCGTTGAAGATCCCGTGTTTGAAGTCCCCAGTCTGGCAAAGCGGTTCTGCAGCTCATTGAGCTGTGACGGCGGCGTGGCATTTGGTCGGGGAGGCTTCGGGGGAGGAGTCTCGTCGTCGGCATGGCTGGGAGAAGAAGATCCAATGCCAAAGGCGGGCACATTGATGCCGGCAGCGCCCAATCTGTTGACGGCCCCCTGGTTCAGGTTGCTGGAGCTGACTCCGAGTGTTGATAGGGGGCTGGCCGTTCGATCCGGCGTTCCGGAACCTGATCGCGGAGGCAATCTCGGGGGAAGACTCGGGGCTTTGGTATCGCCAGGGCCGGCGCCGACAACTGAATCATACGAAGGCGGACTCCGGCTGCCAGCAGCGTCTCTCCTCACGGGAGGAGGCGGGAGGTGATCTGTCGACAGTCCCGTCGTGTTGACTCTGTAGGGTCCGGATGACACTGGGTGGGCTTCCTGCTCTGCCTCGTACGCCTCCAATTGGCTCTCGTCGGCAAATCTGGGCGGCGGTTCGACCTTCGGCCCATGCGGATCTTGATACTTGGACGGCGCCGTGACAACGGACCTTTTGGCTGAAGAGGGAGGAGGAGGAGGCGCGAGGCCGGAGCCGGTGCGCTTGGGCGGAGGAGCAAAGGAGTTTGGATCTCGGAGGGAATTCAAGGGGCGGGCGACATGAGTGGGAGCATCGTGGTCGTCCTTATGGCCTCGGCCGGGAATGTGCTTTGTCTAGACCAGAGCAGATTTGTTAGCATGATTCTGATATCTAATACGCATATATGATATATGGTGGTGAGACGCTGAAGCTGCGATGCGACGTACCACCTTGCCCTTGGCTTTGCCTTTGTATTCGGAGGCCTTTTCGCGGCCCGAGGACAATTTGCCCTTGGCCATCTCGGCATATTTGGACATGATGGGCAAAGAGCGGTTTATCCGCAAGATCCGGAGGTGAAGCAAAAGCAAAAAATAAATGAAATTCTATGTACAGTACAGAATATAAGAAGCTTCTGCGGACGGATTATGTGTGGATTGAATTGGACATGATCGGCGAGACCGCCTTTGAGATGATTGATAAGAGCTGAGAGAGTGGGGGGAGGTACGTACCACCGGGAGCTGTCACTGACGGATGGCGGACCCCACTTTGGGACCTTGACTGATTTGTTTGTGGCTTTTACTGCAACAAGAAACAATTAATTGCTGCGACGAAGAAACGAAACGAATTGATGATTGATTGCTGCACGGGATTGCGCAATCCAGAGATGATACTTGGCTCATTGGCTTATTTACTCGATTAAAAGACATAAGATCAACATAAACGGCGACTGGAGAAAGCTCAACTCCCCATATCAACGCGCCGTGTCGCGTCGCAGCCTCGCCTGAGCATCAATCATCGACTTCATCAGCCTCGTCCAGCTCAGCCCGCCATGGCTGCCAACAACTCCGACTACGAGCTCCTCACCGAGCACTTTAGCTATCCCCCAGTTGTACGGATCTCTCTTCTTCCATCTCAACAACACAGCCAGCTAACAATTCCCCCAGTCTCTCCTCGACGACATCATCAATACCGTCAACGTCCTCGCCGACCGCGCCCTCGACTCCGTCGAACGTCTTCTCCTCTCCATCCCCCCCAAGAAACTCGGCTTCTCCAAAAATCACAAGCGACCTGACCAAGGCCCTGAAGTTACCCCCGAAGAAGCCGCAAAACTAGAAATCGAAAATGGCACTCATCAGCTCGAGACCTTGCTCAACGCCTCCATTGACAAGAACTTTGACATCTTTGAGCTCTACGTCATGCAGAACATCATCACCGTTAGACCGCAGGACCAGCCCTATATGCGTCTCTCACACTACAACGGCCTCGACTTTCCCGACGACGATACCGCCGCCGCGCAGCAAATCGACAAGCCCTCCCCAGAGTCAATCACCGCCCTCCGCAGACGGCTTCACGCAAGCCAGAAACTGAATGTCGTTCTAGAAGCTGAGAAAGCACGCAACGACGCTCTTCTAAAAAGTCTGCGTTCACTCCTCGGTGTTGTCCCCGATGCTACAAAGAGAGAAGAACAGGAGACTTCGTCGAATGGAGAGAGTAGCGGTGCGGCGGCTAGTCCGTTTACCTTCTTGCGTGATAGAGGCGGGCTTGAAGAGAGCGATGGACAGCAGCCGATTACGACGACGACAGAGTTTACGCTTTCGCAGCTGCAGGCGCTGCGTGCGCTGTCGGGGTCGTTGAGGAAGTTGTTGCCTGGGCTTGAGGATGCTTCTATGACGGATGCTGCGGCGGAAACGTCATCGGCGTCGGCATCGTGGAGACAGGAGCGCGCAGAGTATATTGAGTCGTCGTCGAGAAAGTACCTCGAGATGGTGGCTGGGCTGGAACTTGGGCCGGAGGGCGAGGTTCGTGATGGGGAGTGGCAAGGTGAGGGGCGGGGGTTGAGTAAAGGTGAGGTGGAAGGGCTGGAGAAGGTTGCGGCTATGTTGGGAGGGGGAAAGGATGTTGATGCGGGAGGTGATACCATGGATACCACGTAGTTTATGAGAAAGAAATGATAATAATAATACAAAGAAAGGTACAAGAAGTTCGTTGTTGTGAATATACTGACATGTGAATCTCGTTGTTATTGGATGTTTTACATTCTATGATGAATCATGTACTATACAGTAAGTCTATGAGTCCCCTTTATATCAGATGACACCTCCAGAGAGACCTTCACCCGCGCAAATTCGCCCTCAACACATCCGGCACTTCTCTTCCCTCGAGCAATCCCCCCTCTTCGGCCAAGAACCAGAAATGGTGCTTCCAGTACCGCCCATCCTTAGAGTCGCCGTCCCAATCTCCGTCCTTCGTCTTGTAATCCAGTACCACATCCACCACATGGCGCGCTTCGTCACGTTTCTCACCCGACAACAGCGCCCATAGTAGGTCCGTCAGGCACGGCAACGAGGTAACTGGTCGTCCAGCCTTGTGCAAATCGTTAAAGACGGCCATTGCGCGCTCCGTGTTGCCAGTGATGGCGTTTGCGCTCATGACGCGCTCCCATAGGGTCTGATCGCCCTGGCTGACATGCGAGAAGCCGTGCTCGATGAGCAGAGCGTCAATAGTCGTCATGTCGGGCGGATCGCGGCGCAGGGCGCGCTCGATGAGGATGGTGACCATGTGCGGCGTGATCTTGAAGTCGTCTGCGCGCATGTGTGTCAGCACGGCGGCAATGGCCTCGTCGGTGCCGTTGGCGAGTGATGATACGGCGTAGAGCATCTTGCCGTATGTTTCGAGGTTGGGACGTAGCCCGGCGCTTTGGATGTCCTGGAAGACGAGCTGCACGGCTTCGACTTGGTCGGCTGCTGATGCGGTGCCCATTCTGCCAATTACTTCCTCTAGGATGATGGTGAAGGTGGCTGCATCCGGCTCGATGCCTTGCTGCGACATGACCTTTAGAAGCGACTGCACTTCGTCGGGGGAATCGTCTCGGAAGCTATGGCGGATCAAGATGTTGTATGTCCGGATGTTGGGCTGAATCTGCTCACGGCTTGCCCATTCAAGCACCTCGAAGGCGGCCTTGCGGTCGACCTGGATGATGCCCTTGAAGACAGCATTGACAGCCTCAATCGTGGGCTGCACAGCTGTGTGGGGGGCGTTCTTCTGGACTGCTTGCTTCCACAGCGCGAGCATCTCTGCAAGCGCTTCTAGGCCAGCTTGGGGCTTGCCAGCCTCGATCAGACTGGAGATGCGCTCCGTCCAGATGTGGGCGTCGAGCTTCTGGCCGGAGCCTGCCAGCTTCTTCCAGAGCGCGTCGATGCGATCTGTATCCTTGCATGTCTTCCATCCGTGCATCATGCCCGTATAAGTCTTGAGAGTCGGGTGTATCCGCAGCCGCTGCATAAGGTCAAATGTCTCCTGCAGATGCTTGGGACGGCGGCTAGCACACCAGACAAAGACCCAAAAGTCCAAGAATTCAGCATTGTTGTGCAGTTGCATAGCAAGTTCTGGTTTCCGGTCCAGGCGGCTCTTGAAGTCCTCCCAGATGGAGTTTACGGAGGTTTGATCCCGGGCTAGGTATGCCGATCGAAGCTGGCTGTGCAAAGTCGTGAAACTGGATGAAGAGCCTGAGCGCTTATGTATCATTTTAGCGGCGTGCGGCCATTGCTGGGTTACGTAGGATTGAATCTCAGAGAGCTTCGCCGAGGGGAATCGTACGCGATCGTCAAATACTCCGGAGATGTAAGATTCCGTCACAGCTTCTCTGCCGCCGAGGGCCACGGCCACCACACTCAGCAAAGGGTTCATCATGATGTGCGTCCCCTTTTTGACGAGCCTCGAGTCTGAGAGAACAGCGAGAGTGGCCAAGAGTCCAGGCATGATATCGCGGGCCTGGTCCGGGCTGAATTGCAGGAAGAGAGCAGCTAGGGCCCTGGTTGTGGGATCAAGGTGAGTATTGGTCGCTTTGCCCTCGGCGATATCTTGCCGGACATCTTGAAATGAGGGAAAGACAAACTTCAATGGCAGATGCTCCTGGCTCCTGCGGCGAAGTTGGGAAATGTGCTGCCACAAGCCAGTAAGTTCATTCAACAAGGCGCCGCGGCCCGCCGAGTCTCTCTTATCGAAAATGAGGGCGCGGCAGACATTTAGGACGAGCTGGTTCCTCACATCGAGATCGGCTTTCCCCAGACTGCTGTAGAGTTGAGATAGCTCAACGCCGTGGCCGGTGTACCCACGCTCGACAATCTCGTCGCACATCCTGTCGAGGAATTGAGTCGACGAGAGGAGTAGGTGCTTGGGCAGCTGTCCGCAGAACTTGTCAAGATGCGGACTGATGCTCGTCTGGAAGACTTGCAGCTTCTCAAGAGCGTCCATGTCTTTGACAGACAGCTCCTTGATCTTGGCTGCGATCTCCAGCTCGCTGAGGGGAGACGACTGCGATGCCGCCCCCTTGGCTTCTGGGCTGACGACATCCTTGAAGAGCGCAATGGCAGAGTCTTCCGAGGGGCGCAGCGGCTTCTTCTTTGCGAAGCTTGACTGCCCGTTGAAAGGTCTTCGCTGGCCCCTCTTTGGAGCTCCCCGACCATTGCTGTAGGACTGCCGCCCAGGAGCCTCTCCAGCCCTGTCACGCGTTATACTTGAAGTGACATTTGATGATGTGCTTGACGATGCCGCATTTGAGGCATCACTCATGGACGCAAACAGCGCCGCACCGCCGAGGGCGCGAGTCTGGACTGAGCGGATCTGCGAGGCACATCTTGAGCAGATGGTCCTTGATGCGTGCATTGCGCAGAGCTCAATGGCTCGAGGGAGCTGACAAGGCGAAGGTTATATAAACGGAATTTTGAGCAATAAGAATGAATTGCTGGGGTTGAATTGAGTTGATGTGGCGGAACATTTTCGGACATTGTGGCTTGACCGAGGTGAGCAGCCAATGAGGGGGCGGAGAAATGAAAAGCTAGGTGGCGCATACTTTTTACTTGCGGTTTATAGAAGATGGACGCACTGTATTATCTGATGGGAGATATGAAAGAAGAATTGGGGCTAAGTAGGCCCCTGTTACTTTAATGGAGATTGTTGTAGCGACTGTGACAATGCAGATGCCATCGATGGCCTCTATAGAGTTCTCGCGATTTAGTGGAGAGAAATATGCTCCGTCTAGACAGGTTTGTCGCATTTTGAATCACATTTTGAAGCCTTTCAGAACAGGAATATAGGACCCTTTCACAGCATTTTTAGCCTCGCCCAAGGTCTTCCGTTTTGAATAAGCACTGTTGCAACGGTATGCCGTAATGCAGCTTTTCTATGGACTCTTTGTGGAGATACGTTTCGTGTTGTGTGAGGCTAAAATTGCTGTGAAGGATCCCTTAAAGATGCCTTGACGAGACCATGCAAGTCTAGTATAATTTACCTACATAACCTAGTTGTAAAGACCTTAGGGGAGGTTAAAAATGCTGTGCAGGCGGAGGTCTCGGTCATAACCTTGCTGTCGGGAGAACGGTGGTGGGGATGGTCCAGGCGATGCAGGCCTCAGGTGAGGTTAGAAATGTTGTGAAAGGTGCGGCATCACTATACGTCGTATTGATGGATACCTAGCCTTGTTGTGGCCCGGGAGAACGGTGGTGGGATGAGGAAGGAGATGCAGGCCTCGAGTGAGGTTAAAAATGCTGTGAAGCTGAATTTGGGAAGCCTGGCTGCCTGGGCTCAAGCCGTATCCTGACGTCAATGTTAGATGCATCATGCCCGTCACAATCAATGGCATCACCGTCATTTGCAGCATTTGGAAACATCAAAGAATCGCTACCTGCCTTTCTTCCCAACCGCTTGATTCAAAGCGTTCCCAGAAAAGGCAGACTCAAGCCATTGCTGACATGCCACCCAAAACATCCGACCCGAGGCACAAAATCTCCCATTGCCGAAAAGAAAACCTGAGCTCCGGCACTAAGCCCGCAGCGCCGCTTACGCCTGTTCCTGCATCTTCGACTGTCTGTGTTTCGAATTCCAAATCTGCGGATGCAATGACACGATCCCCGGTTTTCTAGTAGCGCTTTTGGGAAGTTTGCGCCGAGGCCAGTTTTTTCGGCATCTTTTTTTACTGTTTCGCGGGGTATGACGTTGATGAACCCTTATTTCATTTAAGACGCCGTCATGGGCCGTTTCTGTAGCTTCACTCACTCAATTACAACAATTGACACGCATCACGTATTCACTAGAACAAAATACATTTCATCTCTTATTTAAATCAAATATCGTATATTGTGTAATTCATCATGGCTACTGACGAGCAACAAGCCAAAGTCACCCTCCACTGGTATGTCAGAAGAACAAGCATGAAGCTGACTATTCGCATTTCCAACACCTGATTTCCCCCCAGCTTCAAACTCCTGTGAACCTCAACTCACCCAATCCACCTCTGCTTGTCTAGGCTCAACCAATCTCGCTCCCAAAGCCTACTCTGGCTCCTCCAAGAGCTCAAGATCGAATTCGACATCAAACTGTACCACCGCAACAAGGAAACTTTTCTCGCACCCCCAGAGCTCGAACAAGTGCATCCCCTAGGAAAATCCCCCGTCGTTGTCATCACGCCTCCTGGTGAAGGCGCTCAGCCAATTGTCCTTGCGGAGAGCGGCCACCTGGCGCAGTATCTTTGCGAGCATTTCCCAGAGGGCCGCCGACTGGTGCCGCAGAAATGGAAGGACGGCATGGAGGGAAAGATTGGTGGAGAGACCGAGGCCTGGTTGCGCAACCAGTACTTTTTGCACTATAGCGAGGGTAGTCTAATGCCGTATCTGGTGCTCTCCTTGGTGATTGGAAGTGCGTATTGTCCTTCAGAAGAAAAGAAGAAGAGGAAAAAGAAAAAGAGAAGAAAGAATGATAAACAGATGAATTGTTTCCCTCAATATCCCGATACTGACTCTTTATGTCGTCTTATAGGGCTCAGACAACCCCCAATCCCCTTCTACATCCGCCCCCTCACCACCGCCGTGGCCAACCGCATCTTCGCAAGCTACATCTTCCCCAACGTTCGCAGGCACATCAAGTTCCTCGAACAACAGCTCCAAACCTCTGGCGGCCGCTACATCTGCTGCGACCACCTCACGCCCGCTGATATCATCCTCAGCTTCCCGCTCCTCTCGGCCCGGAACGGCCTGGATTCCATGGGCGACTGGGAGGGCGGCTCATGGAAAGTAGAGTGCCCGCGCGTGGCGGAGTATATACAGCAGCTGGAGAACGAAGAAGGCTACAAGATGAGTTCGGATACGATCGCGAAGCTCGATAATTCGGTTGACGAGTCGGCGCTGTTCCGCAGTAAGGTCTAGAAATTTGTCCATTGTGTTTGCTTGTGTTTGCGTTGGTACTTTGCTGTGGTGGTATTTCACTGTGGTGGTGGGTATACCCTTGCAGGATCAATTGTCGGGAATTATAATAGTCAAGGCAGAAAAAAATGGAGTAAATCTCAGAGTCGGATGCTTGAAGCGATGGTGATGTTTGTGAAAAGTTCGTGATGCCTTCAGGTCAGAATTTTGTGCGTTAAATATTCCCTCAACCCCCCTTCCCCGCTCGCATGAGAAAATTTTTCACGTCCAGAAGTTGACATTGTCCAGAAGTTGACGATGTCCAGAAGTTGCCGTTGTCCGGAAGTTGACGATGTCCAGAAGTGGACGTTTGTATGTTGGCAGTTATCGATTACATGCGTCAAGGCTCCACAAACTGGCAGGGGTGTATAAGTGGCCACAAGTTGATCTTGCTACTGGACCTGAGCTAATGCTTCGGTCGATAATCAGGTTTGCCCTAGACTAGTCTCAATTGTCTGTGAATCGATCTGTGGTTGCAGATTAGACTACGTTAGATCCGCGATCTTGATTGAGCCTACACGCACACCCCGCTCTTCAACGGAGGGTGTGCATACTACTGTCCCATTGTCCAGCTATGGACAAGCCTTTTCTGGTACCTTGCAGGAATTACTAGTAAGGCAAAAATGATCTACATGATCTAGCTGGCATCGTAATGCAAGTCATCGCCAGATTAATGAGTTCTTGACCTGGCTACAACAGAGAGCGTGCATAAAATAGCTAATACACATGTACTCAGCTGCCAGTATAATATTATCATCTACGTAACAGTTTCCCATGGGTTATCATTTTACAAGTTGACAAACCCATTAGTGGCAAGGCATTAATAAACTGCAGTAAGTATGTTGCTGTTTCGGTGGAGCTCTATCGAGAAGTCGGAGCGTGCCCCGGATAAGAGGGAACCATTTCCAGGATCAGATTCCGATCCAATCTCAGATTGCCACCAATTTTGACTTTGGGATTGGCAATATGAGATCTCTATTCTTTAGTTACCATAGGGCTGATCGAAACGCATGAGTCGGACGTCTTTACTTGGCCACTAGTTGCTTTCCAAGGGTAGGGCGTGGAATCGTACATACAACATCCAAAAGTGAACCACTATCTAGGAGTGAACAAAGCCAGAACTGGACTCTGTGACTCACACAACTATCACTTATATTATTGTGACTCACATCAATATACCGGATAATATGGTCAACCCTGCTATTTTCTCTTGGCTCTCCCAGAATGACAAAATCCATTAGTCAACGTCCAGAACTGGACGAAATCCCTCAAACTACCCTGTGGTGACTAATGCCAAGATAGAGCAACGGATAGAACTGGACTTTACACAAGGATACTGGATATCTCGGCCTCAGTTCTCGACCCAAAAGGGAAAACCTGTTGGTCAGCCAAAGCCAGAAGTGGACGCTCTATATGAAGCCAAGACAAAAACGTAAGGGTACCGGATATTTCGGCTTCAGTAATTAGTCAATGAAATCCAAAAGTTGACGCTGTATATTGTGCCAAGTCGTAGACTTAATATACTGCAATACACTTACATAACTCGAAGGATCGTCTCGTCCTGAAATGGAAATCCTGTTGGTCAGCCAGATCCAGAAGTTGACACGCCAAGATATGGCAATATATCACTTAATTTTTGTTAGTCACATATGTGGACAGAAAACAAGGGCTCTGGATAAGTCGGCACAATTTTTTGATCCAGAAGAGGAAGGCCATTAACCAGTGCAATCCTGAAGTTGAAGATGTTCTCAACCAACAACACAGTGGTGAGATGTATCTTCAAATCACTATCATGGGTGTAGTAGCTAAACTGTAAAAGGATATAGTTTGTAAATAAATTTAATTTATGCCCCTGTCTGCTTAATTTACCAAAAAAAGCCGCATGAGTAATGGATATCCAGAACTGGACGACGACTTATGAGAAAAAAACGTGCATTTGTCAAGGAAATCCAGAAGTGAATCGCCAAGGCTTGGCAACATACGATGAAGAAAAAAGGGATTTTGAAGGGCAAATTAAACGAATTTCTCATTTTATTCTCAGTCTATCCTGTAAATGGCTAATAAATAATGATGAATCTATATGATCTAGCCTATATCAAGTCAGATATGGGCGAGAAAGGAGTAAACTAATACATATATGCCTTGATATGGATAAGCCTAGTGAGTGACTTCAATCTCTATGCCATGGTTTACGATTCAGTCTTGCCCTCTCAATGCTACATGTACATAATTGAAAGCTTTGGGAAAGAACTTTTGGACTGGCTCGATGGGCAAATGATACAGAGGGCTACATAGGAGGCTGCTTTAACCACCCCATCCCCGGTATAAGACACACTTCACCTCGGTCTCGCTGTCGAGGTTCTCCTCTTCATTTCTCTTCGCTTCTCTTCCGCCATTTTTCGCATCAAACTTGTGTGATATGCCCGAAAAACTTCCTGTAGTCATTGTGCAGGGTAGTTTCATTCCTGTACTTTAACCTACCTAGGACGAAGAGTTACAACATTACGAGTCCCGCGCTACGCACCCATTTCGCTTCATACAGGTGCTGTGGGAGCATATAGCATAGATTGCGTTATCCTTTTAATCAGGATTATGCCTGGTATCGCCTTTATGGACCTGGGCCATGGATTGGCTGTATAGCTCACAGCCAATTGTGGAGTTCTGCCGCCTAAGACATAGGCTCCAGTCATCGTGGCATTGAAGTCAATTCATGCGTAGCACCGTTCGTAGCCTGCCCCTCATTTTCTCTTGTTTTCAGGCGCCCATTCCGACAGCTCTCGCAAATCGAAGAGAATCTCGTCTCAGCCCAAGTCCGCGTCCTCATCGTCTTCGTAACTGCATCGCTTGCCAATGACAGTTGGTGCACGGGAGAACTTGAGTACATGTAGGTAATAATTCGAAGCATTTGGCTTTCAGTGGGCCTGGCAGCGAAAAAATCATGTAGTATACCGAACGTGTTATGGCATTCGCACGACACTACCACCGCCAAACTCTCCGCATCCTAAGAACCCGTATTGCTGATGAAGACTATGACGTGAAAGAAGCCGTTGCCATGAGTCAGACATGTTGCCTTGTCATCCTGGAGTTTTCAGCCTGCCCACTTCTCTTGCGTCCATGGAAGGAAGGTACAGGTGAGGGCAGCGAGAATGGTTACACACGATCGCCACCATCATGACTCCTCAGTCGTCATCCAAGATTCGAGTTGCAAGCGCAAGGCTTCTTTGAGCAATCGTTATTGCCTACCTGAGTCACCAGATTAATCCCATTGTGGAGGGTTCAAGCGTAACTTTATTGATGTGAATCGACTTCCGACGGGTGGCCGATGCTCCGGCCCGGCGACCCGAAAGATTGAAGGATTGGAGCGAGCCCGAAACGCCAAGATCGTGGTGGGGAGGGAAAATGTTTGGTGTGGCTGAAACTTCTCAACAATTGGATAGCGGCAACCTGCAGAACATTCCGTGGCGTATCCCAAGCAAAGTCTCCAATGCGTCACGATTGTGGCTTGTAAAACAGCATTTAGAGGCTACGTCAGAGAGATCGGAATATCTTCTTGTGAGCAAATGATCGCCGTGGGGCAAATGTTTATCCACAACCACATGAGCGATGTAACGGAATCCTTCAGCTGGGCACATATATTCCCTTACGTGTTCAGAAACGTTTCCAACGAGTTCACTTGATAAAATCACTTCAATTCGTCCTGTAGCAATCACACTCTGATATATGAATCAAGCCTCATCCTACAAGTACCCCCAGTGACAGGAGCATTCGCTTGTCTCACCACGCAAAGCCACGATCTCTGTTCCCAACTCACACACGCAGATCTGTCATTGACCATGGCGACGGATAAAATCCCCAGCTCGACCTCCTCAGGCGCCATTGTCCTCTACGACATTGGCCACAAACCCCCCGAGGCCGAGTCGTGCTTCTCGCCAAACCCGTGGAAGAGCCGCTTCGCGCTCAACTTCAAGGGCCTCCCGTACTCGACGACGTGGGTGGGAATGCTCGACATCTCGAAAGTGCGCCGTGGCCTCGGCGAGCCGGCCTGTCGCAAGTTTGCCGACGGCACTGAGTTCTTCACCCTCCCGATGATCCAAGATACAGCAACAGGCGCCACGGTGGGCGACTCCTTCGACATCGCCGTTTATCTGCAGCGCACATATCCTGACTCGGGTGCCGGTGACTTGTTCCCTGCCCAGCCTCTCGACTACACCTATGTGCAGAGCTCCGCCATCAAGATACCGCTGTCGACACCTGCAGATGGTGGCTTCCCCGAGTACGCCCGTTTCAATGCAAACGTCGATGCCGCCTTTAGCATGCACACTCCGCTCATGGTTGGCGGCATGCCGTTTGATCCGGCCACCGTTGAGGAAACCAAGGCTGAATTCGTTCGTCGCGCCGGCCTCAGCTCCTGGGATGATTTCACCTTGACCCGCGAGGCGCGTGAGGGGCTCACCGAATCCTTCCGGGCGGCGCTGGGTGACCTGGCCAAGCTATTTCTGGAAAACACAGACGGGCCATTTCTACTAGGACAGCAGCCCAGCTACGCGGATCTTATTGTTGGCGCCTGGTTGCGGATGTCGCAGATGACTCTGCCCAAGTCGGAATGGGAGGAAGTGAGACGCTGGCACGGTGGTGTTTTTGGGCAGCTGCACGACGCACTGGATACTTATGCCGAGGTAAAATAAGGCCTCACGACTATTCAAGGCTGTATGAGCGAGTATTGCATGTGCGAGGCTAAGGTTAATCCTGGGGTGATCGATGGAGTGCATGTATCCAACACAGACTTTGACGCGACGAGACAAGGTTGTATTACAATGCTATCCAATGAGTGACAGGGAGAAAGGGAAGGTTTAAGATCTTAGAAAAATTAAATATGTCATGCAAGGAATACGACATATAAAATAAAACAATGAAGAAAGGAAGAAGTGCATTATGATTGCTATCCAGATGCACGTATAAGCATTCCCTGTATATGAACTGTGCATTCGCATTTGGGAGGATAGTACTAATCAATATACACTATATGTAATTACGACTTCCTTAATTGAGTTTTTGGGTATAGTTAGGTTGGATAGAAGAAAAAAGGTATAAAGACTAGCTCTTATAGGGACAATTATAGATTGTAGATACTGAGTGATTAGCTTGTCTACCTGAGTACAGAGTATGTATACTCTCCAAGTTCTATCATTACTGATGATTCAAACAGATCCTTCAGACAGTTACTCTACTGCTACAGAGACAGGTATGACCCAATGTTCCCAGGAATAAAAACCACTGCATTTACTCCACCACCATTATAAGTGCTACTAGAAGCGACCAGGGCGATACTATCAATAGCAAGAAACCAGAAATTAAGGACTATTCTAATGCTGGGAATTACCAGAATACCTCCGCCATCAGCAATGTGCCTCAGCAGAAGTGCGTGGCGAACTTCCCTGCTGCATAGTTTTCCATTTTCAAGAGGGCGTCCCGGATGGCAGAAAATGAGATGCGGTGTAGAATTTGGCCACTATTTGCTCTGGGCATAATTGGGATTCATTGAGGAGATGCGGACTTAACCATCTTGTGATCCAATGCAATCTTTATCCTATGGTTAAGGTAGTGGCTGTGTGTCTCTTTAACCGCTTTCGAAATAGTTTCACAAACTTCAAGAAATCATCGAATACTACTTGGATATTATGGATTCTATGGTATTGGAGTTTAAATATTTTATTGTTCTGGAAGGCTGCTATCATATTCAAGTCATCTCGATGTTCACATCGTCTCATCCCCTGACTGCAAAACACCTCTGCTTGTAGTATGAATGTCATTTTTTCCTTCACGTGTACTAAACCTAGAAGCCTATTTAATTGCGATGCAGACATAATAGCCTAACCATAAGGAGCTGCAGCTTGTCCCTACAGCTGGGTTCCATGAATAGAAATTCGTCAGAGAAATGCCAGCAGCGGTAGCAATGGCGGAACAGCTATCTCCGCTGACGACTAGATGGAAACCACGGCAATTGCTCGTCATGCCTGACTGATACGGCGTCGGCGTGGCTATTGCTGTAGAGCTCTTGGTCGACGTGGAGCTTTTGGTTGTCGTTGAGCCCTGGACACCAACACAAACGTAATAGCCCGCGAGGAGGCTTGTACAGTCGGTCTTTACTGCTGGATTCCATGAGTAAAAATCCGCAAGGGCGATTTTATTAGCCGTAGCGATGTTTGGGCAACTGTCTCCACTGGCAACAAGGTAGAATTTGTTACAGTTTTTAATCATGCCAGTTTGAGTTGGAGTCGGAGTCGCAATGCCATTACCACCCGAAGATGTCGTTGTGCTTTTCACCAGCGTCGTACTTGATACAGTAACCCCGACACAGACGTAATAACCTGCGAGGAGGCTTGTACAGTCGGTTTTCACCGCTGGGTTCCAAGCGTAAAAATCATTGAGGGCGATTTTATTAGCTGTAGCAATGTTAGGACAACTGTCTCCACTGGCAACAAGGTAGAATTTGTTGCAGTTTTTAACCATGCCGGTTTGAGTTGGAGTTGGAGTCGTAATTCCATTACCACCAGAAGATGTCGTTGTGCTCTTCACCGTGGTCGTACTTGATGCCGAACTGGATATAGTTCCGATGATCCCGACACAGACGTAATAACCTGCAAAGAGGCCCGTACAGTCGGTCTTCACCGCTGGATTCCAAGAGTAAAAATCATTGAGGGCGATGTTGTTGGCGGCAGCAATATCAAAACAGCCGTCTCCACTAACAACTTGGTAGAACTTATTGCAATTACTAACCATGCCACTCTGTGTGGGCGTTGGAGTAGTGATGCCATTCCCCTTCGATGTAGTGGTGGCGCTCCGAGTTGTGGTGGAAGTTGGCGGGACTGTGGGCGGGACAGATATGGTCACAAAGTTGACCTCTACACAATAGTAGAGCCCAGAGATGAGGTTACAACCATCCCCCAATAGGGTGACACTGGGGTTCTACTCAGAGTCAGAGACTATGTGCCATTTCTGGAAGTGATAGCATCATGCCCAAAGGCGACAAAGGACTTACCCATGACTCAAACTGGGCCTCAGTCATGCCATAGAGCTGCTCGATGAGCTTACAAGTCAGGGAATACGACTGTTGAACCCATCCACTGCAACTCGAGGTAGCCCCAGGGGCGGCGGCGCCAGGAGGATTGACTAGGTAGGCATTTGTGAGATGGAAGGCTAGAGAAGCCGACAGCATGCTAAAAGCCTTCATTATGCAAACAAAAAGAACAGTGAAATTGCACAACGCAATGGGCTAAGTGACCAGAAGCGAACAAGAGTCTGCGTTGCGAGCGAATTATGACCACAAACAATATTATAACTAGGTAGATGTGGTGGGTATCTAGTACCTCATCAAAGGATGTCAAGGCTGTAAACATCAACTACGGTATACTATGCTCGGCCTAATGCTGTTTGGATTGGCTTGTAGTTATTTTGCGACTCATGGACTCTTGATCCAACGAGGGGTAGTAAAGATCCCTTGTCACATGTGCTTCGGCTGTTTGTCTGAATACATCACTTGTTATCCACCATCGTAAGGTTTATCAAAAGATCCAGACCGTAACGTAGCGCCAACGAGCTCCTTCGATGCACGACGTTATTACGTCTATTCGCCGTGTTTGCCGTTATTCCTCCCAAATATATGCGCTCTACAACCACGAGCTTGCATTGGCCCTCTTTTTTTCGGTGACTGGATTATAATGTAACACAGTGGGTGGCGATTATTTACGGATAAATCCCAAGTACTGCCGCTGCTCATAATCCTGATGGATGCTAGGATTAAGGTGTGTGGATGTCTACGGAGTGCAAATTATCAAATACAGGGGCACAAACGCAGCTGTGTCTTAAAAGGGAAGTTTCATAGACAGCATCGTACGGGGTATTTGCTGCCAACAGGCATAAGAAGGGCATTTGGTATGGGAGAGCGCGGGGCTGTTTTTAACTAATAACCACCTGCAGCAACTGACGGGGTCTCTCCATACTTGATTCAATGTATTTAGGCAGGAAAAAAAAAAAAATCTTGAACCAGGATAGATATGTTGGCAAAATACCGATGGATCTCTCTGGAAGTTTACGTGGTGTAATAAACCTGAGTATAGTATTGGACTCAGAGATAAGTATGGTTATCGCTTCAAATTGAGCCTAGATCTATTACTCTCAATGGAAATACATGTTGTGTCAGAAGTAATTATTCCAAGTTCTTGATATCCCACTCGTTATTGTAGATACGCCTTTTGTAACTATTAACCTTAAGTGAATTCTACTTTTTAGCCTTGACCGCCAACTCTTTAAGTTTATTTCCTCTTTGTATTAGGTGTGCCCAATTCGGAAAACTGATGTATCGAAGTAGCTTACGCCCCCACAACCGGGAATAACACCCGATATCACTCTTCAGGTTGGGGCCAGCCTCCACCTCTTGTGTAGCATTCGGTGATTCCAGCATATGCCGCTCGATCCTTCTTGAACCCACCAATACTACGCTACAGCGGACAACATACGGTAAAGGAATAGTTTTGGATATGGACCTTAAGACAGCATTGGATCAACACGCAAGGCTTCAGCAACTACAACTCGAAAATAACTCGCGTCTCCGGTTAAAGGACAGCTTCAAACATGTCCTCCACCAATCATGACCTTGACCCTCCTATTGTTGGAGCGCTAATCGCCATAAACCCCCTATATGGTAGTAAAACCCACCTTGTTGTCTGCGAAGATGATGGATAAGTTATGCCGCTGGTGTCATTGGAGAGCAATTGTCAGCTCTAAGTTGGTACTTATGCTGGGGTGCTCCCAGCGGGTCAGATTCTGTGACAAACTCCAAGTAAGGCTCGTCGATTGAACTCCTAAGATGCGGTATTCCCTTGCGACTTTGCCGTCAATTTTCTGGCTTCTTGCGAGTACTTGCGAGGCCAAGCCCTGGGGTACTTATAAATCTCAAGATGTCGGCCTCGACACCGTGAATGAGACCCTCTGGCGCCGTGTCCGCGTTCCCGGAGGTACTGGCAACAACGCCCCGCCACCAGCTGACCAAATCTTTTTATTCGGGCCTGACAACCTCGCTGGAGGTTGTTCTGGCCAAAAGAGTGATATCGAAGCTTGGCTGGCGGAGGTCAGACTGATTCACAATGCAGTTGAAACTCTATACTCAATGATTACGAAACCGAGTGTTAGCAAAATATGGGAAAACTTCTTTGGCATTTTTATGCGACATAACCCTGATACAAATGCATTCGAAATAGACCCTGTTTCAATCCAGAGATGGCAACAGATTGGAGGTATACTATGCATTCTCCTGATTCGTATTTTCCACTCGTACCTTTCACGAAGTCTCCTCTTATACTGCACTCAACTCTGAGTTTTAGAACTTTAGAACTAACTAATATTATTGGCAGACCACATTGCTCGTGTAAGCGAGTTCCTTGATGGTAATGGACTGCGTGAGCCGGTGGTGCCAGGAGAGGTCCCTCGCATTTTTTGCTCTGGAGACGCAGGCAAATCTGTTGAATGGGACTCAATCGTTAAAGACGAGCATGGAACTGAGGTCGTGAAAAGTACCGAACCCGTGACAGGAGAGAAGAAATATACGACCCTTGGGGAGGCCTACCCAAGCCAAGTCGGCGGGAATGCTTTTTGGATGAGCTCATTCAATGGTTATTGGTTTACTGCCTCCAAAGAAGGACAAGAGGTAAACCTGTGTCCAGCCAATGGCCGGTCTGGTGCAACCGGCCGACCTGATGTGCCGATTTTACAAGGTCTGAATGTCAAACTTGCTAAGGCTAATAGGGGCATCATAATATGCCCAAAGGCTTGGACACGGCAAGTTGGTCAACCGCATGGACAACCTTCTCTCAGCCAGGCAGTCTCGGGGGATAACTACCCCAAAGGCGATGGTAGCAAGGGAGAGTTATTGGACCGCCTGGTTCCTATGAGCATGACACTTTATCATGAACTGATACATCTGACTGACTTTAATAAGCAAACGGCGAAGCCTGACATTTGTACGTCTTTTCTGCCCCTCGCAATCGCCAGATGGAAACTGCTAATGACCATATTCTGGGCATATTAGATGATTTGAACACAATTCTCCGGATGACCATTAGCATCAAGCAGGCAGACAAGGACGCCATTCCCCACAACCCGGAGACTTACGTCTTCTTGGGAATGGCTGCATACATCTATCTGAATCCTCCTGAGGGCAAACCGGCCATTTTGTATATTAGTGGCAAATCAGCCACAGAGGATGCTATGTGGGCATCAGTCAAGCGGAAGAGAGAAGAGGGTGCCTGATTCTTGGTGGTTGCGTAGGCTACATAGATACTTAATCTAGGTACTCCATAACACCAGGTTAATGATCCTACAAAGATCCTTGTTGTCAAAACCATCAACGACTCATTCAATAATACCAGCAACCTCTGCAACGTAATATTCATTGTCATGAATAACTAAAGTGGGCTGTTAAAGTTGGTGGGCCACACAAGCAACTGCACGTACGGAGTATAGACTTTAGCCTATAGCGTTGATCGGCAGCTCTTCAACTGCTGTGGGCCGCAGGATTTAGTTTACTCCTCTTCTTCTCATATGCGATGGCACCACAAGTACATATTGCGATGATGTGAGATATCCGGGTTGACTGCCGTTTTGGCTTTCCTAGGAATTGAAGTCAAAGCAGGGGCTGACCCTCCGATATACGGGAATGCGACAAACCGGCAACATTACTCTCTTTACTCTAGCGTTGTGTGTTGAATTTTCGTCACACATACTATTAGGTAGTATCTACTAGTTTCTCATGTGCATGTATGTAGGGAAATGGATGGGAGGGATTCCTAGGATCATGGCTCTGTGCCGTTATTCATAATGGATGTTTGTGTTGACCTCGGCCTCTTTGTGCTCATGGTTATATATCGTGTGTACATGTTGGCGGATTAGACCATGACTCCTTGACCAGGAGCCGCAGACTTTCCTCTCTGCTGCCATCCCTGCCCACATTAGATGTTCAATAGGAACGTTGGGTTAGGTGAATAAATTCCAACTCTCATCTCCCTCCTATGGCAGCCTTCCCTTAGCACTTTTGCCAAGTTACTGTCTTCCAATTACTTGCCACCGCGACGAGAGGTCATCTATCATGAGGCACCCGATTCTTGGAGCTGCCGTCTGCCTGGCAGCCTGGGCTCCCTTGGGAACTCAGGCAATTAGCCCCGATGCTGCAGCCGCAGCCAGCAACGCGGCAAATGCACTTTTAGCAGATATACCAGTCAGCTCTGCTACAGGACCCGTTCCGGGCCGGCCCACGGATCGGGCCAGCGCTCGTGCCGCTGTCTTGGCCGGGAATTACACCTCCAAGCTCCATCATGAAACAAGAAATCCTTGCCCTCCTGGGTGTAGCGTGAGCACGGACAAGTGGTACGTGTATCACGACGTCAATCGTCTGAAAGAGTGTAACCAGACTATGCTGCTGGACTTTGCCTTGTTCAATCATGTCGACGACTCCAAGCCAGTTGTCAAGATCTCGGCCTGCACGGCGGACTTGAAGGCGCCAGTCGTCAAAGAGAACAGACTGGCATCCGATGTGGATGCCTGCGCGTTCAAGGGCGTGAACCTGACTCAAGCGACAGCGTCTATACAATTGGGCTCTTCAGGTGCTTCATCGTCAACATACGTTGCTGATGTTGCTACCGCTCTTGATCAGCTACTGGCCTTGTCAAGCATTTCTAAGCCGGACTGCAACGAGACCATTAAGTATGCTTACTCTGGAGATGCTATTGTTGGTGTATATGCAGGATCTAGCCTTTCGAGTCAAGGCGTGGTATCGACGGTCCTTAAGAAACTTAGCAATGAGATCCAGAGCAGCGGTCAAGTTGCGGAGGATCTGCTAGCCCAGATATGCAGTAGCAAAACTTCAGCAAGATACACACTAGGCATCTTCGCCACTACTCAGGGCCACCTCGGTGCCGTCCAGCGGAGCCTGCAATCTTGGAAGAACGGCACCTGCATCAGTAGCATGGACCATATCACTCTGAACTGGCAGAATGCAACCTATCTCGCCCCATCTCTCCATCAAGGCAACGCCTCTATCAGCAGCTCCAAACCGCTGGCGGCGCGTGCCGATTGCCGTACCATCCAAGTCGGCTCAGGAGATACATGCGCTTCACTCGCCACTGAGTGCGGCATCACGGCAGCTCAGTTCACGCAGTACAACCCCGGCTCGACGCTGTGCTCCAAGCTGACTCCTGGACAGCATGTTTGTTGTAGCTCGGGTACACTGCCTGACTTTACACCAAAGCCTGATGCCAAGGGCAACTGCTATGCCTATTACGTTAAGACAGGAGACTCTTGCGCTTCCATTGGCGCCGCCTATGATCTTACCAACGACCAGATCGAGAGCTTCAACAAGAAGACCTGGGGTTGGAACGGCTGCCAGAAGCTGTTTGCCGATTACAACATCTGCCTCAGCACGGGATACCCCCCAATGCCAGCACCAGTCGCCAACGCCGTCTGCGGGCCGCAGGTGAACGGCACAACTCCCGCCCCGCCAGGTGTAGACTTTAGTACGTTGAACGAGTGCCCTCTCAATGCGTGCTGTAATATCTGGGGCCAGTGCGGCACCACGGGTGATTTCTGTAACCCATCCAACTCTAGCACTGGTGCCCCTGGTACGGCGGCCCCTGGAGAGAATGGCTGCATCTCAAACTGTGGCGACGACATCATTACGTCGGATCCCCCTGCCGAGACAATCAGCATCGCATACTTTGAGGCCTTTGACCAGAAGCGTTCGTGCCTGAAGATGTCCGTCACTGACATTGATACGTCGGCTTACACCCACATCCACTTCGCTTTCATCACGCTCAACTCTGATTTCTCCATCAACACCGATGGTGTCGAGAGCCAGTTGCGTCTCCTTACCGGCATGTCTCGCATCAAACGCATTGTGTCAGTAGGTGGCTGGGATTTCTCAACCAATCCAAGCACTTACACCATCTTCCGCGAGGCTGTGTCATCCGAAGCGAACCGTCAAACGTTAGTCACCAATATTGTCAACTTCCTTAACGAGTATGACTTAGATGGTGTTGACTGGGACTGGGAGTATCCCAATGAACCTGATATTCCAGGTATTCCAAAGGGTAGTGAAGCGGAAACCACGGGGTATTTCCTGCTGCTTGATGAGCTGAAGCTGAAGATGCCGTCCAACAGGACTGTGTCTATCACCGCCCCAGCTTCATTCTGGTACTTGCAGTACTTTCCCATTCAGGTACTCAGTTTCGTGGTTGACTACATTGTGTACATGACGTACGATTTGCACGGCCAGTGGGACTACATTAATAAATATGCTAGCCCAGGCTGTGGTTCATACGATCAGGGCTTGGGGAATTGCTTGCGGTCTCACGTAAACCTCACCGAGACTCTCAACGCGCTGTCCATGATCACCAAGGCCGGTGTTCCATCTAACATGATTGCCGTTGGTGTCAGCAGCTATGGACGGTCCTTCAAGATGACTACGGCGGGATGTTGGACATCTCAATGCACCTATACGGGGCCTGACTCTGGAGCTCTTCCGGGCCCTTGCACCAACACCTCCGGCTACATCTCCAACTACGAAATCAACAAGATCACCTCACAGAATCCGTCAGCAGCGACGCATTTTGATCAAGATTCCTATTCCAACATCATGGTCTACAATGATACGCAGTGGGTTGCGTATATGAACGATTCCAACAAAGCCACCCGCAAGCTCGTATACCCGGCACTGAACTTTCTGGGCATTGCAGACTGGGCCGTTGATTTGCTATCAGAAGGGGGAGCGTCAAATTCATCGTCTTCCGCAGAGACCATCTACATTGATCCGGGTATCTGGTCCTCCGCGACTCCCCAAGTAGTGGCACCTCCAGGAGCGTCGCTTATTTGGCCTCCAATGCCACTCTCGAGTCCTACTACGATTACCTTCCCTCTATGGACTACCACAGTTTCGTATAGTAGTCTGACAACGCTGACGAGTACTCTGACGGATGGTTCGACATCGACTTATCATGACTATATCTGGGTGTCGTGGCTCACGACTCTGAGCATTCCAGCAAGTAAGGCCTCACTTTCAATCCTCTGATTTACAAGTGGCCTCCCGGTATGGCTTGAAACTAACCAAAACTGTGCTCTACATAGTTGTAACGACAGAAATTCCTGTCTGGGGAGTTTCTCTTAACAAAAGTTCGTCGGCCGGGACCATTTATCTCACAAGTTCCATCCAGCCACCGCCCTTCAACGTGACTATTACCCCGTAAGATGCCAGCCCTCGTCCTTGGTTTTATTATCTTAATTATCAAAAGCTTTTGACTAATGATAAAATGATTTTTCATTGTCCGTTCAGGGTTGTCAGCGGTACTACTTCTATCATTAGCCCTACCAAGACTTCAACGATCATAGGCGGCATCATAACCTACGGTTCTAAGACTTGGACTCAGCCAGACGAGACGCAAACCCAGGGTAAAAGCACGAGCATCAAGGGCGGCACGACGCTGCCGCCAACTGTAATCACCGTCACTCCTAATCCACACCCGACGACCACGAACACAAAGCCGGATCCGGTTGTCAACCCCAAGACGCATCACTGGACATCCGGCCCGAATCCGAATCCTACTGCCAAACCAGGATGCCCCGGATGCGGCAAACCTTGTAAGTCCCCTTACGTCTCCCTAAATCCCATGATATATGTATTGTGTAGCGAATCATGACTAATTGCCTGCTCTTCGCAATGTCCACATTTAGGCCTGCTGTTCTGCGATCCTGATTGTCCGTTTTGTCCCCCGGGCATCTTCCCCCCAGGCAGCGGCGGCGGCGGTGGTGATGATGGTGACGACGATGATGACGACGACGACGATGACGACGACAGCCAGTACACGATGTACGCTGAAAGTCTGGTTGAAGATGTGCTGCCAGATGCATTGGCGGATCCGGATCAGTTGGACGCCTTCTGGACTACGGAGATATCCATATTCGCATCAGAAATGGGTTGGCTTACAACGAGTACCACCGCGCAAGCCTCTAGCACAACGAAAGCCACTCCACCTCCACCTCCACCTACACCGCAGGCAACGTGCCAATACTTTGACGCGGGATTGTTCTATGAGTTTTTTATATATTACATTGCCGGATGGAACACCGATGACGTCGAAAGCTCGCTGAAGAAACAGGAGGGGGGATGCGGCGCGATGACAGGATGGGATTGGGATTACGCAAAGGCCAAAGATGATTCAGTGTCCTTTAATCTTCCTATCGTGATCAAATCTGGGTGCGTCGAGCGAGCTATTGTGTCGGCCGGGGGGCCAAAGATCTCGTGTTCCTACTACAATGGCTTGACTCACCCCGGTCCAGATGACGAGGGCTCAGATAACGTGGCGTTTGCACAGGCTCACCACGTAAATGGCACCCAGGCGAGTAACTCGTATAAGCCTATGGATTGGGCTACTTTTGTTGCGAGAGCCACGGGGGTGTAACTTGGACTAGTCCGTAATTATATGGTGTTGCTCAGCCTTTGCATGAATATAAAACGGTGTCATATGAGCCGGCGCTTGTTTCCTACATGCTCCCTACATGTTCTCTTCATCATTGCCCCTGTTTTATGCCCTCTTGAGAACGTATACTAGCAAGAATTTGTCCCTTTTATGAGCGAGTTTAGTTCCTTCACCCAGGAATTACTCAACAAGTAGTGGAATAGACATAGATTGATGTGAATAAGCCTATATACTGTCAGCGCCTCTGTTATAGCTACCCTCTTCCAATCAACATAGGCCCATTCAATCTGTGTTCCTCGCTGCTGCTACCAACGCCCTCAAGCGAGTCATGATTCTCTGATGCAAGCCCCTTGGCACCTCATCACACGTATGGCCCGGTACAAGCCAGGCTGGCTGGGGGAGATCGATGTCTGCGCCGGCAGCAAGTAGTAGCTTGATCGTTTCATGCCGTTTCAGCTCCATCGCCAGCTCAATCACTCTACCACACCCAAACTGGATATACTTTACTCCCTCCTCCGCCATCAGGTTGTGGTATCCGATATTGGCATTCGCTCCGTGCTGAAGTAGTAGCCGTACCAGCCCGACATCACCCAATTTGACGGCTCGAACAAGTGGAGGCATGAATTCTCCCGGCTCGGATATATCATAAAAATCGCAGCCATCATTGGGACCATTCTGGGGCAACGGCCGATCTCCGTCTTCAAAGTCGCATCGAGCGCCGTTCGTCAACAGCAATTGAGCCATGGCCGCGTCCCGCTGATCAATAGCCAACCCGAGCGCTCTTGTCAAGTCGACTCGACTTGGTCTCTTCAACACTAGGAGCTCGACGAGTTTTCGATTGCCAGTTGCAACGGCCCTGACCATTACAGGCCCCCCTCGATCCCATACTCGAGGTTCATAGCCTGGAAAGCTCACTTTAGCGCCGTTATCAAGAAACAGTCGCACTAGACGCAGATTCTTGTGATCCACCACCCATTCCAGGGGGCTTGTTATTTGGTAACCAAAGAGCCGGATATTCAAGTCTATGCCGTATTCTAGAACAATTTGCGAGACAATGTGATCATGCCCCGCCTTCAAAGCGGCTTCGAGGGCGTCTTGCTTCTTGCTTGTGCTAGGAACAGTGGAATCGACGCTGTCATCGTGTATAGCAGTAGAAGCAGTAGCCTTGTTCGTTTCTTGTGACGGGCCAGCGGTTCGCGCAGGAACAGACTTCTTCTCTCCTGTGGAGTGATTACAGAAATACAGTTCTCCAGGGGCACCTTCTTCCCACACGAGCTCCCAGCCATCATCATTCTTGCTGTCACCCTCCTGAACGGACGCCGTTTGGTCAGTCTCAGGTGCTAGAGCGGCATCAGGGTCGGTTTCAAGGCTGAAGTTACTCTCAGGTTCAGGGTCTTCTAGCATCATCTGGATCGAATCGAAATGCTCCTTGATCCGCTCATCATGGGACGAATTGAGATGCTTTTGCACTCCATGTTGTGTAAAACGCCCAATACTGAAGTCTGGTTTGAAGGGAGGTTTGTACTTCCGCTGGAGGAGCTCAATCCAATCGACGTCAGCGAAGAAGGGGTGCGCCTTGACTTCAGATGCCCCTCCTTTAGCTCCAAGACGATGATCAGGCTCGCGATCGAGAAGTTTTGTTATTATATCTCTGGCAGCCGGAGGAAGGCTTTCAGAAATTGGGAAGGGTTCGGAGCTGAGAATTTTACGACGTATCTCTCCACAATTTTCGTCGAAGAATAATGGTAGCCCCGTTAACATCTCGTAGAGAAAAATCCCCAGCGTCCACCAGTCCGCTGCCCTAAACGGACCTTGGGCAAGGAGTAATTCAGGGGCTGGATATTCTGGCATATCGTAGCTGCTGCGGTCGCAATCATCAGGGCCGGGATTGTAAAGGCTGGAGCCACAGAGAACAACATGCCCCAGGGAGTCCAGAAGGACATTTCGAGGCTTCAACCAGGAGTAAATACCGCGATCATCGTGCAGATATTCCAATGCACAAAGAATCTCAGCAGCATAAAACCGAGCGCTCTCAAGACTGAAAAATCGCTCTCTCTGGAGGCGATGAAAGAGATACCCGCCGCCCACAGTCGGGGACAAGAGATGCAAGCCTTCTTGTGATTGGAAAACCAGCGTGAGCGGAGCGACGAATGGATGGTTTGCATTCTTGGGGCGTCGAACTGTTGGGGTCATTCTCATGGTATATTTTTGCCTCGTATCTTTCTTCATGACCTGAGCGCTGTATTCTGAGGAGCCTTTCCTAGTATCAGGTTGTTCCGTGAAATCATCTATTTTTAAGGTCTGGTTCTTCATGTCCTCGTATTTAAGACTGATGCGAAGCTGGCCGGTGCCATCCTGCAGGTCCAGCCACTGTGATGAGGCCTCTTCTGGTACCTGAGAGGGATCTACAGCGATTCGTGCCAGACCTAAGAAGGCATCCTGGCTTCTCACACAACGAGAAACATGTGGATCTCGGAGGTAAATATAGATAGTCAGTTCGGTAGGGCGGCAAACATCGAACTTCCAATTAGGCTCATGATGTTCCCAAGTGACCTTATCATAGCGCCATGGGGCGAAATCTGACACCCAAACAGGACTTTCTGCAGTTCCTTCGTAGGATTCTACCTGGTTTTGCAATTTGTCATACTCCAGAAGAGCATATGGTGTATTTCTCCTATACTTTTGTTCATTGGAGCTCTCTTTATAGCCATCTGGCACGGAGAGACCAGTCGCTTCGTGAAGTATTACTGTCAAAATGCCCGGCCGGTTGAGTGATGGAATCGCTTCCTCGGGCTGAGGGTCATCGATACTAGGACTGTGCTCTCTTTTGACCATTTTTGCAGCCAATTCCGCAATATTATGAGATTGACTGGTGTCATGGCAATAATTGAAGGCACAACATGAACATGAGATATCGTATGTAACTTATATGCTTTCGCTGTTATATGCGGGGCCGGAGAAACTTCCTAAATAAGGCAACCTAGGCTAAAGCGAGGCTTCTGCATACATGGTAAGCAGGGGATTTTTACATGTATTTAGGTCGGTGGTTGATCACTACCAACAGAGATATCCCATGCCATTGGTGGAGACTGCATGCAGTAGGAGGAGACAAATGAAATGCTACCATAAAAGCCAACCACCTTCAATTGCTGTAGTTTTCAATTGTAGATTCATTCTTATTGCGACTTTCTGCGAAGACAACCCACTCCCCCGCCTCCAAAAAAAAAAAAAAAAAATCGCACCATTTTTGCTACCTAGTAATAGTAGGGAGCTTTGTTTTTTAGAAGCATTTCTCTCGCTACCATGTACAACGCACTGTTTAAAAGTACGTTAAGAAGCTTCAGCTAAGCCCACACTTCCCTCCACGGTACGTCATGTAGTATTACATTGAACGCACCTGATCACACGCTTGATATCCAAGGTGGCACAGCGCCATCGCCAGATTAGCCCGTAAGCCCTGACCGTTTACACTAAGAAAGCGCGACGTGCGCTATCGTATCTGTGCGCGGTGGAGGGGGTGTGAAGTGGCCGAATGAAGACATTGTCAACAACATCTCCATTACCTAAACGAGGATGTCAAGGCGATAACCAATATATGGTATGGGAAGTAGCTGTTATATGGTACGTACTGGGAGGCACCCGAGACATGAATAGATATAATGGTGTTTTGTAAAACGGGATTTGCAACATGAGAAACTTCGTATAGAGCTAGGCCTTGTCCATTCATTGCCTCAGAATATCGGCATCACAAGCAGGGACTATGCTTAATAATATATGCTTATATGGGAATAGAGAGAGTGTGACGTCTATAATACTTTCGATATCATGAAATTGTCTTCCTGTCTTGATACGACTCGATATTATCTTCTTCACTTGATTCACTAGATCGTATCCCACTAGGGTTTTGCTCCACATGCTGACAGTCCTCCTTGATGTCACAAGAGGTTTAAAGGCCATAGGCACAGGCATCACTATCCCGGACGTAAGCACAAGAGAAGACGTAGCCATGTAGGGAGAAAAAAGAAAATAAATGAATTCATTTTACAATTATCAAGCACCAACCCCATCTATCACATATGACCATAAGTAGTAACTTCCGGGGTTCCAAGTTGCTTCTTTTGGTTCTTTGAAACTCCACATTTAGGCTGCAGCGCACAGACCACCTGAATAAAGACCCATAATTTACATAAACAAGGGTTGTCGATTGTTCTTTAAATACTTCGTCTCTATTACACTTCAACCTATGGTGAACATGTCAATGACGACCACAACACATTGTATATCATATTATGGACCAATCATTCGAAATTATAGCACCTGCAGACTCGAGGCTCACAGGAGATAATGACATTGTCTTGCTCAGTCGAGATGACGTGAGCGATTACAACGAAGCCAATATCCTCCCTCAATCACCTGAGACTCTCAGCAAAATCAAGCAATGGCTTTCTCCAACTGACTACGCTGCGGTCAATGGAGAAAACTACAAGCATCTTAATTCTCACGTTGCTGGAACGGGCTCCTGGCTCTATTCGACGAATCTCTACAAGCAATGGCATGGCTCAGAAGTCGAGGGATTACTTTGGCTCAAAGGCATCCCCGGATCAGGAAAGTCTGTCTTTGCCGCTACATCAATTCAGCGATTACAACAAGAAGAAGTACCAGTTCTTTACTTCTTCTTCCGGCAGATCATACGTGCCAACTATGAGCCAACAGCTCTGCTACGAGACTGGCTTGTCCAGATTCTGCCCTACAGTCCGCCGCTCCAAGCCAGGCTTAAGGAGTACCTTGACGAACGGCGAACAATTGAGACATTGTCCATTACGGAAATGTTCCAAGATCTTCGGCTAGCCTGCACATATCTGCCCAAAGTTTACTGTGTCATAGACGCGCTAGACGAGATGAACCTGGGCAATGACCAGTTTCTGCACGAGTTAGCCAAATTCGCATCTTGGCGGCCGCTTAAGATTAAAATAATAATAACTAGTCGGCCTGTACCGGCAGTTGAGATGCCACTTAGATTGTACCCTACGCTGCAAGTTCGCCTTCAGCAACAATTGGTGGATCACGATATTGCGGTTTATGTACAAAGTCTGCTGACTGAATCTGATATTCCTGAACAATATCAAAACAAAATCAAGGAAGCCATCACCGAAAAAGCCAACGGAATCTTCCTCTACGCTAAGCTAGTTATGGAACAAATCATGGAACCGAATGCCAACATACAGCACATTCTCGAAGCTCTACCCGCCAATCTAAACACCATGTACGCCAATCTTCTGAAAGAGCATTCCCAAAGGTCTGGCATACCACCTCATGTGCAGCTCCTAGTCCTCCAGTGGGTGACCCACGCAAATCGCCCTCTCCGACTCCTTGAAATGTCGGAAATGCTCACCGTGACGCGTCAACTAGATGGAGTCAGCGAGCTTAAAGAGGCCAAAGACATTGTTCGAGCCATTTGCGGGTCGCTTCTAGAGATTCTCCCAGATGAGACTGTTTCTGTGGTACACCACTCTCTCACTGAATTCCTAAAAGGGTCAACACGCTCTCTTACTCAGGGGAAACCAGCAAATGAGTATGACTTGCTTGAATCTGGTCCAACACACGCCAGGTTGGCTCTCGCATGTCTTTCTTATCTTAATTCAGGGTGTCTGGATAGCTACGAAGTAGACAAGAGCAAACTTCATCAAAACTTCTGGAAAACTAGGAAACTTGATCAGAACCTAAGGCTAGAGCACCCTTTTGCCGAGTATGCAACCTTTAATTGGCATATACACATATCCAAGGCCGGATTAATGGCTGCGAATCAGCCAGAACTGAGCAAGTTGCTGGATGATTTCCTCAAAGGAAACCGCTTCTTGGTCTGGCTGACTCTAGAATGGCCGAATCATCACATTGAAGGCATATCTCCTCTACATGTTGCCGCTTACTTCGGTCTGACGAATTACATGCAGGAGCTCCTTAAGAGGGCAAACACAAACGTCAATGTCGTCAATGAGAATGACGAAAGTCCCATCTACTGGGCTGCATACAATGGACACGATAACGCAATCAAGCTTCTCCTAGAGTATGGTGCCGAGTCAAACAAATATAGCGATAGCGGCTTGACGCCTTTACACGAAGCTGCAAAACGCAACCATGCAGCAGCAGCACAAGTCCTACTTGCTTCTGGGGTTGATCCCCTAACTCCTAGGACAGATCCTCAAGCCAAAAGAGGGGGTTATGCCGCCCGCAGATCCACTGGCCGGACGCCGGTCCAGTATGCCTGCAAGAATGGGCATGATGAGGTGGTAGCAATATACCTGCCCTTTCTCAAGGATATCAACACTGTATATCAAGCATTGCATTTGGCAGCTGAGTCTGGTCAGGCAAAAGTTGTGGAGTGCATCCTGAAGCACCCGGGCATAGATGCGGACTCCTTCGTGTCCAATCATACAGCACTATACTATGCTTGTATGTCGGTCGACCCTCGGACTATACAAGTCCTTCTAAAAGCCGGAGCCAATCCGAATGTTTTGGTAGAGCCGTCCTTTTATCAACGCCTTAGCGAAATTCATGGTGCAAAAGATTTGGACCCGAACCAGCCTGGTTCAAAACGCATGATTACAGCTCTCCACGTGCTGTGTACCAGCATTGGACAGAATAGTCGACCAAGCATGGACAATCTACGACAATGTTTCGAGCTGGTTCAGGAGGCTGGGGTTGGTCTAGAGCAGCGGGATTGCGAAGGCAAGACAGCTCTACACAGTTTATTCTCGAGTAACTCTGGTGTGGCATCTGAAGAAGTTTTTGTCTTACTGCGGCTACTTCTCAGTGCAGGCGCCGACGCAAACACAACAAGCAATAATGGAGATACACCATTGCACGGAAATCCTACTAGCAAAGATGCCATCCGTCTACTTATCGAAGAAGGGGGCGCAGATATCAACAAGCGAAGATCTTCAGATGGCAAAACGCCGCTTTTATGTCTTCTCGCCTCCCAGTCACCAGAAATGTCGTTAGAATTCTTGTCCTTCGGCCCAGACTGTAATGCCGTGGATAACGATGGCAACGGCGCTCTTCACGTCGCCTTAGGTTATTGGAATACAAATCGCGAACTGATTGTTGCTCTCTTAGCATTAGGAGCTGACCCAAATGTCAAGAACCACAAGGGCCAGACGGCGTTGCACATTGAGGGTGTGCAAGAAAGCTTGATTGGCCCCTTAGTAGAATCTGGCGCAGATCTTGAAGCTCGAGATTCCAATGGCCATACACCTCTATTTCAGAGGGTAAGCGCGCATTTCCACATTGGAAATCCCAACACAACCAAAGTTCTCCAAACTTCTGTGGAATTGGGAGCAAAAACCGACTGCCGTGACAACAAAGGTCGAACATTGCTCCATGAAGCTGTCCGCTGCGATGCTTATGACCGTCTTAAGTACTTCCTGGACCTTGGGATAAGTCCGCATGTCCAAGATGAGGCGGGGAATACTTTGTGGCATGAAGCAATCCTCACTCGGTCTTACCCAGCCCAACAGATTACCTCTCATCTCAATAAGCCGGTACCAGATATGTATGATCTGCTGGCCGATATTGGGGTTAATCCCGACGAACCAAACAATCAGGGCAGAACCCCTCTACATATCGCCTCCAGTATAGACGTTCAGAAATCTATGAGTCCATATGCAAAGCTCCCCATGGACTACTTGCTAAGCATTTGTAAGAATATGAACCCGGTTGACGGTGATGGCATAACACCCCTCCATTTTGCTGCGACTATCTCCGAGTATCATGTCGCTGCACTCCTTAGAGCTGGAGCAAATGCAGCTGCTGTAACTCCTGATGGGTTGACTCCGTTGCACCTCGCAGCTCGCGCTTGTCAGTCAAACATCGTTAATATGCTTCTAAAGGATTTTGAAAGAGAACGCTCTTCAAAAGGCTCAACCACTTCAGCTCTCGTTGACTATTTGGACAACAGTGGGCGAACCGCTCTTCACTACGCATGCAGATCCGGACGTCCAGAAGTGGTCGCATCCTTACTTGCATCAGGAGCTAATACTAATATACGATCGAAGGATGGTAGAACACCACTACAAGAGTGTACGAAATTTGAAAGCGAACAGGAACTTTGGCGAGGTTGTGGCTCGTCCGGCGACAGACATCATCGTCTCCGAGCTGCAGGTCTTAAGCTTGATTACCATGAAGCAGACGCACCTCTACGTTGGACTGATCTAGAGGCACATAATGAAAAACAAATTTCACCTGAGCGTATTTCGAGTCGCGTTGACGAGATACTAGATATGTTGATCTCTCACGGACTGGATGTCCAAACCATCAATGACTTCGGACAGAATCAGCTTCAAGAAGCCATTAGTCTTATCCAGAGCCCATCAATGGGTTATACTATAAGATGCTTCTTGGATTTAGCCGATAAGTTGGATCCAGATCTATATAAAAGTGATATTGAATACCTTTCACGTCTTCATGAGCAGGCGAAGACAATCGCGGCGTCTCAAGAACCTGCTCCTACATGTACCATACATCCACATTGCCGTGAGCCTGAACTTGATATGTTCTTGAAATCACGAGAGTACAATCGCATAGAAGATCTCCATCGAGAAGGTGCGGACTTCACTCAACCTAGCCAGACAAATGGTACTCAGTGGCATAGTTTGGTCCGTGGAGGATATGAGCGGCTCCTCGAGAAATTATGCACTCATGAGGTTGTAGAAAAGTTTGAAGATGCGAAATGGTGCAAAAGCTGGCAGAATGCTGCACCAAGAGGCCCCTTTGGCCGCCGAATCATTGGCCCGCTCCTGATAGCCGCATGCAGCAGCAGCACACCTAATATGGAGGTGGTCAAAGTCCTTGTTGAGACGTTGAAAGCCGACGTCAATGCGCAAGTCTATACACAAATCTGGAATGAAGGAAATGACGTGATACAAAAAGGAGAGAGTGCGCTTCATGTCTTGGCCAAATGCCACCATTGGTGGCAGGTTCATCAGGCACTTCCTTATCTTATAAGTCATGGAGCCAATATCAACTTGAAAGACGATGCTGGGAGGACGCCTCTGCACATCGCATTAGAGACGAAATGGAGAAATACTCCCATCATCACTTCTTTCCAAGAGGAAGCAGCTCGGATACTCGTCAGCGCCGGTGCAGATATTCACGCAAGCGACAATACGGGCATGAGCTGTCAGACTATGGCAGCTACGAGTAGTAATCCCAGAATGATGCAGATTATTCTTCCGCCAGGAACCACACTAGACATCTCGGCCTTATTCATTGCAATCGAAGAATGCAACGATCAAATGTTTGAGCGACTGGTGTCACTCAACATAGATTTAAACCAGAGATGCGACATAAAGTTTTCCTCAGAACACAATCCTGGTAGGGTCGAGGGGAATAGCGACACCACAATTGAACGACATGAGCTATACGCATTGCTCCTCGTTGACCAGAAAGCAACTCAAGCTGATGTCCCCAATCGTGGCTTTGGTTTATTTTCTACTAACACTACGAATTCCGCGAAACCAGATGATAAGTCGAAATACATTCGCATGATGCAGCTGCTTCTCTCTCATGGCGTGGACATTTATGCCAGGTTTAACAAGGCCGTCCGGGATACCAAGACTCCTCTTGTGGCAATGGCGTCTACCAATGAGGTAATTAACGATTCCGAGAAGGGTAGCGTAGGCAAACGACCTCCCCAGGGCTATCACTATGAGGAATGCACCGTCATCCACGAGTTATTAGAGAAAAGCAAATTTATTCAAGACATGGTTGACTGGGAATCTCTGGACCTGGAACATCGTGACGATAAAGGCAGGACGTTGCTGCTGGCAGCATGCCGGAATAAATTGCTCACCGACAATATGGTTACCACGAAGCTCATAGAGCAGGGAGCCGATCTATCAGCCCGTGATAACGATGGCAAAAATGTCCTGCACCACATCTTTGAGTCTCATGCGCCACCCGAAGTTTGTAGACGCAACGAGTTGGTGAAATTAATGCTATCCAAGCGTCCGGAGCTTATACACGAGGAAGATAGCAAGGGCAACCTACCAATCAACTGTGTTCGGCCCGGCTTCTGCTCTTCACCTGCATGGCACTTCCGAGGGGAGCCCTGCAAAGATATTGTCGACATCCTTTTAGATGCTGGTTCAGACCCATTGCATCCAGACGCCAACGGCAATTTGCCTATACATTTTCTAGGTCACCGCCCAAAGCATGCATTATTTCAGCGCTTTCTTGACATGGGCATTCCAATCGACATACGCAATACAAAAAATGGTAACACGCCATTATTCAGTTGGTTTTCATCGGAACCTTCAGACCTCGATAGGCCCAGAGTTGGCCTGCAGGGCTTTGGCTTACAGAGCTCGGCCTTACAGATTTCTGGCTTACAGAGCTCAAATATCGGTGTCTTTCGCCCAGGCTTCTCAGTTCCGCCGCCACAGATGGCAGTAGATAAGAAGGAGCTCCAAGCTTTCGAAAAAGAGCAACTGGCATTCTACGAGGATGCAGGAGCAGATTTCATGGTCCGCAACAGTGCGGGAGAGACTTTATTACATACTTTGGCAAGCTCGTCGTTCCTAGGTGGCTACTATGGTGGAAGAACTAAAGACAATATTATCATTGCAAGATTCAAATTTCTGGTTGCGAAGGGCCTTGATCCTCTAACTGAAGATGGACGACAAAGAACAGCTCTTGATGTTGCTGTAGCATGTGATAATAACGGTCTTTTGGACTTCTTTAAGAAGTAAGCTCATCAACAAGGATTGAAGGTTAGAGTTGAAGGCGAGGCAAGTGTTGACACGGAGGCTGGGAGGCCCCAATGTCCAACTCTTTGGCGCCGTTGTTGTTCTTGGTGCTCATTTAGGAACCTGAGCTGTTACCAAAAGGCCTAAAAACATATATTTATAGACGAAATTTAGATTGAAGAGGCGAGAATCGTTTCTTCCTTGCATTGTGATGGGGCTAATCGCGATACAATCTCGAATACATACGGCCATACATAAAACTTCGGGGACCCATCAGGCCCTTCATCATAGTTCAATATCCTCTAGAAACGGCTCTGTGGACATATATTATTTGAGAATTCTTCCCATCCAAAAGGCTTCCTGATTCAGTACTAAAGCTCATAGCCACCGCTTACATATCGTGTTCAATGCTGAAGTGGTTGAATGAAATTAGGCAACTCTTCGACATATAACAGATAATGAACATATCCAGTCAATGAGATTTTTATATCTTGTCGCCCAAGGCGCCAACGATACCACCGACAGAATTTGTAACGCCGCCGAGAACATCAGTGACGCTGCTGAGAGCGCCATTGCCGCCGACACTGGTAAGAAGGCCAAGAACGCTTGATAGAGCGTTGGTGAGTGTTCCTACCAAGCTTGTGAGTGCAGGTAAAACACTACCAGCAATATCCTAGGTATTTGTCAGCGCTAATTTGAGGAAGATTATACATTCTCACATGTGCCAATTGGTACTTACACCAGGCGAACCACTACCACTACCGCCAAGAAGACCCCCAACTACAGGAAGACCACCAAGAGGTGAATCCCCATTACCGCCAAGAAGACCACCAATCACAGGAAGACCACCAAGAGGTGAATTCCCAGATTCGATAGGGAGTGCAAAAGCCAGGCCGATAAATAAGATGAAAGAGATGAAGAAAGTCTTCATTGTGATTGCTTTGTTAATGAAAATTGAGTGAAAAGGTGGCTTGTTATCTGTGCTAAAGATAGACTAAAGATGGACTGTCGAGCTCTTGAAGAAATACAGGTGCACATTTGCCCGAACTCATTCCCCTTTAAGTATCCAGATCTTGGTTTATGATCAGTTCCATGTTGCACTCCCTTTAAGTTGAAATATGTCAATCAGGATATGTCTAAAACATATAGTCAGTCTATTAGGCCTTTCTACTAGGATATATCTAAGCTAGGTAAATACCACTTCCAGTATTGCTGTTACTGGATGTGGTACAGGCGATTTACCAGAAAAAAAAAACAAGGGTTGATGCATCAGCGCGAAATGAACTTGGCAAGGGAGAGAATACGATGGATTATCCTTACCACTTGATTACTATAGGAAAAGATTTTCATTAATTTTCGGATCGGAACTCTCATAACCCCTCTTCCTTTTATGATGTGATCCGGGAGGCGAAAAAACAGCGTTCCAATTGGATGCCGCAGGAGAAGGGTAGGATCAATGGATTGTAAAAGGTCATGGCGCGCGGCGCGATAGCACCTGAGGAGCGATTCCAGCATCCTCCAGTGTCTTTTTCTGAGGAGAGTTCGAAATGTAGGGGAGATACATGGCAAGGCAAGAGGTCAATTAGTCGATTAAAACTTGTGATTCCAGTTACTAGTGATGATCCGAAGCAGAAAGTAAGGTTTCAGAAGCACTTTAACAGTAGATCGAATGTTAACGGCCAGCATAGTGATTCTAAATCCCTTGGAAGGAGTAGAGCTAAATAGTACTTGATATACGTGAACATACGCATTATATAGTTAGTAACGCTACAATACAATTACAAGTCTAATTTGAGTTGTAAAGGGGCCTCGAATCTCGCATAGTTATTGAGTACATACCAACCCGTAAAGATTTTCACATCTTACCACCACATAATTAAACTAACGTATGTTATGTTCCCACAATATTTCCCACACTGCATATGGAATCACAATGCAACTATGGGGCTTCTTGCTTAGAGAAGGGCGTCAATTTTGATATGCCAAAGCGATACGATAGAGCGCCGAACCTGTGATATTGATAGGTAAATAAAGAAAACGCACTACCTATTTTTACAGTGCCTCTAACCTAGAGCAAAGTCTTGAGGGTAGTATGTGTTAGGCTGAGGGCGTGGGTGTTGTTCGCCTTTGGACCTCTAGTGAAGTGTACCAGCCTATGTTATGCGGGAGTTATCTTTCTGATTCATTCTTTATTCTCTTGTGCTTATTAAGTACAACGATAGCCTTTCCTGTCAGGTAATCTTTGCTTATAAACTTGGCATTAAAGCCAAGCCTTGGTCAAAGGTTGAGCAATGGCTCCGGAATCTGGAGGATAGAGAGGGTTAATTTAGACACCTTCTCCTGTTTGAGAGCATCCCTTAAATCTTATCTATCTAGACTTTACTGCTGATTCGTTGTGTGCGCCTTGATACGATGGAAAACTACGGCGCCTTGCAGAGACAACAGACGACTGCAAGATGCTGTCCAGTACTTCGCCAAGCACATGGTCTGCTTGGTATGTATCTTGTGGCATGGTGATATTCTCTTGCAATAATACTCAGCCCCGATTTTGGCATTACCATACGAAGTTCCCCTTAGGTATTCTGAGCCTAGCAGTTCACCCCATATAAGGCACGCAAAAATAGGGCCTAGAATCGGTGGCTCGACTTTACGTACTTGTCATTACTATAATTTCAGCCCCATGTTATTTGCATATCTTCAATCTACACAAAACTAACTTCAATCTACACAAAACCGACTACTAGAGAAAAGAAAGCTTGTTTCAATTCCCAAAACAAAAATGGCAGTGACCCGGCGAACCATCCGTCTCCAAGTAGTTAATATTAATTTAGAAATAAAGGCATTCAGCCGACATCGTCTGGTCCGAAATCTTGTTAGGGATACTTTCTTCGGACGTAGCATAAGAGACCACCACCGAATCATGAGTGCAGTCTTCGTCACTACATGGCATTAGTCAACACAAACTTGTAACTCGAGCAGAATATTTGGCATACCTATACAGGAAACACTTGATCGTATGGCCTTTAATTGTTGGTATGAAGATAGAACCGCTTTCAGTAATTTAGTATACAATCCCAGCCATATACAAGAGCTTAAGCCTTACATGTAAAGAGAATCGAGGGGAGTACATTGGTTGTCAACCAAGGTTCGGCTGCCCTTATAATTTTCATGTGAGAATACAAGGGCCTATTTTTTGTTGACTTTGGTTAGCGATGAACCAATGCAATATGATAGGACATTTTGACTCACAAAAGGCTCTGGTGATGGACCACTCCCCTTTGCAGCAGATGCCAGAATGGCAAAGGTAAAAGGCAGCAGAGTGAATAATTGCATACTTGCGAAATTTGTTATGTTGTATTTCTGAAGAAAAAGCTGAAGATGGTATTCGATAAATTACCAAAGTCGCCACCACTGGAGGAGCGCTGGGTGTCTATTTATATGCCATTGTAATTTCGTAAGTTGCGGTGAAGGCAATGGATGATCTGAGACATATCTAACAAAAAGAGTAATAGCACAAAGAATACTCGTACTCTAAACGTACTACATGAAAGTCAATTGTGCCGAGATATGAGACTCTTTTTCCCGTGTCTCACATAAGATTGTGGCCAGCCCATTGTCACACAAATTAGCTGGCTTTGGGCTGTTGGCTACAGCGTTATCATTGCATTTCCAGGATTACTTCATCAGATTGGTTCATATAGCAGGGAACAGTCGTAAAACCGCTCAGCTATTCCGTATATATATTAACATACTTAGTGATTGACGTAAACTTCAAACCATTACTTTATACCTAGCCAGTCATCCCCGCCGCTACAAAAAGGGAGAGGGAGAGAAGAGGGGGCAGGTTACACCAGGGTATACGAGTGTGAGACATTGAGTGCCCCTACGCCGCTCTCCCCCACATCGCGAAAAAAGTATTACTACAAGATGCATCAATACCGACCGAAGATATATTCTAGACTACTTTGGCAGTCGTAAATTATCGGGAGAGGACAAGAGACAGATAAATATAATCTCATGACTGTGCTATACTGCCAGGACAGGCACTGGCCCCCCAAACCAGCGGCTATTGCTCAATAAGTGAGTTAGGCATAAGAACTGGACGTACTCTTGGCGAGTGGGAGCCGCAAACTTTTTAGATCCTGCTCTCTAAGGGCTAAAGGTGCTAGAGCCACATGCATACATATGTGTGCGAAAAGGTTTGTGTCTGTCCTTAGCTACTATCCATTAACGACCCTAGTTGTTAACCCGTAATTCGCAACAGATAATGAGACCAGTTGAAGTCAGCCGGGGTCATGATCGGAGGATCTTCAGCAACATAGTTGCCCGGTTTCTGTGAGACATCAAAGTCCCTCCAATAAACAAAAACTGAGCCATTTTACTATCATTATACCCTCTCAGCCTCTCCCCAATGCGATTCAACTAGCGAGCATTCCCTATTTTATGAAGGTAGGTTTACTACAGAGGAGAGCGATTCGGCGTTTGTGGCCACTACTGCCGCCACGCATTACTGTAAAATACTAGTCTAGTACTCCGCACCATGTTAAAGTAATCCGGATTCTGTCGAATCAACTGGCATAGAAGCGCTCTCATAACATCTGCAACCTCTGCCTCAAAATACACCACATCATGCCCCCTTTCTAACCCATCTCTAGTCTGCGCATTTCACCGCTCGTAGTTGACTAACAAATACCTTAATGCACCTCCCCGATTTTAAGAGGTGCTGATGATAAGAGTAGACTAGTAGTTGACTGACTTTAAGAATCGGCTTTAACTCTATGGAATGGCTTGCCGATGGCCTCCATTCTTCGCTTACCGCGCTCATTCTTTCTTTCGATGCTCTGCGGCTACCGACCGACGGAGTCAGATGGCAATTGCCTGATTATCTACTCATATCTAGATGCATGAGAGTCATAAGATATACACATTATCTCACAGATTGAGGGATGATCAGATAAGAGCATGGATCCATACATGAATATTTATCCTTTAAACGGATAAAGCTTTTCAGACGCTGTAGCTATCTGGGAAGCGAAGAAACAAAACAACCACAATCTAAAATCAAACCGTACAATCGATCTCTTTGTCCCATTTAATGTGTCGAATCATCCTTTTCTCCACTTCCATCTGACAATTCTTCAATGAATCATCATCGTCCCAATATCCACTTACAATCACAAAAATCCTGCCAGGTCCCCCAATTTTTTTCGCTGGAAATAGATATCGTAGTCTCTCACGCCTACTATACCGCGACATGGTCTTCATCTCTTCCTGCCTAGATTGAGGCGAATCTCCAGGGATTGAACCTAACTTCCCTACATCAAGGGGGGCCTCCCGGAAGCTATAATCAAACCGCACGGCACTCCGTGTACCTGGTGTGCACTGGAACCAGGCAGCCTCGACAATATCATACAAGCGGCCAAACGCTAACCAAGGTTGTTGCAACTCGCTATCTGCACTCTCTTGGAGAGCAGACGGTCCTTTGTCGGGCTGTATTTCATTGCTGAACCTTAAACTTCTTAACATGTCAAGCTTCGGTCCTTCAATTCTTAGACATTCAAAGCTGACTTGAAGTTCTATGGCTGGCGGCATGCATGGAATCATCCGCCTCCAACTCGCTTTGGGGTAATCATACGCCGCCCTGCGACGGGGATCCAGTTTCGGATACTTGTTAAGCCCGGGCTCCCTGCCAGGCCCAAGATTCATATGCTTGACCCAATTCGAATCAAACCAAGGGTCAAGGCCATGCTCACCGCTGTCGATATCGAAGAACAATGAGAACCGAGATTTCAGCAGTGGATTTAGCTCAAAAGATCCATCAGAATGTACGCTTTTCGCTGGCTCGGGATATAGGAAGAGTGCGGCTTGAAGGACTTTGCTTGAGGATATAACCTCGTGCCATGTGCGGCAGACTCTTTGAATGAGGAGAAGATCTTGCTGTGGGAGGTGGAGAAAGATGTAATGCAGGATGTATGGCGTCGTAACTGCAGTGTTGGCCATTGTAGATTCTGTACGGCAAGCCGATGACTTTGATGCGAGAAGTGAATTTAAGTGTATAGTTCCACCGTGTCACATAGGCGCATTTATGGGCTTAACAGAGAGAAGTTGGAAGCAGCACTAAGTAAAAATCTGCAAAGGCCTCCCGTCTATTTATGCTCGAAGGTCACAAGCATACTATGCATCGTTACACAAGACCCTCGACCCCGCTCCGTCCACCTCACGTATCTATGCAATATGACGGAGTAGTCTCATTCAATCAAATTACCCATAATAACTTGTCTAGATTTGATCTCTATCCCAGTCATTGCCTTCGTGAGAGTTATTATACTGCGTCAATAATCTATAGAGGATAATGATCTCTCATATGTATATAGCAATAATGTCCTAGATGGTCAATCAAAGAAATTGCTAATCCGATATTTTATTTCCAACCTCGCGGCACGTGTGTTCTATACGGCATGGGCTCGTGAACAAATATTAAGGTTCCAGACGCTACATAATGGTCATTGGATGGCCCAATGTTAAACTGGTGTATCCAATAGTAAAAGGTTGGGCTGGCGATGGATAGTGTCTTTCTTAGGGTAAGGTGATGCTGTTCGGGCAAGAGGCTCTGATCACGAGCCTGAGCCTTTCTTCTAAACTCGAACTTTGTCTATTGATTCGTAATCTACGGCTATGTATATGATTATGAGCGCTATACTTTATATCGGGTTGGCATGGACAATGACCGCCTTGAGTTAAAAGCTACCTCGGTGAGGCTGGCATGCGCTTGTCTCATGGTGATACCAGGCCAGAATTCGAGACCAGCCCAACAACACGAATGGCCCATACAAATGTACTCAATTGAATACCATGCAAAATGTACGCGGAAGAGTGGCAAAAATCCAACAGCACTAATAATCGCTATGCTGTAGGCTGCAATTGATAGTCATCGCTATTTCAACAGCTACTGGGAGACCCATTGGTCAAACTGCTTTGCAAGTTTTATGCATCGTTCGTCAACGAATCTCGTGTATAGATTTGCCGCATACAAGTTAATTGTTGAGAGGATGACGTAGCCCCCAATCCAACAGAATGCGGATGCAAATTTGTGATCATCATCAGGCGGCAACCCCCCTGTGGCTATGTACCAGAGGGTACTTCTGACCGGGTCGCTGAACAAGTGGTAAATGGATTGATGTACAAGGTATAGCGAGAAAGAGATCCTCCCCAAATACTGTACTAGCTTGGAGTCGAGGGGGTATTGAAGTTGTTTTGTTGTGCTGATCGCAGAGACAACGAGCACGGAGCCAACCGTTTTCCACGTCTTGTCCACGACTCCCCAATTTCCATCCCATCGCGAGGATTCGGCAATTTTTAGGAACTGATATCCTGGCGGGAGAGCACCGTCGTCGCTCAAGCAGAGAAGCCAGATACCGACGGCGAAGATGAAATACGTTCGGATCGCGCTGAAGTTCACGGATCGCGCCTGGACCGGGATATATGGTTTGAGCCAGGTTAGGTATTCTGACTCGGTGCTGACAGTGTTCAACTCAGCCAAGACCTGCAACTCAGCCAACCAGTACCCTGCCAAGAATCCCATTACATCCCAAAACCCGAAGTAGAACCAGTAGGCCATCGAAGCTCCAAGCGCCCAAAGTCGGGGCCTCGGTTTCCAAAACGCCAGGCCCAGAAGGATGAGATAAACAACACAAGAGCCGCGAAACTCGAGAGCCATAGTCCAAAGCTGGCCATTAAGACCACCGTTGTATTGGATAGCGAGGATGTTGATGTTGTCGAGCATGTACCGAACGACGAAGGTAACATGGAACCATGGTGCAGTCCAAGGCTTTCGTCCCCATACGATTTCATCTCCGGGCTGCCATTGAAAGAGATTGAGAAAGAAGAGGATCTGCGAAATTACCGTGATGCAGAACACAGGCAGATAGATGCGTAAGCCGCGGCGTGTGACCGCTGAAGACAGTCGGCGAAGGAATCCTTCGCTGTTACTGCTGGCCCTCAGTCGGATGAGATTAATTGAGATGGCATAACCTGAGATGACAAAGAACAAGGGCACCATGGCATGCGCAGCAAAGATCAGGCGGAAGGGAGGCAGCTGCATAAGTTGACGATTCTCCTCGGGCGGATCCGCCCAGAAAGATCTGAAGCCAGCGTGCAAAACAGCGCCCATGAAATAGTGGTCTGTCGCCACAATGGCCGCGGCAATGCCCCGCAGGCCATCGAGCCAAGTCGCTCGGCTCATGCTGCTGGTATTTGTTCGATCATTGATAAGGATGGAGATGAGGAAGTAGAAAATAGGCGATGGATGCCTGATATGGAGAAAATCGAAAAGGGGCCTTGCTGTTTCTAGAACCGCTGCTAGCGCGCATCATCCTCCGTAAGCACCGGCCGCTAAAATCCTCTATTTCCGGAATAAGACTGTAGTTGTAAGAGAGTATCTGCATCTCTGAACAAGCCCAGCTTCATTTCCATAAAAGTCCTTCCGCTCAATGTTCTTACACATACAACCATAGGTAGGTGGAAAATTCGAGGTCCCGCCAAACCTCTTTCTTGAGTTATATGCCTTCTATATCATGAATATTATAGTGCTGTAAGGCGAGGAGGAAACAAAAGAAAAGAAAGAAAAAGAAGGTAGACCCTGGGGGATGGGAATAATATTTGGACTGAATTACGATTGAGTGGTATATTATAATGGTGATATTTTTTTTTTACTTCGCTAAAATTAAACAAGGATTAAAAGTAACTATCCATTTGACAACACTAATAGCCGCTTCGACATTACATACGTATTAGGAGAAGGAACCTTGGCATCGTATGGTAAAATCCCATTGGCATAATCAGTTGCTACCCCTCATCAGTACTTGTGGGAACTTGTGGGTGGGTATCATCAGTGTCTTATGCTGTAATTTAGGTAAAAGGGAATTGATAGTAATTGGTCTTTATAATCAAGGTTTGAATGTCTATGGTAGCGCGCCACGGCGTCTTCTAGTCATCTGGTGAGTGTTCTGACGAAAGCCACTCATCGAATCACTAGAAAACGCCCTTAGCGCACGATTACGTAGCTTTCATGGAGCATTTCAAAGTATAGAAATGCTCAGAAACCCCCGAATTTTATTTACCACTCCTCAGACAAGTTTCAGGTATTTCAAAATGCGCTGTTTACTGTTTCTACGCCGACTGCTTGACAAAGGCTGCCACCATCACAGGGACCACGACCAAAAGGACCCCAGCGCCGCTATTCTCCAGCTTTCGCTAGATATTCTCTCACTTATTACCGATAATCTGGCTTTACATGATAAATTCCTCCTTTCACACACCTGTAAAGCACTTCGGCAAGTTACATTTCAAAACTGGGATTTTGTGCTCTCACGGCTCTCCTTTGAAGATCAGAGTGGGTTTTGGGTGGGGCTGGCCTACACTTTACCAAATCGCTGGGCCTGTCTGAAATGCTGCAAACTGCATCATATTGACACCTCAGATGTGCCAGCGGCCTTCCAGACTGTAAGGTATAGGGGTATCCCTTGCAGCATTAAACATTCTCGAGGAATTGAAGTCGAAGTGTATTCTATGCAGCACTACCACATACAGTTTGCACTTAAGCTCTCTCGCCTAGGCAAGGTACATCAGCGATACCTTGCGGCACTGATGGATACTTATACGCGTACTGGGATATCATTCATACCGCCACTTGCAGATTCCTATACCGCAGAGCCCAGAATTATCAATAAGCGGTTTATCCTACTTGAAGAGTGGAATATCAGGAATAATACGAGTACTGCTTTGCCACTCTTCCCAGACAAATCACGTTTACCTCTCCCAGTCTGCCCTCACATGCGTATGCTATTTGGTGGACCCGCGAGGTCTCGCAGTTGGAAGCAATCGTCTATCCATAGGATGGTACATATGTCTAATAACAATAATATGCGGCAGCTTGAGGAATTCGTCCTGCTCAAAGAAGTTACTTTGCTTGAGGATGGTATTGCATTAGCTTACGAATCCCCAGGCCAGTGGATATTTAATTCTTGCCTGCACTGCCCTACAGATTTCGCGATCATGATTTCTACGGATGAGCGAGAGGCGACGATCCGGGCTTGGCACGACTTTGGGATAGAAGGGTCACCAATAGATATTAGTTGGAAGGCACATGTGGCAGATAAAAATAGACATTGGCTTGACGTAGGTCCCTATGTGGATTATAGTCATGGTAGTATCCGGGAGTTATGGTCAGAGGGAATCTCTCATCGGACCAGGACTAGTCAAGGAAAGCTGCGGAGCGTCTTCACGAAGCTGATAGAAAGTCTGAGCGAAGTATAGCTTCCTGCTTTATCTTTTAACTGGGGTAAATGCTTAAATTAAAAAGGCTTGAAATCAATCTCTCTTATCAGACGTGGCTTTGCTCCAAACTGAACCTCCGGAGAGCCACTGGACAATTTGGATCACTCTTCCGTAGAAAATGAAACGTTTCCAGGCCCGACCTCCGCACCCTCTGGTACGGAGTGCTCTTTTTTCGTAGGTAGTCACATCCAAAAAAAAAAAAAAAAACTCTTGTATGAGTCCAGGTCGTTGATAAGGCCGAAACGCCTGTTAATTCGGTACGACATAGGGTAGGCCAATAGACATAGATTGCAAATGAGATCGGTATATCACACATAATAACATTGTTTGCTCAATGAAGAGGCTACTAGACCCAGCGATGTAAGATGCTGCTGGGACTACGACCACCCACCCCTTGGTCTTATCAGTAAGCCCCACGGGGAAAGACACCTATTGTGTTCCATTAGTAGTACTTGAACCAGGATTGTGGATGGAGGCCACGACGGTTGCTTGAACCTGGGGGACGCCCCCAGACCGGCGGATATCCACCCGGCCTCTATGGCCCTGCACCTCTTCCAAGGTTCTCTACCCATCTTTGAAGGGCTTCCAGCTCAGCTAGAGGAGGAATGGGGGTTGAGAGAGGGAAAGGAAATACTTATGGTAGGTAGTTAAAGCAGCGCAAATCGCTATGGTGATTACGCCAACGGACATGATAATGCTGATAGTCGACATTGTTCGTCTCGTCTCGTCTCGTATCGTATCGTTGCGGCGGGAGCGGCGTCGATGAAGAGACAAAAATAAAACAAAAGAAATAAGCCTACAGTCATATTTGACTTGTCACCCAGACTCATTACCAGTTGCTCTTTCTTTACATCAGTTGGATAGGAGGTAGGCGCTCTATTGGCAGTAACTAAAGGGAAGGGCTGTTCAGTACCCTAAGTCAGCTATCTAGCACCCCAGTGACTAAGAAAAGTTCCGAATGTCTTGACAGCGCATTATATAGATCTTTTATTTAAATACACAGTTCCTAGATTATCTGCTACTATCGCTACAATCGCTACTATCTATATATTCCTTTAATAACTGTTACATTACTACCCAGACCGCTTTAAATTTGTGAATGGGATGCTGAATACACGTAGCAAACTTGGGGTGCTGAATAGCCCTCCCTTTATTATCACACTGCATTAAATATCCTGGGGGTCAACACCAACAGATAGAGGTGTAGCATTGTGTAATTGTGTATAAAAGTTCGTTTGAATGCTTACTAATGCGGGCGTCCAATGAGTTAAATTTTCAGAAGATACCAGGGGATATACCATCCCATCGCCTAGGTACTTGGTCACAGCCTCGTAGTAGAAGCCTGATGCAGCCTAAAACATCAACATGGGCATATCATCTTGCATACCTATTAGGCAGCCCAAATTGATGCTCTCAACAATGATCAATAATATTCAAGAGCAGAGCTAGTCTCTTCTATTTGACGATACGCACCGCTCCGAAGTGTTTCCAACTGCTCTCTAATCCCAGCGGCTTCCAGGGCCCGGCTATGGCTACCCCGCCCGCCAGCCGTGATGAATTTGAAGTTGCGTTGATTTGTTCGTTGCCGCTTGAGTACAATGCCGTGTCTCTGCTCTTTGACCAGTTCTGGGATGAGAATGGTGATCAATATGGTAGAGCCATTGGAGACTTGAACACTTACACCACCGGACGCTTTGGAAACTTTGATGCTGTTTTAGTCCTTCTGCAGAATACGGGGCAAGTCAGTGCGGCTAGCGCTACAGCGAGTCTTCGATCGAGCTATCCAGGGTTAAGGCTGGTGATCCTGACGGGAATCTGTGGGGGTGTGCCATTCCCAGATACTGGCGACGAGATTCTTCTTGGTGACGTGGTGATCAGCAAGACGGTGGTGCAATACGATCACGGAGAGCAATACCCCAACAACTTTGTAGCAAAGGACACCACGGAGGATATTCTGGGCAGGCCGAATAAGGATATCCGCGGTCTAGTTACGATTTTCGAGACAGACTTGGCACGAGAACGACTCCAGACACGAGCCGCCGTCTTACTCGAACAAATTCAGGATCTTCCTGCTAAAGGAGACCGGCGCAAAGCAGATACTTACCAGTATCCCGGAGCCGTCAATGATAGGTTGTTTGAAGCAAATTGCCGTCATGAGCATCGCCTAATACCGCAATGGTCTTGTGATGAATACCGGAGTCCAGTTTGCGATATACCTGGATGCAATAATACACATGATGTGAAGCGGCAGCGCCTTGAAGAAAAACGACAGCTGGAGCAACAGGGATGTGGCAGAGAGGCTCAAATTCGTCCATCTTCGTCGGTCGGTTTGGTTCAGGGGACAGAGTGCTCAAGTCGGGTGAGGACCGCGACTGGAACGCTAAGCGGTACGGCATCCTGGCATACGACATGGAGGGCGCTGGTGTCTGGGATGAGCTTCCATGCATTATCGTCAAAGGTGTCTGCGACTACGCGGATGGCCACTTGGGCAAGCTCTGGCAGAACTTTGCGGCTGCTACGGCCGCGTGTGTCGCAAAAGGTTTGGTGGAGCGTTATACAAGAACGGACAAGCCACCAATACTCCATATCAAGCAGCAAGTAAAAGAGATGATGGAAATTAAAGAGAACAAAGAATGCATCAAAGACCAGCACCAGACAGACCCCCGCGACGATAAGACACGCATACAGCGGACAAAAGGCGAGTTGCTCAGGGATTCATACCGATGGATCCTTGAACACGCCGACTTCAAGCAATGGTGTGGTAATCCAGAGTACGGGCTGCTTTGGATCAAAGGAGACCCCGGGAAAGGAAAGACGATGCTTCTATGTGGCATCATAGATGAGATAGAGAAGTCTACACTTCCACCTTGTCTGTCTTACTTCTTCTGCCAGGCTACCGAGCCACGACTAAGTAGTGCAACGGCAGTGCTGAGGGGTCTTATATATATGATCATTATCCAACGGCCCTTGCTTATCTCACATGTACGAGAGAGATATGACCATTCAGGCAAGAAGCTTTTCGACGACAGCAATGCTTGGGAGGCATTGTCTGGGATTCTAAAGGCTATATTGAACGACCCAGCGCTTAATGATGCAATTATGATCGTTGATGCTCTCGATGAGTGCGTTGAAGGGCTGCCTATGCTTCTCCAGTTTGTTTCCGAGGCGTCTTGTTCATATCGTGCTAAGTGGATTGTGTCAAGCCGCAACTGGCCAGCTATTGAAGAGAGTCTTCATACAACAATGCAATCAGTCAGACTATGTCTAGAACTAAACGAGATGTCAGTTTCTGCTGCTGTTCAGACTTATATCCGGCATAAGGTGCAGGAATTAGCAGATAAGAAACGTTACGATGATATCACGAAAGACGCTGTTGAGCAGCACTTAGTGATCAACGCTCATGGCACATTTCTCTGGGTGGCTCTAGTTTGCCAAGAGCTTTCAGATCCGAAGATTAAAAAACGGCACACACTTCAAAGACTCAAATCGTCATACCCACCAGGGCTTGATCCTTTGTACCAGCGAATGATGGATAACATTCGCGAGTCACCTGATGCCGACATTTGTCAACAGATCTTGGCTACTACTTCACTGCTATACCGTCCAAACACGCTAGCAGAGTTAAGCCGTCTGATTGAATCTATTGATAGCTTTGATGATGATGATCTGATAGATCTCATTGGATCTTGCGGTTCATTCTTGACTATTCGAGACAATGTCGTCTATTTCATACATCAATCAGCAAAAGATTTCTTGGTTAATAAAGCATCCGATAAAATTCTGGCCTCTGGCATTGGGTACCAACACTATACTATCTTCTCAAGGTCTTTGGAAATCTTAAGCGAGACATTGCGACGCGATATTTACGGCCTACGGCTTCCAGGCTTCCCCATCGAACAAGTCTGCTCACCTGATCCTGACCCACTAGCATCAATTAGATATGCTTGCATCTACTGGGCGAGTCATTTTGGCGACTCAAAACACCTACAAACGCCGAGTGTTGAGAAGGGACGTCAGGGCGAAGACGCCATCAGTAAACTCTTTGAAGAAAGATATCTATACTGGTTAGAGGCTCTTAGCTTATTACATGGTATGTCAGAGGGAGTAATTGCAATCGACAAGCTAGTGGTGAGTTGGCATGCCTGCGCAACTGTTTATCAGACAATAGACTAATAAACACAAAAGGATAATGTTCAAACGCCACAACTTATAGAGCTGCTCAAAGACGCACATCGATTTATCCTTTCATACAAGCCAGCGATAGAGTCTGCCCCGTTGCAAGTTTATGCATCAGCACTTATTTTTTGCCCTTCGCAAAGTAAATGGAAGAAATTTTTTGTGGCTGAAGAACCTAATTGGATTCTCACAAAACCTCTGGTTGAGACACACTGGCCACCTTGGCTGTACACGGTCGAGGAGCACACCGGGAATGTTCAGTCCATCGCCTTTTCCTCCAACTCAGCGCTCATAGCGTTGGGTTCAGATAAAGAAATCCGACGCTGGAGTACTAAGACAGGCGACTGCATACGAGCCCCGCTTATGGGCCATAATGACATTATTTTTTCAGTTGCCTTCTCGCATGACTCAACACTTTTGGCATCAGGCTCTAAGGATACCACAGTCCGGCTATGGCGTATCAACACAGGCGATTGCCTCCATGTGCTCAAAGGCCATACCAAAACAATTCATTTAGTTGCTTTCTCTTTTGACTCGAAGCTTGTAGTATCGGCTTCCGGGGATAGAAGCATCCGGCTATGGCAAACCAGTACCGGTGACTGTATTCAGGTGAAGGGCCATAAACGGCATATTCTCGCGATTGCTTTCTCGCAAAACTCGGCACTTTTGGCATCGTTCGATGGAACAATCCGGCTCTGGAGCACTGACACGGGCCATTTTGTACGGAAGTTAAGGATCAATAGTACTACTAAACAGTGTGCAGCAGCATTCTCACAGGACTTGACACTCTTAGGATTAGCCTTAAACGATAACCCAATCCAGTTCTGGCGCACTGATACTGGAGAGTGTGTGCGAGAGTCGAATGGATATTTCAGCGAATCTCATTCAATCGCCTTCTCTTATCACTCGGATTTCATAGCATCAGTCTCTACAGATGGAATATTCCGTCTCTGGCGCACTGATACAGGAGATCTTGTGCGAGAGCTAAGGACCCCTGAGGCTATTAAATATGCAGCCTTCTCGCATGACTTAAATATCATCGCAGCACCAATAGGTAATTTCGTATTTCGTGTCTGGAGCACTGATGATACAGACAGCTATATGCAAGAACAAAAGGGCTCCAGATATGGGATCACCTCTATTATTTTCTCTCAGTGCTCAACCCTTGTGGCGTCGGCCTCAATTTGGGAATCAATTGTCTCGCTCTGGTGCGCTAAAACAGGCAGACATCTACATGAGCTCAGGGGTCACCAGAAAGGAGTCGACTCAATTGCCTTCTCGCATGATTCGGCACTCTTAGCATCAGCTGATTTTTATGAAGAGACTATCCGGCTCTGGCGCACTGATACAGGCGAATGTGTGCGAGTGATAAACGGCCCGTCCATGACGTCCAAGATTGCTTTCTCGCACGATTCGGCGCTCCTAGCGTCAGCTTCCTGGGCGTCGGCTTCCTGCACTGACGCTATCCAGCTCTGGCGCACCGACACAGGCGGTTGCGTGAAAACTCTACCTGTGAAGACCAAACATACGGGTGAAATTACTTCGATTGCTTTTTCACATGATTCCGCGCTTATAGCAACAGGACTCGCGAAAGGCGCAGTTCGGATCAATAACGTTACTACGGGAAACCTTGTGCTTGTGCTGAAGCTATGTGTCGACTCTTATCCGTTGGTCGCTTTCACGCGAGACTCAACATTCGTAGCAACAGCCACAAATAAAGGTAGGGTTCAACTCTGGCGTGTCGACACAGGCGAGTGCGTGCAGGATGTCTCTATGGACTATGATGATGATGACTGGTCGCGGTCCTCCAAGTCGCCTAGAAATCTCTCAATCACAGACGACAATTTACGAATCCTTACCGACTTTGGTTATGTTACTATTGATAGCACCTCTGGGCCTACTACCCAGATTCCAGCCCCCTCCCTAGGTCCTGGTTTTAGCAGAGATCAGAGATGGATTACGTGGAATAATAATAATGTTCTCTGGATACCAGAAAACGAAAAAAGGCAGCCTCCCTGGGCTATATCAGAATCTACTGTGGCCGTAGGTTGCATGTCAGGGAGGTTTTTTATTATCGGCTTTTCGGATGAAGAGTTGTCAAAAATATACGCTGGTGTTAATTATGCCTAAGTTTAATATATATTAATATCTTCCCTCAAGTTATGCCATTGGTGATGAAGCCAGTTCAAATCATTTATATACATATGTAGAGGAGAAGTTTCAACAGCCACGTTATGATGGGCAAACCATGTACACTCTAACTAATGATGAAATCAGGTCATATTTACGTTATAATATATACTATCATAACTTATTTCCATCAGTCCATTTTCTTCTATATCTTCCGCCAAGTGAGTACATCTGGCATTATGCTTACTAGTTCATAACTTATATTTTGTAACATAACTTAGCAAATAAAGGGAAACATCCAGAGATGATAAAATAAGGGAAGGGCTATTCATTACCCCAGCGACTAAGAGGATTCCAAATAGCGTAACAACAACTTATAATGAAGATCTTTTATCACTATTGCTTAAATAGATATTTACACGGTTCCTGGAGTATCCGCTACTATCGCTATGATCTACTACTATCCATGCATTCCTCTAATACCTGTTATCATTGCTACCCATGCCGCTTTAAATTTAAGAATGGGGTGCTGAATAGCAAACGTGGGTGCTGAACAGTCACTTCCTAAAATAAAGTGCTTTAATACTAGGACCCAACATTTATTGTTATGATAATAGGCCAAACTGGAAAATTATGGAGCCAATAGCTAATAGTAACTAGCTTGTATGGCTTGTCTAATAATATAAGCTTAAAAAACCTTCATAAAGTTAATCAGAATATTCTGGAGCCCAAGTTCTAGGGCTCTTCAAGCTCCTCATTGTAGTTGTCGAAGCCAACGTAGGCCAGCGACTCCAGGTTACGGATACCTCGTTCGCCGTTCTCACCCATGATATTGTCAATCGAGTGAAAGTCCTTCTCATCAATCTCAAAGATACAGTCGAAATTTTGAACTATCCGTGTCGGATCGTTGCTCTTAGGTATGACCGAAATACCTCTGCAGAGTAGGTAGCATAGGATAACTTGTGCCGGAGTCTTTGAGTATTTCTTCGCAATCACCGAAACCTGTCGTTACACTTAGAATGAGTAGCGACACAAATTAGTGAGCAACAGCGATCTCACCGTCTCATCTTCCAAGGGCCCTGGGCCAATCCTCCCTCGTAAAGCAGGTATCGGAGCGCACCCCAATGGCCCAAAAGCAGTGACGTGAATGTTGTTCTCCTGGCATAATTTTACCAACCCCTTCTGAGGCCAGTGAGGGTGGCATTCGATCTGGTTGACGGCAGGTTTGATCTTGGCCGATTGAAGCAGTCTTTTCACCTTCGGGGACGAAAAGTTGGAAATTCCTAGGGCGTTGTCAGCGGAGAGACGCTCTCAGTTGAATTGCAAGATGATACCAATGTATTTTGCCTTGTTTTTGTCTACAAGTTTCTCCATCGCTGCCCAGGTAAGGTCATAAGACCGGGAAAGTTCGATGTCGATGACTGGCTAGAATGTCTGGTTAGCTATAGCTCGAACCAAAATTATGCCATCCCTTACTCGTCCTCCTTCGCGGCGCGCCGTCCCAAAGTTTTCTGTCTTCTTGTACGCATACGGAACTAGCCTGTTAGTTTTGTCATTCTTGTTTCTAATGCTTGTCGGGCAGAGCCAATATTTACAGTGCATTAGAAATAGATCGACTATCATAGTGGCATTAGCGTAAAGTGATCGCCGTCTTGCTATATAGCTATAGTTCTTATTAGGCTCACCACAGTCAAATCCGAGATTCGCGAGGCTCATATCCATGCCAACTTCCACATCTTCTGGGGCGTGAAAAACATTCTCTCTGTAAGGCTAAGTTAGCAAGATTTCTTTCCATTCTAAAGAAAGTCCACGTACAGTTTCGTGACAATGAAGATATCTTCTCTCGGTATGCCAGACTCCCTCACGGCTTCACCAACTTCCCTTTCGCACTGTCCATTATCATATCTCAGAGAAGTGTCAATATGTCGACAACCCGCTCGCAAAGCAGTCAATACAGACTGCTTGACGCTTCCATTTGGATATGATTGAGGATCAGGTTGAAAAGTGCCCAGACCCCTGGAGGGAATACAACCACTGCCACCCGGGTGTAGTTGGAAGTATTCTTTCGGTATCATTGCTTCAACAAAGCTGCCAGTCACTTTTAGAGTCTGCGAATAACAGTTGTCTCTTATAATGAGAGATTTAGTAAATGACAAGAGGTAAAGTGCGGCCGTGCGTGCGGGGATGATGAACTGATGTCAATGCTATACAGCACGGGCAAAGCCGGCCCCAGGTGGTAGTTGGTTGTAGGCCAACAGACATTCTACTAAAGGCCAGGAATAAGGAAATCTTATCCTTTACTACCATTTCAGTGCATTCCTGCATTATTTACGCACCTGTAAATATTTTATAAAAGAGGATGTCTAATTCTCTACGTAATTAGGCTCATACAGCCTCTGTACAAGACGTATGCTTGCCCCAGTAAAATGCTTATTTCCCTCCCTCCTCTCATCTCAGCCCAATCTTGCACTGCAAATTGCATTACATCCTGCTAAGGTTTACATCGACTACTAGCAGCACAACTTATAACTTTGACGAAGAGTATCTAGTAAATAAATGTACAACATAATACTGCCACGGGATACCACACGTCGGTTCTTTCTTGTCTATGGACCAAAAGCAGGGCAAAGCAATCTACGCCCAATTCTAAAGCCTTAGTCCGTTTTCTATCACTACTATTTCGTGTCGCCGTTTTTGGTAAAAAGCACCGTCCCTGCTTCCGCCAGTATTACAAAAAGCAAAGAGGACGGCCCAATGTAGTCCCTAGGAAGAAGAAATTGGATCGAGGAGCTTCGTGGGTCTTGGTACGTTAAAACTGAAAGTTCGCTTGTTTGCTTCTCCTACGGATAAGTCAAGACTTATAATTAGATTCGTACCATAAGCGTTACTAGCTATAGTATAGCTCATCCAATATTGCCATGCTATTAAGCCTTTTTCAACAGCAGCAAAGGTTTGTAGGAGCCGCGGTCTTACAAAGGGATGTTCGAACAGAAAATAAGGACGGGCAACCTCATAATTTTATTAACATTGAAACGAATCATGACGGAGCGGTTTCTTTTCTCTTACGATAACAGCTTTTAAAGCCGGCGCGAAAGATTATGAGGCTATTAGTACGAATGATACCGCACCACGATATGTGTGCTTTATTTCTCAGTACTATCATCTCTTTCTCATCATTGAACGATTCAGAAAAATCCAAACTGTCCCCTTTCATGCGTCTTGCGCTACAACTTGACGAAGAATAATTACTCTTTGGAAATCTATACTATCGCGGCACAATTGGTACAACCACTGTCCAAGCAAACACAGTTGTCTCAAACGCTCAAAGTATAACGCATGTCGGGCATGTGTTATCGTCATCTACATACCTGAAACGTTTTCTTCGTGCCTGGCTATTTCCACTTTCGAAGTCGTTCTAATCATCTTCAGGGTATCTGCAGCGCTTTTATCTTCTGCTTCCCTCACCCCATCTTCGATTAACAGTAGTCTCCTCTCCGCTTCATTGCAGGAATTTTGTCGACGGATTAGCTCCCGCGAAATTCACGCGGCAGCTCTATCCAGATCCACTTGTAAGGACCAGATTTGCGGCTGATGAACCATATCTATGTTGCTACCGGATCCCGAGGGTTCATTTAGAAAGGGTGTAAGCTGATTGGCAGCCTGCAGAATGGCGACCCGTTGAGAATCGAGGTTCTGGATAGCCTGTTGTTCAAGCTCAACAACCCTTACCTGGGATTGTCTCGCTTCCTCTGCTTTTCTCATGATCGTGTCTTTACTTGGAAGCAAAAAACTGTCTAGCGTCTGAATCCAACCAAGAAAACTTGATATCAGCGCAAAGATGGACATGAACCAACCAACCACAACAAAAGCAGCATCTTGGTGACGCTGAACTTCTGCGTGGATACGATGTAGCTTATCAGCGGCGGGGGAGCCGCTCTCCATGCTCCAGATAACATCGCGAGCGCCCTGAATAGCTTGTTGTCTGGAGAGACTTTGTTCTTTTGTCTCTGGACGGCTGGTGTAAGCTGGCATCCACCCGACTTTGGTAATTCATCCATTCAACTTCACATACCTTGGGGTTCGACGACAGACAGCGCCATGTGATATAGAGCATCGGATACCTGTTTCCATTCCGGCTCTTCAGCACTTGCAAATTTGCAAATCGTCTTATGGGTGCGATTCAGATAGAATTTGGCCTCTTGACCGTCGGGTAAGCCAAGAGTCGCCGAATCTTGGCTAACGATCTTGTTTGAGGATGTTATAATTAGCAGTCTGAGTCGAGAAAATTAGGCGTCGTGACCTTCAATACCAAGATTGGTGCCGAATTCTTCTTCTGGCAGTGTGTCACAAAAGCTGAATATCTTGTAAGCTCTGGATAAATGACGAAATCGAATATTCAACTCTTTATTGTAAGCTGATCCCGCAGCTGCACTCTCCAGAAATGACATGTTTATTAAACGGGAGGATAATCCCAGGATACTGCTGATGGTTTTCGCCCATGTCGCATGACGTGATCCACGGTAAGGCACACCGAAAAAGGCGATGCTGCGAGTGAATGTCCAAATCGTGGGATATGCTTGTTCGTCGAAACGATATCGCAAGAGCCTCCTTGACAAGAAGCCCACCCAGACTATGTGTGACAAAGATAATGGGTCGTGTACCATTGGCCTGGTTAACGGTCTCTTGTTAGCTACTCCATACGAGTAAATCTGGTTCTAAGCCCATACGAACCCGACGGTCCTGCAACATGCATTGAAGCATATTCTTGGCCTGCTCATTGATACCGGCTGAAGACGCGCCAAATGCAATATTTGCATTATATTGATACGCAAGTACTCTTGCATTCGGGAGTCTCGATGGGAGAAGATCCTTTAGCCAGTTGACATTTGTCGTACGATCAGTCCATGTATTATCTGCGTGTCGCTCATTATTTTCCAGGTTCATTCCATGGACAGCGACAATGCTTCTCAAAGTTAGTACCAGACTCTACAAGAGTAATAGAGAACTAACTCAAGATCTGCGTTTGGAGGAGCCACGATTGTCTTGAGGAAGTTTGAATTCGCCATAGTCTGGAATCACTGCCACACAGATCAGGTCAGCATGACAACAACATCTAATCGCAGGAGCAATAGAGCCTCTACTCGATACTATCATGGAACTTTAGCAAATTCAGTAATACATTTGCGAGATTGGGGGATTAAATATGGCTAGCCGCATTGGGTGCATGATAGATGCCCAACTATTTGTCCAATCGCCATGAGATGCGACACCTACATGTACATGTACCAACCGCATTGCGACACAAGAGAAACTATTGGAGAGAGTTCAGGTTGTCATGCCGTTAAATTAGGGAATGGCTATCTAGCAGCCCGACGATTAAGAGGAGTTCCGAATGGCGTAACAGCGTAAAATGAAGATCTTTTATCACTTTATTTAAATAGATATTAACCCTTTGCCATCACTACAATCTGTTACTATCCATATATTCCTCATATCTGCAATCATTACTACCCAGTTCGTGGAATGCTGAATAGTTACTTCCTTCAATTGACATATTTGTTTCGCCATCTAGGGGTAAAACACACAAGCGGGCTGCAGCTGAGAGATCGGTGTTAAACTACTAAGCACTTTGTAGTTTACCGCAATGACATCTCCCCCCTCTCTTTGATGAGATCAGTGATAATGCTACCTCAGGTTTATCTACCAGTAAGGTCAATTAAACCAGGCAATCAAGCCTCAATTTGGCATTTAAACCAATTCAATACTATGCTCATCTCAATACACGTATCCATACAATACAACTTCTCCAAAACACCTTTCAGCCAACCATTCAATGCAGCTCTTCTCAATCGACCCTGTCGTCCGATTGTAACCAACACCAACCTCTCAGTAGTTATATATATATACCTTTGTAGTTATTTCTCTCCCTTCCTTCACAGCCAAACTTGCAACATGTAAACAACAAAAGAACAGAAAGTTTTTTTCTTTAAATTACACAAACACCAAAACAGGGCGGGCCCTTTTCATGCGTATAGGTTCCCCAACTCCGGTCTAATTTCTAACACGGGCCATCTAATCAGTCGTTACGATGCGTTATATTCGGCAACACTGGGCGGTAGTAGAGCAGAGCTCGTTGTAACCCTGCTGCTCACACCCCTCAGGGCTAATATAGCCTCTTGGATATGCATGTGGGTAAGGTAATTGCCGCTGATCCTCGGTGCGGCCAAAACGCTCCAGTATTAAGACAAACGAAATATCCCATCACTTGCGTCGCGTCTTCGTGGCGGGTCTCGGTGCAGCCTCGGCCATGGCCTCTCGCTTCTTCGTCTGCTTTCGCGATCGAGGGGGCGGAGGTGGATCGCCATGCAAGTGGCCCAACTCTTCCAGAGCCATTGTGTTCTCCCATTGCAGGCAGCGATAGCTAGGCAGGTCGGGCGTCTTCTCTCGAATCCTTGAGCTCACTCGCTTCGGCTCCTCCTTCTTGTCGCCTTCGTCTTCCTCGGCATCGCTGGTGAGATACTTTTTGCGATTCTCCATGTGCTTGGCTATCCTGTCTCTATAGGCAACCAGCTCCTTTCGCAGCTTTAGTTCGTTGAAGCCTCGAGGGTCCAGCCACTTGATGAGTTGGTCCAAGTCTTCTGGCTCCGAAATGTAGCCCCATTGCTTGGCGTTGAAAACACTGCTTCCGCCTTCTTCCATCGTCTTACGCTCTGGGACAGTCATGTTGAATTTGGTCTTGTACTCGTTTTGAAGCTCAGTCGGCAGGTCAATGTATCCTTCTCGCTCCAGGTCGTCGGGGCCCTGGATCCAGATGCACCCGTTGGCGTATGCCGCATGTGCCGTAGAACTGTCAGGCAATCCGGCATATGGCATGCCGTTCCGCTCAAACCAATAGTAGCGATTCCAAAACCTATCCTTTCCAAGAACACGGGTTCTTGGACAGTCCGCCTCCCGTAGATCGTTGTCGATGATGGCGACTTCTTCTTCGCATTTCTTAATGATATCCTCCTTCTTCTGTATGTCTTTCAGAAGCTTGATGTACTGTTTCGACTGTTGCGGCTTTGTCTTTTCCAACGCCTTTTCTTTTGCCTTTTTGATCTTTTCCTCTTCTTCATGCTTCTTCTTCTTATCCGTCAGGACGCGGCTTCGACGCTTCTTCCTGGCACTCTCATCTTGGCTGTCTTCGACCTCTTCGTCTCTGCTCACAATTGACTCGTCGGCGTCTGCCATCTTGACGTCTATCTCCTCCTTGACAGGAGTGCCGTTGGTCTCTTCTGCGGGTTCGTTTTCCGGCATCAGCAGCTTACGCTGTTCATTAAGTTGCCGGAGCTCTTCGGTTCTACGAAGCAGGGGAAACAAAGGTTAGTGAGGTGAACTGTAATGATAGGGGGGAGTAGCAAAAATGCCAACTTACGCCTGCTTCCGCTGTCGCTGCCACTCGATCTTGTCTTTGCGATATTTGGTCATGGTTTCGCTGCAGTCTTCCATGTAGCCTCTGACGGCCTTTGTCTCCATTGTCAGCATACAAATGATTTGCAGCGCCTTGACACGGTAGTTGATATCCAACTCGGCATACTGTTGCTGCACATTCTCTGGGGAGGGTATCATCTCCGCAGGCACCAACTGCTGCAGAAGCTCCTCGCATGCTTGTTGCAGGCGCTCATTTTTGGAGAGCTGATGTAAAAGGCCAACCAAGATCCTCTGCCAACCTCCTTTCTGAAAATTTCTCTGGCGTAGGTGCTCGATCCAGTCGAATTCTTTCAAGAGTTCTTCTGCACGATTCTTGGTTTCTAGCTCTGCGCGGAGAGTCTCTTCCTCAGCAGCTGCCGCTTCAGCTGCCAACCTCTCGGCCTCCATCTTTGCTAGGCTGCTGCGCGTAGCCCTCGCGACAGGGATATCCTCTAGCTCGACGCTCTCTTCTCCACTGTCTTCCCCATCGTCTTCCTCGTCGCCTTCATCGTCGTCGCTGCCATCCTCTTCCACCTCCGGCAGCGTGATGCGCACCTTGCCGCCGTCGGACTCAGAGTCGACAAGAATCTTTAGCACGGAGCAGTGGATCTCGTCGAAAAGCTGAACTTGAGTGCTATCCGAAGCAACCGACATGGCTTCGACAAAGTCGTCGAAAGTAAAGGAGTCGAGTTTGAAGATTTCGCAATAAACGTTGAGCGTGTCCCACGTCTCGAGGAGAGGCCCCACGGTGTCCATGTCGATTTGGCGGGAGATGGCGTCGTCAATTTCCATTTCGACAGGAGGATCCTTGCACATGAATTTGAGTTTCGGCCGTACAATGCCCTCCCTTGGCTCCAGCTGCAGGTCTTCGATGGGGTATTTTGGTGGTGGAGGCGGAGGCGGAGGTGTCGGTTCACGCGGTGCAGCAGCTCGTTCGTCGTTGAATCGCGGGTAACCAGCACCGTTGACGCCGTCGGCCGCCATATCTGTGGGCCATTTGAGGCCTTTGGTCCCTGCACTGTTGGGTGTCTGCTTTCCCTTGTGGCTTTTGGGGGCGGGTTTCAGTTCGGGTAGGCGTACCGGGCCAGTTTGCACCGCCGGGCCATGTCCATTCGCGTCGTGGATCGAGTTTCGCTCGCGCTTCTGCGCCAGAAGCTGCTTGCGCTCCTGAATCTTGGTGTCGTGGCGAAGGTGAGGGGGGATCCGGGTGTCGATGTGGTATTGGTTGGCGTAGTCGTTCTTGACAAGCCACGGAGCGCCGTTCCACGCTTCTCGAATGACTGTTCTTTTCAGAAAGGACCGAAGCATTGATTTGGTAAAGGCGCCGCGCTCACGGCTCAGATTGTCGTTAGTAACGAACTGCTCTTTTCCCGAGCTACCACCGATGACTACTAGATAGCGGCTTGTGGGAAGAGAACTTGAGCCATCTGGCAAGATTCTAGCACCAAAAGTCGTCTTCTCTCGCACGAGACAAGCTCGTCTCTCGTTGTGGAACTCGTCCAGGGTGACAAAGACGTCCTCTCCGGGGTAAAAATCGGCCTTGAATTCGTCGTAAACCATGTCGACGAGATTATCGAGACGAGAAATCGTTTGGAATTGGACTTTGCGGAGGATAGGGCCCTTGAGCGCTTCTGGGAAGGCAGCCTCGACCTCTTGGCCACCAGCACGCTGTGAATGATCAGGTAAGCCAGACATGTTCGATCGAGTGCCAGAATGACGGCAAACCAACCTCACTCGTGTAAGCTTCGAAAAATGTAAGGCCTGAGTGGCCGGTGATTTCATCATTGAAGCGGCGCTATGGAAAATTTCGTAGTTTAGTATATGGCTTCATTGCATGGCCGGCGTTGGTGGGGCTTCGGAGGCTTGTTACCTGCTTGTAAAAATCCATTCTGAAAGCCAAAGAACAAAGGTGTCAGCACGCGGCGCATAAAGGCAACAGTCAAAGAGCCGGGGGGAAAGAAAGAAAGAAAGAAACTCACCGATTCAAGTATTCCTCGTAAGAAGCAAATATTTCGCCAGTCTGAGGAATATGCCAGACCTAAATGAACCCCCAAGTCAGCCCTACACTCTTCATCCCGCGTCGGAAGCAACGCCATCGGTGAATCGGACAGGCTCGACTTACTTCGGCATCCTCATCTTCAATCTCTGCTGGAGGCAGAAACTGCACTGGTTTCCTCTTGAACAGCACCTGTGATAGCATATGAGCGAGCTGCGGCCAGGCTTCGGCGAGTTAAGCGGTGACAGCATACCATATTTGCGAACTATAATTGGTGGCGTGTAGGAAGGTGTAAGAGAAAAAGAGAAGCAAAGAGCAGAAGGCTAGTCGCAGGCAGAATTGAGGGGAGCAGAGAGGAGAGAAAGCAAATCGGAAGCTTGGCGCGTTATCTAATCGAAGGATTCGGCACCGTAGGCATCCGGGCCCAGCGCAAGACGAGGCGCGGATGCAGCGAAGGAGAATCGACGACGACGGCAGAATCCGATTTGCTGCGATGTACGGTTTCTGGTCGGTGGTTTGGCGGTTCGAGGATCCTGTGTTCTCAGGGCGTGGACAAGGCTGAGAGTACAAGAGAGAGAGGCAAAAAAAAAGAGGAAGAAGAAAAGTCGCGGTGCTCTAGAACCAGAAAGCTGGCCGACCAGATGCCGCACTTACACGAGGCTGTGCGGCCTGCAAGTCTCAAAGGTATCGCAAACGCGGTCCGGGCAGCTCGCAAAGACGCCCGGCGGGCATTTCCTGGATGCCGAGGCGGTGGTTGAAGCTGCGTGAAGACTCGACGAGACGCGACTGAGGGCGAGTGACGTGCAACGGAGGCGTGGAGGGAAAAAGAATTGCGCGGGAGAACGAGAGCTGCCACGGAACTAAAGTCACTTAGGGAAAATGCGTCCCGCCGTGGAGACGGTCAACAGCACCAGCGTTTAGCGGGCCATGTACCTGACGTTGTACTCAGCCGGTACCGCGGGCGTGCAGAGTACCTGGGCGGTACTTGTGTCGTCGGGGAATATGGCGACAAGCAGGGCTCGGCATTTGGCATTTGGCATTTGGGGGGGATGATGGGGTAGGAATGCCTATCTAAAAAGAGAGCATGTCAATTTATTTTCCGGATCGAGGTATTAATTTGAGTTCATCCTGACAGCACTATGTAGATGTGGGCAATGGATGCCAACACCTTGGTCAATGGATCCATGCCTTGAGAAGCCAACGAATATCGTATATCACCATACTAGATGCTTCAACTCACCTCAGCAAAACCCTCCAACTTTCCAACGAGACACAAAATAAAAACAAAATAAAATAAAACACAATTCATCTACATCCATCATCCATCATCAGCTCCCAAAAATTCCTCACCCTCACCTCCTCTCTCCTCCCGCTGACTCCCACCTGCATCTCCCCCAATTCTTTCCCCCCTACTCACCTGTCACCTCCCCATCCATCCTTGTACCCTCCCCGTACCGCCGCTCCTCGCGCAACCCCCCCGCGCCCAAATCCTTTGTTCCCTGCCACCCAAGACACTCGCACCCCCGTCTCTCACTCACGTCTGCCGTCTTTTTCCTTCCCTCCCCTACTCCAAAACCACCCCCGGCCATCCGCCCCCCCTCCTAAAAGGATTAGGGAAACGAAAACTCACTGCAGCCCAGCCCAAAAAAAATCCCCAGCACCCCCGAGAAAAAAACGAATACCCATCCATCGACCCTCCACTCATCCGCGCCCGCAACCATCCTGCACGCCATATGGTCACACGCTTTTTCGGGCTCGTTTTGTTCCCTGCGCGTCGCCGATTCCAGCGTGCGCTGAATGGTGCTCATCCGCCCATTTTTCAGCAACTTATGCCCCGGTATGTGCCCGGCGCGGATCGGCGGCGGTAGGTAGGTCCTGTTCGGCGACGGCGGGAGACTTGCTCGGGGGGCCGCTCTTCTTTCTAAGGGGGGAAACGAGCAATGGTCACGAGGAATCAACACGATGGATGCAAACAATGCACGCAACTCAATTCTCAAGATGGAGTGTCAATCGTGCCGCTAGTCTCAGCACATCGCCTACAGGCTTCAAATTATACCAGCTGTCAATGCCTCTGGTCGATGCCGTCTTTGCAACGTTCGTGTCCCTGATTTCCAGATTCGGCAACTGTCCGCACTAGCCCTGACGTCATTCCGCCTGCGGCTATTCGCATCCCCCGTGAAAAAAGACACAGGAGTCGATCCTGCTGCCAATTGATGCCGTTTCCCTCATGGAATTGCCCTCGTTGAAGCTGCTCTGCTCAATGCCGGCAGCGTGTCTTTGTCGCTTTCCCTGTCGATGCCACCCCCGGTCTCAACCCTGGTTCCACTCGCTCAGCACAAAACGGGAATCGTCAGCCTCGCCTCACGTGGAGCGCCCCACTACCCGACCCTACATGATGACTAATCTCTCCGCAATGCCGCACTTCAAGCGACGCGGCATCCTGGCATGTTCGGGGCTCTGGCAACAGGCAAACAAGACAGCCAAGATTGCTTTTAACGGTTCTATCTTCTCTACTAGGGTATCACTGTAGCCCACGACTTTTTATCTTCTCACACCGCCAGCTCTAGCATGTATAGTACACAACCATGTATCCCACCCAGCTGCCAACCACGCCTATCGCTGTGTAGGAGCTTGTAAACATCAAGGGGAGAAACTCCAGCCGATTTCCAAATATTATTTGGTGGAAGAGGGACGCATATGCAATGAGGGGAATGCTCACTGCGATGTACAGCGTGCTAAATCGATCCAAAAGGAAGACCCGCGGCTTGTTGGACGCCGGCGCCATGCGGTCCAGCGACATCAGGAACAGGACCAGCCAGAAGACGGTGTAGATTGTCTTGATGGGGAACTCGGCGGGTGTGAAGATCAATGGGAATAGTGACACGTGACCAGCGACAATGAGTGGGCGGAACGCGCTGAGGTGTCTCCGGTCCCTCAGAGCAATCAAACTAAAGGGGATAATGACCAGCAGAATGGCCTTCTCATGCACGTGCCATCCAAAAAGGAACGAAGCATATCCACACAGCGTCACTGCTCCAATAAAGTTTTCCCACGTAGGTCGTTTAAAGAGCTTGATCAGGGGAAGGACCTGGAAAAACAGAGTCAAGGCGAAGCAGATTCGAGGGGTAATCTCGGGCAGGACCGCAAAGGCCGTGTCGCCGACCAAGCCACGAGTAACGCTGTTCAAAGCCTCAGTCTTGAGAGGGAGTCCCAGCTTTGGCGCAACTACAACGAGTTAGTTCTCGTTTCTTCAAAAATTCCATTTAAACTTAAATGTACTCACAATGAATCAAGACGCGATCGGCCAATGAGTAGAGTGCCCAGACATTTGGCGCCCAATAGGCATGGCAGAGTCCGCGCGAAAAGGGAAACAGCCGGCTCAGAAGCTGGGGGATCTGCTCCATCAGCGCAAAGGGTCCAAAGGCAGCACCAAATATTCCCGCCAACCCGAGGCCGAGCTTGACACAGTTGAGAAACTTGATTTGGAAAATCGATCTCGCCGACAGGCAGTACGCCCTCAGGAGGAAGACAAAGTAGGCCGGTGCCAGATATAGGTAGATGTGCTTGAAGCAGAGAAGAGCCCCGAAGATGAGGCCGCTCTGCAGCAGCGTCGATTTGCACCGCGCCAGCACTAGCGACGCGACAAGAATGCCGTACATGAAGCCATTGTACTGGAAGTGGATGTGGTCGATAATGAGCAGCCCGGGCGACAAGACGACGGACAGCGCGGCCACCTGAGCAGCCCTCTTGGACTGCAGAGGCGACGAGTCGATGAACATCTGCAGGGCGTAGACCAAGAGCAGCTCAGTGATAATGACGGAGAACCTCTGGAAGTACACCGTCTCCCAGCTGTCATATCCAAGATTGTATACCCGCACCATGGCCGGATCTACCAGGCGAGCGACGTGAGCGAGCAGCCACTCAAAGTAGGCGAAGAATGGCGGGTAGTCGAGGGTCCATTCCGACGTCTTCTCGTAGTACCATTCGGACAGAGGGAGGCTGTTTGTGATGGCCAGCCAGTTGCGGTGGACCTCGAAGTCGGTCGATTTGCTGCAAGCCCAGCGTCAGCAATCGCGTCGTCTTGATTCTTCAGCAACAGGCATGCATGTGACAGCAATCAAAGTACAGCACAGCAAAGCAAAACAAAGCAAAGCACAGCAAAAAGCTACTTACTAGGCCGGGAACAGGAGCACCTTGAATGCGGCGGCCACCAGCGCGCATTGCGTCAGCGTAGGAAACGACTCTGCCATTGTGTCTACAGGCGGAATTGCTACCGCATCGCGAGGCTGCTGCAGGGAGTTGGGAAGCAAGCCAGGTCCTGCGATGGTGGTGATTGGCGCTATAGAGAACAAATTGCCTTGTCTGAGATTAAGGTACGTACTCGTACAGCAGCAGCCACAAGCGCTACCCCATAGATTGACATGTCCTCTATTTTTTGCTTCCCGGTTTGGCCTAGCGCACAGCTGCAGAAGTCGTCCCCCGCCACATTTAGCCACAGCTGGGATGCGGTGTAAGTGGCCATGAAACGATGCAGGTTGGAGAAAGTGACAGTTGAAGCCAGATAATGCTCTCTTCATGTATTTTGGATACGTTCCGTCTTCAGTCGCTTCTCCTTTGCGTTTAGGGCGCCGCTTGGATTTCCTGCTCTTTTTGCGCATTTTCGTCTTTGTTTGTGCGTCTTTGTTTTAATCATTTATCATTCCATCTAACCAGGCTTGGCGGCGCTGTTTTGCCAAAAGGCACTTGCTCCAGAGTCGAGGCTCTTGCGCCTCTAGTGCAAAGTGTCCTCTGGCTATTCTCCCAGCCCTCTCGACAACTCGGCTGCAACTCTTTTTGTTCTTGCATATTCCGCTCACGGTGCCTGGCTTTGGACTTGAAGCCGGGATTTTTGCATTGATAACCTGGACTGAAGCAGCTTCCCGTCAGTCACGATGCGATTCTCCCTGTCGCTGGCGGCCCTTTTGAGCGCCGGTGTCGCTCAAGCTCAATTCCTCATCAGCGAGCTCAGTTTTGGATATTCAGGGCGGTAGGTTTTTTTGCTGGGCCAATTGCTTTGAGACAATGGCAGCTAATGCGTCTCCGTGCCGTCCAGGATAAGCTCGGCCGATAAACCAGGCTTTATTCCCAACTATGTCGTCTCTGGCCAGCCCGGCGTCCCAGAGATCCTCTCGAGCAAGGTCATCCTGACACCCGTTGCGCCAGGCAATGCGCGCGGCGCTATATGGAGCGAGAACCCTCTGGTCCATTCCAACTGGATTGTCGACGTCGACTTCCGTGCCAGCGGCCCCGACAGAGCGGGCGGCAACCTCAACATCTGGCTGGCCCGCGATGGCAAGAACCTGGGCACCCGCAGCGTCTACAATGCTGGCCGGTTCGACGGCCTGGTGCTGGTCATTGACTCGCACGGCGGGCAGGGCGGCATGCTGCGCGGCTTCCTCAACGACGGATCGACCGACTACTCGCAGCACCACAATGTCGACAAGCTGGCCTTTGGCCACTGCCAGTACAGCTACCGCAACCTGGGCCGGCCGTCGCAGATCAAGATGCGCCAGACGGCTGAGAGCTTCCGGGTTCAGATTGACGGCAAGACGTGCTTTGAGACCAACAGAATCAGCCTGCCGAGGGGCTACCATGTTGGTATCACTGCTTCTACGCCAGACAGCCCCGATTCCTTTGAAGTCTTCAAGATGGTTGTCATGTCGGACCAGTCCAGCCACGACGTCAAGGCCAGCGACAATATGAACAATAACAACGACAACAATAACAACAACAACAACAACGGTAATAGCAATAACAACAAAGACAACAACGGCGGCAACACCAAGTTCACCTACACCCGCCAGCAGCAAGTCCCCACCGGCAGCCAAGACTTCGAAGAGGTCGCCGACCAAGACGCCGAGACCTTCCAGACCTCCAAGGCGCAGTTCCAGGACCTGCACAACCGCCTCCAGGGCACCAATCACCAGCTCGCCTCCGTCTACCGCTCCGTCTCGCGCCACCACCAGATGGACGAGCAGCGCCACAGCGAGGTCCAGGAGCTCTTCACCGCCGTCAACGCCAAGCTCTCCCTGCTCGACCAGCTGGCCTCCTTCCAGCAGCGCATCGTCGCGCTCGAGAACGAGGTGCGCAACATGAACTCGGAGCTGCACGAGAAGCTGCAGGCGAATGAGAGGGCCGTGCATGGCGCGCTGCGGACGCACCACATGTCGCTTACGGCCAGGGTCACGGAGAACATCCCCGGGCATGGAAAGCTGATCGCCGTGATCATCGGGACGCAGGTTGTTTTGGTGGTCGCGTATGTACTGTACAAGCGACGAAGAGCGAACTCGCCCAAGAAGTATCTGTGAAAGGGTGCTTTAAAGGCGAAGTGGTGGTGAGAGGGAGAAACCAACGATTTGAAAGATGAGATATGATGTGAGGAGCAAAGTTGAACGGCCTATTATGATTTTGGAAGGAGGGGGGCGGCTCTTTGTATAAACAAAAGACGAATTTCTTTTTTTCACATTTTGTAAGTATCACGGTTATACATACCTATATAGCATGCATGAATTGGATGAAAAATATCAAACGAGGCAAACATTTCATTTGACGTCGTAAATGCCCGCTATAGAACTCGTCTCGCATCATTCCAACTAAGTCATCCAACGAGAGAGAAAGAAAAGAAACATTATATGCTGTACTATGCCTGATATCCAAAATTCTTCCCATACACAATCTTATATAACCTCATTAAGAAGAAAAAATGAGAGAGAGAAAAGGCCGTTCACTGGCGGTCTTTCTTAGCGTTAATAATGTCAACCATTTCCTGGCCCTTGGGAGCCGTCGTCAAGTTCTCGTATCCATCCTCGGTAACAAGAATATCGTCCTCGATGCGCACGCCTCCCACGCTATAGTATCCTTCAAGGACTTCCTTGTTGATGAACTTGGCGTGCGATGGGTTGTTGAGGAAGTAGCCCTCGATATACTCACGGCAGAAATAACTATTACAAGATACCCATTAGTATACACATCATAGTCGGTTAGCAAAGGGGATATGCTGAACAAGAAAACTTACATGCCCGGCTCGACAGTTACAATCATGTTAGGCTCAAGCACCTGCCTCTCCCTCAGAGCCTTAGCGCGCGCAGTCGCCGTCTCACCTTCGCCAAGGCGCATCGCATTGCTCATCTTGGTCAGCGCTTCCGCGGTAATCATCTCGCGCTTCCCGCCGTCCAGGCCCAGGTTCAGGAGCGCCATCAGCGGAAGACTGCCAGGAACGTCGTGAACTTCCAGGCCGACGTGGTGGCCGAGCCCGTGAGGGAAGAATGCGCTGATGGTGCCGGCCCGGGAAACCTCGGCGATGTCGCCCTTGAGGATGCCCAGCTTGAGCAGGCCGACAGTGCCGACAGCGGCGGCGTGGAGGTGCAGCTGGTAGAACTGGACGCCGGGCTTGATGGCGCGGATACACTCCTCCTGCATCGTCTGGACGAGGTTGTAGATCGCCGCACCCTTGGTAGAGAAGCGACCGTTGATGGGCAGCGTGCGGGTAACGTCACTAGCATAGCATTGCCACTCGCATCCCGCATCCACTACGACAAGCTCCTTGCCATGCAAGGGCTGGTCGTTGTCCTCGTAGTGCAGCGTTGAAGCATTGACACCGGAGCCCGCGATGATGGGGTACGCCTGCGATCGGGCACCGCGCGCATTGCACACGGCCTGGAAGACGGCCTCGATCTCGCGCTCGTTGCCAAGGCGGAGGAGCATCTCTGCCACCTTGCGATGCGCCGCGCTAGAGACATCGTTGGCGCGACGAATCATGGCGATCTCGTACTCGTCCTTGATGCAGCGAGCACGGTCCATGGCGGGCTGCAGCATCCAGTGGTTGATCTTGGCCCTCGTCTCCCTGGCTCCGGCAGGCGCCTGGTCCTCGTGCAGCACGTACAGCATGGTTGAGGAGACGAGGCGCGACTCGAAGAACTTGGGCAGCTGGCTCGAGTACCGCACCTCGTCGACGTCGTACAGCTGCTTGGCCTTTGCGGTGTCGGGCGTTGAGCCAAACCAGAGCACCTGGCGCGGCTCGACATAGGGGATCCAGAGGATGAGGATATCCGTGCGGATCTCATAGGTGACGTAGCAGTCGTGGAAGTTGGCGCCCGTCAGGTAGAAGAAGCTGTGTCGGTTGGTCTTGTCAGTCAATGGATCGGAGAATAGATGGAGCCAACCTTACTATCGGCGCTGTCTCAGTGGTGGCGGTTGGTCCGAGTCCTCGTAGTTCTGCGACGCCTTGCCAGGCAGATAGATGAGGCCATCCGACACGCCGAGCTTCTGGGCAACCTTGCGCGCATGCTCCTTGGCTAAAAGAGACACAGAGTCAGTCGAGCATCAAGAGAGAATAGTCGCATTCATAGGTAATCACTCACCCGGGTACTTTCGCGTCTTCCAAACCTCCCAGTCCTCCCTCTTGGCTATCGCCCTATTCGATTTACCGCCTGTAAGCACCCATCCTGCTGCCAACCAACAAACGGGGGTGGCGCACTTACACTGCGTCAAACTCGTCATCAAGGATAAAGCTGAAGTCGACGTCCTCCATGGCGCTGGTCTCTAATACTACGCTCTAACAGAAAATCACAAAACCCGATGGCTTTCCCTGCTCTGCTCTACCGCCTGATGATGATGATTGATGGAAGGGCGCTTCATCCAGCCGCAGCACGTGAGCGACGGTCCAGGTACCTGCAATAGTGCCTGACTGAGCCAAAAGTCCCCTGGCGCCTTATCTAATCTGCAATCTCCAATCTTCTACCCCAGGAAACAGAGGCCAGGCCGGATAATAGCGCCACCACCAGCGTGGTCTAGCGCCGTTTCTCTCCTTAACCTGCATCGCTTGATCGTGATCTCAGGGGTCGGACTCAGACTCTGTTACTCAGACGCTTCGAGACTAGATTAAGCAAAACGAAGAAAAAAAAGAGCTGAATAATTACTAAGGCGAAAAGAGACAGAATACCGTCTCAGACCCATTCCATTGCTCTCCCGCGATGGAGTACATGCACAAGTTCCTACTGTACTTGCCCCGTCCCTACATCCTCCTATCAGCTGCTCCAGAGATCATTCAGGTACAGGTACCTGTAGAATATGTCCAAGCTCCGTCCTACCCGCTACATCCACTTGCCGCAATAGGACATCCCTGGTCCTCATCCGTTCGTTGATAAGCACGAAGCCGTCTCTGAGCGCAACACAACGCGACGGAAAACTCCCCATTTGTAATCCCTGGATGCAGATCTTGTCGTGAATCTCACCTCTGGCCAAGAAAAAATACCACAGCAAGTCATCTTTTCGGTATAAAGACATTACTACTAATATATAATAACAATCTATTATGGATGCCCAGTACTTACTCAACCATAACTTTACCGTCAACAGCTTCAACACCAAGTAACACCAAAACGCCCATGTCACCAGCTATCTTCGTACTCCCCCCGCACTCGTAACAACCCCCAATAATCAGATCAAATCAATCAATCAATCAACCCCCCATCACTCCAAAATATCCCACAATACTCCCTCACCCACCATCACACCAACGCCTCCCAACTAGCCACCTCAATACAAATACACCACCCCTCCAGAACCAAAACAAGAGGACCCCATCAGCATGCATAATCAGGCCAAACAAGAAAAAAAACGCGAAGCCCCGAGAAACCCAGCGCAAGAGGGCCACCACATACCGATCGAAAAATTATAGACTAATCTGCCCCCCCAAAAAGGCCACCGACCAAAAAGACACTCAGAAAGAGAGAGAGAAAAGACCCTCATTCTGTCGCACTGTGTTCGGTGCCGAACCGGCCATGGGCCCTTTGTGAAAATATCGGCCATTCTGTCGGCCGCTCGCCGGCCTTGAATTGCCTTTCTGCGTTAAGCGCATACGTAATCACCCCAAGAGGACACTCCGTTGCACGAAGCGAAGGCGTCGCAAACACGAGGTGAAAAACAAGTTTGCGACTAATCAGCCTCCTTCTTTTTATAGGGAATGAGAGCGAGGCGTTTCTATGGGTACTTTAGATAGTTTATTTCGCTGTATGTACCTAATATGATTGGTGCTTGGCGCCTTTGGCTTCGACATTTGATCATGTACATGGTTGATCAAAGTCCCTTTATCTACACACTGTGATATGCTCATATAGTTGTTTTTCCTTCCGGTGTGCCTGCCGCCAACGGGGAGTTGACAAAAAAGATGGAAACAGATGAAAAGAACAAAAATGACCCAAGTATCTAAACACCAGCCGCAAATGGTTCGAAGGATGAGAGTTGGTTGACGGTAGTTGAAACAACATGCAATCGCGCTGTGACCTTTCTTCCCGTACACAATATCCAAGGAATGGGTGGTGAAACAAAAGAAACAAGAAGAAAGCAAAAAGACGCCCTTCACTCCCCCCCGTAGACCGCAAGGCTTTCCCGTTCTCATATCGTCAAAAAAATGGGTATCATGTGGCAGTCGTTCACATTCCCTGAAATCCGCCCCTGCCAGAACCAAAGAAACTCCCCCAGTCCGGCTGCATGCCGTGATCCGTAAACATTTGCTCAATCTGCCGCTCCTGGTGCCTTTCGCCCCGTATTGCCCGTCGAAGAGACAACCCGCCGGGCCGTCGCTGAGGCGCTGGCTGTGGCGGCTGCGGTTGCGGTTGCTGGTGTATCCCCATCATGGCGTTGGGGTCATACATGTTCGCCGACATGTTCATCGCCATCGGATTCTGCTGCGGCGGCGGCGGTTGCTGTTGCGGCATCATGTATGGCGGGGGCTGCCCCATAAACTGATCTCCCATCTCATCCAGAGAAGCGGGGAAGAAGAATCCCGAATCCTGAGGTTGATGGGGCATCGACACAGCTGGCACATCGGTTTTCCCTGGGAACCCCAATTCCATCATCGGCTGATTGGGGTAAGCGAATGGATCGTCCGAGGGAAACATTAATGAGTCGAGCTTATGGACAGGGTTGTTGTGGCCCATATGCCCACTGAGAGGATGTTGCTGGTATGGGTGTCGATGTGTGCTCTCGGCAGTGCTCGTAGAGTCGGGCGTTGCTCGTGATGACAAGTCCATCGGCATCATGTCGTTCAGGCTGCTAGTGAAGGAGGGCTCGGGATATCCATGATCTAATGATTGCGCCAGACTGCTGTCAATGGAGCCCCTAGAGTGTGAGGTGCCATATAATGACATGCCGCCGCTCCTGTCCCGCATCATTTCCCCTGGTCTGTGGAGTGACATGCCCACGGGGATGCCAGGGTTGCTTGGTACTTTGACTACAGGTGCCGTCCTCTTCTTCGTTGTGGCCGATGGTCGAGCCTGAGGTGGATCAAACCGTTCTGGTAGTTGATCAAATAGAACCTTCAACGAATATGTCAGCGAGAAAGGTACAAGAAAAAAAAGGGGGCACTGGGTTTCGTCTTTACCTTGAGAGTATTAGTGACCCTCTCAGCAGAGAGGCTCTTCTCAGCCAGATCCGCAATCATCTGTCTGCCGGCGCGCGCATCAGCCAGTACCTCTGCTGATCCAGGCTTCTCAGGGTTCTCAATGGCGTAAAACACCAATGAGAGTACGGAGAAGAACTCAGTGTAGAGCATAAACCAGTACGGCCCGCTAAGGACGCGCTGCTTCCGGATCTCAAGGCCAATGTGGACAATGTTGCGGGACACGCTGATGGCGGCCGCCGCGCAGGCATACGACAGCTCATCAATCCTGTTATTTTGGCTGAGTCGAGGAGAGACGTAATGCAGAAAAGGCCGGTACAAGACAAGTTGCACATGCGCGTAGGCAAAACGCAACAAATGTCGCACGCTATCACAGGGTTGTCAGCCGGCTTCTAGAGACTTGTCAAAAAGCAACTTACCGAACTACTTCAATGGGGCCGTCAGGGCTCGGCCGCCATGCCTCTGGAAGTCTCTCGAACCAGTTGTGCAGGTCCGTCTCAATCTCCTTGATCTTGCTGTAGCTGATGAGATATGTAGATGAAGGCTTGTCCCCCCTAAGGACCGTTTGCCCAACACCCTTTGTCGGATAAATGTACTTTGTGATTTTGCCCAGAATATCCATCAGCCGGGTGTGGGCGTTGAATGCTTGGAAGAATGAGGCTGTTCCCGGTCCCGGTTGAATGATGCCTTCAGGCCTGATGAACTCATCGTCAACCTCAATGGGATACTGCTGATCGACATCGTCGCTGTTTAGAAGCAGGGGGAATCCGAGCATGGTAGACACGTAAATGTCCATTTGCCGTATCACATAGAAAACCCGCCGCCGAACTTGCTGCTCGATATTCCCTATTCGTTCGTGCTGCAAGTGGCGATGAAGACCCATTCGCAAGGCTGATCGAAGAGCAATCCCTACAAATGAGTAGCACGTGTTGAGATTGGCGGTGGACTGAAGGAAAAGGATTATGAAGACAAGTGTCTGGATGGACACAAGACTCCGACACTCGGTAACATCACGCAGCAGAGATCTCGCTATCTTGTAGTATTTGACTCTGCAGAGGTTGAGTTAGCTGGTGTTAATTGAACACTGTCTTATGACGAAGCCCAACTTACCCTTCATCAATGGCAAATCGATAAGTCATGCCATTGGCACTCGAGTCATCTAAATTGCTATACATGCAGCCCAACGCTAAGACGGCATAAAAAAGGGCGAGAAACTGGGTATCATCCTGGCTCATCGGTTCGTGCTGTCGTTCATAGATGTAGTCAAACTTTTCGTAAAAACTAGGGACGTGAACGATGCGGACAAGGCATGTAGCACAGCTCAGAGAATAGTAACAGAGCTTCCGGGCAACGTCCTTGGGAGGCAGCTCAGGGTAGTTGGAGATTGTAGAGAAGGGCGAGCCGATGGGCGGCGTGTCGAGGTTTAAGAGGCCCGCCGTTCGATCAGCTGGACGTGGTAGAAACGGGCCTCTGCCGACAGGGCCCAGCATACCGCGGAAGTTCTCCTTCATGCGCCGCAAGAACACGGCGCCGGAGGAGATGCCGTAGAAATCCCAACCGCCCTTGTCGTCAAGATCCAGCTGGCCGATGGAGTCGATCATGGAGGTGAGCTGGGTGTCATTTGGGTCAGGCTCAGGAGGGTGGTTGGATCGCAGCTTGGCGACCTCTGCACGCGCTCGTTCTCGGTTGTGGAACTCTTGCTGGATGGCAGGGTCAAGATTTGGATCGGCCAAGTCGATATCGGGGACGAATTTTCGCAGCAGCGCCTCGGCGCGCTGAAGGCGACTCTCCAAGGCCTCGATATACTGTGGCGCAGGGTTCCTCCTCCTGTTTGATGGTTTATCATATGTGCATTCTGCGTATGATTAAGGTCAGCAATAGTGTCCACGGCAATGAGATGAGATCGATCCAAGCGGGATACAGAGGTGGAGCGACGGATCTTTAGACATTGTAAAGCCGCAACGACAGCAATGTTGATCCAAGGCCAGTCGTCGCCATAACACAATACTCACCATAACTGTAGACGGAGCAGTGCGTGCAAGGCTGTTTGCCATCGCACTTGATCTTCTTGCGGCGGCACTCGTCGCAGGCGCGGGTAACTCGTCTTCGCTTTTGGATGGGTTGCGACGGTGCCGATTCGGCATCGCCCGCCTTGTCATCGTCTTCAACGTCCGACTTGACGCTCTCGGCCGGCGACGCAGCATCATGGATGGACCAGTCGCCGGCCGGCTGCGACCCGACGGTGATGGCCTCGTCGTCGGACATTTTTTTGGTTTTTTATGGCGGTTTGGCAGGGGCCGATTCGCAGGGCTATTAGTCGCAGAGCTGATTCGCAGGGCCGACCCGTATGTGATTGAGGGTGTACTGTAGCAGCGTGACAGGTTAGAACAGATGCAGCGCAACCTCAAGATTTGCCCGTCTTGGCCCCGGTCCAAGGCTCATTCACATACTCGGGCTGGGATCTGGGCGGGGCTGGAGGCTCTGGCTCGATGCTTCGTGTGAGAGGGAGCGAGGCTTTTGGATTTGGAGAGACAGGACAGGACCCCGGGGATGCAAAGTCGGTGGCAGCGTACGTGCCAATTGCCCCGGCGTCTGCCAATCTAGGCCATCAGATGGACAGCGCAGTCCCTCCCAGGTCCAGAGCGAGATGGTGAGGATTTGGCGGGAGCGTCGTCGAGAGTATGGCGCGAGGACGAGGGAAGAAATAAAGAATGGAAGGGAGAGGCCGTCCAGGCGCTGCAAGTCCAGTCCAGCGAGCGGGAGTCAGCCAAAGCCTGTGCTGGGGACGGAGTGCCAATCCGCACTGTGGCCAGAGGCCGGTACAAGTACTGCCGACGCAAGTACAGCAAGCGAGAGGGCGCCGTGGCTGGTTGGGATGCTGGACTGAGGCCTGTAGGAGTCGCCTCTGGCACTGTTCTACAGTGGCTGGCCCGCTGAAGAACACTGGGGCTGCAGCTCGCGGTGGAGCGGTCGTGCGGCTAGCATTACGCAGCCCGTCCATCCCACCGACAGCCGCTTTGGCCCGCGTTGGCGTTGGTTCAGGCTGTGCGCGAGATGCAGTCTGCACCGTGGAAAAATGGGATGGGAAGCCATCCTTGGAGCAACACCACAACTCCATTGACGCGTGTGGGGATGCAAAAGGCCAGGGGGCTGTTGTGTGCTGTGCTGTGCTGTGCTGTATCCGGAGCTGGGTCCGGAGCACGAGGCCGTGTTTATCTACATGTACAGAGAGAGAGGGAGAGGGGGAGAGGAAGATACAGGTGCTGCTGAGGAGTAATTGATCCATGGATACTCCAAGTATCTACAAGAGGGGATAACACGGCGCTTCGTGAGGCACAGAACGATGCAGTGTTCCGCAGCATTGTCGCCAAAGGTTCCCTGCTTGAGATCAATTCGTTGTGACCCATTCGATACGTAGTTGAGCATGGATTCGATATTCGCCAGAGACATTGATCTCTCCTGCGAATTCGCCAAATGTCTTGCCGGATTGTCTCACTCGGCCACCGTCAGCTACTACTAGCAGGGAACGGTTCAGTGGAAAGCAAGGAAGCGAAAAGCATGGAATGGAAGACGCATCCAAAATACGAAATGCAAAGGTACAAAGACCTCCGCTGTCCTATCAATACATTGAGCTGCAATGTACATGTACTCGACACCCCTTCAGATTTCTGGAGGGTGTTTTGGGTGCATGTACCCTCAGGTGCCGGTACAAGCACAAGCGCGCTGCAGCATTCTGCAGAGTGCCGGTTTGCCCGCGACCTTCCGTCTTGTCTAGCAGATCCACCGGCGACGGGATTCTGCAGGCGTACCAGTACGGAGCGCATACAAAACGCCCAGGAGTGCCAGATTCATGCGTCCAGCGCGAGCGCCAGCATCGTTGTGCCGTCAGACCGCACGAATCAGACATCAATCCAGGCTTTGGCTGCCCTAGTGCGTGTACAGCGCTGCTAACATGATACGGTAGTAGATGGCATCAACTGATCTTAAGGCACTGGGTACATAGTACACCAACGACAACCTACGGAGTAATACATAGTACACAGGCCAGATATCACGGAGAATGGCCGGCGAGGCTTCAGTGGAGGATGCCCCGTTCGGCGACGTGGAAGGAAAAAAAAAAACACAATTCACCCATCAATTGATCCATCCACGGAACCAGGTTGAGCTCTTGATGGCGTCGGGGGCTAAAAACACAACTGAGCTGGTCCACATGGCGCAGGACACTCCACCGACGACTAGATGCGGCGCCAGAATTACTGCCGCGTGATAAATTGCAAGCCAGGGCATTTGCATTTCCGCAATACCCAGGAATGAGCCCGAATTGCGCCCTCAGAAATCCGGTCTTGGGGGGGCAAATGGCAGCTGGAATCTCAGGCTGTGTTTGACTAGCAAATACGGACCTCCACTGCCACATGGCATCCCAGCGCCTCAACTGCCACTCGGCATGTGGACTGATGGTCCCGAAATGAAGCTGGAAGGCTTGGCTGAAAAGCTTGGCTGGCAGGGCAAGACAGGTTGGGGGGGTGGGATGGCAGTAGAAGGCGGCTTGGAAGCATGGAAAGGTTGGTTGGCTGCTACAGAAGATGGCGATGGCAGTACCGGTGAGTCGGCTTAGCTGGGAGGCCAAGCTTTTGAATTCCGGAACTCTGTTCGGTAGTGCTGCAGGCAGGCCGAATCGATCAAGAATGGGTTATCTGTCGAATATTAGACTACAGCCAGCCAAGGCAGAGAGCAGAGAGACAAGCATTGGACAAGATGGCTGTCTCAGCGCTCCAGAGATGAAGCGACAAAGCGCCTCCCGCAGCTGTCCATCCAGCCCATTGGTGTCTCTGGCGGTTTTGACTTTTGGACACGCATCGCAGCTCAATGCTTAGTTGCTGGGGGCATCATCGTGGTGGTCATCAACCCGCCGCCAGGTCCGTGTAGTTTATCTTCAGAATCGGGGCGGCCGAGCACCCAGTGCGCGGGAGATGCTGGTCGGCGATAACATTGGCAGCTCAGTACAGTAGATTAACCCAGATTAACCCAAGTAGTATCGTGGATTGGAGACGATTAGCCTGCCTGGGGGTTTTCTACCTACTGTACTGGGCAGGTAAGAATGGGACTCTAGCCGACATTAATCTATCTGATCACTCCACATCCATCAATCCTCCTCAACCTTGAGTTACCTTATTTTGGCTGTCCACGCAATCAACAGATGCTACAGTACAATAACCAACGTAACACCGCTGTCCTTCCAAGTCTGTGAAATGGTGGAATCAGCTCGTCCCCCAGCGCTCCCATGCCCGCCTTATTCCCGCCGCCCCAAAAGCCGTTCTGCAGCTTTGGGTTAATTACGGGGACGGGAAATGGGAAATGATACGACTTGCGGCTGTTGCGGGCACACGGAGTACAAGCGCCGCGGGTACATGTACTCGCTACCCGCTACCCGCAGCAACCACGAAAAAGCCCAGGTCCAGGTCTAGTCTGGTTCTTTTCTATTTGGCTGCCTGCTCTGTGCTTGGGCTTGGGCTTGTTGTATCTGCAGTGAGCAGTAAATTAACTCACACATCCAGTGCAAAAAGTAGGTGTGCCATCCCTCTGGAGCCGTGTTTCGGTGAGTCCAGGCCCTGGGGTTCCGCGTTTTAGACTTTGCGAATCCTGCAAAACCTAACCTTGGCGGCATGCTTCTTTCATGACATCGCCGCCCACCAGAACCGACAAATTTAGAGGTCAGCCCGGCAGAGATTGGCGGGGACGACCTCGAGATAACCTTGATTTAAAGTCGAGCAGCCTATTGCTGCGCATGGTTCGAGGTACACGTATTCCGACGTGGCGGTCGTTGCTGGCACTGTATATGCAGCATACCTAGTATGTACGAGTAGTATGTAGGCAAATGAGTCGTCCCATGTTCCTTGTGCAACATGCGCCATACAGTAGCGACATTCGGCAGCGCAAAGTCGCCAATCCTGGCCCTGGTCACGAGTCACCACGATGCAGCTTCATTTCTCGCCTCTTCGCTTCTTTTCCTGGCTTTTCCCTGGATTTTTTTCCTCGGTTTTTCTTTGATTTTTCTTCTTCATATTTTTGGAAGCCCCTTCGGCTGCTTCGGTGCTCTGACAGCTTGTCCTGGTCCAGCGTTTCCACGCCACGGCGGCATTACATCACCTTGCCTATGCCAAGCTTTTGCGCCGTAGAAACGAGATTGCCGATAGAGCCAGGATAACCCACAAGGCTGGAATCGGGAGACAGCTGGAAATATCTTAGTGCCCAAGGTACCGAGTACAGTGTAGGGGAGGCTGAGGCCAATGTAGGCCACATCCATCATATGGAATGTCACAAAAATGCTGTGATGCGCCAAATGAGAAGACGCTATTATTTGACGTCCAGTGTTTTTTGGGTATTTTTAAACAGCCCTGATTTGACCGTCATTATGCTTACTCCGGGGCGTTGATCTGGGTTTTGGAGAGCTGAAGCCTTCTGAATCGTATCTACCGAATTAACCGAGCACTCGCTCAGCAGCACATACTAAAGTAATACTAACGAGTAGACGATAAACGTGATAAACAATCTCCATCTCATTGATGGATTTATTCCTTGGTTGTACAGTATTACACCCATCCAGCACTAACGACTATGCCAACAGATTGTTAGTGCCAGAATCCTCGTGCCACCACATGCTTCGAGTGCTTTGTCGCAGCATTTTGTTATCTTAGTGGGCGCCAGTCATCATCATTGACGATGCTACTACCAGGTGCTAGGGGACAGCGCGGCATGACGATCCGAATCCATCCGGCGATCCTGGTCCGCGACATTCGTTGGGAATGAAAATCCGGCACTGTATTCCAGAGGTAAGCTTTTCGGTCAAGCTTGTTACCGTTCGTGACCGGGCCTGGGCTTCAACTCCGAGACTTCTCCGTGGCAAGATGACGACAGGCTTCGGCTCACCTCCGAAATGCACCACGCCCGCGATTTTAGTGGACATATGATCTGCATTTGCTGGCAGATTGCCTGCCAACCTGTCAATGAGCCGGTTGTCGATGCCCGCGTCGAAACACCGCTACGAGAACCGTCTCTGTCCTACATAGTAGTCTACTCCGTGCACTGCCTGCTAATAATCACTCATGCATGGGCCGTTGCGTTGCGACTCTGACTCGGAGCCGCCGCTCTGTCTCCCCGCATCATGGATTACTCGTACATTGCCTCGAACAACGCACGATTCGTCACCTGCCATGCTGCACATAACCCCTTAGTTGAGCTGAGTGGCCTGTGCCTGTCTAACCCCCTTGCGCCGGCTGGTCTATCGAGGTCTAAGCCACAGAGCATATCGGAAAACGGCAAACTAGTTGATCTGGACAAAGGGGGCCGTGCCGAGGCGGGAAGGACTTCGCGATTACGTATTGAACTTCGTAACTTCGTAAAGGGCACGGAGTCGCTTGGCGTGGCTTCTTTTGCACTGTTTCCCTCTTGCAATCGTATTGGCTCAAGTGCTTTCATACTGAGGGAAAATGAGGGCATTATCCAGCCTTGGTGCTATCTGTTAAGTACATATGAGTTACAGCCCAGATGTACGACTACCTCTCAAGCAGCCAGGAATAGGTGCGCCAGCATGGGCTACTAGCACTAGCCTTTGCCGTTGATTCATTGTTTCTCCAATACCCTCAAATGCGAGGAGATGCAAAAGAACGCGGAATGAAGGCTTCTAATCTCTCTCAAAACTGCTCAGTATTCCTGTCCCTAAAATTCCAATTGAAGTCGGGTACCAGGTAGTAGGTCAGTGGTTGTATGTACAAGCAACCTACAGATACATGCGCTATACCTTCAAATGCACTTATTAGCAAGCGCAGCTCTGTACTGGCCGTGTACCTGTAATAGTGGCCGCTCCCCAGAGCTCCAACCCCGCCAAAACCCGTGAACGCCTGCTGCTAAACATTTCCATCGCTCGCTCACGGCCCCTCCATCATCAGAAGGCTGAGGCACGTGCAGGAGAGCCTTCAACCTGCAGCCTCGCCGAAACAGCAAACCATTTCCTTATCAAACAGCATCTACGCGCTGCTTCCCCATGGCTGCCACCGCCTCAACGCAGCCGGGCTCGGATGCTCAGGCATACGCAAAAGCTCCAGATGTCATCGTCACCGGTAGGTCCAGGTCCTTGCCCCACATGATGCCTGTTTGGAGGAGCTGACCTTGAATCTCTATCCAGAGGTGCCCAAGCTTGATATCGATCTCTATTTACAGAATTATGTCGGTACGATGCTCCCTTGTCCTCTCTGGCTTGCTCAGTACTCTGCCATGCAGCGATATGGGCGGGATGTTGGATGCTAACCCTGCTTCTCGTCGTCGTCGTCATAGGCCGAACACGATACGAACGCTTGATCCTCATCGGCAGGTGCTGCGTGCCCCTGCGTCTCGAAGCCCTCAAAGCTGCCATCACTGAGGCAAAGAGCGGCTCAGATATAACCCGCTACAAGGATGCATGGCAGTTGCTCCGTTCCGTCGCTCCGGATGAGCCTGAAGCAAAGAGGGACGATGAATGGATAGAGAGCACCGAGCTTGCCAACCGAAACGAGACGACTCGCCTGGAGACAGAACTTAAGGGGTACAAGAACAATCTCATCAAGGAGAGCATCCGGGTGCGCTTCACTCCATTCTACGCAGCCGCCGTGATAGATCTAACTCGTCGTTTGTGTCTAGATGGGCAATGAGGATCTTGGCAAGCACTTCGAGAGCATAGGCAAGCTCACCGAGGCTACTGACGCATATAACAAGATGCGCCACGACGTGAGCACGACCAAACACATCTTCGACTGTGGTATTCACTTGGCCAGCATTGCTTTCCAGCGCCATGATTGGGCCACTGTGTTGAGCAACGTCGGCAAGATTTCTAACATACAAACTGGGGACGATGAGCAAGCACAGCAGGCCTACACCAAAGTGGCATCCGGAGTTGCGCTCATGGGGCTGGGTAACTATTATGATGCTGCTAATACCCTCCTTCTGACCAACCCCAACGTATCTCCGACAGAGTACAACACGGTCGCCAGTCCCAACGATGTTGCGATATACGGCGGCCTTTTGGCTCTTGCAACAATGGACAGAAAGGCTCTACAAGCCCGCATACTGGATAATCAATCGTTCAGAATGTTCCTAGAGCATGAGCCGCACATCCGGAAGGCAATTAGTTTGTTTGTTAATGGCCGCTACTCTAACTGCCTATCCATCTTGGAGTCTGTGAGAGCCGACTATCTCCTGGACATCTACCTGCAGCCACACATGCCCACCATCTACTCCCGAATCCGCGAAAAGTGCATTGTTCAATACTTTATACCCTTTTCATGCGTCACATTGGACAGCTTGGATGCTGCCTTTGGTGCACCTAACCAGTCTGTTGAGCCGGAGCTCATCAGGATGATTCGTGACGGCTCACTGAGAGCTCGAATAGATGCAAAGAACAAGGTATTTTTTTCCTTCTTTCCCTCCTTTCTTTTCCTATTTTTTTTTTTCTCTCTCTCTCTCTCTTCCTCCTTATGACGTTATAATTACTGTTGTTCTTACTCACATTCTGTATAGCTTCTGGTAGCCGTTTCTCCTGACCCACGACTAGTCGTGCAGACAAATGCACTTGCTGTGGCGCGGAAATACGAGCAGGAGGCCAAAGAGCGGCTACGGCGCGTGAACCTTATTTTCTCAGGTCTCGAGGCCAGCGGTGCTAAGAAGCTGCCGGGTCCTGGTGTTGGAGGGCCCGAGGTCAATGAGGCTTGGTACGAAGAGAATGGTCAACTGGCTGGCCAAGGGGCTGAGCGGGAGGATCAGGAGTCTTAGAGAAGGCCCCGTAGAGGATCCGGCACTCGGCTCCAACGCACTTCACTTCGAGGCCGAGGTCAAGGTCGAGGTCGAGGGCGAGGGCGAGGTCGTAGTCGAAGTCGAGCTCGAAATCCGTGAATAGGTTCATGGGGGTGGGAATATGCTCTGACGACTACGAATGAGATTTATCAGTCACCCCCAATGAACGTATAGCTGAAGCCGAAACTTGATCAGCCGCGGATGGCCAACGGGGACCGTGTCTCGAAAATGAGGGGGCCACGGTTATCACGGCAATTGCTTGGAGACTTGAACGTTACACATGATGGTTCATTAGAGACGGAGGCGCAAGGAGAAAGGGAATTTTCGTGTCTTTTCGTATTCAGCAGCCCCCAACTGGTAGAGGCATTGTTACTTTTTTTTTCATCCTCTGCTTTCCATCTCACCCCGATCTGTGATGCAATAAATGTCTTGCTCTCTCCCATTGGTCCGGTTGTCTTAAGCGATGATGAGAACTCGGCACAAAGTGCCATAGCTTTATTCAATACGGACACCTCGTATATGCATTCTTGTGTACTGTCTTGCCTTGTCCAATCAAGACGGGGTATCATATCACATTATTTATGTACTGGCAATCCATCATTGTATAGCTTGCTGTAGTAGATCATCAGCCACTTATCCACTCCATTCTCTTCCCAGCCCATTTCGACATACACACACGCCCGCCATCAAATCATCCCATCAATTGCCTCAAGTCCTGCGGCGGCCATCGCACCTGCGCAAAGGTCAGACAGCGCTTGATGCTCTGCAGATACTTGCGCGTGGCCTCGTCACCCATGACATGGCCCTTTTCGCCGTCGTGCAGCTTCTCGCGGGCGCTACGCTCGTGGATACCAACCATGGTGACACCGATGGGCCAGGCGGCCTTGCCGATGCTGAGGCGCAGGTAGCCGTCGTTTGCGTCGACGTAGCGGCGCTCCTGGAGGGCCTGGACGATTTCGATGATGGGCTGCAGGAGGGAGTCGTCGAGGTCGCCGGATTCGAACTTGCGGAAGAGCTTTGTGGTAAGTTAGCTTTTTATGCTTGTTCTTCTTTTATAGATTGGTTTTAGGTAGTGGGAAAAGCCTTACTGGCTTCATGTTTTCGCGGGTTTGCACCATGGCGCTGTAGGCCATTTTGCTGGCGCTCGTGTCGCGCTTCTCCTCCTCCATTGCCTTTTCGTATGCCGTGAGCACCATGGTGAAGTAGCTCGCCAGTTGTCGGAACAGCCACAGGCGGCCTTCCTTGTCTTTGGGGAGCGTGCCGTCGACTTTCATGTCCTTCTCATCCACCAGCTTTAGAGTTGTTGGTATTGGCCCCGTTGTCAACACCGTAGTGAGCTTCTTGTGCCGTCTCAGTCGCGCCGCATGTGATTCCCCGAATAATATTGCTGGATGTCCCAGTTCTCTCAACTTCTGTATCAACTCGTCATCCGGAATGTCGTCTGCTGCATCGCCATCCTGCTGGTCGCCGTTCTCTTCGCCCTTGACGAGCTCCGGCAGGCCAAGCCGCTTCCTCCTCGCCTGCTCTTCCTCCCATTCCTTCTCTTCTTGTCTCTTTTTTGATTCTTCTGCGAGTTTGCGACGCTTTTCTTCGCGTAGGGCGTTTTCCGCGGCGGTTTCTTCCTCGCGCTTGCGCTTCGCTTCGGCTTTTGTTGCGCGTTCGGCTTCGAGGGCTTTTTGTTCGGCTAGGTATGCGGCCTTGCGCTCGGCCTCTACTTCGGAGCGTTTCATGTATTTCTTGTCATCGTTGCTGGATGATTTTTTGGATTTGGATAGCTCCTTGTTCATGAGGGCCGCGAAGTCCATGATGAAGTGATGGTGCGCTAGGGAGCGTCTTGGGAGCTGAAGATGTCGCGTCTGAGCGTCAATGTTTCGCCGTGGTACTCAAGATCAACGGAATTGACGATTCAACACGAAAGTGTATCTGCGAAGTGGCAAGAATTTGGCAATGTAACAATTCTTGAGGTTGGCAAGATGATAAGTCCGGTGAGCTCACCGAGGTCGAAGCATGCTATCGATTACGGATGATTTCCGGATAATACATCATATGCTGATTGTCGCTTCATCAACGGCCTTTCCAACTTCAACATCACGAGGACTCGAGGTGCAGACTGGTACGTCTCATATTGAAGTTGTTTCTTTATAATTCAGACTCTTCATCTCCTCAGATCAATTTATCACACGATGTTGGATGCACGGGAGAGTGATGAGGATACATCTCCTTTCTTAGTTCGACTATTCCATAGAACTGGCAGCTTTCACAGGTACGCGACCTATAACCACAGCACAAAATCTAGATGCAACTCAATTAATCATTATTATAATTAGGCCAGAGGAATTTGCATCGCCATCTCTGCCTCCTCATGTCCCCATATACACATGGTCAACATGCACACTTCATGAGCTGGCACTAGAGCTGGCGGCAGCGAAACCAAGTGCACTGCCTACTCCTGCTATTGGCACGAGACTCTCTTTCCAGCTCGTCTGCCCAGATCTACGCGGCACGAGTGTCAATAATACTGGACAGCCCAAGTTTGCCGTCAAGGAGCTGGGGAGCATTGTCATTGGCGAAGGCTACCCTGGCACGGAGAACACAGATGAAACTGACCCCGATGTCTCAATGAGGGACGATGGTGGAAAAGACAAAACACTGGCCGACTGGAGATTCGTCGTTGGGGATTACGTCTCATGCGCGGTGCTTCCTCCCTTGTCAGACGGTTCTGTGGCGCCACCAGCAAACACCAGGAGAGGCTCTATATCTAGCGGGCGAGAGGGTCGTACTAGTAGCTTCAGGGGAGGCTTCCCAGGCCGAGACAGCAACTTTGGCCGCAACCATGGCCGCCAGGGTAGGACGACTAGTTGGAGAGACAACAGATTCCCGTCAGGTGACTGGAGGAGAGGAGAGCAGCTGCCAGATGGGCCGCCTGGGGGTTCACGAGGCAGAGGGCGCTGGTATTAAACTGCGGGAGGGGCTTGGCTTCATAGGCATGATTGAGATTTTGTAAGGATGCGATATACCCAGACAATTTAGCGTTTAATCGAGGCGAAATACGGTCCTCTTAATTGGTCTTGCAGACTGGTCCACCACCAGTATAATGTCCTCAGTTCGAGAAGTAAGAACCAGAGTATTCGGAGCAAACAATTGCCAACATCAAATAGAGACCGCAGAGAATGAATTGAAGAGGTTCCATTACGAGATGATGCAAGTTGATACTTTTTTCATATATATATCGAATATCCGGCCAGCACTAGGCTCTCTATCCCGTATTGAACCTTTTATTACACATAACCCTCGCCGCTTCCAAACAACTCAACGCTTATTTCTCGTAGATGGTGTCGCCCTTTCGCTTCGCTCGGAATTCGTAGAGTCCCTACCCGAAGTTAGATCCTATCAACCCATCCCCCCCTCCTCCTCCCCACACTGCTCGATTTCCACTCACGTCTGTCTTGTATGCGACCCATCCGAAGATGGCGGGGACAACGGCCATGTAGATGAAGCTGATACGGGCTGTTCTAGCGTTGAATCGGAAGTGGTGGTGGCGAGCCTTTTGCATCGCTATTGCGCCGAGTTAGAAGGGATCTGGAAGACAGGCATGGGATCGATATGTTACGCACCCTCCAGCTTCAGAAGAGCCGGGTCCGGCTTGACGTCTGCGAATTGCGGTCAGTAGGGATTGCATTAATGGTTCAATGGCAACGTACGAAGATGCGCCATTTTTACTGAGTCGTGACAGCGGCTGCTTGGGCGTTGGGGGGTTTGAGCTGTTGTCGCGATGAATTGACTTGATGTTGCTGGCGGCAGAAGATCATGACGGTGATTATGTAAGTGATTTAGAGTGGGTTTAATTGGCTCGTCGCAGCTCATGCTCCGTTATCGAGTACCCTGTAGCAACACTCGAGGACATGGAAAAAGGGCATTGCGGATGATATTACTCAGATAGTTGAGTTCAAAAATCTCAAGTGATATCTATTTTTGGTAATTTCTATCGTAATTGAAGGCTTTATTTGGATGCTACGTAGTTTTCTATGAAATCGCTGCGGCTTTCTGTGTTGCATGTCTAGGTGAAGTGTACTTCCAAACAGCTTGGGAAGCGTTATGATCATCATTCTGATCGATCGAAACCGCACACCGGGTATACCTAAATGAGTATTTCTAACAATTCATATCTAAAGATCGAAATGAAGAAAAGAAAACACCTTCAACTAGACCAAAAAAACTAACGTATACAGCTGTTCTCATGATGCACAGCATCAACTTCTAGGCAGTCTCAGCCATGTCGGGTCACGTGATAGACTAGCATCGAGATTGAAGCTAGTGCCTCCAGGGATCTCGTTCAAGAAATTGTTCTACGAAGGCGAAGCTCAACATCAATCCGGCTTTGCATCGTTCCCGCTCTGGTCGTCGTCTGATTCTTGCGAGACCGGCATCTGCATCATCAGAATAGGGGCCACATAACAGCATTTGACGTGGCCGCTATTCTGTGTGCGCAATTCCAGAACTGCCAGCGCGTCGTTGACACGCGCCACGGCTCCAAGCCTTCAGGCAGGCAACTTCACGAATTGCCTCTGATCGAGTGAAGACGTCGCCATGTCGCAACTCCCTCCGCCTCCGCCGCCAGGCTGGGGACCTCCTCCTCCGCCGCCTCCTCCCTCGTCATCGCTTCCACCTCCTCCGTCAACACCTGCTCCTCCAGCCCCGCCGCCGCCGGGATATCGACCACCCGCCGATGCCCATATTGCCAAGTTTGCCCAGAAGAAGAAGGAATGGCTTCGAAACCAGCGAAACAGATTTGGCGAGAAGCGCAAGGCTGGCTTTGTACAGACGCAAAAGGCTGACATGCCCCCCGAGCATCTGCGGAAAATTGTCAAAGATATCGGCGATGTCTCGCAGAAAAAGTACACAAACGACAAGCGAAGCTATCTCGGCGCTCTCAAGTTTATGCCGCACGCCGTTCTCAAGCTTCTGGAGAACATGCCGATGCCCTGGGAGTCTGCGCGAGAGGTCAAGGTTCTGTACCATGTCAACGGCTGTCTTACTCTGGTCAACGAAATCCCCAGGGTTATCGAGCCTGTTTTCTTTGCACAGTGGGCTATGATGTGGACGTTCATGCGAAAAGAGAAGGCAGATCGAAGACTGTTCAAGCGTATGCGATTCCCGCCATTTGACGACGAAGAGCCGCCGCTGTCGTGGTCGGAAAATATCGAGGATGTGGAGCCGCTCGAGCCTATTCAGATGGAGCTCAACGAGGACGAAGATGAGGCAATCTATGAATGGTTTTACGACCACCGACCGCTGCTCGATACGTCCCACGTCAATGGCCCGAGCTACAAGGGGTGGAATCTCACACTGCCTCAGATGGCAGCCCTGTTCCGTCTCAGTCGACCTTTGATCTCAGATGTTGTGGATAAGAACTACTTCTATCTCTTCGACCTAAAGAGTCTTCTCACAGCCAAGGCACTGAATGTTGCCTTGCCAGGTGGGCCGCGGTTCGAACCGCTTTACAAGGACATCAACCCTAATGATGAGGACTTTGGCGAATTCAACGCCATCGACCGAATCATTTTCAGGAACCCTATTCGAACCGAATTCCGGGTTGCTTTCCCATACCTCTACAACTCTCTTCCTCGAAGCGTCCATCTCGCATGGCACTCTCACCCCCAGATCGTCTACAACCGTGTTGATGACCCGGACTTGCCTACATTCCACTTCGACCGTCGAATCAACCCCATCTCGTCACGTAACGTGGCACCCAAGAATGTCGAATTATCGCTTGAAGATGAATTATTTGGCCCAGGAAACAACGAGGAGCCCGAAGAGGACGCTTTCGAGCTTCCTGTTGGCGCAGAGCCTTTCCTTGCTGAGGAGGATCTCGACAATGATGACACGTCTGCCGCTATCGAACTTTGGTGGGCACCATTTCCCTTCAACCGACGATCTGGCAAGATGGTCCGCGCCCAGGATGTGCCCCTGATCAAGCAATGGTATCTTGAGCACCCTCCTGCAAACCGACCGCCTGTTAAGGTCCGCGTTTCCTACCAAAAGTTGCTCAAGAACTTTGTCCTCAATGACCTGCACAAGAAGAAGCCCAAGGCTCAGAACAACCAGAATCTACTCAGGTCTTTGAAGCAGACCAAGTTCTTCCAACAGACCACCATTGATTGGGTGGAGGCTGGTCTCCAGGTTTGCCGTCAGGGTTTCAACATGCTCAATCTTTTGATCCATAGGAAGAACCTGACCTATCTTCACCTTGACTACAACTTCAACTTGAAGCCCGTCAAGACTCTCACCACAAAGGAGCGAAAGAAGTCTCGATTCGGAAACGCCTTCCATTTGATGCGTGAGATCTTAAGACTGACCAAGCTGATTGTTGATGCCCAAGTTCAGTACCGACTGGGCAATATTGACGCCTTCCAGCTGGCTGATGGTATTCTCTATGCCTTTAATCACGTTGGACAGCTTACAGGCATGTACCGTTACAAGTACAAGCTTATGCACCAGATCCGAACCTGCAAGGATTTGAAGCATCTCATTTACTACAGATTTAATTCTGGTCCTGTTGGAAAAGGTCCTGGCTGTGGTTTCTGGGCGCCTGCCTGGAGAGTTTGGCTCTTCTTCATGCGTGGCATCATTCCCCTCTTGGAGAGATGGCTTGGAAACTTGCTCTCTCGTCAGTTTGAGGGTAGACACAGCAAGGGTGTCGCAAAGACAGTCACGAAGCAGCGTGTCGAGTCTCACTTCGATCTTGAGCTTCGTGCCTCTGTCATGGCCGATCTGTTGGACATGATGCCCGAGGGCATCAAGCAGAACAAGGTCAACACTGTGCTTCAGCATCTCTCTGAGGCTTGGCGTTGCTGGAAGAGCAACATCCCTTGGAAGGTGCCTGGCCTGCCTGCCCCTATTGAGAACATCATTCTGCGATACGTGAAATCCAAGGCTGATTGGTGGGTCTCTGTTGCTCATTACAATCGCGAGCGTATTCGTCGCGGTGCCACCGTTGATAAGACCGTTGCCAAAAAGAATGTTGGTCGTCTTACTCGGCTCTGGCTCAAGGCAGAGCAAGAACGCCAGCACAACCACATGAAGGACGGTCCGTATGTTTCATCAGAAGAGGCTGTTGCCATCTATACCACAACCGTTCACTGGCTGGAGTCCCGCAAGTTCTCGCCTATTCCTTTCCCTAGTGTTTCTTACAAGCACGACACCAAGATTCTGATCCTCGCTCTGGAACGATTGAGAGAAGCCTACTCGGTCAAAGGCCGTCTCAATCAGAGCCAGCGTGAAGAGCTGGCCCTTATCGAACAGGCATATGACAGCCCCGGTACAACTTTGGAGCGTATCAAGCGATTCCTACTCACACAGCGAGCGTTCAAGGAGGTCAACATTGACATGAATGACAACTACAGCACCATCAATCCCGTCTACGATATTGAGCCAATCGAAAAGATTAGCGATGCTTATCTTGATCAATATCTGTGGTACCAGGCTGATCAGAGACATCTCTTCCCTGCCTGGATCAAGCCCTCTGACTCTGAAGTTCCTCCTCTGTTGGTTTACAAGTGGGCCCAGGGTATCAACAACTTGGGTCAGGTCTGGGAAACTGAAAATGGCGAGTGTAATGTCATGATTGAGACTGAGCTCTCCAAGGTCTATGAGAAGATGGAATTGACGCTTCTCAACTCTCTCCTGAGACTGATCATGGACCACAACCTTGCTGATTACATCACGGCAAAGAACAACGTTCAGCTCACCTACAAGGACATGAACCATGTCAACAGCTATGGTATGATTCGTGGCCTTCAGTTCTCCGCTTTCGTGTTCCAGTACTATGGCCTTGTCCTCGACTTACTTCTGCTTGGCCCTCAGCGAGCTAGCGAAATCGCTGGACCGCCCCAAAGCCCCAACGATTTCCTGCAGTTCCGCGACCGGGAAACGGAGAGCAGACACCCAATCCGACTATACAGCCGATATATCGACAAGATCTGGATCTTCCTTCGGTTCACAGCAGAAGAATCGCGAGATCTCATCCAGAGATTCCTTACCGAGCAGCCTGATCCCAACTTCGAAAACGTCATTGGCTACAAGAGCAAAAAGTGCTGGCCGCGAGACTCTCGTATGCGCTTGATGCGACACGATGTCAATCTTGGACGAGCTGTCTTCTGGGACTTCAAGAACCGCTTGCCGCGATCTGTCACTACAATTGACTGGGATGACAGTTTTGTTAGTGTTTACAGCCGAGATAACCCCAACTTGCTCTTCTCAATGTGCGGATTCGAAGTTCGTATTCTGCCAAAGATTAGAAACCAGAATGATGAATTCCCTGTCAAAGACAGTGTCTGGTCTCTGGTCGATAATACCACCAAGGAGAGAACGGCACATGCATTCCTCCAAGTTACGGAGGAAGATATTCAAAAGTTCAACAATCGTATTCGACAGATTCTCATGTCGTCTGGTTCGACAACCTTTACCAAGATTGCGAATAAATGGAACACTGCCCTGATTGCCCTGTTCACGTACTATCGTGAGGCCGCAGTCTCTACAATTGAGCTTCTGGATACCATTGTCAAGTGCGAAACCAAGATTCAGACACGAGTCAAGATCGGTCTGAACTCGAAGATGCCCTCGCGTTTCCCTCCCGCCGTCTTCTATACCCCCAAGGAACTCGGTGGCCTGGGTATGATCTCTGGTTCTCACATCCTTATCCCAGCCAGTGACAAGCGTTGGTCCAAACAAACCGACACGGGTGTCACTCACTACAGAGCTGGTATGACGCATGCCGAAGAAACACTGATCCCCAACATCTTCCGATACATCATTCCGTGGGAGGCAGAGTTCATCGATTCCCAACGTGTCTGGACCGAATATTCTCAGAAGCGTTTGGAAGCTAACCAGCAGAACCGACGTCTGACTCTGGAAGATTTGGAAGATAGCTGGGATCGTGGTTTGCCGAGAATCAACACTCTGTTCCAAAAGGACCGAAGCACACTCAGCTTCGATAAGGGTTTCCGTGCCCGATCCGAGTTCAAGATTTACCAGCTCATGAAGGGCAACCCGTTCTGGTGGACAAGCCAGCGACACGACGGCAAGCTTTGGAACTTGAATGCCTACCGAACTGATGTCATTCAGGCTTTGGGTGGTGTTGAAACTATCCTTGAGCACACCCTTTTCAAGGCCACCGGTTTCCCATCCTGGGAGGGTCTCTTCTGGGAAAAGGCCTCTGGTTTCGAAGAGTCCATGAAGTTCAAGAAGCTCACCAACGCCCAGCGATCCGGTTTGAACCAGATTCCCAACCGTCGTTTCACCCTTTGGTGGTCTCCCACGATCAACAGAGCCAACGTCTACGTCGGTTTCCAGGTCCAGCTGGATCTTACTGGTATCTTCTTGCACGGCAAGATTCCTACTTTGAAGATCTCTCTCATCCAGATCTTCCGTGCTCACTTGTGGCAAAAGATTCACGAGTCAGTAGTAATGGATCTTTGTCAAGTGTTTGACCAAGAGTTGGAGTCTCTTGGCATCGAGACTGTGCAGAAGGAGACTATCCATCCTCGTAAATCCTACAAGATGAACAGTTCCTGCGCCGATATCCTTCTCTTTGCCAGCCACAAATGGAACGTCACCCGCCCCTCACTCTTGTATGACACAAAGGATGTCATTGAGCCTACCACGACCAATAAATTCTGGGTTGATGTGCAATTGCGATACGGTGATTACGACTCTCACGACATTGAGCGTTATACACGTGCCAAGTACCTTGATTACACTACCGATAGCTCCAGTATTTATCCTTCTGCCACTGGTATCATGATTGGTATTGATTTGGCATACAACTTGTACTCGGCCTACGGAATGTACTTCCCAGGTCTGAAGGTGCTCATCCAGCAAGCCATGGCCAAGATCATGAAAGCAAACCCGGCACTGTACGTCCTTCGTGAGCGTATCCGCAAGGGTCTGCAGCTGTATGCTTCTGAAAGCAACCAAGAGTTCCTGAACTCGCAGAATTATTCGGAGCTGTTCAGCAACCAGACCCAGTTGTTTATCGATGACACCAACGTGTACCGTGTGACCATTCACAAGACATTTGAAGGAAACTTGACCACCAAACCCATCAACGGTGCCATCTTCATCTTCAACCCGCGAACTGGTCAGCTGTTCTTGAAGATCATTCATACCAGTGTGTGGGCAGGTCAGAAACGTCTTGGACAGCTCGCCAAGTGGAAGACGGCGGAAGAAGTGGCGGCGTTGATTCGTTCGCTCCCTGTTGAAGAACAGCCCAAGCAACTCATTGTTACAAGAAAGGGTCTCTTAGATCCCCTTGAAGTCCAACTGGTTGATTTCCCCAACATTTCTATTCGTGCTTCCGAGCTGCAGCTTCCTTTCCAGGCTGCTATGAAGGTTGAGAAGTTGGGTGACATGATCCTGCGAGCGACTGAGCCTCAGATGGTGCTGTTCAACCTGTACGACGAGTGGCTGAAGAGTATTTCTTCGTACACGGCCTTCTCCCGTCTTATTCTCATTCTGCGTGCCCTTCACGTCAATCCCGACAAGACCAAGCTTATCCTGCGACCTGACAAGACAGTTATTACGCTAGACCACCACATTTGGCCATCATTGTCTGATGAAGAATGGATCAAGGTTGAAACCCAACTGCGAGATCTCATCTTGAACGACTATGGCAAGAAGAACAATGTCAATGTGTCTAGTCTGACGAGCACTGAAGTCCGTGATATTATTCTTGGTATGGAAATTTCTGCACCATCCATGCAGAGACAACAAGCTGCCGAGATCGAGAAGCAACAAGAGGAGCAGAAGCAATTGACGGCTGTTACGACCAAAACCCAAAATGTCCACGGCGAAGAGATCATCGTCACCACGACATCTCAGTTCGAACAGCAGACATTTGCTTCAAAGACTGAATGGCGAACACGAGCTATTGCGACTTCGAACCTGCGGACACGAGCCAAGAACATCTATGTATCGTCAGTGGATAGTGATCTGGATGACGTAACATACGTTATGCCCAACAATATCCTGAAGAAGTTCATCACAATCGCAGATCTGCGAGTCCAGGTGGCTGGCTACCTTTACGGTTCTTCAGCTCCTGATAACGACCAAGTCAAGGAGATCAAGTGTATTGTTATGATGCCGCAGATCGGTGGCCTTCGCAACGTGCAGCTTCCGCAGAAATTGCCCCAAAGCGAGTTCCTTGATGGCATGGAGCCACTGGGTGTTCTCCACACATTGTCGGGCAGCGAGCTTCCGTACATGTCTGCTGCAGATGTGACGGAGCATGCCAAACTACTAGATGCACACGAGGAGTGGGATAAGACCAACACCGTTACTGTATCTGTGTCTTTCACTCCTGGCAGTGTTTCCTTGTCTGCCTGGGGATTGACGCCTCAAGGCTATAAATGGGGAGCCGAAAATAAGGACACCCAGAGCGACCAGCCACAGGGTTTCACGACTACCATGGGAGAGAAGCGAAAGCTTCTGCTCAGCCCCAGGTTCAGAGGCTTCTTCCTTGTGCCAGATGATGGTAAATGGAACTATAGCTTCATGGGCAGTGCTTTTGCAGGAATGGAAAAGAAGTCGGTCCACGTCAAGCTGGACACGCCACTGCCCTTCTATAGCGACCACCACAGACCAGTCCACTTCCACAGCTTTGCAGAGTTGGAGGATATTTGGGTTGATCGATCCGACAACTTTGCCTAATCATCTCGTTCGGAAGGAATACTCATATTTTTAATACCCTCAGACTTTGTCGGTCATGGTGAACGAATTTATCTTTGCATGATGGGTGGAGGATGACGCAAGTTTGGCAGGCGTTGGCTTTGGGAAGAGAAGTGGTGATTTAATACAGGGTTTCTCAGTACATGAGTGCGGTTATTGTAATTTAACAAAAAGGACAATTTGTCCCAAATGGATGCTCTTGTCTTTGTATGTAAGACTATGGAAAAGGGGGGCTAATAGCAGATTGGCAAGTCTTTTATTGATCTTATAGCCTATTTGTGCTTTTGTTGCAATGACATTTGATGTTGCTATATGAATGTTCGTTTGTTGTGATCTACGTGTGATGATTGTCTGGGGTCACTCATACATAAATGTCTTGTTCTAAATCATAATGAATTACTCAATTATCATGTATTATACTATAAATATCCTATGCATGCGCCGTTACATCCGTGCTTGTCTCTGGCGTGTGTTCACCTGTGCCCTTTTTCTTGTCAATCGCTTGCCATATCAGCCACGGCAAATCCGACATAAGTTGGTAAACAGCCCCCAGCAAAACCAAGCCAAAAAAGATGACTGGTCCGAGAATTGCGATGAGGGTGAAGATGTATGTTGCTCTCTTAAACTCGGCGTTGTCCTGAAGAGGTTCGGCAGCAAGACCTACTTGCATTGCGGTCAGTATGAGGACCAACCAGACTGTGGACGCGGCAATCCAGTGGAGGTTGTCGCGGAAGAAGCTGCTGTAGTCATTCCAGCTGTTGAAGTAAGCCTCAAATGGTGAGAGATTGAAGACGCGGTTGATGGTGTTGATGCGAGAGAGTCGAAGCTCGCCGTGTATAAATCGGACGTGCATCTGGCCTGGATCATGGTTTCGTAGGATAGATCGGGCGAGCGTTTTCCATGCTTCCCATGACATTTGTCTCTGGCTTGGACTTTTTGGGAGAAGATGTTTTTCGATGGCGATTTGAAAGTCGCTCTCTGAGGAGATGAGGCATGCGTACGTGTAGAGCAGGCCGAGGGCGACGCTGCGCTCGTCGTTACGTTCTGGACTCAGCAGGTATTCTCTCCAGAACGAGGTGCTCAGTAGGAAGCGCGGGAGAGGCTTGACGAATATCCTCCCGTTGGCGCTCCACATGAGATGCAGATCGATGCGATCGGTGATGGTAATCTCTCGGCCTAAGGCGGCGTGGTAATGCAGTTGTGCAGGGGGTCGCTTGGCGCCTGCGAGCCAGAGGTGCTTTAACATGCTTTCTAGACCCTTGAGAGATAACTCCGAGGCGAGGAAATGAGGGACATCGTCAGAAGGGTCTCCGACGTGGCGCCGCTTTCGATAGCCATGGGATTTATGGTAGTGATAGGATGCTGGTAAGAGATCCTGCAACTCATCGTTGCTCTCGCCGAATGGGTCTGTGTTGAACTGGAAGGGATTCGTGTTAGTTGGCGAGATGGGATGGCGTGGAAGATGCAGTGGAGAACGCTACCGGGCATTTGGGACGATGCTGCTCACTCATATCGTCGGCACATTTAGCATATTCCATCAGCCGCTGTGGATGGACTTCGCCAAGGATGCGGACCTTTCGGGCTCAGGGGCAGCGCAAGGCTTTACGCCACGCCGTAGTAGAGGAGGTGTAACTCCGTATCGTATTTGATGCGACAGGTTATAAGTTTCGTTTATGTAAATGAATACAATGTGCTTCGTGACTGAGACTGATTATTGACATAATCATGTACCGAAGCGACTTGGCGCCGGGCTGAATGGAGCCACACTGTGATTGCCTCTACTCTCGAAAGAAGCAAAGTTGAGAGACGCGACAGGATAGGCTCCCGTACCCTCGTACGGCTGAGATTCAAATAGCAAGGGTGCCTGGAAGTTGCGTCAAGTTGTAGAGTCTCGCGTGACGTGAGGGTAAAGTCTTGACCAATGATGAGGAACCGTTTCTGTAATGTTTCAATCCGGTTGGTTCGCGACAGAGTTTGGTTCTAAAGTTCTGAACCTGGTTGATTGTGCGGCTGAGATGTAGACTGGGCTGTGGGCTGGAGTTGTGCCATGAATCGAAACGACGCGTTGCAAGCAAAGATTCCGGGAGGGTCTTGATCGGCGGAAGAGATTCCTGTATCCACATGCGGTAGAGACACGACCTAAGCTCCACGCCTGTCTTGAGAATCGTTGGAGGTTGAAGTGTTCGTGAACGGGCTTAGACATAGCTGATATTCATACTGCATGCTCCGTAATACTACCTGTCATGCAATGCATCGGATGCGACCATGATTGGTTGCTGACATGACAAATGTAACTCACCGAAATGAAAGGCAGAATATTGAAACAGGCTTCCCAGCGTCAACCCCTGCTCGAAAGCTGCCCCATTTTTCAAAGGAGTGGCTATTCAGCATTCCGACTCTCAAATTCATGCTCCATGTACCTACGATAATAGGGTGGAATTGGTTTTGCCCATTCTCCCTCAGGCTCAAATACAAGATCATCAGATTTGCTCTACATATGCCTTACGATTCCTGGCTGATTCCCCGACGGCTGTTTATATCGAGGCACTTTAACGGCTTCATCGGGGAGATAGGCCATGGCAATCCAAGCCCAATTCCACGGCGATCGCGCATCTCCCAGTACGTGGTATGTAATGATTTCAATCGCCCAGCCTTGCTCCTGCCAACTAATGTCAATGCAATAGTCTGTCATGCATATAGGACAGGAATTGACAGACTGGAGATGTTGGGCGAAGTAATCTAGCTGAGAGCCGTGCATTACCAGCTCGGGAATCTGATGCCGAGGGAATAATGCATTGGTTGTTATATGATCGCATACAGATGCTAATCCTGCGTCGATACAGGCGCTCAGCCCTTTGGAATCTCGTAAAGGACCTACATTAATGATCGATGAGAACATTAGTTGATCGTCGATAATTCGAGCGTCCCACGCTCTAGAACAAGTCACACGGCCCCGCGGATGTATCAATACACCACGATTTGCCAGTTTATCGGCAGAGACACCGTGGGCTGCGCCATAAAAATGCCGATTCATGACAACACGAGCAAGGGGATAAGGAACGTGGAGTGAGAAACGACTAAACCAGTTCTTCATTTTGCAATGGTTCATCACGTCTTTGCTGTAGAAGTCTCTGCCGAGAGAGTGGCGATCATCAAACCAGCGGGTGTGCCATGGATGGAGTTCGATACAATAATGGCAAAAGTAATAATTAGCTGCATCCTTTTCTAAAAGGAGTAGGAACTCTCTTTTCTCAGAGGAAGATAAATTGAAAGACTTGGGGAAGCAATAACAATAGAGCGTTCGACAGGCCAGAGCAAGGGATAAAAGTGAAGGCTTGTCAAGATGTTCCGCAATCATCAGGATGACTTCAGTGGGGATCTCAAGACGGCCGAGATGAGGAGAGGGCTGCTGCTCGAGAAGATCGGGTTGAGGAGAAGAAGATTGCCCTCGACGGAGAATACGGATAATTTTATTCCAGATTCCCATACTGGCTATCAAAACCAGATGACAGGTGATAACGATGATAATATAAAACAATAACAAAAGGATGCGTTGATGGAGTTTAGAAGTTTAAACGCAGTCACATCCTGCAATGAGATCGGCAGTCTTTTTATATCTCGACGAATTAATTTAGCCTTCCTGCGTTGGTTGAGTCATTGAACTTTATTTTTTAGGCTTAAAACTTCTAATTGTTATGTTGTGTTTGAACTTTGGTATTCGGGCCTTTTTGCACATTTTGATCTTGAAATAGTTGACCTCCATGATTAAATTTGATCAACTGTTGTCGATTGGGTCAAGGCAAGGATGTGTTTTTCTACGTAATATTCATCCTTGTTGCACATATCTAATGTAAGACATTGCTAGCGCAAATATAGTCTAGAACAACATTAATGTAAGACACACATTAGGTTGCTTCATCTACCTCATAGAAGTCCATAAAATCCGTTCAGCTCCTCTGCTTCTGCAAAATGTCTTTCACTCTGTTCAATTCCGAGACACCATTGGGTCGCAATTCTTCTGCTTCTGCTAAAAAATGGGCGAAAATCTGGATCTGACCTACCGCAATGGCACCGACAAGGACAACCATGCCATGCCAACTATTGAACCCATAAATATCGTCTGCAATGCTCAGCCTTTTGGCGGTGGCCCCGGCGCAACTCTCATGGCAGTTATGCCGTACTTGCGAAACCGGCTGAAATCTCTGGGACCTGTAGCACTGCATTACGTAGGATCAAGTCTCACGATGGACTTCCAGAAGCTTACCAAGGCTGACTGGGACGGCTCACATCACATCGACCTCTATTCAAATCCAGACATAGGAAAAAAAGAGCTCATTTCTCTCCTTCAACGCTTGAAGCCACGGCTCGTTGTGACATCTATGGATGAGCTTGTTGCTGCTGCTGCTCAATCCGCTGGCATCCCTGTGGTCATCATCGACCTGCTACTATGGTTTTGGCCTAGTATTTCTCCTCATTGGCGTCAAGCTGAGATGGTGATTGCTGCGGAGTTCTACGGCGTCCAGGAGCGCATCATCAGCGAAAATATGGACAACGTTGTGACAGTTCCACCACTTGGACCACCCCCAAGAACTACTGTCGGTCCCTCCAAAGACATTCTCCTCAATTTCGGAGGAATGGTCAATCCTCTAATGCCAAAAGAAGAATATATCGCCTATGCGCGCCTTATTTATAGCGCTGCGAAGCGTGCTCTTAACTTGCGCAACGCTGCTCTGCCAAAGTCTCAACATGCCAATTTGATAGTGTTAGTGGCCAGTTTAGATGTGGCACGAGGCATAGATCCCGAAGACCCGGAAGCCGCTCGCATGGTCCTACCTGATGAGGCACTGGAATTGATGGCCTCGGTAGAATTGGTATGCTGTACGGCAGGACTAGGCAACTTGTATGCGGCCGGCGCTGTTGCTAATGCAGTACTGCTTTTGCCGCCTCTGCATGAGGGTCATGCAATTCAGACACTTTTGGTGAAGAAAGCTGGCGTACCTGTAGACGCCGTGGAGTGGCATGAAATCACAGGTGGCACTCCCATCAACTATTACAATGGGTCACTAGAGATCATGGACGATGTCAGTAAGGCCCAGAATGAAGTTATTAGCAGCGTCCAGGCTCAAAAGGCGTTGGCCGATCGGCTGCTGGCGGCCATGTTGCACAGCGCGGCGCCTTCAGCTCAGGGTCCGCCACTGAGGAAGCTCATCACTACGTTTGGGCAGGATAATGGTGATGCTATGGCTGCTCGGATTGTTGATGTGTTGACAAAGGTCAGGTAGCTTGAATGAGCATAGGCGTAGATAGAGCCATATCTGTCTGGGAGGGATATTTTATGTGGAGAGTTGTGTATATATTTAGTTTGCAAATATAGTAGAAGCTCAACATCTTCAGCGCACAATACTTCAGTAAGAATAAGAGGCATGTGTAAGTTAGTAGCCGTTAACCGCTGCATTCTGTGCATCCATGAGGTTACCCTATGGTGTTTAAACTTTAGAAAGCTTTAGAAACTTTTTACTTAGAGCATAGTGTTAGCCTAATTAGGCCTCTCATCCCGCGTATACCTGATATACGGCCCATGAAGTATTCCAAAGTGCTAGCAGCTACTTTAGCATTCAAACAACTACATGTACATGGATTTTAAAAGCCGTAATAATATACAGAGGAAATATCATGTATTTATCATTAGTCAGCTAATATATGCAGCTACTGTCGCTGTTGTTGCTACTTTCTTCTACTATAGCTACTCTCTACCACTATCGCTACTATCGCTACTTTCTACTACTATTGTGACTATTGTTACTTTCTTCTCCTATCGCTGCCTTTTCTTTTATCGATATATTACACTACCTTGGTACTCTCTGCTATCATCGCTACCTAAATAAAAAGCACCCTAACCCCCCCCCCCCCCCCTTTCTCACCGCGCTCTTAGGTTTCCGGAAAGATATTGCCCGATTCCTTTTCCTCCTGCAACGCAATTGTTATTTTAATTCTCCTTTTTTTTTATATGTATACCTTCACCATGATTTCAGAAATTGACGATGTCGTGCGAGTATGTGCATTTAATCCGAGTCATTGCACAGTTATTTACTCAAGCGGGAAGAGCCAAGACCCGACCAGCGAGTTGGAAAGCATGAACTTGGAACTCGATATCAACAGCCTCAATTGGGCCGTTTGGCAAACTGTTGTTTCTCTCATTTTATCTTCCTAACTTAACCTCCTTTAACATAGCCCCGTGTCTACTTGTTTGGTAAACTCTAAAGGCTCTCACGAGAAAGAATACGCCAATAGTTTCCCAGACTTCACTAGTACGGAAGATACAGCCCGATGTCAAAGCTTGCATGGCACCGGCATGGAGTATAATATTATATAAGGCACTGACTTGCATGTTATCATCAATTTAGAATTAATACCCGTTTCATACATAATCGGAATAACTCTCTAAAACTACTTGGAATCATCCTAAATAGTTATCTCTTCGAACTCGTGCCCGACATAGTGGATCTTTTGAACATGTCGAGCGCACTTGAAGCAGAAGTTGACATCTTCACAAGTTTTGCACCGGTGTCTGGCCCCGTGTATATCCTTTGTGGTGTTAGAAGAGAACGCGGAATCCAAAATTTGGGTTCGACTTACGCATTGACAGCTCTCGCATAAATTCCTATATCCCCGCGGATCCTTCCACTTTAATGGTTGACCATAAGCAGTAACATGCTCTGTGGTCTCGATTTCGTCCGATATCACTTGCGTGCATTGTGGAAGCTTCAGAAGACTTTCATGGGAATCCTCAAAAATCCAAGCATTGCTGTGCCATATGGCAACGTCTTGTGGTCGCCAGCCGCGGTGGGTCTTAGTTTGAGGCTTCGCACCATATTCCCAAATAAGATAAAGAACCATAGACTTAGTGCTCCCTTTGCAAGCCCAATGCAATGCTGTCCATCCGTCATCGTCTTTCGTATGGATCATCTCAGGGCGATTCTTTAGGATAAAGTCGACGATATCTTGAGCTCCATGTGCTGATGCAAAATGTAGCGCATTGCGGCCTTGGTGGTCTACCTCTTTCAATAATTCACCATGATTAGAGAGTTGAGAAAATACTTCCGTATCATAGCGTTTCATTGCTGCCATATGTAAAGGCAGTCTCCCTTCCTGATCCCGTGTTTTGAGACCCAGGCCAGGACATTCCTCTAGCAGATATGCGGCCGTTTCATGTGTTGAGCTACGTAGAGCACCGTGCAAAGGTGTTCCATTTCGACCCTTGATGGTCGCAAAGGAAAAAACCCTATCAGCTCCTTTGGTAAGTAGAAGCTTTACCATCTCAAGCTGGTCGTAGCTTTCGAAACCGGCGGCTAGCTGCAAGGGGCTCTCCTCTCGACTGTTCATCTTATTAACATCTGGACGAATTCCATATGGAAGATTTAAAAGACAGCTGGCCAGCTTAATTTTTCCCCAATATGCGGCGTAATGAAGCAGTCCGCCAAGAAGGCCGATGTCCATGTTCATATTTACTCCGCCCTCGGCCAATTTCTTTATCCGCATCAGAACTTCATCTTCATCTTTGCCTTTTTTGCCCAAAACATATTCGTATAAGGCTGTTTCAGATACTTTTATATCAAGTGGAAGAGACATTACCGCTGAAAAAACACTTGGTTTCCCCTTGAGGAGTAGGAAGTCGAAGAATGTATTGCAGTCCTTGTCACGATGATTTTGGGGAATATCTAGAGATATTTTGTCGGCTAGGAGGAGCATACGTAGGATATACACATTCTCAGCGTCTGTGGCAATGAACAGGGCTGTGTCGCCATATTGGTCTTTGTTAATGTCTGCACCAGCATCCATTAGCACCTTGGCGACACCATTCGAGTGTTTAAAAATTGCAAGGCCGAGAGGTGTATATCCTGGTGTTGTATATGTACCCGTATATTCTGGTGCCATTATAACTTCTGATTTATTTACTTCATTCATTTGACAGCCACGTGAGACAAGTGTTTTTGAAAGCTCCTGGAGGTTATTGCGAGCGGCGTAGTGCAGCGGAGTATCACCATTAGTACTCTTCGCCTTGATGTCTGCGAAAGGATGACGCCAAAGCTCGCAAGCTAGCTTTTCACAACCCATTTCCGCCGCTTTCATTGCAAATGGAGTGTGGTTTTGATGCTGATAATGACCCAAGAGTAGCTGACAAATCTCCATGTGGCCTCTCTCACAAGCAATCATCAACGCCGAGTGAAGGTCAACTTGATTTTTAGGACCTGGTGGTAATTTCTGTAGCATCTCCTTAATAATTCGGAGATTACCATGCGCTGCCGCCCGATAGATTGGGCTACCTCTTGCGAGTATGACCTCTTCTTCGGCCTTGCGCCTGTCCGACCACGAGAAGTGGTCGGGATCATTTCTGTATACCTGGGCCCCGTAGTTGAGAAGTTGAGTGAAGATTTCTAAGTAGCCGTATTCCATGGCATAGGAAACTGCAGACCTCCCATCTTGATTAACAGTGTTGGGATTGGCTCCATGCTCGAGAAGTGCTGTCACAATAGCAAGCTTATTGGCGCTGCAGGCGAGGTGAAGATATGATGATACGTTGTAATCTAGAAGTTTCCGGCCAGGGAAAAATTCCGATGATGGTGAAGGAGTGGTTTTTAGGGCGTTGATAAGAAGCTTCGCAATATGGAATTGCTTTGCCTCCAATGCTACCTGCAGAGGTGTCTGCATTTTCACATTGAATACAAACAGAGGTGCCGAATTCTTCAAAAGCATCTGAACAATCTTGGTTGATCCAATGGAGCAGGCTGCGTGCAATGGAGTTCCTGGATACACTGTGAGTATTGTAGACTGTGGATATATTGTGCTTAGAGTTGGTGGATATGTTGCGTGCATTCCACGAGCACTATGTGTTAACAAAATGTCTGCGATAAGGTAGTGTCCCTGTTCACAGGCGAGAATCAGTGCCGTCTTGTCTTGTTCATTGGCATAGTCTACATCAATGCCCCATTCCACAAGTTTCCTGACAAGAGATACATGTCCTGAAGTTGCCGCACAGTGCAGTAGGGTATTTTTGTATCTGTCGACATTTTTTAAGTCATCATCAGATGGTTTTAGGCTCGTCCATAAATTATCTGCTTCAGAAGGCCGAAGGCATCCATTTGTGGCACAGATATATAACAGCCGCCATTTATCTTCATTTTGGGTAGTGGCTGGAAAGGGAAAAGTACTCAAGTGAGCCTCCAACAGCCGTTGTTGTCCAAGTAGAGTAGCAATCTGGTGTAAGGATTTTCCATTGGTGGCAATGTACTGTGGGTATTCAGTTACGAGGCTGCAGAGAAGCGTCTCTTCGCTTGTTTCGAATATATTACGAATCGTAGTTTTTCTGGCATCTTCCCTCGCATTAGCCCAAAGGTGTGATAGAAGCCGGGTTGCAATCTCTCTCTTTCCTCTTTGACACGCTGCCAAGGTAAGCAGAGGCCATGCGCGCTGATTAGAAGACTTTTGTAACTCTCTTCCGGCCACTATTACTTCTGCACAATCCTCTAGTGGTTGTTGGAGACGATGTGAAAATAGCTCGAGATCCCAGACATCTCTATCGCCATCTGTTAGATGAGGCGTGCTTGTTTCTGCTGACCAAAAAGATTGCTCAAGATGGCGAAAAGTCTGTATGATATTGCTTGACATGCTTATGCCTGATCTGAGAATATGAGGTAACCAGTTATCGACTGCATACGAGATGAGAGAATTGCCATTTTCTGGTGGGACGCTCATTTCCATCGAGTTTTGACAACGGCGTGCGGCCTCAAGTTGGATGCATCTCACACAGGCTGTGGCGAGCATTTCATTTGCCTTTTCGGTTGAGATCTCATACCATTCGTTTGTTGGGTTATTTGGATTGGTGACATAATTTATGAGGTGTGAATGTGCGACACTGATGTAGTTTTCACGTGTTTCTACCAGGCCGCACAAGCCATGGATGAATCTTTCTGCCATAGTTCCTTCGTCTCCGAAATTGCTTTCACCTGCTTCTAGCGAAGCAATGATCGCAGCGGAAAGCTCAGAAATAGTAAGAGGTCGATTCCCATGGGCTATCCACACTAGACCGGCTCTCACAATCTGCCTTTCCGATATTGGTATTGAACCCAGCACTAATGCCGTTGCCTCATCTAAGAGAAGATTGTCTTTAATAGCCGTAATAGGTAATTCTAAGAGATGAGGGCGTCGTCTTTTCAGGAAGGTGAAAAGCAGAATCGAATCAAAAGGATGAGACATCAATTGAGGTAGTTGTGCTTCTTTTCCGTACTCCAATATTGCCCTGGAAGTATCTGTGAGGTTCAGATTCTTTAACTGCCCCTGGTAATCTTTTCTCAATGCTTCAAAAGCCTCTTCATTATCAACAGAGATGATCTCTCGTGATTCAGAGTCGGCCAACCCCCCGTAGTCGTCAGAGCACTCTAGAAAACGAATGAACAAACAATTAGCCTGTATCTCGGATCTTTCATCCAGTAAAGCATGAAGGTCGTCATATAACTGAGTGAATGGTCTGGCCAATTGCGCATCTCTAGGTTCGTAGACGATTATATACGTTCTGCCGTTACGGCATGCGCAAATAAGAGTTGTAAAGCATTTCCAGAGCCAGAATTCCTGTAGATCTTGATTGAAGTTTTGGATGGCGCTGCCGACATTCGCGAATAGTGAATCAATGCTACCCATAACATTGGGGCGGCCTTTCAAGATCTGACTGCACAGGCTCGCAATCAAGTTGACTTTTGTTGTTGGATTTGGATAGGCATGAATGCTATGTAGGTTGAGAAAGATGCCGCCCAAGTCTCTGGGACAAGAATATTTTGACTCTAATGCTGCAACCAAAGATGAATGAAGAACATTCAGGTTGTAACCAGTACTAGGCATTCTGATAAAAAGCCTACGAAGCGCGGAAGTCTCAATTCTTTCATCACAGTAAACCTGATCTTCAAGTTTCTGGCTGGTCTGGTGGGCAAGACTAGTTAGTTCCAACCCCTCGCTGTTGTTACCAAACAGAGGTACAGAAGATAGCAGCCATTCGAAAAAAATTGGAAATTCTGGATCGGTGATCAGTAATGGAGCAGCATTAAAGCTTGCCTTTGAAAACACTTGAAGCCACCGCTTGTGTTTATTTCCGTGCTCTAGAGATGAGGTTTAAGTAAGTAAAGAATCCGAAAACCACCACCAATTCGAGAGAACAAATAGACAGAGTTAAAGAGACGAGTTTACCTATCCATGCATTTTCAATGAGAGTTTGGGAACACTTTGGGTCGTCGAGCATATTGACGGCCCCGATTACATCATAATGTCGATACACTCCAATGCGGAGTTCTTGTTCCCAGCCAAGAGTGGCCAAACATCCGGGGCTGATCTATATTTGACCAAATTATGTGAATTTTATCCTATCGTCGAGATAATGAGTGCAAATGCTACTTACCAGCTCGTATTCCCCATCAATGGGATCATCTTGATAATAGCTGGCAACCCGACATCGACCTCTCAGTTCTTCAAAAGAAGCCGCGGTAGATCTATGCGCTTCTGCAAATTGATGTATTTGCTCGGGTTTCCACTGACAATTGTTCCGCTGCTCATATTTTGATAATAATTCTTGTAGTATTGGTTCCCAAGCGTCATTCAACGCTCGATGATGTGTCCCGCAAAAGATCTGGCTATATTAGTCTCCATAACTGTTCGATTTGCTGCTGATATGCTTACTAGAAGTGAGGTTCTTTCAAGAATGTGTTGATGCATTGGATCCTTTCTTTGTAAAGCTTGATAAAGAGCCTAGAGTATCGTGGACAACGGTAGGTTGGCGCCAGTTTCCTTTTGCTTTTAATGAGGTGATGGAACAAATTACGTACCCGTTTCAGGATTATGCCACCGATGCCGCACGCGACGAATATAATCGTGCACTAGAGAATTAGAATTGACCATGGTGGGGAAAAATGCGCTGTGGCCTGCTTACACGCCTGCCTCCGTATATCGAGCAGCTCACTTCCTTTAAGAGATTGGCTGCCACTATATCAAGACACCTCTCGGTTCCGCCATCTCTAAGAAGCGATTCTGGGTGATAGAGAAATTTAAAAAGCTTGCCTGGTACTGGCGTTGTAGTGAAGAATCTGACATGCTGGGCGTTCAGATTTGCTATACTGATTATCCTAAACCATTATTAGCGCTTTTTATGTTTCAATGTCATGGATCTTACAAGGTATCTGGATCAAAAATCTTTAAATCCATTGGAATTGCGCTCTGTGCCGTTATATATGACAAATCGAGCCTTGAGCCTGCTGTTGGGGAATATTCCAAGATAATGTCTCGAACGGCGCGGCGGCCTGCTCAGCGAACCGGTAGATTTTGATTTAAGTACAGTTTTGAAATAGTGAGTGAATCTTCATTGTGATGATGTTAAGACATACCAAAAATTGGGGAGCAATTCATACTTAATTGGTGACAATAGAGCTGTTCATATGATCATATACATCCTACGCATGGTAGGTCCGTGCTGCTATATGAAACACACAAGAATTAGGTTTCTTTGTAATTTTCTCAAAAAGCCTAGAATTCTAGCACATATCACCCATTCTTTTATTCTTTGTTCATGCACTCCTTAGGGTTCAGGGAACTTTAGATGACTCGCTCTCTCAGTCTCGCGCATGCTACTTTGTGAATGGTAACCTGGTGGCTGAGTTATTTATGACTCTCATTTGCACGCTTTACTCATGCTTCATCCAACGTAATTTGAAAAGAATGATACTTTGGGATTTCCCTGAACTGGGAAGTGTATATGTTGGGGGCTGGGAGAAGAGGGGGGAGGGGTGGGGGGGGGGGGGGGGAGGGGGGTGCAAATGACACTCCCTCCTTAACCCATGATGGTTTAGCTTTGTGCAACAACGACAACGAACAAAGGAAGAAGGGAAGAAACAAAGGGACAGAAACACAAGAACAAAGAAACAAAGGAACAAAGGAAAAATTAGAACAAAGAAATGAAATCTGTAGGCAGCAACATGAGTATCCTTGACGCATTTCTCTATTTTTTATACGCCGCTGGTGGCTCCCGTGGGAAATTGATCCTGGATTTTTCATCTACCTTGCTTGATGTTGTTTTAAGGAAGCAGTACCTGTTTTTGTTCTGCTGGTTATTCATTTACCTATATCTGATCACCTATTCATGATCTTGCAGGAGTCGGTTTCGCCATTATAGCTGCAACCTGTTTGTTCTAAGCTTGTCTTGACATTAAGACATCATGCAGAACATGGAAAGAGGAAATACCACCCCCTCGCATATTCTAGATAGACATACATCGTCCCAGCTACCGCGGGCAGTACCCCAAGCTGATAATTTATGTAACTTTGGGTCCAATGGCATCGATGATCACGTTAGGCCCAACGAAGAGCCTATCCTATTTGACCGCCGACAGGATCTGCTCAATAAGTTCACATCCAAATTCCGTTCAGCCTTAAATCAGGTAGAAAGAACCCCCACAAGAAATGAACTCAGAGAAGAATTCTCGGCGGAGATAGAAGAGTGCATGACAGACCAAGGAGGGAGTGGTCGCTTTAATATTCTTCACTGGATTGCAAGACTGATGGAGCTTGTCCACATTGGCGATGGCACAGCTAATTGGCCGGCTGCCGAATGCCTCGCCGAAATAGCAACCAGAATGAAACCTGAGATGTTATTGGCAGAGGATGACAAGAGCAAATTAACGCCAATTCATATGTTTATCGAGTGTGCTCAAGTCGCTCCCCGCAGTGCTGGGAGGGTCATCTTAGCCATGTGTCGAGCTGCCGGAGGATCTCAGGGCAAAGCGAACCCCTTTGTTTCCGATGCAATCTCCAAAGTCAATAAAGAAGGTGAAAATGTCTTACATTTGGCCATTCAAAAAGACCTCGAAATCTGTTCACAGCTGATTGGAATGGCCAACCCCGACGCTGTGACCGCCAGCTGCAAAACATATCAAAACACACCCCTCCACTTGGCGGTAACTAGGCTTTGTCTTTGCACTGATACAAAGCGCCAAGAGGATTCTGGTCTGTGCGACAACTACGAATTGTTGGAAGAGAAAACTAGGAGGTTCCTGGATGACATGGCCGCCTTGATTGCCAAGAACCCCAAGGCGCTGATGGCAAAGGATTCGGAGGGCAGGTCTCCATATCTTCATTACGTGCATCTTCGGGACACAACAGTAAAGGCTACCACTTCCGGCCCACCCGATACTAGTTGCACGAAGAAGTCGTTTGAGGAAGACCTCGTCGAGACACATCTTGTTGAAAGCGCATTCATCTTGGGGACCTTTGACAAGGTATGCGATTGCTTCTTCGGAGGTAGCATCGGTAAGTTATGGACCATGATAACAAGCTAAGTGCAAGTCCTGTGAAGCTGAGCGAGAGAAACTCCGTTTCCGTGTTTTAGAAGAACGAAATTTAAACTCGGTGTTCCGTCCCGAGCGTCCGTTGGCTAGATTTGACGAGAGCACATACACTTTTTTCCAATTCGGCAGCACAGTAGCGCATGTGGATCTCAGCATTGACCCCGAAAATGCTTCCGGCGAACTAAGTTCAGTTATCGTAGAAGAGGCCAGAGGAGTTCTCTTAAAGACATTTCAGATGCTTTATAACAAAGGTGTGCGGAGGATCCTGAAACTGACGGTTCAAGACATCCCAAATGCGCCTTGTGATGACGAATTTATCGTGTCATGCCTTCGACAATTCGATATTCGTTACCTCGACTGGAACAAACCTGATCTCTGCATCGACATTATCATAGATGCTGTTCCAAGAGTCTCTGACCTCTGCCTCTATTTCACAGGAAATACGGCTGTGATAAGAGGCTGGGCAGGTAGTAATGGCCTCGTCAATTTGAACCAGTTGAGAGCGGTCCACATCCAGTCCTGCGCGGTACGTTTATCCACTCTACCCTTCTCATCGCTCTGTGTGGGATACTTGTAGACCGCGGGCTACATATATCCATTTAATACTCATAGAGACTAAAGGGACATTAGTTAAAGGGACCAGAGGCAGTCAGACGCCAGGCATACATGGACAAATTTCAGATGGGTTTATGTGAGAACATCCAAACTAATAGAAAATTCGAAATAATGAAAATGGCATGGCAACGTAACCTGTATGGCCGCGATCAGCTTAGAATACACCAAAGCCCATCGAAGCAGCCAACCTCTCCAGAGGCGGGAGATGGCCCTGTGAGGAAAGAGGCTAAGCCTGCAGAAGATGAAACGAGCACGTTGACAATTGAAGATGAGAATGCCAAACTGAAGGTTCGAATAGCAACTTTTCTCCTCCAGAAAGAGACATACGAGCGAAGAACTACTCGTCGTTTACGAGATGATGATGATCTGAAGGGAAAAAATGGTCAACTGGCTGAGAGCATCGATATCACCGAGCTGCAATATTGGGGCATACGCGAACTCCGTGATTGCTCCTGCATGTTCGACTTCCTTGCAGTTAACTTTCGTGTCAAAAAACACCTAATTGAGAGAGAACCTGACGACGAAAAGAAAGCAGAGCCGAGAGAGATGCCATTTGTAAACAGGAAGTCGGACACAGAGTGAGCCACCTTTGCCTTTGAACCGTATCCAACTCAACTAATACTCGTGCGCTCGAAATAGTGAACATGTATGGATGAACACTTTGAGGGATTTCGTCTCCAGAAATTTGCATGGCAATATGCCAGAAAGGAGAGTAAAGGTGGCATTGATTGATGATGGTGTGGATGTTAATACGCCATGCTTGCGGGGGAAAATCAAGTGTGGATGGCCAAACGAGCCGCCGACCAGCGTTTCCGTACCATGGTACCAGTCTTTTGGAGGCCATGGCACAGCCATGGCTCATCTCATAACCGCCGCATGCCCAAATGTGGAATTCTATGTTGTTCAGCTCAAGACCTTCAACATTGGAGACCAGCATAGCGATAGCGCGTGTAAGAATGCAGCCGAAGAGGCAACAGAGGTGAGTTTCCATGCTATCTTTCTCTTTCAGTTAGAACTATTTGTTTTTCCCCCAGTTGAGAGAGAGAGAAATTATGGATCTCGTCCCTAACGCTTTATCCTGTAGGCAATTAAGTGGGCTCGCGAAAACAATGTACACATTATTTCGATGAGCTGGAAAATAAGGGAGACCGATGAAAACCGGGATGAGATGCTCGGGCTTAAGTCCGAATTGGAACGGGCTGCTGCGGATGGCATCCTAATGTACTGCGCAGCTCCGGGCCAACATAAGCCAAACGAGGTGTTCTGCCCATCTTCCGGAAGGAGCTGCGTAAAAGTTGTGGGCTCCGTTGATAAAGATGGGAAAATGTCAAAGGGTGTGAGCGCTGAAGAAGTTGACTACTTCTTCCCAGGAGAAAACCTGCAGGAGATTGGGCTCCGCAAGGGCAATTCTGCTGCAACAGCGCTGGCGGCGGGCTTTGCTGCCCTTATCATCTGGTCCTACGAATCCCAGTCCGCTAATAGCCAGAAATTGACTCCAAGTGACATGGACCACATATTCAAGACGCTTCATCCCGGAGGCAAAGAATGCAAAATGAAACCCAAGGATTCCCCATCTAACTGGGTGAATATCATGAAAATATTGGGCCATGGGAAAGGAGTTGTTGAGCTGGCTAGATGGGTATCACTAGAGCTAGAAAGGCGGCTCTTGATAGAAGATTATTGATATGTCAAGATAGAAAGAGGAGGTATGGGGGATAGAGAGGAGACGATACTGAAATGTTGTGTGGAATTCCTACACATCATAGATGATGTACATAGAGGGACGTACTAGCAAATGCCTGATTTATTTGTTCCAATCTCATTAGCCATCTAATCCATACGACTAAGTTACTTGTTCATAATCGTTTCGGCTGCAGTAATTACATTGAGTGACCCTCACCGTCCATTTCTCGCGCTGGCTACTCTCACAATTCAACTACCACCACCCAAGGTTTCCACCTTTACAAAGTCTTCAAGATTAATCTGATCCAGGCAATCCCTCCGATTTTCATATTTTTCAGGACGATCTGAGTGCTTTGGGTCGAATATTATAGGCTCGTCCTTTGTTTTTGATCCCATGATGTCCCGTATCTTTTCTTTGGTGTCCTGGAATAAATCCACCTTCGATTTAACAGCGACCGTCGCTATGAACTGTCCATTGTCGTAATTCTGCCTCTTCAGTAATATGGCAGTCCGCACAAAGCTTGGCACCCCTGATTTTGTTTTGTCGTTCTCTAGAAAGTCCCATCTCACCGCATTTGCACCTCCGTGCGATCGATTTACCAATGCCATTGTTCCAATAATCTTGATTGCATCGCAATTCTCTATTCCACTGTCTTTCTTCGTGTATGTGTACGTCGGTCCCCCTTCCAGAGTCACACCTACATCGACTCCAATTGACCCGTTGAATTCGAATCCCTGGCTGATCTCGCTGGTGTACGGAGTCTTTTGGTACCATTTCGTTTGCATGGGCGCAATGTCAACCACCTCGGGGTCCCAAATAGAGTCATCCCAGCCTTTAGAGCGGCATTGCGCAGCAATCGGCTCGGCGTCACCGCGTCTTCCCGCTGCTTTGAAAACCACTTCGATGTGTACCTCGCGAAAGCGCTTGCCGGAGCGGCCAGCTTTCATGTGCCAGTCGAAGATTACCAATGTGTATGGTTCGGACGCTGAAGTGATATTGCCGTGAATAACGATTGGCATTGAGCCATTGACAGATTCATCGCCAGCCTGGTCATGACCGGTAACTAGCCTGCGATGTGTCTCTATAGGTTGGAATGGGCGAACAGCATTCTCTAGGAGAAAGGCTACGTCTTTATTGTCTTGCGGAGAGAGTCTGATGCTGAAGTCTTGCATCGTAATATAAGGGAATTATCTCGGCGCTAGACAAGTGTCGAAGTTTTCCCATGGGATTATAACATAAAATGATTTGAATGAGTTGGAGAATTTTTGGTGGTTATATGAATGCAATAAGATGGGGATTGCCTATATAAACCCATACTGATACAAACGAAGAGGCGGGTAGCACTTCAGAAATGGCGGTCAATTATCGTAATTAAATTTCATGCAAGCTTGCGCGGTGCGAAAGTAGTGTAAATGCCGTGTTTGGCTTTGTGCAATAGGAAAATTTGGAATGGACGAAAACTTTTCGGAAATTGCAAAGTTGAAGAGCTCTATGTTCGTGTTACAGGGCGCGGAAAGCTGCAGATCAAAAAGTCTCCGAGCCGCTCTACTTGCAGAAGCTTCCTATGAGAGCTTGGCACGAGAATCGGTAGATGTATGTAGCAGCTGGAAGCCACTGGCTGCAAGCCAGGTGTCAATAATGTGACGTGTCTTCTGGCTAACCGCGGTTTCCTTGGGGAAATAGGATACTTGGTTTCTTCTCTCTCTGTTGCCTCTTCTCCGTCCGTCTGCCCGTCTCCCATTACCGACCCACTAAACATCTCACATTCATACTAGATGTGACACTTGAGTCAATCTCTACGTGATATTCCGGAGATGTATTCGCTACCAGCCTTGTGAATCATGAATAAGTACATGTAATCTCACCAGCATCTCTCATATGAACAACATGAAGCAAATCCCAGATCGCCATAAAGGTTCAAAACTTAGGATTGCCTGAAATCCTTAGTATAGAGGCTAAAATGATTATTCGGATGAGAAACTCAATAAAGCTGTAACAGCTGGTTCAATAAAAGGCCATGCCCCAGCCTTTGCACCCACAGGTATGTCAGATTGCTGAATCAACAAAAGGAAGGAAGCTCTTCACAATCTGACTATTACATATTGATGTCTGGAATCGAAAGCTCGGCAATTGTAGAGTTTGGGTCGTTGTAATTTTGAGGATTTTTTTTTTTTTTTTTTTTTTTTTTTTTGCGGAGTGAGGGCCTTATTTACGTTTCACATGAGAGAGTGGTTAGGGCCATGCAATGAGAGGAGCGTTTGACCTTAACAAACAGGATAAAAGGAGGCTAAACCAACTCTCAGCCAGATTCCATAATTCTTCACGGCACAACATGAAGCTGTGAGATGCACGAAAAGCTCGAGGTACATGCCGATAGATCATGCGCTGAGATCTCTATAGTGTTGCTCTAGGCTGATTCAAATGTAGTAAGCTGGATCTACAATGCTTTACAGGTAAAAGTTCTACCAGAGACCAAGCAGATAAACCTTAAAATAAAATAATAGACTACTGATATTAGCTCTAAGTTCACCAGCCTACAGAGGAACGCACTAGGCGGAGCTAATTCCCCCCAAGTCAATGCCACAATGCCACGATCCCCACAGGAAAAGTTTGTGCAGACTAACAATCCCATTCATTTCCTATTCTAGAACATAAATAAGTTTTGATAGGTGGCTCTGTCGGCTATTCGGGATAAGCCATTTAGAAGGGGCGAAACCTGATGTAAACACCCAATGGCGACGCCATATCAGATGTTACAGCGGTGTCATTGCCAAACAATCTCAACATTTTCTTCTTTTGTTACTCTGACATTTGCCTCAATATAATCATTGACTTCTCACTTTGAATGGAGTGGTTGCTTAGTTGCATACGCTTCTGAAAGCATGTTGCCTGTGACTCCATTCATGCAAGAAGGGATTCATTCATCCTATGGAAAAGGGAGAAAATATCCAGCATCTAATGTTGGCTATACAGCATCCAGTGTCTCAAATTTAAAGCTAACTACTAGGTAGGGAGTGACGATAACAGGCACTAGGGGAATATATCGATAATAGCAGATGATAGCAGATAATAGCAGATGATAGCAGATAATAGCAGATAATAGCAGATAGTAGCGATAGTAGCGATAGTAGCGATAGTAGCGGATACCTAAGCAACCGTGTATTACTTATGTATAGTAAATAAAGATTATTTTCCCTGTGCTTGGTTACGACAATTGAGTTCTACGTAAACAGTCAGTCGCTGGAATGCTGCATGGCCAACTTTGAGTGTCGAAAGCCTATTCCTTAGAAAAGGGCAAAGAAAAAGTAATTTATCTTGAAAATTTATTTTCCGTCAATATTTGCCTGTATCAACTCTGAAAATGGTGTAGAATAGACGCAGATCCAAGCTAGTCGTTGATCCGATCAGGATCTTGCGAGAGAGGGGACAATAAGCCGCTCGTCGACCTACAAGTGTATATAATTCGTAGTTTTCACAGTAATAAGAGATCTAACGTCCTTTTCATCACAGATTTTATTTTCGAGTTCGCTTTTATTTTCAACCCGGATTGAGTTGATAATGCGGCCTTTAATTAGAGGTTGTCCCCAGCTTGTGCGTCACGATGGTCGTATAATTATAAAATGTCATAGCGACAAGTGGTAGACTTGATACTTGACGCTCTTAAATAAGATTCCAAAAAGATAACTCAAACATGCCTTGAGAACGCAATCGAAATGCTTACATGTACCAAAGTACGGAAATGACTATCTGCTACCTACATGTAGTGGGTAGCATCTTCAGTTAAACTTTTTTCAGTACCTAGGTAGTCAAACAATGCCGTGGTACATTACAGCTAACTTTTAGTATAATCTTTCATCAAAAAAAGCCTATTACATATGGTGTAACTGAACTGATGCTTAAATGTAGCTTCAAAATTAAAAATATTACTTGTGCTTCATTTAATACGGATAAGATTATATATACTTAATCTAGCACCTAATTCCTTAGCTGTTAAAAGTATACCTTATTGATCACGAAGATAGCGAATAAAGTGCTATAGCCCTGACCACCTTCCCCCGCAGCTCGTAATTCTCTCACACAATGCCACGACATACATTACAATACCCATTCAGTTAGTCTATGGCCAGGCCGTAGGTTAGGCTGCTAGAGGTCTCTCTTGGTTGTTTGCTTACAACGCATGGTTGCTTATGATTTCTGCTCATAGACATTCCATCATTCCTGTACTTCTCCTCGCCGATTCGGGATGCGTACGTAGAAGCGCTTCTCCAACGCAATAAAAATGACTCGCGAGGACAATGCAAATCCCTGGGAGCGGTGTCCTCATTGCCAGGAGATATTTGGCCAGGTATACAATAAGCGAGTTAAGCTGTCAAATGTCGCAGCATCCACATGTGTAAGGTGCTGGGCAGTACGGGAAATTCTCTCGTGCGTAACGGACATTGCAAACCCCGGGACGGAACTGGTTGGTAGTATCTGGCATGATAACACGTTGGAGATTGGCATAATTACGCCGGATGACAGCTTTGAAACGGCACCAGGCTATAAAATATACATCATTCCTGGTAGGTCACGTAATCCAAGGTCTTGCAAACACTGAATACTGATCCCTTCAGATTCTGCAGAGCATGCTCGGTCCGATCCCAGGCTGGGAATTCCCATTACCTACACGCCTACGCACAAGAACTACCGCCCAATCAAAAGATCCGATGCGGAACGCATTTCTGTGGCCAAGAACTGGCTTGTAGATTGTGTCGCTTCACACGAGGCATGCAATGCAGAGCCTCAAGAATATGAATGGCCTAGACGCGTTCTTGATATCTCACACGACGAAATGATACAACTAGTCAACATCGAATACCCTCCCCCTGGGGCAACATATGTCGCTCTCAGCTATTGTTGGGGGCGGAGAGGCGGCAACTTATGCACATATGGAAGCAATTTGGCCCAGCACATGAAGGGCATCCCGTTGAATTCGCTTCCTCAAACTATCTTGGACATCGTTTCCACCTGCAAGCAGCTCGGGCAGCAGTATCTATGGGTTGATGCCTTGTGCATCATCCAGGACGATCCAGCCGACAAGATGGCTCAGATACCGCGGATGGCAGACATATACTCTGGCGCACTCCTCGTTATGTCTGCAGCAGGCACTGCTGATGTTCTAGAAGGCTGTCCACTCGGGCCGCCCGAGCTACAACCTGTCCCGCCAAAGATGATCGAGCTGGAGTATCCCCTGCACATAGAAACCTCCGAGGAGAAAAAACCCGGCAAGGTAATGGTAGTCGTGGAGCGAATGGAGCATGAACATTGTCGCCGTCTGCCAGGCCACTGGGCACTTGAGACATTCGACCAAGACAGCGTGGATCTCCTAAACACTATTGAAGACCGCGCTTGGACGTTCCAGGAGCGCTTTCTGGCCAAGAGAACCCTATATATCGGCAAAGGCGAGCTATCCTGGGTGTGCGCCAGCGCCGTCCATTGCGAATGCAAGAAGAATGGCCCAGTTGTGAAGACCGAGGCCGGAGAACCCGTGTTCAATCACCGGTACAGCATCGGCCATGTCTCTATCAATAGACTGTTTTCCGATTCAAACAAGGATATAGACAAGACCTACTCGTATCTGTGGACCGAGATCGTCACGACGTACTCTGCCCGGTTGATAACACAGTTCACAGACCGTGTCGCTGCGCTTGAGGGTCTGTCAGTGGCGTTTAGCAGGAGATGGCCTGCCATTTATGCAGCGAAAGACTATGCGTTTGGGTGCTGGGAACCACTTCTGCGGGACCTTCTTGTCTGGCATGCCTCCGGTGAGCCAGTTTCCGAGCACGTACAAAGAGGTCTCTTCCCATCATGGGCATGGCCGTCCTGTGGGAGGGCTGTAAACTTCACGAGCTGGGTGTGGTATGGCGTGGACCCAAAGTCGTGGGTCGAAGTGCTCCAACTCGAGCGAGGCCAGCCGGTTGACGGCGCATTTGGCAGCGGAAATGGAACGCTGACGATCCGGGCTCCTTTGATTGCCTGCACAGGAGAAGCAGTCACATTCGGCGATGGCAGCACAGAGGATGTTATCTTTACGGCCGTGGATGCTAAGCTGCCTTTCTTGCATGGGTCTCCGTCCCTTGACGATCCGAGTCAAGAAGAGGAGTGGAAGACAGTGACACACATGATTCTGCTGGCGAGTTACCCTTTCAACCCTCAAGGCTCGTCGCGCCCATTATCTTTTGCTCTCCTCTGCGTCGCACCTGTTCCAGGCAGAGACGAGTTTCGTCGCATTGGTATGATGACAACTGTGCGACCAAAGAGAACTTTTGAGGCCACTAAGTTTGAAGAGCTTTTATCGCCTCATACATCTTATATTAAACTTGTATGATAGCATATGGAGCCGTATATTACAGTAGTCCCCTGTCAATTTGCGGCATAGGCCATTTGACCGGAACCATTGGAACTGAAAGTTCAAGTGCACTAACTCAGGGCTCTTCATGATGAATTTTCAAATTTCAAGTAGCACAGCACACGAAGATGTCGAATGATTTGATAGGGATTATTCCCCAAGAATCAAATTTGCCGCTGATTCAAGGCCTCAGGGCCAATCACCAACCAGGACTGTCCAGTCCCCACGCGATGTGGTCTGCCGTCTACTAAATGTATTTTACTCATGCAGCCTGACCGATAGAATTGGGTATCATCCCACAATCAGCCTCATCATACCCCGCTTCAGCAAAATTGAATCTGAACATCAAGAGCGTGCTTTTTTGGATGAATTGTTTTGGAAACTCAATCACCAACTAGCTCTACCCGTCTTCACAATTTTCCTTTATGGCTCATCCCATGCAGCCTACGGGCAGAGACCAGTTTCACATAGCCATCATATGCGCTCTGCCTCGTGAAGCCGATGCTGTCACTCTGCTATTTGATCAGTTCTGGGACGAAGAAAGCGATCCCTTTGGACGAGCAAACGGCGATACCAACACTTACATAACTGGCCGACTCGGAAAACACAATGTTGTTCTTGCCGTGCTCCCAAACATGGGCACCAACAGCGCTGCCGCGGCTACAGCGAGCCTCCGATCAAGCTACAGCAGCCTCAAACTTGCTTTCCTTGTCGGGATTTGCGGCGGCGTGCCCCGAATTGCAGACGACGATGTCTTTCTCGGTGACGTCGTTGTAAGCAAGGCTATTGTCCAGTACGACTTTGGTCGTCAATATCCTGAAGGGTTCGAAGTGAAGAACACCGTTGAAGACAGCCTTGGCAGGGCAAACAAGGACATTCGCGGGATGCTGGCAGTCTTTGAAACGGAGCTTATGAGGGAACGGCTATTGACCAAATCGGCGGGATATTTGAAGCAATTGCAAGACGCTGCCAGGAAGAAGCGACGACGAGCAAAATACCAGAGTCCTGGGGCCACCCAAAACAGACTTTATTCACAGGATTATATCCATCAGCATCGATCAGAGTCATGCGAGATATGCAGCAACCTGGATAACTTGGGAGATGTTTGCGAGTCAGCATCCAGTGCATCCTGTGCAGATCTAGGTTGTGACGAGACTAAGCTTGTCAAAAGAGATACTTCTTTTCTAGATGACTGCGGCTTCAACATCTTCATCGGGCGAATAGGGTCAGGCAACACTGTAATGAGGAGTGGAAAAGACCGAGATCGCATTGCCTCGCAGCATAACCTCATTGCATTCGAGATGGAGGGCGCGGGAGCTTGGGATGAGGTCCCGTGCTTGGTGGTCAAGGGCGTTTGTGACTATGCAGATAGCCACAAGAATAAGCTATGGCAAGACTTTGCAGCTGCCACTGCGGCTTGCGTGATGAAAGCCATTTTGGATCGCTATGTCGTTACAGATGGAGCACAAGGCTCGGCATTATCTCAACTCAATGGTGAGATTGTATCCCCTCTTCCCTACAATTATTTCTCTCTGCTGATGCACGCATGAATAGGCCAAGGTCGACAGGATGGAACGCGAAGTATTTCTGGAAATACATTCGGGGACAACGTAAGAATTAGCCAAGGTGATATGACTTGGAACATGGCGCATTAGCCTTTGATGGTTGTGTAGATGCCCACGCTATAGTGATTGTTTGTTTGCTGCTAGACATGGAGGCGTGTACCAAGCACTGTAGTAACCTGATAATAGCGAGAGCCACATGCAGATATACTGTATAATGCTTCGGTAATATAGAGATGATCTTAATCATATTTAGAGCATTATATTTTAGAAGTTTCTTTGTCCCAAAATATACGACAGCCTCATTTTCTTTTAGTCTTGGACCTCGTCGGAATCAGATTCACCATCTACAATACAGCTAACACCTCCGGCACTCGAATTATCACTATCCGAGGTAGTATCACTGATATCATCAGAAACTAATGGCTTGATCGCCAGCGTCTGCGCTCCATGCTGGCTAGGGACTCTAATAATGACGATATCATATGTACGTGTCGTATATGCCAGCAGGGAGCCCGATACTACCGCGCTGTCAGCATTTGGATATGGTTGAAGTTCTTTTGGAATTCCGAGGACTTTTTCTCCACCAAAAGTTATCCAGGAGCCAACTATCCCGTAGACCTGACGAGGGATCTCGTTCCAGAGCTCCCATGAAGAAGTTTTACAGAAATTGGCCCGATCTGTTAGTAGTTGGTTTGCAATTGGAGTAAATACCGGCGGACTGCGGCTTGGTCCAATTGCGACGCGCGCCAGACGAACACCGGCGGCGACGCCCCAAATTTGGGTCTCATATAAACTTGTTTCATTCTTCCAACCCGCATGACAGATGACTGCTAAGACTGTAGCATCGGAAGAAAAAGTAACACTGTCGATGCGACGACATTCTCTTAGCTCGAGCTCAAAGCTGGAGACACCGCGGCCCGCGCGCCAATCCAAGATGCAAACCTTGGAATCGCCATTCCACGACACAGAAACCACGGCAATATATGTTGAGCAGGCAGAAATCGCCAGCCACGAGATAAAGCTGATATGCCACTTCTCAGGTTCGTCATCGCTAATTTCGTCGGTTCCAAATAAGCATTTGCCAGATTCCACACACCAGACCTTCACCACTGCACTGCTGTAGCCAATAACTAGGTATTTTGAATCGTCTGAGAATGCCATCTCATATATACTGTATTTACTCTGGCCTTCAAGCAGTCGAATTAACTTCCCAGTGTTGAGGTGCCAGATCCGGACATCATTCTGCTCCCCTTCCTTACAGGCAATAAGTTCTGAATTTGGTGAGAAAACTGGAGAAGGCGCATTGGAATCGTCCCTTTTGAGCACCTGAACACACTCACCACTCGTTCCATCCCATATGTTGATACTGCCCTCAGGATTTCCAGTCGCCACATATGTTGACCCTGGAGATATCATCACGGACCTAGTAGTGTATCTCTCAGCTGATGTATCGCTTGTATCAACCCTCCATATTCGAATATTAGAGCTATCGACAGAGGCTAGAAGCGAGTAATTTGGCCAGTACCTGTTAAGGAAAAAGGCACCGTCCACGTATGTGCCATCATTGGTAACTTTAATATTGAATAGCAGCTGGCCCGTCCTAGTATCTCCAATGATCACATTTTCGTTCAGGACCATCACAAAAATCGCTGCGTCGTGTGAGAGGTCGAAGTCCGTTATTCTATCGGGTTGTTCAATATGGCGTATCATTTTCCATGTCTTAATACACCAGAAATAAATATCCTTGTCGCCATATAATAACGCCAACAGTTCTGAATTTGACGAAAATTTTGCGCACCTATAATTTCTCGAGCCAGAAAAGGGCCCTTGAATATGTTTCACCTCTTCTCCTGTCCGGGTAGAGTAAACTCTAATATTGTCCCTGTGCATCAATGCCATTAATGCAGAGTTTGATGAAAAAATTGCATGCGTTGACTCGAAGTCAATTATTTGCAGGTCAATCATACCCACACAAGCACCCGTTTTTGTTCTCCAAATTCTCACAAAGTTCACGCTACCGGATAAAGTGCGACAGGTTGATGCTGCCAGATCTCCATGCCATGAAAGACCAATCACTTCTTCTCGGAAATATTGGTGGCAGTCGTATCTAATGTCCAATTTGCTCACATTAAGGTCCAAATAACGTTGCTGTACCAGGGCCCCGCTATCGATCGACCACGTTTGCACGACACCTGTGTAAGAAACAGAAACCAAGTGTTTGAAATCGGGCAAAAAGGAGACATAATGGTGGCATGTCTTATCCACGCTCAATTCAATTACACGTTTTACTGTGTCTGTTCTGTAGATCGAGATGGTACCATCCGTGCATAACACACATACTGCGGAAGTGGTTGGTGAATAGAGCACTTGGATAACACCATAATAGCTACCGAGAGCTATTTCATGAAAAAGAGAGAACTGTCTCCGTGGCCTTTTTACGACCGTAGGGAGTCTCCCAAAGCCAACGTATACAGTTTGGTGGAACGCCTTGTAGATTGCGCTATGCCTGTCTTCGAAGACAATAGCCGAATGATACAGCTGTAGGGGCGAATCCCTCACGACGGACTTGTAGGAATGAAAGAAGTGATAGGCGTCGCTAATAAACGTTCTGAGGCAATTTGTCCCCCTTTTTCTTTGCGGATTTTCCATATGACCGAGCCGATTCCCATTAACCTCACTTCCGTGCCACCTGGTAGCCAGATTCTTTAGCTTTTGAATAGCATCTGCTCCTTGCTCTGTAAGGTTACGCAAGAGAGCTAAAGATTCTAACCAGGCCAGGTAATTAGTTTTGAGAAATGAGTGAAGAATTTCTTCATCTTCAAAGACTTTATCAGTTTTAAATCCCCTGGACTCGCATCCGCGATATAAATGCTCAACCCAAAATACGCAACAGTAGGCTATAGGCATCAAGGGATCTGGAGACGGTGGTGTAATAGCGCTCGCGCGTATTTGTGGATCATTCAAATCGTATATATTGTGCCTCAAAATGCATGACATAGCATCCAGTGAGGTTTCAGCCATTTTATAATGCTGGTACTCGATTCCCTTTGGAAATATGGTCTTGGCGGCATTCCCCACCATGTAATCTTTGACTGACTGATGGATGAAGTAGACAGTCTCGTCTCTAATGGATAAAAGAGATCCAAGATCTTTGACCATATCCTTCATATCTCGCATATTGTAATCCACTTTGTAATGTTCCCATTGAGAACATATAAAAACATGGAGTTCTTTAAGGTGAAGCGGCCTCTCGGCTGTGGTAACAATGGAGAGCAGGATTCGACAGGCTTCTCGATCTTTTTGCCTTAATTTCGAGTTGGCTCGTTGAATCATCAGGTCGTAGAGGTTTTCCAGACCCTCTGGCATTTGGTCCACCACCTCTTCCACATGGCGATGGTCTGTGTTACGCAACTGTTCGATCACGAGGGTCACCCAGAGGAAGGTGCCATTCGCTTTTTTTCTCAGAGTTTCAGTTGTTCTGGTCTGAAGTTCTTCATCATCTTCTAGCGCTTCTATATCCTGGATAGACTTGTTGATGTAAGTGTCGACAGATTTGGAGACGTTTTCGGCATTCTCCTTTAGCTCCAGGCTCAGTCTCCGACTAGGTTCAATTGACCGAAATCCCCGCTCGATGTCTTTGATATTCCGACTCGAAAGTAGCCACTTGACACGCCCGCTTGTTTTGACGATAAGGCTCAAGAGTAGCTTGCAATCATGCTCACATTCATCGAGAGCATCGACAATGCAAACGGGGTACTGTATGGTTGAATATTGAGTCAGATCTTTGAATATATTGCATAGAACAGCCCACGCATTAGGGCCATTGAGTTGACTTAAGTTATCTTCATGTTTCTTGCAAATAGGTGAAAGGAGTGCCGGGTGTCGCTTAATGAGAGAGAAGATTAAGCCCGCAACAACCGAAGCAGCAGTATTAATTCTGGAGTCTGTGGCTTGGCAGAAAAAATAGCCCAGGTTGATATTCACTCCGGAATTTTTTTCCAATTCATTGATTATGCCGCAGAGGAGCATTGTCTTGCCCTTTCCAGGGTCGCCTTTAATCCAAAGTACACCACTTTTCTTTGTGTGGCGCCATTTCTGAAAGTCTTCATGATCGAGAATCCAACTGAAGGATTCGTATAAGAAGGGGCCCTTTAACTCCAAAATTCGTTCTTTGTCGTAAAATGGGTCCGTTTTGCTGATTTTGTGAAGAAAAGAGTCACCCGTATCTGAGGGACCTGTCGGCAGAATTTGTTAGCCACATCGTAGATACCCAAAGTCATGGATCTAAGGTGCAGCACACCAGTATGAGTAGTGTTGAAATCGCCCTGAATGATTGTGGCATTGTTAATTGTGTTTCCTGAAATTTCGCGAATGCTAGTCATTTTGTCGCAAATTTTTTTTATAACGTCAAGGTCGCGATGTTAGGTGTATGCATAGGTACAGATGTAAAGGCAAGAGTTGCAACCCAACCCCAAATATTCTCATATCAGGCTGCATTTCGGTACGTAACTTGGACATCCAATAATAATTAGGGAAAACACAATTACTGATGCCTGCTTATTCAAGACCACTAGGCGCAAGACTTCATTGCAGCCTTCTGCTTGGCAATGTAGATAAGGCTTGCAATTGGCTGGATACAATACTGGAAATCAGCCTGCTTTTTATAGATATAGCTAGGTATCTGTATCCAGCATCCTAAATAACTACAAGGAAATTACATATTGTAAAAAGAATGAATTTATTATTATTACTTAATTACTTAAATATCTATTTTTTTTAAGTATCTGCTACTGTCGCTACTGTCGCTACTATCGCTACTATCGCTACTATCGCTACTATCGCTACTATCGCTACTATCGCTACTTTCTGCTACTATCGCTACTTTCTGCTGCTATCTACTTTCTACTGCTATCGCTACTTTCTGCTACTTTCTGCTACTATCGCTACTTTCTGCTACTATCGCTACTTTCTGCTACTATCGCTACTTTCTGCTACTATCGCTATATGTATTCCTTTATATCTCAGTTCTTAGTTAATAATTATAGTGAGATAGATCACTATAAGCCCCTGCTAATCCCCTGTACTATACGGGCTACGGATTCATATCTGCATGCCCGATCCATCCCTTTGCATGCGGCTCTCGTCTTCCCGAGTGCGGCTGAGTCCTGAATACATGTACCGACGCTTATCATTGCATGCACAGGTACTCCGTACGCCGGGACTAAATCATGGATTTGCAGCAGCAATACATGGTTATGGGTGTCTGAACTTTTACATCTAGCCAGCTTGGGGTTCCCGATACTACGTTGGGTCCGATATTTCTGAGACGATGGATACAAAATAAATAGGACTGATCGGTGACCATAAGTCTATTAGTCGCTGTAGCGATTTACGGTAGAGTAATTACGCACAAAAACATGCTCCGACCGTAGCGATATATGGCAATGAAAATGAGCCCAATCGTGGCTTCACACCAGTTCGGGCGACTGGGATTGAGCAGGTACTGCCACACTCTGGCCGCGGAGCAATTGTTATTTGATAAATCGATCAAATGGTGCTCACATGTGAGAAAATATGCTGTCTACCTAGGCTACTTCAAAGTTTGGATGCATGTGCCTTATCGTCTCAGCTTCCCGATTCGACCACTTCCGTACCGAGGGAGGCAATTCTTCTCAGTTTTGCAGAGTAAGCCAAGGCGGCGATGCCGGTTGGCAACCCAAAATCGCGGATTCGTACCGACTTAAATACTCTGCATAAAGGTCATTTCGGCTACCTCCCCGAAATTGTCATGTCTTCCTCTCGGGTTGAACTATCCGATCCCCTAGTCTGACCATCGAGCCGTTACACGATCGACAATCTCCATTGAACCTTGCTTATAACGGTTGTCGATCATCCAATTTATCGCCACCTCACGGCAACCTCCTTCAGCCCGTCTTCTTGGTAACGGTCCGTTTGACAGCGGATCAAGGGTCAATGAGCTGCATTAGCGCCCCTGATCAGTGCCGTACCTCGCATTCCGTCTCGTATTTGGACGCAGAAGTCTCCGGAAATAAACCCAACATCTCTACCGAGGCTTATGCATAGCGTCCAAATACACGGCCCAGCGTCCGAGCTTGGATCCTCCTCATCGGTAAATTTACTTGGCATGGGCGCTTTGACCTGCTGCATACAACAATCGGCACAGCACCGGAAAAGAGCCTCCCCACATACTTTATTTGGTCACGGAATTCGCAATATCGGGTGAACTAGCTGGTCTATATTGCCATTTTCAGACGATGGAGGGCATCAGATCTTTTTCCCGGTACGGTTGACTGCCTATACTGAGGCTAGCCGTGCTCAACACCACACCCAACACGCCTCCCAATATTGCGGAAACTTATACATTTTGCCCACCGCGCATGAACCTGAATTCACAGCATGTGCTTGTGCGGGGGCAAATTGTTTCTTCAATGCCGCTGTTGAGGTTGAGGGGAAGGGGGAGGCTATGGGATGGCAAAAGATTAGATTTTTCTCTGGTTCGGCCAATTCGTTTATATATGACGGCGAAATGACTCCTGTCATGAGATCTCTGGTGTCATTACAGTTGAGATAACCAACAGAACATCATTCACCAATGGATCACGACGGAAGACATAGTTTATACGAAAGAGGCTATAATCCAATGGCAGCGTCGTCTTACAGGCATTATTACTCCACGCTTGGCATGGAGGAAGATCAAAGGCGCTACATGTATGCAGATGACCCTGGCTCAGCAGGCTCATCGGTGCCTGCTGCCTATGACAACTCCCCAGGATCTGCCTCAAATATATACGGGTTCCCCAGACCAGGTAGTGGCGTGTCATGGTCTCGGCCTTCTCATCATCACCACCATCTACCAGACATGAGTCACTCATCGAGCTCGATGCATGGAGAGGGTAGCCAAGATACACACAACCTGGTTGGCAGAGAAGGAATGCCTTCTCCGGCGCGGCGACCTCAACGGCCAAGGATTAAGTTCACTCAGGAAGAAGATGAACTTCTGATCGAGCTCAAGGAGCAGAAAAACCTCACATGGAAGCAAATTGCCGACTTCTTCCCCGGCCGCAATCCAGGCACATTGCAAGTGAGATATTGTACCAGATTAAAGACAGAGTCCACGCCATGGACAAGAGAAATGGTATGCTGCTCTCTTTTAAGACTAATCTTGACTCAAAATATGAAGTTACTGACTCTTTGATCCAGGATGAAAGATTACTAGATGCTTTACAAAGTTATGAAGATGAAAAGTGGCGCATCGTTGCACAGAGAGTTGGAGGTGGAGTAACGCCGATGGGGTGCTGCAATCGCGTGTGGGAGCTGTTTAATGATGACCTTGACGATTCCTCTCAGTTTCCATTTCCAAATGACGGTTGAAGGATTGTAAATGCTGACGCGCAATGAATAATGGTGATGACGGCATCTGTATTTGTATCTATAACATTCAAAGTAATTGACATCCTTAAATGAATCGACACTGTGTTTTGTGACATATGAGCTAAAGAGAAAAAAAGAGGGCGTGAAGGAATTTCACGACAGCAATTGCTTTGCTAACTCCGACTCATCCAAAACGGCGCCTGACTCAACCAGTGCGATCAAAGCCCGATGACAGGAGACGTCCAAATCTGACTGCTGACCGCTGCTATTTTTGCCAAGAAAACCTGCCGTCTCGACCAGCCATCCATTAAAATCCCGGATTTCAGTGGATTTTCCTGCACGGGCATCCTGCAGCATTGAACTCGTGTTATCCTTGACAATCTGCCCAATCTTATAAAGCATCGTACGAAGCTGAGGTTGCGAAAAGCGCAAAGTAAGCTCCTCTCTCAAGACATCCAACGATTGACCCTCGATTTCCGTGGAATCAGTGAGAATTTGAGCGCTGCTGGGGTGATTGATGAGAGTTTGGAGGACAGCACCAGATTCGTAGAGGAGGCGGTCGATAACTTTGGCTATAACGCCATTTGGATTCTCAAAGAGGACGCCATTTTTACACCGGAGAATGGCAGTGAGAGGGTTTATGGAAGAGTTCACGACGAGTTTTTGGAGCTGTGAGACCCATAGTTCGGCTCTTGTTACGGATCTTGCGTTGAGGTCGGGAGCGGTGGCGATGGCTTCTGTTAGATAGGCTACACTCGGTGCGGGATACGGAGTGTTGTCATTCAGCAAGACAGGTCCAATAGCAGTATCCGCAGGCGAGGCATGAAGGCTTTTAAATGGTCCCTCTGATAAGACGCCATGATTCGTGACACAGGCCAAAATGTTGGGCCCGCTGTTATCGGGATACCTCTTCGCTATGTATTCCTGTCCATGAGGCGGCCATAGTTTGGACATGCCGTTTTGGAGAAATGCCAAGCTGCTAGTACTATCAAGATATCTTCGTAGTTTATCAGTTTCGGGCATGGCTGCAGCAGCCTTGGTCGCAATGATGAGGTTGCGAATTTTGCTCGCTTGAGCGACTTCTCTAACAGGGCCTTGAGTGGGTGCTTGTTCAGTCCACCACTCGATCTGGAATTCATCCTTGCCGCTGTATAACTTTCCTAATCGGGTAATCTCGAGACCGGGGCTCTGAATCCATTGGGATAAAAGCTCTTTTCTGTGTACAACGAGAGTAATCGGGGGGCGAGGAGATTGCATGGAAAGGCAGCTTGCATAGAGGCGACCTAGATTGCCAACGCCGAGGATGAATATGCGGCGGTCCAAGTCATCCGAATTGGAGTGTTTGGAATTGTCATTGCCGCTGATGCTGCTGTCTACGTTCTCTGGGCTCCAGGCGTATAACTTGGGAGCCGGCCTCGTGTTGTCTAGCAAGGACTGAAGCCATGCAGGCTGATGCGACGCTTGTGTAGAGTAGGCCGCCATTGGTTTAGCGATAAAGATTTTCTGTGGATAAAGGTGGAGAAATGATGTTTGGAGGCGATGGGCTACTCTTGTCCAAATTGACATGTTGAAGGCTTAATGTTGATAGAAACTGGCTTGGAGTGGAAGATCTGACTCATTATATATGGAGAGTTTAGATGAGGGGCGGCTCCGAAGCCGAAGACCGCAGTATAAACTTGGGGTAGATTGAGAATGTGGTGTCAATGGAAGAAATGTATTTGAACAATGTTAAAAAAAGGGCGCGCAGAGAAAGTAATCAAGATGTAATGTGGGTGGAGTGCGATTTGTTGTATTTATATGTAGCTATATATATGAAGGCTGAAGTAATGATATCATATAAGGCTCTGTGCTATGGGTGGTAACCTGCAGAGTAATATTGCAAGGTTATGACTCAGTGTACTTGAGAAGAGGCTGCCAATGACATGCGCCAAAATTATTGAAATGACATCAATATTCAAATTAAAGCTGCTGTCACGAATTAATCATCATATAACTTCCATCTGCTCTGAACATGTCGGTGATCCGCCTGCTTTATTCGGCGCTACCCTGAAGCTTGGAGTTTCTTTTGGTCTTCTCACAGAGTGCTTTCATAATCACGTGACATAAAATGCACAATTTGCGCATCTGCCTGGAGCTTTATGCAGTGGCGCACCTTAACGATGACCAATCAGCGTCTCGCTGCTTTGCCACTCACATGTCGAGCAACATCGAACCTTCATGTCAGCCACTGTTTACAAGCACAACTTCCTTTGCTCGTCACTGTGTTTTCGCCTTTTCTTCACTTCATCTTCACTTCATGGGCTCTTTTTCGTCACAAGGATCTCCGCTGAAGACCATGACATGACGCTAAAGACATGATTAATGTTCTCGGCAGGACCAGAAATTGCAATTTTGACTCGCCACTAGACTGCATTCATCGCCGCCGTGAATCACTTCTTTGTTGACATCACAGGCGTCGCACAACTCCCAGACAATAAAGAACATGTCAAACCTGATTCTTCTACATTTCTTTCATCTATAGTGATTTTTTATCGAATCTTCAAGGCTCAAATACCTAATCTATCGCCGATACTCAGCCACTACCAGCTTGAAGAACTTAAGCGGTCCAACTGACATCATGGACTCTGAAAACGAGACAAAAGAGAAGGACATCGGCGAAAGTCGCAGTGCCTTGCTCGGCCAAATGATGGAAGCAGCTCAACAAGGCTCGACACCTGATCCCAACCCTGATTCCCCGCCAGCTATTGGAATCAGTGAAGAGGATGCGCTGAAGAATCTTTCCGGAACAGTACGAGATCAGGATGATCTGGAGCGAGACATCACCATGCAGGCCAATGCGGCGCTAATGGAGGCTGAAGACAAAAAGGACCGCGCCCGGATCGTCAAATTGGAGCTGACCAAGGAGCGATACAAGTCTCTGCTTGACAAGGAAAAAAAGAGGCTGGAAAAAGCTGCTGGCAACCCAACCCAGTCTCTTACCATTCAAAATGCGATTGCCAAAATCGAGCAGGAAATTCAGCAAACCACGCTGGACATTACTGATTTCGAATCACGTATCCAGAAGAGACACCAGGAAGATCCGTTACACAGCTTGAACCAGACGAAGTCTAAGAGGCTTCCCGGTGAAAGCAATCGTGACTATCTCATCCGAACCGGCAAGATTACCCCGTTTTCGAAGTTGGGAGGAGCACGCCCTGCTGGCATCGAGGGTCAACTTGCCGACACCATTTTGGATGCTGAGGAGGAAGCCGCTGCGGAGCAACTGAACAATGAGGCCGGGGAGGGTCCTCTATCACATCAATTACTTCGACGCCCCGGCTTCGAAGAAGAAGTGTCAACACCATCCGTGAGCGAAGGAACTGCGGCAGAAGCTGAATTCTCACTTCGACCGCGGAAGAAGAGAAAGGTTCAAAGACAAACAGAGCGTGAGCCCTCTGCTGATTTTGAGCCCGAGGCACAGTCTAGCTCGGAATCAGTTGATTCAGCGGTCTGGCAACAAACAACAGAAGATGACATCGTTCGTCAACAGCGTCGTAAAGCCAAAGCCAAGGCATCAGCTGCCGAGCAAGAGAGCATTGATCTTAGTAAGGTTGATGATGGCAACGAGGCGCACTACAAGAAGCGCTTGAAAGACTGGGTTGATCGAAGAAGTCGAGCAAGACGAGCCAAACGACAAAGCGACTCCACAACCAACCCGGAGGAGAGTGACGAGGAGGAAGACGAATGGTTTAAACCGGCGCCAGGTGTGGCAGATCATTATTTTACCGATGACCTCAAACTGCCAGGCGACGTATACCCGTCCCTCTTCGGATATCAAAAGACTGGCGTACAGTGGCTGGCTGAACTCTACAAGCAAAATGTTGGAGGCATCATTGGAGACGAAATGGGTCTTGGCAAAACCGTTCAGCTTATCGCATTCATTGCTGCCCTACACTACAGCAAAAAGCTCAAGAAGCCAGTCATCGTGGTCGCTCCAGCCACACTCCTCCGCCAGTGGGTAAGCGAATTCCATCGCTGGTGGCCGCCTCTGCGTGTCTCAATCCTTCATTCTTCAGGCAGTGGGATGCTCAACCCTGCAGCAGAAGATGATTACGATGTCGAGCACTTTAGCCCAATGGCTACCAAATCCGAAAAAGCGGCGAGAAAAATTGTGCGGGGAGTGGTTCAGAAAGGCCATGTCCTGGTCACCACCTACACTGGTCTTCAGACATATGCCGATCTGCTGTTGGGCGTTGAATGGGACTATGCGGTGCTTGATGAGGGCCATAAGATCCGAAATCCAAATGCCGAAATCACCGTGACCTGCAAAGAGCTCAACACGCCAAATCGTCTCATTTTGTCTGGAACACCAATCCAAAATAACCTCACGGAACTCTGGTCACTCTTCGACTTTATCTATCCAATGCGCTTGGGAACTCTCGTCAACTTTAAGCAGCAATTTGAGATACCCATTCGACAGGGCGGTTATGCAAATGCGTCTAATCTACAAGTCATGACTGCTGAAAAATGTGCCGAGGCTCTGAAGGAGACCATCAGTGAATATCTTCTCCAGCGATTGAAAGTTGATGTGGCTGCCGACCTCCCAGAAAAGACAGAGCAGGTCTTGTTCTGCAAATTGACAGAGGGTCAACGCAAGGCATACGAGACATTTCTCCGCTCCGACGAAGTGTCAGCAATTTTGAACAGGACACGCCAATCTCTCTATGGAATTGATATTCTCCGCAAGATTTGCAACCACCCTGATCTACTTGATAAGTCTCTTGCATATAAGCCTGGTTATGAAGTTGGTAACCCAAAAATGTCAGCAAAACTTCAACTCACCAAAGACCTGTTACAAAAAGTCATGATTCCGAATGGGCACAAGACACTTCTGTTTTCACAAGGAAAGCAAATGCTGAACATCATTGAGAAATGCATCAGGAATTGTGGCATCACCTATTTGCGGATGGATGGCGAAACTCCAATCGACCAACGACAGCCGATGATTGACAAGTTCAACTCCGATCCTGATATCCATGTCTTTCTCATGACTACCAGGACTGGTGGATTGGGCACAAACCTTACTGGCGCAGATCGCATCATCATCTTTGATCCAGACTGGAATCCATCTACTGACCTGCAAGCGCGAGAGCGAGCATGGAGACTGGGCCAGAACAAACCGGTAAAGATCTACCGACTGATGACTGAGGGTACGATTGAAGAGAAGATTTATCATCGTCAAATCTTCAAGCAGTTTATGACGAACAAGGTTCTCAAAGATCCGAAGCAGCGAAGCTCTTACGATCTCTCAGACTTGTATGATCTATTCACTTTCGATAAAAACACTGATCCTGCTGCGGCAAGAAGCGAAGTATTCAAGGGTGCGGAGGTGAATTTGAGCAAGAATATAGACAACACTGATGCAAAATCTCTGATGCCCATTAGAAGTGTGGGCCAAGGAAAACAAGAAGGTGAATTGAAGAGCTTGGATCTGGTTGCTGCAACGGAGGAAGTCAAGGAAGATCCATCTGCGCATGAGGAGAAGAGAATGCTTGAAGGCATCTTTGCCCGATCAGTGAACAGTGCCTACGACCACGAACAGATTGTCAATGGTCCACAGAAGGTCCAGGCTGATATATCAGTTCTGCGTCAGGAGGCGAACATGGTAGCCCGTCAAGCTGCAGCCCATCTTCGACATGCTGGAGAAGAAGCTCGTCGAATCCCGATCGGCACGGTCACTTGGACTGGCGAAGTTGGAACAGCAGGCCGTCCTGGCGGTAATCGTCGTCGTGGAGGTCCAAGTTCGGCGGGTGTCATGAGCAACCTTGCAGATCGCCAGGGCTTGGACAGCGGTAGCAGCTCACGATCAGGCACACCTGGAAGCGACAAGAACTTGAAGGCGAAAGATTTCATTCCATTGATCAAGACGTTCATCAACCGTCACGGAGGAAAAGTCCCCAGTAAGATGCTGGTGGACCATTTTAATTCTTATTGTCCTGGAAAGAAGCAGAGCGACGAATTCAAGTCTGCGCTGGAGATGATTGCGGTATTGAACCGGGTCAGCAGTACTGGAAGAGGCATGTGGTCGTTGAAACCACAATTTAAGTGAGATTTAATTTTTGTTCGAGGAGCATTTGATATGCTCCAATGGATTTGCATCTGCTTTTATACCAATAAGCAAGGAGTCTGGAATTTGAAGACATTGGAATGAGGATCAAATGGGAATGCTAGGAACACATATCAAATAGAATTAATCATCACACATTGCTTCATTCAATCATTGCTCATTCAGATTTGAGAATCACATGTGGCACATCTCACAGAAGAGTGTTACTCTGACAGGAAGATAACTTTTCATAGCCTTCTTCGGGCGAATTCGTAACTGTCTACTGCATCGACATCAAGCCATATCCTCTTTCTAATAAAAAGGACAAAGAAGCCTGAGCAGAGCATGGTAGAGTTGGAGACCAGGCTTTAAGGGCCGTTCTCCTCGTTTTTTCTCAACGCCACATAAAAGAACCAGATAGCGAAACTCCTGCCTTGATCCCAAACCAAAGGCTCGCCAAGCATGCAAATCCGTATTTTTTTGTTTGTGAAAAAAATACAGTATTTACAAACGACGACCACGGCGACCACCCTTTCTGCGGGTAGAGTCGGAGGGGGTAGGAGTAACGTCCTCAATGCGGCCAATCTTCATGCCAGCACGGGCAAGGGCACGGAGAGCAGACTGGGCACCGGGGCCAGGAGTCTTGGTGCCGTTACCTATCAAAGTTGTCCCCGTTAGTCTCTATGCCTTCTATGTCAACATTTGTAATGGAGGCGCAACATACCACCGGTGGCACGGATCTTGATGTGCAGAGCGTTGATGCCGAGCTCCTTGCAGCGGGCGGCGACGTCCTGGGCAGCCAACATGGCAGCGTAGGGGGAGGACTCGTCACGGTCAGCCTTGACCTTCATTCCACCGGTGACACGGGTGATGGTTTCACGGCCGGACAGATCGGTGACGTGGACGAAGGTGTCGTTGAAGGAGGCGAAGATACGAGCAACGCCGAAGACGAGCTCGCCTATTGTGCCATTGTTAGCCAAACCATCGCCAAATTTGCCTTTTTTTTCACCCCTCCTCTCTTTTTTCATATGGAAATTTCGAGGCGAGCGCTTCAATGCGCAAACACTCAAAATTCGCCAGGAATTATTTCGTCGTGTTTGGTTCATACGTACCATCGCGGGCAGAGGGGCCCAGGGAGATGTTCTCCTTAGGAGCGGCGACCTTCTTGGGAGGCATTTTGAGGATTCGTCGACGTCTGGTTTTTCGTCACGGGGCTGTTGAGAACTGGCGAGTCACTAAGAAAAAGAAGCCGTGATGCGCTTGAGTGGTGGTTGCAGCGAGCGAGGGCGGTTAGAGGGGCGGTGGGGCGCGGCAGAAAAATCCCACACAAAAAAATTCACCGCGAAAAATTGAGCATTGAGCTGCTGTAAGCCCTGCCCTACACCAAAATTTTCGAGAGTGGGACCTTTGCGAGCTCCACCAACGAGGTACTGTTCCCTCTTTTTTTTTCTTCTCGCTCTCTGGTCTTTTTTTTCTTTCCCTCCAAGCACAGCTTCGACGATCATAACAGACATCGCCATCAGCCGCCGCCACAATGTCTACGTATGTGCCTCCTCCCTGAACGCTTTGCGATACGGGGCAGATGCCCGGTCTCGATATGTTTGCAGATTGTCGTGGTCCTCTCGCTGGGCAGCCGATGAAAACCTTTTCCTGGTGAAAAGATCGGCCTGCCAGCTCGATCCCTCCCGAGACGCCTCCCTCAGCTATTCAAGATTTTGGTCAATCAGATTTTGCGAGCTGAGAGACGGTGCCATGGGGTGTTGGAGATGAAGAATTCGCATTGCTGCCTCTTCTCTCTTAAATTCATTGTCGCGCAAGGGCAATTAGCTTTGGTCTGAAAATGGCCTTGTTGCTATTGCCTGCGACTTCTTCTTTCTTGGACAAGATTTTCTTGTCTGGGGTGTTGTCGGATGAGTGGAATACAGGTTTCAATTGAGCACTGCTGGAATATGCGTGCCAATGCTCCCTATCTCACCGATCAAATTCAGCTCGGGTCAGCCTTGTTGAGAATGTCGCGTTTCAGCTACAGTTCTTGCATCGGCGCTCTGTTCCATACAAATGTATGGCGGACTACGTACTAATCTGAATTTTGAATATAGCGTCCCCACCAACGACCACGTCCTGGTCCCTGAGACCCTGCTCAAGAAGCGCAAGAGCCAGGAGAAGGCTCGCGCTGAGCGTGCTGCCGTTGTTGAGAAGCGCAAGGCTGTATGTATTATCTGTCTCCCTTTCAATATCTTCATGATGCACAACATACCGTCAACTAGACACTTTGTGTCGATGTCGTTGATCGTTAACCTTCTTTCGGGTCTGATATTCTGTTTGGAATACCCTTAGTTATGTTGCATTTCTCTTGCGTATAGCAAATCGTTAACATGACTTTTCAATAGGCCAACAAGGAGAAGCGTGGCGTCATCTTCAAGCGTGCCGAGAAGTACGTTCAGGAGTACCGCAGCGCTGAGCGCGAGAAGATCCGCCTTCGCCGTGCCGCCAAGGCCGACGACTCTGCCTACATCCCCGCTGAGGCCAAGCTGATCTTCGTCGTCCGTATCAAGGGGTATGTGCAACCTCCAGATCTTTTGACAAGGCGTGATAACTAACAATTTTCCAGTATCAACAAGATGCCCCCTAAGCCCCGCAAGGTCCTTCAGCTGCTCCGTCTCCTCCAGATCAACAACGGTGTCTTCCTGAAGGTCACCAAGGCCATCACTGAGATGCTCAAGATCGTTGAGCCCTGGATTGCCTACGGTTACCCCAACCTGAAGTCCGTCAAGGAGCTCATCTACAAGCGTGGATACGGAAAGGTTGAGAAGCAGCGCATTGCCCTGACTGACAACTCCATCGTTGAGGAGAACCTCGGCAAGTACGGCATCATCTGCGTTGAGGATCTCGTCCACGAGATCTTCACCGTCGGCCCCAACTTCAAGCAGGCCGCCAACTTCCTGTGGCCCTTCAAGCTGAGCAACCCCAACGGTGGCTTCCGCCCCCGCAAGTTCAAGCACTTCATTGAGGGTGGTGACCTTGGCAACCGTGAGGAGGCTATCAACGCTCTCATCCGCCAGATGAACTAAGTCAATTAAAACAAAAATGGGTTTTACGGATTTTGGTAGTGGGAATAGGGAAATATCATGCATGGTTGCTCGGCGTTGGTATCACGACTTGGCCTTTTGTTAAATTGACTCTTCGATGAATGACACTCGAGTTTCCATGTCGTGTGATGCTCAAATTGCTTCTAAAACTGGTCTACATGTGATGTGCCATTGTATCTTCGTGTCTCGTCATCTGCTCTTGTAGGATATCAAACCCATTAAATCTTCCAGTAAACCATTGAGTGGCGATTATTAGTCAGGCTCTCCACTCCTGCGCAGATGTGTAAATGTACATGGGAATTATTAATATGTGCTACACCTTGATATCGAAGCTTGTTCCACACCCGCAGCTGCTTGTTGCATAAGGGTTATCAACAATTTTGAACTGCGACCCAATCAACTCTTGTGTAAAATCCACCTTGCTGCCCGTGAGAAGCTCCAGGGAAGGTTCGTCTAGTATGATCTTCGGGCTATCTGCCGGCGGAGTAGCAGAATTGGCCTCGTCTGGAACGTATTGGAAAATGCTGTCGTCCTCGGAGATGACGGTCGATGCTTCGCGCGCTTCTTCTGTTGGCATCGTAACGAGGCTCATAAGGTACTGGAAACCGTGGCAACCTCCACTCTCAACTCGAATGCGCAAAGCTAGGTGGGGGTTCTTGTCCTTGGTCATGATGTCGGAGAGTCGCTATATGAATCATGTGTAAGTAATGTATTCAAATAAGATTCAGGAAAAAGATATATCAAGCACAAATCATACCTTAGCTGCCCGAGAGGTGATTTCCAACATCATATCCTTGCCATCCTCGCCCTTTACGGGATTTTGTATGCATATCGTTGCCAGTCGGGTGGCAGAAGCTGTGAATGACCGGCTGTTTGGCTGTCGACTTATTGAAAGGACGGATGCCTTGGAAACTGGTGTCACCGATATGCCATTTCCAAATTGAGAAGAAATCCTCGTTGTTCGTAGTCGTGAAGAGCGAGACGCTCCGCGCGGAATGAGAAACTCTAGAGGTGTTTGTTGTACATGTGCGGTCGCCACTGAATACCGCCGTTTGGCGAGCTGAACAAAGGACCGTGCGGCAGAAGCGCTGTCGGTACAGCGTAGTGATATCATCGTGGGACCCAGTCAGATAATCCTGTATCTGCTGTGGAAATGGCAGAGTTCAAGACTGAGTTCAGCCGAGGCCATCGAGAACATTATCCAGCCGTCTATTTCCGCTGCTGATGTCAGCCAACTCAGGCACAGAGGCAGAGGCGGCAAATGTCCGGCCATTCGCATGGATTACATGCTAGTGGCCAGATGGCCTTAGCTAAGCAGCGACTTGCAAAGCAAAGCGCACTCGCTAAGCCCCAAGATGCCGCCCCACCTCCCACCAAAAATCAGTGAATTTTTGACCCTCGACTTTTGAACCAACCCCGCGCACCTCGAAAGAGAGTCTTTGCCTGGCTCTCGAATTTCTGCGACAGCGTCGAACGGGATATCTCATCAACCGAAGACAAGGAAACCGATCCGCCAACATGTCTCGCTTTTTCCGCAGCGGCGGTGACGACAGCTCCAGCGAGAGCTCCAGCGACGAGGAAGAACTCTACTCCGGAGAGGAGGATCAGGAACTCGACCAGGAACAGTCCGAGGAAGAATCCGACGAGTTCGATCACTCCGACGAAGAAAGTGAAGATGACGACAAGGAGGCCGGCGGCGACCAGAAGCAGGGTGCTTTCCGATTCTTGAGAGACAACGTTGCGTCCGATAGCGAGGGTAGCGACGATGAAGTCCGAGACAAGGTCAAGAGCGCACAGGTCAAGCGACTGGACGAGCTCGAAACCTCTATTAAGCAGATTGAGAACGGTCAGAAGAATGGCGACTGGACTCTCATCTCTACCGGTATGGCAACAATGACAACGCGATGACCGAGGGGCAACGCTAACGATTTCAAAACAGAGTTCGACAAGCTCAACCGACAAGTGACCAAACTGCCTGCCGGAAGCAGAATACCCAAGCCTTACATCAAAGTCATTGCCGAGATCGAGGAATCCGTCAATGAGGCTCTTGCAAAGGCAAAGGTTACCCCGAAGAAGATGAACGCCACCCAGGCTCGTGCTCTCAACGCCGTCAAGCAAAAGGTCAAGAAGACCAACAAGGACTACCAAGATGAGATTGCTGTCTACCGAGAGGACAAGGACACCTACCTATGGTCTTCAGATGAGGAGGAGGAAGTTCCCCAGCCCAAGGCCCCCAAGGCTGTCAAGTTCGACGAAACGGCCGGTGCTGATGAGGCCGCTGATGAGGGATTCGCCACCGTCGGAAAGGGTGGCCGTACCCTGCAGTACACCCCTGAGAGCATCTTCAAGCACCTGCGAGGCATCATGGAGACTCGTGGAAAGAAGAACACCGACAGACTTGAGCAGATCAAGGTCATGGAGAGGCTCAACGAGATCGCCAACACCCCCTACCAGCAGATTCGTGTTCTTCTGACCCTGGTCTCTGCTCGATTCGACCTTGGCTCCGGAACTACTAACGTTATGCCCCTGGAGCACTGGAAGGCTGCTGAGAAGGAACTCTCTCAGCTCCTGACCATTCTTTCCCAGACCTCCGAGTATGTCGTTCTCGAGAACGTTGAGGAGTGGGATGATGATGAGAAGCCCCCTACTCTGCAGCCCGGCGAGAAGCACATCAAGGTTGCTGGCAGCATCGTCTCCTATGTCGAGAGACTTGACGATGAACTCCACCGATCTCTGCAGAGCATCGACCCCCACACCTCAGAGTACATTGAGCGCCTGCAGGATGAGGGTGCTCTGTACAACGTCATCTTCCGTGGTCTCCTCTACTACGAGGCCTTGAAGAAGGACGAGACCATTGAGGTTCCTCAGGACAGCGTTAACCGTATTGTCATGCGACGACTGGAGCACGTTTACTTCAAGGTGAGGAATCGTCCATGTTCATCAGTTAATACGCATAGCTAACATGATATGTAGCCTGCCCAAGTTGTCAAGACTTTCGAGGAGAACTCCTGGAAGGCCGTTGGCGAGAATGTCGACTCTACCACCACTCCCCGTGCCCAGGCTCAGGACCCCACTAGCTTGGTCAACGTCCTCTGCGCCTACCTCTACGCCAACAGCGAGGGCATCCTCCGTGCCAGAGCCCTGCTCTCTCAAGTCTACTTCCTTGCTCTCCACGACGACTACTACAAGGCTCGTGACATGATGCTCATGTCACACTTGCAGGAGACTGTTACGGGCTTCGATATCCAGAGCCAGATCCTGTACAACCGAACTCTTGTTCAAGTCGGTCTCTGCGCTTTCCGCAAGGGCCTGATCTACGACGCTCAGAACACCCTGCAGGAGATTTGCGGTAGCGGCCGTCAAAAGGAGCTGCTCGCCCAGGGTGTCATGATGCAGCGATACAGCCAGGTCTCTCCCGAGCAGGAGCGCCTCGAGAAGCAGCGACAGCTGCCCTTCCACATGCACATCAACCTGGAGCTGCTCGAGTGCGTGTACCTCACTTGCAGCATGCTTCTGGAGATTCCTCTCCTCGCCCAGACTGGCTCTTCCCCCGACGTCAAGAAGCGTGTCATCAGCAAGACCTACCGCCGTATGCTCGAGTACCACGAGAGACAGATCTTCACTGGTCCTCCCGAGAATACTCGTGACCACGTGATGCAGGCTTCCAAGGCTCTGGCTGCCGGCGAGTGGAAGAAGTCCATTACCTACATCCACAGCATCAAGATCTGGGACCTGATGCCCAACACCGATGAGATCAAGGAGATGCTGTCCAAGCAGATCCAGGAGGAGGGTCTGCGAACATACCTCTTCACCTACGCCCCCTTCTACGACACCCTCGCCATCGACACCCTCAGCAGCATGTTCGAGCTCGACTCCACCAAGGTGGCCGCTGTCATCAGCAAGATGATCAGCCACGAGGAGCTTGCTGCCTCTCTCGACCAGGTCACCAACAACGTCATCTTCCGCAAGGGCGTTGAACTCAGCAGACTCCAGTCCCTGGCTCTCGCCCTGTCAGACAAGGCCAGCGCGCTCATTGAGACTAACGAGCGAACATTGGAGCAGCGCACACAGGGCACATCAAGTGCCTTTGAGAGACAAGGCGGCAGAGGCCGTGGAGGCCACAGGGGAGGTGCCCGCGGCGGCAGAGGAGGTCCTCGCGGCGGCGGCAACCCCCAGCGACAGGCTGGTGGCACGCAGTTCACGGGCGGAGCTCTAGGAGCGGCCGTCCGTGGTTAGGATGGAAGCATATGATTATGAGAAGGGGATGGTGGCTGGTAGGGCGTCCGAATTTGATCTCTTGAACACTTTTACTTTGTGTGTTTTCAAAATCCCTTTTATTTTTCACTTGTGTGCTTGCATGGGATCAAGGAGGGGTTTCTCTTGTAATGGAAGAAAAAGTCCCGGGCGATCGAGCGAGGAAACGGAGGGAACTCGCTACACTTGTTTGATAGGTTGAACTGGAAATTTTAAAAAGGGAATGCATAAAACATAGAATGAATGTTGGCCTTGTGTTTCTCTCGCGATGTGTGTCTGGCCGCTGTGAGTGCAGCTGTGAAGCCTAAAGAGACAACTATTGAGTCAAATATCATCTACCTAAATCTTTATGCACAACATTATCTTCCAATCTTGTCAAGTCGTCATTCATTATCAGATCCATTTGAATCTGAACTCTCATCATCCGTGTCTGACTCTTCATCACCTGAGAAAGAATGCCTGCGAGTCCCAACCGTCATTCTACTACCTATGAGCTGGTGTCGAATTGTCTCCGCCTCAGCAATGCCAATTGGCATGTCTACATAATTGTACACAATTTTACGCAGCTCTGGCGGTAACCTTTGGGTAATCTTTACCCCCTCCTTATGGACTTTGCATTCAGTCCACCAGTGGGTTTGCTGAGGGGGCACATTGGATGTCGATATGATAGGGATTGCTGGATCAACAAGACATAACTTGAGAATCTTGCGGTATCCTGGTCGAGAGCGGTCTGCAAGTGCAAACGATCCCTGGCGGTGTCTGTAAATGTTGGGGTAGAAAACAGCCCAATCAGGATCGGTAAGTATTCGACCTATGACTTGGTAACCGCCTCTCGGTGAAATATCAAACGCCCGCAAGGTGTCTTCGCTGTCAGGATCTGGTACGAAGCCTAAATCCTCATGATAAATAGCAGTATCGAAGTATATATGACTCTCCGTGACATTGTTGCTATCATAGCAGAACAGGGCTGTAGACACAACATGTTCATTGAGCAGGCCATCCAAATTCCACAAGTCACCCTCGTATTCTGGATTTTTTGGAGTCAGGTGGATTTCAGTCAGCTCAACGATGACCTGAAGGTGATTATGCTTTTGTGAAAAAAAGGCGGATGAGCGGACATCGGATGAATTTAGGCGAACATGTTTGTATGGCGATGTTGCTCTTAGCTCGGGGAACTGCAAAGGGTGCGTCTCGTTGAACAGCTTGAAGATGGGGTTTGAATGCTGCTCTAACATGGTTTCATACCATTCATCGCCTTCAATAATCCAGCTGTTGTACCATTTTTCCAAATAGTTTTCATTACGTTCCAGTTTGAGGTTGAGAAGTTGATCATCACATTTAGGCAGCGTGGATGACGCAGGCTTCGTGTCGGCTGCTACGAGCTCTTGTTCTTTCTCGAGTCCGTCTTCGTCCTTGTGGATTCCCTTTCTTTGAAGATATTCTTCCTCTTCTTGAATTCAATTGTCAGTATAGCAATATATATGATATGACCAATTTTTTGTCCAGCCAATGTCTTACCTTCGGATAGAGCCATATTTAGCCAACTGCATTCTCTGTCAGCGCATATGCCAGGAACTTTACAGTCGTAGTATATGTCCTGTAGGTCCATTCGTTTGTGTGAAAATTCTCGAGGCCATCTGTATACAATATCCTAAGCTGGTAAAGCTAGGGTGATGAACTTTTCGATGGTAGTATACATGTCCGCATGCTCAATTGGGTGTAAGTTATTGATGTAACTGTTAATCTTGGCGCTTCCACTTTCGTCCACAATGACATCGCATGGAAGCCATTGAAAGGAGACATCAAACATGCTAGAGCCTCCATCATTCCCCGGATCCCAAAGGCTTAAAAGAATATCTCCCTTGCCACAGGCTTCTAGACAATTACTGAGGTTGATTCTTCTGTCAGGAAGGATGCGAGAGCGACGATATATGAGTGGGCATATAGAGGGATCTATCAAATGGAAGGTGGTAGATCGTGGGATATGTTGTCATCTGGTATGGCTTGTGATAGTTTCTTGCTGCCAATAGAGAGTTCCCGTTTTAAGGCTTCTGGCACGAGTTTGTCGGATTTGATAACGCAGTCATCGTAGTCTAAGACAGGAATGAGGCCTGTATTTTTATACAGGTCCGCTTTGAGCTTCAGCTCTTCGATGCACTACGCATCCAACGCAAGTTAGTGACTCGTAATTAAAAGGCGCACGCGGAAGAGGAGACATTGAGAAATATTTTTTCCAGAGTAAAGGGGAGATTTCATGTCCTTGAAGCATACCCAATCTGCCATAGAAGGCGTAAAGTCGGCGTACGTCAAATACTTGCTCCACTCCAGCCCAAGTATCTCTTTCTTCCATCTGTCTATTATATGAGTATCGTGAATATTACTCCACCACCCTGGCTTGTTGGTGATTTCTTCGACAACCTTTAGTATGCATAACTCTCTGACAAACAGAGGTCCGGCATTCCATTCGGTTCCAGTATCTGTTGCGAAGACGGGGAAGTGGCCTTCAGGCATTCTATCCAGGTGATACCCATAACCTGGGAGCTTGATGGTGGCTGTGGGAGAAATTTTCTATGATACTTAGGTTAGACAAGAGACTTGCCAGGCGAAGAATGTATGTATAAGTACCTTTTGAAAATCTTTGGCAATGTTATCTAACACCTGTTGAATGACCTCGACTTCGTCACCATGTTCCAAAAGAACGTTGGCATTGCCCCTCATCCATTCTGCAACATCTTCAAAGCAGATAAGTTTATCTGCTGCCTCGACCCATTCTTGAAATTGCTTTGCTTGCTCAGGAGTTCCCGGAAACAATTGCAGAGGTTCCTCAGGGCCGTTGTCAGAAGGATTGGGATTCATCGTTTTCTAGTTGGCTCTCACCAGGGGGAGGGGCCGATCGTGGTAAAAACAAGTTGCCTGTGGACTGGTAGGAGTAGCTAGTGGTTTGTCGTGGAAGCGGCTGTGTTGGTCTTTGGTAAAGACCAAAAGTGTATTCTCAGCTGCTATGGGAAAAAATGAGGAGTTGGAGTAATTTGTGTGAAGGCGAGATGGAAATTGCAAAAAGTGCTGGTAGATCAGGTAATCTAGCGAGCAGTGACGGGGTGAGTAGGAAGTGAGTTGGGCCTTCCTCTTCAGCACCCGCTCAGTTGTGCCTGGCAGTCACCTGACCGAAACGTGATAGAGTGTGAGGTGACATGAATGCGAGAAACAATTACAGCTGCCAGCTGTTGAAGAGTGCGGCTGGAGGTAGCAGACTCTTTTCGACAAAGCTCTCCTAGCCGTGATGGTATGGCATTGAGATATGGTGATGAAGCACGAATGATGAGCACACTGATGATGTACATGTAGAAATTTGGGAAAAGTTTGCCAGTTTTGCAGTGAATACTTTCTGAATTAAGAAAGATTCAGAAACAGGTGGTGGCTTAATATTAAGCATCTCAGGTTGGCTATAGCAGGTAGTGATAATATCAGATACTAGAGGAAAATATCGATGGTAGCAGAAGGTAGCCATAGTATCAGAAAGTAGCGAGAGTAGTAAATAGACCTGGGTCTATTTTAGCTAATTGGCATATTAATTGAATGGCTAGTACTTGTAATTTTGTATGTTGAGGCAATGCAGAGCCTTATTGTAGGATATTCTGGGCATCCTGTGGCTTAGGGAAAAAAGCCAGTGTGAAGGGGATGAATGCCTGGGAACTCCCTCTGCATGAGGTTGGCCTTTTCTACGGCTTGTACACAGAGGAATATGGTTATCGCATTAACGATTGAATGAGAATATCATATTCTAGATAGAACTAAACATCTCCCTTTTCTTCTCTCTGATTGCTGCAACCTGAGATGCTGACTGCTACCACAATCTCTTACCCTTCACCTATGTCAGCACTGATGGAACCGATCCACTAGAATTATTACTACGTAGGTGGCTATTCAGAAGCTTCAGTTGGCTATCCAAAATCCAAGCGACCCTGACGAATATTTAATCGTTGCAACAATACGAGTACGCAGAGGACACATCTTTTATTACCATTACTTGAGTAGATACACGATTCCTGGAGAATGAATGGTGTTCAAGCCCCTGTAGTCGATTCTGTGGAGCCATCAAACGCTAAGACGGCTGTTGACACACACTACCAAAGAACCCCCCAAAACACTGTGCAACGTGCCACTTCTGCCGCCAATCAGAGTATTTATATAACATAGGTACTTCATCTTACATGGAATCACAGTAACTGCACAGTTCTCTTCCCTCCGCAAAGAAAGTGGAACTCCAAAATATTAATAATCCGGAGCCGAACTGGCAGCAAAGCAAAACGTGGAGCAAGTCGCAGCAAGCAAAGCTTCCAGTGGATCTTGTCCACTCACACACGCCTTATCCGAGGTTTTGTGGGGGTGGACCTCGGCAGCGCCTCAACAGTGGTTTACAGTAAGAGGCTAATAAGAAATAAGAGCTGAGCTGCTCACCCAGCCCAGGGCAATTGATTAAATTAATTAATGCTACAGGTACATAAACATAGCCCAGACGTCGACAGAGTCAGCGCGCGTCCAGGCTTGCGTCAATCACCACCAGCGTTGGCCCGACCGCTTCAGCGCAGCATCTCTGCCCATTGCAATTCGGCTCGGTCTTGGAGATAAGACGCGGATCGGCTCTAATCGATAACCGCGCCCTTTATCGTCAGCACCTCTTCTTCTTTTGCTCTCCTCCTCTAACCTCCATTCTCCTCCTCCTCTCTTCTCTTCTCTCGTCTCGTCTCGTCTCGTTTCCTCCTCCTCCTCCTCCTCCTCCTCCTCTCCGCCACAATGACCGACGTGGCTGATATCGCCGCCGACTCGGCCTCGACTGAAGTGGCCGCCGCCATCGACTCCGCCGTTGCTGTGGTCGATCCTCTTCCCTCGATTCCCACCCCGGCCAAGGCTCCCATTGGCGCTGTTCTCGCCGCTGTGCCCTCCAATGCGGATGCCTTTGCTGGCCATCTGCTGCGATGCCTCCAGACCCGCGCCGGCGCTGATGCTGTCCTGCAGTTCCTCTGCTACTCGTCCAAGCTGTCGGGCTCCGTGCTCGAGACGCTGAGCCGCAATGCCCTGCGCCAGTCAGCACAGAAGCTCATTGCCATGGCCTTCCAGCTGCCGCCCGCCACGACGGTCGTTCTCTCATCAGCCCCAGCGCCTCCCGGGGCGGCGTTTGCGCTCAACCTGGCGACCAAGCTCAAGGCCTTTGCAGGCATTCTAAGCGAGGCACGGACGATTAACCGACTCTGGGGTCTGCTTGGCCTGTACTTTGCGCTCAAGCGGCTCCTCTCCAGGCCGCGCCCCAAAAAGGAAGATTCCGAAAAAGAGGGTTCAAGCTCCGTCGTTCTGGCCCACCACTTCGATACCGTCTTCTCTCTCACCCAGATCTTCTCCCTCATCCTATATCAAGTGTTTGAGAACCTCGCGTTCTTGGGCAGCAAAAAGGCCATTGATCTAAAGCCCACGACCATGGGCAAGTTTGGCCTCCTCAGCGTGCGATGCTGGGGTGCGTATACCTTCATGGAGCTTGCCAGGCTGCTGCTGGAGCGCACGCGCAAGAGCGCCGAGGCCAAGGACGCCGCTTGGGCGAACACCTGGAACAAGAGCTTCTTCCGCAACTTGGCCTGGGCGCCATTGACCGTCCAATGGGGCATGATTGGCGGAGGACCTCTGCCTGAGACGGCGGTGAACTTGCTGGCGATGTACCCCTCAACGGGACAGATGATTGATCTCTGGCGTGAGACGGCTTAAAGGTGTTGAAATCTTGTCTCCTCGAAATCCCCGGTGAAAGGGGCGAGGGATCTGTTGGGTGCTACGCGAGCGGCTGTGCAACTTGAAGTTGATGGGAAAGGATTCACAGTACCCGGAAAGGCGCAGGCATTTTGGCACCAGTCTCCGTATAAGATATAGACATACAGAGGGTAAGATCATCTACCGGAGTAAATGATGCACTTGGTATCGCAAGAATATTGGAAACCTGGGCAATGGTAGAATGTCGGATAGGTATGTAAGCTTTTTGTCTGTCTTTGCTTGTTTGGATCACATGTAATAGCTGAGCTGTATTTTGCCATTTACGTTTATGAATATATGCATGCATCTTTTGCCAATTGTCTTTGTCCATCTATATCGCTTTATCTACCAGTCATTACCATGCTTCCAAAGGTGTATCCAAACAAAAAAAAAAAAAAAAGAAAAGAAAAGAAAAGGAAAAGAGACATCACTGCAAACCATTTACATGTTTAACCGCCGAATCTCCTGAATCGTCCAAAACTTCCTCATGTTCTCCGCCCCCAGCGATCTCACCTCATCATCCAAGTGCGCCCACAGCACGCCTCCCCAGCTCTCCATCTTCTCCTTCAAAACGCTCAACTCAAAGTCCCTCTCGCCGCTCTTCACCTCCTTCAGATACTTTTCGAATCCTCCCAGGCCCTCGTGGATCTTTTCATGCTGCTTCACCAGGTCTCCATTCTTGGGGTTGAATTCAGGCATCCGCTGAGCCAGCTTGGGGAAAAAGTAAGTCTCCTCGATGCCGTGGTGCATTGTGAGATGCTCGGCGAATTCGGTGCCGATTTGGAGGAGCTGTTTGATGGACATGCCCTGAGGACGACGGCCTGTGGTGCAGGCTTGCCAGAGGATGTTCCAGGATCGGCGGAAGTTGTTGTGCTATGAGTGCAGTGTGAGATGGTGTTATATATGAGATGAGATGGGTATAAGTGAGAAAGCACTGAGGTTACGTACAAACCACTCCATCTTTTCAGCAAGATGGTTATACATCTTGAACTCATGATCCGTCAATGGAGGAAGCTCTTGCTTCACTAAGCCCTCGTCATTTTTTCCACTGGCTTCAGCCATGTTGAAAGCGTATCTTTTTGTTGCGGAGTTTGATATAAGAGGAGCTCTTCCTCTCGGCGCTGCAGCAATAATCCCACGCCTAGTCAAAATGCTCTGCTTGAACAGGGGAATTCTCGTTTGTATCCTCGCAAAACTCATCCGTCTTTTAACCTTCTACCCTTTCTTCTTCTTCAACACTCTGCAAAATTGTTCGGAAATATCCTTTATATCTCAAGAAATTTCACAGGATCCGTCTCCTCTCCGAAAAATGCGACAAACTCCCGTATCTCGTGTACTGATAGATCTTGGCTTAGCTTTGGCGTGATTGGCTAGTTTTGGGGAATCAGCGCTATTGAGGGCTCCACAGGATTACACAGGCATCAGTCAGCACGGAATTACGATCAATAATTCTCCATCCAACCGCGCGGTGTTGCTTCCGATTCGATCGTGCGGCTTAAACGTTTTGAACATGTCCAGCGAGCCGACGTTCCGGGTCGCATTTTGATGCTTGGGAGGGCGATGCTGAGAAGGTCGAGTGACTTGAAAGGTTTGATGTCCAGCTAAAGAAGAGCAGATGTTCGTTTCAAAGACGGCCAATTCTTCTTTGCCGAATTATATGAACAGCATGGCTCTCTCAATGGCAACATCTAACTTCTCAGGCCGTCTCTTCGTTGACAATACATGATGTATGTATGGAACAAGACTCCATGGCAGATACTCAATCACTCGCAGCAGCGGACTCCGCGATCGAGCCGAAACGCGCGGGCCGCAGAGCTCCAGTCAGCTCATAACACCAACTACATGAAGTTTATACGTCTCCAGTGGTCAAATAAGTCTTAACCCCGTGCTAGCGTACCAAATCTACATGTTATATGGGTATAACATGCAGGGATGTTGCTGCTAGGGGCAAATCAAGCGCGCGGCAGTCATTCCAAGCCGGCAGCCTGCATTTCGCTATCGACTTCCAGATCGCATGTCTTGTGCCCCATGTTTCCTCGATGTATTTCCAGGAGAGACAAAGTAACGTAGCTCAAAGCACCCCGGGAATCCCAATGTCAAACGCCCCAGTTTTGCCGATAACTGGATCTGATGCCGTCTTGTGTGCTTGCATGGCACAGTAGTGGCATATAGAGAACTGCAAAGTCTCCTTTTAGCTCCGGTTGTTATGACTTCAATCATTACTGTGACACTTTGTATCGTTGTTTGAATTGAAAACATATACCTCACATTGATTTACGCTTGCCATTCTCCTGGCGGCACCGTACTTGGACAGCAGACGTCAAGAAGCAAACACCCGGTGTGAAACAAACGACCAGCTGAACATCAATACGTCATTGCGAAGGCATCATCAGCCCACATGGATGGTTAATACAATTTTGTTCTTCTACTACTACCGATAGACAGGCATTGTCAGTGCTTCGATTGCAAAACGATCGCTATCCGCCAAGTCAAGAAACACCATACTACACTTCGCCTAAAAACAATAATCTCACGGCCGTAATGCGCTCAAATCAATAAACATTCACCAAGTTCACCTAAACTCCTTCCCGCAGTCGCCTTTTGGGTTCCGCAAACACCGTTTTCGCACAACATGCGACAGTTCCGTCTTGGGCGAGATAAACGGCTTGATGGCCTTGCGCACATTCGTTCTCTGCTCAAAGTCGTACGCCATCGCAAACAGCGTCTCCTCGCTAAAAGCAGGGCCAGAAAAGGCGATGCCGAACGGACCGTTGGGGGCCGACAGTATCAAGTTCCCTCTATCTGACGGAACGATGGGGGAATCATCGGGACTGCGGCCCAGGGGCACACTGACGACGGGGAACCCCAGGCCAGCTGCCATCAAGACTGAATACGGCGTCGGATGAACCATTGCGTCCAACTTGTATTTGTCCAGCGCTCCTGTGAAGCACAGCGGTCCGAGGATCTCTGTCACAGTAGTAACGTTGGACCAGTAAGTGGGATCCGTGTCGTTGATGCCCAACTTAAGATATGTGTCCCAGGCTGTGGTATCGAATCGCGGGAATCCCTCCTGAGGATCGTCTCGGGTGAAGTCCCGCAGATCTCTGACTGAGGTGATGTTGTTCGGGTTTTCTTTGAGGAGGTCGAGGTACTTTTCCGGCAATTTAGACAAAAAGTCGGCACCAACTATGGAGAAGACACCAGACATGACATCAGCCATGGAGTAGTTGGCCGAGGGTATTTGCCTGCGCTTTTTGCTGTGGCCAGTAAAGAAATCATTGCAAGGCAAGTCGACATTGTCAACAATCTCTGCGCCAGCTGAGCGAATCACGTCCAACGCTCTCTCAAATGCTTCCGGGTCAGTGTTTGCTGATGGATCGATATCTGTCGCCATTGTGTTGCGAGACACGCCAATCCGCTTGCCTTTGAGGCCAGAATTCGTGCATGCTGCAACATAGTCTGGTATCTCGTCAAAAGGAATGGCGCTTGTGTAGTTGTCTCGCGAATCACGCCCTGCCATGGCTTGCATGAGATATGCTGCATCCTTGACGGTCCGAGTCAAAGTGCCGACAGTGTCCTGCCTTGTTGAATACGGAATCACCAAATACCTCGAAGTCAATCCCACTGTAGGGCGAAATCCAACGACGTTGTTCGCATGCGCTGGTAAGAGGATGGATCCCCCAGTGTCTGTGCCAACTGCTGCCCATGCAAGACCGAGGGAGGTAGATATTCCACTCCCCGATGATGAACCTCTAGGGTTTTGCTTCGGAAAGTACGCACCAACTGCCTGGCCACCGTGTGCCGACCAACCTTCGTGCGTGACCGCCTCTCGAGAAGCGGCCCATTGCGACAGGTTGGCTTTTCCGAGGATGATGGCTCCGGCTTTGCGCAGCTTGGAAGCAATAGTGCTGTCATGCGGGACTTTGGCCCCTAGCAGCGCATATGAGCCAGCGGTGTTGTTCATTTCATCGTCTGTGGCAATGTTGTTCTTGAGGAGGATGGGTATGCCATGGAGAGGCTGCTTAGCGGGATCTATCCCTACTCTCCTCTCTGCATCACGCTCTGAAGCTATTGAGAGCGCGTCAGGATTGATCTCAGTGACAGCTCGCAGGACATGATTGACCTCAGAGATCCTGTCAATATAGGCATTTACCAAATCGACACTGGTGAAGAGGTTGTTGTCCAACCCCAGGCGCAGGTCAGTGAGGGTGGCATCGAGTAATGGAGGGAAATCTTCGTCTGCAGTCAAGAGAGACTGAGACAGACTGGCAAAAGACAAGACTTGCAGCGCCGTAGCGAGTGCACGAGGGGGCTTCATAGTCGAATAAGTGGTTTTCTGAGACGCTCACGGTTTGTTTCTTTGATGCTTTTCCAGGGAGAAAGAAGATGGGCATTTATACACAGCTATGTATGAATAATACGTGTAAAGTGCTGACACTGCCGTCAGGTATCATATGTACGGCTTATTGGGACGTGTAGCAGCAAGCACCTCCGACAGGCAGCATTACGGACCGCGATCATCAAGCCCTAAGGCATTTCATCATCCAAAGTATTATTTGTCTTTCCATAGTCAGACACCTGCTCCGAGTTTACCGATATGAAAACTGACTAGCGGCTTGTCCCCGTCGACGCGAATTTAGTCGAGCGGTATGTACCTACGCTAGCTTTACAACCACGACCACCACTACAACAGCTATTATTGCTCCGATCTTTGTGGAACGATTGCTACAGTCTCACAATGGCATTCGTGCCGTCGTGTAGGACAGGCAGACAGAAGCGGAGAAGATTATCAGCCAAGCAATCGCCCCCATCTCTCACTCTGGCGAACGAGAAGTCCTGAGATTCCCCCTTCTAGGCATACCATGCACGCCAAGGAGCCAGGAATAAACATTGACCCCTGAAATACGCAGCATTCATAAGCCTAAGATGTTTGCCGACGATGAAGCACGTCTGCGTTTCCTGTCTGATCTTGGCGATGATCTTCCCGTGAGTTTAGAAAGCTACCGTACTCGGACGTTCCGATGTTACATCGAAGCCACTCAATTCTTAGTTTCATCACAAACTGCTAGAGTTTGGTCGTGCTCGCTTCCGGACTCTGCACTTTCCACTCATGACCCGTCCCTTTTCTGCTGTCTTCTGGAGAGAAAGCAGGCTGTTGTATGACCTCTCGTGAAACCGCCAGGATGGTCGTTTGCAATGGGAAAGATTGACTGCTGATCGCTAGCCTTGGATTAAGCTTATGTCTACAAAGAAGCAGCTTGTATTCTGACTAGGCACTATAGCTATCTCGAGTTGAATCTGAGTAATGGCCGCGGCTAAGACGGCACCAAAAGCGGCCAGCCCTTGTACTACATCCAAGTCTCGATAGAAGCTTTGTACGGAGTAGAAAACAGGGATTTTGGTGAGTCTAAAGTCTGAGCGTGGCTGCTAGGACGGAAAGAAATTTGAGCTGTAATTATATCAGGCTATGATCCAGCCAATGCGGGGAGTTTAATGCAGGAGCATTATGCGACGTTCCCCAAAGATGTTGTCCTACAGTCGGACTCTGGGAATCTTCTCAACACACTTGGTACATGGATCGAAGGCAGCTATGATGAAGCAGCATCTATCATTGTGATAAAACAAAAGTCCAGGCGAAGAAGGTGTCGAGGGCGCCCGAAATTACGTGGCCCACGCGGGAAATCCAGAGGCCAACAACAAAGACAATGTTCTCATAGGCTATTTTTTAATACGAGCTGCACAAATGGCCTCTACTTGGAAATGAAACTATCCAGCTCTCCACAAGAAAGGGCTCAACCGGTCTGAGTAAGAACCTCATGGCACATTATCAGCCCTCGACGTCATTGCACGGCAAGCTAAGATACATCTCTCTCTCTCAGTTCGTGATTTTTTGGTGCCGCTGCGGATATGTCGGCTTCGTCGACGCGCCTTGAGGTGAGACAAACATTGCTTTTTGCGTGTGTGTGTGTGTGAACACGGCTATGCTATTCCGTAGCCGATATTTCGTTCTTACGCGTTCAAATCAATCACAGCCACTTTGCCCTTATCTTGGCTAATTGGTCAAAGTAGTAAAGGCACATGTCTCACTTTCGACGATCGCTGCCATTCACATGAAGTTCGCCTTGGGAGATGCCGGGTCTGCTGGGTCATCTGAGACACGACTTGCTGCCTTGGTGCCGGATGTCTCAGAGGGACGGATGGTTACAGCGGTGAATACGATCTTGTGGATACTATTTGACAGCCTGAACTGAGACTACAGCTGAAGGATAGGTAGGAAGAAAGGGGAGGCCTATTGTTATAACCCTTTAATATGTTGGGAGCAGGCATCTGGTGGATCTTTATCAGGCTCGTACTCTGTTCACTACGGAATAGTATGTAATATGGTGACTTCAGCAATGATGCTGTTGGCGAAAAAATATTGTTCTAAGACTCTATGCCTCAATTAGTATACCCTTAAATACGAGCCGCCCTCCCGTTCCTTGGAATCCCTCTCACTAGCTGGTCTTGTCGGCTTATTTCTAGTCGAGCTAGAAATGAAGCTTGTGTCACTTTGCATCTCATCATCCTACCAATTCCAATTTTTCGGTTCAAAGGTCTCAGTTGCCTCCAATTTGCCTCCGTCATCGGACTGGAATCCTCTCATTTCAGATTAATAGGCGATGCATGATGATAAGAGGAGCTGGATGTAGTATCATGAACTATGACTCAGCCAACTAAGTTGAATCAAGCGATTCGTGCCATGTGACAAACAAGTGGATGCGGGATGCGAGACGCAATAATGTGTGCTGCAAAATTCGAATCGTGTTTGGCGATTCGATGCATGCATTGAATGTTGCCGGTGGAAGATTCGGCAATTGGATGCGAGCGCGAACTGTGAGATTGACAGTAGACAGCTAATTACCGGTATTATTTATTTATTTCTTCCATCTATATATACTATCTTTGCTATATGCAAACACTCTCATCCCATCTACTCATCATCCTCCAGCCCAACCAGCTTGAGTGAATCCTTCCACAGCCTGGCCTCATCGGCCGCATTATAAGTATGGCTCACCGTCGTCGAGCTAGCCATGTTCTGATCATCCGGTCCAGCCTCAGCCACAGAGACATCAGACAAATACTTTCCTCCCTTGCCCTCCAGATCCCTTGCGATCGCCGCCCAAACTTGCGTAGCAGCCCCTTGCTCCGGGCTCTTCATGCCTTGCAGAACCTCTGGTCCAATCTGCGCAATCATGGCCTTGGCTTCTTCCTCAGGAATGTACCGCATCAAGCCGGTGTTGATGCCACCTGGGTGCAGGGACAGGCCGTGGAGGCCGCGGGATCCGTAGCGTCGCTCAATCTCGTTGGCCATGTAGATGTTTGCCGTCTTGGACTGGCCGTAGGAAACCCACTTGTTGTAATCGCCCTTTTGGAAACTGTAGTTGTCCGAGGCATTGATTCCGATGAAGCGGTGCGCAGCAGAAGAGACATTGACGACGCGAGAGGCAAACTCAGGAGAGCTTCCAGCGAGCAGCGCAGGCTTAAGCAGCTGGAAGAAGAGAAAGTGTGAGAGATGGTTAACACCAAACTGCGCCTCATGACCATCATCAGTGAGCTGCAGATCGGGAACAGCCATGATACCGGCGTTATTAATGAGGATGTTGATCTTAGGTGTATCCGCGAGGATAGTCTTTGCCGCAGCTCGGACGCTAGCGAGCGAGTTTTGGTTCATCTCGACGAGCTTCATGCGTGACGAGTCAAAGATATCGCCGAGCGCACTCATAGCCTTAGTGAGATCCCTAGCAGTGAGGATGAAGGAGGCTCCGGTGGTGGCTAGGGCGCGGACAGTCTCAACACCAAGACCGGATGAGACGCCGGTGACGACAATGACTTTGCCCTTAAGTTGGTCGGTCATTTGCTCGTCTTTGACGATTTGGAGGGCGGTTGGTCGGGCATCGCCAGGGCCTTTGGGGGAGACGTGAGATTCAGCGTAGCGAGACATGATGAGTTTTGTGTTGTAAGGTGGTAAGCGATGTTGGTGTAAGTGATATTGGTGTAAGTGATGCCGGTGTAAGTGGTGATGATGAGATATGTGTAAGTCGCTGATGATTCTATTATCCAGCCATCATGGAAGCTTTTTCCTCTTATATATCCAATATTTCTACGATCTTCATCGACTCATCAACCGGGTACTCATACTAGTCTTCTCGTGTATTCGTGTATCCATCTCTCCTCTTCATCTTCATCTCCAGTTTCAGCCTTCATGCACGAACCAGATTAAATCCGCGAATACCCTCAAACCCCGGCTGATGGTTATTTCCACCTTCAGCCTAGCCTCTGCTTCACTCCGGCGGACTTGTTCGACGCCGCTTTGGTCCCACAAGTGCCGTTCCGCCAAACGGAGGGATGACACTTTTTGCCATTTCTGGGATAGTCGGCCGGCCTTGCATCCTAACGCCGACCCCTAGCTGCAGCATCGCGAGTCGGCTGCTCTTGACTCTCTCTTGTTTATTTCATCCCTCGGTATTGCCCTGTGGAATGCAGGGTACTTGTATTTCTGTATACGGCTGACTACTTGTACTATACTACCTATACTCTCCCTTTTGCCCATCGTCTCATAGCCATGACGCCAAGCTCGTGCACACATACCCGAAAATCTGGGAATCTTCGATCGATTCCTGATTCTGATGCTGACCCGACAGCCACCGAGCTTCGTCTGGCTCGTAAAAAGATTCAGAACCGGCTGAACCAAAGAGCACATCGTATGTAGAGCAGAGGCTATCCAGTTATGCAAAGCGGCTATTCTATTTGGACTAACAGCTCGGCACAAGGGTCGAGAGCCAGGGAGAGGAGACTTGGTGATACGACGCAGCCTTACCAAGTCCATCGCTGGCGGATATATGATGGAAGGGATGACATGCCACCCATCAAGCCAAGTAAAAGTCCGAGTGACTCTGCTTGTGTACCTACGAAGGACAAGTCCGCTCCATCCAATCAGCTGGTCGTCTCGAAGCATCCAGAGCCCAGCAGGGAATCTAATCCGCATCGTGCATTAGTCTCCGTGTCTCCCACGATCCCAGGCCGTACTTCTGTTCCTTGGCTAGCCCTCAGCTACTGCCTGCTCTCTGATCATCTGCTGCATCTAATTCACTTCAACGTCCTCAGGGGTCTCTCTTACAACAAGAAAGTCATCAAGCCAACTACTTTCCTCGAGTGCACAGGCGATCCCTCCGAACACCTGAAGCGAGTCATCCCTCAACTCCCTGACACAAGCACACTCTCAGGATTCCGCCTCCCTGAAAGTCTCACTCCGACGAAGCTGCAGCTGTCCTGTCCCCACTCCAACTGGATCGACGTGTTTCCCTTTCCGAAGATGAGGGACAATCTGATTCGGTGGGAGAATTACTTCAGCCATGCGGAGTTTCTGACGGACCTGCTGGGGAATCTAATTAATTGCATGACCGCTCCGCCACCCAAGACCACGCACGCGCTGCCAAGTTCAGGGACCCAGGCTGCGGCTCAAGGGGGGGATGAGGATGTTCCGAGTGACCGCAGGGGGTTGATTCTGTGGGGGGAACCGTTCCACAAGGATAGCTGGGAGGTGACGCCGGGATTTCTGAGGAAGTGGTCGTGGGTAGTTGATGGATGTGGTGAGTTGATTGAGTCGACCAATCGGTGGAGGACAGCGAGGGGAGAGACGCCGCTACGGATGGCGGTGATGTCGCAGTAGATGTAACAATATGGGATGGAGTTTGGGAGTAATAGTTTTAATAATCACATGAGATGGGTTGTATATTCATTAACTTTTTAGTTTATATAATGCGGCTTTTGAAGCTGTCTATTTCTCTCTAATGTGTTCATCATAAGTCGTCAGTAGGGCTGGGTATCATCTTTATCTGAGCAAAGCTCCTCCGCCTGGGTATAACCACATCTATTACATCCTCCAGTTTATTCCTTCCTTTAATTATGCTTGTATAGCATCTCCCACTTCGTAGGCGGGTGGAGGATCCATCACAATAACCTCAAACGCCGCAACAGCATACTAATCACAAGTCAGTTTCTATATCCATCAATCGGAGTTTCCGAATCAACTTACTCTAATGTCATTCCCCAGCCCAACAGAGATCCCCGTCACAACCTCAACCACATGGTCCATCCTCAATATGCAAGACTCAGTCGTCGGCTTTGCATTCAGGACGAAAAAGTTTCCCCACGCTCCCGAGTCGAGCTCAAATAGCTCGCTATCAATCTTGACTGCACCAGCCATGCTGCATCCGTGTCTTCTCTGTGTAATTGTTCGCGGTACCGCGCCGGTGGATGTTGTGACTAATGTCTTCAAGTCCATAGAGACGCTTCGGAGATAGACGTTGCCTGATTCGATCATATCGGTGGGTGTGTGGACGAGGATCTGAACCGGCGTCGGCTGGCCACGGATTAAAATCGCTGGCTGTGGGAGGAGAACCTCGACTTTGATGGATGGCGAGTATTTCGGGCTGTAAGACGGACACGAGCCGTCGTCGTGCTCTTGGTCCGCAATCGTGTCGCGTAGCCGTGCGTATCGCCCAGGCTTTTCATTCATCGGCACCGACAAAACGCAGGATGACCGCGGAAGTCTTGCGGTGGATGGGTTGCAGCTGAACGGAATTTCCATGGCTACGGTCTTCGTCTTTGTCATTGCGCCCAGCACACTGCGACCCACAGAGATCGTCATAGTGTAAGATACCTTGACCCTCATGTTTTGCTCCATGATGTCCAAAGAAGGCGGGAGCTGGCATTTCTGGGGTCTATCGCAGTAGCAAGCTCCATCAGGGAACTGAAACTCTATGGGAGTGGTGTATATTGATTCGCCAGAGGAGGCATCTTCGTCCCACTGCAAATCTCGATATTCTATTTTCTTGTGCTGCTCAAACAACTACAGCCATGTTAGTCTATCTAATGCATAGCTCCATAATGAAATGCTACTCACCACCGTCGTGATTTGTCCCGGGCTTGCCGCGTTAACCTGCGTGGGAAACGACACCGCCATTGTGCCGACGAATTTGGCCGAAATGCGAGGCGATTTGTGAAAGGTAGGCCCTCGGATTTCGAACGATGCTCTTACCAGGTCGTTGGCAAGAAACGGCCCTTGGTGGGCATCTTCGAGAGCGAGACTCAGCTTCATATTGGCCGAATTGGGTAACTAGGGCTTGATGCAGATCCCTCTCGTGTCGAGAAGACAGTCCGGGGTGATTGTATGGCAGATGGTTATACATGGACTGTTTTTATGGTATGGAGTATGATGTATTTCGATGCTAGTGTTGCATTGAGTCGATTGCTTCAATGTTGACAGGCTGATGATGCCAACGATGGAGCCATGAACCCTTGACACTTATATACATATCAATATATACTCCATCTAGCCCTATACACGACGACTATGATGCCAAAATCATGCAAGCCAGCCATCGATCCGTCAAGCCCTCCTCCACTGTTACCGATGCTCGCCGAGCTAGTTAGTTTTCTAGAACGCCGTCGCCGAAAGTAGACAGAACTTTGCGGCAGATGTCATCAGCGATTGAAGCCGATTGGCTCTCGCCGCACTAGTCCGTGTCATTTCAAGATTCGGATGAAATATGTCCCTTAGCCTGACGGACATGAGTCGGTGTTTTAGTCTCATTTGTAGCTCCTCTACCGTGGTCGGGAATTCGGCATCGTATCAGTTTGGCGGCAGAGCCATTTTGGAGACGCACTGTGACGACGCAGACGGACATGCGCTGCCGTCTGAATCGGGCCAGTGCTGGGATCGGAAACGAGAGATTATTGGTTTGACATAACCGAGGTTATCTCAATGACAATAATCAGAGAAGAAACTGATTCATCAATGCACGCATCGTCAACTATTTGCAATACCATAATACAAGATTTACGAGTGGCAAATAAACATAAGCAGAGACACGCATGCTCTTAAACAAATACGATAAATACCTCATCGACCTGCTAGTCGGCGCCAAGGTTGACTACTCCGTACTTTATGCAATGTAAATATAAAGAAATAATAGCAGATACTAGTCTAGAAGAAATAGTAATAGAAGCAGATACTAGACAAGCATACTTTGATACTAAAAGGTATAACACGCTAAATAGGTTGGTAAGTGGGTATTTGTAAATGCAGTCGCTCAAGTTGCTAGATATATATGTGAAAGCCACCACACTGCTGCTCACTCAAGATGCGGAATATTCGATGTCCAAGTAGAAATGTATGAACCAGGAGGAAGGAAGAAAAGCGTCCGAAACATCTCGACAAGGATGAAAAGCCTTGCAAGGACATAGCCAAACATGAGAATAAAGCCGATGGCGCCCGGCAGCCGTTCTCCGAGCTTAGAATCCCTCTTGGAGGCGAAGATTGTGAGCAGCACGACGCAAAGCGGAGCGGCAGCCGTGTAGATGCTTGCGAATCTCCAGAGGGCCAACTCAACCGCTGATGGGAAGGCAAAGTTCCACGCAATAGCATGGAGTCCACCAAACACAGCCGCTCCAATAGCCACAATGCCTCCAATCCGCAGAGGGTCACCCACAGCGCCGTTATCCGTGTCGATGCTAATCGGGGCGCCTGGTAGAGTCTCTGCTTCAGATTCGATCCCTATTATGCCCAAGAGGACCCCGGAATATATCGTCTTGAAAACCCGGCTAGGCACCTCTACTCTGATTCCATAGTACACTTCAGGCGGTATGGCTCCTCCATGCGACCTGGAAGTGTTGTTGAGCCGAATCGTATGGGCAATGCCAACACGCTGCGGTTTTCCCCAGTAGAGACCGTATATGAAGACTGCACATGCGGCAAAGGCCACAACGGCTACCTCGAGAGGCGAAACAGGGAGCCTTCTTACAGCCCGGACTATGATGTGAATGGTAGCCCACACAATTTGGCCAAGGGCAATCAACTTGACAAGCACATCGCCTTTGGACTTGTCGTTGATTTCTGCTTCGGTCAGATCAGGCAATCTCGTAATGTGTCCCTCGCTTCTAAGCATGAGGACGCAGGTGCCATTGAGATGGTATGGGTCATGGTGTTGCTGGTTTGGCGTCGGCGTGCCTCGTATGACAAAACCCCCCATGTTTGCAAAATGGCTGTGGGTCAGAGTCCAACTCACTCGGTCCTGCGCGGCGATTGCCTGCATGTCTTTAAGATTCGTATGTGCGTCCATCAGCTCAGCAGAAGCCGCAGTCATGATCAGTTCGGGAGCAATAATGGTCCAAAGCATCCGCAGTGAGCTTCTGTAGAAGCTTTCCAACCCCCATTTAGCTCTCGTCCAGCGAGCACTCATCCCTCCGTCTTTTCCCCATGGTTGAGCGTCAAGGTTGTCCCGTTGATTGGGAACATTGGGGTGCTGCAGCGTCCAAGTGCAAGCAAATATTGTGAATAGAGAACTCCATAGTATGTCGAGAGTGCCTCGAGTGTTGGGAGCCGATACAAAATTCGTTAGAGTGGTAGGCGAAGTACAGTTTGTTTCGAATACCGTGTAAGCGTGGGAGAGTGGTATCAGACACAAGATAAGGAATGGTTTGAGCATTTCCATATGTGTTGATAGGTATCTTTTTAATAACAAAAACGAGTAGAGGCGTTTTGCTAGAAGTCTCGCACCTTGCAAAGGTACGCTCCAACCGTGGAAATGGGAGAGAAGGGAAGAGTGTTTAGAGACTGGGCAAAAGAATTGCTACCCAAAGCTGAGTGCTAACGGCAGTAAATGGCAGTCCATGATGGCTATTGGTCGGTCCCGTTGGTTTTGTGAGGCTGAGGAGAGGTGTGATGGTAAACATGCATGAAAACAAGACTATTGGATCTATCTGCCTAGTATCTAGAGCTGAAAGCAGGGGGTTTGCCCAGGTGATATCACTCCGCCTCGCAGGAATATCAACAACAGCAACATGTGAAATATCAGAAAGAAAGGGAAGCATGATGGCAGCAGTGGGAAAGAAGAGGAACAAAGAATAGAGTCGGGGAAAAAAAAGAAGAAAAATGCAAAAAATGAAGCGTCCTTTTTCAGGATTGGCGGATTCTCTCCCGCCGGGAATTGAACCCGGGTCTCAAGCGTGACAAGCTTGCATACTGACCACTATACTACGGAAGATGATTGGCTGTGAGCAGCCATTGTAGTAGCTTGACATGGGGAGAATAAGAGTAGTATATAAAGGATTGACTGTGCAGTCGCGAATTGTGCAGCCACAAAATAGTACAGAAATCAACAAGAGCGCCTGTATGCTGCATGTAATACTACCTAGTAGGTATTAACTTCTTGTACATTGTTTTGCTTAAGAGGATTCACTCTAACTTGTGGTATGAAGGAGATGACATAGATGCACATGAATAGCTTGCAGCATATCTACTTCTACTTATCACATTCAGTTGTAGATTTGATCTAAATACATCAGAGGAACTGAAACCACTGCTTCACACTATTTGTTCGAGCAGTTACACCGATGCAGCCTAGAATCTGACCACGATTGATTCAGAAATCAAGAGAAAACAACTAGATCCATTCAATGGCATTGAGATGCAATTAAATCCGACTAATGAACCAAATGCACTCCCAGCTCGAACATAAAATCTCAACTCTAGGGTATGTGACGCCATTCCCGCTTCCAAAACGGCGGTAAAAAGCCCTTGCGGGCACTGTATTTTGCCACCTCTAGCAGCTACAGCGCTTGAAGAACACCATCATCAGCTAAACCGGCAACTAACTGTTGTCTACATCACCAAACATGAATACAGCTTACATCCTCATCATTCCTACATCAACACATCAAAACACTCCCATTGCGTCACCACCTCCTCGAAACCAAAACGCCGCACAAGCTGTCAAAATCTTCACTGCCGAACAATAAACCCACCAGATCTCCCTGCCAAGTGGGTCGCCGACGATTGTCTAATTTATCCCGATCCCATTGATCCGAAGCATTGAAATAAAGCGCAAAAAAACTTTTCATCTAATATTATCCAACCCGCCCAAAATGAAGTCATAAAAACCCCCCACCCTCTTCTTCATTCTTCTCAACTTATACAACGCTCCGCCTATTCCCATTTTGTTAGGTGCTGGCTATTAAGCTTGGCTGTCGTGCATGACGACAACAGCCCGAAGATCTTGGCTATTCGGGAATAATTTTCGTAATGCAGGCAACCCTCCACTTTGGCTAGACTAAACAGTAGCTAACTGTATGTAAAATGCCCCCATCCATAAAGCCGAGCCTTCACACTCATATGCGAATACACAACAAACTTGTACCAAACACTGTCAACAGCAGAACAAAATAAATCATTCCCTTCATACAACGTTACCCAATTTCTCCGCCTCACTGAAGCTTTACCTCTTCTGGCCGCAAAGCCCCCCCCAGTCGCAGCCACGCAGCTCGTATCCGCGCACATCTCCTATTTTTCGCCCCGAAACGTCCTCCTGACAATACGAATGAAGAGACGGTGTACGAATTACCAAGCAACACGGAAACCAGAAACCAGAGTCCAGAAACCAGAGAGCCTACAGTAGAATTGCGAAAGAACACCCATTATTTTCTCATCAAAATACAACAACTATAGTCCGACGTTTACAAGCCTTATATTCGCATGACATAGAATACTATACACCCATCTATATATACACCTCTCAGCCTCCCCCAAAGCATAAGCCCCAAACACTCAACCCAGCCATCCCTCTTTCGTTTCTCAGCTCAGCACCAAAACCCTCCTCTCATCGCCACGTAGGTCCCCTGCACTGTACATAGAAAGAAACGAAATGCCCGCTTATCCAATCTCCTCCGCCGATCTGCATGACCCTCCCCCTCAGCCCTAGTCAAAACAACCCGCACGGGCTCCTCTTCGTATATCCTCCTCTCCGCCTATCAGATGCCGCTCCAAGGCGTCATTGCATCGTCTCAATCGGCAATCCAGGGCCGCTAGGATCATTAATACCACCCATGCAGGCCAAGGAAGCATGGGACCGACATTCCCGGTGCAGAAAAAAGTCCGTATCCAGTAGTCCCTTACACCTTTGCTTCACCTTCACCGTACCACATGCATGTACACCTACATACGCATCCAGTAACAAAGGGAATGCCGTGTCCCGCCTCCCGCCTGACATCATCCACCCTCTCCCTGGTAAATCGGGCAGCAAAAATAGTTCTAGATCGATTCGTTGCAAAGACAGCAAAGCAAAGAAGGGGGCAAACAAGGCCAGGGCCTCCCCTCCTCTAAGCAAGCTTCGTCACTGGCAAGCCCAGGCAAAGGAGCCAAAAGCTCGTGTTTGATGCCGATCCACTGACATGATGCTGAAAATAACACCAGAGCTACTCGTATAGCACTGCCCGTGTGAGGCCTTCGACGGAATATATAAAGACAGTCTTTCCCTCCTCATTAACACCTTCCTTTCTCATCATCAACACACTCAACTACATCAACAACACTACAAACACTCTCCAACAACTCTTCACTTCTTCTTTTTAAAGAAAACCCAAACCAACAACCTTCAAGATGCTCTTCAACGTCGCCGCCATTGCCTCCCTCCTGGCTGTCGCCAACGCCCGCATCGTCGGCATCGCCGTTCCTGAGACCGTCGCCCCCGGCGCCACCATCGAGGCCACCATCCTCACCGAGAACTACATCCAGTCCGTCTACGACGTCGCCATCGTCTTTGGCTACGCCGCCGGCAACGGCTTCCCTCAGTCTCTCGGCAACGTCCTTGCCTCCTACTACCTTGGACCCAGTATGTCTCTCCTCAACCCCCCCGTCTCACATTATAATCTCAAAAACTAACAAAAACAAAACAGCCCAGTCCAACGTTTCAGGCAACCTCACCCGCTCCATCACCATCCCCGCCTCCGCCCAAAAGGGCGAAAAGGCCCTCATCTCCGCCAGCCTCATGAGCCTCTATGGCGCCGTCTACGGCCCTACCCTGACCAACTTCAACGTCTCCGTCACCGTTGGCGATGCCACCTCTTCCACCCTCAAGTCCGGCACTCTCTACTAAAGTCTGCAAAAAGCCAGCGGAGTGCAAAAACCCCTGATATGATCCGATACTTTGCATATGTGAAATGGCGCTGGGATATAGATGGACTTACTTGCTATTGCTTTTGTTAAATTCCAAGGACTGAAATGGTCATGACTTGATTTTGATGGATGATTTTAGATTAGTATAGAATAATGCGAGCCGGGGAACCGGTGACTTGCTATTTACATTCATGAAAGGTGACTTTGCCTTGTAAGACTGTGATAACCTACTCAAGCTAAATCGTTGAAGCGATTCCTCTTTTCCCGAATCCCAGTTCCAATAGCCCGTTAAACCCTATATGCTGTCCTCTTTAGACTAACATTTCTTCTTTCCAAGTCAAACTCCACAAAGCTCATCATGTTCAGAATATAACCAAGACTCATCAACCCTAGCCAATAATCTATATATATTCATGCCATCCTACTCATCCAACAATGCTCGCATGCTATTCTATTCTATAAAGGGTATCAACGCTTCTCATCACACAAGAACTTCATCTCTCCGCAATCATTTTTTCCCATTCGGCCCCTTCACCATAACCCCATTCGCACTCCCCCAGACACTATCCGTCACCTTGGCCGGCACCTTTCTCCCCTTGAGCCGCTGGTCAACAAGCCACGTTCCCACCACAAACTCAGCTCTGCTCAACATCCCCGACCTCCCTCGATCGACAAGGTCCCAAATCTCGGCCAGTTCGTCCACAGGTAATCTCGACCGTCTCCATACCTCCCTCACTACAACGTTGGCCACGCACTGCGACACGTCCCGGTCGAGATCGCTGCTTATACTCGTCGCCGGACTCATCATCCGCGTGTCTGTAAGCAGGATACCGCGGTTTGACGCCCACAGCGCTTCATACCTCTTCCTCTCCCGGGGCCTGATCTCCTCCCGCCACTTCTTCCGTGATCCTTCATGGTGCGCATGCTTGCCCTTGCGTAGCAATGCCCTATGTCCTTTCTTGTGTTGATCCTCCTCTTCATCAAGCAATTGAGGTTGTCGTAGTGTATGTAAAAGTCGAGGTGATTTCTGCCGTTTCGGCAACGGAGGAGGAGCCAACGAAGCAGGCCCCGTATTATGCGGTGTCAATCGTGTAGAAGCCAATGAGCCGGCGACAATCGCATCGGTGAGATTGTCCAGCTGCGTCCGACCCGGTGACCCATTTGCAATTCGTCGCTGAGAAGCCAGCTCCCGGGATGGAGACGACGAGGTGCTAACTACAGAGTGTCTCCTGCCCAAAATCATCGACGATGGACGAGACTCTCCATTCTGCCTAGAGGGAGACGCCGATTGTCCCGCCGACCGAGATGCCGCAGAAGCCACAGCACTCCGCGCCTGGCTAGTTGACGACGCATCTAGATGATTGCTATACGACCGCCCCCGACGCGCAGGCTGATCCTGACCCTGGTCTAGCCCATTCTTCCCACTGCCCCTCGGCTTCGGCGGCGTCGGTGGTCGTTTTGTCGCAGAACTTCGACTCTTCTTGGGAGGATCGGGAGATGGCGACGCAAGCGCAATGTGTATGCTCGGGCTCAGCGTAAGGTGAGGCGACGTGACGGGACTCAGCGGCGCCCTCGACACCCGCGTCGGCTGCGGCGAAACAACCTCAGCGACGTTCCTGCTCATGAGCGGTTTAAGGGGCGGAGGAGTCGACGGATGTAGCGCGCGCGGTCGGGCATTCGAGCTCTTTGGTTCTGAAGATGGAGCTGGTGTAGATGGTTGCGAAGCTGTAGTTGAGATGGTGGTTGGCGTCATGGGCCTTTGAGGTAAAGAGACAGGCTTGCTGTCTCTTGATCTCGCCGGCGGCTGCTGTTGTTGTATTTGTTGCGACTGCTGTGGTTGCTGCTGCTGTCTCTGCGCAGTTAAAGCTGCCGAGACGCCCGATACCTCCGCCGGCGTCTTTGGCTTCGGACCCCTACTCTTGTCCTCGGCCGCAGCATCAGCCACCGGGTCACGCCGCGTCTTCATCTTCCGAGCCACCGGCGGCGTCGGTGGTCCATCTCCATTAACCGCCGACTTGCTCTTCTTCTTAACCTTGTCTGTCCTGTCCGCCCTGTCTTCGACGCTGCTCCCAACGGACTCCGGCGGCGATGGCCTCCCCCTAGTCTTCTCGAACATCGAAATCAGCGACCCGGTCGACGCCAAGGGGCCCGAGTCCACCGCATCACCACCACCTCCCACAATCATATTGACGCTCGTGTTCGCGCTCCCGCCGCCACTCGCCGTCGGACTCGCACTGCGACTCGCCGCCAGCGTCGCGGCAATCAAGCTCTGGTTCTTGGCACCCATCCTCCCTCCCCCAGAGCCAAACGCCGCCGACGACGCGCCACCCCCGCCCATCCCATCCATCTGCTGATGCTGTAACTGTAGCTGGTAGTACTGCTGGTGCTGTGCCTTGCCATCTCCTGCCTCAGCCTTCCCTCGAACGGCCTCCGTCGCAGCCGTAAAAGCGCCATTGTCCCTCCTCGCAGCAGCTCCCTCGGCCCGCTGCCCAACCTCGAGCTTGTCCTTTCGAAAGGCCAGCGTGGCGCCCCTGAGCGCAGCCGCGGCGGCGGCGCTGTCGGGCATCATCACCGATGTGACGCGCGGGATGACGACATTTAGGGGCGGAGAGTAGGAATGTTTCTTTTTGCTTTATCTCGTTTCGTTTGTTGGTAGGAATCTCTTCTTTGTTATCTGCGATGCGGCATTCCAGTGTATAGGAGTAGAACCGGGTCGATGAGGATGTAGTAGGTTTAAGGTTATCGGAATCAGGGCAAGATTGACAGAAAAAGACAACCCAGTAATCATAAAATAGGAGACAGACAAAAGCAAATCAACGCTCTCGAAAACGAATACGTGGAAGGAACCAAGAAACCCAAAATCTCAAGTCAGCCTGCCCAAGGCGAAAACCCGCTGCCTCAATGTCCGGACAGGGGTCTCCCGAAACGGGGGTCTTGTTTCGTTTTTTCTTCAACGCCAGAGCGGAACTTCGGGCCTCAGCTGCCGGCGGCCCCGACTTTTTCTCTCCTGCCAGTGCTTTCGTTTTTTCTTTAGGCGGAATGTGACCCTGAGATGCGCTAAAGACGACCCACGCGATCAGTGCACGCATCCACTATAACGGCCCCTGCAGCGCTGGAACGACCTTCTACAACAGGCCATAGGGCACAAGCATCAGCTGAGAGGTGTCTCATGCCGCTTATCAGATAAGACATCTATTTGATCGATGCAGAGATTCAACACAAACAGTACATGTATGTATACACTTCACTAAGACATGGATGCGTTTCGACAAGCCTCAAGCAAGATTCAGAAACATTGAAACATCTTCATGCTGCAAAATACAGAAAAACAGCCGCAGCGGCCTCCCTCAGTCGGCCAAGCCAATCCAATACTGAGTACAAACGAAAATAGCAAACAGAAGCAAACGCCGGTCCCTCCCTTTTTTCGCCTCTCCCGTCCTATGCCCTCCCCCTTAGAGCTCTTCCCATTAACCCTAGTCCATGATATCGAAAACAACAAAAGAAACAATGAGGCAGAGGTAGAGGAACTACACCACAAAACCCAATGCACACAACATATATGACACAGAATAGAATAGAAACCAAAGCAAAGAGATTGCAGAATGAAATGAAGCAGCAGGCGTCGCGCCAATGTCTGCCTGCAGAACAGACAAAAAGCCCCCAAACGCCCTTCGTAGATGGCCGGCATCCTCATGAGCTCTTCAATTCGTCTCGCTGCCAAGAGAGAGTGGGGGAAAAGCAGCTTGTAGCATGAACACGTGTCTCGTTTACACAATTTTTCACCATTAGCCGTAGAAGCATACAAACATGGCCGTGATTCGCCAGCAGCGCAAATCGCCGGAGCAGTCGTATCAGCAAGAATAGAAGAACCAAGCCAACATTTAGAGAGCACTCTCGTCTGTCCACTCGCTTCCGGATACTATCCGGTTGCCGTCCTGGTCAACCATGACGGGCGCTGCGTCATAAGCGGCAGGAACTCCGCGCGTACGCTTTGCTGTGCTGCTTGTTGGTCGATGGCCTTGCTCGGGTTCTGCTCGCTTGCCTCGAGCAGCCCGGAGCTTGGCAAAGTATGCATCTGTCAAGTCTTCTTCTGGCTCACTATTGTCGTCGTACGTCTCCCAGTTCTCGGAACCGGTGACTACCGTTGACGAGGTGGATGTGCTTGAAATGTGTCTGGCTGCCGCTTGGGGGAATCGTGGCACCCCTCGTACCGACGAGTAGTGATCATCATAGTCCTCATCCATGAAGCTGTTCTGTCGATGATGCGACATGTTCGACTCGGGCCGGTCATCGTAAACATCTTCGGGATCAACGGCACGGATAATGCTGGTGTTCAGGCCCACCGACTTGTATGGGTTCAATGGCGCCTCCAGTGATGCCACGGTCCTCAAGTCGCGCATCTTGGGCGGCGGCGGGATTCTGACGGAGCCTCCAGTGCGTAATTTGTCCATGCTCCGCTGCATTTGTGTCTTGGGCCGCTCTGGTGAATTGTTGCCGTCCTTCATCTTGGACAGGGGAACCCTTGCCATTGGTTGTCTAGTAGGACTGCTGCCGAGCCTACCCACGTCCATGACGGACTTTGAAAACAGCGGCTGAGACTTGTTGCCCATGTTGTAGATGCCACCGGTCGTAGGGGTTTTTGCTACCGAGCGAGGTGCCGAGACCTTGCTGGTGGTAGCGGGCCTCATTGCTGATGCCGATGCCGACTTGAGAAGGCTTCTGGCAGATGACGGAGGAGGGCCGGCTGGTGTTCTGGATCGCTGGGCGGGCTTCTTTGCCTCTTCGAGGTCTATCTCGTCGAGGTATGGCTCGCCGTAGATTAAAAAGGGTCGGTCGTATTCCTCCTCCCACTGCTCGAGCGCCTTTCGCAATTCGGCTGTGACCTTGGGGAGCTCCTTGGCAACGCGCTTGCGCATCTTTTCCTCGCGAAGCAGCTTGCCAGGATCTCGCTTCTCGCCCTTCTGGCCGCGCAACATAAGGCGAGACGCATCCTGGCTTGAGGCGATGAGGTCGTCTCGGTCCTTGATCAAAGCCTTGTGCTTCTCAACCAGGTCCAGAATTGGTGCGCGTTGCTCCTTCAACGTCTGGAGCCGAACAATCTCACGTTCGTGAGCCTCTAGCAGCGCATCGCTGTAGACGTCTGAAAAGGCGGGTGTAAAATCGAGCATGTCATCTTCCGCAAAGTACAAGGCATCCCAGAGCTCTTGAAGCTTGACGCGCGCGTCCTCGATGAAGATGTGCAGGTTCTGGCGCTTTACTTCATTCAGCCGCTCAAGCTCGTCCTCAAACTCGTTGATCTGACGAATGCCGCAGCCTCTGTTCTTGCTGAGAAAATCTTTGGTCTCCTCTTCATCCATGCCAAGCTTTTGCCAGAGGGTTTCGACGGTAGTCCTGAGTTGTTGCAGCTTCTTCTCGCGGTTCTTCTTCTCCTCCGACAGCTTGTCACGCGTGGCTTGCATATCCTGAATGTCTTCCTGGTGGAGACCAAGCTGTTCGGGGGCTTCACGGTAGTACTTGATGATGGCTGCGTCCTGCTGGGCCTGGGGAGTGCCAAGTTCGGCCCAGAGCTGGATGATTTCATCTCCCAGTGTTTCCACCGTCGCAAGCCGGCGAGTATACTCTTCATACACTCGCGTGAACTCTGCGTCGAGGCGGTCCACGTAGGATGGTGACAGGTCAAAGGCGAGAGGAATAGACTGGTTGGGACCCGTAGGCGGCAGAGTAACCTTGACGAAAGAAGGCTCGAGATGTGACGAGTATGACTCGAGGGCCTCGACGAGCTCTGTGGCAAAACGTTAGCAATGGCTCCCCAAAGGTCAAAAGCGTTGTAGCGTTGTACGCAGGCATCGACTCACTCTCTACGTGCTCAACCCGCTCCTCTCGCAACCTCTGCACCTGGCTGTGCTTCTCCTTGAGCGTCTCCAGGCATTGCATCAAAGGGTATGTAATCTTCATGCTTTCCTCATTTGAATTCCTCTTTCGGGGCTTGGAGTCCACCAAAGACGCCTCCATCTGCCGGGTCTCGGTAATAATCTTCCTGGCCTCATCGATCATCTGCTTCTTCTCCGACGTCACCAGACGCAGGTGGTTGTTGAGCGCCTCCGAAAGCGCCTGGAACAGCTGCAGTGCCATTTAAGTCAGCATTCCGGCGCAGACCAGACAGCGTCTCTTCTTTGCTCGCAAAGAAAAAGAAATGGGAAATCCATCGTACCTCGGATTCTCGAGACTCGCGCTCATGATCCGGCACGCCAATGTCATCGAACAGGCTGTGCAGCTGGCCAATGCTGTTGTTGACCTGCTTGGAGAGGTAGCTGGTGTCCATTGCGAACAAAATCAGCCACCCCGAGGCGACTTAGGCGCTGCTAAATATGTTTGTTAGAGGCGGCTTGAAGAGTCTCAAGCCTCGTTGGTGCCGATGTCGAGAACGGCGCAGGCAGTTGGTCGGAATAAGGAAAAAAAAAAAAAAAAAAATGCCAGGCACGTTGTCAACGAGTCCGTGGGCGACAAGGCACTGCGCGGGGCTCTCCTGTGATGACGCAGGGGCAGGGTATGTGGGCAGCTGAATATGTCCCTTTTACGAGCTGGGGGCCAATCAATGTTGTTTACCGATAAAGAACAGGGAGGATACGCTGGCGAATTATCGGGCAGCAATGGATATTCGTCTAGTGTAAATAAACAATTGGCTGCCTCAACGCATGCACAAAAACGAACGAGAGTTGACGCCACACAAAAAGCCCGTCTTGTGGTGAGGCCTCTCAGGCAAGGGATGAAAATGATGAAGAGGAAGAAAGGAATTGGATTGAGTTGTCGAAAACTTGCAGCGCTGTGAGACACCTTTTGCATGAAAAAAATAGCGAAGACAAGGCTTAAAGGCATCTCGGCAACTCCACTGCTTAGCCGCTGGAGCGTTGCCATGGCGACCCCGATTGCCTTTTCGAGGCGCCCTGCAGGCGGGCGGCGCCGTTTGAGTGGCTGTTTCAGACACCCCGCCCTATCGTCTGATGGGCTGTGTCCGATCGATTTGTATTTTTAACAGATGGAGAATCGAGGGGTTTTGTCTACAAAGTGGTACAGAGTACAAGTGATGAATTGCTCTCATACTTGGTAATTGGTATCTAGATAATTAGGTAGGTAGTCAGTGCGTGTTGAAGAATAAACATCCAATTGTGAATCTGCAGCCTCACAGACATCAAGACAAACAAATACACAACGTCATACATACACAGCCAACCAGGCTCTCCAATCCTCATCAAGCAGGTCTCTGTTTACCTGCAACCAAGGATTTCGTTAGCTCGCGTGCTACCGCATTAGACTCATGCAAAGCATCCCGATGTCTTCTTTGTTTACTTGCATACGGAGTTTTAACTGGGCACGGGGCGGCCAGGGCAAGACAAGGCCCCATGCAGGCCTATTAATGCTCAGCGGGGATGCCTGCTGGGCTTGTCTCAAGCCCAGCTCACTTGTTTGGATCCGCCTCAAGATCTTTAGCCTGCCGCCCACAAGATCCCGTTGCCCATCAGCTGTGGATCTGTGCGACTGTGTTACCGGGGGCGTTGTGGACTTGTGGTGCTTTGTCTTGCAGGTAAACATGGACTTTTTGGGCCATGGAGTCGTTGATCTGACCAGTTAATTACTTGAGTGCTGTTAGTGCTCACTCTGACCAACTATGCATTATAAAACAATGCATGCTGCAAAGTCGTACGACGGGCAAAATACAGAATACAATAAATAAACAACAAGTCAGTCAACATAACAACAATAAACAATAAGAAGCAAAAAAAAAAGAAATACAATGAAAAAAGAAATCGGACTCCGATACTGGGAATCGAACCCAGGGCTGCTCGGATCTTAATGAGAGCGAGCGATGTTAGCCACTACACCATATCGGATGTGTTTCTTGAAGGAGTCCGGCGTAATTAACACCTGTAAGCTATACCCACTGTGCTAAGTGCGGGAGCCTCGAGCTAACTGAGGTCCCTCTCATAGTAAAGACATCCGCAACGACAATCCGAGGCTGTTGGTTTGGTGGGCTCCCACAGATGCCATAACGTGCTTTACATCCCATGTATAGACAAAAGAGCGTATTCCCAAGACTCATCACCTTACGGTAATTTGACAGATATATTCACAGAAAGTAGAGCAATTCTCAATGAACAGCCGATCGCCCGTCCGACGGGCCGGCGCCATTAGCGATGAAGCGATCCCAACCCAAACTCCACCAGGACCTGTGTATGCCTGCCCTCCCTATATAAAGCGACTACTAGACTACCTATGTAGTAGCGTGTAAAGAACCAAAACGAATGCCCAGAGGTATCTTATCCGTAATTAATCCCATGCCCAAAAGAATAGACCCAACGCAATCCCGTTATATCGCATCACAAGACCCGGACCACGACGACATGGCAATCTCGTCGACCCCATCGTCCGGAATAGGGTCGCCCATATCCATAATACCATACATATCCCACGACAAAAAGTTTTGCAAGTCATCAAGATCGAGTGCCTCGCACATTGGTTGAATTGGACCACCCCACTTGGACTGGACTTGCGGCGGCTGCGGCAGCGCCGTAGGCACGGGCTGTTCATGCTGCAGGCCGGATCGTGACGAGATTAGACCGTCCTGACTGAGGCCGACGAGCTGCTGCGCCGCATTGTTGCGATCCCAAACACTAGAGCTTGGACTTTCGGCAGACCAACTCAGCCCCCGAACACCGCTTGCACGATCAGCCGCTCGCCTCGTTGCGATACCTGTCCGTGCAAGCGAATGAAGAGAAATGGACGGAAGCATGTACTCTGGCGTGCCTTGGACGGGGCTGACCGATACGGGTGTATACCTATAAGATGTAGTGTTAGACAAGTATACATGATAAAAGATGTGCGACCCGAGGGCCCATAAGTACTTACTTTTCGCCTTCATGAGTTTCGGAGCTGGCTTCCGACATCATTCTGCTCACGAGATCATCTCGATTAGATGTTTGCCGAATCTTGATCAGCCACCTGTCAATGGTATTTGACTATACCAATATGGTTAGCAGGGGACGACTAGTCGAGAATCACATTCGGAGACTTACAAGTGATTGCGCAATCGGAAACAGGGCAGACATCATCCGGAGAACCCGACGGTTGCTTTCAACGGCGTTGATGGCATCATTCAGTTTTGCCAGGGCATCGGGCCTGTTTGGATCAAGCAAACGCGCAACGTAGTACAGCATCACTCTGCTGCTGTCGTATACAAAATAGGGAAGCAGGCTGTCAGATAAGAGACTCGCTCCATGATCGGCAGCCTCGGCCAGGATGTCGGCTATTTGCTGCGCATGATGGTAGCAGTTGGCCTGTGCGGATTGAAGAAAATCGTGGTGCTCTGGCGGGACAAGAAGAGGTTTGGGAAGCTTGAGCAGATCTGGCATGGACAGCTTGTATAGCTCCAAGTAGTTGTGGTGATATGTGCAGTGTATCAAGACCAGTGCTCCCAGTTGATTTGAGTCCAATCGTGCATATATGGTTTCCATGGAGTATTCGACGAATTCTGGAAGTTCCCGCTGCCACAGACGAAGATCGGCGTCGAGGGCAGCAAACGGCGATTCCGGGAGCCAGGGCGGAGGATGGGAGTCCAGCTGATTTACATATCTGCGGCGATAGTTAGAAAGAGAAAAGGGCCAAGTGATGACTGCTGGCGGGACCAAGAAGCTCATACCTGACAATTCGCTTCCAGAGCGCCACCACCCGGATGTAGTATGCCATGATGCCCATGTTTGCTGATGGCTTTCTCGGCACCGCAGAGGGCGGCAAGAACTGCAAAACATGCCCTACGCCTAGAGTTTCTGTGACTGATGCTATCCGTAGGCCGAAATTCCTCTCATTAGTAGGCAACTGAATCTTGATATCGTTTTCGCGGAGAAGAGTTAGTTGATCGATGCCGCTGCCAGCCCATGCATCGAGGACATAGCACGCCCACATGAGCCTCCGGCGACTCTCCCTAGTGACTACAGATGGGGTAGATTCGCTGGAATCGGTGCACAGAACATCGAGAGATGCCTCGACGTTGATTTTTAGGGCATGGGCCATGCGGACGGCAAGGCCGCTGAGCATCAAGGCGTGGGAGTATTCTCCAAGTCGGAAGTGAAAGTCATGAAGTAGAATGGCGACCTGGAGGATGGTGAGCCACAATCATTCTTGCTGAGAATTTGTGAAGCCGGGGTAGTAGCTTACCATGAGTCTTTGGACAGAAATCTTTCCAAAATTGGTCAGTATGAGGAACTCGGCCCTCTTGGCCCACTCATTGCCGGCAAGGCGGATGAAGCTAGAGGCAGAAGCGTGCTCATTCTGGTTCAAGACGTAGAATCTATTCACATCATGTTAATGGGCCATCGTATTGCCTTCCTTTACCCGAGATAGGTAGCAACTTACTTTGCTCCGTGGGCACATATAATGTGCAGCAGCGCCGACTCGTCGTCGGAAGTGAAGCCCTTGTCCAGCTGCCGCAAAAAGGATGGCTTATGGACAAACGCAAAGCATCGGATGGGATGGACATTGGCAAAGTATTGCTCCACCACACGGCGCAGGTTACGACCGGTGGGAAGACTTGGTGAGATAAGCCTGGCAAAATCATGTGTGAGCAGGAGACTGTTGCACCTAATCATGCCACCAATACCACTACATACCATGACAATATATCGGAACCTGAGGGTTCGATGGACGCAACGCTGTGGGCGCTGCCAAGGCCCTTTGGCCCCGGCATCTCGCCCAGCTTCAACGGTTCAGAGGAGCCATTGCTGGTCATAGATGTGTCGTGCTGAGCATCGATCTCGTCGCTGCCCTCGAGCAACGCAATGGCGAGCTCACGCGACTTGCTGCGGCTTCCTTCGGTCGACGCCGTCCTGGATCCTTGGTCGAGGTTTCGCGCCCATCGCGGGGCCGAGCCGCCGTCGTAGACGCACTCGGTCTTCTTGGCGGTGCATCGCGAGCACTTCGGGCGGTCGCCGTTGCACTTCGTCTTGGACAGGCGACAGCTCTTACAGGAGCGATAGGTGCGGATCTTCCTGAGAGCCATGGGGGTTGTTCGGCCGGCGGCGAGGCCATTGTCGCCGACGCAGTCGAGCTGGAGGCGCTCGCAGTTGCGACATCCGTTTGGTCTGCCGTCGCATTTGACCTGTTGGGGGGCGTTGGTATCAGATGAGAGATGCAGTCGAGGCAGAGATGATAGAATGATGGAGAGGGATAGGTAGAGAGAGACAGAGAGTAGAGGTGGGCCAAGCTTGGTAAGGCGGTAGTAGCAGGTAAGTAGCGGCTAAATGGAACAAACTCACCTTGCGCGCTCTGCACACCCGACAGCCCATCGTATATCGCCAACCCGGGCCTGAAAAAATCGCAAAAAATTCTTCGAGTCCAGCCCGACGCCAGCGATGCCAGAATCCATGCGCTCGAGATATGAGAGAGGGCAGCATCGCCAGGCGACCAGCCGGACGTCCAGAGGTTGGCCCTTGGCCCTGCCCGAGGGACCGATGGGCGCTAGTGCGGGTGACGTGCTCGGGCGCCTCCAAGACGTTTTCTGCCCATGACCCATTGCGCGATCGCCCACTGGCCCTATCAGACAGGCCAGCCAGTAATTGCGCCTTTCTGCGCCGTGATTTTTGCATTGGATTGGGAATTTCGGGGTGCTGGGACCGGTGCGTTTTTTTTGGCGGCTGAGGAGCAGTGGGAAAGGCAACTGTGAAAAGGGAGACGTCGCTCGCGTGATACCACGCCTGGTTGACAACTTCGGGGCTTTTCCTCTCTCTTTCTTCAGGATACAGACGGACTCGAGGTACAACCATGACGAGCATCCCGGTGTACCCCCTGGCGGCCCCTCGGTGAGTGCTTGCTGCCACTTTCGCTGCTCTCTCGGCCACGGTAGCATCCGGAGGTACCGCCTATCCGGGCTGGCGCATGTACCTCCCATCGGATTGCTGCCCTCAAAACGCGTCACCCTCAGTTCGAATGGCGACAATCCCGACGTCCGGTCGACTGACGGCATTGATGGTGAAATGGAAATACTAATCTTGGGGGTTTTTTTTTTAATCTTGTTAATTACTGCCATTCTATTCTGGCTAATTTGCTTTATCCAGTCCCTTCCTATTGATGCGAGCTCGTAGTGCTGTCTAAATATAGTAGGTAGGTAGGCAAGTAGGTACATGTATGTAGTATATTACCATGTATTAGTAGCAGTATAGTCATCCAAGAGCATGTCTGTAACTCTGCCACATCAAATACATACATCCAAACAGCCAGCGTAGATCTGATTCAGCCTCAACTTCTTCCCTCATCATCCTCAATATCATCGTCATCACCACCATCCACCAAAACGCGACCCATCCCGCTACCGTCTCCATTCCTGGTGCGATATGCAACCTCGCCAAAGCATCGCACATCATCTCCCCCTCCACACATTTTCCAGCGAATAGCCTCCCATGCACGAACCCTAATTGGCAACCATGAGCTCTAAGCAGCGTGTCACTTGTGCCACCTCGCCGGATACATAACTACTGCCGAGCTTTAGTCTCGGATCCTTTGCGAATGTCTCACCGGGGAGTCTTAGACAATGTCTCGGAGCTTCATGTGCATCATCTACCGCATGGTTCGTCCGTTATAACAAGACAAGAGGAGACTGCTCTATCGAGTACGGACATGAAAACCACGGGACGAAATTATATCAGGCCATTGATACTCTTCATGGCTGCTCCTATGCTGACTTGAGAGTCCATCTTAGTGGGAATTTTACTGGACCCGAATATCTTGGGAGAGATAAGCAGCCACTTCAAGTTGAAGACCGAATCAGTAACCCACCTTCACCGACACCCTCATGTCAGCTAAGGAGATACAGAAAAGGTGCATTGAAAAGCCTCACGCCTTCTTTAACCTCGCCGTTATCTGCCATCAAACTATCAATGAGATACAATCCAAGTGGTGGCGAATCCGACTCTCGTAGAGCAGCTCACCGACGGCCCGCGACTTGGCCCGGAGCTTCGGCGAAATCGCAACGATTTTCGGTGCTGTCGGCCGATAGCCCGCCAATGCTCTCCCATTGTTACCAGTAACACGCAGACCAAGAAAATTGAATACCAACATCCTCAGAACAAGCAAGGAATCCAACATGTCCTCCACAAATTTAAAAGCAATGACACCAACGTAAACTACTCAATTTTTGCCATGTATTAACACGGCCGACTTCACTTGGACCTGAGCCGACGCAGTCCCACCACCGAAGCTCCATCGAATCCGCACCGACATCCGAAAGTCGTCTGATTTAACCAACAAACACAAAAAAGTATATGCATTTTTACTAAATATTTACCAACGCCGAGCCTATCAAGGGGCCGCCCATTTTAAATATCCTCGCATTATTCCCCCCTCTACTCCTCCATCTCCTCATCCTCTGCCGCCGCAGCCGCAGCCTCGGCCTCCTTTCTAGACTTGAATCCGGATGCCCACTCCTGTGCCTTGGCCATCACCTTGTCCTTGCCCTTGGCATCCAGCTTCTCCTCCCAAGCGGCCCATCTGCGGAACCACTTCTCTGCCTGCTGTGGCTTCAGACCCTTGACCCTTGTTCTTCTCTCAAACACGTCTCTCACAGCGGTGTGATCAGCGCTAGAGCTGGCAATGCCAATCTCGAGGTCAAGCAGCTGGTTCCAGAGATCGCCCTTCTTGGGCCAGGCAGCGAGCAGACCCTCGAACATGGTTCGGCCGCGCTCCGGCTCGCCATTAGGAGATCGGAACTCGAGAGCAGCGAATCGACTGACAATATTCTGTCCGTTGTGGCTGTCCAGCTGCTGTGTAGCTCTCGGGAGCAGAGCTCGGGCACGCGCCGGCTCATTCTTGGTGACGTGCAAAAAGTGTGCGTAGTTGGTCCAGACGCTGGGCGCCTTGGCACCAAACTTCTTGAGCATGGCCTCAAACAGCTCATCAGCTTCCTATGGTAGAGTTTAGTAGATATTCTTTGGTAGTTAAAAAAGGGGAGGTGGAGCTTCTTACCTTGAGCTTCTCCGACTGGATGTAGATGCTGGCCAGTCGCTCATACACCTCTTGCTCGTCATTGTACTGGCAAGCTCGCTTGAATACATCCTCAACCGTTTGCTTGCTACCGTAAGCCACCTCCAAGTTGAGATAGGCAACCCAGACGTTGAGCTTCTCAGTTTCCTCCCGGATGTTGATGCTCTTGATGGCTCTCTCGGCGATTTCACGTGCCTTGGGCAGCTCGCTGACCTGCATCTGGAAAGCCATGTACGCAATCCACAGCTCTGATGAGTCTGGTTGACCCAAGAGCAGACGCTCGTAGTCGCTGGCCGTCTGAGGGCCGTGGGCATCCAGCTCGGCCGTGCGGTCGACCTGAGCCTCACCCTTCTTCTTTCGCTTCTTCTTCTTGTCGGCCTGGTCGGCTTGAGAATCATTTTCTGATTCTGAACCCGATTCGTCAAATGGATTTGTCGACCATGTTGACTTTTTACCTCCACCCAGACCACCAGTCCTTTTGGTGGCGCCGGCGTCTTCCATCTCCTCATCGCTATCCTCACCTGCCTCCTCGTCCTCATCTTCACCACCTTCGTCTTCCTCGTCCTCATCTTCGGAGTCAGAGTCGCCCTGGTTGTCGGTGCCGAGAATCTTTAATAAAGCCTCCTCATCCAGATCCATGCCTTCTTCGTCGTCCTCATCCCCGTCATCCAGTGCTGCGCCAGCCTCAGAATCAGAAGCCATATCAGTGTCCTCATCTTCAAAGAAGGAAGGCTTCAGACCAAAGCTGATTCTTCTCTTTGAGACATCAACCTCCAAAACTCTAGCCTTCACCTTGTCACCCTCCTTGTACAGTTTGGTGGCATCCTTCACGGCGTTATCAGCCATCTGGCTTCGGTGGCATAGACCGCTCACGTTCGCCGAATTGTCAACGAGGATGAAAGCACCAAACTCTTCAACCTTGCGGACAACACCAGTGACGATTTGGCCCTCCTTGATGTCATTGTAGCCCAGAGGAGGAGTGTAATCCTCATCGACAACGGAAGACTTTAGACTGAGCTCAAGCTGGCTTGTGGCGGCATCGAGAGAAATAATACGACCCTTTACCAGCTGATCAATCTGGAAGCTGTCTTTCCATTCCTTCAAGAAGCGGTCAGAAAGGTTGGAAATCTTGACAAAGGCAGTCACTTGGCCTCCCAACAAGACAAAGAGACCCTTGTCGGCGACATTCTTGACGAATCCTCGCACAATATCACCGGTGGCAAGCTGTGTTATTTTGCTAATCTCCTTATCCGCCACGGGCAGTGTAGAGCTCATGATTCGTGACGGTCGCATAGAAAGGCGGATTCTCTTGTTGCTGGGATCGACATCAACAATTGAAACACGAACAATGTCGCCCTTCTTGTATTTAAGCGTGTCGACGCTTCCATAGTCATCCACCATGTCGGGAAGATGGACAGGGCCAGAGACGGTTTCACTCAGCTTCACGAGGACTTGTCGCTCATTGACCTTGGTAATCTTGCCAGGCAGAATCATGTTCTGCTTCAGCGAAGCCCAAGTTATGGCCTCAGAAGCATTGGGTGATCGAGCGGACAGATCGAGACGGTTGTTTTTGGCGTCAACCGATGTCACTCTTGCCTTGAGAGCAGAGCCGACTGGGAAGTTGGCTTCCAGATCGTTTAGCAGAGACAAGTCATCCGAGGCCTCCATGATGGAAATGCGGCCGCGGACATTGGGAGAAAGATTGACCCAAAGATACTGAGACGTAACATTGTTGACAAAGGCAATGTGGTTGTCGCCAACTTTCAGGTCGTCGAGAGAAATCGGGTTGGGGGCGTCGTTGCTCAGATCGCTGGGCTTAGTGGTGAGCTCCATAACTGAATGAGCAGATCTGTGAGAAAAGGGCAAGAAGCGATGATCTTTGGCATCGTGGACTCCAAGAATCTTGACACGGAGAATCTGCTTCTTGTTGAACTTGTCAAGAGGATCCTTTGGATCGACAATGTCCTCCCACTTGTCAAAAATCTGGGAAACGTCAATGCGACCCTGGATCTCACTGTCCACCAGCTGGACGTTCAATTGAGTGTCTTTGATGGATGTGATTCTCGCCTGGGCTGTGCTGCCAAACGCAAGACCGTCTTCTGGGGCTGGCGCCTTGGTAGAAGTTTTGGGCTTGCTGCTCACAGGCTCGGCCACAGGTGAGTCGGCGGGTGCAACCAAAATGCGCTTCAGATCCGGAATGGTTGATATGATTCTCACTTCAATGGATTCGAATTTACGCAGACCAAAGTCAGGCTGTGATTGAGCCTCGGCCGACAGTCTTCCTCTCGGCAGCAGTGCGTTGAGACTTCCGGCGAATTGAACAAACACAGCGGTAACGGTAATGTTTCGTACAAAACCCTGGACAACAGCGCCCACTTTGGCATCGTGGAAGCTCTTGAGGAGGTTGTTATCCTGAGAAGCCTTGACCAGGCTAGGCTTCTGGGTGAGGGTAATGGCTCGTCGGTTCTCATTCTTCTCAAGAACCATAAGATTCGACAGGGTCTGTCCGGCGGAGATTCGCTTCCAGGCATATTGGTTCTTTGAAGTGGATTTGTCGGTAAGATGGCCGACTGGCAGAATTGCCTTCAGTTGACTGTCGACAAGCTCCACGAAAATTTGATCCTCGGTTTTTTGAGTCACCTTGGCCGATACAATGTCGCCCAGCTTCAGGTTCTTGAGAGCAGTTTGCTTTTCAAGCCCGAATGCGCCGGGGTCTTTGCAGGAAACAATGAATCGTCTGGCTTCCGGATCGACCTCAAGAGCATGCACACTAACGACTTGTCCGGCCCGGAAATGCTCCATAGGGTCACGAATGTATGCCTCACTCATCTCAGACACCGGAAGGAATCCTCTGAGTTTTCCATAGAACTGGATATGGGCACCGTTCTGCTGAACCTTGACAATCGTTCCGAGAGTCTGCATCCCGATGCTGACATCGTCGTAAGACTTGATAGTGGGTGCCTCCGAATTGACCAGAGTCTTCTTGAGCGTGAGACGCATTTGCCTCTTGGCGAAGTTGACAGAGAGCACACGAGCCTTGACCTTCATACCTTCACGGAACTTCTTCTCGGGGTGCTGAAGGCGGATATCGGACATGTGAGTCTCAGTAACGAATCCGCTAATACCATCTGCAATCTTGATGATGAGACCTGTAACGCCTTGCTCCTTGATGACCAACTTCTCAATTTCGCCATTGATCACAGAACCAAGGGGAATGTCTTCGAGACGGATGTACTGCTGTTCCAGAAGGCTTTTGGCAAACGAAATGCTGAAAAGGCCGTCCATCTCGTTATAGCCGACAACTCGGCCGCGGTGTACGGTTCCAATCTTGAAGGGCCCGCTTGATTCGTAGAGGGCGTCGACCTTTCCATCCTTGACTCGAGAAATGTGAACGAATCCACCAAGGCCAGCAATGCCAGTATCGACAAAAAGACCAATATCGGGCTCGACGTGGCGGACCGTGCACTTTTCGACAAAAGAGGAGATGGGCATCACCTCAATCGGTCGTCGTTTCTCGTCGTCATCTTGCTGTTTCTGTGTCAGAGACATAATGTGAGGCAACAGCGAAATGCCCAACTTCGGGTCTTTGGCTGTAGGGAAGTTGCAAATAATTCTCGCTTTAACCTTGGAGCCAATCTTATACTTGGCCTTGAGGTCATCATCGTTCGGCCCGATGCCTGAGTGGATCAAATCAGCGGTAGCATCAACAGCTCCCATGATCTTTCCGGCCAACCCTCTGCCCTCATTGTCCGAAACCAGAATGTTAACAATGGTGCCAGGGAGGAATGTGTTGATAGTGGTAGCATCAGCAGGGAAAGCCTTGGTGCTTCCCAGCTTGTCTTGCTTCAAGGAGAGCTGGGCAATCTTGTTCGAGTTCTTGCCCGTGACTTGACAGAGGAAAACAGCACCCGGCTGGAGCCTCTCTTGGTCGATCAGAGGATCAATCTCGCCATTGGGGAGGAAACCATTCAGGTTTGGAATTCCAAGATCCATGACGCAACCGCGTTCTTCGACACTGACAACCGAGGCCATGACTGTGCTGTTGGGCACAACATCGTCCTTTTCCAGCCCAGTGTTGGCTTCGCTGGGACGCAGAGACAGCTCAATCTTTCGCCTTCCCTTTCCTCCAGCGGCACCATCCATAGTCGAGACCACATATGCTCTCACATATTGCCCAACCTTGAACATGGTTTTCAAGTTGACGTCGCTTTCGTCGGACGATTCCTCCTCGTCGCTCTCGCCTTCCTTTTCAGCATCACCTTGAAGTCTGCTTGTCAATTGGGCTGAAATGGCGACGATGGAGGCATGGCCAATGAGATTGTTCGGTAGTGAGACCTCAAGGCTGAGGTTGCTGATTCGAGTCACCTGTCCGAGCACCAGTGATCCCTTGACCAGTCTCTGCAACATCCGTTAGCGCAGGTTCTCGTTACCAATTGTTCGCGCGGTAGTCATACCTTGAAGTTCAGACTCTCAATTTTGATTGTATCCTCCTCTGCTTTTTTATCTGTCTTCTTGTCGCTCTTTGCGGTCGATTTCTTCGCCTTCTTCTTCTGGGACTTGGCGCCCGTCTCGAATTCCTCTTCTCGAATGGCGTCGGCCTTGGCTTCCATCTGGATCTTCTTCTGCTCGAGAGGTGTGAGAACGCTGCCACCTCCACGAGGGAACACAGGTTCGTCATCCTTCAGGACAGAGATGATTGGGGCCTTTGCGCGCTCTTCTGTCGCGCCGTCCGACTTGCGATGCGCCTTGGCCGCGGGCTTCGCATCTTTGGCCGGTGCCTCTTTTTTCGACGGTCGGGCCTCTTTTGAGTTTTTGGCCGACTTGGGCGGAGGATTGCCACCAGGGGCATCCTTCCGCTTGAGGGTGCTCATGGTGGTTGTGTAGCCGCAAGATGCAAAGGCAGAAACACAGCCTTTAGCATAGACGACTTTGGCTTCAAAAACTCGTCTGTAGCTTCAACTTTGATTCTCGATTTTTTTTTTTTCCCTGGCGGGACATCGATAAGAGTAGCGTGGCGATAAGGCAGGCGGTGTGGGCCTGCGAATTGTTCCGGGTCCACCCCAGCCATTCAAGCCACAGCTCGCCCAGCTGGAAGTTTTAGCGCAGGTCTCTAGCTGACAGGTGCTAAGGGGCCGCTGTTGGGGCGGGTGTTAAGCCGCTACAGCCATTTTCATTCACTGCTGGTGGCGCGTGCCGTGGCGGTTCCAGGCATCGTCATCAACTGTTGGGAGTACCTACGGAGTCCTCCGAATAAAGTAGCCTCCGAAGTACCAGCAATTCATGTTGAACCTTGCTACCATCCGTCTGCCTACTTCAACCTTCCATCATCGCCGCCTAATCTACGCGTCATCTCCATCTCTTCCATGGCCTGTGCTTCACGCTCGCAGTGTTCATGATGCCTCCTCGAAAGAGGCAACGCCCCAATCCCACTCTACTGAGCTCGCTGAGCTTGCCAACCACAGCTTTGTCGCCTGAGACGTCACTGTCACGAGCGTCATCTACCTCGGCGCAGCAAGCTAGCGACCAGAAAAAGCCTCCACAACCCGAATCCAACAGCGAACGCAAGTCTTCTGATGCATCACAAAGAGTGAAGGAGGTAAAACCCCCCTGTTCATCCATCCGCGCGCGAACCCCTGGACGAACGGGTTCTTACTGGGCCACAGATTCGGAAGACGAATAGCTGGTACGCATCGTGGTCGAAGCCGCCAAAGGCAACGGCCTCGACATCGGTTGCTCGGGAGAATATTCTCGGAGGCACCGTTAGAACAAGGAATGCGCCCGACTTTTCTCGATTTGAAGCAAAACGAAGCGAAGACGACGCCAGCATGCCCGACGACGCCGACCCAGTCCTGCCACCCCCTACAATAGCAACCAACACCTCCAACACCTCGAGCACCTCGAATACGGACAAAAAATCAGATGCGAATAAAAGTGTAGTCTCTTTACGTACCGGGGACAAGAAGCCCTTGGATACAGGGCGCCCACAGGAGATACCCTCACCTCCCGAGACAAAGCCACCCCCTGAGCAGCAGCAGAAAGCCTCGGATAATACAAAGGCGCAAGAACAACGACCGGAGTTAGAGGCTCCCGCCGACAAAGATGACCAAACACATGATGCTTCGCAGAAGCAAGTCCCTTCAGCTGGGTGGTTCGGCGGCTGGTGGGCCAAACCTGCTCCGGTTGAGCCTGCTGCAAAACCTATACCAGGCTCTCAGGAAACAAAGGAAGAAGCTATGAAGCCCGCCGAAACAATCGAGCCTGCCGAGGCAGCCCCACCCCCGGAGCAAGCACCTGCTTCTGAGCCTCCGGCAACCGAGGAGGCTGCAGAAGCTCCACAAGCAGCCTCTTGGTTTGGCTATTGGTATTCAACTCCTCAGCCCAAAGCAAATGCAGTTCCAAAGGCACAGCCAGACACAGCCAAAGAACAACCAACTCTGAAGGCTGAAATGTCCTCAAAACAAGGGCCAAATGCGAAAACCGCCGTGCCACCAAGCGAGACGGCTCTCCCTAAAGACGAGCGCCAGAATGGGTTGGCCGTTACGGTATCACGAGCCTCCAGCAAAAAGTCAAAGATCAACCTCAATGAAGATCCAAAGGCAAAGGCTGGAGATGTGCCGACCCCAGATGTCTCTCAACCTGAGCCGGTGGCGGCCCAGAGCACACCACCCAAAGCAGGCTCTACTTGGGCTTTTTGGTCAAGAGACAGCCCGAAGATTAAAAGCAAGACTTCCTTACCAGAGTCGGGGCAAATTGCTGTGATGGGAGAGGGGTCAGAGGTCCAGCCGCTACCTATGGCAGAAAGAAGAATCTCCGAGTCGGCGACCAAGGACCCCAAAGATAATACTCCACCAACGGAGCCACCAGCAGGTGTATTGTCTTGGCGCAGAAGCAAGCGAATTAGACCTATATCAATGGATCTTGAATCTGTACGCCCACCATCCGCGGACAGCGCCAAATCAGCGCCCGTCGACCGGCTTTCCACTACTCCCCATTCACAAGTTGGCCCTGAACAGGAGCTGCCTCCCTCGAAGCCACTGGCTAGGACAGATTCCAAGAAAAAGAAACCAGTGCCGGTATCGAAGAAATCAACGGCCGAAAGCGAGCCTATCGCAAAGGAACCGCCCAACGTTCTCCTCCCATCATTTTCTAGCACATATCAGATGAAGGAAAACCCTTCAATCCTTCGACAGATTACAAATCTAGTGCTTCGAACTTCACAACCGCCTCCCAATCACGTTTTTCGGGTCAATGACCCCCCGAAGATCCGCAAGGCCGTTGCCATTGGAGTTCACGGATTTTTCCCTGCTTCATATTTGCGTCCCATGATAGGCCAACCGACAGGTACATCGTTGCGATTTGTAGGGCTTTGTGCTGATGCCATTCGAAAATGGGCTGAGAGCCATGGCTGTTCTGATTGCGAGATTGAAAAAGTTGCCCTTGAAGGGGAGGGTAGAATTAACGATAGGGTGGCAAACCTGTGGAAGCTTCTTTTGAATTGGATTGAGCATATCCGCCAGGCCGATTTGGTTGTCATCGCTTGTCACTCCCAGGGAGTGCCGGTCAGCATCATGCTGCTAGAGAAATTGATCGATCTCGGGGTTCTAACAGATACCAAAATCGGTGTCTGTGCTATGGCTGGCGTGGCGCTTGGCCCTTTCCCCGACTACAAATCCAGTATACTTATGGGCTCAGCAGCAGAGCTATGGGAATTTGGAGATCCCCAGAGCAACAACTCACAACGATTCGAGGCATGTCTCAAGCGCGTTGTTGACTTTGGAGCGCGCATTACGTTTGTGGGTAGTATTGATGATCAGCTTGTTCCCATGGAGGTAGGATGAGAGCGCCCTTGCCAATCGTCATACAAAGGTAACTAACGGTCCTATAGTCTGCTGTATACTCACCTGCAAACCACCCTTACATATATCGAGCCGTTTTCATTGATGGTCGAGTGCATGCTCCGGATTTCATATCGCACCTGATTGGATTCGCACTTAAACTACGCAATCTAGGAATATCCGACCATGGGCTCATCCGTGAGCTGTCTGTGGCCCTTGCTGGATCGCTGTACTCGGGAGAAGGCCACTCACGCCTGTATTTCGACTCAGCTGTATATGATCTCGCCATCACACACGCCCTGGAAACGACAAACACAGCACAGCCAACGCCCTGCTTGATCCCCAAGCGAGATACGACGCCATTGGCATCGTCAAACCCATATGTCCTGCCATGGATCATGCGTGGTCTTTTAGAAGAGGATTTCGTCAAGACGCAGCTCAGCGCTGAAACCGAGGAACTACTGCGGCAATTCGACGACTGGAAGCCAACCAACAAAGCCCTCAAGGACGTAAAGTACCGTCTCGAGGCCGTTCGTTCCAAATTATGAGCGCAGATGATACCCTCATGATTTTTTTGCCATTTAATATCGCATTTACGGCGCTTCTTTCAACGCTCATTGGAGCTATTTTTGTAGCATGACTTTAATACGGCCTGTACGCGCAAGCGGCAAAAGCAGTGCATCATGAATTTGAAGATTAGCGAAACAGTTTATTTGGTTTGGGATTCTGGGTTCTAGAGACTGAATTTATTTGGCTTTTGGGTATCTATATGCGGGCATGATGTGGTGAAGGCAGAGTAAGAATTACTGGTTGAGTTGTTGTGCAGAACCATGACTAGAGGTGCGTCTGTGCTAAGAACATCAAACACGCTGGTATAGAGTAGCTATTTAGACCTCATACAAATTGGTAACTTACATCCATTTACTACATTTAGAACAACATATGTCGATAGAGGGCTCCGGAAATAGATATGACTGTTCTTAATGATCAACTTGTGGAGGGGTATGGCATATCTCGGAGAGTATTTGGGGAGCATCGAGTGACTAGGAGCTAGGCCACACAGCGAGTCAGAGAGACGAGATCTAGACAAAATCCTTGAGGATGTCGACGATCCTTCGTGCTTTAACCAAGTGATGGTACTATTGGAAGTGTCGACTGAGACAACAACGGCTGTGGTCTCAGTGAGGCGTGACATACAGAATGCCATTCCATAGCTAGCCAATCACTACATCTTGTACCAGAATAGTGCTGGGACTGTTTCACATCGTGTTACTTTGCTGCGGCTGAATTCGAGAAGAGGATAGAGCTGACGGATAATTCGGCATGGTATGCAGCCTCCCTTTCGAACATATCATATAATTTAGAGTTCAACGAAGCTGCCTCTGTCTGCGTGTCTGCGTGTCTATTTAAACAGGGCATTTCCCACAATCACTACTCTCTTCAACATACGATTCATACTCAACTCTACACTCTTAGCCTCATTGATCTTTATTACCATGAAGACATTTATGCAGACCACGGTAGTAGCATTACTACAGGCAAGCCTGTAAGTGACCCATCCAGATTGACCCTTTGCAATTAACTTAACCCCCCATAGGTGTGTGGGCTTTATTGTAATTCCCCAATTGCCAGAAGGGTGTCCGGTTGTTACTATCCCGGGACGCTGCCCTCCTCTCAATACCCTTAAGCACTGTGGTCCTCATCCAGATTGCATTTTACTCAAGACCGTTACGAAGCCGTGTAACTGCCCGACTCCCGCGCCAACGGTGGTGGCGCCTTGTCCGACTTGTCCAACTGGTTGTGGGACAGCTTATGAGACGGTGACTGCTAAATGTCCACAGCGTTTGGAATAATTGCAAAGAGGAGTCGTCCCAGAGGTAGAAGCGGGTGACTTATGTGCTACAGGCGGTACATGATATGAAAAAGGCAGAATTTCCGCTGGACTGATTATTGAGATAGCATTTGTGTAGTGCGCAGAGACTTACAAAAATTGAGTTTTTTGAGCTACACGTTGGGACACGTCTGCATCTTCGCGATCATATATGATGGTTGTTGGGCCTTTTCCATAGTAATTATGTAGGTAGTATTAAGGTTTGCACTAGGAAGCCGTTTATACGTCGGCCAACGGCTCTTTAGTTCCGGTAGATGAAAACCTAACACAAATCCCACGTCTGTGTAGCTCGCTTGAGCCCTGATAATGGTGAACTTGACATTACCGCTTGAAGTAAATACACACTTTAATGCTACCTACTTTTGTACCTAAGATCAAATATTTCGCGACAGCGTATGACTCTGGGGCTGTATGATCTGACATGCGTGACAACTTTAGCCAGCTTTGGTACCATTTACTAAGATCTCGTCGTCCAATCATGGGGTTTCATCCCTGCACGTACAGGGAACGCCGATTAGGCTACAACCGCTGGTTCGCGCCCTTGATTTGCTCCAAAAACAAGGCGTCCGTGGCGGTGCTTCATCCTTGGTTTTGTGCCCCTTGAATTTAGAGGCTGTGCCAGTTGGAGGCTTCCCTGATGGCGGCGCTTAAACATGCAAGGCACACGCGTTCATGAATTGATTACCTTTGGCTAAATATCTTAATTTTTTTACTTTTAATACCCCAGATGAAGTCGGTCAGTTTTGGGTTTGGGAATGATTGATCATTGGGCGCCATTTGAGTGTCACCGAGGCGAAATATGACGACGACGAATTCTCAGGTGCTAGGGTGCGCTTACAGATTATCTTCCTGCAACTATAGTGTTTGACGGCCACATTCTAACACGAGTGCATTTAGCAGCACTGATCTGGCTGAGCTCTTCAAAGAAGCTCAAGATACATTCTTGGCCTCGCTGTCGGAAGAAGAAAGGCGGTCGTTCCCAAAATGTAGCTCCGCAGAGGAACTAGTAGAGTCAGCACGGAAGCTCGACATCTTATCAAGAGGACACCGAGACAGAAAGGCTATGCTGCGCAAGATTCAAGCCTTTGGCAACAAACTCAGTCCCTTCTTCGGTATAATCGATATACTCTGCTCGGCTCATCCTGAATGGGCCAACGTCGCCTGGGGTGCGTTTCGCCTTGTCTTACAGGTACGTATGATATGAAGCAAGCACCAACAGATGTTACTCTGGCTTTTTGCAACCGTACATAACGATGATCTAACAAAAAGACTTAATCGCCGAGTTAAGCTGGCTAGCAATTTTGGCACCTTTTTCGAGAACTTGTGTGAAACGCTGGATCAACTCGCTGCAGAATTTCCGCAATGGACCGAAATTTACATCAGCCTTGGGCGTGATAAACATTCATTCTCCCAAAGACTACCAGAGGCTCTGGTACGATTTTATACATGCATGTTCGACTTTTTGCACTCCGTTTCCCGAGTTTTCATCCGCAAAGATGGCAGTAAGTTTATTGACAAAGAGATGCAGTCATGAAATCAGCTGACGGAATTTTCTCTCAATGGTAGAGCCGAAGAAGACGTCGCTCTATGTTGCGAACATCATGCGGCAACCCTTCAGTACAAGATTCCAGGATATTCTTAAGAAGATGAAAGCTTGTAGAGAAATTGTTCTGAGTGAACTTAACCTGGCACTCCGCATACAACTTCGGAACAACTCTCGGCAAGATTCAGACTATATCAAAGAGAAATTGAAGAAGATTGACGCACTCTATGACAAGGTAGTAGAGGTCAAATCAGAATTTACCGAAGCTGCCAAGGGTACGTGACTTCAGAGCCGCAACAGCTGAACTACTCTCGCCAAATATCATCCACTAACATGCTGGTTTTCAGAAAGATTCGACCAAACTCTTAGAGGGTGGCTTTCGGCCCCAGCCTATAGATCTGCGTTTGACAACGCGAGAGATAGGAAACATGAGGGCACCGCAGAGTGGTTGCTTGATGAGCCGGTGTTTCAATCCTGGAATCAGCCCCATGGTTCCTCTGATTGCCGCTCTGCGATGCTCTGGGTACACGGTGAGAGACCGACCAGCCAAATTACACAAGCACTCCCCAAAATAATACTAACAAATCACCAGGTAATCCGGGATCAGGAAAGACGATTCTGGCGGCGTCTATTATAGACCTCTTGCAGGAAAAGCTATCCGAAAGTGAATTGGATTCATATGCGGTTTGCTATTTCTTCTTCGATGCAACTGAACTGGGATCGAACACCCGTCTTGGCGCCTATAGGGCGCTGGCAACACAGATCTACCAACAACATGGCGAAATCGAGCAGGTCCGGGATATTTTTGCTTTTGCGGCTCGTAACCGTGTCGATACGGCGTCCGAAAAGGAACTGCTGGATATCCTTCAACTAGCCGTCTCCATTCTGCCAAATATCTTCCTGATCATTGATGGTGTGGATGAATGCTCCGAGGATACGCAACTTGTCAGTGATCTTCATCGGCTTTGCGGTATGTCAAAAGGCCGTGTCGCCTTGTTCAGCCGACCAACTGTTGTCGCCTTACGATACCCGAAGTCGCCCATTTCATCAATATCGATGCTTAAACATCGAGTAAACAGCGATATGGCTATTTTCTTTACACAAGAGCTTCAGGATCTCACAGATTTGGGTCTTTTCCCTCAACACCTTGTCGACGGTGAGATGTCATCGATGGTGATGCACCTCGTCAGCCGCGCCGAGGGCATGTTTCTATGGGCGAGATTGATGATATTGTATCTCAGCTCGCCAGCCCTTACTCCAAGACAGAGGTTGGCCATTGTCCAGCGAGAAACACCAGAGGGCATCGGTACCTTGTATGAGAATATATTCAGCATGATCAAAAACCAAGACAAGCCCAGCCAATTACTCGCCCGTCAAGTCTTTCTTTGGTGCACACATGCCTATTCCAACCTCACAGCTCAGCAGATGCGTTGTGTCGTGTCGGAAGGTGGCCTGCATGGCAATCCAGATGATCTGTTAGTGGACATTGACCATGCGGTTATCATGTCTTGTCGCGGGCTGATAGAGAAGCGACTAGACGGATGCTTTCACTTCATTCATATAACGGCAAAAGACTTTATATCCGCGCGAACTATTGTCTCTTCAGCCGGTGTGGACTTTACCACATCCGCTTGGAGTGCATCCTGCGAGATTACAACTGCATGCATCAAGTATATGACATTTGCTATCCCGCTGCAGCCTCTTTCTACACGCATGGGCACATCTGCTGTCCCAGGCGAGTTAAGAGAATCTTACCCATTCCTAGAGTATGCGTCGCTCAAATGGGCTCACCACCTGAAATACCTGGTAGAAAAAGCTGAATATAGTTCCGAATTGGACCAACCAGCACATCTCGCATCCTTTGAGGCTTGTTTGGATACTCTAAAGAGATTCTTAAACCTCAAACTTAATATAATGCTCTGGATAGAAGCGGTTTATACTTTCGAAGGAGGGGCTGAGCTGATTAAATCATGTGCAAAGGAGCTGAAAGCGGCCGCCGCATCACTTGTGAATCTCCTCACAAACGATACATTCACCTCATCCAGGCTGGAGACCCTTTATCGCGATATCAGTGAATTTGCCGTTGATATCCTTGAAATAGAGGCATCGTGGAATAGTACTCTATGCAGTCGTCCACATGAGATCTGGGGCGACGTGACCCTGTTTACCCAGAGTCGATTCTTACAACCTACCTCGGCAGCAAGCTTGGAATGTCTCTCTGCTGGCGGCCAATCGGGAAATGGAAATAGGAAAGCAAGGTTCTCCGTATCTGAAACATCATCTGATGGGCAACGAATGGCAGTGCTAAGTGTCTGGCCATCTGAGTAAGTCTTTTTATTTTCCACTTAGGATACCGTTCCCGCATGGCAAATCAATTGATCAAAGACAAAACTTACAATTTATATAGATTGTTCGAAATGCTCTGGACAGGAACTGGGGAATTCCGAAATATCATGTCAAATGATGGCAACCTATATGATCCATCTATTCAGTTGGACTTCAAACAGGACCCGTCATTGAGCCCAAAACTTTGCAAAGGGTGGAAAGCCACGTATGAGATATACCGAATCGGCGATAACAGCACCAGATTGTGCCTCGTAGGCATACCTCTTGAGGAGGAGGAAGTATCTATGCAGCTTCGTCAATCGCTAAGAGGATTTATGAGAAACTGGAAACTGAATTTCCCACTTGCCATTAGTCCTAGCCTCTCCGTTATTACCATTCTTCGGTCTGTTTACACAGCAAAAGTTGAGCTTTCACGAACAACCAACCAGCTCACCGTACAAGTATCGACTCCAGCAATTCTGGACACTAGCCACATCGACCCGGATGGAGCTTACTGGTCCGAAAGGCGAGCTCATTTTGAACTGCCATATTTGTACAATATCAAGATTGGCTGCAATGATGGGTTCTTAATATTTCAGGACGAAGATCTCGGGTTCAGATCAAAAAACGACCGCTCAATAGCCGTTTTTAGTCTATATCTCCAACAAGGAGAGCCCGCAGTGCGATATATCGACTGCTTTTCGTATCGGATATCGATTGCAGGAGGAAGTTTGTGTGTGCTACACAATCGTTATCCAATGGTGCTATTTGCCGCATTCAAGGATCTATACGCTTGGAATTTAGAAGCAAGTAAGTTCTTCATTTACTTCAAGACATTTCTGTTACATTTTTAACGCAATATTTCTTAGCACACATACCACCACTACTACTTCATCCAACCCCACGGGACATTGAAGACATTGGTTTCTCAGAATGCTGCAAATTTTTCACTATCAAACGGCATAGCCAAACTTGGCCATCGATATTACCTCTCCCCTCAATGCCAACATCAAAACGAACGCGAGATATACACGATGTTGACGATCGAAATGACCATTCGAATGAGGAACAGCCAAATAAGAAACAACGATTTGGCGAATCATCACAAGCAATACAGCGGTCGTCTATATCTTTTTCTGGAGTCGTAGGATCTGTTAACGGCAATAAAGGCCAGATGTTGTGTCTGGGAAAAGCTGCCTCAATACGAGGCACAGATCTCTATAGTTATAGAGGAGACGGCATCGAAAATGCGCGTTTGCTCTCTACTCCGAGTTCACTAAGCATTCATTCATTTAAGCCTTCGGTACGACTAACAGACTCGATGGATGAAAAGACCGTGGTGGTGCTTAACAGGACGCAGCCATTTTCATACAGTTCAGACGACAATGCTGACTTAAAACTTCCAATTGTCGTGCGGCGAGATCCAAGATCAATTGTCTTTAATAAGGTAGACCTCAACAGAACAAATGCTGTTGAGGGTGGACTTCCTAATAACATGTTAGAGGATGTCAACCTGGATAATTCTAGTCGTTAAAACCCGTCGTTTCTCTAATAAATTATCGCCAACGATGTTACGTTCCATTATACCGTAGCGCCAACAGGGCAAAAGATTAGGCCAATAATCGCACTTGTAGCAATTATTGTAACGGAACCAGCTGCTTATAAGGGATCTATAGCTGTTACAGCGGATCAAATCATAACTTGTAATTACGGGGTTTTTAAGGCGGATCCCTGGCCGGCCCTGGTGGGATGTGGTCAGATGCAAGAATACTCCTTTATTGACATGCGTTACTGCTACATCGACATATCCAAGGTGAATGGGGAAGACAGAGGCAGGGAACGAGTGGGTGGAATTCGAATGGCAATTGAGTCAGAAATGACCGCCAGGCTCCCAAAGAGGTCGATTTTTTTTGGATTCTTGAACAAAGGCTTATATGAAGAATTCACCTATTTGATTAATGAACGAATACGTTAGTTCCTGAAATCTCCCTATCAGTTGTCGCGCCAATGAAGTCGGGAGCCCTTGCGTGCAAAACGCGCTGCCAAGTATCCTCGATGAAATCCCGATCTACATGGATCTTCTGCTATTGATGAGGCTGTCTAATTGATGGAAAACAGGTAATTATACACAGAGAGAGTCCACTTCTATATACACTACCTATCTATTGTCCGTTGGATTCCGCTAGCTAGCATATATGACTAGCTCAAGCTCGAGCGGGACGACTAGCCTGAGGTGCATTATCTTAGCTTAAGTTTACTGCCTTGAGCCGACGCCTGGTTACATGAAGACGCATAGTAGAGCGAATGCCGAAGAAGCCGTGGGAACCATGCCATGTCGTAGGATTACGGAATAAAATAACCCTTTCAAGAAAATTTCCCGATGTTGTATAGCAGATCTAGCTCCGGGCTTCGCTTTGAACCCCTACGGTTAGTTGGTGAAAAAACGCAACGGCTGCGCTTAACAGTAACAGACGCCTCCGCGAACTCTTTCCTGAATTCCAAAACGACCACTTCGGCGGCCGGAGCGTTCTTCTGTTTGGTGATTTCTATCAATTGCCCCCTGTGATGGAGAATTCTCAATACTCTGCAGCCAGGTGGCAAAATGAGACCGAACTTGCTGGCCGTAACGCCCATCACTCTTTTGACTATACTGAGCTGACAATTTAGCGTCCCCGCATGGCAACACACTCACAACATCTCCAGCCCTGTTTCACTTCCGGGCTGTGGAATCACTAGAGCTCCGAATAAGCCTGTCCCTGCATTTGGAAAAGTATATAAGTCCCGTAGATATCCAGCGAAGATTGTTCGGCAAGTCTATAAGACAATATTCCAGTGTATTCCCCCTAAGTCGACAGCACAGCATGGAACAAGGCAAGATCGTACCCGATCCTCCTAAATATGACCGAAGGTATGACATGAATTCTAGCAGAGTCTAAGAAATTGATACGATTCTCTTGCTCATAACCCCATCTGAAATAACACCTGGCTGATACATGCTGGCAGTCGGCCACTTCCAACCGTCGAGCTTGTATACCAGAATCAGCTACCAAACTGCCCTGGAAAATCTAGCGTCGGCCTCTTAGTTACCTATCCTCCCCGCGGCTCTACACCTCCTCACCGCCACGCAGGAGCTTCTGTATCTGCAATCGTACTCGAAGGGACGGTACTCAATAAGATGAACGACGAGCCAACTCGTGTGGTTGAGCAGGGCGGAAGCTGGTTTGAGGCCCCAGGCTGTCACCATAAGGTCAGCGAGAACTACAGCGATGCGGAACCCGCCAAACTGCTAGCGACGTTGATTGTGGATACAGAGGTTGTTGAGAAGGGTGGAGTTGCTGCATTGGTGGTTTATGATGAAGAATATAGAGACATTGGGGTCAAGACTTAGTCCTTGTGGATGACAGCAAGCCAACACAGACTGGGCTTAGGCCCATTGCTTCCAAGGTATAGACTTAGTTTTAGTCTCAAAACTAATCGTTAGTGGAGATATGGCACGAGTCGAGCTGTGCCAACCTGATGATTCGGAATCATTGAATCGACCAGTTTGTGAATCGCTCCCACGTGCACCCCCCCTTAGCCCTCATGATAAACTCTTATAGCCCGCATAATTACATGGTCCTTTGGCTGACTCGCGGTCGTCTCTCGCCGAGGCCTTTTCGAAATTATGCCAAGTTTTTGCGCCGCCACCAATGCATTTCACAGGATTTTGCACAGCACCGACTTGTAAACATTGGATGGAGGGAATGCACACAACTATGGCCAAACTGTGCAATTCTCCGGCAACAAGCATTGATGCATAATGCAAAATATAGGATGGTATTGAGGCTCTAGTTAACATGGCATCACAATGGCGGCGTTTGTAGATCAAGTAATAGCAATAAGCCACGTGGCGATCCGCCAATGTGTCCCGACTTTGTCTGATTCTTAACTATGGCCTTGACGAGCGGTAAAATCTCATAGACCAGGCCCCTTCACCACAATCTTCCCATGAGCGTGGCCCGTCTCGCCCTGCTTGAAGGCATTCACCGCATCGTTAAACTCAAAGACCCCACCGATGACCGCCTTCAGCTTGCCTTCCTCAAGCAAGTTACAAATCTTCGTTAACTGCTCCACATTCATGTCAACAATGAAGAAAACCACCGTCCGTCCCTCCTCCTTCCTAAAAAAAGGTTCCCGGAAGCTATCCCTCACAGACTCCTTGCTCAGGTCGCCGACCGTTGTGTCCACGATGTTAACAATTATGCCGTCTTTGCTAACAACCTTCAGGGCCTGCTTTGTCGTTTCATCGCCTACAGCGTTAAAGACGACATCGATATTTTCTAGAGCGGACTCCAGTTTAACCTCTTTGTAGTTTATAACCTCGTCCACGTTAAGCGACTTGAGAAGCTTGAAACTTTGTTCGGATGCGGCTGTGGCAATAACTCGAGCCCCGACCATCTTACCCATCTGGATAGCCCAGAGGGCAGTTGGACCCGTGCCTCCGGCGACTAATAAAGTCTGGCCAGCTTGAAGTTTTGCATAGTCGAATAAACCCTGCCATGCGGTGAGAGCGGAAAGTGGCACTGATGCAGCCTCGACGTGGCTTAGACTCTGAGGCTTGCGGATCATTCTAGAGAAGTGAGCCTTAGCGTATTCAGCCATACCGCCATCTGTGCTTCGCTTGCTGGAGAAGGCCTTAGTTACAAAGACCATAACCTCAGTGCCGACTTCAAGGCGCTTCTCCTTTGGCACTTTTGATCCCACTTTTACTATAACACCAGAGTAGTCCTCTCCAGGAATAGGGGTCTTGTATGTACCGTCCTCCTTCTCGTAGAGCTGCCAGTAGAGTTCCATCCAGATAAGACCTGCAGCGTGTACTCTGACAAGGACCTCGTCATCATCGATCTCTGGTATATTCACCTGGACGATCTTGAGCTTCTCGGTGCCGCCGGGAGGGTGATGATGCCAAGCTTGCATGATGTAGAGTGTGGTGAGAGATTTTAAGGTAACTTAGCAATAGAAGGTCTAACGTTGATGGATTGGAGAATCCGTAACTATGTGGTGCTTCTTTTATATCCACATCTATGGTAGCAAACGCGACTCTCCGTTCCCTCAGTATTTATACGTTCAGGGCTCAGAGATGTTACGGATGCTCCACTTACATAACGCCGGATGACGAGGTCCAGCAGTAAAAACGGTGCAAGTTCTCGTCATCTACCATCAGTCCTCGTAGCATTTGGAGCTTTTGCTACCAGGCTGTTCTTTAGCAGTAGGTACTATGATGACGCTGTTCGGCGTTGGCCCTGGCATATTGGTAGAGAGAGTGGCACCGTACTAATACTTGACACTAAGAACTGGAACTGCTGACACTGAATTAGGTAATTAATTTACTGGAAAAGGATAAAGAATTCCGTAATCCGGCAAAACCTGGAGACGCGGAAGTGAGGAACGGAAACAGTTCAACGTCCAACAGCGACGCTAATCTCCACCTCATGCAACCCCAACCCATGTTTCGTCCCGTTTTGGAAACACAACAGGATTCCTCATCATTCAACTTTGACTCGCGTGTTGACATAAAGTATTGGCTTACATTCTAGCACGACAATGCGGCTAAAGTTAGAGTCAGTATTCGAGTTGCAGCCAAATTTACCGTTGACGCCCGGATTCTATGCGTTATCACGAGAACATCGGCGGCTTCAATACTCTGTAAACTGTTTCTAAATCGAGGTTCTGCAAGGTTGGTAAGTGCTAATTGCACCATTGCCAGTGTTGATGAAGAACGACTAAGTCAAATTTTGCACTGAACTGACTGATCAACTATCACCTCCATCACCTTCGACACTGCGAGTAATGAATATATCGCAACTCGCGGGCCGAAGCTCTTCAAAAAAACTTCTGTTCTCCGCCCTTCAGCAGACAACGTAATTTGATATATTGAACCTCCTCGGTCGATTGCAATTTGACCACTGGGTGTTTCCCCCAAGTAAGAGGACACTTTACGCTACGCAGCGAAGAGTCTATGTAGTCAGTATAGGTACCTAAGACGACGACACGCAGTTTTGCTCTTCAACCCTGCCTGAAGTTCATTAACGCCACTAGTGTGGCCACCCATCTGTAACGCCTTCGATGAGTCGTTCCGGCGAGCCCCTCTTTCGTCCGTCGGGTCCGCCGAGTCCACCGCTGTCCTAGGAAGTCGCTAGTGACTTACTTCTGTGATTCACCAAAGACCAACTTATACGAGTAGTTTGCAACTTGATTATATCAGCCCGCCTGCTATTGATTCGTCAACGAACGGAAATTGACTGCCACCCATGCACGGTGTATTCCTTTGGATTCCGTAAACCTCATCCATCGCCATCGTCGACAATTGGTAGCTGCCAATCACATCCATCCACGACCGTTTTTGGCTATGGAGAATAGAAGTGACCAGTCTCACAACCACAAAAATTATGCAAAGGAGGAAATTAAACTGCGCAAGCGCAGAGAGACAATCCAGGACCGGAGACTCCGTGTCTTGGGCACCGCATCAGTCCGGTTCACCAACACCACAGAGCAGGGCGCTACAGATCCGGGTGCGTGATTGATTTGAACTCTCACTCATTAATTACTAAGAGCCCGATGAAGGCGCCTCATCCGAATCAGGGTACAGTAGACGCAGGCACCAAGTGCGCCGAGCCCAGCGGTATCACCGCCAGCGGACAGTGGATTACATCGACGACCTTGAGACGGAGATAATTCGCTTAAGAGGGTTATGTGAAAATACGACGAGCGGAGACGGCAAAGAGCCGTGCTCACAATTTTCAACCAGTAGTGGCGCTCCAAGCCCTGGGAATCTGAATGTGAACGCCCTTGTCGAGGCTTTTGACGGTCAGATTGCGCCTGGAGTGTGCGTGGCCAGTCATTCGGCGAGTGTATCTCCCTACCAATCACCACACATCTCTGAGCCAAGTAATCGTAAGTTCCATCTTATGCAAGGCTCTGTTTTTCGGCTCCAGTGCACTAAGATATTCTGCCTTGAGGGCCCCGTATAGCCACACCGATACCTTTGAACCTAGAGTTCGTCAATCCTTTGACCAGGATGCTCTTCTACAATTGTTGGTCCTGCTCAACACGCACTATCAACCCCTTTTCTTGACGTGTTTCTGACATTATTCAAGTCTCTCAAAACATCGCACCCACCCTTGTCGTCTTCGACGGACCATCAAATGGATTCAGATGCCACGTGCTTCCTCTTGCATGGGATAAGGAGCTTGTTCGGTATGCCCTACTGGCTATATCAGCAAATCAGCTGCGATTCAAGCGCCGCAAGTTTCTGCCACTGGCTTTGACCTTTCAATCTAAGGCTATCGAGAAGCTCTCTGCAATGTCTAAGACGGGTAATCCTAACAGTGACACGAGAGTAACGGTTTTGGCTACCATCATTCTCCTGCTCATCACTGATATGATGAATGGCGGACCCCAATTTCGTCTTTTATTCGGCATGGTAACGTCATGGATAGATGCGACAAACTGTGAGTCTGTTCCTCTTACGCAACGAACGCCTCACTCAGACATGGAAGTGTTCCTCCTTGATCAACTTGATATGTAAGTTGTAAGATTTCGCGAACCATGGTGCGCAGGGCTGACACTTTTGGACAGGGTACGCCGCTATGCAAAACCCTTGACAATCGAGCGAAACACCATACGTGAGCAGCGTGGCTGTACTTCTCTCACTGTTCCTACCGGCACGCTTAGAGATAACTTGACTCGAATTTTCAAGTCAATAAGTGAGGCCATCAAGCACGCCTGTTACATCTACTACTATCACATCATGAACGATACTCTACCTCCTGATAGTGAGGACGTCCTCAATAAATTAAAGGACACGACTCGACATATACCCCCATATGCCCCTGGCGAAAATAGTTTAGCCTGGGTGTATTTTATTGCTGCTGCTGAGAGCTCTTTGCCTGTCGAGCGTATATATTTTACAAAACGACTCATGGGTATCTTGGAGAGAGGCAGTTTTAGTGACCCAACACCAGCTTTTGTCATGCTGCACAATATTTGGAACTGCCATGACGTTGGTAGAAGCTGGACCAAGTGTCTTAGAGGCAACGATTCTTTTTCAGTCACGCTGTCCCCTACTTGAACTCTGTTTACGGTGTTGGTTGGACTTTACCGGTTCGCTCCATCGCCGCTTGGAGGTCCGTTGGATGGGCAAGCTACCTCAGGGCTTTAGAAAATAATGAGTCAAACATCCTAAGGAAGACATGACTCCTACAACACGTGCAAAACATCATTCATGAATCGGGCTGAGTATCGGGGCTCATTATCGACGATAAATCAGGATAGATGGAATTGGTAATGTACCAGCCGCAAATAGCATGTTACATAGGTGGTTCTTGTCTTGGTGTTTTAATAGGTATACCTAAATCAAATGCTGGAATTTCTAGGGAATGCCCTAGAATGCATAGGAATCAGTCCCAAGAAGCTGACTGGTCAAAGTTCACGTATTTAGCCGCTCTCCAAAAGCGGTAATCCAGTATGTATCTAGGTAGTGATTAAACACTTTCGCGGCTCATAACCCAGCTCTGCACAGTTCGCCGCCATTATCGGCGTTTTTTGCCATTACTCGACCAATAAGCAGCAGATTCCCAGGAGCACGACCATCCATGACACATTCAGGGCTACCCTCCCACAAATAGGGTCATCCCATGCCTGCATCAGGGCTTGTTTTTGGTTCGTCTTTCAATCAGAAGTGCGAGCACTGCTGAGTATCCCCAGCTGTTGAAGTGCAGTTAGCGCACCCTCCTCAGCCACTTCCTCAACGATCTTGCCGTCTTTCAGAGTGTAAATCGTTGTGCCAGAAAATTGGATTATCCTGCCCGTATTTTGGCCTGGAAGCCGGCCAATTGGCAGGTCATCAAATGCGGGACCAGTATGTTTGCCGCCACCAATCCAGCGTACCACCACATAGTCGTTTTCTGCTATCATGGGGATTGATCCATATGCATGGATTACAAAATCGGGAAATGCCTTGTCGTAATGTTAGTTATCCCGTAGTCAAAACTGGCCACAGCAACCCACTAGAATTAAAAATAAAGGCTCACCTCTCTAAAATCAAGTATCATCTTCTTCACTTGAGCTTTTCCTTCCCTTCGGCCGTGCAATGGGCAGTCGGACACAAAGTCGTCAGAGCAAAGTTTATCTACAACGTCCGTATTACCTTTGCCCCAGAATTCGGTGGTGTACTCAGATACCACCTGCTTGTTTTTTTCTCGTATGGACTGCTCTTCCTCAAGTGACATGATGATCGAATTGTCTGTTAGGATTCAAATTCTGGTGAAGTGATGTTCCAGTTGCTTAAGTTATTACCGTAAGAGGCGAGGTGGGAATGGCTTTGCCAAAGGCCACATGCAAACAGTGTACATGTACGTATAGGTACTTCAAGGAGGGGGGGGGGGGGGGGGGTTCACGTGATTTTAACTGCCACCATCGCCGAGGCTGACCAACCATATTGGACTTCTTCACTCAGACTTTGTATGTTTGCTCTCTACTCCCAGTCACTGAGCATACATTTATTGAAGCCTTTTGCACGACTAGTAAACTTAATAGATAAAAAGACAGGGGCAGTTCTTAATAAATTGCAGCCGTTTTTTTTGTAGTTTAGTTAATAATACAAACTTAAAGCTACTAATTGTTATTAAGATCTAAGAGAACTTATTTTTAATAAAATAAAGCTTAATAGAATAAATGCTGTTAAGGGTGGACTTTTTAGTAATATGTTAGAGGATACGAATGTAGATCCTACTAGTCCTTAACCGAGGTTTCAGGCAACCAATTATCACAATAGTGATAGAGGAGACCAGACTTTTCGGAGAGAGTAGCCTCTATCTTTATTTAAGCGAGAAGCAATGGCATATTATAGGAGGCACGTAATTAAGCACGTATGGGCATGAGGGGATAGCAGTATCATTACACTAAGCTCCTTGCACCAACAGCATATACTACCTATGAAGGACTTATTTCGGAATTTATTAGGGCGAAATGGTATTCTTCCCAGTCGTGGAGGTGGGCAGTTCCTCTTTTTGCCTTCAAATTCTCTTGCCAAATCTTGAACAGATTACCGGTTTTCCTCCGACCTATATTGTCAAATAAATGTTCAAAGCGTCTGTCCGGAACCCTTGCAGCGTCGGATGACTTTTCAAAGTCGGCACGGGCTTGTTTAATTGGGGGGATATTACCAAGGCTCGATTCGCTCACGGGATCTTCTATATTCGCACCCGGCAATGCTGTCAATAAATACCTTCTGAGAGGATAATATAGATAGCGCGAGATATGGTAGATATAATAGTAAATCACTTCTCGATACGCAGAATGTAGAACGCCTGATGTAGGTGGTGCTGTCACAGTTTGCATTAAGAGACGGGGTTCATCCGGCGGCCTGTACATCATGTTCAACATATCGAGAACAGCGATAATGGTGGAAAATGCAGATTCGAGTATTGTTTCGGAGAAATGTTCCATTTTGTCGACAGTGAATTGCTTTGAGGCATCAGTAAGATGGGATAATTGATGCCGGAAGTGCCGTATCGTATGTCGAACATATTGTAGCATTCTTTCAAGATCTTTGGCGTTGATCAATGCAATTACAGTCAGAAATAGAGCGACAACTGCGGTGACCACAACACGGTATATCATGGGTGCTGAAGGAGTCTCACTCATGCTAAATATACCGGTGGCAAGGCTGGTTGGAAGAAACAACACTGTTACATAGGTGAATAATCTCACGTTATTAGTAGTGCGCATCTCCCAGTCACTGCGGCAGCATCGATTTCCCTTGTCAGTTGTGAATTAAACGCCAGTATCTTGGCTCGGCAGCGGACAAGCTCTTCCATGTAGAAGTCATTTGATGCTTGAAGTCTCGATATGGCGCCCCCGTAACGATATTCATCCTTCAGAGTCCATCTCGGCCTGTCAAGCCCACGATCTTGTCGACGTTTCCAGAGCTGCATCTTTGCCAAGTTTTCGCCCAAATCATCTTCCACCTCCTGGAGAACTTCTTGGATTTTATACAGAGAATTGTTGGAAAGGAGACCGTCCCTGCTGGCTTTCATGATTTGAATATGTGTGTTTTCTGAGAACTTTGGATGAGATCCCGCAGTGTGATGACCCCAGTTACTTTCTCCAATGTCTTTAGCCGCTCTCAATATGCCCTTCGCTTCTTCAAGAATTTCCCCCGTACATCTCAGCATCTCCCGTACAGCCTTGTCGAACAAAAGAAGTTCCAAGACTCTGCGCTGTCTCCAGGAGTTATATTTCAACGCCCCACTAACTGGCTGCGAAGGAATATCAAATAATATTTCCTTTGGGTCCTCCGTCTGTTGTGGTCGGTATTCAATTAAGTGGCGCGTCCAGTAGCGGTCGAGAAGATCTCCGTCAAATCTAAGACTAATAACAGCTCGGCTTAGGCACTTAGTGACTCTTTGGGCTCCTTTCGGTCCAGAGTGGGGAAATTGGATTAATTTTGGCTTAGGAATAGTGTCTCTTCTTTCTGGATCAAGGATACTCCTGATCAAGTGGGAGGATTTCTCGGGGGACAAAATCTGATGAAAGGACAAGTGTAGCTCAGTCACCCATTTATTGAGCGTCCCGATCGTGTCTTCAAAGAAATATGGGCTTAATGATGCGTGTCGGTCGAAGAAGCACGATATCTCGTCCCGCTCTGACGAAGCAAGGTAGCATATGGCGGCGATATTCCAGCTGGCTCGGCAAAAGTGGAAAATCCTTTTCTTTGCGATCGTTGGTGTGCGTTCTTTGTTGATATGAGCGAGTAAAAAAGCGCTTGATGAGATTTGAATTGAATGGTATTCGTTCATCTCTTTGCAACGCCTAACCCTTGGCACGTCGATGATGTGACCCATCGGCTCGCCTTCGCGCGCCTTGTAAGTTGCCATAGCTGCCTCATGCAGCACTTTCATAGCATATAGGCCATTATCATTTCTGCGAATTGCATTTTTACTAGTTTTCGAAGATTTTTTTTCTTTGACCTCCTTTTGTAATCCGCGTTTGATGTTTGTCATTGAGGGGGCTTCAGTATGGTTGAGGTTTTCATTATGCATTTCGCGAATCTGTTTATAAAACTCATCAATGATTTTTAGAGATAAAGGAGTACGGAAACTGAAAAATCTCGGTTCGTTATACAGCCACTCATCTGGTATTTCCACAATTTTTTCGTGGTCAATGGCATTGGTGAATAGTACCCCATGCTTCATCAGCGGACTCTCCCAGCGAGTAAGGCTCCCCGAGCAAGGCGTTGATGTCTTTCCAGTTTTGATCAATTCTTGGGTGAACTCAGGCGCTGCCGAGGCCGTCAACGAGGTTGGCGGTGAGGCACTCGTAAAACGGGGCGATGGCGTGATCGCAGTGACACTCAATCCAGACCCTTCGACCAGTGGTTGGGGGAGTGGGTATTTTAACAAGACATATGGCAATTCGAATGTTGCAGACCAGAAGGAATCCAAATTAGCCTCACTCTCAAATCTAACAGGTCTTCTATTCTCATCAAGCTGGCCTGGGAATAATCCATTAGATGAGGAGCTCTGAAGCAATATCTCTCTCCCGCCTTGCTGTATTTCTGAAATTGTTCGCGAATTCATTCGTTTGTTTTTCGAAGACGAAATCAATGCCAATGCAATGCAAAGAGGCTGATCCCAGTTCCAATTTGCGTTTTGTTCTTTCTCACTTTCTTTCTGGTAATCCACTGTAGATGTCCAAGCTTCAACTTTGTTTTGCCAGGCGCTGGATTCGTCCTCGGTCAAATCATATTGATCAAATAGCCCGAGATCCATGGCATAGAAAAGAACAGTATCTTTGGCCCGAAATTGGAATCTTGTTTCACTGCAGCTTCTGGAGACTGCAATCATACTTTGCTCGAATAACGGGGGTTGGATTGTGAATTTCTTCAAAATTTTGGTCTGAATATTTTCTGATGAATAAAGCGTTACTGGTTGGCTTATGTTGAGACTAGAAGCATCGGTGACTTGAAGTTCTTCGCCAAGTCCAAGCTCTTCCATCGCTTTGGCTGCCCACCAAATTATTGCATGGTCAGAGAGATTGAATACCCACTGCGCCATGCCTTTTCGCGGATTTGGAAACGCAAAGTGGCGTCCTTTGTCCTTCTCATGAAGGGCTTTGACCCAATCCTTTACAATGCTTCGGATGTCGTTTGCAAGAAATTTTGTTTCTTCGTCTCTCGCAGCCACTCGGCAAAATTGTGCTACTTTGATGATTTGAAGGGACGCATTGAAGAACGATTGATTCAATAGACCGGGGCTATCATGTTGGTAGTGATCCTGGTCCAGTTTCGTGTTCTGGAGTAGCCACTTTACATGCCCTCGGCATGTTCTTTGGATCCGAGATCGCATTCTAGAGGCGCAGCTGTCTCTGATCACGTCATTCCCTGGCTGATATACACGCTTAGATTGATTGTTCATATATTCAAGTGCCAGAAGAAGAAATTGGAAAGAGTAACTAAACAAGTCAGTTCTTGGAGCCTAGATGCCGAGCTTCTCAAAGTCGTGTACTCACAAGCTTGCGGAGGTTGAGATTCTATGGCCGGAAAGATCTCCACACGTGAGGGCGATGGAAAGGTTATCTGAGACTGCATTTGCATCACAAGCAATGGGGATGCAGCAGACAGATAGTATATGCTCCAAATTTCGTCTCAATTTCAAGTTGAGACGATGGTCTTGAGTAAAAACAGGGGTTTCAAGAGGAGTTTCCAGCATAGCCTGTTCATTGGCGAAGGATTCAGGAGAGACAGGCGGCATGAGCTCTGGCCTTCCAGAAGCAATGAACGCCAGTCGGTAAGCCAGCGTAATCTCTAATCCATCTTCCCCCAAACTTTCTAGAACTGTCGGTTCGGGAATGATCTGGTAATCTCCTCGTTTAGATCCAGGGCTCAGTTGTTGACGGTTCTTATTAATGAATGGTGTTATAGATAAAACTACCGGATCATGATTCTCATGTCCTGCCCGATAAATCACTCTGCTTCTTATGATGCAGTCTTTGCTATGTGATAAATAATTGGAATACTCTTCATGATAAGAGCCTTGGGTGTTTTCGTCTCTCATGTTGCCATTATTCTTATGACTGCTTGCGATAAAGGTAAGGTCTCGAAGCAGTAAATTGGCGTTGAAAACGAGCGGTGGTAGTTTGGAAGGAAGAATTTTTCCTTGACGAAGCTTGAATTTATATATCTGGTACACAGTCCTTTCAAAGACGAGGTACTGGACGCTGAGATTAAATATCGGCGTTTCAGTATCGAAGCGTGGCCAACGGTCATGAACAAACTTCAGTTCTGGCGCAGTTTCTGCCCTCCATAACTTAGCATTGGAGTCCTCGGAATCCTCGACATGAAGTTTCATTCCTGCATCTGGACTTCCAAAGCGGTCTTGTAGCTTCTGCATACGAGGAGTGACCAAATGAGCCGGTGGCATGTCGGGGAGGTCGACACAAAAAAGCCCAGAGGACTCATTCCCCAAGTGGCTCGTAATCTGCAGTAAGTGGCCATAGGAGTTTGTGGTAGCCGTGACCCCTCCATCTCCAAAGGAGGCGTAAGTCGAGAAAGGACGAGTTTGCTCATTATCAATATCGGAGTTTGACATATATTCCTGGTCTACATATAATAAGTTAGCAAATGATGTGATATATGACAAAATAGTGTAGAGAAATACCAGTAGACATATGAAGTGACATTGTAAGCAAATATCCCCTGTTTCTTGATGGTTAAAAAAAGTGTGCTGACGCTTCCAGCATTCGATTGTTGATTTGCGCTTTGCTCTGTGAGCGGGAAATGAATAACACAATATCAGGGGAACAATAGTAATTTTGAAAAAGGGGTTATAACAGAAAAGATCAAGATTTGATAATGAATGTCCAAAGTTGTGGTGATGCGTGTTATGAATAGCTCAGCAGAGGCGGAATTGCTCGTAGACGAGTTGTGCTCTTTCATCCCATAGGAAAGCGGCCGTATATACCCGGATCATATGGTGAGGGAATTTATAAAGTCGTTTAATTATGGGTGGCGAGTTGAGTATGCAGCCAGCCGATGGTCAAAGGGTTTTATTTTCGTCCAAATGCACGACGATAAGTTGCTTCCTTGTTTCTTTTACCTCCAATTGGTTGCAGTGTATTTCTCCGAGTCCCCTGCATACGAACAATATATCTCCTTTGCCAATGATAGGCTACAGTTTGGCGAAGAGAATTCGTACGACCGAGATAAACTATGTTGGTTGTGATTGTAGGTAGTACATGTAACTTCACCGCCACTCCAGAACCCAAATCCAAACCATAGTAGCTATACTTTTCGTATTCATGTTCCCACAAGTTCCCTTAATCTGGCCTTTTGCATATCGTGATACACGTCACAAAGAGAATGCCTTCCGAGCCAATGCAGCCAACTGCAGAACTAAGGGAGGGTTACCGAACTATATACTAATTTACGAGTCAATATTTATTCTTATAGGGTTGATAGTAGACACAAAGCCACTGCCAAAATGCATGTACTCCGTGAAGCTTCTTCAGAAACCATTGAAGCTGGTATGTGCCTTTATATAGGGTTCTATGAAAAGTTCTTGACCTTCAACCAAGAAGTCTTTGCTGACGGATACCATGTAAGCTTAGCGTTCTTCGAAGCTATTCCTCCACATTGGAAGACTATTCCTTGAAGGACATTTAATAAAGACAAGCACTGATGAAGTACTCTGCAAACGGAAGATACTCTCCGTAATATCTCTAATAAAGTAATTCTACCTCTATTGGGTTTCATAACAGTTGGAAGGATAAATGCTTCGTTAATGAGCTCGGATTCATTCAGTATAACCTGTCATAATATAGATAGGCTGAAATTCGTGCGTCTCTCTAGCTATGAGCAGGCAGGCTAAGTTTTCATCTTTACGAATCGACGCTAAATCTTGCACCCTTCCTTCTACAGTACATATCTAGTTGATGCTCATCATCTCTGTCGCAGGGAAAGCTGCTTTTGAACATCAACTGTCCCTCCCATTTGTCCCTTGAAATCGCCACTACACACGAATACTCAGTCACATTAAAGCTTACGACCTGATAGACTCTGTGAGCTATATGCTTCGCCACCTGGTCGATAACACGGCAGATCAACTTATTAGTACCTGTGCGCACAACGCGGAACTTAGATGCACAGTTGATATTGGTTTATATAATGTCGACTTTATAGCCTGCTATGACTTCACTTACACCTGAGTACAACTAAAATTTTACCTCCGATACTGTCTCTCATACATTAGTTGTTATACATGCTTGCGCCACATGTATCTTAGTGATGGTACATTCTTTTGAGTGCCGGCAAGTTCTGGACCTTTCATAGAATCCTGCAATGCGGCGACTATAGAGGAGTGACTGCGTAACGAACCAAATGCTGGCCAGCACATATGTGATTATGCGTCGAAATAGGCGGCTGTCGTGCCACTAATGCTTCCTTCAACGACCAGCAAGGACTCAATTTCTCAAACTATATACACGGTGCGTGTTGGGTAGGAACCTGCCTGCATATGCCCCAAAAGTGACTATTTAAGGGAATCGCTCTTCAGCACATCACGTTCGCTATTCAGTATCCTGTTCTCAAATTTAAAGCGGCCTAGGTAGTCGTAATAATGGTTATTGGAGGGATACATAGGTAGTAGCAGATAATAGCGACAGTGGCAGAGAGTGGCAATAATTATAGAAAGTAGCGATAACAGTAGATATTTTAGGAACTATGTATTGTTTAATTAATAGTGACAAAAGATATTTATTATGCGTAATTATGACACTCAGAACTCTTCTTTTTCGCTAGGGTGCTGAATATCCCTTTCATTGTTTATTCAGCAGTGACAGAATCTGGACATTTCAATGACCGTTATTTGATCTCATGATCCAGCTTCGTAGTATAATCAAGCTTCGGAGCAGCTATATAATGCTGAAAAAAATTGGTGCCGAATGTTATTCTTGGTATCCTTACTTGGACTGCCTATAGAGGTTTCTAGGAATGTTCAACCCGAGATTTCATTCTTAAGCGGCAGTTGTCATATACCTCAAATGGTATTTCAGAATATAATCATTAATAAAGATCTAAGATGCTCAAATAAACGAATATTTACCAATAAATGCGCAAATAGGGCTCCTCAATGAAGTCTGCAAACTACACATTCGGTCCATCCACCTTTGAACCCCCAAGCTTGAACCAACGCTTGACCTTCTGGATTGTGCTCGTAGGGGTTCCTCCATCAGCCTCTTCGTTAGACAATCTACTTGTACCATCAAGAGAACCACTACCACTGGTTTCTTCTACCGCTGGTTCTTCTTCGACTTGAGGTGGTTTCTTAAACTCTTCATTTATCTCCTTCACTCTCTGCCTCGATTCGCTGTATCTTTCTTCTTTTTCGCTTTTATTTTCTTCCTTCACTTCTTCCATTCCCCTAATTTTCTTAGCCTCTAATCTCGTTGCTTCTTCCTGTCGCTTCTTCACAATTCGCTTCTTTTTATTTGCAATTTCGTTGTGGAAGAAACCTCCGCTTTCCCTTGCTCGTTTGTCTCGTTCCTCTGATAGGGCATTTTCTACCAGCAAATGCAGAGGGCTGAATAGATGATGATAAAGGAAGTGGATCTGTTTACCAGATAAAGTCGAGAGAAGAGAGAGTAGGATTAGATAGATCAATCCAGTGAAGAAGCGGAATGCATAGCGGCAGTTGCGTAATATTGGCCGCAATGTTACCTCGGATATTGGACGGATGCTCTGAAAAAGAGGTCGGAATATTTCGGCGTCCAAAACCTTCGCATTAATTAATGCAACGATAGTAATCACCAGAGCGACACCTGCAGTTGAGGCCATGCTGCCTATTGTCTCCCTTGTCGGCGCACCACTCATGCTAAATACGCTGGTGGCGAAGCTGATTGGAAGGAATACGACTGTCACATACGTGAAGAGTCGAATATCAACGTTGCTGCGAGTCTCCAAGTCATTCCGCATTACCTCCAATCTCCTGGTAAGCAGTGTATTGAAAGATGCGACGTTTGTACGGCATCTCTTTAATTCATGAATTTTATGGCTGTTCAACAGCTTTAGTTTGGAGATGGCACCTTGAAACCTTTGCTCTCTGCGTGCGGTCCACCCCAATTTGTTGATTTCTATTTTGTTCTCACGATTGACCCATAGATCAATCATTGTCAGGTTTTCGGTAAGGTCGACTTCGATAACTTGAAGAATACGCTGGAATTTATTCCATAGTTCATTTTTGGAGGCGAATGTGTTGCTGTCGACTTTGGAAAGGACTTCCAGGGCTTCCAAAAGAACAGACGCATCAATGTCAGAAAAATCAGTTGTGGGAACGTCTGTGTCTCCGTCGTTTTCTAACTGGGGGCTTTTTAAAACGCTCGTCATGATCTCCTTGAGAATTCCTTTAGTACCTCGGACCATTTCTTGCAAAATCATATCGAACAAAAGAAGTTCCAAGATCCGTCGCTGCTGCCAGGGGTCGGTTTCTAGAGTGCCACTAATAGAGAGCTTATCAATACGCTGGCCACCAGCTTGGGAATTGGTCATCCATTGCGGATTGTGCTCAAAAAAGTGGCACGTCCAATAGTGGTCAAAAAGATCTCCATCAAATCGGAAGCTCATGACAGCACGACCAGCTCGCTTGGTATTTTTGTTCTTTGTAGAACTCGGGAATTCAAATGTCTCTTTCAAAGGGATGGTCCGGAACGAAGCGTGATCGGAAACGACTTGGTAGAAAGATAAATGCAATTCTGTCACCCATTTATTAAAAATTGTGGTTGTATCTTCGAAGAAATATTTGCTGTATGACGAGTGTTTGTCAAAGAATGAAGATATTTCCTCTTGCTCTGAAGATGCCAGATAACAATTCAACGCAATGTCCAAGTCGGCGCGGTAAAAATGGAAAAGTCTCTTCTTTGCATTTGCTGAGTCTCGAGATCCACCAATGAAAAGTCGAATGCTCTCTGGTGAAAGGATATTATACGCAAAGTTTCTTTGGCTCAGCGATTTGATATTTTCGACTCCTGATACGTCGATAATATATCCTAAATCCTGTAGATTTCTGCTGCCTCGATTTGGATTCTGATGATCTTCAACTGCTCTATCGATCGTCTCAGAAGTACTCTTTCCGCTATTGTTGCTCTGATGGTTTTCGCAAAAATAGTTGATGGCATTTGGTGATAGATCAATACGGAACCCGAAAAACTTGGGCTTTTTGTATAACCATTCGTAAGAGACCATTGAATCGGATTTCAAATCCTTGTTATGGATAACTGGCTCGATTCGGTGCATATAGCCTGAAGTATACGACATTTCCGCAGTGAATGATGAACTCGAGGAGTATTGAGTCGTACTTCTTTCGTTCCTTGCCAGATTTTCTCCAGTATAACTCCAGAGGATATATGGTATTTCAAAAGTAGCGTCCCAATAACAATCTCGCATAGCATCCTCACTGAAGAGGATTGGCTCTCTATTCTCGTCGAACTGGCCGGGGAACAGACCATTTGGTGAGGAGCTCTGTAAGAGCACTGATCTCGCAAATTTGTACATTTTGTTGGCCGGGCGAGAATTACTGCATTTGTTGTTCGCAGACAATATCATAGCCAAGGCAAATTGGAGCGGGTGATCCCAGGTAGCATCGTCGTTATCGTCGTGAAGTGCTTGACCATCTACAGTAGCCTTCCAAGGGTCAATCTTATTGTCCCAAAAGTCCACGGATCCGTCCTCAGATTTGTAAGCCGACTCGCCAATAGACATTTCAACTGATTCAGTCGCTAGTTCGTTAGTTACTGCGGTAGCCGGTTTGTCATCCGGTTCATCTTTTTGATTTGGGTCATCAAATAAACCTTCATCCATAGCGTACAATGTCGCAGTATCCTCAATATGTAGTAAAAAACTGGTCTCAGAGAGACTGCGTGAAGTTGCAATCATAGGAATGTTCAGCTGCGTGCTCTTAGTCGTGAAGTGCCTAAACAGACTCTTCTGTATCTTAGTAGAAGAGTATTTTATGTTGTGGCGCCCTCGTCTAATATCGGAAGTGCAAAGCTCTGAATTGAATCCCAGCTCTTCCAAAGATTTGAGAGTGCGCCATATCATGGCGTGGTCGGCCAATTGGAATTTCTGCGGTGTATCTTCCGTGGAATGTGGGAAAACGTATTCATTGTTCTGGTTGTTCTGGTGGAGATTTTCGACCCAGTCACTGACCACACCTCTAAGCTCATCCATCACATTCTCTTTCTGTTTTTCTGTTGCAACTTTTAGGCAGAAATCGGCGGCCTTGGCGATGTTGAAAGAGGCATCTATAAGAGACCTCCTAGATTGACTCTGGCCACTTGCCCAATTGTCAATGGCTTCGCCGCTGGCCCAGCTGTGAAAGCTAGAGTTATCATCTTCATTTGCCTCGTTGAAGATCCATTTCAGATGTCCCCAACATACCCGCAAAATCCGTTTGCGCATTTTCTTGGAATATTTTTTGCACGTGCAGTGAGCCGCTTCGCATTGGCACTCTTCCTCCAATTGGGATTTGAAGAATTGAAAGGCTGAAATCAAGAATTGAAAAGCGTAGCTACATAAATTAGCATCAGGAGAAATATGTGCATCATGGCTTGGACTTACAAACTCGCTGCTCCTGTAACTCGATGACCGGAAATATCCCCACATGTCAAGGCAATGGCAGGAATCTTTCCATCTAGCCCTTCGCTAATAGGGATACTGCAGACGGATAAAATGTGTTCTAGATTTCGCTGCAAGGCAAAATCAAGATGTTTGTTTGCAGCAAATAATACTGATTTAGATGGGTACTGGTTGATCTTTTCTTTCCATCTCTTGAGAGCTGCTTCCGATACTGGAGTAGATGCACTTTCGATGTAGTTCGAAGGAACCCACTGCAGCGTATAAGCTAATGTGATTTCGAGTGTTTTCTTCTCTCGTAAATGATTTAAAGCTTGATTATCTGGAACCACGTAAAAATTATTGGGCTCTTCAGAAGGTAAAGGCTTGTGGTGTTGCCCGTTGACGAATGGTGACATGAATAGAGCAATATCGCCTCGATCATAATTGTCCAAACCGCAGGCGGTGTTAACCCTGACTACACAGTAGCCATCTTTTGATATGCCGCAAGAATAAAAAGCATTTGGGCTGTTCGGATCGTACGCATTCATTTGATTTTGGTTGACAAAATCTAGATCTCGAAGTGGTAAGTTGGCGTCGATGACTATGTTCGGAATTTTTGATGGAATCTGTGATCCTGGGCTCAGCGTAAATAAGTAGGTTTGATAGACAGTCTTGTCAGCTATATAATACTGGATATTTATATCGAATTCCGGTGTCTTCGTAAAGAAACAAGGCCAACGGTTATGCACAAATTTTACCGTTGGCGCCGGCCTTGACTCTTGTTGTAGGGCCGGCAGTGGTGCCGTCACTTCATTTGGCCTTGGAGTTGGAGGCTCCAAAAATTCTGGCGTTGACATTGATCTTAGCGTTGGTGGATCTGTTTCCCATATATCGGTATGTGAAATAGTAGGATCGGCCTTCTCGAATAAAAGACGGATTCCTTTAGTTGGGTCTATGGATTGACGGTGTAGGTCATGAGCGCGTCGTGAGACAAAATACGGCTCCGTTGTCGTTGGAATATCGACCGAGACGAATCCAGATGGTTTGTTTCCGAAATATTGTGTGATTTGTAGCAAATGCCCATAGGCATTTGCGGTCGCCGTGAGACCATCTTCGCCAAAGGAGCTGTAAGTTGCCCGGCGACGAGCTTTTTCGGAAGCATCGTCGGGTATCGATGTAGCGTTCGGAAGCGCCTCTTCTGCACGCGAGTCAGTTTTCTATTGCCGATACCACGGAAGGAAAAATTATACCAATGGTGGCCATGGAATAAAACCTCCTATGGTATAAAAAGGATAACAGTATGCTTGTAAAATGACGGAGCTTCTGCTCGGCCCTCCCTTTCTAAAACCAGTAAGAATAGATGAGGAGCCAGGTGTGTTGATAGAAGAAAGGGCCAACATCAATTCTGATGGGCGTAGACTGGGAAGCCTTTCGTATGCTGGCCTAACGTAGTCCTATGGTATTGATGGTACCCTAGCTCATCCAGATACTCACCTGGCAAGTACAGATAATGGTGATGTGGATGATCAACCGATGGTTTCCAGCGGGACACATATCTATAATGCCTCTCACCGCTCGATGAGCGAAAACAAACCCATCATTCAAATTGCAACACCCTTGAGATAAATGGATATATTGAGGGGCGGGGAAGGATGCGGCTGACGGCTAGAGAGCCATTAACCCCGGATGTCACCGAGCGACCCCAGCTGCATCCTTGCATCTATCGCAATTCACTAACTGGTCTGCTGCAACCTGCACAATACGTTGTCTTCCTAGGATTGGACGCCACATGCATCCATCCCAGAGCCTCCTCTCGTTCAACACAGCAAAGATAACCGAAGCACAAGGGTGCAACTACGGGGGGATATCAAAGTGACAAATCATATTGGTCTGGTTCACTTTGCAAGCAGCTACAAAGAAGTCGATTCCGTTCACGTAGCCACATTGAAGTTTAGAATCGCTCATCACACTCGGTTCATTGGATATTCTATCAGGTAGCGGGTTGCATGCATCGCGCAGTAAATGTCTGCAGTATTGGCAAGCAGAGAGATGCGTGCGGTATAATTTACTTGCGCGGCATTTGTATGTGAGAGATCTTACAACCGACACGTATCTTGAGATGATTGAGTGGCCATATACACCTCAAATATCGCAATGTCTCAGCGGCCCCCCAACGGAAATATGACACGGCAGCCTTTTATATGGTTTAGACGTGCCATAACTTAAAATAGGCTTTTTCCATTATACTATATATTGGAAGCTCGGATAACAAGATAAACGAGGCTAAGACACCTTGGCCACCGCCTCTTCGACGTGGCAACGACCCAGACTCATGGCGTGAGTGATACGATAGTTTCTGAGACATGCTATGCGTCTCACTTCATCAACGTTGCGTTCATGAGCTCGGAAGATATTGATCAAGCCAAAAGAGATTCCTATTGAGCCGCACAAAAGCAATACCCAATAGCACAGATGGAAACATTTGAACCTGCGCAATGTTATTCAATGCCAAAGCTGGGGCATATGCAGCATCGTCAAATGATCCACTTGCATTGCTTCATGACACCCAGTCCTGTCAGTGTCTCTCGGCTTAGATTAGATCTCAGCTTTATCTCGACATTGCTGGTTCCAAGACCGGAGTACCAAACAAGTTACCAATGAGTGCGCGAACAAAAACTCTCGAATTAAGGTTGCAAGCTACGCACATCTTATCCGACCTCTTCTCATCTAAGCTCAGACGTTACTCGTGCTGGAATTATTTTTTCCAAGCCCAAATAAACCTTTCATCCAATCCATTAATTTAGAGCTGAGCTTGAACTTATTGTTAGTGGGTGTGACTGTATTTTCACTGGAGGTTCCCGTACGGCCTCCTTCTGGCGCTGTATCCTGTTCGGACTGAGATATCCCAAGAGTTTGCCCGCTTCCCACCGTAGGTCTCCTTTCCTCCCCCGAGGTAGCCGGTTTTCCTTTCCGTGATTTAGTTCTAAGTTTGTTCTTTTTTTTCTTGATTTCATCACTATAAAAATCTGTAGTATTGCTTTTTTGAAACCTTTTCTGTTCCGATCGCGCGTTCTTTATTAATTTATTCACAGGGTCGAACAAATAGACATCTAAGGCGTCGATATATCTGCTGGGCAGGATTAATAACAGAGAAAGTGAGATTAGATATACCAAGCGGAATATGTAACCAGGGATTCGTAAAACCAGCCGGAACGCTGTCTCGGATATTGGGCGAAAAATGTCAAAGAAAGGCTTAAAAGCTTCTACTTCCAAAACTCTGGCGTTCAGTAACGCGATCACAGTAGCCAAGAGTGCAAGACCTGCCGTTGCTATCATGCCACTCAGGGTCTCCTTTGTGGGCGCGCTGCTCATACTAAACACACCAGTACCAAAGCTGATTGGGAGAAAGACGACTGTCACATACGTAAATAGTCGAATGCTATTAGTGTTTCTCGTTTCCCACTCTTCTTGTGCAATTTCTAGCCTCTTGATAAGTGATGCCTTCAAGGACCCGATATCGGCGTGAATTTGCTCCAGTTCGCGAATTTTTTGATTGATTGATGAAAGTCGTTTGGAAATGGCCCCTCTATAACGTCGTTCATCTTTGATAGTCCACCGTGGCCTGTTGAGTCCACGCTCTTGCTCGCGATTCCTCCAAAGGCCAATTTTGACCAAATTATCGCCAAGATCATCTTCCACACCTTGTAGTAGGTGTTGAAACTGACGCCAAATCTGGCGGGCAGAGTCGGCCATGCTTTTGCTGCTAATATCTGCAAACAGATGAAGTGGATCTGAGAAAACGGGTATGGGACCGGCTACCGGTCCACTTTCATGTCCCATAGAACGTCGCAGTATGCCTTGCTTGACTTCACGAAAAATATTTTCAGTACCCTTTAACATACTGTCCAAAATACGATCAACCAAGATGAGCTCCAGAACCTGCCGCTGCTTCCAGGGAGGTTTCGAAGCACCATCATCAGCCTTAAGCAGATCCGGTAAGGTATTTTCCCCCAAACATTGTGGATCGAACTCAAGAAAATGGCATGTCCAATAGCGATTAAAGAAATCTCCATCAAATCTGAAGCTCATTATAACTCGACTAATCCAAGTCTTCTTATTAGGGCTATTGATGCTGGGGAGTTTAATCTGATCCAATGGAGGGATGCATGAATTGATAGGAGTTTTGTGCCCATCAACAATCTGATAAAATGATAAATGAAACTCAGTAACCCACCTGTTAAGCACAGGTGTCACTTCTTCGTTAAAGTATTTATCATAAGTCGCGTGCCTTCTAAAGAAGAATGAAAGCTGTTCCTTTTCAGAGTCGGGCGAGGCAAGATAAAAAGCCAATGCAGTAAGTGGATTTGCTCGGGAAAAAACAAATAGCCTCTTCTTAGCCTCTTCCCGTGTTCGCATTTTGCCCAAGAGAGCATACATATCTTCATTAATCCAAAAGTAAACTGGGTCGGCTTTATTCTTTTGGTGATGTTTTGTTTTTGGCACATCAACGATGTAGCCAATCGTGGCGTTAGGATTTTGAGCTTCGGTATTTTGAACTTCGGTATTTTGAGCTTCAGTATTTTGAGCTTCAGTAATTTGAGCCTCATTCGTCATATGTTTCACCATCTGGTGCATCATATCGTCGGCCCGAATCGAGAGTCTATTTGCATTGGAATCCTTTTTCGCAAGAAACTCTTCAATCAGATTTGCGATATCGCGCGTATGATTGAAGATCTGTGGTTCATTATATAACCATTCATCAGAAAGATTTGCAATATTTTTCTTGTCGATAATGTTATTGAATGGCATGCTGCGTCTCAGAAAGACGCCTTCTTGGGAAGATGCCATATCTTTATGCGTAAGTATGTCTTCGAGCACTTGATAAATCTTGGAGACATTTGGAACCGTAACTTGCTCTGCAGTCACAGTTCGCAGGAGGGAGTCCATCTGTAAGTTCTGCTCTTTTTGTGGCAGAGGAGCTAAATAACTCCATAGAATGTATGGCACCTCAAATGTTGTGTACCAGTAGTCCTCACTCTTTGACTCATCAGAAAATATGAGGGGCTCCTTGTTCTCATCTAAATATCCCGGAAAGAGCCCATTCCTAGATGAACTTCCAAAAAGAATGTTTTTCGAGTAACTATACATTTCAGTTGCTGGCATTGAGTTTGCCCCTTTATTTCTTGTTGATAAAACCAGAGCCAGGGCAAACTGTAACGGGTTGACCCAATAAACGTCTTGATTATCCTCATGCTGAACCTGACAATCCACAACGCTCTTCCAAACATCAATTTTGTTGATCCAGATATCAGATTTGTCTGCCTTCATTCCCGGTTTATCGAAAAAACCCATATCCATAGCGTAGAAGAGTACCGTATCTTCTGGTTGAAATAGAAACCCGTTCTCGGAAGGGCTTCGTGAAACTGCCAACATACGCCGCTTGACAAATGAATCCTCCATAGTAGTGAATCTGCTGATGATATTAGTTTTGACTGTGATAGGCGAGTAGCTTTTGGAGCTGTGGGCCTTCAGTTCTGAAGATGTCACTCCAACACTTTCCACCGATTTGAGCGCTCTCCATATCATCACATGATCAGAAAAGTAGAATAGATGAGTTGGTTCTTCTCTGAAATGTGGAAACGCGTATTTGCCGCTCTTATTCCTTTCGTCGAGTAATTCGATCCAATTTTCAATGAGAAGGTCAAACCCATCCAGAACAATTTCGCTTCTGCTTTCCCAAAATTCCCGGTAGAATTCCGCCATTTTGATAATTTGAAAAGGCGTATCGGTGAGAGATTTACCACGTAGAACAGAGTGTTTGTTCCAATCCTTTATTACTTCGCCATTGACCCAGTGGTGGGGGGGGATAAAACCTTGTTCTTTTCCTTGCATTTTGTCACGCATCCATTTTATGTGGCCAAAGCAAACTCTCCAGATGCGCGAACTCATTCCGCAATTGTAATCCCCACAGACGCTCTGAATAAACGTACACTTAGGTTCGCATTTTCTTATGGAATGAAAATGTTTTAATGCTTTGAGCAAAAATTGAAACGCATAGCTTTCATCTACGGTCAGTATAAGCTTGTAAATTTCTAGGAACGCTGTGGTACGTACAAACTTGCTGCAGTTGAAATGCGATGACCAGAGATGTCTCCACAGGTCAGAGCTATATATGGCACCTTATCTAAAAGTTCATCGACAGCAATGCCATCAGTAATAGGCGGTACCTCAGCTGGAGGATGATCGATGGTAACGCCATCAGTAATAGGCGGTACCTTAGCTGGAGGATTATCAATTGGAATACTGCAAACAGATAAAATGTGTTCCAAGTTTCGTCTTAGTGTAAAATTGAGATGTTTGTCAGTAGTAAATGATGGGATACTGAATGGAGTATTGAGCGGAATGCCCACGATCTGTTTCAAAGTTTCTCCGCCTTGGGGAGAAGAAGAGGTGGTGATATTATCGTCGTTATTTCGTGGTATCTCTAGAGTGTAGGCCAATGTAATTTGTACCGCTCCATTCTCCTGTAGATAATCATCCATCTTTTTAAGTGGATAAATCCGATTACCACGAATCGGTTGTTGAATACCGTTGATAAATGATTTTATTGACAGAACAACATTGGACTCCGTGTTCTGGTTCGATTTTTGTTTCTTGATGACATACCCATCACTCGTTTCTTGAAGTGAATCATTTTGTGTTGAATTGTTTGTTTCCTGAGGATTACGGCTTTTCAGGAAATCAAGATCCCGAATGAGCATCTTATCGTTTATACTCAAATTTGGAAAAATCGGTCTCTCTTTTACTGTCGGGTTGGGCGTGTACGTGTATATCTGGTAAACAGTATCTCCGTTGACGAAATATTCTATAACTTGGTCGAAATATGTCGTCTCTCTGATGAAGCATGGCCAACGATCATGGTGAAACGTCATCTTTGGTATAGTTTTTTTGACTTCCCATGCATCTCGGCCACTGTAGTCTTCAATTATAAGACGCATTCCCATGTCATCTCTTCCAATGTTTGATTGCAGAGTGACCATACGTTCTGTGATGGAAGAAGGAGGTGGCGTCTCTTCAAGATCCACACAAACAAAACAGGATGGCTCTTCCTCAGCATAACGCGTGATTTGGAGCAAGTGGCCGTATGCATTCGCAGTCGCTGTAACTCTTCCATCTCCAAAGGATGCGTAAGTTGCCCGAGACTTGGCTTGTTGATGAGCATCTTCAGGAATGGAAGTCTCTTCCGTCAAAGTTTTTTCTGCGCCCATAGCCGTTAGTCATTGATTTTTCAGCAAAAGAAGACTAGTAATGACATACCAGTGGAAGACGACAACGCAAAAAAATAGGATTCGGCCACGGGTTGTTCAGCCATTCCGACCGTAAAGGGCTAGTTTTGAATAACAAAAGAACAAGAAGTTGTTTCCCTAAATGACAATATATTTGATGTTCCTCATGCGTCTCAGTTTGAAGTCGTGCCCTAATGTAAAGATCCTCTATGTTATGTTGTAATTTATAGAGGTGGGCACCATGAGCTTCTGAGAAGCTGCCAAATCGGGTTACCAGCTCAACTCACTTTGCCAATATTGTTAGTAATGTCAATTCGGATGATAAGACGAAGGGTATCAGCTGAGAAATACATCTGTGGCGCTTCCCACCGTCCTACGAACCCAGATATGGATTTGTTTAGCCAACGATTTTGAGGAGGGGTTGGGGATGCAGCTGAGTGGGCTACCCCTGACTTTCAAATGACAATCCCAGTCGCAACATCTCAAGGTATCGTAATTTTGCCGTAATATCACCCTGACTTACACAATACATCATTGTTTTTAAATTAGATGGCACACTTTTGCAACGTGTATTTCTTACAGCCTGATTTATCGGTCAAGTACGCACATGTAGCCATGGAGAAGAGGCACGTGCGATATTCTTTTGCCTGCTCTTCTTGTGCATGTAAGAAATCTTGCAGCCACCATATTGCTCGAGATTATGGAATAAATGTTTATACTGCAATACCGCGCTGCCTCAAGACAAATGAGACTGGAACGAGTAACTACATAATTCATTTCTCATCTAACTTAGACATACTACGTACTACAATGTGGCGCTCTTGGCTTGCATTGTCTGTCGGGAGCCTGATGAAAAAAGAAAGACGAGGCTGAGACATCCCGACCTCAGCTGCGGCCCCTCCGACGTGGCAACGCTTCAGACCCATGGCGCGAACGATAGGAAAGTTTCCGAGACATGCTCTGCTTTTCATTTGACCAACATGCAGTACACGAGCGCCAAAGGTATTATTCAAGCCGGGAGTGCTTAATGAACTCCGCAACCAATGTCTCAGATGAACGAGCTTGAATCCGATGATGGTTTTTTAATGCTAAGACTGGGGCATATGCAACACTGTCAGATGACCTACTTGCATTGGTTCATGGGTCTTAATCCTACCCAATATCTCACGGCCTGGATCTCGGTTTTACCCTCGTCAATCTACTTGCTTCCCGACGTCGCCGGTTCCGACACTGGAAATATCTGCTAGGTGGATGCTAGGTAATTCTTAGAATCCGAGATCCCTGAGATCGGTTATAACTTTCTGAGCCAAGAAATGACACCATAGCTCTGCTATTGCTGTGAGGAGAGCTGAGTCGCGCTCCCTGTTTTTCTTTGCTTTTTTCCCGGTGAACTTTTGTAAGTACAAGGGTTCACCCCCAACTCGGGCATCAAGATTTACAAAATGAGATGCACCCAACTTGAGGTAGCATCGTACAGCCGCATAGTCACCGAACTCATCTGTTCTTGCCAATTATTGGCCAGGGAAACAAACGGACAGGGCTATCGGCCCCAGATTGGGCTGCATTGCGCGCCCTCTCGCGGAAACTTCTTTCGGATTGTAGTCAATATTGGTTCTGAGATAAATCTCGATTACCATTAGTTTATAGTCCTATTCAGATTATCATGGCATCTCGAAATGTCCGGTAATAACACGTAGTACGTTTGTAGTCTCGAAATATGATTCCTGTCGCCCTAGACATTCCGTTTCCACGGGAGAGCCCACAACGGCGCCATCGCTCCCGTGCCGTAGTTAGATACGAGGTCGCATTAAGAGCAAGGCCAATCATAGATCTTGAGGATCATTCTTGGGCTAAGCAAGGATACCATGTCTTGCATTAAACCAGTAACAACGAGATGGCCCCCAACGCTTGGTTCAGCCGTGCGCACATTTGGTACAGCTATGCAGGATACGTCACAAATCCCGGGGTGTTGCAAAAAAAGAAAGAAGAAGAAAAAGGAAAGAAGATATCAGCCGCTGCTCAATACTGATGAGACCTGAAACCTGATATCCTGGCTGCCGTTGCCCTGCATCTCCTTGGCCGAACGAATGCTTGTCTCCTGCGTCTTGCGATGGTAACTCGATTTACTTGGGCGAATTTGTAAGCAATTAATTTTGAGCATTATGTCTTGGTCGTGCCAGCTCACCATGCAGTTTCGCCATCACCAGCTGCCTTAAACATGTCGGCTACCGGGGTGGAAAAGGCACCCGGAGATGGGGACATCACACCTCCGAGGGGGAGCCCTGCATAGCCCAGTCACCACCTCAACGGTGACCACTGGGCTCTACGCGAGGAGGTAACTGGCCACAGCATTTGGGGTGATGTTAATCTCTTCTACACACCCTGTTCCGTCTATTGGAGAAAGATATCCAACATTACCAATGATCACCATAAAAGTAATATAATGTAATATTCGCTCCATCATCTAGAGAAACGAACTATATCCTTGAAACAAAACATGCTAATCACATCGTAACACGCTCATAATCGTACAACTCATCAATCATAGGTCTTGACTTTCCCTAGCCTCCCGAAGAATGTCCTTCATCCTTGCATACAATCCCTCATCCGGCTCCGTCCACGGCTTGCCATTCGGGAATACAACTTTTCTTAGTTTGTTGACCCACGGCAGTAGTGGCAGATAGTATTCAGTAAAATCCCTCTTTGCGTCGTCAAGGAACTGATACTCATCGCTAACGAGCCCGGATTTCGACCACGCCAGCTGTCTATCATTAGTGTAGTTCCATTTTTCAAACTCAGTAGCCCCAATAGATATGCCCGGCCCGTCGTAATGAATGCATATCCAGTAAAGAACCCAGAAAAATGATTCAAGGTCGTGCATGAAAGAGTGTTGGACCCCACGAAGGGCCCCAATAGCCATAAACGCGCGTGTGCCCGTCTTTCTCTTCGCTCCCGAAGCGCCAGTCCGTGCCTCTTTTATAGCGAGGTCGAGATCGATGAGAAATCCACGTTGGGAGGGGTCTTCCTCCTCCTCATTAATCATGAGATTGTTGATGGAGATGTCTCGATGCAGTAGGCCGGCCTCACGACGCAGAGACTCGTGTCCGTTAATACAGTCTTCTAGGCCAGCAAGTAATGCCTTTGGAGAGCCGGCCTCGTGGATGCGCTTCCCGTAGCTTTGAACAATGAGCCTGCGATGGATGCGATTCCCCGTTTCATCGTTGCGAGACGTCTGTGTGGACATGGGCGACCGTCGCTTCCGTGGATGCAACCGTGACTCAACCCGTGACAGTGCACGCTTTCTTCCACCTCCAGCATTGCTACTCTGACCAGCGGGAGTTTCGCGTTGGCCGGCGATCAAACTATTTGGGTTTGATATCTGCACGGATACTGCTGGAGACGACGCTTCCGAGTCCACAGGTCGTGATACGGTAGCTACTGTCAAGTCTAGGCCCTTCCGAACATTGCCACGAATATCATCATCAATGCCGCCTACTTGGACAACTTCATGATGATAATATTTTGCCATGTTTTTGACTCCATTAATGGTTGCCTCTTGGAGCATCAATCCTTCTTCACTGCGTTCGGGATATTGCCAAGAATCTTTGATCACATAGACTTTTTTGACCTCGCCGTCATCCTCATCATGGTGTGCTTTCCAACAAGTAGTTGCCCGCCCAACAATGCATGCTTGGCGAAATATCAATTTATCGAGGATGAATCGCTCTGCTTGACCGTCATGACGGACCTCGATGTACTGCTGCGTCCCAGACTTTATAATGGTGGGGTCATATCCCAGCTGTTCGTCGTTCATCATGACGAAGCCGAGAACAGAGGATATAAACTCTAGGGGGTTTTGGTTAACGTCGAATCGTTCAGAGGCGATGCCCCCAAGGCGATCAAAAGCCTAGAGCCTTATGAGAGAGCCACAAAGTGAGAAGCCTAGGACAAACCGGCGATTGGCTTGAGCAGCGAGTACTTCTCTAGCGTATCTCGCGACGTGAAGCCAGCAGCCAGAGCGGTTGTCAGTTCCTGGGCTGCTCTTCAATTCACCCACTATCATGACATGGGACCAATGATGTTTGAAGTCGACGGCTTCATCGCCGTCCACGATCCCCACGTATCCAATATCCATCATGCGTTTTGCCGTAGATCCAATAATGGGCTCCTTCGGTTTTGTTCTTAGTCTCAGTGGTCGTTGAAGCTGTAGAGCGGGATCTACGCTTCTTGCTAGCTCGACAAGCTTCGTATTTAAGTTGGAAAACCAAGCAAGGACATGTGATTCCTCTGGATTTTGGGGCCATCCATTCCATCTCTCGCTGAAAAGAGGATCATCGCCCTGCGTGCAGCGCTCAAGAACCAAGGCAGCAATGTGACTGTCGAGGCCAAAATACAACTGACGAAAATTGGGCACATTGACATACATATTGCTAAGCTCTTGGTTAAGAACGTAATCAGTGTCTTTACGGAACTCTGACGTGTTCATAAGGCTCCCGCTATTCACAAATGACGGAGTCTGTTGTGAAATCGAGGCCGGCTTTTGCTCCGGCGGAGTCTGCTGTGAAGCTACAGCTCCTGTTTGTGGCGGAGGGGTCGACTCTTCCACAGATTTGGTAACAATTTCCCATACGGCCTGATCAGAGTCAGAGTCCGAGTCAGCGTCCAACGCAGCCCCAAGAAGAGGCATCAGCCGGCCGCGGTCGACATTTTCCTTGTGGACGCTGCCTAGAAGCTTTGTTAGAGCAATAAATAGACCACCGCTACTTCGGGAAGGCAGCGATTGTGCAGCAGGTAGCGACAGTAGCGATAATAGTAGCTTGATGACAATCTCTTTGAGCGCTATGGGATAGAAGGATATCGCAGTTAGCATAACTCATGAGCCACCAAATACATATAGTAGGTACTACTACTGATATTCACGATAGGACCTACATTCGTTATTGAGCATGTGAAAGGCCGCAGGCTGCAATCCTTGAGCCTCACATCTTGTGCGAACGAGAGCGCGATACTCATCCAAACCACTCCCAATAGGATGTTGAGAAATGATTTGTTGCGAATTAAAGTCCAGCATGCTGCCTACGCATGCCGTCTAAGCACGCTGTTTCTTACATTGCGTGCATGCATATATGTGCGTGCAGTTGATGAGACTCAAACGCGATGTAAATGCAAGGGGGGACCGCGACGCACGGAAAGGGAAAATCTTTATCCGGTGCTGGTTCTTCTAGCTAGAACAAACACCTCCAGCTAGAACAAGTAGCTCTAGAGAGAAAAAGTCTCTTTAGATAGAACAAGTATCTCTAGATAGAAAATATCTATCTATCTAGAGAATGTCTCCCTGGCTAGATGGAATAGAAATCTGCAATCCACTGTTGACAAGGGATGAACCTGCCCCGCCAACTTAACCATGAATTCAACCCCACCAACTACAACGACGACGATGATACAAGAATAAGACCAAGGAGCGGAAACAAAGACAGACAAGAATGATGAGTACAAAATCCTTATTGAGGCATATAAGAAGACTAGATAAATGGCAGTTAGACTCAGCTTATAAAGAGCGAGTTAATACGTAGATGACGGCCTTGCGCCGAGTCTATGGCTGAGAGGAAGGGGAGTATTACTTCTGAACATGGCATGTTTCAAAGCATGCCATGAAGCAGAATCCAATTGGCCCCATAGACATCCATCACCAATATTCCATAGAATAACATAACTCATGAATCCATGGAAAATAATGAGACGGTATAGTCACAACACGAATCCCAGTAAATTCATCACATCTTCTCTCTCTCAACAGTAACCTCACATCATTCACATTCACACCACTCACAACCACAACCACAAACAAAGTAATCCATAACTGAGCAAGGTATATCCCAATAACACTACCCCAATACTCGTACAAATACACGATATGTATACATGTATACCATCCCAATACCACCCTATCCGCGCCAATATATATATATGCCATGTTGTAGAAATGCCATCATCATCATCCTCTCCTCCCCCTTTTCAAACCCCCTCAAAACTCCCATCATCGAAAAAACCATTACGCCCTCTTCCCCAACTTCCACCCATCGATCCGGTCCTGAATCTGATCCCACGTCATCGTATGGCTCGTCACCCCATACGCCTGCGCCTCCTGCACAACCACCGTCGGCGCACCGCTGCCCCCACCCGCATTCTTCACCGCGCCACCCATCACCATGCTGGCCACCCGCTGCAGGTCCCGCACGCTCAGCGCTTCGATCCTTCGGCACATCTCCCGCACGGGGATCTTGCGCTTATGCACCTGCACCGATCGTCCGAGATCCTCCAGCTCCACCATCCGGCTCTCCAGGTTCATCAGCAGCGACGACCGCAGCTGGTTCTTGGCTCGCGTCACCTCGCCCTCCTGCAGCTTCGAGATGCCTCGTTCAAGCGTCAGCGCACGGAGCTCCTGGCACATGACATCGAGCATGGCAGAGGTGTGGCCTGGCAAGCAAGACGCCGAGATGCCAAAGAGGCCAGAGTCGGTGTAAGAGTGGTTGAAGGCAACGCATGATTCGACCCAGCCGTGCTGGTTGAGCACATTGGTGTACAGGCGAGAGTACATGCCCTTGCCCGGTCCACCAGCAGAGAAGGATCCTCCTCCACCAAGAAGAGTCTGTAATGTCGCCAACGCATAAATGTCATCTGAGGCAACGGGTAGTCCTTCAAAAGCAAGGTGAATGTGTGTAAAGTTGGTGCCAGTAAGAGACGGCGGCTGGGGAGGAAGAGAGAGGAATCCGCCGGTATATCGGGAAGGCTGGATGATGTCGAGTTCAGAAGGAGAGGAGAGGACAGAGGCGTTACGGGGGGTAGATGTGGAGATGTTCTTAAAGAGAGGAATCTTAGACATTAATCGTGAAGAGGAGGAGCTTGATGATGAGGAAGATGATGCTGATGAGGAAGCAGATGCGTCACTGGCGAGTGAGCTCACGCTGGTTTCCGAGCCGGTCCTTGGCAGCGCGTTCATGTCGCCAAAGAACTCCTCGGCCAGCTTAACAGCGGTGCCGTGTTCCACACCAGCAAAAGCCAGAACCATCCTCTCCGGCCGGTAGAACAAATCCCTATACATCTTCACTGTGTTCCTATCAATGCTCCCCAGGCGATCCTCAGGACACAACAGCGGGTTTCCCAGCGTATTGTCCTTGAACGCCGCCGTATGCACCAGCTCCGGCAATATCAGCTCAGGCTTGCTCCAAATCTCCGCAATCTCGTACCGCGCCGTCTCAATCTGCTCCGCAACCTCCTCGTCCGTGATGCGCGGGTCGCGAATCGTCTCCGCCAGCAATGCCACCGTCTCCGGCACGGCGCTGTTGAACGTGGCCGCCTGGTACATCATGCTCTCCCGTGACGATGCGCACTGGATGTTTCCTCCGAGCGTCTCGACCCGCGCAAGCATTTCGTCGGCAGAGTGCCTCGAGGTGGATTTGAACGCCAGTCGGTCCATGATGTGGGAAACACCTCGCAGTGAGTCATTCTCGAACCGAGAACCAGCCTCGACGTAGATGCCCACACCAGAAAAGGAACCCGGGAGGGCTTCGGAAGCGACTCGCAAACCGTTCGGCAGTGTAGTAATCTCGTCCAATTCAGTAGGTTCCTGTCATGAATCCCCAGAATTAGCCTCCAAGATGCAAAACATGAAAATAAAAAGCTGCGTCCGACCAACCTTTGGTATCCCTTCCACCTTGACCGTCGCCATAGTCCGCCTCGGCATCTGCGCCTTGATGGCACCAAACTTGCTCTGCGAACTCAGCAGCCTCGAGCCCTGGGCCTTCGCCCGAGGCTGCAGCCGAGTAGCAAACTGTCGCAACATTGTCAAAAGCCTCTTCTTTTCTCTACCAAACAGAAAGACGATCAAAATCTTTTGGGAAGAGAGAGAAGCGGGTTCACGGCCGAGGAAAACAAGAGGCGAGCAGCTTGCAGTTTCCGGCCATGGTTGAGGCGGCGCTGGAAAATTGTGGTGCCGTCACATATCTCGGCGATAGGTCGGATCATCCCGGTGCCGGAGCTCCGACATGGTCGGACTGGCGGGGGAAGAGGATCTTGCAGTGTATGCTGAGAGAGAAGCAAATAGTATTTGAAATGTACGGATTACCATGTACTATTAGAGATGGCCGATGCTGTATAGTATGTACTTGATAGTATCACCAGACAAGCAACAGCCCAGAAATGGAGGATGCAGGCAATTCCAAGCCTCCAAACAACCGCATCTCGGAGCTGTTGCCGTCCCATATTCCCAGCCAGAGTTCCCCAGCCAATCGCCGTTAAATGCTTCCACATTGACATCATATCCCACGCAAACTCCGGCCGTCTAATCACAAGCTGCGAAAAGACCGAGAAATCCCAGAAGACCCTTTTTTTGTATAGGAATCGAGATCCCATTCTCTCCCCCCTCTCTTACACCCAAGTGCAGTAATTCCCCCAAATCCTTTAGCTTATACCCTTAAGTTGGCACCGTGAAAAACAGCCGCCATATGCCGATAAAAATGTCATCAGGCGGCAAACTCCGTACCGTGCGAAAAATGAAGCTGCGGAACAGCAGTAACGTAACAGCCTCTTCCAGTTTTCAACACCCCAAAAGCAAATCGAACCATGAAGAAAAGGAATAGAGACTCGGGGAGAGAGAAATAGACAAATCAAAATTGTAGCTTTCTAACCATATCCCGCGCTAGTGCCCATGCTAAAGATGCTTTCCACCCTCCCAGTTGCGGCCAGAATGAGCCATGCTTTATCATGACGCCATACGCCCAAAAGTCTGTTTTGCGGTTCGTTTCATGGAGACACGCCACACTCCAAACACGCACAAAAACGACGAGAAAAAAGGAGAAGAAAAAACAGTGAAATCAAGAAGACATGAAGAAAAGGACAAATCCACCCCAGGCGCAAATCAGGTCGAACAAGTTGGATGCAATAGGCGTCTGCGCCCATGCCCACGAGGCAGAGGCTGCGACGAACAAGGAGTACAACATGAGAGTGAAAACACGATACATTATGATTAGCAGCCCACAAGTGCTGGCGCCATAAACCAATAGACACACCACCGAAATTAGATAGCTCTCCAGTTGCTCGACTTGGTGCTACCGACTGGCAGAGTCGTCGCTGGATTCATGCGTAGTCATGTCGGCGTCTGCCGCAGAATCGAGACTCGGCATCTCGGCTGTGTCACTCGCTGGCTGTCGGCCTGCCCTGCCATCAAACACCCACGGCCCTGCATTATTTCTAGGTGTGATGAGTCCCTCTGCCCCGCTGCCAGGTGGCGAAGGGGTACCGTTTTCTCGCAAATGACCGGTACGGCCGGCACCTCTTATGGGCAACGGCTCGGAGGTTGCGTGCGGTGCCGTCGGGCTCTCGATCGGGCTCTCGGCCGGGCTAGCTGCTGCAGTAAAATTGACAGTCACGTCCATGGTGTCTGTTTCTTGAACCGTTGCTTCATGCGGTTCCTCTGAGGGAGAGGGTGGAGGCAGTTCGATTTCCGGGGTGCTCGTTTCGATGGTGGTAGGGGCAGCCGCCTCTCCAGGAGCCTCAAAGTCATCGAGGTTTTGCCACTCGTCAGAGGGGTCTTCGACGTCGGCTTCCAGGTCGGCGCCGGCACGGCAGTTGGGACAGATGAAGATGGGGTATTGCGGAGAGGTGAGTAAGGCGCGTACGCACTTGAAGTGCCATGTGTGTGAGCAGGGAGCAACAAAGAGTGATTGGCAAGGCTGTTGGAGAGTTAGTGGGGAGTTTATAATGAGGTGTCATGAAAGATGCTTACTGCAATCGAGTTGAGGCAAATGGAGCAGTCTTGGGAGTTTGTGCTGGATGCGGAGCCAGCTCCAGTGGTTGCCATGGTACGAAGCCTCTTGTGAGCGGCCATGCTGAGAAAAAAAAAAAGAAGGTTAGTCGTAATTCAAAGATGATGATGAACAAGGGAATAAGAGACAGAGAGGCGCCTTCCTTTTCTCTCAACCCCCGCGTTCGAATCTGCTGCATATGGAGATACTCACTTGAAAGTGTTGGGCTTATTCTGCCATCCGCGGTTAAGTTCAAGCCTCATCTTAACGCAGCGGAAAATCATCTCCTCGCCTCCCTTAAAGTCGATGCCAAGCTGTACTATATCGCCATCGTTGACCGGGAACGCCTTACTCTCCTGTGACGGCGGGCTCAGCCTGATGTGGTTGAGGAACGTGCCCGACGAGCTCTTGACGTCCTTGATGTACCACTTGCCGTTCTCGTACCAGAACTCGCAATGTCGACGGCTCACCACCTTGCTCTTAAAGCCCACGGGAGCGGCTGCTCCCGACCCGTTGGATAGGGCGTGGCTATCGCGCTCGGAATAACGTCCAACGCGGATGACTTCAGCGCCGTTGGAGAGCGTCCTGGAGACGGGCGGGAAGGACAGCGACGGCCGCGTGGATCGGGGGTCGTAGTATGCAGAGAATCGGATGGATGGCTGGTTGTCGGACGAGCTCGAGCCCTCGTTGGATCGAGCCATGGCTGGATGCTCTTCGATGGTTGAAGGCGTTTCGGCGGCGGACGACGATGACGAGGCACTGGCCTGGACAAACGGGCTGGCGGGGGTATTTGAGGCCTGGCTCGCAGCCGCAGCCCTGGAGTCGGGAGAGGTGGCCACCAGCGTCAGTCTGTTGGGGCTCGTGGTGGCGTTGGAGGTGGTGGTCGTGGTGGTCGTGGTTGTCGTCGTCGTGACGGGAGTGTAGCTGACAGACCGCGTGAGGCCGCTGCCCGACTGGCTGGTTGAGGGCGAGCTGCCGCCGCTGTTGCTGTTGCTGCCGTTTGCGTGATGGCTGTTGTCACGCGACAAGAGGTGGTTGTGCGTGTAGTTGCGCAGGATGCTCAGCCCTCGCAGGCGGCTTGTTCTGGAAGGCGAAGGCGAAACCGTTGAAGTCAGCCCAGGAGCCGTCGGCGATACTGGCTGCGAAAACATTTCCACAGCAGGTATTGGTTTTAGGTTCAGGGCAATTTTCCCTTGGGGGGGCGCTTCAGTGGAGTTGGCGCTGTAATTGAGGGATTGAGACACTGGCCCAGTGTAGGCAGGGGGGGCCGTTGGAGCTCTGGACGGGACGGGCGACGGGTCCAAGCACCAGAGAGTTTTGGAGGCGTGTAAGCCAAAGACAACTGGAATTGTCTCCTCCTTTATTTCCTCTCCGCACACGAGGGGAAATCAGTAGTCCAGGCAGCGTCGTATTATAATGGCACGAGTCGCAAGGTGCCAAGGCGACTGCAGGTAGATTACCGGTATTATAGTGGAGTGGTAGAAGTACAGCTCCGGAGAGACCCTAGCAAACGGCGACTTGTGGCTGTTAATCCTGTCGATTCCAAGGGCCCGTGCTCGTTTTCTTTTCTTTTGCAAGAGACTGAGCCGAGAGGTGAAAAAAAGTCGAGGCCGACGGTGGGTGAAGTAGCTTAAATCGTTGCTCCTCTGAGGGAATTTTACTGCCTATTCGCTATTCGCTTTGCCTTGGCAGCGTATCGTTTTGCATCACGCAACGGATTGGGTGACGGGCCAAAAGTTGGAGAGGCGCGTGAGCGTGGGAATAAGTGTGGCAGCGGCCTTTTTGCAACTCCAGCGGGTGAATTGGCAGGCTGATGCGAAGAAACCTGGTTGGTCGAGGACTTGCAGAAGCGGGAAAAGGAGAAGAAGAAGAGAAGTAGAAGAGAAAAGAGGAAGAGGAAGAGGAAGACAGCTTGTCAAACCAGCAGGCGAAGGTGGTGAGGATATACTCGCCCTCAGGCTGGGCGCTGGGGGACGGCGGTATATTTACAGCTGCAGGGTCGCCAGAGCGGTGCAAGTACCAGGTACAGGCCGATACCAGACGATGCGCAGACGATGCGCAGACCACCTTTGCAAACGTCCGTGTCAGTTCAGCCCGAGTGGTTGGTGCATGTACCCTCGGGTACAGCGTACTTGTACAGCGGCAAGTTCCACCGCGGCACGAGCGCAGGGCTAAGGAAAAGGCCTGAGGTGAAAGTGAACCTGTGCCTGTTTTCCCTCTGTCTTTTTTTTTCGCCTCCTCCGGCTGTCTGGAGGATGCGCCGCTATTCGATTAGGGGGTGTGCGTAATGTAATGTTGCGAGCAAACGCCTCTGGCAATGTCTGAGATCCCTGTGCTGGCTTTCTGGCCTGGCCTGGCCTGGTTCCGGCTTGGGTCCAACTAGCCCAACAGCGTGCACAGTACAGTACAGTAGCGTGCGCTTGCTTGCCTGTACTAACCGCTATTGATTCTGCTCTCAACTGGCTTGTGCTGTCTGGTACAGTAGAGTATGGAGACTTGGTACTTGTAGAAGAAGCAGTTAGCACTAGAGCAGCGCTGCTAGCGGTGGCTGCAGGGGTGCTGTGATCAGCAGCCTGGCCAGGAAGAGGAATTGAAGCCGTCAGCGGCTCGCTCAGCCGTGACGTGTGCGTGATGTCGAGGTTGAATGCAGGTACTATGCTGGACTTAAGTTGTTAAGGTACTTGATCGATTTGAGCGCTGGTGAATTGGCCAGATGGGGGAATGGTGAATGGATCCAGTACCAGACAATGAGGGGAGAAAGGCTGAGGAGGAGACTCGAGGCCCTATATACGCAAATACGTCACTGGACAAAGCATAAAACCACATGGTATGGACCCCCAAAGGTACCCGGCATGTCATGGAGTTGTCAAGCCATGCCTGGCTGAACGCCTTCAAGGTCTGGTTGTTTGTTGCCGCCACCAGCCCATCGCCATCGCTATCAGCAGCCTACTGATGCTGTACGAGTACTGTGCCATGCGACTGTACTACTAGGTAGGTAGTACAGTACATAATAGTACAGCGAGTACCCACCCGCTACACGCACCCGCGCGGCCACCTGCACCCATGTCCAGGTACCGCCGCGGTCCATCCTGTCCAGGCCTCGACCATTCTCGATCCCAGCAAAACGCACCCGGCCCGAGGATTGGTTCCAGTCCGTCGATAAAGGACAAAGACCAAGAAATCCCAAATCGATTTCATTCATCCACCGCCTTGTCCTTCGCCTCTGTGGCGTCCCCCGGCGCGAATCTTGTCTGACAGCAATACTTTGAAACAAGAGAGGACGCCAGCAAATGGCCATGTTTCGTTTCATTTGCGTCTTCTGTTCTGTTCTGCACGCACTTGTGCCTACTGACAACACCCATCATCTAGATACAGGCAGGGAAAATGTCATGCGATTTGGGTCGTTGGCCGTCATTACCCGCCCCCCTACAACACACACCTCGCCAATCAAGCATCAGCCAATACCGCATCATTTCATTTCATTTGCCTGGCCTGCCTTGCCTTGCAGCGCAGTCCAGCTACCGGTGCTAGTTATTCCTGCATGTACCAGCCGTGACGCCGCAGTGACGATTAACCAACAGCCTTGGCCGTCACCAGACTCGTACGCGTGCTGAGCTACAGATACGCATGTCTCATTCAGCTGTCTGTCTGTCTGCCTGTTATATCACTCATATCGCTCAGTGCCTCTCCTTGTAGTCTCGTAGTGTCCCGTCTTTGAGAGCATCTGAGCACCGCGTCTTGGCAGCAAAATAACTAGCGGAGGCACGACCATGGCCGTCGTTGTGTGACCTGCATCACGAGCCCATACTATATGCAATGCACATGTACAAAGAGGCGTTTATACCGCATCAATCACCAATGCCGCGTGCTGAAGAATGCATGCATCTCGTCCAGCATACTCATTAATGTCTGCGATAGAGTACAGTAGTAGTACCTCGTATATGACAGGAAGAACAATAGGTAGGCAGCATGTAGACTAGCACACAGGCCGCTCTCGTCAGCTCGCCCATCACGTTGTCTCTCCTCGTGGCCGGCTCACCCCAGCTTTTGCAACGGCTTCTTCATCTTAGATACTGCATCTGGCTGGTTTTTCTTTTCTTTTCTTTTTCCAAATACCGCCGGGCTACACACACCCCCCCTCCTCCTCCTTTTTTGTCTCTCGTGTGTCTCTCTGCCTCTCTCTGCCTCTCTGTGTGTTTCTCTGTCTCTCTCTCTCACCCCACGCATGCAGCCACTCAAGTGGTACAAGGCCTTCGGCGAGACATTTGCTGCGTCCTTCTGTGTCTCTCACAGGCTCCTTGGACCCCGAAATCCTCCCAAACCCTCGATATTGCATTCCAGATGGCCACCTAGAGATCCCACTCCGTCATCCGTGAAACCTCTTAGTGCCGCTGACTGCAGCGGGTAGCCTAAGCTACATAACTGGCACGCAACCATCCTCCGAGAGATCGTAGCCACGTTTTTGATTCTACTTCTTCCCTTTCTCTCCCTTTTTTTTGCAAGCATTTCCTACGAGATCAACACCCAGCTCAATCCACTAGTGCTTCATAGTCGAGCTGCGGCCCTAATAATGTCTCTGACCAGAAGGAAACGGGACAAGAGAGGTTCTATATTTGGAAATGCATCGACTATTTGTTGCGCGCAGCCCGCAAACATGCCATGCCAGGAAGCTATCCGAGACAAAAGCTACCACAAATAAATCTGCCGTATTGGATATTGATGGCTTGTGCGTTTTTTGCAGTTGCAGCGGAGTTATTGATTGATCCAGGTTCTCTTCCACCCCCTTGCCTCAGGTCTTTTTTTTTTTTTTTTTTTCAGCTGCACCCGTACCTGAACGAACAAGGAGGTTGAACCCTGGTGATATGCAAAGTACAGAATTCCGCGTTCCTTTTTTTTGCTGACTGCATGCGTTACTCGTACGGGACGGTATGCTCATGCTCATGCTCATGCATCCATACAAGACAAGACAATAGTACAATAGTATCAATACCTTACAATGCCGTCCCTTTTTCATGCGGTTGGCGACTCATGCAAACAGCAAACGAGGAGGCTAGTGAAGGTACAGTACCTGTAGTATCCCCGCTTGCAACACAGAAGCACTTTTACTCGTACTTGTACTTGTAGCTGCATGTAACAAGGATCAGGATCACGGCTAGACCTGTCATCTGCATCGCCAGGGCATTCATAACATGCATCTGCTCTGCCCAATCCTACTGCCTGTATTCTGGTTTACCCGAAATGCATGCTCCGTACTGTACTGTAGTCCATCAGCATAATGCCAGTAGCAGCCTCGGCTAATTCTGTCAAAAATACAGAATGAAATAAATCCACCAGAAAGTCAATCACAAAATATCCCATAGATACCCTGTCCCGACTTTTCCAACCCCAAATGATAGATCAAAATCTCTCTTCCCCCCTGTCTTCCTCGACTCGTAACACATGCTAGTCTCCATCCATCCATTCACGCAACAAACCAGAACCATATCCTCCACTCATATGATGGATAAGTACAGATCCCAGAAACCACCCCCTCACTCTCAAAACAACGACATGCTGTGTTAAACGAATTCTCCTCTTTCTCACTCCTCTCTCCTCTCTCTCCTCTCTCCTCTTCTCCTCTCTCCGCTCCCCCAGACCCGCCCAGCCCAGCCCAGCCCAGCTAAAAAGCATTCAAGCTACATACAGCTCCCTCCCTCACGCACTAACTAAAACCAAGCCAAACCAAGCCAAACCTCAACCAACCACATCGCCACCACATCATCCACAGCCCGTCCATCTCGCTCAATCACATGGCTGGTCTGCGTGCAATGGATACGACGCTACGACTAATTTTCCCAGTTCCAGTGTGGGGTTTGGCGGTTACTAGCACCATGTAATACTTGCATGCATTTTGCATCTGCATCGAGACATCGACATCTACAGAGTACTCGTACAGCACAGACAAAAGGTACGAGCATTCACATGGGAGCTGTATAGAGTATAGAGTAAATCCATGTATTCATGCTACCTCAAGTCGCATCATCCAATATCATGCCGCTGCAGCACTCATACGTCTCCAACAACAGCCCACAACAAAAACCATCTCCATCAACAACAAGAACCACAGTATCTTCCCATCTCCAGCTGAAAAAAAAACCCCATCGTCCAAAAAATTCAATCCAAATCCATCCCAAATCCCAAATATCGCCTCCCTCACGCCCCCCCAAAAAAAAACACGTGGCCCATCCCCCCCCTCACATTTCTGCCCGCTCTAATGCCTCTTCCAGATATTTCTCCTCACCTTTTTCTCCTCCCTATCCAAAAAAACAAACCCCCCCAGCTATCAGCAAAAAAAGCTGCCAAACTAGCACCACGATAGTGCCTCCAAGCTCACCCGTAGCTCCGCATCACCAGACCGGGGTGTGATTCTTTCGCATCATCCGATACTCGTACATCGGCTCGTTTCCCACGTTGGTGTCTCTGCTCTGCTCTACTCTTGTCTAACCCCCCCCCCCCGCCCCCTCTCCTCCTCGCACGATACCTCGCCTGGTGCCATAAAACCTGCATGCTAAATGTTACTTTCTTACTTGCCCAGCTTTTTGCTCCGTGCGGGGGGGGCCTCAACACGAGTCAGTCGCCCGCCCTGCGATTTCGACACATGATGAGGGAGACACACAAAAAGTGAGGCATCGCATCAGGAAAAACAACGTGACAAATCCAGCAAATCGGGCGAGTCATCCTTGCTCGTACATAATCATCTGCCGTCTTCTCCATGCTAGAACAAGAGATACATCCATCAATGCCGCTCACAACATCCAATCTCATGTCATGCCATCTCTGGACAACCAGATTTCGATGGCCGATTGTTGCGGTAAGGCTGTGGCTTGCCTCGGACGCCATCTCTCGAACGGGGGTCACACTAGCTGCGGAGGATTAGCATGGATCCAGCAGGTCGACGTCGCAGCAGCAGCAGGAAACGGCAAGGTAAGCAGCAGCAATCAGATCCTGTAAGCAGGCAGGCTCACCGTCGTACTGTACTGTACGGAGGAATAGCGTGCTCGGCGCATCTCACTCTTGTCCCGAGGCTATCAGGCTTCGCCAATCTCTCATCTCGCCCAAGTGCCTAAATCTAAATGGAGCTGCTCCATAGTAAACTGCCTTGTAGAGTATATCCCAGCAAAAGTACACTGATGCTACTACCTAGGTGAGTTAGTAATATACGAGTAGTAGTTTGAGACATCCTTGGGTACAGAGTACAATTCATTATCGTGTTTCAATTCTCAACTCTTCAATAGCTTCGGTTGCCCTTCCCCTTCAAGAATCGGCCATTTTACACAAATCCCACAGGATTTTCTGCGTTCATTCTTCTTCTCCTTTTTTCCCCAGCTAGTGTCTTCAAATTTTGAGGTTCTCCCAATGTCATTTACGCAAGGGACATTCTTCTCGAGGCAAGTAGCCTAGATAGCGACGAAACTGCTGGTATCCTCGGCAGAGAATCCCTCCGGTGTTCCTGTGTCTCCGAGTACAGGTTGCTGGTCTCGCTGGAACGTCCAAACACGTAGGCATTGCCTTTGTACGCCGTTCTGGCAGAAGACGATGGAGTTCCAGGAACTCACGCTCGGGGCTCAAGTACATGCCTAGTCTAAGCTAGCATAAAGCCTCAAGGCGGAAAAGAACTACGTAGCACAAACCTTTGTACAGGCAGTGGCTCCATTCTGCAGTGATCAAGTGGTCACTGATGGCTCGGATTTTTCGTGTCGAGAATAAGATTCCATGTCAAAGCAAGTCGGGCAATTATCAGCCCGGGGGTGTCATAGTAGCCTCGAGATATATAGATATATCATTAGCTTCTATATAGAACCATTTAGCACGCAAGTGAGTATCAAGAGCAACTAGAGACTGAGCAAATGATCGGCACACAAATATGGATGACACACACTACAGAAGCAGCTGCTCTGCAGTGCTTGTGGTGCTACATTGTGTACATGTTCACTTCGCCTTCAAGCATATATAAGCAGGGACTGGACAAGCTATCGGTGTACCGGATAGTACACACATAAGCCTGTGATCAGCCCGCTGTGCAATGACGCTGTATTGCCTCATTGTGCAGGTATATGCAGTCCCTGTGATACCCAATCGGCTCCTGCCTGACTCATGTGAGCAGTGAGCCAAGAAATTTTACTATTCTATGTTAATAAAGGAATCTAGCACATATAGGAAGTCTTTACATGCCGTCTACTCCAAGGAGCTTTCGGAGAAGCTGACACAGGGATTCCCTGTGCGGCTGCAAACTTTAGGAGATTAACACGGCCCCAATCAATACTTGTCAATAAGTTCCCTTGCAATAGACAATTTCCAAGTGTGAAAGAAAATGGAAGCTGCCCATAACATCTGAGTGTCTGAAAGGGAAAAACTCACCAGAACTTGTTGAAGAATGCTAGAATCCCCCAGGGCGAAATAGGACATACATGGCTCACAAGCCTTCCAGGCAAACTCGAAACGGACTTGGCTGTAAGTAGAGTGTAAGTAGTGCATTGATTGGGATCAGTACTTCAAGATATGAACATAATCGTTTCATTGTCAGGGAGTGTATTATAGCCGTGTTAGAGATTCACTTCGAGCATCGTTCCCGACGACGGGGATTGGATGTGAAGCCGGCATTTGGTGTTTGTAACCAGTCATGAGCCGAGAATTGGCATTGCTTTTCTGGAAATGTCCGGCATAGCTCGAGCTGCTGGTTTAACCTTGCATTTTAGCTCAAAAGGGGGGTTGCAAGAAACTTGCTTTTATGTCAGTGAGATATATCCAACGCCAGCAAGCAACATTCTCATTCCAACATATCAAAAAAATATCTTCATTACTCAAGTCGTCATACTCATATACAACCATCTCAATCCCCAAAACCAACCCCAGAGCAAATCTAAACATGTAATCTACCACAATGCATCATTACTTCTTAAACACCGTACCGCCAACCCGCTCAATCTCCCTCCCTTCAGTCGTATCTCTGCCCGCTGCCTCCAGCAGTCTCTCATACGCCGCTGCAGCTTTCAGCTTGACAGCCTCCTCCGCAGCCTTGACTCGCATCCCGCACTTCTCATACATGGTAATTGTCTCCCCGGGCTCCAAACCAGTACACTTGGGTATAAACACGGCCGCCAAGCGAGGGTTACCTGCTTGCAGCGTAAGGTTAAAGAAGGGCTGCCAAATAGACTCGTTAGCTGCTTTTATCGTTTACTCCCACACCATACAGCCTGCAGTCTCACACTCCCTCCATGTGGCTCGGATCGGTAGGATGTGACATGTAAGAAACTCAAAACTTACCGCCCATCCGATCGGGCTCTTTTTAGCCTTTGCGATATCCTCAATCTCACCCCATTCTCGCTTTGCGACAAGTGCCCGAAGCCTATCGGACGGGAAAGGGCAAAACGCCCGCCGCCAGTCAGCCCGTCATGTCTCTGTGTATCACATAAAAATCGGGACAAGACACAATGACTTACCTAATCCACCATACAACCTTCTCTGGGACCTTGAAGTCGCTCTGAATCTTTTTCGCTTTCCCGTGATAGCCGAGTCGAATAAGCTTGAATATCGTCTCGTTAACGCTTAGTCCTGAGAATGAGTCCGTTAGGTCACGGTCTAGCGCCTCTTGTGCACGGAGGAGTTGCGTCGTCTCCTTGAGCACATATACTTCTGCCGCGTTATCCTTTGACTCGGAGAGGAGCTTGGCCGCAAGAGCCAGCTTGTCTGATGCAGTACGAGCATCAGGCTGTCGAAGCGACTCGCGGATGAACACGTTGGCACCATCAATTCGCCTATCGTCTTGGTAGTACATGTCCTTGAGAAGGGTGTTATCTCCTTCCAACAAAGCTGCCGACTCTACCAGTGCCGTTGCTGTTGGCCGAACATTAATCACTCGGAAGAATGACGCCAAGGGCAGTTTCTTCTTGAGCTTTGCGAGAACAAAGAGAATGAGGTCTGTGTCGCCGCTTTCGATGGCCTTGTCCAGAGCCAACTCGTCCTCTTCCATATCCAACAGAAGAGGCACCTGCCTTCCTCCCCTTGGTTCATGATTCAAAAGCTCCGTAGCTAACCGGCTTCGTCCTTCATGATATGCAGCTCTTGCAATCTCCTCAAACGAGATACCAGGCTTGCCAGAGAGCCTCTCTACAACCAGTCGACAGATGGTATCGTCATCTTGAGCACCCACACGGACCTTGGTAGATGCCCAGCTAACATAGATGCGGTCTGTTGGCAGCTTCAAGTAGCCAGCAATCTTTAGTGCCAGTAAATACTCGTGCCGCTGAATGAGTCGTTGAATGAGTCGCTCAGGCGTCAACCTGTGGTACTGCTGAAAAGACAAGGGCATTCCAATCTCGTAGCTCCGTACGGCGTTGAGAACACGCAGAGTCTCGCACATGTCGACAAACTCGTCGCTGTTGTAAATGTCAAGCACCGATTTGCCAAAAGAGGCAGCCTTGAGCAGTCGCTTCTGCCATTGCGGGTCAAACTCTCGACCGGCGGCATTAACGCAAGTATCGACAGCTTCAGTCAGGTTGGGCCGAATGAGTTGGATATAATCGTCTGCTTTGGGTGATTGGAGCTCAAGTTGTCTCACAGCATCCAGCAAAATAGATGCAGGGGATGATTCTGAGGCGGCACCAAACGCCTGAAGAGTGTCGTCAGGCACTCTCTCAAGAAACTCGCAAAAGTCGTTTGTTATTAACCTAGCGCCGTCATGCTCTATTCTCTTGTTAGCGTATAGAATTTGGTATCGAAGGATCTGAATATCGTCTTACCAGACATGACGTGCACTCGGGTGCTGTCGTAGATGTAAGACGAAGACTCATCGCCCGGTCCGATGACATGGACCTCATCTTCCCAAGCAATAATGGCATCGCTACCACACCACTCTACATATTTGGGAGGGGTATTCGAATTCGAGTTGTGCTCAAACAGCCTCTCCTGGAAATCGCTCGAGATGACGTGCGCCTTGCCATTCTTGCCGTACAAGTTGACAAAGCGACCATCCGGTGAAACACTTATGTGTGAAAACGGCCCAACATCCAGGAACCGGTCCTCGCAGTCCGTAGCGTCAACCACGTACACAGTCGCCCCGATGCTGAGCAATACTTCCACGGAGCGAGACAACGTGTGATTCGGCGCAACGATGGCCCATGAATGAATCTCCCCCGCCGGCACAGACGCAAGCACCTTTGGCCGCGGCTCCGAATACGACGAGACTGTCACCAGTGTGTTGTTCCCAAGCAGGGCCACCATGCCATTATCGTAGAACCTAGATGTCATCGTTTCAGCTCTCCCCTCGCCTCAGTTGGCCTCACAAGTTGTAGCATTTACCGGCACGACTCAACTCCGTAGTTATCCGACCCGTTTCCCAGAGAGAAATGGCTGAAATCCCCCTGCATATCATAGCACCTCACATTGCCATCCGCTGCCACAACCAGCAACGACTCGTCCTCCGACCATCCCAGGCCCTTGATGGCGCCGCTGTCCCACGATATCGTCCGCAGCTTCTTGCCCGCCAGGCTGTAGATGTCAATCGCCGGCTTCGTCGACTGTCCCGTCTTGTGAGCCTGCAGCTTCGTGTCGTCCCGCCACAGCGCCAGAGCACCGGCATACGGCGCGCCCGTCACAATGAAGCCATCGAGATCCAGATCCTGGCCAAAGACGGCGGTATACTGCTCCGTCTTGCGGAACCACTTGTCGCCCACGCGCTCCCAGTCGGCTCTTGCGTGAAGCGTGTCCATGCTGCTGTTCTATCTCATCTCACTCTCATGACGACCGATGAAGAAGCGATATTACGTGATCCCATGTAGCGGTATGAGTATGAGATGGATCAAGTTAGTGAGTGACAAGCTGTGGATGAGGTTCGACGACCCAGAGCTAGCCATAGCTTCGGCCAATGGGAGGCGAGGCTATTCGTCGGCTAAACAAGGGGAAGGAGAGGCTGCCTTGCCTGTGGCTTTGCTGCTTGCATCATCCTCCAAAAAGCAAGTACAGCGAAGCACTGAAAACCCCACCAAGTTCAAGTCCAGTTTGTTCCGTCTCATCAACGAATAATATTCTTTTCATTCAAACAGACTTTTGCGTGAAATCTCTCATAGACACCTCACCGGAATACACAGTTCCCACACAGACTTATTCACAAACTTGCTTACAAAAATGCCAAACTGGAGGGACGAATATCTCTCTTCCCTGAGGGAATCAGAGCTCAACACCCCCGTCAATATGGAGCTCGTCCAAGCCTGTTCGCCCAACTGACTCGTCCACATTATCTAGAGCCGCACAGCTAACCATCTTCTCAGGCTCACAGATGGCAGACCGCATCTCATCCCTAGAAGCTGAGAAGCTCGCCTTGGAATCTCACATCGCTAGTCTGGGGAACAACCGGTCAAGATCGCCGGCCCTCCAACCAAGCGAGGCAGCAGCCAACGATCCCGGCGTCGCCCAGCTTCGTCTTGACTTGGCCGAGGCTCTGCGTTCCAAGGGCGTAGCAGAGGTACGACTGCGGACTGCGGAAGAGGAACTAGACAAGCTGCGTTCAAAAACGAAGCAGGACTCGAAATCCATCAGAGATCTCACCGGTGAGCGCACAACTCTCGCCACCAAGGTAAACGACCGGGAATACGAGCTCAGAGAGAAGCGGAAACTAGTCGAGGTATTTGATCTAATCTATTTATACGACAGTCTCCACCTTTTTAATCAAGTAATCACTAATACCACGTATAGCAAGTCCAAGACGAGATGATTGCGCTGAATCTACAACTCTCCATGGCGGAAAAGGAGAGGGACCGGCTTAAGAAGGAAAACAGAGAGCTCATCGACAGATGGATGCAGAGAATGGGTCAAGAGGCCGACGCCATGAATCTCGCAAACGAGCCCACGTTAGGAAAGGGGCGGTAGAATGGGGAGAGAGGAAATACTCTGTTCTCCTCATGGCGGTAAGGATGGTCTCTTTCATATTCATTTGTACTGTTAAGTCTGTTTTCATCCCATCATCTACCAGCGCGTTTGTCTCGCTGCCGATGACTACAATTCGTTCAAACAAAAGATTATCCTCCAAAGCCGTTAACCCAAACGCTCTCAGTCCAAAGAAGAGAGAGAAAACAAATACCCATATTCCCGATTTGTACTTGATGGTTTATATTCTACAATACTCAACATAACATCTTTATGCAGTGCTGATGAAGCTCTAATTAGTCTATTTCCGCGTGGAGATATAGTACTGCCCGCCGGCATTGGTCCAGCTGACGTAGCCTTCGGGATACGTGCACTCCTCGACCTCAAGGATGGTGCTTCCCACGTCGTTGATGTTGTGGCTGCTCTTGGAGTCGGCCACAAAGGATTTCAGCGAGATGATCTTGCATCCCGACTTGAGATCGAGGAACATGCGGATCAAGTCCTCGTTGAGCTGCGAAGTGAACGCCTTGTTGTTGACGAGCACAACATCGGCCCGCTTCAGGGCATCGTGAATCGAGGTGTTCTTGCGGAAGTCACCCCGCTCGATGTGCACCTCGCCCGGCTGCAGGCCCCAAAGCTGACATCGTGCATGAAACTCTTTCTCTTGAGCCTCTGCGAGGTTGCAGGCATTCTCCATCATCTCACAGCCCCAGCTCTCGCATCCGACCTCGAGCGCCGCCTGCAAAACGACGTTGCCCACGCCCGAGCCCAAATCGACAAAGACTTGATCGGATGTCATCTTGGCCTGCTCGACGAGGAGCTTGGTGATGAAGGGGTGGAGAAGCTCGCCATAGACATAGTCTGTTCCGTTTTCGTACTTTGAAAGAAGTTCCACCTTGGGAGCCACTGTACGATCATAGATCTGGTCGAGGATAAAGGCTGCGAGATGCGGGGGCAGGTCGTGGAGGTTTTCGAGATTCTTGGAAACGACGCCATCCTCAACAAGGGCGAGGAGCGTCTCGTTGTACTCGCGTAGGGCGGCCTTGAAGCCCGCCAGATCCTGAATATTGCGATTCGAGGCCTTTTCGAGTCGTCGAATAAATCCGTTGGTCTGGTTGGTAAAGGGCTCGGCTTCGACGTCGGTGAGATAGGTTTCAGCAACCAGGCGTACTATGCGTATACTCGCTTCCACGGCATCGATCTTGTCCTTGCCCCAAACGAGCTCAAACCTGTTTTCTTGTTAGAAAATAGACCATGGCAATTTGACTGAAAGACAGGGAGCTTGACAGAGGTGGGGTGGGGGGGCCAGTGGAATCAAACCAAATGGAGGTGTGACAAAAATTGACTGACTTTTCTCGGCGCTGCAGAGTGGGATACTGAAGCTCAATGGCCACATCCTCCTTGGACGCTCCCATGATGGGAACGCACTTGTGCTCGAGAGAGGCAACGTCAACGGCATGGATGAACTGCAGCCTTTCATCCTTCCGCTCAAACGCTCGGGCGCTCTTCAGCTTGCGATTCGAATCGACCGACTTGCTCTCGCTGGTGGCCTTGCGCTGGCGCTTGTGCGAATCCAAGTCCATCCACCCATCGTCTTCGGCGTCGCTGTCCTTGTCGAACTCGATGCGGTCGCTGGCAGGTGAACGGCGTTGTGACGCGCTGATGGCCTTGCGTTTGCGGTGCAGGTCGAGGCGCCTCTCGTCGGCTGAAGAGGGGTACGGCGAGCTGCTCTTTGCTCTGGAAGACGCTGACGACGCCGCAGAGGCCGAGGGAGCCTTGGGCGAGAGTCTGCGGACGGGCGATGATCGCGCAGACGACGAGAGCGTGGGTCGAGCTGTAGGCTTGGGCTTGGGCTTCGGAGGCGCGGGACGCTCTATGGTGACCTTTTCGATGCGGATCTTGGGCGGGTCGACCTTGAACTTGTTGCCCTTTCCACTGAGGAGAGGCATGATGGCGGCATCAAACAGGCGGGAATCTCGAGTGCGCAAAAAGTAGAAAAAGGCGAAACCCGGGTTTGGTGGAGAGATCAGATCAGGCGGCTCGGCTCAGGGGTGTTGCGCCTTTTCAGCCGAGGGGCTCTGCCTAGCCGGTTCTCGTGGGAAGACTGCCTTGGAGCCTTGGAAACCGGCCGATGGCGGGCACGCGACGATGGCAGAGAGTGACAGGCAGAGGCCGGACTTAATGCTGGGCTGGACAGGGTCGCGACAGGGCGATGACGGCAGCGGGTGGCGGGGGAGGCGAAAAAGCCGTTTGAACGAGGTTTCAAAATAGAACGAAGGAGTGGCGGTGCTCGTGAGAGACTGGAAGACGGCGGACTCTGGTTTGGAAAAAAAGAAATAAAGTCGATTACAAGAAATGAAGAGAGAGAATATGTGACGATGTCGAACGACAGCTGGAAAAAAGAATACAAGATTAGTAAGAATGAGATTGGAAGCTAATGCTGCTTCACCAGAGTCAGAGTCGGCTATACCAAATGACGATGGATCGAAGAGGGAGAAAAAAATCGTCGCGTCCAGCCACGGTCCCAAAAGGCGAACGAAGAAGAAACGGCAAGTGGTTTTGGAAGAGCGCCTGCCACCAAGCCCAAGCTGGAAAAAAAGAGCTTATGTCAACCCTTTTGGCAACTTGGAAGGGGACTTGGAGGAATCCAGGCCAACATCTTACTGGTTCTTTCCGGTTGATTTGCTTAGGTGCTTTAGCGGGCGATTTTAGCGGGTGGGCACGCTGCAGCCTGGGGGAGGAATCAAGGCAGTTTCCAGGCTTCTGGATGGCCACAATGCAGTGATACGTACTCAGAATTATTAGAACTAGCAGGTTTCTCGCACCTTCAACGGGCCCCACAAATCCTGTTTGTCTCGAGGGCTCCGATTCGCGGCCGGAGCACGTGCCACTTGTGGGGGCCAGGGTCCACGCCATTTGATGTCATTGCGCTTTTGGCTGATTGACTGATTACCCTAGAAGGATATCATCATTGACATGATGAGAGACTTCAACTCTCCCCTGTAAACATCTCCCCGATTTTGCTGCTGTTAGTGGTGCCCCAGCAGCAGCGGGGTAGTTATAGGGCCCCTACACCAAAAATGGCTGCTAAGGCTTGGTAACCCTTAACAGCACACAGAAGGAGGGAATTTTGAGAGTTCCTTACCTCCTTCGCTCAACTACGAGACGCTTAATCTTCTTTTTCTATACTGGGGGGTATAGAAAAAGAAGGAGCATCGTCTCTTTTATAAGCCTCTTCTCCGTCGAGGGACTTGGCTCTCTCCGAAACCCAGCTCCGGCCACAGCTGCTACTCCAGCCACAACTTCCAACCTTTTACCTTAACCTTACGCCTTCGCCAACCTTCTATAACTATATCCAACCTAGCTATACGCTTCTCCCCCGGCTGCGTACGCTACACCGCGGCTACTAACTAAGGTTCCGGCCTACAGCCTCCAAATAAGCAACTACACTAGCGAAAAACCAAATATCCACCGATCTGGGCGGACAGGCTGCCAGAAAAGGTCACATTACAGCAAAAACTACCTATACCTTTCCAGCCAATCTATATTATACAACAATAATAACTAAATTTAAAAGAGGAGGGCTTTTATATATTAAGGACTACGCTGCCTTTTTGAAGGTATTTACTTCTAGGTTTTTTCCCCCTTCTCATAGAGCAGAAAGGTTTTCCTAGTTTTTTTTGTTATTTCCTATATCAGCCGGCGTGCCTAGAATGGTCTATGTTTGTATTATAGGAGTAATAATACCTACGTAGCTAGCTCAGGCCGACCTCTTTGCCCACATAGGATTATGCTGCTTCATCAGCGGGGTCGTTAATATACAACAAACAAACAAACAGATGAGAGACTTCATACGCATATTTCATCGTGTCGAGAGGCACAATACCCTGAATTACAGGAAAAATATCAGGTAGGAAAATGTTGACGTATCAAATGGCATTGGTGTATACTATATATATATGGCTTGCCATGTTGCCATCGACTAAATTGTACCAATATTCAATGTTTGTACTGCACCTGCCCTATTCTATCTCCTCGTACTTCCGCTTTCGTTCAGTCCCAACAGTTGTTAGCAGCTCTGCCTTGTTATCCTTACCTACTAAGTTGATGTTAGTACCCTTGTTGGTGAGCAGGTTAACAATTTTTGTATGCCCAAGTTTTTGGGCTATCCACAACGGTGTTTGACCATGACACGATATATCTTCAATATCTGGGTTTACTCCAGCTGCGAGTAATATCTTAATAACAGCTGTGTACCCACAACGTGCTGCGGTAGATAATAGTATCCGGGTGTGATGACCCTCAGGGCTTAGGTCTGATCCAGCCTTAAGTAATAGACTAACAACAGACTCTTGCCCTCGCTCTACTGCCTCCTGCAGCGGCGTCTGGTTACATTTATCCCGGATATTCGGGTCTGCTCCAGCCATAAGCAGTAGATTAATAATAGACTCTTTCCCTCGCCTTACTGCTGCCCATAGCGGCGTCTGGCCGTTATATTTATTCCGGAGATTCGGGTCTGCTCCAGCCTCAAGTAATAGACTAACGACAGACTCTTGCCCTCGCTCTACTGCCTCCTGCAGCGGCGTCTGGTTATATACGTTCCGGATATTCAGGTCTGCTCCAGCCGTAAGCAGTAGATTAATAATAGACTCTTTCCCTCGCCTTACTGCTGCCCATAGCGGCGTCTGGCCATTATATTTGTTCCGGAGATTCGGGTCTGCTCCAGCCTTAAGTAATAGACCGATAGAAGACTCTTGCCCTCGCTCTACTGCCTCCTGTAGCAGCGTCTGGTTATATACGTTCCGGATACTCGGGTCTGCTCCAGCCATAAGCAGTAGATTAATAATAGACTCTTCCTCTCGCCCTGCTTTATCTGCAAGCAAGAGCTGAACAACAGCCTCATGTCCTCCATTTGATGCTGCTGATAAGGGTGTCTGGCCACTTGAATCCGTAGAGTTGATTTTGATGCTAGGTATCGCAAGCAGAGATTTAACAACTGCCTCGTGCCCTCCATTTGCTGCCAACCATAGCGGTGTCCGGCCACTTAGATCCGTAGAGTTAACCTCAATGCTAGGCACTGTAAGCAGTAATTTAACAACAGCTTCATGTCCTCCATTTGATGCTGCTGATAAGGGTGTTTGACCACTTGAATCCGTAGAGTTAACATTAATGCTAGGTAACGCAAGTAGTAGCTTAACAACTGCCTCGTGCCCTTCACTTGCTGCTACCCATAGCGGTGTCCGGCAGCCTGGATCCATAGTGTTAACTTCAATGCTAGGCACCATAAGCAGTAGCTTGATAACAGCCTCGTGCCCTCTGCTTATTGCCATTGATAGCGGTGTCCAGCCACTTATATCCGTAGTGTTAACCTTAATGCTAGGCATCGCAAGCAGTGACTTAACAATAGCTTCGTGCCCTCTGCTTATTGCTATTGATAGAGGTGTATCTCCTCCCCAGTCCTTCGAGTTAATTTCGACGTCAGGCATTGCAAGTAGTTGCTTGACAATAGCTTTGTGCCCGTTCTGTGCTGCCCATAATAGCGGCGTACGGCCGTATCTATCCCTGGAGTTAACTTTGATACTTGATGTGGCAAGCAGTAACTTAGTAACAGCCTCGTGCCCGTTACGTGCTGACCATGATAGCGGCGTTGCTCCAGTATGATCGTTTGTGTCGACATCCGCTGTTTTCTCGAGAAGGACTTTGGCCGCTTCTTTGATACCAAAGAAGGCAGATAAGTGAAGGCTTGTCATTTTGTGATATTCTTTGTCATTATACCCAAACGTTATCAGTGCCTCAATTGATGCATACACCTTCGCCTCACATTCTAGAAGCTCCTTGACCTTATTGGACAACCTAAAGGCCTTCCGCGCATGATGCCCCCAATTTTGAGCCGCATAATTGTAAAGAGGATTGAGATTCATCCGCATTAAAAACTCCTCGTTTGTGTGGCAGGGCCCGCTTTCGAACGCATTAAATAGGAGGTAGGTGATGCAAATCTCTGTCATAATAATCTCTGCATTAGGAAACCAGCTTTCTCGTGTTTGGTCGAAGTACTGCTGCGTTGTATAATGGACCAATCGAATGATGTTACTATCGTCGTCGACTATGACTAATCCATCACATACCGAGACCATGACTTGGATTGCTGGAAGATTATCTTCGTCGAGTTCTGTATCATTAACCTCAACAGCAAGCGCGTGCTGGAGTTCCGTTATAGTGAGCTGTCGCTCTGCGCAAATGATACACGATAGAACCTTATGGGCAAGGTCTTTAAATCCGGGTTGCTGTCCGTTGATTCGCAGCATTGTTTGATTGTATGCATCGGCAAGGATCTTGGCCTGATCTTTCTCCTCGGGTCCCGAGATTGACTTCTGGAAGCCTTTCAATGCATCTTTGATATCTCTTGTTGTTATCTTGTCGCTTAGTGACTTTAAATAGATCTGTGCTAAAAGAAACCTATACAGTGTCAATGCCCAAGTTGCTCTTTGCGTTGACTTAGAAACGTACATTCCATCAACAGCTTCTGAGATTACAGTCACAACCTCTTTTTGTAGTTCATCTTTCTGTTGGCTTAAAATCGGCAGTTGAGAGATGTGATTCTTTAGGTATGTCTGTATATCATCGGTGCTTGCACGAATCTCTAGTGATATGCTGGCCGTTGTGAAACGGTCAACAATATCTGGAATGAATCTCGATGTCACAAAGAGATTCACTTCGCATTTCTCCTGGAGGTTGAAGAGCTCTGTAAATAGGTTTTGCCGACAACCATTGGAATTTTGGCATTCATCAAGCGCGTCAACAACAATGAAAACTCTCGAGAACATCTCCACCACTGAGTGAAGAACTTTCTGGATCTTGCTGAGTGAAGGCCTGGTCCGCTTATAATTATGTTCGCTATACATGTCCCTCACACAGTTTGGGAGAGGATGCTGTCCTCGACTCAATTGCTTCAGTAGATTTGAGAGTAGTTTCTCTATTACCTGCTCTTCTTGGCGCTTATAGTTGCAGTAAATGTAAGCAATGCCAATTTTTGGAGCTTTAAATGTATTTTCAAGATGGTCAACCACGATGGAAGTCAGAATAGTCTTCCCAGCTCCAGGGATTCCTGGGCAGAAGAGTGTCTGCTTCTCAGTCCCTAACCAAGCCCGATACTCTGTGGAGTCAAGGAGCCATTGCCCAGTCTCTGGCTGCCGCCTATTGAAGAAGTCGCTCTGTTGAGGGCCGTAGTCAATTGAGGTGATCCAATCGAGGATCTGGAGGTTCATGTCATTATCCAAGTTAGATTTTATGTTTGAAACGTCAAGCCTTGTTGCTGATACGCTCGTATGAACTGTTTTATTGTTAGTAAATCAGCCCAATATAGGTAATATGAAATTAGCTAACCGTCACCAAGAATGTCTTTGACTGTGCGCTCTCCATCAACGTCGCTGGGCTGTACATAGCCTAAAAGCTCTTTTGCAAATGCCGCTGCTATAGCTGCAGCGTACTCTTGCCAATCTTTGTTTTTATGCGAGTCAGCATAGTCACAAATTCCCCGTATGATAATGCATGGGAAGTTGTTCATAAGCCCTGCAGCTTCCATTTCAATGCAGAGAAGTTTGCCACTAAGATCTTTGTTAAGTTTATCTCGGTGAGTGGCACTCTTAATGACTTGATTGCCCGAAGCGATCAGGCCATAGTGGACACGCATATCTCGAGGCGTTCTCTGTATAGCTTTGGTCTTATCGCAAAACCGACAGCTCTCTTCTTCTTCTTCTTCTTCTTCTTCTTCTCCTCCTCCTTCTTCTTCTTCTTTGTCTTCCGCATCACTGTTGGAAATGATGTCGTGCTCCGCGGTGCTCTCGCAAACATAGTCTGCCCTGAACAAAACGTCTTTCATTGAGCCGGACTTGAGATATCTTGTCACCAATCTGGGCCATTTCTGTTTCAACTCATCCAGATACTCTGGTATCTTGGATCCCACTAGATCATGCTCTGTTTCCAATGCTGTTATGGCTGTGAGAAGTGAGGATGGAGGGTTGTTCAATGACCCAGTCCGCTCGAAGCCACCATCCGTCGCCTTGCCGAAATCCCACTGGACCACTCCAGGAAAGCTGCCGACAGGAGTACTGACGACAACATCACCAAGTCTGACCTTCGGTGGAATGCCGCCGCCGATGCCAACCATCAAACCAAATCTGACGGACGGAAAAGTAGATACCATTTGGGTTGCAACAGTTGCAGCTGAATTGTTGCCGATATGACCTTTGGGTAGACAAGCAATAACTACGTTATGTTTGCCAATTGACCCCAGAGTGTATGTATTCGAATCATTTGCAGGTTTCGGTAGGGCGCCATGTCTCTGATCCAACATGGCTGTTGCCGCGGTTAGTTCCTTTGGGAGGGCACACACCCATCCCACTGTGTACTCATTGTGAGTTTTGATCTCTTTAGCCGTTTGCGTAGCCATCTCAGCTACGCTTGTGTGCGGCTGTTAGGAATGATCAAACGGTCACGAAGAGGGGTATATGCAAGATTTTATTGCTCTTTGGCTGCTGCAGCTATTCCTGTTTGTCTATTACCATTCGCTGTGATGTAGCCAATGATTATCAAGCATTGCCCGACAGGGCGCCTAGATTCAGCCTCATGGGCTGTGTATATCAGGCGTCAAGTATCGGGCATTACCGGGGCCCAGCCAGCAGCATTAATGCCTAACTTGTAATAAGAGGAGCGATACACTCATCCAGCAGCTTTTATGGATTCTGTAGGATGCATAAAGTGGTGGTAGTTTGTATGTGGATTTTGCCTTGAAGCGGGCTCAATTACATCTAGCCATTTACTTTAGCAAGGTTCCATGAGTTAAAAAAGAGGGGTACATGAAATGCAGCTCTGTTACAGTAACAATATCAAACGCCGAGATAGGAGAGAAGCCCCGAATATCTTGCGATAAAGAAAAAAAAGAGAGGGAGAGAGAGAGAGAGAGAGAGAAGCTCTGCATTCTGGGTATGTATCATTCGCTTCTAGCTGACCTCATACTCAAGCACATATTATCGCTCCAACGACACATTTGTACAGGCACAATTATCCCTGTCCAAACAACATCCATCCAAATCAAATGTCCCAGCCCGATCATAAAAATACTTATGAAGCATCCCAAGCGTCCAGTTCTGCCGTCCCTCATGAAATGCAGCCCCCGAACTCCTACATCACCAACAAAACACCATCGGTCGGCTCAAAACCTCCATCAAAATCCGACTCGCCAACGAGACAAACAAACAAAAGCCAGATACTCACTGGAATCGAATCATCGTCTTCCCATTACACACGTCCACAATGAAATGCAGCCCTCCCACACTCACATACTCTGGCCGTATATCAATTCTCTCACCCTCCTCTTCAATCCCCCTCCTCTTCCATTCCCCAACCGCAGCGTTATCTTCATCCTGCCACTCCCCATGCCGACCCTCTGCCCTCGCCTCTTTCACCCACTCATACAAATCACCTCCATTATTCTTTTCCGCAAGACAATGCACACAACATAGCACGCCGCAATTCTCCAAAGTACATCTCGGGCGTTTCCCTGTCTTAACGATAGCTCTGAACCGCCGCTCACGAAGTTCAATTTCCGCCCAATGCAACTGCTCCCGCAAAAACTTCATAAACGCCTCATGCGGCATCTGTCGCCACGGCTCGTCCCATATAACCTGCTGTAAAATACTCCAATCTCGTGTGTAATTAAGCAAGCTTTCCACTCTACTATATGGATACTTCTGACTGAGTTGGTAAATTGTCTTTTCCGTATGTCCTTGTCGACGTTGAAACCATACTTCAGCAAGCTGCAAGAAATGTTTCTTGCATAGGGTAGCTGCGGGGTCGTGAGGGAAAGTCTGGAAGAATTCGAGCTGTACAAGGTCTTTGAAGGAAGGGGGTCCTGATTCACACTGCTCTTCAAAGAATGTTAGACTGTTAGATTGCCTGTTTTTCGGTACAACATCATGGGGGATGTCTTCTTGATGGTAAGTGCCTTCTTGCGCTGTTGCTTGGACGTCGTCTGGTGGCTCGATTGACTGAATTGTCGTCTCCTGGTCCGATGAAGAAGGAGAAAAATCGCCATTAGTAGCTTGTAACAATGACCTGGATTCAGTGGCATTCTGACCAGGAATTTGTACCATTATCATCTCATCTTCATCGATCTCATCTTCATCGATCTCATCTTCATCGATCTCATCTTCATCGATCTCATCTTCATCGATCTCATCTTCATCGATCTCATCTTCATCGATCTCATCTTCGTTTTCATCTTCGGATTGATCTGTTAGTGCTGACCGGGAGCGCCTCGAAGCAGCCCGAGGCCTGTATTCGTCGTCGCCATCTTCATTCGCCGACTCGAACCCAGAGTCATCCTCACTCTCATAGTATATGGGCTGGGATGCAGTATTTGCGCTGCTGCCACTTAGAGCCCTGGCCTGAGCACGAGTCGTGACCATGGCTGCTAATATGGCAATCGTAAACACTGAGAAAAGAATAGTACAAGAAATCGATGCCATTGCTAGAGGAAAGAAAATTTGACGGAGATATGTGGAAATAAAAAGATATCTCAACAAAGGAGGCAACATCGTATACCTTTAGACTGCATTCCTAGTTGACTAACAATAAAAACAAAAAAGTAACAAAAGACAGCGTGATGACAATTCTTTGTCTTCATTCAACATCAAAGTGATATAGAAACAAGGAGATATCTCTTAAAACCCGATTAATCCCAATTCCATAAATAGTTATCCAGTCCCAACACCCATCCGTATCATAGACCAATTGATGAACAAACTCCGATGTAACGCTAAAAGCATCATAAAAATAGCCAAGTTAAAACGCCGATTCATGCAGTTCCTTGTGATTAATGCCATATTTTGGCACATGGAAATGGATGCTGCTTCCAAAAAAGGAGCTCCTCTGCTCGGGTTTGTTTGCATCCTCATCATTCGCCCAGCTTCTTGTGTAATTTCCACAGATCTCGCATGGCCCTTCCGGAGCTATGACAAAATTCTCCTGGAGCACTGATACTTCCACTTTGCGTTGAATCCCCGAGTTTCGACGGCCTTGTACCTCAATTTCCCGGATCGACGCGTCGGCGAATTTCTCATACAAATTTGTCACCTCGGGTGTGACGACAATGGTTGCCTCTGACTCGGCGAGACTGTGTTGTCTAGTAGAGAACCGTTCCGAGTAAATATAATTGTTGAAGACGACATCGTCAATGTCTCTCATAGGTGGATAAGAAGGAGATCCTGCTGGATGGTAAAACACCTCTGTGAGGCCAATGGCAGCAGCATAAATGAAGATCTGCCAGATCGCCCAAGACTCCGCAGTTCGCTCTGCATTTAGATGATGGTTCTAAAAATTGATGTTAGTTTTGGATGGTCATCATATCAGAGTATCCAGAGAAAAACACACCGATACCAGAATGACAGCCCGCGCAACTGCGGCCGCCGTGGCAAGAAGCCCGCAAACAAGCGTTGCGACCCACTGGAGTTTTTCCCACGTGGGTTTATCGTTTCTAGTAGCGACAGGAATGGCTGCAGACGCTAGATAGAGATTCGTGATGGTATCGAAGCTGAAATACACCCATACCAGCACCGGCGAAGTAGCAGGCTGACAGTATCGCCCCGGGTTAGGATATACCTGCCACATGTGAGACAGAGGCCGACAGCTTTGGAGGAAAGCCATCGTTGTTGCCACCCATGTTACAAGCAAGAAGCCAAAGCCGATATACTGGTGCATTTGTCGTCTGCAGGATTCGGATGTTCGACGAAGGACATTCGCAAGAAACGCTGCTTTAAACATCCACAGCGCGGCCGAATAGGATAGCCAGCTGTATAGATATAGTTTCGATCCAAGTTCCCTGGAGCAGGTTAGATGATGGGCGGAACGATCAAGTGGTGGAATATAGTACCTCGTCTGATATTCGACACTGCTCAGCTGCGTTCCGGCATTGTCGCTAATAGAGTGATTCCCCATCCAATGGGTTTGCGTGTTCATAATGTACGCCAAGACTACATTAGGCACAAACAGAATCTAGACTCATGTAAGTACATGTGCAGAGCAAGACATCAGAGAGCACCACAGAACTACTTACCACTCCCGCAATCGCAAGCACATCTTCAAGACCAAGATTCTTCATTCCGACCTGCCGCCATCGGATGTACAATCGCCCACCTATGGAAACCATGGCAGCGCCAAGGAGAAGGAAGATTTGAATCGTTAGTGCTTCCATTTTGTCCATGTCGTCCCGGCTCATTGGTATCGTCTCAATGTCTCTGGAAGAGATTTGGCCTTTGGATATTATCATCACTGTGATGTGTTGAGGAACAAAAAACAAAGAAGGTGACTCGGCCTGGTGTGAAAGTAATATATATATAATTTGCCACCGCACGCGGTACGAGGGGGTCCCTCAGCTGTTTATGAAGCCCGGGATCAAGCCATCCAAAATACAAAAGACAAACAGCCCACCTCTCCCCAGCTTTGTCAAGCTTGTCTCGACCCACACAAGGGGAGAGCAGCGGCTCTTTGACCCCAGACCCCAGCTTTTGATGTCTCTCATCTGCATTCTCGGCAACAACAAGTACATTGGCATCAGCAACGCAAAGCTGGCAACCTTCCCAAAGGGCTGGGTCGGCACCTAAACGCCCCCGCGTCAACGGACCGAAGTAGAGACGCGACAGATCGCATGACTCGTCCGTTTCCCAGGTTCTCGACGCCCTCCTATCGCAGCCCTCCAAAGCTCTGTTCACAGCATGGCAGATTGAGCTGCGCACAGAGCTGAGGTGGCGCGCGAGAGGGGCAAAAGCAAGGAGCTGTCAGTGCACAGCAGCTAGTAGTTTGTCTCACGCCACTGGAGCGCCCAAGCAAAGCGGTTGGTCCAGGCTGGTCTTGTCCAGGGCTGAAGAGTGGGTAACCCTAATAGTAGCGCTCCGTTTTCCGTCGCTCCATTCGGAAGACTTGCTGAGGCCCTGTTCAGACCCAGCCTTGGCCCAGCTTTGGACCAGTTTTCGTGTGTGATATGCGGGGAAAGTCGCTGCCGCTCGAGATGGCGCAGTGTCCACGCCGTAGCGCTGAGTCTGACGGCCAGGATGCGACCGATACTCGCCTGGAGATCGATATCCCAACAGGGGATGCAGCAACTGGCCCGGAAACATGCGGCCGGCGACTCGCGCGTCCTGTCATTAATCAACCAACCGGCGATGCATGTGATGGCACGAAACGAGACGCAAGGGAGGAGAGAGAAAAAGAAAAGAGAGTCAAACAAAAGGAAATTGGTGATAGATAAGAGTGGCTGGACTAGGACCACGGGCCGCTCTTGCCGCAGTTGACTGTTGGGGCGGTTGCCTGTTGTGTCTCACCTACGGGAGCAGAGTAAGGCAACTAAGGTTGTATTCTTACTCGCAGCAGGCAAGAGGCAGCGACAGGCCGTGCTTTCCTTTCCTTTCCTTTCCCGCTTCAATCTCTCCAAAATTATTCACATGCAACCTCTCGGCAGGGTTTCCTTCAAATTCGTGTCTTGGATGGTCTCACCACATGTCCTCCTCCAATCATGCGATCCGTCAACCGCTAGCCTCCACCCGCCTCTCTGCTATTTCTGGGACATGCATGAAATGTCAGGCCCAAATGTCAGGCCCTGATTCAGGACATGACTTGACCAAACTCCTGATTCGAGGCTCCAACCAACGGCCAACTTAGGCCGAGACGCTGGCGGCCGCCTCGGCGAATTACCTCGACCCAGAGCGATACGATGCAATGCGAGCAAATACGGGACTTGGAGATCGAGGAGCACACAGGAAGCGGTCCAGAATTCGCATCAGGGCGGCGGGACTTGCCTCTCAAGCCCGCTGCGACCAAGGATCCCCCGGTTCTCCCAAAGATAGCAGGCATCAAGAGTCACAGGTTTCTTCCCCGTTCACCGAGCCTCGACGACTCATGATGATCAAAACTCGTGATCAGACCTAGAGAGTGGCAAACTATCCTTTACTGCACGAAAAGGACTGGCCTAGACCCGGAGCATGCTGACTGGTGTTCGTAGATCCGCCGCGACGCTGGTGAGATCCGCTGGCTGGTGGAGTCGGTTAGCAAGGCTTGGGATGCTAGATTGGCTAGATCGCCTTGTGCATCCAATGACTTTTGCTCCGACAGAGCTTTCGGCACTCGTCGTGCCTCCCCGTGTTAGCGGCTGTGGAGCTCTGGAGTAGTGCTGGACTAACCCCAGGTTGAGAGGGCTAGCAAGCTTGATCTCCAAACCAATGCAAGGCAAGGTTGAGGAGACAAGAGGAGACGGAACATGTTTGTTTTTACGCTTGTCGACCGCTGACTCTATCAGGTGCTATCCTGTCTGTTTGTCTGTTTGTCTGTCTATCCACCCGCCTATCCACTCCGACTCCTCTACCTCTTGAGTGTCTTTTGCTTCTCCGCATCTCGGGCTACAGTCCTACCCTCCACCAACAGGCCCTTCTTCTTGCGCACGCCATCCATGTACCTTTTCGCTACATTTTCCTTATCGGCCAATTCTCCGAGGTCCTCCAAGTCGTCCTCGGTAAACGGCACCCAGAATGGATCTTCATCCAGGATCTCGAATCCGGCAAAAATGAGCTGCGGCTGCGCAGCCCCGCTAGTCCTCTTACGCATCTCGTCTGCAAACCCAAAGCTCTCCGCTACCGGCAGCATAGCTTGGATGGTGAAGAAAGGTGTGCCCTCCTTCATCTCTTCGGCCACCACGCGGCCTCTGCGACGGGTAAGTACATCGTATACTCGGCCTAGTACCTCGGTGGAAGTCTGGATTTCGAGCGTGTACATGGCGAGCATGATTCTCGGAGACCAGTCAAGGAAGCCTGCGCGGAGTGATGATTGGAACGCCTTGATGACTTCTCCTGTAAGTCTGTTTAGCTTATCGCGGGCGGACATGTCATCCTCTGAGAGGTTAAGAGACACGTCCTCGACGAAGACAGCCACTCCCTGCAGGGGCTCGTTACACAATGGTCCCTGTGCCGTCGCCAGCTGGAAAGCATATGTGATCTTGTCGGAGAGATGGCTGGGATGAAGTTTTTCGACAGACTCAGATGCCACATCAGATGCCTTGGTTGATGCAAAGATTTTGGGAAGGATGCCATCCTTGGTGGCATCGATGAGGAGATTGGGTCCCGTTCGCCTTGGTCCAAATCCTGCGATTCGATCAATGAGGCCTTTCCATCCTTCGCGGCCTTTTCCAGTTTCCAACTCTTTCTGCAGCTGCGTCTTGAGTTCCTCTGCAGATATGCTTGCGGCAGCAGTAAGCTCCGTATCAGCCTCGATAGCTTCCTCGCTCTCTTCTCCAGATTCCTCCTCTGCCGACTTGCGGACATTGTGCAATCGCTTGATAGCATCACCATTCTTGAGCAAAAACTCGGTAACATTTGTAGGCAAAGGTTGCACACGAATGGTCAGATTGACTTGCTTCGAGCTTGTAGAAGAAACAACAGTTCCGCGACCCAGGTCCTTATTAGCGGGAGGGCGCATTTCCTCTGCCTTGACAATCGTCTCTCTGTACGGCACGATGGGTGCACCGGCTTGGATATCACATCGCGCGAATCTTTCTTTCAGATCTAGTAGACATCTCTCGAGATGAAGTTCGCCAGCCGTCAGTAGGACGTGCTCTCCACTTGCGAACTGCTCATACTCTGCACACGGATCGCTCTGAACAAGCAGATGTAATCCTTGAATCATCTTGTCCAGATCTGCAGGGTTGACCGGCTCAAGTGCAACGCGAACAATGGGCTTTCCAGCCAAGCTGATACCTGCCAAGTTCACGGCACCTTCAAGCTTACTGCAGAGGGTTCCTGACTTGAGAATCTTGCCATCTAAGCCCCCAATGCCAAAGACAACGCCGGCTGGTACGGTGTCCAGAGCCTCGAGACTCCTTCCCATAAACATGTATAGTGATTTGACGGTAATTTGTTGAGGCTCGGCTGCATGAGGGTTGGCTGGTGTCCACTTGGGCGGGATGACGTATAGTGTGTCTCCCACGGAGAGAGTTCCCGAAAAGATTCTCGCAAAGCCAATCAAATGCTCAGGGTCAATCTTTTCCTCCTCGGCGGCTGGTGTCACATCATCAATATTAACGGACCCCAATGCATCGGTCAAACCAGCCACGTCATCTTGGGTGTTGGCAGCAGCCAGGGCGGCGGCTGCTGCTCGCTTCTGTCGAGCCAATTCTCTCGCCTCCTCCCCAGTCATTTGGCCAGTACGCCTCTTGTTTTCCGGGAGCTCGCTTTCAGGTACGGACACCATCTTGCTGACGTATGCGACCACGGGGTCTGACTTGTCGGTCTTGAATGAGACCATGGCTTCTCTGACTGACTTGTCTACAAATTCTGAATCTGGAGAGTCGTCGATAACGCAGGGGATTCGCTCGGCCTGTGCCACCGGGGGCGACGGGAGTGATTCGATAACAGAGACCAGTAAAGCAGTTGAAAGAGGTAACCACGAAGCGAATACCGTGGTTAGTAGAAGCCGGGGATCTCTTGCTCTAAGGATGTGAGGAGCAATGGTGACGTTCAGTGACTTTGTGACTTTCTCCAAGAGTGCCGGATCTCCCTTGGCTCCATCAACGCCGAGGGTAGCCTGGTAAACGGTCCAGACAGGCTCGAGAACTAGCTGGACGAACATGGGCTTGAGATTGCGACCTTTAAGATGCTTTTGTCCGAGCACCTTTTTAGTCTTGGGGTCCAAGTAAAAATTGCCCCATAGACATCTCTCCATGATGCCTCGCTTAATACCAAGCTTCTTCTCGTAGATGCTCGCGAATTGCCTGCAGGTAAACGCCCAACCATCAATAGCACTGCTGAAAATGACATTGTTCTTCTCAGGTGCAAAATACAAATCCTCATCATCCAGTTCTTCGAATTGCAAATCTCCTACCTCTGAAGCAGTGTCACTTGCTGAGGCCTTGGTTGCAGCCGCAGCATTGACACGCTCTTCCATCTTCTCTCTCCAGTTGAGATCCTCCTCCATTCGCTCACCCTGGAAGAAACTTCCCAGAACCGCATTGACCTGCTCCAAAAGTTTGCTGAGGTGAACGTATGCCTCTTGGGGCGTCATCTTGAGCTCCGTGATGAGTCTGTCGATTTTGTTGATGACTAGGAGTGGCTTGAGTTTCTCGATCCAGCTCTGTCGGAGGACGGTCACTGTCTGACTGCAAACTCCTTCGACTGCGTCCACCAGGACGACAGCGCCGTCACATAGTCGAGAAGCGGTAGACACCTCGCTGCTAAAGTCGATGTGGCCTGGCGAATCGATCAAGTTGATCAAGTACTCCTTCGGCTCAGGGGTAGCATCTGGGGCTGATCGTCTCAGCATGGAGAAGTAGAGTGAGATGGCGGATGATTCCATGGTGATGCCTCGGGTCTGCTCATCAGGTCTAGAGTCCAGGTATCGAATCTTTCCCGCCAACTTGGGTGAGATGATACCGTTAGTGGCCAACAAGGCATCTGTTAATGAGGTTTTGCCGTGGTCGACGTGGGCCAGGATGCAGATCTATTTGTCATTAGTAAGGATTTATGTCTGAATCCAACAGATGGGACGAATTCCGTACGTTTCGGACATCTTGAGACTGCTTCTGCAAGCTGGCTAGCTTTTCTGGTGTCACGACCGGCATATTGGGCAAGTAGTGATGTGGTAGATAAGAGGGAGGAAAGCGGGTATGAATAGAGGGTTGGCTGTCTGGTGATACTCGCCCTCTCCCGTTGCTTTATATGAGGAAACAAGCAAGATCAAAACAAAAATATGCCACTTCAGGGTCCCCTGGTTCGATAGAATCCAAGAAATGTAAAAGGATGACGCAGAGAGTTTCAGGGGCGATAATTAGCAGCTATTGCTCATCGCCTATGACTCTTCTCGGGCTGACAGGAACAGGCAAACTCGGTGTTGACCCTCGCAGCTGCAAACTTTCTGCAGCTGCTTATTAATACGGTAGCTATAAAAAGTGACGAGCGAGGTACTCAGGCACAAGCTCAAATGCGGGTTCAGCTTTGCCGATGTGGACGAATGAAGCTTGTGATTCTTGCAAGTGGCAGCTTAAAAATGCTGTCTCCAAAACTTGGTAGTGAATCTTTTTTGTATTAATAAAGTATCCCATACCAAAACTTCCTGGGCAAACTCTTGCTGCCCCTCGTCTTTTGACCCCTCCGTGCCATCGCCTCTGCCAGGGTACCACTGTACTTGGTACTTCAGAATTGCCCCGCCTCGAAATCTTTTCGCTTCCAACAAAGCATTGCTCGGTTAACTGCATAGCCCATGCAACTAAGCATCACCACAGCATCGCTTAAGCCCCCCATGCACATAGCGATGCACCAAGCCCTAACAAGTCACGAAGGGAAAATTCGCGAGAGCGTCAAGCCCCTCCCGCGCAAGGCGTAGAAAAAATTCGCTGCCCCTCTCCCCAGCCTCGACAAGACCTCACGACGGGCGGTCAGACAAACCATGGCGACGTACCAGAACGGAGGGGCTCCGGCCCGCGCGATTGCTGATGACAGCGATGTCGAGGAGGAAGCTTTGGTGGCCGAGTACAAGGAGCATGTGCAATACGAAGATGGCGACGAGCTCAGCCAGACGACATCGCTCAACATGGCCCAGCAGACCGACGACATCCAGTCCCGCCTCCTGTCCGCTGCCCAGCCTCTGGACTTTTCAGCGCCTCTGGAGGTCAAGTTCCAGAGCTACGACTCGTACTGCAGTCTGTTCCACTACATTTTGAACTCGGACGGCCCTGTCGACCTCGAGCCCCCTTCTGTGCGTGTGACCTTCTGCGGGAGCCCTGCTTGAGCTGCTTACTCGCTCAATTGTCAATTGTGCGCCATGGCTAACGCTGTTGAATCATATAGTACTACTGGGCTTGGGATGTCATCGATGAGTTCATCTATCAGTTCAACTCCTTCAGCTCATACCGAAGCCGAATCGCGAGACAGGCCAACAACGAGGAGGAGATCCAGATCCTCCGGGAGAACCCCAACACATGGGGATGCTACAGCGTCCTCAACGTTCTCTACTCGCTGATCCAGCGATCCCAGATCACCGAGCAGCTGGGCGCCATGAAGCGTAACGAGGACCCCATGGCGGTTGCCGGCGAGTATGGCTCTAAGAACCTGTACCGCATGCTGGGATACTTCTCCATCATCGGTCTCCTGCGAGTGCACTGCTTGCTGGGTGACTTTGGCCTGGCGCTCAAGACTCTGGATGACATTGAGCTCAACAAGAAGGCCATGTTTGCCCGCGTCATGGCGGCGCACTTTACGACATACTACTATGTCGGCTTCTCCTACATGATGATGCACCGATATGCCGATGCCATCCGCATGTTCAGCCACATCTTGATCTACGTCTCGCGGACCAAGAACTTCCAGAAGAACGCCCAGTTCGACTCCATCACCAAGAAGAACGAGCAGATGTATGCTCTGATTGCCATCTGCGTGGCCTTCCACCCCACCAGACTGGACGACACCATCCACAGCGCGCTGAGGGAGAAGTACGGCGACCAGCTGCTGAAGATGCAGCGTGGCGGCCCCGAGTCGCTCCCCATCTTTGAGGAGCTGTTCCGCACCGCCTGCCCCAAGTTCATCTCCCCCATTCCTCCGGACTTTGACAACCCCGAGTCCAACATTGACCCCGTGGAGCACCACCTGTCCATCTTCATGGACGAGGTCAAGACCAACATGTACAGCCCCACCATCAAGTCCTACCTCCGCCTCTACACCACCATGGACCTCACCAAGCTGGCTGGCTTCCTCGAGGTGAAGCCCGACGAGCTGCGATCGTGGCTCCTGGTGACCAAGCAGCGCACCAAGCAGCTGCGTTGGCAGGACCAGGGTCTCCTGGACGGTGAGCTGGTCAACGTCAGCGACCTTGACTATGCTCTGCAAGGAGTACGTTTTCCTATATATCTTCCCTTCTATCTCTTACAACATATTTGCTAACATGTATTTTTTTTTCTACAGGACCTGATTCACATCTCAGAGGCCAAGGTCGGCCGAAAGCTCGTAGACTGGTATCTCCGTAACCTGTCTCGTACCTACAACTAGGAGTAGAAGTAGACGGACAAGTCGGGCTACCCAGGGCGCTGGCACAAAAAATCGAGGCCATGCGCGGCACACGGGAATAGTCGGAGGAAAGTTGGGCGGGTATACTGGATCAACTGGCCGGTTGCATGGCTATGGCGTCACGGAGTTGGTTGGAACTCGTATGAGGGCACGAGGATTGCTCGAAAGTGGCCCTGGGGGGAATACAAACTTTGAGAAGAGGATATTTGTAGAGTGTTCCTAATGTTGATGTGAATTACGACTGAATAAAAGAAAGGGATTCGTTCAATATGATTAGAAATGAAAGTGTTTTTGGGGCTCTGATCAAGTGAGAGTTGGAGAGCCAAGGAGGGGGAACGTCACGGCCGAGGCAGCTAAGAGCACGAACGCCGGCAGACTTCCGAGATGAAAAACAAGGCCAAGGAAAAATATCCATCATGACTGCGACCTTGCGAATGGGCGATCGCCTCATCACCAGCACAGCCTGCAGGCTATGCAAGGGTACATACATATCGAAAACGACTACTGGAACACGAGCCAAGACCCAGGCAACGGAACCCCGACAAAGTACAAGTACGAGTAGCACAGAAAAACCGCAGAGAGCGCTAGTGCACACAGCCTGGAAGGATGTTGGGTATTATTTCGGCTCTAGCTGGGGGTTTGTTTTAGCTACATACCTACTTAATAAAGTTGGTGGCAAAGAGCTTGGGGAGAGCTTTTCATGCGGGATCGGGAACAAGGAGGGGAGGGTAGCACAATTGGGCACCAAAAAGCTAGTAGTATCAGCTGGAGCTTTTGGTAGCAGTGGAAGAACTACTGTTGAAAGAGGTAGGTAGCTTGAAGCCGGGATTTATTTCGGTATGTTTCCATTTTTTGTTTTTTAAAGCTGGGGATACAAACATTAAGGTTTTGGCTAGCCAGGGCTGAGATATGATCAAAACGTTCGAAAAAAAAAAGCATGCGGAAAAGAGGCTTGCAAAAGGGAGAGTCAGGTGAGCAAAAGCGCAAGGGGGCAGCCGCCTATTGGAGCCCCTTGTACGGGTTTGATGACACGACATGCTGTGCTGACTTGCTGCGTTTCTGCTGCGTGTCTCGGGTTGCCTCTTCATTGTCTGTAGTACGTAAAAGGAATCAAAATCCAAGGCCATTGCAATGGGAATAGCAGAGATCGTTTGTCCGGTTGGTATCCGATCCCCCCCTAAAAAAGGGAGCATGTGATTGATTTCTAACGTGTCGGTTCGGAGCCGGAACTAATTAAGAGGCGGACGGGAAGAGGAGTGTGGGAGAGAGGCGAGGAGCAGCCGCTTTGCTTGGCGGGTTGGCCTTCTTTTTCGAGTTTGGGATTAATTATTATGGATTTCGTTTTTTTGGCTCTTTGCTGGCAGTGGGTTTGGATGGGGGGCAGCGTGTGACGCAGCAACGCACAGCCTCTTGATTTTTATGGGCAAGATGCGTCATACAGAGAGGAGGGAGTCTGGAGAGAAGAGGTACATTACCAACTTTAGTATGAAGCTGGGGTGGCTAATCATGGGAATTTACCTGCATGTAGCCATCTTCATTTCTCTATAACTATTCTATCGTCTTTGTAATCATCTGATACAACACTGCTATCAGTACCGAGATATGTCTACTTTGAGTTAACAGACAAGCCATTCACGACCACCGATGAAACCATGACTAGATACATCGTCTCGCCGTGCCGTGCGATATCATATAGAGCATGCATGCAGAGATTTAGCTTGCTGGTTTCGACACCACCCCTTCGTAGTGCGGTTACAGTACGCCACGCAGCCAACCTTGTTGCAATGCTGTGGCTTTTTAGCTCTCCGCCAGATGTGATGCCAAGACGCAGAGGACAGGGATGAGACGGTCTGAATCAATCCTCGCACGTAGTCTATTCGCAGGTGTGTGGTTGCAGTAGTGACATTAGCAAGCGCCTGGCCAGATTGCACGTACACACTCTCTCTTCATGCGAGTACGTGTAATGCTGGAGTCTACATCGTTGTCGAGATAGTAGAAGACGTAGTAGGGGTCCCCTGGCCCTGCCTTGCTTTTTTCGCTTCTTCTCTAATACTCTACGCCATGAGGAGCGCAAGCCAAGCCTCTTGGCAGAGGAATGCGCTGGCCCATGATTCGCGCGGAGTAATTTCATCCAGGAGGCGTTTTCTGCTGTGTCTGTATGGTTCTCTTGGATGGCTGGTGCTGGCGCGATTGGCTGGCGGCGCGCAGAGCTGAGGATATCTGACATTGACACGATGCTGCAGACTGTATCTTCAGCGTGCTAGGCACCTAGCAGGTAAGCTCTGCCGGCAGATGGCCCTATCAATGCAACATCTGACTGTCCTCGTCGGTCGGGCGGTTGACTGAGTAGTCTGGCATCTTGTTTTGCTACCCGTTATAAAACTCCGCAGATGCTGCTGCAGCTGCTATCGACATGACAAGGGCTCCGCTCATCAAATCTCATCCCGGCAACGGTTGTATTTTTCATAGGCGCCCATTAAGCATCTTCCTGCCTGTTTGGTCTTTGATTTTTCATTCTGTTTCATATCATCTCATCTCCTGCTACAAATCAGCCTTTTTTTTTTTTCATTTGCCCTGGCTGGTGTTGCGGCAGCGGCATCGCATCGTGAGCACAGCAGGCGGCCATAGCGGTGACACCACCAACCAACCTGCTGCCTGCACTCATCCATCTCGTCTCAGAGACATCTCGCAGTAAGACGGCAGTCGAGGCATAGCAGATTCATATCGGCCATCTCTCTTTCTGCTTCGATCCGACGCTTCCTACACACCGCCATTGCACTGCCTTGATCCCCATACCGGCTCCTCGGAAGTCAACCGGCGGGTATTCGCTTCTGGGCCCGAGTTTTGTGCCTGATCCGCCCTCTAGCTCTGACCTGTGTGCCTCTCTCTGCCTGGCTATTACCCCCCAAGGTTCATAGCAAACAAACCTTCCATAACCCACGGTGATCAAGTGCCAAGCCAGTCGAGGTCAAGCATCTCCAAATCACCAGCCCGCAGTGGAGCAAGGCAGCAAAGCGGAGGCTAGGAACCAGCCCTTGCTCTTGACCAGTGCGGCACCCAGACCCTCGGTTCTGAGCCGTCAACTCAATATTCTGGCGGCGCCATCACGAGCCTTGCTCCTTTTCTTATCGACAAATAACCGACGGAGGGCTGAGGAACGGAGCTGTTGCTGCTGCTGCTGCTGCCACTAGCTGCACCAACAATCATCATATTCTTGCATCATCTCTTGCATCATCACGGCAGCTCAGCTCTCCCGCCAGCGAATCGACTGGACCTACGGCCCCCCGTGGCTTCACACAGGTCTCTATCCCGGCTGCGGGGTGTTTTTTTTCTCAGAGTCGGCGTGTTATTTTAAAAGGACAGAGTAACAAGGGGGCCAAGACAAGGAAAAGGGACAAGGAGAAAAGAAGACGAGAGAAGAAAAAAGCACACCCACCCTAACCCTAAACAGGGACAGACGCAGGATCCCGACCAAAAATTAGAGGCGCTGCTTGTTTTTATGCTTGTCTGCTGCGCACGTCGACGATCCGTGCATTTTGGCTTGTGGAGAGGAGACGACGAGGAGAATCCAGGGAATAGCGAGTACGGAGGTCGAGAGGTGATCCGACGCTGCGAGTAGAGGTACTACTAAAGTACTACCTTGGTATTGCGTGTCTACCTTAATACCTGAGGTACCTATTCTGTTGCCTTGCCTTGCCTCGACTTTTTCTCCCCATCACCTTCTTTCGGCCTCTCTCTTTGGCCTCTCACGGATTGTCAAGAAAGAAGTCATCGTTGCTGTTTGTTTTTCCATTACGGCATCTCAACCTCTTCACCGTCTATCTTTCTTCTCTCCGGCCAACAGAAACCCCCGACTTGTCTCGCAACTGCAGCCTCCCTCTCACTCTCTCTTTCTCTCTTTCTTCCACCCATCCCATCTCGCCCTCCCGCATTTCCGCCTCTTGCAACTCCTCTTCTTTTCACCGTTAGGGAAATCTCATCCGCGCCCAATCTCGACCCTCTTGCACTCTTTGTGCCTCGGAAGCCCGGAGACTGCCTGCACCTTCCCGAAAGGCCCGTCTGCCGTGTTGCGCCAGCTCGGCATCTTGGTGCCGGGCCGTGGATCGTGTGTCTTGGACTTGTTTCTTCACCTCACCAGCAAAACACGATATCCATAAAGACGCAGCATTTTTCCCCTCCGGCTTTATCCTTTTCTTCTTTCTTTTCCATTATTGATTCTCATTTTCCTTCTTTTGTTATTCAGCCGTCCTGAGACACGAATTCTCGTTTAGTCGAGAGCGACCAGAGACACCTTGATTACCTCTCTCTTTTGCCTGGCCTTGATCGGATTCTCGGCTCCGAATCCCGTTTACCGGCATCTCTGATTCATAGCCCGAACCAACTCTTGACATACCTATCCATTCATTGTCAACGTCAATAGCGAGTGAGCAAACCCAGCGCTGCCAACCAGTGCTTAACAAGCATCTGACAAACACGCAGCACCTCAAGCAGATCAACAAGCAGATCAACAAGCAGATCAACAAGCAGATCAACAAGCCATTCACCATGCAGTCGCTAAAGACACCTCAAGCTTCCGACTCTGATGTTTCTCCATCGTCGATAGCACCACCGAAGCAGTCTCAAGAAGGCTACTTTCCTCCGTCTGATGCTAGTGGCAGCCAGAACTCGGTGCCTTTGGCCTCCAGCGCCAGCGACACTTCTTCGCGCCGGCACTCAAGCATCAGCTTTGCGGTCGAGCTACCAAAGCCAAACGGAGCCCCGTTGAGTAAGACCATATCGGCCTCGTCTGTTGGTAAGCGGAAGGCTCTAGGCATTCAGAAACGATCTTCGGACGGGGCAAAGGGACGAGCTCCATCCCCCCCTCACAGCAGGTAAGCCCTGAGTTTTTGTTTTTCTCTTCTCTCTACCCAAACTCCCTCCTCTTCATTCTCTTCCTGCATACATCGCCTCCAGTCTTGTGCACTTCTGTGTTCCCATGCTCGATGCTGCGTGTCCCAGAACGGCAATGCGGCAAATGTCAAGTGGTGTCCCAGTGGACTCAAGGGCGATCCAAGACATTGTACTCGGTGGGATGGCAGTGTCCAATTCACAAGAGACACTTTTGTGCTTCTCTAGGCCTTCCTGACGCGTGCTCTCGGCAAAAACTTGCCGGCCAGGGATGGACAATGCATTTCTCTCGAGTTTGCCTCTGATGCTGTTCTACCTGACATGGCTCTCTCTTGGGAGCGCATGTCGTCGGGTAGAGCGGTAGAGCTGCGATAGTGTCAGGTCCATGTGGGCCAAAGAGGCTTCGATCCCCACGCTAGCGGCACTCCTTATTTGCACCCTGGGGATTCAAATCTCATCTGTCGTGTCCGGCCATCTGGTCTGAGGGGTTTTGAGTGCAGCATCTCAAGCGAGCAGCACAAGCCGGCTGGGCGAGGTTGGGTTGGCAGCACAGAACGCTGCCGCTACCCGGTTTGATACTCCGTTGGCTGGTGATTGGATGCCTCTTCTCCAACTCTCCTGCATCCTCTCTCCGGCAAGACCTAGCAGAAGCGACCAAAGTCAGCAGCCCATTGGCCCCACTGGTCCGGGAGCTTCTCGTTATGGCTATTTTTTCTTTCTTACCCCGCCGGCAGCAAGATAGGATATTAGCTTGCACCTTTTTCTGTGGTGGAACTTGACGGAGCAGTTCCAACTCGCCGCAGTCGCAAAACCTCCGTCATCCTCTCTCACATGCCTCACGCTTGGCATTTGCATATTTCCCTCACTGTCTCTTCTCGTGCTCTATTTATTATGTCTCATATACTCTTGATCAGCTAGATCCTTCTTTTTATGTCCCTATCCCCTTTCTCCCCTCATCTCTGCCACGTATTCCTAGCCTGCAGATACCCGCTGATATCGCGCCTTTCACCCCAAACGCCCCTTTGAATCGCGACGGGAATGACGGCACTAACCACGCAACCGCGAGACAGGTTTCAGCGCCATGTCGGCTTTGACAATGTCCCCAGCGGCGAGACGTCCAAGAAAGTTCCCTCGTCCCTCGTGCTCAACGTCAGACACGATGGGTATCAGCCACGCCGGAGATCGCGCACCTTCATGGTTGGCATTGACGAGCACTCGTACTCGGACTATGCCATTCAGTGGTTGCTGGACGAGCTTGTTGACGACGGTGACGAGATCATCTGCGTGCGCGTCATTGAGAAGGACGTGCGGCTTGGCGAGAAGTCGTACCATAGCGATGCGCAGCAAGTCATGAAGAACATCTTGGAGAAGAACAGCAGAAACAGTGCCGTTGCCTTCGTCCTCGAGTACGCAGTCGGCAAGCTCCACGCTACCTTTCAATCGCTGGTAAGTGGCTACAATTCCTACCCACCAACCGGGATATGACCTAACTATTTTGCCCCAAATATCAGATTCAACTGTATCAGCCCGCCATGCTCATAGTGGGCACACGAGGGCGATCTCTCGGTGGACTTCAGGGCCTCGTCAATAACCGCAACTCGTTTTCAAAATACTGTCTGCAGTACTCTCCCATACCCGTCGTCGTCGTGAGACCAACCGAGAAGCGGAATAAGAAAAAGGCTAAACGCACAAACGACAACACGCGACAGACCTATGTCAGCATGTTAGCCGCTACCCATGGTAAGCATGAGGCCGACAGCGAAGCCAGCAGCAGCTACGAGCTGGAGGTTCAGATCCCGCGCGAGGAGGAGGCGCACCAGGTAGCAAAGGTGCTGGGCCTGCCAGCCAAGTTCGACCCAACCATCAAACCCATCCACGGGCCGGCCTTGATGAGGTCAAAATCCCCTGATCCCGTGGCCGGCCCCCGGACAAGTGCTGCGCGCCGCGTGCCCGCCGATCCGTCGCCGCCCAGCGCTCCCAATAGTGATGACGAGGAGGACGACGACGAGGGCGAGTTTGAGGTCATGACAGGGGTAGAGGCCTTGAACCAGCAGCAGAAACTGGACCAGCTTCACAAAATGGAGGTTAGCGAGGCGGCCGCTCTGAAGCAGGGCATTAATGATGATGAAGACGAGGAGTCGGACGAAGCGCAGGGGCAGAACTCTGGGAGTGCATCCTAGAAGATGCGCGGCGGCCCAGGCCGTGCCTCCCAAGCTCAGAACACGGACGGCTCCAAGCACACCCCGATGGTGGCTGCCGGAGGCGGAGGCGGCGACGTAGGCGAGGCCCACCCCGAGGTTACGATGAGAGGAGGCGGAGACTATCCCTCTCGTGGTCGCTATCGCCGCAGGCAGATTCCAGATCAAGCGGTGCCGTCCTCAAGCACCACGGCGTCTGCTTCAGGATCATCGGCTTTGGAAACACCAACACCAGCGGCACCAGGTTCCGGGCCATTGGCGTCAGGTCAGTCACCTGGTCCAGGACAGCCAGCTTCACAGCAGCCAAACTCAAGGCCGCATGGCTAGCGAGCGTCGGCTTTGGTGATCAGCCCACCAACAGAGAGTCCCGCTTCGGGAAGTTCTTCTACGCCTAATCCTAATGCAGCCAGTTCTTCGACAGGCGGCTATTTCATGACGAGCCCTTACGGGGCGGATCCTTCTATGCCTGGGCCCTCGAGGAGAATACCGAGGCCTAGACAATCAGCACTTGACTTTGAGAGTTCTTTACCTCCAGTTCCCGAGCCTTCTTCTAACATTGTCGAGAACACAACTCCCTCTGCCGGGAATGTAGATCGTCCAGCCAGACGAGACCGAGGAGACAGACCACGCGGCCTTATCCAATTTGCCAAAAATGCACCAAGAAGATCAGACTCGCCTCCCCAAGCGACAAGACGAGAGAGACGAGACAGAGGAAACAAGCCACCTGGACTTATCCAGTATGCAAAAAATGCACCAAGAAGATCAGACTCGCCTCCCCAAGATACAAGACGTTTCTCCCGATGGGGCAACGTTGCAAGGGGTTCATCTTCCAAGTCTAGATCTATACGCGACGCACCGTTACCTTCGGATACAAAGGTCTGGAGTACTGCGATTGGTGCAAAAACTTGCACTGAGACACCTTCAACTTTGTTCAAAAGTAACAGGAAACCTCCGATGAGGAAACCAATTGAGCGTGTAGGCGAAACATTGCTAGATATGGGCCACGAAGCTGGAGTTGAGGTGGAAAACATGATCAAGGAGATGAATGACAAGGCAGGGCAGCACTCGAGGGCATCTGACGCTATAAGGCTATGCTCAACTGGTCAAAAGCAGAAACAGGTGTCCGTGCCCCTTTTGCCAAAGCATATAGACGATTTATATTTGGCTCATGACATCGATTATCTCAAGAAAATCAGAAAGAATCCACCCCAGCCACAGCCGGCACCGCATCCGGCAAATTCACTCCATTCGTCCAATTCTTCCACTCATCCATCCCAGCATCATTCGTCAGCATCAACGCAGCAGTCTCCGCGGGGGCAGCCTGCTCAGCCTGCTCAGTCGGCACCAGCGCAACCCTCTCCACGGGGGCAGCCTGCTCAGCCAGTGTCGGCGCAGCAGTCTCCACAGGGGCAGTCTGTTCAAATGGCATCATTGAAAGGGTCGACGTCAGTAGTACAGGGACAATCCGGTCGACCGCCGAATCCACTTCAACCACCACAGCGGCAGCAGCAGCAGCAGCAGCAGCAGGAGGAGGAGGGATCATTGAATCCTCACCAGCAACAACATCGCACGCGAATGCAACAGGAAGCCAACTTGTGGCCGCGGGCTCGCCTTGAGGAAGCCCTTGCTTTACAGACGTTGGCGTTCGTACCAGAGATGGGTCCGGGGAACAACATTTCAGCCTCCAACCAGGTGGAAAATCTGGCCGACGTTGTGGAATCGGCAGAAGACGGGCATGATGCGGATGCGGCTGCAAATGCAGAAGCGCCTGCCAACGCCGAGGGCGCGACCGTAGAGGACTCACCGTTTGGAAAATTGAAGAAATGGCTTCGAAAGAGTCATTCAAAATGATGTAAAAGCAAGGATGATGAGGGGTTTGAAATCAGCACGACGAGGGCGGGTTCACGGGACAGCAAGCTCAGAAAGCCCAGGCAGATTAGCGATTGGTTGGTTGAGTTGAATTGAAGTAATAGAGCGGTGGACTATGGTCATGTAGATATGGATACAGTGATTAGCGCATGGCAATATGGCATCTAGATTTTCAGCCGAGACGGCCAGAAGCAGAAAGCGATTGAGCATGACGACTTGAGAGCGTGCCGTGTATTCCGTGAAGATGCCGATGACGAGAGATGAATAATCCGCATCAGTCGGGGGGTTTACGCGGCCCAGAAGAGGGGAAGAGAGGCTTGAAACCCATCAGTGTTAGTACAAAGTATTCTGATACGAAACACGGGAGAGGCTCTGTGACTGGCGGCAACGAGGGCACAGCCGTGTGAGGATCAGCAAGGGCCAAGCAGCAATACGAAGGACGTAGAGGCTAAAGTCGAATGATTTTGGCAGATGTGCGGTATCAAGCAAAAGAGTTGACTAAGGCCGCATTAGGATGGACGATTCGGGTGTTGCTGAAAATAGATGGGGGGCTTTACGGAGTACAGTAGGCTGGAACAGTGGGGGAGAAATGCGAATTACAGCGGGTACCAGTGCTGTAAGAGTACTACCTTAGGAACTCTACTGTACTGTACCTAAACCTAAACGTGCCCACCAGACAGCGCGGATGCCATTGGCCAGAATCCACAGCCACATGCAGTTTATTCCGCCTATTGCGTCGTTGCTGGTGCTGAGGCACATGTACCGGTACTTGCTTGGCGGACTAGCCCCAGATTACAGCGACGCAGGATCGTCGTCATTCTTTTTTCTTCTTCTCTTCCCTCCATGATTCTTCTCTCTCGCTCGCTATCTTTTTTTTTTCCTGGGGGGGTTACATTGCTTCTATGGAGTAACAAGGGGTACGACAACTAGACCACTATTTTGTCTGTCCGCTTATTTCTCGACTTGGTTCTCTTGAGCCCGACAATCCGCGCCTTTATTTAAAGTCAACGTGGGGTGTATTGCCTGCGATAAATACCTACCAACGTTGTCATTACCTTACCTTCACCTTTGGCTTATTGCCCGACATTCGCTTGGCTTGATTGATTGATTAGTGTTGCTTGATACCTATTTTTTACTGCTACCTAATAGCTCTAGCAGCTACCTAGTACCTGAGAAAGAGGAAGAGGTGGCTTTTTTAGCTGGTGGCTGTCGGGTTACTTAAAGCTGGCCTTCTTGGCGGGGGAGATTTTGGACGACACAAGTGCGACAACAGCTTGCGATAAGGGGACCGACTGGACTGGATTGGATTGGAGAGAGAGGGGAGGGATCCTTGATACGAGCTACGAGAGGACGACTGAGGTTGATTTGGGTTAAACTCGGTTTGATTTGATTTTGATCGACACAAGCAAAAGAGAGAGCGGAGGGGGGCAAAGGAAACCTCAACAAAAGACACAACCAACGACACCAACGATAACCAAAGAAACAAAGACACGACGCAAATGTGGCCGTTCTCGTCCTCGTCCTGCGACCAAGATGCCTGCGTTCCTCCCAGTCCGCACGCCGTGACGACCGCCGCTCTGCTGTCAGCGCTGCCCTTTGCCGCCGTCTTTATGGCCGCCAATGCCGTCGCAGTGCGCCTCATCTTCCCCAAGCTGAGCCGCGCGGCGCAAGACGATGCCCGCGATGGCGACGACCACGTTCTACCGGCCCATGCCCCGGCGGCGTTGCGGCAGGTACACGCTGAGCATGGCAGCAAGAGCTGGAGACGGCGAGGTGCGGCGTGGGCTTTTGGCACGACGGTCGGGCTGGCGGCGACGCTGGGCGCGCTCATCATGGCTGAGATTGTCGAGGCGGTCGATCCGGCGGCGCGGAACCTGGCGCTGAGGGTTACGGTACCGGCGCTGCTGTTTATGCTGGTAGTGCTTATTCCGTGGCTCGAGTGCCGTAGCGTCGTATCCAGCGCCGGCTGGAGCTTCCAGAGGACGGCCAAGGGCAAGCTTCCGCGCGTGGCCCTGGGACTACAGGCAGCGCTGTTTGGCGGCTGGCTATTTCTCTTTTGGTCCATGGGCAGCGTCGTGCCGCGGGCCGAGATATTGCTGCGGTCAGCACCACCGGCAGACCATGATGGCAGGACGAACCCAAGCTGGAACACGAGAGGCATCATGGGTGAAGATCTGACGAGGGCGTGTTTGGAACGTATCGGTGTGGTGGGCATCTCACTCATGGCGCTGCTCTCGGGCTTTGGATCCGTGTCGGCGCCCTGGCACACGTTTTCTCGCTCCGAGACCAGGCGGAGGCCATTGACTGAGGCCGACGTCAACCGCAAGCAAACAGGGCTGGACGCAACGAGCGAGATGCTGGCAACGAAACGACACCGTCTGCAGTATCTGGAGCGCAAGATTGGACAGGAGGCAGCTAAGAAGGGCAAGACTGGCGGTGGACTGGTCGGGATGGTCATGGGATCGATCCGCGGGGCGTCGGGTGAGGAGGCCGAGATTCAGACACTCAAGATGGAGATTGCCGGGCTCGAGGCCATGGAGGCCAATCTCTCGTCCAACTTGGTGCTGATGAAGAGCCAGCGCGCCGCCTCGGCCCGGGCTTCGACAGCTCTCGGCCGCATCCTGCTCGTGCCATCGTACATCTTCAGTGCCTACTGCGTGTACCGTATCCTAGCGACATCATTGACGACTCTCCGGAGAGCATCTTCTCCATCGGCAAGTTTTGCAAGCAGTGACCCCATCAATCGCTTCCTGGGACTCCTGGCCAGGCACTGGGACCCGAAGCTCGACCAGATGGCTTGGGCACGCATCATCAGCTTTGCGCTCAGCGGCGTCATCCTCGTGGCCAGCGCAAACAGCGCCATCCAGACGTTCCACCTGTTTGCCAAATGGACTCCCGGATTGCTACGGCACGCGCAGGCGAATCTCGCTCTGGCGGTCGGACAGGTGGCAGCGACATATGTCATCTCGGCGAGCCTGCTTCTCCGCAGCCAGCTCCCCAGCGAGGCGAGATCTGCCGTCGGGGGCGTCCTGAGGGGAGCGTTGACGCCGGCGTTTGTGGACGGCTGGTTTGAGGGCTGGTTTCTCCTGGGTAGCGTGGTGACGGGCGTGGGGATATTCGTTGGCGGCAAGATTGGGAGTGTGGGGGAGGCTGATTGGGATGATTATGGGATGGAGGAGATGGGGGCCAAGAGGTCGTGATGCTTGTTTTGTTTTGTTTTTTTTTCTTATGAGAGCTTTGACTGTTTGTTGTGTTTTTTATTTGTGTCATGTTGGCCTGGCGTTGAGAAGATTTCAGATGGGTAACTTGATTTAAATTTTTCGCTTCTTGGGAGGATTCTTATACTATTCCGACGATTTTTTTGCACCACACTTGCGACGGGACGCAGTGGTTGCAGTAAGCATCAAGTCATGCTTCTACTTCTTTTCTTTGTCCACCAATCTATCTATCTAGGTCTTTTTCAAAGAAACCAATTTCATCATTTCATCGTGAATCCCGCATTTCAAGTCAAGTCATCGTCGCTCACACAATCACGCCCAACTCCCTGCCCACTCTGAACGACTCCAGGACCGATCCCCAGACAGCCCTGCTCGTAAACTCCAGCACTCTCTCCTCCTCCTTCTTCTCCTCGCCAATTCCACTTCCATCTCCATTGTCAAACGGCGCCGCAGCTCTTCCCCGACGAACTTCCTCCTCCGTAAACCACCCCCACTCAACATGCTCCTCCGGATCAATCACAACCTGCCCCTCCGCCGTGGCAACGAAATTCATCTTGCCCCAAACATTCCTCGTCTCCAAAAACGTCGTCACGCGCACCACGTCTCCTTCCTGTCCTTGGCCAATCCTGACTTCAATGTCCGTCGCTTTTTCGTCTTCGGGCTGAATACCCCAGTTTTTCATCCGTGAAGCATCCTCGAGGTTTAATTCCCGAGCCATGGCTACCCACGTGTGGAAATGGGCGTTTGAAAGACGCGATTCTTCGTAGAGCTCGCGGGCTGCGGCGGAGAGCACGGAGGGGTCGGAGGGGTCGATGGAGCCGCCGGGGGGTTCCCATTTGAGGGGGTAGGAATCTGTGGGAGAGCGGCGGAGGAGGAGGATTTGCGGCTGGGATTTGTTTGGGGATGATTGAGATTTAGGTTGGCGGAGGACGAGGACGCTGGTCATGAGGTAGTCGATGGGGGGGTTGCTGGAGGCTGAGAGGGATTGAGGGGATTGAGTTGACAGGGGGGCGAGGGAGGGAGAGTGGGTGTAAGTGAAGGTTGTCATTGTGATTGACGTTGTATGAGATTGAAGCTGTTTCAGGTGCTAAAAAAATAATAACGATATTCAAGTTTGAGGTTGTAGTTGGTATAAGAATCAATCAAGATGGACCAAGAGACGAATCAAGACTCAAAGCAGAGTGGACAGGGTGCGCGATATAATATATCCGGCCTGACACACGGCAGGCAGCACTCGTCTCGAGCCGCCATCCAGGCACAAACATTTCCATCTCGCTGCCTGTCACAGGCAAACACAAAATCACAAACGAGTCACACCGTCAGATAAATAGAAACCCTTTTTTATTTTGCCTCGCCCTCTATCAAATAGACTCGCTTCAAAGCGGCTACATTCGGCCCATGCCATGTCTGTTCTTTTTGCTTTTCCTCTGCTCTGCTTTCCCCCCTGCCTCAGCTCCAGCCAAGGCGCATTTGCATCCATGCCCGCCAAATTCTCTCGACAGCCAGCATGGGCCTGTCCAGTTCAAGCTTTCGTTTCTTGCTCTCGCTTTCTCTGTTCCGGCCCGAGCAAACCCTTCAAAGTAACAAGGCGAAAATGAAAAAAGAACAAAGGCAAAGGCGAGAAAGCAAGCAACAACAAAGACAAAACTGCGCAGATAGATTCCCCGATTTTTATGTTCCCCAAAGAGTCCGCAGATGAATAGATAGAACCCGCCCTCCTCATCGACACTGCATAAAGCGTGAGCTGGTCATCATCATCGTCATCGAAAGCTGATCGTTCAAATCATCTCTCCCTCCTTTTCAATCAATCTGTTCTGTCCCGCATAAATGCATGTCATGAGATGGAAAAACAAAATTGCATCATTTTGACCGTTTCCTAACCCTCCCTGCCCCAATTTGTTGAAATAAAAAAAAAAGAAAAGAAAAAAGAGAAGAAAAAAGAAAAACGTTATTACGGCTCCATATGCCGAGCAACTGTCAACCAACGTTCACTGTATCCCGTCCAACCAAGTAGCAAGCAAACAAGCTTCCTCAAAGTCAAGCCAGCAAAGCATGGTAGGACAAAGAAGCGCTGTAACAGGCAACGCCATATGATGCTCGAGGGGCCAAAGATGAAAAAGAGAGAGAGAAATAGATAAACATCTTGTAGCGTCGGCACGGCATCATTTTGGCTGGCCGAAAAGTCGTGAGCCATATCCAAGCGGTTTGCGGCTGGAGACGGGCGAGATTGAAGGCTGCAGAAACGTCTTGCCCAGGAATCGGTAAAGTAATTTGGAAATCGGAAACAGTGTGCACACGATGTCAGGACCGGATCCGCTGGCAGATAATCTTGCGACGGCATCTCTAGTCATGAAAACCGAAAGGAAATGGACATCAATTTTTTACAATCGCTCTTTTGGGGTTCTTGCTTTGCTTTTGTCTTTTACACTCGTCCAGTTCGTCCCTTCTTGCCGACCGAGACGGTAGTCCAGCCGTCCTCATCAGCAGCCGGAGCCGGAGCGTCGCCCTCAGCCACGGGAGCAGCAGCCTGCTGGCCATTGGAACGAGGTGCCCGGTTTTCGTTGCGAGGTCCTCGGGGCGGGCCATCTCCACGGCCACCGCCACGGCCACCACGGAAGTTTCCACGGGAGAGTCGCTGTTCGTTGGAGGCTGATCTCCAGTTGCCAGACTCGGTAGCTCTTGATTTCTGTCCCTGGCTGAAATCCTTGGGCTGATCCCGAGTTCGGATAGGAACCTTTTGCTCCGACGCACCATTTTCCTTCACTTGCTCAGTCTTGGCCTCGTCCTCGGGCTTAGTTTCTGTCTCGGCGTCTGTCTTTGCCTCAGCCTGGGCCTCGGCAGCCTCAGCAGCCTGCTTGGCTTCAGCCTCGGCGTCGGCCTCAGCCTTGGCGGCGGCGGCTTCCTTGGCCAGGCGCTTCTCTTCCTTGGCCTTTTCGTCTGCTTCTCGCTTCTCTTGGATAGCCTGCAGTCGCTTCTCTTCAATCTCCTTCTCCCTTGCCGCGGTGTCGATGGGGCGGGCAGCACCAAAGGGGCTGGCCTTGGAATCTGCGGCGGCAGAAGAGGTATCAGCAACCTCCGAAACGGTTCGCTTCTGAAGGTTCAGACGCGGACGGCCGCCGGGGGCTTGGGCCGGGGGTGCGGCTCCAGGAGAGGCCGGAGTCTCAGCTGGGGGTGCGTTGGCAGCATCCGGACGCATGCGGTCGCGCCATTGGAAGTCCTTCTCAGCGGCGGTAGGAGTGCGCTCCGGGCGTTCAGGTCGCTCAGGCCGCTCGTTGTATTGCCGAGGAGGACGGGCACCCTCTTGTCGTCCCTCTCCCCAGGTTGCGGGGTCTCGGCGGTTTCCGCGGTACGACTCGCTGCGCTCTCCCATACCCTCTTGAGGTCCACGCACACGGCTGCTTTCACGGGATCCGGATTCCTGGGGGGCCAGGGGAGACAGAGGTCCGCGTCGCTCCCATGTCATCTCACGAGTAGAACGGCCGTCAGAGGCGGGATCGCGAGGGGGGCGGCGCTCACCAAAGTCGGATCGGGGACCCCTTGATGAAGGAAGATCGGGGAGAGGGCCCTTGCGGGTCCACTCGCTCAAGTCTCGGGCAGATTCACCACGACCCTCACGGCCTTCGCCACCACGAGCTGCATGAATAATTAGTATACAGAGTTTGGCCCATTATATCATACTATGATGGGAAGACACATACGAGGATCGGCCACCTTGATTTTGATCATACGGCCCTCAAACGACTGCCCATCAAGGGTCAGGGCCTTCTTCAGGCCGTCAAGGTTGCCGAATTCGACATATCCAAAGCCCTTGGGGCGCTGCAGCTCGCGGTCCTCGATAATTCGAACGCTGACAACGTCGCAGTCGGCAAAGAAGTCGGTCACAGACTCGCTGGTGGCGTCATATGACAAGTTGCCCAGGTGGGCGGTAAACGGAGGCTTCTCGGGAAGCTTGGCGGGGACGGACTCGCGGACAGAGTAGCCTGGGAGTTGTTATTTATAAGCAACGAGCAGCCAGTGGTCATAATGTAAAGAATGCTTACCTCGGTCCTGCCACGAAGACGCAGCACTGGGGCGGCTATCTCGAGCCGGAGGGAGAGCTTGGGTACCTGTGGCATTGGGTCAACATCATGTTGTCATCCGCATCTATAACCCAGCGTATGCCAATATTATCTTTTATTCTTTTATTTTGTTCGTCTTCTTTTCCTCCTCTTTTGCTTTTTTTTTTTCGGGGTAGATCGCTTTTAGATATTATGCACTTACCAGAAACTATCAACAGATTAGCAGGGGTCCAAACGACAACAATTCACCAAGCAAGAGCAACATACCATAGGTTTCCTCAACCTCATCAGCCCAGGAGCCTCCACCAAAACCTGCGCCAAGAGTCAGCATGTTGGCGGTCCGGAATTTTTTATTCTAGTGTCGGCGCGGGGTGTCGATGCGACCCCCCAAAATCTGTGGCGGTCGACGAGGGCATCAAGGGAGGGGTGACGGCGGCACCAACCTGAATCAGCCAGAAAGTCCCCAAGGGACATTTTCTGCTGTTCCTTCTTCTTAGGAGCTATTGAGCAGCATCAGCAGGACATTCTCGACCCTCCAGCACAGCCAGATTCGGTGACATACCCATGATTGCGGTTGATAAGGGCGAGCTCGCGCAAGGATATCAGCAGCCGATGCGCAAAAGGGCAGATGCTGGGCTGCGGCGATGGAGAAAAAGGCGGTGGCCGAGAGAATCGACAAGAGCAGCCAATGAAGGGACCAGATTGGCTACGAGTCGGTCGGATGTGCGAGTACGAGTCCCAGATGCCGGGTCTGGGGTTGGCGAGGTGAAATTTGCTCGTCGAGGAAAAAAAAGATGCGGCGTCGTGAGAGGGCTGGCTGCCTTTTCCATTTCCAATTTTCGCCCGCCCAAGAGTGGGAGGCGCTAGGCCGTGTTGGGCTTGGCCCGGCGACATTGCCGATACCTGCTGTACCTAGCCTCCAAGCGTCTGCAGTGGCTGCGGTGCCTGCACATCGCTGGTATCTCTAAGTCACTGCCAGTAGCCGCCGACCCGTTTTGTGCATATCATATCCACCGCCGGCGAGAGCCCCACCATGCCAGGCGAGGAATTAAATGTTCACAGGTACCTACATTCCTTGGGATTGACTGACCTCCATCAACACTGGCGAGTCTATATCTTCATATTGTATACATTTATTTTATAATATTTTCTATTATATGTTGGCACTCTATTTGCCCATAATCTTCCCTTTTATTGCGTCTTATCATACTCGTTCAGCACTGAAAGAAACCGAACGTGGGGTTTCGAAAAAATCCATCATGAGCGATAAGCCGGAGCCTTCCTCCGGCGCCATGCAGCCGCAGCAGAATAAGAAACGAGGCATCTTGCCGCCAGAGATTATAGATCTCATGGTGGCTCCAGTCAAAGTTGGCACTTGGACCGGTGAGATTCCCCTTCTTCACTCATGACAAACTATATCTTTGGCTCTGACATATACAAGGTGCTGCCGGAGTACTAGCCGGCGTTGCTGGTGCTATTGCTCGGGACACTAGCCCTGTGGCCAGCGGTGCTGTAACTGGGTTTCAATGGTTTGCCCTGGGAGGTAGCTTCTGGTGTGAGTTTACCTTACCACTGACGATGCTTTTGCCTGTAATCACTATTAACCCCATCAAGTCACTAGATCTGTAGCCGTCAGGGCAATGGGAGGCGACGAGCAGGTGAGGCCAGTCGATAAGACAATAGCGAGCACCATAGGCGGCTCAGCTGCCGGAGCAGTGGCCGGACTGATCCGTGAGTATCCGTAACAAGCTTCTGCTAGCATCAGCGCTTGTCAACTAACTTTTGAGAAAGGGGGCCCAGGCAAGATTGTGCCCGCCATGGCAATGTGGGGAGTGTTGGGAGCAGGCGGACAGATTGTTGCCAATGGCTTGAGCAACAGAAAACCAAAAGTCAAGGACGAAAATGACAGCTGGTTTCGGTCAAAATGGAGCCCATTGAAGAAACTCACAGACCAGGAGTACATCGACATGATGGAAGAGAAAATTCTGAGAGTCGACGTGGACATTGCCCTCATTGACGACCGGATCGCCGAATTAAAGGCTATCGATCAGAAAGATAAGGACGAGAAGAGGGTGTAATTATTCCAAGGTTTTCTTTATTTTGTTGTCATGGTTGGTATGGTTGATATCCCTTTTTTTCATGTATATTATTACTGCAACGACTTATTTGGATCGGCATCCACGCAGCATATGATTGTACGATTATCTACTATTAAACGAAATGCTTTCTTTACGAAGTGTTCATTACGCTGCAATAGGAAAAGCATGAAACTCGTATTCGAAAGATCGTACTCAACAATTGTAGCATTTTATGACCAGTTACAGAAACACAATTAGAGTTTGTAGGTTAACACGGAAGATAATCTTGTTCCTGTGCTTATGTCATCAAGGAGGTAGCCATTGTCCAATCAACGACTATCATGAAAGGAACGAGATGCCGTCTGTACAAGATATCGCACCCGATCTAGCCCTAAATAAGGCAGCTCAACAAGCCAAGAATAACACTATTTGTTGCCAAGGCATTGGAACTGGCTTGATACCGCGTGGCGGCTTGCGTGTCATTCCTCGCAGTGAATAATCTTCAGCTTGGTGGGAGAGGCCAAGCATCTGGGGGATTCCTTGCAGATCCGCTGGGGTGGTCCGTGAGGCCGTTAGCACCGTTAGCACCGTCTGCAATCTCGTGGCACTGCGGCTGTTACCGCCTGAATCGTGGTTAGTATGGAGGGGAGCAGTAGGAATATTCCAAGGGGAGATTGACAGGTCGAGACGATACGGGGCTGGCGAGGCGAAGACTAAATTTCCGCGATGATGTATTAAATTGGTAATATCAAAAAGGTATCGGTTGATTCAACGCGCCCTTTTGTAGTGCATTGACACCTCCTTTTAGGAGGATTGATTAATAAGGAACATGGCGCGTGTACACGGAGATATCGTGCACATACTCGTACATAAGATGCAAGCAACTGTAGATCTGTACGGGGTACTCCTTATTGCTTGCTCCGCTGCTGCTCCATAGCTGGGGATAGCCTTAATCCCGCGACTTACGACGACTTTACTGCTGTCTTTTATTTCTTATCTAGGTATGCTTAGTGAGAGGGAGAGAGCGTCGTCTGGTAGGAATGCGTGGCATATGATATGGAGGCAGCCACGGCTTAATACTAGGTACCTTACCGAGATACCAGGTGCTGTTATCAATTGATGCTGCCACTATCTGGCAGTAAAAAATACGAATGCCACCGCCTCTCTCTTACCGTATTTAGGCCATTCTTAGACACACACAGAGAGAGCTTCGAGGTCTAAAAATCGGTCTCGTCTCGTCTCGTCTCGTCTCCAAGTTCCGGTGTTAGCGGCCCTGCTAGGCGCGGCATCGCGATAACAATGTCACGGCACCCGAAGACCGTTCCAGCTAGCCCAAAAACCAACCTAATGGAAAAGTATAGGTGCAGTACAGGGCACATGCTTTTGAGGTACCTGGCACCAATCCCACGCTCGAGTTTTGGCTGCACGATAGCGAACTGCATCCAGTAAGTCGGCACACGATTGAACACCTGATGCGCAGTCGTAATCTAGAATACGGGGCGTGCACAGGGCCTTTTATGGAACACGGTGGCTTCTGGATTCCTGGCCTCGACTCTGCGAGAAAATTTGCATCCCCCGACTGTCCCTATTGCCCCTTTTCGCGCCATTCCAGCCTGGACCCGGTACGTTGGGATTCCGTGACGCCAGACACGGCAGCCAAGTACTCGGTACCTCCACTGCCACCTGCGAGCCCATCTGCCGCATCGGCTCCGCTACCTACATGTACCTGTGCTTTCCTCCGTCCATTCGCCAGACCAGCTTCTCAACCGCCAGCTTACAGCACCGCACAGCACAGTACTTGCGACTCGCAAACCTCCGTCCTGACTGTTCGTGTGACGCGGGTCGCAGACGTGATCCGGACTGCTTGCGGCACTCTTCGCTCCGATCCTGCTAGCCGGCCCGGGAAGCCCTGCTGCTCGACCCAGGCGCATCACAGGAGCTGTTCCGGCGTCCCGATAGTCCAGGTCCCCCTACCTGGTCCGATTCGGGGCCCCTCCCTCGTCGAATCTCCCAGCTTCCATTTTCCTTCTTTTCTTCCCACTGTCATGTCGCGTCCTTCTTCTGTTTGTTCCCACTGATTGCCTGTTTGCTCTGCGAGAGAATGGTCTCTCTGCTACCGGCGTCCTGTAAGTACCATTGGAGCTTCGCCTCGTGGCACACCGTCTAACCCCCCGACAGCTAGGTAATTGATTGCGCGCCGCTGCAAACATGGCGCTTCTCAGTCCGACCTTCGCCCTCGGTGTCTTCGTCCTGCTCTACCTCTCCTCCTTCGTCCTCTTCGCCGTCCTTCGAATCGTCACCGGCATATCGATCCAGCGGATAGGCTACTTCTCCCTCCGACGCCTTGCATATTCACCCAGAGATGGAATCAGGATCGAGATTCGCGGCCTGGGGCTGAACATTCATCGCCCGACTTTTGCGCAGCCCACCTGGCTGAGCATCGTCCTCAGTGACCTGACTGTGACCGCAGATATTAAGAAACTCGAAGAGCGGAAACCTGCCAGGAACGGGACGCCACCGAATGGGGATCGAAAGACAGATAATGGGGAGGAGGAAGAAGAAGAAGAAGAAGAAGAAGTAGACCCGCTACTAGATTTGCCCCCTCCAGCTCAAGCCAATGCTGGATCCGAGGCCGAGACATGGTCGCGCCTCCATAAGCTCAAAGAAAAGGTGAAGAAACTGCACCACAGCGTGAAATGGCTGCGCTTGGTGGATGTCGTTGTGACCAACTCGGTCATCAACGTGGTCGATGTCGGCAGCCTTCAGGTTGGCAGCTTGACGCTTGCCGTGGATACGAGACACAAAATGGCCGATCGAGCTCGATTCTTCTTCCACCGATCTGAATCTTCAAAAGAAAACGCAGAGGCCGAATGGATATTGACCGTCCGGAGTGTCTTCTTCGCCGTTGACGGCAAGGAGTCCCTCCAGATTCTCGACCATGCCTTGCTAAACGTGCACGGATATTTGTATCCGTCGCAGGAGGGCCTCCGAGATGCGACGGTTGCTTTGAAGCTTGGCAGAGTCCAGATTCCGTACGACGAGCTGCACCACTGTGCAACCAAGTTCAAGTTGTCTCGCAAAAAGCCAAAGGTTGTCAACTTGGAGGATCCAGTGGATATTTTCGTTAGTAAAGTGCAAGATGGAACCGCTAGCAGCGCAAACGAGCACTTGATGAAAACCGTTTCAGACTCAAAGGAATTCTTCAGCTCCATCTTGCGAGGTATCAAGGAGGTTCAGTTTGCTGTTAGCTTCGTTGGTCTCATCAAAAAGGTTGAGTCTGTCAAGGCTTGTGCGAAACCCGTGCACCTCACTGCTTCCATGAAGGAAGTTGGCATCGATCTTCATCGCCTTGATCCAAAGTCACCCGCACATCGCATGTACTTCCCGTCCACAGACATTGCACACGAAGCGCTGGTGGCCGCCCTCTCCATCTCGGTTGGCATGGATGATGGCCTCGGCAAGCCGCAGCGAATCGTATACATCCCCATGGCTACCACGACCGTCAGAACTACGTTGCCTTCCAAGACCATCCAGCTGTCTCAGGTGGATAGCTTTGAGGATAAGAATGCCAATATCCTGTTCGCCAACTCTGTGGTCACTTCGCCATCCATCGATCTTGATCCAAGACACCTGCCTCTCTTGATAGCAATGATGCGATCTAAACCAAAGCCTCCAAAGACGGAACAAAGGCAACAGCAGAAATATCTGTTTTCCCGACTGCTCCCGAAGGCGAGTATTAAGTTTACTATGCACGAGCCTGTTCTCCGCATCAAGCTCAAGCCTCTTGGCAAGACAGAGGATCCAGATGATTACGGTCTCATCATTTCATCCATCTCATCCGTTGCCCTTGATGTCGAATCATCTCATTCGCCCCTTGAAGACCTGCACTATTCTCTGGATGGAGCTATGCGGCTGCAATCTCACCACCTGTACTACCAAGCTGTATCTGGCGAGAGGTTTGACTTGATAACAACCGAGTCTTTCGACCTCAAAGTCCACTTGGCAGCCAATCCCGAAGTTTCTGTTGACGCGACGAGCAATGTCCAATCATTTTCAGTTAGCATGGTACGGCCGGAAATCACAGATGGCGTTCGTCAGATCGTGCGCCAACTCCGTACCGATGTTGAGCCAACGAAGAGGGCTAAGCCCAAGTCAAGACGGCATGCCAACTTCCTGAGATCGCTTCCTGAATGGCTTTTCCGTTATCAAGTCACCGCGAATGATGTCAACATTGAGATCGCTGGCGTGGATGAAGGTATTTCGGATGATAGCAAAGGCATTTCCCTACACCTTGACGGCATGTCGGCGGAGTATCGTGCTCAAAGATTGGATGGCTTGCAGAGAAAGATGCTCAGAAGACGAACTCACAGCCGATCTCTCACTCAGTCAGACTCGGATTTCGCGTCCACGAGTCCAACAAGAGCGAGAAAGAAGCCGCAGACCATCGGCGACGGCCGTCGTCTGGTGTTCAATGCCAGAGGTATTGAGGCTCAAATCATCGAGACTGCCGACCAGCTTGAGCTGGAGCCCTTCATTAACGTGCCTCGCCTTGAATTTTCGCTCTCTGCGTCAAGCGATAATCATGGCCCATTGTTTCATATCCAGTCCTCGATCCGTTCCATCACGGTTCAGTATTCACTCTACCGGCACTATGCTGTTGGTGTTGCAATGAATACTCTGAGAAAAGCCTTTATGAAAACCAGTGGTGACGCGCCAAAGGCTTCACAGCAAGGTCTACCAAAGTCAGATCTCCTTGTCCCTCCCAACGCCTCTGGATTTTCTCCTGCCGATTCAGCCTCCACCATCATGGACTCCGTAGTCATTGACGTGAAAGTCGCTTTAATCCAGGTGAAGGCGGAGATGCCACATGACCCAATGATAATGCTACACATCTATAGTTTGGACGCCGGACGTCAGAGATGGTCCACGCCATATTTTGCGTCCAAGCTAATTCGCCTGTACGTTGCATCTCCACGTATGCGCAATATATGGTCGCGGATGGTTAGCATTAAATCTGGGCGCCTTGATCTTCGAGAATCCAAGCACAAATCGAACCAAGGGGACTATACAGAGGAGAAGCTCATCGACGTATCGACTGAAGCAATCCGGATTGGTATTCCTCACGAGGTCATCGTTCACCGTATTACCGATAACATTATCAATGTGATCAAGGCAGTGCAACAGCTGCAGCACCGCTTCAAAACCGGGACAAACGAGTACATCTTGGAGAAGCATCCTGAAGGACCCAAATCCGTTCCAAAAGTATCCATTCGCTCGCGAAATTTCCTTTTCGAGATGGAGGACGGTGCATTCGAATGGAAACTAGGCATGATTTACCGGGCAGGGCGGATGGAACAGATACAGAGATCTACCAGAGAAGAGGCGTTCCGTGTCAAGCTAAATCGCGTGCGGGAAGAGGAACTGAAACGGGGTAACAATGGCAAAAATCGGTCTCGATCTGCTTTTCCACGTGGAAGGACTGAGAATTCCTCATCTGCGTGGTTCCGGAGTCGAAGCTCCGACCCAACGAAGCAAGACGTGCGGGGCCGTGAGAGTCGACACAGCAGTACCTTGCCGAGATATGACCCTGATAGCGAAACCCTAGGCATCAACGGAAATTCAAAAGTTTCGGTGGAGGAGGCGCGCCTCCATTTAGACATGTTCAATGCTCAGTCGTGGAAAAAGAGGATTGACCGGGCCTATCAGGTGTCTCGAGATGGTGTCAAAGAGCTGCGCGGCCTATTCTGGGGCCAGAACGAGGTACCGAGCGACGTCGAGGAGACGGAAAACATCTTGGAGGTCGCTCCCAGACCAGCGTTGATGGCCACTTTCATATCCAACCTCCACATTGCCGTTGATAAGCCGACGTTCCCTCTCAAAGATCTCCCTGATTTCATTTACAAAGTCGGCAAAGGCATGCCCAAGGATATGAAATACAGCCTCTTGGTGCCTATGCACATCTCCATCGATATGGGAGAAGCCCGCTGCTCGCTACGCGACTACCCTCTGCCGCTGCTGCACATCCCGGGACTGAAACCTGGGCAGTCATCTAGGCTGCAGGCTGTCTCTTTGAGAACAAACTTTGTGTTAGCCGAGGAGTTCAGAGGGCTGGAATCGTCACGACGAGTTCCGGTGAATATCATCCCCCCCAAGAGCACAGATCCCGATGCATCCAAGGAAGGATGCTTTGCTATTGAAGTGAGGCGAACCATTGGCCCTGTCAAATCCTTCTCGGATGTCTACATGGATATCAACACAGCTCTTCCCACACGAATTACGTGGGGTCCCTGCTACCAGCCGGCAATTCAGGATATGATGATGGTCGTTGAATCTTTCACCAAGCCGCAGATTGATCCGTCTGAACGGGTTGGGTTTTGGGATAAACTTCGACTTAATTTCCATTCCCGTATCCATGTTGCTTGGAAAGAGGACGGTGATATGCATTTTGCAATGAAGGGCACACGGGATCCATACCAAGTTACTGGGCATGGCGCAGGCTTCATCATGTGCTGGCGAAACGACATTAGATGGAATATTAATGCAGAGGATAACCCGAAGAAGTTTATGACGGTGGACAGTGGCGAATACATTCTTGCCATTCCAGACTACAGTATGCAGGTACGGGAAGCCGCCCGGCTCCGGGATGATGATAGTAGTCGACTTGCGGATGACCATTTAAGATGCGGTCCGGCTCAATTTAAGAAAGTCGTCATGAAGCTATCCGGAAGAGTGCAATGGCTAGCTGGTCTCGTATTTGAGCGCGCAATCGAGGATGGCAAACGAAGCTTTGACTTCAAACCTCACTACGAGGTCGTTCTCAAGAATCCACTCTTTGCTAAGCCCGAGGCGAACGGACTGCCGTATGATGCCATGCGCGGGTTCAGGAGTCGTCACATTCACTTGTCAATTGCGGTCCGCGCGCCGGCTGACCGCGAATGGATGTCGCAGAGCCTTGAACCTTCGCGTAGTTATAACACGATCCATCTTACTCCTCGCTTCTTCACGCACTTCTTCGCCTGGTGGGGGCTCTTTAGCGGACCCATGTCGCTTCCCATTCGGCAAGGCAGCCTATTTCCTGGGAGAGAAAAGAATAGCAAGAAATTTGGGAGACACTTGGCGACTGTCAAGTATAATCTCCTGTTTGCTCCGTTGTTCCTGAGTCACATCTACAAACACAAAGACGCCGAGGACTACTCTGAAAACGCTGTCTCTGCCACTGGCCTGAAAGTTCGATTCGACAGCTTCATGCTTGATCTTCATCAACGCCGAGAAGAGTTCGACACCATTGCCAAGACCAAGAATTCGCCCAGTCGAATCACGGGAATGAAGCTCCATGCAGCACACTTGGACTTGGCGTGCGCGGATATTCGAGCCGTTTCTGCTAGTTTGTATGGCACTACAACAGAGGCAATCAAAAAAGGATCCATTTCGCATCTCACCCTCGATCAGGATGAGAAGCCGGATGTATCTCGCTTTACTATTCCTGATGGAGACTACAGCTGGATTGATATGGATGATTTCGTTGAGTTAGATTGGATTCTGCCCACCGAAGCTCATCCAGAGACCAAGATTCTGCCGCTTGCTTATATCCCTCGATTAACTTACTTCCGTCAGACCGATATTGGGGGTATTATTGCTGGAGACCCTACGAGAACAAGCCCATTCGGGAATGAGCCTACGCATTTCTGTATCATGAGCGAAGAAAACGATCCAAAGAGTGTGCAAGCACACTTGATCAGAGAGCGCTTAGAACAACTCGATGAGCAGATCCGAGCACACATCCGACAGGTTGGTGAGGCTGAGCTGAAAGTGATACGCACCGATTCCAAGGACCAAGAGATTCTAGAGGATTTCGATACCCTTCGCCAACATTCCAATGTACTTCGGGACAAGAGAGCCTTCCTTGAAACTATGCTAGAGAGGATGAACGCAGGAGTATCGACTAACGGCCATGCATCAAGCGGATCAGCGAGTACGCATCAATCTAATGGATCCGTAGATGCACCGAGCGAACACATGGACATGCCCTCGATCCCCTCCAACGTGGAATTTGAAAGCGAATTTGAGAACCGTTTCGTGATTCACAATATGCAACTAAAATGGAACAATCTGTTGCGCAACATTGTGCTGCGATATGTCCACCAGAGCAGCCAACGGCGTGGTTTTATATACTACCTATCCAGACCAGCAGTTAAATTCATCTTGGACATGGTAGACGAGCAGACCAAGGCTAGAATGGGGAATGTTGTGAATTCAGAGCCGGTATCAGCGGCCAATGGCACTCCCACGTCTCCGGCTACTCCATCTGTAGAAAAGGACGCTGCGAGAGACCTCGAAGACCGAATCAAGGGCATTTTAGAAGGTCGGAAATTCTCGACAAGCACAGGTTTTGCACTCAATAACAATGGCGTTGTGGAAGGCTCCATCGAAGATTTGGAGAGTGGCATATCCGATGAATTCAACCCACAATGCAGTTATCATGTCCGACTTATTGCTCCGCAAATCCAGCTGCAGAGTGAAAAGAACAAGAAGCACGTTGTCTTGGTTACTTCAAAGGGAATGGAACTGAAAGTGGTGGAAGTCATGGACAAATCGAGAATCGCGGACCAGGTCAGCGGTCTCGTTCAACGCCGTTTCTTGGTCAACATGGACAGTACCCAGTTCTTCGTCACTCATCAGAAATGGTTCCTCACCAACCTGGTATCCATGTATGCGGGCAGCAAATACGGCACGCCTACGGGTTCCTCATGGCCACCTTGGGTACCTATGGAGGTCATGTTTGACTTCCGTACCGACCCATTCGGCTTCAAGCGCGTCGTGCAGAAAACCTCAGCCATGCTTCGCTACGACAAGTACAACAATCTCCGTCTCAAGTATAACGACGAAGTCAATGGTGAATGCACAGACGAATCCACCCAAGAGCCTACGGAGAAACGTGTGGATAACCTTTGGGTGGAATTCCCGCAAGCTCGTGCTCTCTGTAACTCATCGCAGTATTACGCCATGTATGTCATCGTGCTTGATCTGCTCATGTACAGCGAGCCCCTCGAAAAGACGAGGAATGAGCGCTTGGAGAAAATTATTCTCGGGTCTGACTTTAGTGATCTGAGCGGTATTCCAGAGATGGTGATGAAACTGCAGGATCGCATCAGGCAAATGGAAGAAATCAAGGCTCATTTCCAAATTTACTCGCAGTTTTTGGACAAGAAAGGATGGGAAGATCGCTTGGCCCTGGAGCGTGACCTGGCCGCTTCCGAGGATGAACTTTTCTTCATGATGAAAGCCATCATGAGTTCGCAGAGGAGGCTTGAAAAGAACAACACTCGCTCTAACGCGTTGTTGAAATGGAGCATTTCCGTTCGGGATATTGTCTGGCACCTTATGCAGGATTCAAATGAGCCGCTGGTTGAACTTCAACTTAAGAATTTAGAGTACGACCGCACCGACCACTCGGATGGTTCCCACATGAATCTGGTTCGTGTTGGTAAGTTGCTTGGCCTGAACCTTTTACAGGACGCAACATATCCGGAGATAATAACTCCATATCATGACGGCGAGAGGCCAGGCACTCGATATGGTGATGGCGATTCCGACATGATTCGGGTCTACTGGTACATGTTAGAGGCCATAGCAGGTATCCCCGTTATGGAACAGTTCGAGATCGAGCTATTTCCCATAAAGATTCAGCTGGAGCGCGAGGTTGGCAAACGGCTGTTCGAATACATCTTCCCCGGTATGGACGTGGATCAGGTGGAAGAAGAGTCCAAGACAACCCCTTCGATTGTTGTTCGGCGCGACTCGAACGAGGCAGATGAAGAAGGCAACGAGTCCCCCAAGAGCACAATAAGCAGGACCGGCACGCCCGGCACGCCAGGGCTGGATGCTTCATTCTCAACCCGCCCAGGATCGCTCGAGTTGCGTCTTAAGCCCACGTTGTCATCTGGCGTCGCAGAAGAAAAGCCCTCGAAGAAGAATCTAGGCGTTAACAACGGCGAGGGCGGCGGCCATTCGTTCAGACTTTTCCGTTCTGGCACCTCGCGAACACTGGGGAAGAAAGCTTCGATTGAGTCTATGCGACCACTGACGGCCACTCCACGACCTGGTGCTATTGGTCGGTCTTCAACTGGATTCTCGTCAAGAGACAGCCGAGATTCGGATTCAAAGAAGTCGTCACGTTTCGGCTTACGAAGTAGGCACAACACCGACGACAAGCAAATGTCTGATGATCTCACCAAGATGATTGAACGAGCAAACAACTACATAACGTTTGCGCATATCAAGATACCGTCCGTTGTGATGTGTCTCAGCTATAAGGGCAAAGACCAGCGCAACTTTGAAGATGTTCACAACTTTGTGTTCCGCCTTCCTCTCATTGAGTGGCAGAATAAGACTTGGTCAAACCTAGACCTCGCTTTGGCGCTGAAGAAGGCTGTCGTGAGAGCTCTTATTTCGCACACGGGCGCCATTATTGGAAACAAGTTCTCCAAGCACAAGCCTAACGCGGGAGAGCGGAATAGACTGAGAGAGCTTGCCAGCAGCTCTGTCCTTATTTCTTCTCCAATGTCTTCTAGCCTGTCTCAGAATTACACGCCCAGCATACACGACAGCGATGACTCGGCGAGTATGTATGGTACGTCGCCTGTAGACTTCTCACGCTCGCCTCCACGGTCTACTCGCAGCAGCATTCGCAGTGGAATTCCGGCTCCTCGATCTGCAAGTCGTAGCAGTAGCATTGCCAGCAGCAGGTCTCATTTGACAGGCGGCTCTGCTCCAAATCTTCCCCAGGTCCCAGCATACCTGACAATGACGCCCCCAACGCCAGTTGACGCTCACGGTAGAGGTGATGGCCATAGCAGCCTGGCCATTGAACTTCTCCGGCCATCCTCCAGCCAGGGACTAGGGTCACATCGCAATGCTCTTAGGACCTTATCAGGCGGCAGCGAATCAAGACCCTCTACCAGCGCTGGACATCTCGACACGGCTGACCGCAAAAAGACCGGTCCCACCAGTGTCAGCACCGGAGGCTTTGGTCTGAGGGATAAACTTACTGCTCTTACACAGAGGATGAGCCACCGAGACACAGGTATAGTGAGGACCGAAGAGCCCGAGGAAATGAATGACGAAGAAGCCGCTGCTTCTCCAACGGCTGCGGAACACATGCACGAAGGGGCACTGAGGAACAAGAGGCTAAGCTGGTCTCAGTCACGATCCAAGACGACTGGTTGAATGACCTTACTACGGCATATTTGCACCCCCCATCTACTGTTTTATTTTTGCTTTGTTCAAAGCACGTTACAGATGTAATTTTAATACCAAGGGCCACGCCGCTATACTTCTGGGGTGTGCATATACTCAGCCTGGGAAACAGAACCTGCTGCCCACATATTCGTGCAGCGCTCTTCTGTTACGGTTTTGTTTTTTCTGCTTTTTGTCAAAACACAAAATTGGTGTTGGTGTCGGAGCATATCAAATGGGGGGCCGGGGCGAAAAGGCTCTATGGGTTACAGAAAAAGAAGGGAGGAAAGAGATGGGTGGGATCAGCGTTTTATGTTATTTTTTAGTTGTTTAATTGTTGATTGCTTGTTTAATGGCGTATGAAAGTGGTTGGACTGGTGAAGCGTGTGTTTAGTGTACATATATATAAATATATATATATATGGTATATATGTGTGTGAGGTTGATGATTGTGCGTTGAGTAGACACTTGAATTATTTTAGTAATTGTGACATATGGCATTGTTTACTTCTAATTGAGATGATTGCTGTTCATAACAATCTCTGGGGACACGTTTATAAACAATGCTGATCTCATCCGATGCTAATCTTGCTGGTCAATTTGCCTTTATGCTTAAGCCTTGGCTTGCCTGTTCCTGTTTTTACTTCATCGGGTTGGCAGCCATATCTGGTCGTGATATACGCCAGATTCAGCCAGTTGGATGCTTAGTTTCCAAAACAACTGCAAACGGAAAGGCTGGAATAGACAGTGCGTACTCCGTACGTGGCAAGATGTGAACGATGGGCAGATGAGTGGTGTGACATCGCCACACGCTAAAACTCGGACTATATATTATCATGATGGTTGATTAACGTCATGACCGTTCTCTCTCCAGCTTCTTCAGTGATCTGTATATATCAACGAGATCAATTCTCAAATACACTAGCAAAATCGCAATTGTCACACGTAACAGGCTGAATCAACCCGACTCGGCATTCGCATTGAACTCAAGCGCCGGCTATATCGAAAATGAATTCAGAAACGCCCGACAAAGCTTCGCTCAATCTCTTGCCTAAAGAAGACACTGTGCTTTCGAGCGCAGCCTCAGTGACGCAGGTAGCCTCCTAGAGCATCTTACTATGGATAAATGGTTTTTTTTGGCTAAGTGAAACAGGACTTTAAGCCGGTGAAGAATATATGCGCCCATCTTAATGCGTTCCACGCTTATGCCAATGATCCTGTGCGATTCGTAGAAACAAACCACTACTGCAGTCAATTGGGTGCGTAGTAGACTCGGAGTCAGTTGGATGAGTGAGGATATATCTACATGTACGCATACTGACTATTGTTAGATGATGATGTTCGTCAATGTGTGCTATACGACTCCTCGGAACCCAATGCGCGAATCATTGGCATAGAGTACATGATCACGCCGAGTCGTTATGAAGCACTCCCAGCTGATGAGCGCCGCCTGTGGCACTCCCACGTCTACGAGGTGAAATCCGGAATGCTCGTGATGCCGAACCGCATGGTACCGCAAGCAGCGTGGGAAATGGCGGAGAAGAAGGAGATGGAGAAGATTATCACGCTGTACGGGAAGACGTATCATTTGTGGCAGACGGACAGAGGCGACGAGCTACCTCTTGGGGAGCCGCAGCTGATGATGAGTTATACTCATGATGGGCATATGGACTTTGATAAGGTGGAGGAGCGGGATAGACGGTTTGGGACGGATTATAAGGAGAAGAGGGAGGCGAGGAAGGATATTCCTTCTCCGAAGATTCATGAAGGTGAGATTTTGTTGGATGCAAGTGGGATTTGAGCTTGGTTTGACTGACTGTGACTAGATGCCGATTCTTGCTGGAGGAAGCATGCAAGCTAATCGGGAAACCGCTGCGCTTTTGCTTGGGTGTGGATCAGCATGTAAGGAATTATTATATGAAGTGTTGCAATGTTGGGATAATGGATGAACTTGGGCACCACGAAATTATGAATGGAAACCTCAGTCTGTGGCTATCGTCAGAAATTCAGGATCATATCACTTTCCGTTATGTCATCGGATTCCGGTAATAGCTGACAGATGACAAAATTCGACCTTGGCGAACATTTGTAATAGTCGGCTGCACCTAAACACGGGCGCTTTAGCATTAAACTGTCCGACATATGAATGGAATCTCTGTTTCATGTCATCAGGGTAACTATGATCATCATAGTGGTATAGCGATGAGGGATCGCGTATAAATGAACTATCGTCCCAAGATTGCCATCATCATTTACAAGGATTAGTGAGATCATTCAGTATGTCATTGAGCCTAGAACACTAGAAGCTGTACTTTTTTTGCTGATTGAATGCCGATCGAGTGGGCACTAAATCTCCATGCCCATCGCGAGATGCTACGGATGCATCGGTCTGTTCTTGTTTTACAAAGTGTATATATGGCCTAGCACAATCCTGTATAGGCAACAGACAGATCAATAGTGTAGACGGGGGCTGTCGGTTATGCCCCCCGCCCCTCCCTTAATGATTATATTTTTATTGAACAGCCTATAATTTGAAGCCAAGGACGAATGCTTCCTTCGCAACATGGCAGCATCGACGATATACATACAGCAGAACCTGAAGATAACAACTTGATATATGTTATACGCTACTGTCTATGAAGTTGATCCTTACAAATAGTCACCGGCTTCAGATGTACTTTTAGGTATGTGGAACCCCACATTTTCTTCACCAAATATATTCTGACAATAATCCAGAAAAGAAAGACTATAGAGAGTCTCATATAAGGTATAGAACTATAGCATATAGCACGACGCGTCGGTACACAAAGCAATATAGTAAAGCTTCTAGACCATATAGAATCATTGGTGGATAAAAAAGTATGGCGTTGTGTGATGTTGCAGCTACCATGATGAACCATTATATATTGAATAAAAAAAAAATCACCCAGCATAATATGCTTGATCATTGAGACAGCTGAATGTTTCGGGTCAGAGTGTTAGAGCGCAATCGGCTTATGACTCTTTCTTAACAAGCTGAGCTGCTACCTTTAGTGCTTCACTCTGCACTTCATCTAACGGCGGTACTACACTAATTATCGTAGCATCGTACTCATTGATCCTCGGGCGCTCTAACACCTCGAATTGGCTGTGGACAAGATTTGACTTTACAAAGTGGTTTTTTCTGGCCTCTGTTCTCCGGCGCAATTCAGACTCCGGCGCGTCAAGAAAGAAGAAATGTACAAGAGAGTACCCGGCTCGTTGGCAGCTTTCTCTCAGAATATCTCTGTGGGCTCGTTTCAGAGCGGAGCATGTGATTATGAGATGATGGCGCTGCAGCCGTTGCTTGTTATAGGCTGAAGCTTGCTCGTTAATTGCTTCAAACCACCCCTGACGATCTGAGTCAGTCAACGGTTCTCCTCTATGCATTTTGTCGATGTTGGCTTTTGGATGAAGCTGTTGGTGGCGTCAGCCTCACGTCTGTGACCATCAAAAGGCAATCCAGAAGAAAACGCACATCATCGCCCTCTATGAAGCGAGCTTGTAAAGTTGAAGCGAGAAAATTGGCAACAGAACTCTTGCCTGATCCAGCGGGGCCCGCTATGAATAGGATCCATGACTCCTCGTTGCTCATACTTCGGGGACTATCTTCACAGCCGTTCATGGACGACGTGTTGGTGTTGGGAAACTTTTGGACAGCAGCCATGAATCACTTGAGTAGAATAAAATGGATATCTGGATATCGGATGGATGAATAACGCGTTGTATAACTCAAAGACAGATTGCACAAGGAAATTTATTTTGATTCACATTGGGCAGTAATCTCACCACAGGCAGGCTTACATCTCATTAAAGAATTACAGGAAGCGAAAGGCAATATTAATGGGAATATTTCATCGTCATTTGAGTTCTTTCAGTCGGTAATCTTTTACTCCTACTTACCATACGTAGTTATGGCGTAAAGATTGAGATCCTTGCTTCTCAGCGTGACGTCAAGACTTGAACTTCAAAAAGGGGCATAGTTCATATGTGAGATGTTACAGCATCTTATCATTTCGTCCCACTCTTCAAGCATAGACTGGATTATGAATGGCCACGCTAAATATTCCGTCCAAGTACAATCGTCTTGTAGGCGTATGTCTTTCGGCTGATATGGAAAGCGTGGAGTTTGCCCCTTCATAAGCTTGCTGGGCTTAAGGTTAGCAACAACATTAGCTGCTCTGCCGCTCTAGTCCAATGGAAAGATCCTACGCTCACCCCCTCCTTAGGAATTCTGACCGAATTCTTAACTTTTGCCATGGTAAATTGCGACCTAGCCGGTGGGAATTAATTTGCGGCTCGGGGGCTATCCGAATACACCCTTAATGTTGTACTTGACGAAATCTGTGCCTCAACCTGTCGCTACTAGCACTCTTGTAAGTAGATTGTAAGAAGATTGCGGGACGCATCAATCCTAAATGGTCTCTCATATTTCCAATGTTCTTTCTAGGGGTGTTTCCAGGCTCTACTAATTTTTTCGGGAATGATGTATCAGTTGTCTGTCCATGAGCTCATGGGGAATCCTTAAACTAGTATGGGTACCCACCATGATGCATTGGTGATTGAAGACAACGCAACCACTGCGTCAGATTCTTCTCCTCGCACAAAGGTGTGTTCGAACATGTAGATATGAACAAACACTTGCACATCAATATCACCTCCGTTGGAGTCAAAGGCTCGCGATGTATAAAATGCAAGATCTCTAAAGCACTAGTGTCATGTTTATTACAGCAGTAGTCCTCCGATTATTTCGGTACAGTTGATTGCGCACCGAAGTATTAAAAAAGGAGCAACGCGCGACCACACTGAGTGTTACGACCTATTATAATCTTTTATAAACTGTATTGAATACTCCGAGATATACAGCAATTTGGATCACAATACCCCAATTTGGTTCAAACAGAATGGAAGCTCGGGAGTTGCCTCTCGTTACAGGAAACTTCGATTTACAGTCTAATACGCATATAAATTTCACCTCTAGCATACCAACCAAACATAACGCACACAACAGGTGTCGAAACGACGAACAGAGTAAAGTAGTGGACCGCCTCGAATCACATCTGTGCCAGCAATGCGTATCTGCAAAGAGTGAACTATCTGAGCTTATCGATCCATACTATTTTGGCTCGAGAATGCCAAATATGCTAGATGCAGATGGGTCCGGAAAGATACAGGATGAACAATGGGCAGAGAATCTGTATTCTAAGCAATCTGGCTTTGACAGTGACTCGCTGGACAATCTATCATGGCCAACCACTCCATCACCACGAATCGATACATCTATCACCCAGCACGATCCTCCGGATACTTGTAGAGAGGAGCAAGGAATAGATGGAAACAAAAACAACGTACACGCTTCGGATGTAGAAAAATGTAATAGCAAAAGACGAAAGAGAAGCACTTCTCCTGACCATACAGAGAGGGAAGATGAACAACAAAGGCGAATACGACATATAGTCAAAGATCTGGAAAAGTTCGAAAACCAGCAAAGGATGTATGGGAAACAGCAGCTTAAGGCAATTAAGGATGGGATTGCCTAGCATGTGCGTCCTCGAGAGTCGAGAATGGATGGCGTTTAGTGAGGTTTGAGTATGGGCGGCCATTTGTACAAGACCGATTTATAATATGCATGGAAAATTTCCATAACTATAGAAATGGAAGAAAGCATAAGGACAATGGCAACGGCAAATTGTTTTTGATGTAGAGCCGAAATGCTATCACATGTAAATATGCAGAGCACATATGAATAACTAATAGCACTCCCTCTCCGCTTTATTCTCCAATGAGTCAATCCCAGGGATCGTTCACGTCAGTGGTTAATCACTAAGAATCTATCCACATCTCTTCTGCACTTTCACTTTCGACTACGCGACTACGCGTCATCAAGAACCGATTTATTCACCACAATCTGACTAATGAACTCTTTCTGAAGATCGGGATGTTATATATGCTCGCAAATTTCCAAAAACGTGTGCGGTTGTTATATCTTAAGTACTGATTTTCATGCTTTTAGCAGAAATTACCTTTATACAACTGTTACAATGTCTAGGCAGAGGCTCACAATGATGGCGGTCGCCGGTGTAGGCATAATTGGTGCCACTTTTTATGCCACTCGGAAAAACGAATCTAAAGTGGACGATGCGCAGTCAAGGAGAAACAGAGCTCAAGAAACACGCGAACTCGGATTGGGCAGTGCAGGGGTTGGAGGCAATAGAATGACTGGCGGCCCAAGCAATTCAGCGGCACCTTCAGGAACCGAAAGAGATCACCAGCGCGACCAAGCCAATACAGCGTCGGCGAAAGAGGCACTGCCAACTGGCGGTGTTGGTGGTGGCGAAGGCTCAAGCAAGTCGGACCATTTTAGATTGCATACTTCAATCTTGGGCAGCGGAGGTAAGACGACTGCCAGTCGGCAGGACCACGAAGGATATCATGACACAAGAGGCATTAGCAAGATGGGCGCGGAAATTCCATCAAAGAAAGGCCCTGCCGATGCTTCGGACTAGTTGAGCGGCAAGGGCAATACAGAGCATATTGCTTAAACAAATTTTCAATCAGATTCTCAATTCAAAGACGACATATGTATGAACATCTTTTGTTTTACCGCCTTTCTTAATTTTTCGTTCTTGCATAGTATGTCAAGGTGCTTCTGTGTACAGAACTCGCGCTCTTCCGCATCAAATCAGCGCATTAAAGAATTATATGGAAATAAATGATTCCTAGTCCCCAGGAATACTTTGTACAAGGAGTGGTTCTTGAATCCAATTTGCTACTGGTGATCGCATGTAGATTTAGTGCTGTAGATCACCAAGTAAAAATGATCTCGGCATCGACGTCATGATTACCAAAATACATCACCTTGGCAAATGCGTTCAACTGAACTGTTGGGATTGGATAAAAACCAAATAAGATGAAAAATTTGATAAACATAGTATTGCAGAGTTGCTCGACTGGGAACTGCTGCAAATGCTGGGTTCTCATATGAGAATATCACTTGATGTCCTTTTTGCTTCCCAGAATGTGCGCAGAATGGTGCCATGCACCAATAGCGACGTGTTTGTATGATCGTGATTTAGATGACGTCTACGCAACGTCATGAAATGGCCAATAGACCACGTTTCTCTAGTCAAGAAGTTTCAAGCTATTCTAACAGAAGTGATGTCGCCATCGTGCGGTGATTCGAGTCGTTGCTATCAGAGATATAGGCATATCCACAGCAAACCCGAAATGGGCAAAGTGTGGTAGTGTTCAAGCAGTGATATGAACACTGCAATATCGCCGCCAAGTTTACAATCTAACTCAGCTCTTCTTTAAATAATTAAGATATTCTAATTGTTGCGTGAAGTGCGAATAACAATGGCTGGAGAAGTTATCGATCAGCCGAATCCTCCGCCTCTGCCTAGCCAATTCCCGGCCTCAGTAGAAGATTTGGTTGTAAAGCCGCATAAGGCACCATTAAACAGCCATGACTTGTGCTCACTGAGAGAATTCCAACGGGCTGCGTGCTATATTGCTAGTGGTAGGTGCTTCGGAGAGCTTCCCTGTGTGCACGCTACTATACGCGCATTGCTAACAGTCTAGCAGCTATGATATTTCTCAAAGACAACGTTCTCCTAGAACGAGATCTCCGACTGGAAGATGTGAAGCCAAGGCTTTTAGGTAAACATCCCACAACCATGGCCATTGTATTGCTGCTAACCTGCGTGATCAAGGGCATTGGGGGACGTGTCCTGGGCTCGTGCTCATCTGGTCGCATTTGAACCTTCTCATTCGCGATAGTTCCGTGGACATGCTATTCGTTATTGGGCCTGGTCATGGAGCTCCTGCTGCATTGGCTTGCCTATGGCTGGAAGGCTCACTAGGACGATTCTATCCAGACAAATACCAAACCGATAAAGAGGGATTGCATAATTTAATTACCCAGTTCTCTGTCCCTGGAGGGTTCCCGAGGTATGCGATCCCGCAATGCCTATAATGTTACCGAAGACTGACATGCCCAAGTCATATTAATCCGGAAACTCCAGGTTGCATCCACGAGGGCGGTGAACTGGGATATGCACTATCGGTGTCTTTTGGAGCAGTGATGGATAATCCAGACCTAATTGTTACATGTGTTGTGGGCGATGGTGAGGCTGAGACTGGCCCTACAGCAGCGTAAGCACAAAGAAAGTCGCAGTCATCAGCATTTTCACTGACAGGCAATAGGGCATGGCATTCCATTAAATACTTGGACCCATCGGAGTCTGGGGCGGTTATACCCATTCTTCATGTCAACGGCTTCAAAATTAGCGAACGGACCATATTTGGGTGCATGGATAACAAAGAGCTGGTCCTGCTATTTTCTGGCTACGGCTACCAGGTGTGCATTGTGGAAACCCTGGATCTTATAGATATCGAACTACACTCGGCACTATTTTGGGCCCTGTCGGAGATCAAAAAAATCCAGAATGCTGCGAGAGAAGGCAGCCCAATTACCAAGCCTCGCTGGCCGATGATCATCCTCCGGTCTCCAAAAGGATGGACAGGACCTCGAACGGTTGATAATGAGATTATTGAAGGTTCATTTCGTGCACATCAGGTCCCAGTGACCAAAGCCAACAAGAGCGAAGATCACCTTCAGATCTTACAGGATTGGTTGCAGAGTTACGAGGTGCATCAATTACTCGCAGATGGGAAACCTTCCCATGACGTCCTGGACATTCTACCACCAGAATTCGAGAAGAGACTGGGCCAGCTTAAGCTCGTGTACGATTGCTATCGAGGCCTTGATTTGCCTGATTGGAAGTTACATGTGGCTGAGAAATCTGAGCAAGCTAGCAGCATGCAACAATCGGGCAAGTTTCTCGACGACGTGGCTAGGAAAAATATGCAGACATTTCGCATCTTCTCACCCGATGAGCTAGAGAGCAATAAACTCAGCGCTGTTTTGGGTCACTCCGGACGAAACTTTCAATGGGACCAGTATGCTCGCGCGCAAGGCGGTCGTGTCATCGAGATATTGTCAGAGCATTGCTGTCAAGGATTCCTTCAAGGATACACTTTGACGGGAAGAACGGCCATTTTCCCAAGCTACGAGTCGTTTCTTGGAATTATCCACACTATGATGATCCAGTATGCCAAGTTCTCCAAAATAAGCCGTAAATTGTCATGGCGAGGCGACCTAAGCTCCATCAACTACATCGAAACCAGCACATGGGCGCGGCAAGAACATAACGGCTTTTCGCATCAGAATCCTTCGTTTATTGGCGCTGTTTTGAACCTCAAAGCTGACACAGCAAGAGTCTATTTACCACCTGATGCGAATTGCTTCCTCAGCACCTTGCACCACTGCCTCGGGTCTAAGAATTATGTTAACCTTATGATCGGGTCCAAACAACCAACGCCAGTTTACCTTTCCGCTGAGGACGCAATGGAGCACTGCAAAAGGGGCATCTCAATATGGAAGTTCGCAAGCACACATAACGGCGAAGACCCAGATGTAGTCCTTGTTGGAATTGGAGTCGAAGTGACGTTTGAGGTCATCAAAGCCGCAGGGCTTTTGGCAAAGCTTGTACCAAAGCTGCGTGTCCGGGTGATCAACGTTACTGACCTTTTAGTCCTACCACAGGAATCACATCACCCACATGCGCTCTCGCCAAAGGTATTTGAAGAATTATTCACGGTAGACAAGCCCGTGTGTTTCAACTATCATAGCTACGCGACGGAGTTACAAGGGCTTCTCTTTGGGCGCCCAGCTTTGCATCGCATAACAGTTGAAGGCTACAAGGAGGAAGGTAGCACTACGACGCCTTTCGACATGATGCTTCTGAATGGCGTAAGTCGTTTTCATGTGGCTTCAAGAGCATTAAACGCCTTAGCTCCGTGCAACGACGCCATTCAGGGAAAGTTATCTGGCTTGCTATCAACCATTGACGAAGAAATGACAAGAGTACAAGATTATATTAGAGAATTTGGGAAAGGTGACCTTAACCTTAACCGTTGTTCGGAAGATACATATGCTAACCCTCTTTATAGATCCGGATAACATCTACGAGCTGGATATTATGCGGACTGAGGCTTAGAAAGAGACTGCCATTATACCACCATTGACATATACCCATGCAAATGACGGGAAAAATCCACGTACTATGCTAGCTGCAGACATCTCATCAATCACCTATGTAAGGATTTTCATCACGATAGCTAGAATCCATGCATATTTATTCATCGACATGCTTTAATGCGTCTGGATTGTGTGCGACTCTATGTCCATGCTGATCCGTGAAAACCACCTGCATCTGGTCAGCTTGTTTGCCATGGAATTAAAACTCTGATGTTTAACTGCTTTCGCTAGATACCTTTGGTGGATGTTTCACATTGGCCGATTTTGCTTCCTTTTCCGTGTGTACGATATTTTCTACTTCTCCTTGTCGTTTCCCGCCTCGAATAGGAGTCCAGACTTCGTCGCCTTCTTGAATTAACTTCCCATCCTTGTCTTGCACATCTGGTGCCATTATTGTGATTTGAGCATCAAACAACCGATTCCGAGTTAATATGAAAGAGTCATTTGCCCATTCAGTGCATTGCAGACATAATATTTATCCTGCAGAAAAAGAGCAGAAAAATGGTGATGTAAGATTCTTGTCATAGTGATTTCTGGAGTGAGCAATTAGTGTATGACCAATTGTGACAACGGACTATTAGACTAAATGATTGCCACACTTACTTCCAGCCAAGTTCATTACAAGTAGGCGGATCACATGAAACGTGAGGTACTGGCCGAAACATCCAAAGCTTTTCAATCGTATCTGATATGAGTTCCAATTTCCTGCTCCTTCATCTGATAGCTGGAGTCTGAAATGTCTGCCATGCCTAATGGTTGCATACGATGATTCATTTACGTCTAAGAAAGTTATAGTATTCTCATTGAGTAAACCAGATACCTTATGCTTGTCTTTTAATTGAACTCGTAAGATATAATTCCTCCCATTTTAGGGGAGTCGCAAGGGCTTACGAAAAACAAGCCGCATAATTTCACTTGACAGAAGACCATTACTCCCCACAAGTTACAAGAGAACTGTGAGGTCATATGACCTCCGGTACCTAATATATAGGTATATATATTAGGTAGTTACCTCCACAGAGGTTAGATAAGAGGAAGTTATCTTTTATACATCTTTTAGTCCTTTACTACAGTGACCTAGATGTCTGACTTCTATACACCTCTCCCAACGTTAACACTTTATATAATAGTAATTGCAGACGCTTTAAGATCTATCGGCAGAACCCAGCAATCGGAAACTATTGGCGTTTTTACAGTAGACTAACTGGACGTAACTGGCCTCAGCTGGGACCTAAGCTAACTTAATACAGCTGTTTTTATAGATGTATAATAAACGGTACCCTACTTTACTTATATTAATGAGAAGAATGAAGATAAACTGCTATAGTAATAGATTATAAAATAACTTTAGGCAGTTTATTTTGCAAACAGAAGCTAAAGGCCGGCTGTTAGTGATCTTATTTTAGCTTAAAGCTATTCTAATATTAGTAAATATAACGGATGCAGCAGTACCTACTTTTACAAAACCTACGTTAACAGTAGTACCTCTTTTATAAATAGCCAGTCTCTGCCCAGTTTTATTTATTAACTGAACTTTATTAGACTAACTTTCCTTAATAATAGTAGTTAAGCTAATAAATTAGGAAGTAATAAAGCTTCTCCTGCCTATTTTAAGGCTAATAGTTACTAAATAAAATAACTTTCCCCTGCTTTTTAATACATCAGTAGATAATATATTCCCACTGTTATTAATCTTTTTATACTACTTTAAACCCCTATAATCCCAGCCCTACTTATTTTCGCTAAAAACCGTTATATTACCTTTACCCTCAGTTACTGTAAAATAAAGTATATACGGGGAGTGGAGTTTACGCTTACGGATTGTTTATCAATAACGTTTTTTTACTACTTAAAACATATCACTAACATTAATAAGCGGAGCTTAAAGACAGACGTCTTTACAATATATACAACCTGTAGGTAATATACAGCAACCACTTTTAAAAACATAAAATATATAACGTCTTCTGTTTACAGAACGAGATAAATTGGCTGTGTGAAGCTTACTGTCTGACTCCAAAAAAGCCGCAATGTCTCTCTTTCTCAACCAACCTAACCAAACTCTTCCTAATACGGCGACTATGCCAGGCCAGTCGAGCACCCAGCCCGCCAATAGGCGCCTTACATCTAATCAGGCTACGCCGGAGGTAATCGGCAGCCCTCCACGGATGACCTCCGGTACCTAATATATAGGTATATATATTAGGTAGTTACCTCCACAGAGGTTAGATAGGAGGAAGTCATCTTTCACACATCTCTTGGTCCCTTACTACAGTGACCTGGATGTCCGACTTCCACACACCTCTCCCGACGTTGACACCTCATAAGAACGGACAGAAATAATATTACGCAATATCACTCTATTAATCAATCTCAGAAATCAGACTAGTAACTGTGCAAGTACATTGTTACTCAGCTATCGATTCAAATGGCAACCTCCCTCCTGTATCGATATCAATAGCCCCTACTTCTTGACATCACTTAGAGGCCCGGCATCTAGTAGGGATGAAATTTGCTCCTACCCGTGAAATTTCCTGGGCTCTTCGCCGCAAGATTTTCGTCCTCATTCAGCATCAGTGAACACTATTATTGGCCACAATTAGTCAAGATCAGCATTTCCAGGATAGATACGTACCTAGAGCTCGGAACCCCGAAAATCTTTTGCACGTCTCAGAGCCATCATTGAGAAGCTTTAGCTTGGCTTCTAGCTTTCTGCGTTCCTCGCGAACGCTTTCTTTCTCGCCAACGATGGCCTCCATTTCGTCTTCATCCATTTGTGCCACAGCCAGCGGACTGAGGATCTCGCGAATCTCAGCAACTAAACCGGTTTCAATTACCTGAATCGATATCTCGTCAATAAAACGCCTGAAGGCGATCTGAAGAGTGTTAATATCATTAGTCAATTCATATACCTGCTAAATTTACAAACTTACTTCATAATAGGCCTCAGCACTATCGAGAGCTTCGGTAGCACTCCAGCGATATAAGTCGGGTTCAATGCTTTGTACCAACTCGCGCTTCAGACTTTGGAAATTCACATATTGGCTGATAGAATAACTGCTGCTTTCAAGGGGAGCATTTGGGAAATGTCTCTTCAAAATTTCATCCAACTGTGACGACTGTCGTTTGAGACGGATTTTCTGAAGAGCTTCGCTGAAATCACTGTTGTAAGTAATGGGGTGATCGTCTCGATATAGCTGGAGTAAAACTCCAGTCTTTTCGAGGAGGCTGGTTAGTATTGCCTTCATCTTAGGCCTCACAACAGCTTCCATGATGGCGTCACTTGTCTCTGAATCAGAGATGTGTGAAATTAGAAAGTCCACAAACACTCGAGCAGCTTCCCAAACTTTGTTTATATGGCGAATAACAATTGACTGCCACGGTTTCGACTCCTCTCTGAACAAATCCGTGACAACAGTTGGGCTGAAAGAATTAGGCAGCTCTCGACCACGTCTGTGGGCCATCATGTCAACAACTTTAGTGACAAACTCCTCTCTTGTTAATTTCATGTAAATGTCGGACTTTTCATTCTTCTGGGGAGAGTCCACAATCTTGTAAAACCGGCCCTTATCCTCCATTTCCTTAGCAAAATCACAGCTGAGGTTTTGAATGATAGCACGGATGCGTTTAACGTAGCCTGACTTCGATCCCACGTCACTGAAAAAAGGGTCGGTATATGTTCCATCAACGGCAGACTGCATCAGAGACTGAAAAGACTGACTGATCTGGATCAGGTAAATTCGTTGCTCTTGTGCAGTTATACGGGGCTGACCAAATTTCCCCAACTCCGTCTCGCAGCTTTCAATCTCGCTAGAGATCTCATCCATCAAGCTCGGTAGTTCAGAAGCAATTTGGTGTAACAACAATTTGCTCAATCGGCTTCTCAGGGCTGCAATACCCAGGCAAGACTCGGGTAAGGCTGACCAAGCGCTTTTTGAGAAAAATTCTTTCTCCTGTGCATCGCGCTGTGACAGAGTCCATTTGTCTGCGTCTGTATCTCTGTTCCTCAGTGCGTGCCATCCAAGCCGAAACACTACATCCTGGTTTTTGGCAAGAGAGATATAACTTTTCTCGCTTGTGGAGTCCACAGCAAGAGTATCGGGTTTGGTGATGATACCCAGTGTACGCAACCCTCTCGGGTCAGTGTCACGGGCAAGCTTCAAGACTATTTGGTTGGCGTAGTCGTTCTTTGCTGATATAACCGCAAGGATAATGCTTCGCTGTTTTGACATGAAATTCTTGACGATTTGAGTGATTAGATGAACATCTGAGGCCGATTGATTCTTGGTCTCGGAATGAATCAACCCTGGCAGGTCAACAATAGTGAGATGCGGGCGATCAGGTCCGCTAATCTCGATACGAAGCACATCGTTAGAAAATGCCTTGCCGAGAGTCTTTATTCCCATATATGCCTTGGCATTTTCGATCAACTCCGGCAGCTGTTGAACAGAGTCTAGTTGTTCATGGAAATCGGACGAAGCATCTTTCTTATCTCGCTTATTCGGCTGATGCGGGATGATAGAAACCTTGACGGAAGTATGTGATGCCGTTCGAAGGATGAGTTCTGTTGGAAAACGTGTACAAAGGCCAGTGCTGACTGGAAACGAAACACCAGAGATGGCTTCGAGAACAGAACTTTTGCCAGAGGACTGGTCACCGCATACAATGATTTGGGGTAAAGAGATGTAATGACTGACACCTTGGGACCGTAGCGAATCAACCGTATTGAGGAGCTCGAGCTGCTCTTTGGAGCAGAGGCCCTCCAAGTTTGCTGATGCAAGTTGTGTCAGAACCATGATGAGTTGCTAAGCATCGAAAAACGGCTGGCTACTATGACTCCAAGTCCAGATCGGCAGCATGGATCTGAAGGCTTTATATGCACAAACCCTCTCTGTCAGTTATCGCATGTTGTTATTATTTACACTGCAGATATGCTGTAGGCCTCCCCGTGGACCTCCCACTAGGCCTCCCGCATAGCACTCCTCCCAATTAACATCATTCTGTGACAATCCAATTGGGCTGTGTCACATAGTACTGCCCCGCAAGGGCGGGCTATAACCAGTGAATCCATAGCATTCACTATCTATGGAGTACCCTGCATGGTTATTGGCAGCCATCATATGTACTCTGCCGTGCTCACGTCATGAAACAACTAATTTCGTTGTCTCTATTGGCTTGCCCCTTGCTTAGCCTGGTGGTACATGAGTACTTCTACAAGATAGCAAAATACCACCGTGTACAAGTTCAGATTGTCTGAAACAAACAAGGGCTTATATTTACAAAAAGAACATTCTGCAATCCCTTCCCGTGATGCTTTAGGACTCTTGACCTTTCCCTCTTTGTTCGTGAATAGAAATTAGATGCAAACAACCGGCTTGAGTGAATCAACAGCATTCAATATCCCGACTGAGTGAATTGGTACAGCTGGAGTCTATTATCCCAGTTAGGTAGCTAGGTAGCTAAAATACTATATTATACCAATTGATGCATCATTTTTTTTAGACTTTAATAAATAACTGCGAGGGAATAACTGTCCTCGCTTTGATACTCTCGTGATTTAAGCTTCTGGCCCAAATTTTAGCGCCTAGGCAATATTCAACTGCTGAGTAGATGCGAGAGTTGAAGAGATAATTGGCTCTCCCCTTTGTGATACAAGGCGTCGTGGGCTGTAGAAGATTGAAGAGAATCCCACAGTCATACCATCCTACTATTCATAAAGTATTCCTGACAGCGCTGCAGTGGCAACACTACTTTCCTCAGCATATCTTGTCTCCATCTCTCGGGTGGTGTGCTCCGATTACCACCAAGACACCATGCAACAGCTTCCGAATAATCTGGGCCAGCCTCCTCAATCACTTCACATTGCCAATCTCTCGCAGCCATAGCATCAAATCTGGCCTGCTCCTCCTCAGTCTCTCCAGTACGCCATTGTTTTCTTAATGGTTGATCAGCCAACAACTTTCCAAAACATAATTCAAGTAATAGGATTCCAAACTGATCTAGAGATTGTGCTAAGCTTACAGCTACTCCATCCATAGACGAAGTTGCAGCAAGCACGCGCCCGATATGGGGCTGATCAAGGAGGAAAACATTGGTTTTATTAGGGTCACTGAAGAAAGTAATGTCCTCTCTGCGGAAAGAGGAGGTTAACCAAGGCGTCTCGAGAAGCTGGAGGAAGGAAGATGCCAAGACGAGTGATATGGCGTAGCGTTGCCGGCGTGTTGGTGAAGGGGATACATCACCTCGAAGAATATGATCGAGGGAAATGGATGTTAATGAGTTTCTGCACTGAGAAGAAATAGTATAAACGAAGTACCGGCTTTCTTCTTCGTCCATTGTCAGATAACCGCAACATGATCCATCAGACTGCTTGAGATCCTCGCATAGATTGGATATGGGTTGATGAGTACCCAGCCCTTGGTTCACCACGACTTCGGTAATGGTAATAGAAGGCGGCGGTCTGCATTCTTTATCAATAATTAAGCCTAGTGTAGCACAAATCTTAATACGACTAACCTCAATAGCTCTGTTTGTGCAGTCGATGCTCTGCTTTTTAATGCTGACTTGGTTGAATGGTAGGACCGATGATTTGGTTGGCGTAGAGGCAGCTTTTCAACGACCCTCAAAGTTCCTTTAGCACAACCAGATTCTCCGGTGAGATTGCTCACATCCGATATTTTTGCTTTCGTGACCTCCCAATATGAAGGTAGAGACTTTATAAAGAGGAGCTCAAGCTCTGTACTTTTTGTCGCTCTGTGCTGAAGTAGTAATCTGGCGCAATGCTCTCTGCAGTGGCATTTCCATGCTGCAACAAGCGCTTTGAATAGCTTATTTGCCTGAATCCAGAAGCTACAAATTGCACTATCAATGGCCTTTGCTTGGTCTCTGGATGTTCTCTGGTGTTCTAAAGCAGATAATCTATCGCTCGAATCGAGAAGCTTGTCGAGTTTGTCATTGTAGGTCTGTAACTCCGCGAAGAGCTTGGTGCGAACAGGCTCTCCATTGCTGAACTTGACTCTGAATAACTGGAATGATAAGTCATCTCTGCCAAGAACAGATTTAATTCTTGACACAGTTGCGGTACGTTTCTACCACAGTAAGTCTTAAGTTCTGGCTTCTTGAAGCAGTCAATGAAGAAACTTACAGCAGCCTCCGCAATCTTTGACTGCACAAATTCGTCGTCTAAGGCAAGTTCATGATACAATTTGTCCATAACGTGGTTCATGCCCTCGATATACTCCTGGTAAAGTTCGAATGAGTCTCCGAGCCGTTTCTCAAGAAGCTCCACCATTGATGCATCCCTCCATGCTTCTCCAGCTGGCTTATCAATAAGCTCCTGAACTTTCTCATCGTCAACAATTAAGGGAAGTAAAAGTTGCTTCAAATGTCTCGTGAATGTCAATTGCTGAAGCTCCAGTTCATTGCTACATTTCCTATACTCAAGCTTCATCTTTGAAAACAATCTTAGTCGCGTAGCTACCTCTTGATGATTCTTCAAGGCGGCTAGAGTAAGAGGAAACACCCCGAGGACGATCCCAATAGCTTGGAACCCGGACATTATGGGAAGGTGAGAAGGCAGTTGATCATGACAATTAATTGAAACTCGTGAAAAATTGCGTGACGAAGAGATGCAAATGGTGAGGCTGAGAATTTACAGGCATCGCTTTCCAAGCGGGGTATTGTCCTACATACAATCATGTGTCCAATCACAGTGGGCAAAGTGTCCATGCTCATGCAGCATTTCGTCGAAGCAGATAATTTGTACTAGCTATTCATCAAAATTTCTTTCTAAAAAGACTGGCGGAAATGATTTGCATTCAAAATTGAAACTGGTTACCGTCTCTTCAAGATTATATGCGGTTGACAAGCACCAACGATGATGAAACAAACCCAAACTCTGCCGCAAAAGAGCCGCACAGTCCAAAAACGGTTCTTGAGCCTCATTCAAAATCTTGAGGGCATTGAACCATCAAATGACATTTCCTCTCGTGAATTCACTGACGCCCTGGAGAAATTCGCTTTGTGGGCTGGGAGTCTCGGGGCTTTACGGGAACCAACCTCTAAACTATCACTGGAGCACCGACTATTAGAAGCCCCGGAGATTCGGAATCAGATTCATAAGCAACTCGACTATATCATAGAAGCTATCGATGATGGTATGTTTGAAACGGCCATTTCAAGTCATATGTTTAACATTTACCAGTGACCACCATTATTCAAGAGAGCCAAGCAAATCGCGACATGACGGAGGAAGCGATGAATATGGAAGACTTTGCTGAGCTTATCGATCTCCAAGAAGAACCATCCGATGAAATCCGCATGAATCTCGAGCTGATATCTGAGTCCCTGAAGACGCTTTTTCGAATCGCCGTCCTTGTGAGGAAAGCGACTCCTGACAAGCGCTTCGAGCGGGCTATTCACTCTTCAAAATTTACTTTTGCACATACATTTGACGTTGATTACGTCAAAGAGAAGTATCCAAAGCTCAAGGCAGGAGAACAATCATGGCTAGCGGATCGCCTAGGCAAAGCCATTACTAAACGCAGGCAATTTATCAAGTATTGCAGAGATCACAGGGCCCGTCTCGGCCTCGATGACGAGAACATAGAAGCTGAAGGCGCTACAACCATGCTGCAGTCTAGTAAAGCAACCACTCTACAGCCTGAAAAGATGTTGTCGAACGTCATGGTTGACGATTATGAGGACGATGTGGTTTCCATTTTGTCAACATCTACCACAACAGATGAGATTTCAACCCTCGCATTGCCTCGGCTCGTCGATCTCTCAAGGGACGGTGAGCCGTTTGAATGCCCTATATGCTTCACTCTGAGATCTATCAGCGGAGAACGCTCATGGCGGTACGTGTGACTCCTTGAAAGCTCAATACTCAGAAAATATCCTAATGTACCTTAGTTTGCATGCTTTCCACGACCTCAAACCCTACTCATGCACAGTCGGAGGAGCAGAATGCGAGTCGTTAGCTTTCCAAGATCGAGATTCGTGGTTTCAACATGAACTGGATTGTCACAGATCCCAATATGCGTGCTCGTTGTGCAATTGCGAGCTATTTCCAGAAAGAGCTGATTTAAGATCACATATACTTAATTTCCATGGCCAGTTTCCCGAACACCAGTTGCAGATCATGGAAGATGCTGGAAGGAAGTGTCCAACAAGCTTCACAGCACAAAGCTGCCCGTTCTGTGATGATTGGTCCCCGGCTCATCAAGAGAAAGGAAAATCAACATCTCAAGATATCGGACCCCAGAAGATTTCCGTTCGTGGCAGCCGATTTAAGAGACATGTTGGGGCACATCTAGAGCAGCTCGCCATTTTTGCGGTCCCACGCGCAACGGAAGATGATACTGGTAATGATCGAAGCTCCGTCAATAGTTTCGCCTCTAGTGTTGCTTTCATACCGGGATTCACTACCCAGGAAGTGCAACAAACGCATGGGGAAGCGTTTACAGAAGAAAAATTATTAGACGATGGAAGCCTGCAAGCCGAACCCGTAGCCCCGACTCGTCTGGCCAGAGATAATTCACCCAACCCGCCGGAGCTCGAGGAGAGTTTTATGCGTGATTTCACATGCTGTGGTAAGACTTTGCCCAGCCTACATGAGCTCGCTCTGCACTACCAGCAGACCCACCAGGAAGATCTCCTCATGATCAAGAACACTGAGAGAACTGCTATCAACGGCGATGATGCTCCCACCGATGGCCTGACCGACTGGACTGCTGATTACAGGCTGGATTCCAAAAATGAACCAGATCCTGCAGAAGCCGCCCAAGCTATACCAACGCAGTCGACTTCGCTCAAGAATCAGCCAACCAGTCGAAGTGGTCGTCCCGTAAGATGGTCAGTGTCTGCCCAGCGCAAGATGGCCAGGCTCTATCTGTATACAACACTGCCGGTTGAAAAGATCCGATCTATCATCAATAGAGAGCAGGTCGACGAAACCATCCAGTAAGCTCAGCCATATTCAGGACAAATATATGTAGCTACTATACCTACTATAGTATTCCTGAGACCTATTTTCTATGCTCGACATACTCTGTGCAATCAGATTACTAACAAGTCCAAAAAAGACAGAGCTCTGCGAACAAGAGACTCCAGACACTCTTTGATAAAGAGCCGCGATGGCTACATCCTCGCGATGAAGAGGATATGGGTTGGCATGAGAATCATGACATTCAGTCCGTGCAGCAATCTATGGGCATCTACAATGCCTCTAATAACGAGAAAGGTCGAGATATGAGAGACAGAGATGGAAGCTCTTTTATTCTTCTTCAGCGGATGTTGGACAGCGATGTTCATGACTTGAATCAACCAAGTACTAGTGCAGATCTGACCACTGAGGGTTTGACTTATGATCATCTTGGAGAAGTATGTCATTTTACTTGCTGACAGGCTATTCAAAATAGCAAACTGATTAAGTGATCGATTAGGACGGTTCCAGGACTACTCAAGATAATATAATAAACGGCAGTAATGAGAATAAGGACGGTGAGTGGAGCTTTCAGTAACATCTGTAGCTGAGTTCAATGACACTGACTTGGGCTCGAAAGATAAAGGTACCACGAATCAACGTCGAACTGAATCTACAAAGAGCTTGATCACTGGGGGTGAGCGCGTGACGTCGTTTTATGAGACTACGAATCTCAGATGGGAAAGCCAAGGGGGTCTCCTTAAGAAGACTGATGTTCACACTCCTTTCACCAGCTCAGGCAACATATCAGAGGAGCAACGGATGCTCTCTTCTGATAGATATGTGGACCAACTGAAGAGACGCGTGAAACGCTTCACAAATCCCCTTCTGCAACCTAATTCCGAGAAGGAGCGTTCTGAAAGAGAGACTGTTTCAAAGGCTCAACAGAGTGCGCAAGCAAACAGGCAGAATTTTGATGAACGATCCCGCAACAATTGTGAAAAAGCCAATGAGAAATGAGAATATGTAAATGAGGTTATAACGAGAGGAATCGAGACGGGAGAGGGAGCAGGGTGTGCTATTCGTGAGGCATCTGAAGCTGAGGAGAACACTCAACCACATTAGCAAGTACAGTGGGATAAATTGACTGCAGTCAGTCACTAGGAAGGTGGGATTGTCTGAGTGCTTCATTGAACTTAGAGCACCCAGAGAATTTAAACTTGAGACAGGCATAGAGTTTAATGTACCCATGGTGGACAGTTACCCAGGAGTTCTACGGGTATCCAGTTCGTAAAAGCGGGACGACGGAGCGAGAAGCAGAAGAAGCTGCTGATGGCTATGGACGGCTACAAATGCGTAGAGATGATAGAGAGGCCCGCAAACTTGAATAATAGGAATAACACGTATACGGAGACCTACAGTCCCGGAAGGCTGCGCGGCACCGCCTCCATAAAGAAAGAGGAAATGAGAAGGAAACGGAACACTTAACTTTCAAATGTTCAGGCCAATTGCGGACCAAAGAAGAGAGAAAGGGATGTGATATAAGCTGAGAATGCACTAACTTAGGAAATGATGCTAAAGCCAGCGACTCTATCTTTGAGATACCCAATGAACCGGGAACCGAGACGGAAAGTTTTCAAGACGAGAAACGAGGATCTATCTGATGAAAGCGATTTCCTTACTGAGGTTGCACCTCCATATGAGTAAATCCCACTAATAGCTTTGATGAACTGTGGTGAAATCAAAGAGATAATCTAAATGACTACAAGTATCTTCATAAGAGTATTTATTCGTTTCATTACTAAAGCCGACTCTTCTCAGGATGAATTTCCGTTGCTATATTTCTTGAGGTTCCTGATATGGTGACTGAATACATAGCTGATCAATGCCGTAAGAGTACTCAGCCTGAGACCCTGAATCATAAAGCGCGATCATGCTACTCATGCTGGCTTAAATCCGGCATTAGCTGAGTCTGTGTCTGGGCTACTTGCATTGACCAATTCTTTCTTGGAGAATATCCGCAGTGCCGACCCCTCTTCTCGGAACTTTCTGCTAACGTATTGCGAACCTATGATTGGCGCTTACGAATGACAGACATTTTATTGTCTTACCCTACCGTAAGTTCTTTTTCAAAAACCAGGAACACATCCCATCACCTCGCATATATAGGTATATAGTAAGGTCGCATAAAAATGTCTTTGTCTGTTGAGTGCTATCTTCTCGGCTCGACAAACGATGCGCCAAACAGTCGATTGCCGGTAATTCACTACAAGGATGTATTGCCTCGGCCTCGGACAGAAGAAACGGCGACGCAGTTTTTGACGACGAATGACTGGGAAAAGAGGGTATACTTTTCTCAAACGATGTAATCTCATTGTATTGACGCGCAAGCTAATGGAAGATTGTGTTATGAGGGAACCTGGGGCCATATCGGAGAGCCACATTTCCATCCCAATACACATGAATGCTACGGTATGTCTCCAACTACTGTTTTATACCCTTATCGCAGAATACTAATTGGTTCTGTGTGAAAGGTATCTTTCAAGGCTACTCAACGTTGCTCCTAGGAAAGATTAAAGACGGAGAGGGCATTCAAGTCGACGTGAATGTTGGCGACGTAATCGTCCTCCCAGCTGGCACCGCTCACTCCTCTCTGCAGAGTTCCGACAACTACCGATACATTGGGGTGTATCCGAAGGTAAGCATTCAGAATATTACCTGTCAGAATCCCCCCCTCTTCGGTGAGTATACACTGACACGTATTACATAGGAATGCCCGAAATGGACCAATGAGATGGGCAAACGACCGCCAGCTTCCTTCATCCAGACCATTGGGGCAGTTGCCACGCCGCAGGCTGACCCGGTATATGGGAAACGAGGGCCATTGGCATGTTTGTGGAACACCAAGCTTTGTGCCAAGCTATAGCTGTATGTACACGGAAGACATCTCAAGTAGCGTCTCCATGTGGACTGTCTTCGGCAAATGCATTTGTTTGATGATATGGAGCCCAACAATAGCGGTGCAACGGCTATAAGCATCGATTGGCCTCTCCGAGCAACCACATGACCAAATCTCTCTATTCATTTTCATCATGCCGAATGCTCTATATTTAGCTCGCTTTGGACAAGCCGACATGTACCGTTATATAGCTTAATCCTCCCTTGACTGGAGCAGTTACTCCGCAGTTGGATCGTTGTTGGGGGCGGATTCTCCCAGCTGAAAGCTTCATCTGACCACGCCAAGCACGCGATTAATGGATCGACCACAAGAGCCACTGGTAGCACGACAAGCCATATGTTCGCGTCTTGTCGTCATGGTCCGTTCACATAATTCCAGCTCAGCCGCTACGCTCAGCCGTGCGCAACGATGCGCTCGCAGTTGAGAGCCGTTGACCTCCCGATTGGGCTTGGCAAGGGATGAATGGCTCCGTTACCATGCAGCTGGTAAGGAGTTCGGGCCACTCCAACATCACGGCTGAATGCTCTCATTTTTCTTTTCTTTTTTCAAGGGGAACTGCTAAGGTGGACGGTCGAATATGATCGAGACCGTGCTTGTGCTGTAAGGGGGTTGCGCTAAGCGATCTCAATATGTACTGGCATAACGATGTGGCAAGGATAGAGTGGTTGATGAATTTTTGGGAGGGATAATGTAACCGTGCTTTTGATGCCAAGAGGTGGGTGCGACCACACCGAAAGTTAGGTTTGATGTATTTGTTGCAGCCGGGATGGCCTTAAATAAAGAAGCAATTCACCCATGTAGAAAGCATTTGGGTTCATATCTCTAAGCCAGTTGCTAAATCAATTCTTGCAACCACAATAATAGGTGGAAAATTAAATAAAACGCAGATTCCACAAACTATTACTCAACCAGCCAGCTAAACCATGTCCTGGACCAAACGATCACAGGAGACGTTGTACAGAGACTTCACTGAGAAGGCTGCAGGCGAATCTCTAGGTATAGTTGAAAAGCCTTGGAGTTTGGAGGTCTTGGACATATCAGAAGGTAAAATGCGACCTAGAAATCTTTTATCTTCAAGAGAGGAGTCTAATAGTCTTTTAGATGGACAATTGGGCGAGTACGTTCAGAACACTGTTAGACGTCTCACTGGTAAACCGCGGCTCAGAATAGTGTAAGTCCACCATGTTAACCACGTCACGATCGTTGGAGCAGATGGATCTGCCGATCTACTTGTGAGCAAAAAGGCAAGGTCTAATCCATTTCCAAGCTTTGCACCATCAGATATACCGCGACGAGAAACAAAAGGGCTGATGGTGGAGCTCTTCCACAAATTCGGTATACCGCATGACTTTACCGCGGAGAGGGCTCGCTCTACAACCCACAGCTTCAGTCGGAGAAGTGATGAAAACAACGGCTTCAGCTCCTGGTTCCGATTTTCTTCCATATCAGTCGCATTAGCTGGGGCCGATGACGAGTCTCCCGACAGTGAAGGTGATGTGACTGAAAGGACACCGTTGGCTGAGAAATTCCCAGAGAGAGAGTCGGCATTCTTCCTTCAAGCTTCAAATGACGCTTGTACAACATCTGTGTGTTTCGGTGCAGGTCCAGGGGTGAAAAAAAGGATGCATGATTTGGTAAAGAGCCAGGGATGGACAGATATTGGCATCAACCCGTATATCCTGTTCGACGTCGCTCTGGAGGGGCTGCACGAAGAAGTCGACGACACAGCACTGAGAATCGAGGAGGAATTTACGTCACTGGAACAGGTGCGTATTCTCTTTCTTCACCATGCAAACATGTTTCATATCATGGCTGTGGATAGACAGTGTTGTTAATCTCGCAAAACAGTCCATTATTCGGCTCACAGGTTCAGAGTGTGAGAGTTCAGGCGCCAGAGCACCACTTGGGGAACTGTACACCTTCGAGAGACATGTAACAGAGCTCTCAAGAGCCCTCGAGTCTGTTGTAATGATCAACGAGGGCGTTCTTATGAACGCTAGGATCCCCTCAACAACAACTTCTGTCGCCCAATCACAATCTTCCGAAGGAAGCACCGACAGTGATCGGCGACCACTTGTTGACTTACAGCTGAAAGAATGCCTCGATTACCGCCACACACTTTTCCGCTCAACTCAGCTAAGGCTCTCCCACCTTCAGAAACGAATTGAAGCCGCCACTGCCCTGGCATCCAACTTAGTGTCGCAACAGCAGTCAGCAGCGGTGATACAGGGCCCAGTTTCGATGAAGCTCATTGCGGCTTCGATCTTGATATTCTTGCCCACGATTACTGTTGCAACTATCGCAGGATCACGGCTGTTACTTTCTGAACAATTAGATGAGGATGGTTCATGGGATGTCAGCGCAACACCATTGTTCTATCTGCTGTGGTATATCTCAATACCACTGACACTCGCGGTGGTTGTCGTATCGTTTTGCTGGCTTCGGTGGAGGCGGCGCAGGAGTAAGAAGGTGGCAAAAAGATCTTCTTGGTTTCGAAAGGTCGTGATATGGAGGCACATGAAGGGGGAGAAGGGAGATCGTAATGAGTCGAGTATACCGGTTTGAGCAAATAAGATCTGGGGAAGTAATAGATTGGTGACGAGAATGACTCCGATCCATGTTCCGCGATGCTTGATAAGGATAGAGCAGGATGCAAGATAAACCAGCAGGGGATTAGCCTGCAACACTATCTTCCCTTGTGCAGCTGAAGGTTGCCACGTACTCTAAGTAAACAAATCGAGTAGTATCAGGAGCCCATTTCGAGTCTAAGAAGCGCCCGCTAAATGCTGCAGAGAATCGGCACGGGCGTATTTTTGGCTTCATTAGTAATAATGGAATAGTGAAGTGCTATAAACAGGTACTATCGAGTCTGACATTTTTAATTGATTTGTCTGCTTGCTTATTATAACAACCCGTGCATTTTATTTATCTGGAGTTTTGTTTATCCTTGGTCGAGTAAGATGTTGTGATTCACCTTGACATGTACCTGCAGGGCGATTTACAAGGCACCTCTACCTCTCCTTTCAATGTAAGTTACGTCTCCTTAATCTATCGTATAAACATCACGCTAGCCGAATCTCTAAATTCCAAGGTAAAATAAATCCTGCCAGCTCTGCTGCCGAACGTTTAGCGCACCTCTGGTTCAAAGTACTCAGCGCAGCGTACAAGATACTTTGCTCATTGGCTCGCGTCCTGCCGCTGTGGAGTTCCCGGAACGAACAGCCAAAGTACCCGAACGCTCTCTCCAATCAGCTGACTGCACTACCACATCAATTGTCCACTCAAAACGTCTATCGCGCAACAAGCCATCTGCCTCTTGCAACGAGCCGGTTTGGCCGGACGAATCGCTAACACGGTCGCTGCATACGCTTCGAATCCATCACAAGACGCATGTCGCTTAAGACAAGACCAAGTCGCGCCGGTCTTTGAATTGGCATCCATCGCTTAGCCACAAAGGGAAGGGCTGGGCCTAGCTTCAACCAGCATTCCATCCCAGCAATGCTCCATCCCCCCCAGACGGCTATACAATCTCCACGGATCGGGCTCGGGACGGAACGTAGAAGCTTTTCGTCATCATCACCGACCAACCGCTCTCCTCGATCATATATCACAAGAGCATTGGGGACGAAACAAGGAGACGTCGGCTACGACTGCGAATTTGATGCTGTCCGGTTGGCACTGGCACAACATGGGAGATCCCGCAAGCGATGAGGAGCGGCGACGGCGCAGTGCTAGTGCTGGTAAGGCGCCAGCAACAGACTCAGATCCGGAAGCTAAGGTTGCAGAGTCTCGAAAGCCTTCCATAATAGTGTCAGGAGATCCTCCTAATATCGAGGAACAGGATCCACCGCTTGATGCGACAGACAGCGACGATGCTGACGACAACGACGACGACGAGTTTGATGGCGATGACACGTACTCTGCCGAGTCTGTCACTGTGCGGAGCAGCATATGGGAGCACGAGTGGGAGGGCGGACGAAGGGTGCGTATGCCTTTGCCAAGTCTATAAAGAGCATATCGCTGAGTTTAAACCTTTTTTTCTGCCAGTATCATCACTATCGACACGGCCGCTATCCTTTACCCAATGACGATATCGAGCAGGAGAGAGAGTATATGAAACATGTGATACACATGGAGCTCGTGGGCGGCAAGCTGTTCAATTCTCCCATTACATCAAATCCACAACGAATACTGGACCTTTGCACCGGTACAGGACTTTGGCCGATGGAGGGTAAGCTTACGCCTCGCCTTGATTCTTCTTCAAGATGCCCGATCACATGCTAAGGCGGAGGCAGTTTCCAAAATGTATCCAAGCGCAGAAATCATCGGTCTCGACCTCAGCCCGATTCAACCACTCATGGTTCCACCCAATGTGCGGTTCCTAGTCGACGACGTAGAAGATGAATGGATGGATCGCGGTGGCTACGACTTTATCCATCTGCGCCATTCCTGCATATACCTCAAGGACGTGGACAAGCTGATAAAGAATTGCTATGATCACCTGAAAGAGGGCGGCTGGCTTGAGATTACAGATTACTGCAGCTACCTCCGATGCGACGACGGCACAATGCCCGAAAACCACCCACCGGCGCAAGTCTCCATGATGATGCATCAGGCCCTGTCGCAGTACGGCATGAATGCCTACGTCATCAACGAACTGGAAGAGAAATACAAGGCCGCGGGCTTCAAGGACATCCAATGCCGAGTAATAAAGACGCCAATCGGCGCTTGGCCCAAGGTACTTGGATACGATATCCCCTTCACTTCCTTGCACTCATAAACTGATGTCTTCTCCCAGGATGCTACCCAGCGGCAAATAGGCATTCTCTTCCGAGACATCATCAACGAGCTCGTTGGCGCCCTGGCCGCCAAACCTCTGAAAACCTTGGGATGGGACGACACCGAGCTTGAAGTGTATCTCGCATCAGCACGGAAAGGCTTGTGGGATAAAAAGGTGCATTGCTATGCAAATTTTATCTCTTGGTGGGCCCAAAAGTGATGCTCATTCACTTCATTCTCCCCCACCCTTTCGTCTTCTCCTTCTTCTATCATTTCTTCTTTTCGTCCAGTTCATTCCATTATAAGCAAGCGTGCGTGCTTTAAGTCATTCTATTTATATTACGGCTGGGTGGACATATTTCAGCATTTTGCATACAAGTATATACAACGGGATTTACACATACACGGGGCGCACGGATGGTACCATGTTTTGGAGAGAGAATTTTCTCTCCTTGGGGCTTTTTTGAACTTATATATCATAATCAAGGATAATGATGCTGCATGCCCTCATGCAGCAAGTCGATCATCTGAGGGTCTCAATATACCCATTCATATCTCTTGGCTACTGATAGTATCATGCTCTTGTAATAGAAACCTAATCATCTACACCAGCTGTTTATTCAGTCAAGTGTATAGTTAAGCTGCACTCCTATGTCACGCATAATCGCTCCCATCCTTATACTAGCCAGAGTGTTATTCTTCTTCGAAAGCAACTGCTTCAAACTTACACTCTAATCCTATATAAACATGCCTACACTTCACGAGTACTAATCAATTCTCGAACAAAGAGGATTATGTCAAATATTCAACTTCTTCTAACTATCATGCTTATGAAAGCAGTAGATCGTACGCTCTTCTCTATCATATAAATGCCTGCAAAATAAACCGCTATGCCCGCCTTGCGACGTAACTATCCATCTCTTTATATGTTACTCCCACATAAAATCTCCTCTCCAATGTTCCTCGTACCTCGTACAATCCAATCAAATACACCATATTGTCTCCATCTTGATGGTGATGTGGTAACAAACAGGAAATGAGATAAAACACTCAAATCGTGGGGAAATATGAGAAAAGAAGATGCAATAAAAGCCTTGTACACCAATAAAAGGGTATCCCAAATCCTACGCCGTCATTTCGCAATGCTAGATACTCCGGGAAAAAAATAAAGTTGATGCAAGACTCCGCCCGCCATTGCGGTGCGGCAAGTGTCGGAAAACAAAAAGAAAATGAAGCAAAAAGTTCCGTGAAACAAGCATGAAGCGGCTAGTCCAAGAATAGAACTCGCGGTTTCGTAAAAAAAAAAGAAGAGAAAATCCGAGACAGGCGATGGGTCAGGAAATAGCGCATAATGGCACTCGTACTCGTAGCCCAATGGCTTGAATTTGAGCCCAATGGCCAACCCATTCAACCATCCACAGAGTTGCAATCATTCTGGTCCCGAAAATCGCCGAGCTTCAGGAATGGTGTGTGCCCAGATTAGATCCCATTAGCCGATGGATACCAATCTGGCAAAGGTCCCTGACACCTGCAAAGCGGAAGAAGCAGGTCGACAACACAGGTAAACGGCTGCCGTTTCGGAGATTTGTGGCCGCTGCATCATCTCTCGGCCTTCCAAATCAAGTAATGGTTTGATCCTGCATGGCTCGAACCTTTGTTTGTCGCCCAAAACACTGCAGCATATTATGAAATGATTATGCCCGTGAGACGATCTGCAGCGTCCCGCGATAAGACTATCCCCAGGCCGCTCGCCGAGGAGAAAAATTTTTAACGCGCATGCATTGCTTTGGGCCGTGTCGCGAATGCAAAAAAATTTTCAGTGTGATGTTTCACCCAGTCAAAGCATGCCAGCTGTCCCAACTTGTTGCTGCCCTATCGGCCAATGCCCACAGCTGGTACCTGTACGTAATGACGGCCCGAAATGGATGTTGACGTTTTCTTCTCGGCATAGTTCGTGGCATGTTGCCGCAGTGGGTGTTGTCCGACTCGTGTTCCGTGGCTCTCCAGGGCTCGAAGCCTTCCAAAACCCTTCCATGTGGAGACAAGGATGTCAACTCCATCTCAGTGCCGAATCTGCCATGTGTCACTGGAGTCTTATCGCCACCCTAGCCAAGAGTGAATGGCTCGCCATTGGCAAGCAAAAGTCATGCTATTCCCTGGTGATTTGGCAGGGACCCACTGCAAATCTGTGTGGTGGATCAATCGTAGACTTCGGCGAGAAAACCAGAGAGAGAAATCAGGGTCTGTCTCGGATCACCAAAGTAGCGTTCGCCGATGTGTTGGTCGCGATTGACAGCCAATAGAATCATGGCAAATCATGGCAAAACGCGTTTTGATCTCATGAGCTTTGCCTCGGCGTAGTGGTATGTGCCCACGAATCCATAGTCCGACGAATCCAGCTAGTCAGCATTTGGGAGAGGAATCCATCGCTCTGGAACACCACCGGCTCCAATCTCATAGGGTTTAGCCGATGTCTTTCTTGGTGGCAGTGCCCAACGTGCGCGTCCAGGCTTGTTGTTGTCCAGTTTGCCTCGTCGGCGCATAATCATTTCCATGACAGCGATGCGAATAAAGTCGGGATTTTCTCGCATCTCTCGCTGTCGCATAGCAGGAAGCGGAGGTACCGAATCTTGGGCCGGCGTTGGCGTGGGCTGGCTCGCGGGAGTCGATGGAGATAGCGGTGAAGTCGATGGATACGCATTGCGCGCCGCGGCGTCTGTGGGTCGTGTGCGCTGAATCTTGTAGGTTTGCATTTGAATGGATGCGGCAAAAGTGCCGGGTTGCTGTAGAGGTCGAGACTGCGTCTCACGCGACAGCCTGGTGGTTGGGTTCAGGTACCGGCGTAGCTCGGCAGATGGGATTTCCTCCGTGACGGGTGGTCGGCGCTCGTCAGCGTAGGGCACCTTGGGGTCCATGGTGAGGATCGAGCGGGTGATGAGATCATCGGGCGGAATGGATGGAAAGTTGATGCTTGAGAAGGACTTGGCTGCTGATCGCAGCGCTCGTAGTGATGCAGTGAGATTGGACTTGAAGACGGCCCGGAGGGGCTTGAAAGGTATAAACTGGTATGAAGTTGTTTGGTCGCCTTCGGAGCTTTGGAGACTCAGCGAGTCCAGCTCATCTTCATCTCGTGGTGGCTCGGGCGAGAGTGGATGCTCGTCAATGCTGTCCGGAGGAGAGCGAATGGGCCCAAGCGACCTACGGATGGGGCTGGCCTTTCTCCGGTGTAGAGACTGCGGGCTCAAGCTTCGAGGAGATTCGACAGAAGAAATCATGTCGGTGCCAAAAGAGTTGCCGAGAGATGGCATGGAATCAACAGAGAGCGTCCTGGCCATGTGGACGCTGCCGCAGTCGCTGCCCAAGAAGTCATCGTCCAGGCTGTCGGGAGGGGACATCAGCACGTCCATTGGACTACCACGACTCAGAGACCAGCTGAGTTCCTTCTCTGAAAGAGAGCTCTCATCGGCGATGATGGCATCGACAGTCAACAGCCGGTCCTGACCACGCTGCTTCCGCTGCGCCCGTCGGGGTCGGGGGATGTCAGTGACGGCCAACAAGGCGGCCACCGACGGCGATAACGACTCCGGCGAGCGAACATGGTTTGGGACCTTGCGACGAGGGTTATTATGGCGTCGCACGGGGTGAGCGACATCGAAATGTCGGCTGCGATTGCTGGTCTTTGGGATCTGGACGGGGCTGGTTGGTGTTGTTGGCCGACTCATCATGGTGTCTGAAACGGCCGACATTGGAGAAGAGAGTCCGTGTTTCCCCATATCCGCATCGATTTCGGAAGGGGAGGGTGACTGAGATCGGATAGGCGTGACGGTGACTGTAATCGACGATGGTCTATTTCTGCCCTCTGCATGCTTCGGGCTGCTCGCGTGTGGTGGGAGAATGGCGACGACTGATTTAGTGGATTTGGTAGAGACGGTAGATATGGAGATGGCGAGGTCTGATTCCGCTATCGTGGGCTTCGAAGAGAGAGACTGGTCTGATGATGCAGGGCGAGCAGGAGAGCGAGGGGCTGTAGAGGCGGTGGTAGAAGAGAAGAGTGCAGGAGTTGGAGGTGGGAGCCTCGGACGAGGAGTGTATAGCATCATGGCGTAGGCACGAGGAGCCGGGGGACGATAGAGACAGCCCGAGACTCTAGTGGAGACATGCCAGTTCCCAGAAGGGTCGAGCGCTGTGTTGCAGGCGAGGCCTTCTGGAATACGGACGACTTTGCACCTTGTACAGCGTACTTAGTGCGCGGCTCAGCTGCGCGTACGTAATGCGCAGGTGCCACTGATAGCTTGTACCTGTACAAGGGCGGGAGCTCCGTGGTGGTACCGACCCGTGGGTGGACGAAAAAGTTGGCCTGAAGGGGCAGAGTCAGGGAGGGCGACTGGCCAATGGCAGGCGCGCGATTAGGGCTAACGGCTGGGGAGGATTAGGTAGGCACGTCCCAACTGTCAGGCGTCCTTCAGGTGGGCAGGCGACTGGTGCCGCAACCGGCGGTGGTGCCTTGCAGCGTAATTGGTACACGGAAATGCTGTGTGCGCAGGCGGCGGGGATCGGTAGCCAAGACTTGGTTGTCGATAACACAGTGCCTTCTGCGGTGGCACCTACTCTGAGCTACGGAACGGCCGGTCGTGTGCGATTAGCTGACTCGCCTTATCGACGATGTGTCATTCGCCTGTTCTGGTCGGTGACGGAACAGAGGAAGGGACGGACGACTGCTGAAAGGCGAGATGGAAAGTATGGGAGGCGATAGTACGGGTAGCCAGAAAAAAATTGGCAAATGGCGTTTTTCTTCTTCACGATAACCGATCGTCGCGACAGATAATAATTTCTTCCCACACCAAAAAAAATATGGGGTACGGGGTAATGACGCAGCGAGTCGAGACGGCGTGCTTTAGGCCTGACAGGACAATGACCCTTTGTTTGGACCGACTGAAAATCAAGAAAGGGCCAGACGATGGATGATGGGAGATCGGGGATGGACACCGGATACGCACGAGCACGAGGACGGGCGTCTTACGGCAGACGGCAGACGGCAGACAGAGGAAGCAACATGCAGCTGAAGGGAACAAGGCCGACGGACAAAGAAGATGGCGATGGGCCGGCTTTGTACATTTACGAAGCACAAAATACCGGCAGGGGTGCAATGCAAACGCAAACACTAAAGCCGCAATTTGAGGCATCGATGCTTCACTCAACAAAGTTCCATGGACCCCCAAAGGACCCCCCATTCCCGATGCTCCTCCCGGCCCCGTTTGCTCGTCGATTATGGCATGTAGCAGTCGACGCATGTCCTCTTTCGAGCCATGCTAGTACCAGTATGATCTGGCCCCCGGATGGTCCCAGGATGCAAACGGACCCGCGCCGCGCAAGTTCCTTCTCTCTTTGCTGCCGTGGTGCATCTGTGTCGGGCAGCCAAGCAGCGCTTGGGATATGCAGGGCGTCTTTGAAGTACCAGTTATCATATGATGATTGACGCTGCGCCATAGAGTTATTGGCTGGCTGACGCTGATGGCTTGCGTTGGATTGGAGCGTGTTGGCCGGGATAAGCCAATGAACGAGCTGTCCAGGCATTTGCTGCGTACCGTGCCCTCGGACACGTCGGTCTTGTTATTTCCATTCTGGTCGTTATCAACAGCATCCTGGCCATGCTGAGAGCAAATGTGCAGGTGAGTTTAAATTGAGCCTTTTTTGCCCCTTGCGTGGTCCCAAACTCTAACCCCTGCAAAGCGATAGCATATTCTACAGGCACAAAAGTATGATTATGTGCATTGCTTTCGTTCATTACGAGTATGTGCGGCATCATATTCAGGCTCCCATCTGAGTCATATTTCTGACTGAATCCCAAGGCAGCCTTGCCGTTGACGAGCATCCCACTTGTGCAGTCACGGTCGAGGGCGTATCACACGGCTAAGGACATGACCAAGCCCAAGACGCCTGGTGCCCAATAGCAGTCAAACACACTCGCAGCAAGAGGGTCAGCCAACCACACACGTGCAAGTCCGCGTGCTCGGCCTCGCTTTGCTGGCCGACTTGTCTCATGTGCAGATTTCTAGCGGGGGTTCCTTCGACACATCCCCTCCCGTGTGAGACGTCCATGCGTTGTGCAGCATCAGCAGCGGCATCACACCCTCTTTATCATGCAAAATAGAGGAGAAGCAGAAAAACTTTTCATTCCTCACGATCATACTCGTATGCAGCCATCGAAAAAAAAAAAAATTTACGTTCGGGCGCACAACATCGCCCGCCAGCCACCGGGGGATGCATCCGTACTGGTGAAACTCAACACAAAAAGCATATCCTATCTATCGGTTCGTTACCTGTATCATGGACTTGACTTATTACAGATTCTACCACGGAGCACCTCGTACCCAGAGGGGTCTTTTTGTAGCGTTATTACTAACACCAGGTACCTCGTTTTCGTCTCACCTTCTCAAGGCGTCTTATCAATGGTGTCCCATTCGCTGCGATTAGCTTCAGTCGCTTGCCCACGATTATGCCGTCATCGGTGTATCGGCTCGTACCCATTCTTGGCCCTTTGCTTGCTCTTAACGGCTATCTCTACGTTCTTGATAGGCCTGGGCCGGATGGTACGTACCATGGAATGCGGGGAGGCTGCTAACCATCTCCATACTGCTCCGCTTCTTTACGGGGCTCTGTCTTTGGCATCGCGACATTTTGTGGGCGATTAAATCAACATTGACTTGGACCTTTTTCCCCGTCTTTTGTTTCGATTCCTCAAATCATATCCAGCTGGCAAGTGTGATTCTGCCTCTCATCACTTGCTATCTTGTTCGTGTAGCCATTCATATATCCACGTGCTCTGCCCTATTTGAACTCTGTGAACCCTCATCTTATTCCTCTCATCTTCTCCCCCTTGTCACCGCTCCGGTCGCACCCGTTCGATGACAACCCTTCTTCTCGATGACTACACAGTATATTAGCCTTCTCTTCCTGCGGTATGCGCATCTCTCCTGTTTATCAGTCGGTTAATCGTCTCTCCGTCGCAACCACCACAAGAAACTTAATATGGTACCCCATCAAACGCTACATGCATTCGGCCATGGGTGCTTTGTAATCGAACAAGTGCCTTCCGTCTGCGGCTAATGTACGCGGCCATATTCTTATTTCAGCCATGTAAATGAACAATATTTACATTGGGCGGTTGAGGATCGACGAGGAGGAGTTCCGGCAGCAAGCCACAGAGGCTGGATTCCATTACTGTGCGGTATATGACGGCCCGCCATCCTCGATTGCCAACGATGAAAAATCGGATCAACATCGTTACACGGGTGAATGGAGCCGCACCAAAGGGCCGATGACGTCTAGCCTGTAGGAGTGAATGCATTTAGTGTGTTGCCTAATCGATACCGATGCTATGCAGTACGTCTCTTCGAGCCAGCGGGATTAGATACCGCTTTGGGCCACCATGAATCTTTGCCAATAAGCCCGGATCCATTCACTTCAAGGGGCTACCTGTAGCAACCAATGTAGATCGTGACAATTTTGTTTCATTATTACATTGGCCAGGAAATTGTCAATACTGGTAAAACTCGCTGCTTCTTACCAGAGCAATCCTTTTTCCACGATTACATATTCCACCCTTCTAAAGGCGTTTCTCAGATTGGAAGCCATCTTGTAAATGCAATAATTCTGCAAGTTATTATTTCAAGCTCATTTCTCCAAGTGAGCAGGTCTTTCTGTCGGCTCTGGGTATAGAACTGGATCGAGCCACCACCTTGTTGTAACATCCTAGTCTTCGTTTCACAACTCTCTTCTTACTTTTTTTCTTCTGTAGCTAGTCCATTTAACTAATAAACGAGGGCTGTCTTGCTCATATCTTCTTTCATATGCTTTACCCTAGGATCACATCGTTCCGTGATGTATTTGTCACTCAATGTATTCTTATGACGCAGATTGGCTGGTAAACAATTGAGGTACATGTTGCAGGCAAGAAAACATCAGTCATCTTGCAATAATTGACGATAAATTGACTGGTTCGTGATGGGGAGGAGGCAACACAACAAAAGAAGACCTGGACGGGACGATCAGGGCCTATGTCTGAACCGGTGAGGCGGAAAGTGCCACACGGAGTATCGACCCAAAGACCGCTCAGCAATATATGCTATAAGAAGCGGCGATGTGGCAATGCGAAAAGAAGGTTGGCAAAGTCAAGAGGGCTCTCGTAGCACAACAAGCGGTTTGAGTATACCCTCGGCGATGTTATAGCCAGCGAGATGAGCTCACTAACTCCAATCTCTGCGAACTTATAGAAGGTTCGGAACAAGGGTATACGAGACTAGGAACCTGTGCCTGGGGCCTAGATCATTAATGTAGCTACTTTGCCAATAGGAACTCACTTCAAGATACTAGAAAGTAGCAATAGTAGTAGCGACTATATCTCAATATCTCCACGACCCTAACAGAGAGCGACAGCAAGCAGATAAACGAACACGATCAACATCGCATATCTGTGCCTAAATCGTGACCCTCTACAGCATCATCCGCGTATTGGGAGTCACAAGTTTTCTCTTTAATAGCAATGCAACTAGCGGCTATGTTGACTGCCGCTTCTCAACATACCATACCTTTGTCCAGATTTTTGACACTGATGCGCACTGCAACAATCATCATATATCCCAACTCACAATTGATCGCGCCATGAATCAATATATCATCTTAGCGAGGTGCTGTAATAGTCAGTCAGCAAATCAAAGTGCAGTTATCGAGAAAAAGTGGTTTACTCCCAGTTACAAATATCGTCATAACCATCATCCATCGCGTCACAACCCTCATTACAATAACCAATATAAAAAATGCCCTCTTCAGAATCGAGACACTGGAACAGAGCTTGGTTTGGATGATCAATAGCGCCTTGGCTAGGCTCGGGGTCATCGGTTACAGCGGCAATAAGATCGTTCTTGCTCCAACCTGTAGTGCGTGATGCTGTTAGAAAGTCCAATACTGAGATTGCTCAGGTTTGTTTACCCATATTTTTCAACGTATATCCACAGTACAAGTGGCCGCTCGTGCAACTCTGTCCTTGAACCAGGCTCATCAGCCCTGATGAAAACAGAAGCAAGGAGGAGCAAAGTTGACGAGACTTCATTTTATGTAAGGGTATAGGGTATGTCTATGTGCCGAGTTATTGAGAAGATCCGACAAAACGGAGTACCATATTGAATGGGATACAGTCCATTTAATACCTTTGTGCCTCAAGTAGTTGACCGCTATTTCTCCCTACTTGAACTCCAAAATTTGTGCATGATGTCTTACTTGAGGGTGGCTATTCACTCTCCAAGTACGGCGAGACATGCGGCAAAAACCGCAAGAAACGTCCTGAGTTTGGCAGTGTAGGACTTCTTTCTGCACGGAGCCCATAAGAGTTTGTAGCTAAGATTGATACAGGGCCAATAAATAGAACCCTAAGTACCAACTGATGTAATAATCTCCCCCAACTCCAGTCCATTGGCCCAATTCCATTCCTGCCTCTTGATGGTTTACGTGCTCAAAGTTGCACATGCAAAGTCCTCTTAGAATAAAATAATAATTTTTTATTTCTCCTTCATTTCTTCTCTTAACTAAATCTACAGTCATGTTCATAATTGGGGTCTGCTTTTCTTCACAGTAGCACTATCAGCCTGACTTGATATTCTCAGACTTGAGCTCATTCCTGCAAAAAAAAAAAAAAAAAAAAAAAAAAATGACGAGATGCTTTCCATTAAGCTTTCCCGGCAGTGACCAAAATTGTGACTTACTACTAAGTCTCGAGGATAGTTAAGGCATTAGTCAAATCTTCGATCTTCTTTTTCAGTTTCGAACGGCACCTCTTAGCAGATTTGGTCTCACCAGCGATCCCCTCAAGCTGCTGGGCTTCCAGTTTGATAACCCAATCCTGTGTGAAAACTTTCAGGGGGCTGGAAGGGCCATGCAACAGGCAATAGTCAACAGCGAGCTGAAAGACATTGTCGATGAACCGGTAAGTTGCCAGGCCGTAATAGGCTTGAAGAATGTCATGAATGTCTTCTTGCAACTTCTCCACATTGTGCTTGCCTTCGGTAGCCTTGGCGATGTCATCCAAATTGACCATATACTGAGTCTCTCCGTACTGACTGGTGTCCTTTCTAGCCTTGGGGTATAATAGCTCCGTGACTCGGTACCCCAAAGCTTTTGACCGAGCTTCGGCAAATTGTTTGTTCAGAGTGTAAGGCTGTTTGCGTTGTTCGACTTCGACCAATATTCTCGCCTGGTCCATTGCCGTCTTATAACCTTTTACTAAGCCCTCTTGTATTGAGGTCCACAATTGGCTGCGGACCTGCTCTTCAGAGCAGACGGAACGGAGTGCGGCGGCGATGAAGCGATGAATAGTGATAATAACTCTGCTCATATAAATCTTCGTCATGTCGCCCCATTTGCGCGACTGCTCTGCAAAAGCCGTAGTGAGGAAGTTTGCGTTAAATGTGCCCAGGTCCAGGCCCCTAGATCGCAAATAAACGGCATTGATCCATGCACTGAAATTGTCACACGGCTTGGGCATGGGTATCTTATCCGGTGCGATGATATCATCGAGTTCAACAAGTTCCTCCGGCGTAACATCGTCCACTTTTGCCTTCTCGAGCAGCTCTCGTAGATCGTTTACAATAGACTCGGCTTTACTATCACAATCAACAACCACATCAGCTTTTGCAGACGGATCATCCAGTCCAAGTTTCTCAAAGTGTCGTGAATGGGCACTCTCGCGAAAATCGGCACTGAAAATATCAGTAATGTTCACCACGTGGGTGATGAGACGAAGCTCATCCTGATCAAAAGCTGGGTCGGCGTTATAATCAGCTGTCAACGCTGCCCTAGTGCGATCATGGAATGTCCCAGCTATTTGACTGAGGAAGATTCGTTGCTCGCGCTCGTCATGGCGAGATGGCCCAAGGTCGTTCAGATCTCTCTTACATTCCCTAATTTTATTTCTGATATCCCGCATCAATTTAGGAAACTCGCGTTTGGTAATCTCGACTAAGAGTGACGTGAGCTGCTCTTTGAGAGCTATAATACCTACTCGATCTCGCGGCAGATTAGCCCATGGATCCTTTCGGAAAATTTGGTCAAGTTCTGACTGTTTCTCTGGGCCACTATTCGCTCCGCGATTTCGGACAAGGAAGTAGCCAAGATTGAGTGGCCGTTTCTTGCCCTGAATAAGGTCACAGACAGCGGCTTGCGCACTAGGCTCGAGTACTAAGTCTGGCTTGGTAAGAACACCGAGAGTACGCTCGCCGTTCTTGTCGTAATATTTTGCAAGCTCTAAGATCTCTTGCGTAGCAATGTCAACATTACTCGGCAGCACTGCTAGGATAATTGTGCGGCTGTCTTTGATGTATGTCTTGACTAGGTCCATCACGATGTCCATGTCATTTTTGGTTGTTCCTTGCGTAGTGGTGCGGAAGATTCCTGGGACATCAATGATGGTGAGATAGTCCTCGCGAGGTCCGTGAATCTCAATCTTAAGGACGTCTTCGCTAAACACAGTGCCATCTCCGGTTGAGACATCGGCCCGCAAACCCATTCTTTCGTTGGCCTGGTATTTCTTGAGCTGTTGAAATTGATCATGGCGATTCGAGTATCACTAACCTTCTTCAAGATGTCTAAAAACTGCTCCCGAAATTGCGAACCCGAATTCACCTTCTCGTAGAATCCCTCGACATGCTTCTTGTGCTCCTCTGATGCGTGTGGCCCAGGGGTGATGCGTATATCAACACGCTCATTGCTATCACGTGAAGATGTGATCTGCGTTGCATAACGAGTGCAGAGACTTTGGTCTCTAGGAAACGGAATTCCAGTCAGACTTTCCAGTAAGGAGGATTTGCCAGAGCTTTGATCTCCGACTACAACAAGCTAATTTACGCGTGAGCTTTTGTGGAATCGTACTGGATACCAGACTTTTGGCCTTACCTGAGGGAGAGGCACAAGTTGACTAATACTCAAGTCGCGGAGCTTGTCAACCTTCTCAAGCAATTTGGGGTCTGATAAAATGATAACTTCCTGGCTGAGGCTCATTTTTTTGAGCTTAGTGGCAGAGTGATCGGTCTTATGAAGGATGGATGTGTTCTTCATCAAGATGAGGGTCAGCGAGCATTGGCTTGGTAGGAAAACCAGCGTTTAAATAGAAGAAGATTACGGACACTTTGACTCCATCTTCAAGGTAAATCCTCTTTTGTATAAGCGAAGGAGTCATCCGTGCTGCCAAAAGTTCCGATAACAACCAAGTGTCTCAGCGGTAAGACGAGGCTCGGCTCCTGATTGGCTCTTCTTGAGGTTCTCAATATTAGAGGAGGGTCGCCAGGCTGCCATATGCATGACTGTGCAATAGTTTCGGTCATAAGAGCGAGAAGGTTCACCGAAAAATAAATGAATGCGCCGGATAGGCTGTGATGCAAGAAATTGAGCGCATTTCTGTTGGTTTGAATATCATCTGCGGTTGGCTCATTGTGAGGCACGCAAGTTTACTCCCCCTCAATTGGCCAGTTTTGAGGCTGCGTTTGCATCAAGCCCCACGCAACATGTTTTACTGAGTAGTAGTCAAGCAATGTTCTTATTCTGCGGTTAGCTCGATGAGACATGCATAAGGCATGCAATGGGGCATTTCTCTCCTCACATTGGTCAGTTTTGAGGTTGCTTTCGCACTAAGCCCCATGCAACAACAGATAACCAGATGATGGATTAGACACATGGGACACAGCCTCAGTGAGCGTGCGAGAAGCAGGCAGCATTTCTTTGTGTAGCTTTGAGTTGAGTCAGCCTGACGAAGGAACTTGTTGAGAGAAAAGTGAATATAAAACCGATGGTTGTCTCTTTAGAAAAGGGGCCTGGATTTCCATAGGCAACACAACCTCTCAAGCCTCGATCTCATATACTTCATTTCTCGTGAGCAGTCCTGGGCTTGTATAATTCAGAAGCGGCCCAGGACTGTACAGTTCTCAAATTCTCCCGTTCACACAGGAATCGGGTCTCCCGTTCGCTGAGCAGGAGGCCCGCACCACTTGATCACTGTCAAGCAACGAGCCGCGTCCTTGTAGGGCTTTCAGTCAACACATCTCCTTTGACCGTTCGGACGGCTACGATCCTTCAGCATTCTCGTTAGAGAACTTCGAGAATATCTACTGTAGTGGGTATGGACGCAACAACGCGTGCGAGTCTTGCAGTGCATGCGAAAGCGCTTCATCACCCGTTACTCTCTCGATTTTATCAGAGAACGATAGTGCCGACAGTATCCATTCGAGATCAGGAGTTTCATTTAGTGCTCAGCAAGAGAGTTTCTCAGGCTACAACCGCTTCGACGCCAACAGCATCCCTCACTCTCCTATACCAGATTCTGCCCATCCTTGGGATGAAATCCAGCCGCACCCCTACGGCTCAACCTCAGTTAAAATAACAGCAGCCTCGCGACATAATGACACCTCTCGCCCCCGTTGCGATATTTGCAAAACGAGCTTCGCTAGCAACAGCTGCTTAAAGCGCCATTTCGAATCCACACATGAATATGGCAAGGTCTATTGGGTTTGTACTGTCAAGAGCTGCAACAAATACGATAAACCAGTCGTTAGGAAGGATAATTTCAGGCGGCACTGTAGGCAGCAACACCCAACAGTGAATCCCAAACAGTTTGGTCTCTGAGTATGAACGCATCTGAGTCTCCCTTAGCTGGTAGGCCATGGTATAAGGCTCTTCAGGATCGAAGGGGTTTGTAATGCCTTGCCATCGCGGCAGAGGGCTTAGATCGTCATTATGGATCATAGCGTATAGTGAATCTCTGATACATCTAGTCCAAGACTGATGATCTCCAGATTTGCGAAGCGAGATGACTGTAATTCTTTTAAGACTAAATAATGGGATATAACTAAGAGTTGCAACACCACTATCACGCCCGATATATCCGGGTGAATATATATTGTGACAACCCATTCGCTGTTTATAAAATCGTGCTCCATCTCCAGGATTGGCGACTCCACTCACAGCTTGCCGCGCCCTACTCGTATGAAAGTCGTTGAGAACCATTTTGGAGCAGCTGACATAAAGATTAATACAGCGCTATTACGTTACCCTTAACCGTCTCCAAACCAGGTTATGCTGCTGCATAACCAATCCCCTACTACATTTCATATTAACTTGCCGGAACCGCCATGAAGCCGCTGTCAGGATCCGTATCCACACCGTAAATCAGCAAATCACAATTATACTGGACAATTCTGTTCTTCATCAGCCCCCTTACATGTCGGCCATCTGCGTTCTGGCTAAAGGGATGTATTACCCCAACAAAACGCCCCGCCTGTTAATGTCTTCACCCCAGATCAGCCTGCAAAAGACTGAGAGCTATTGAAAATCATCTCTGAAATTGAGTCCGGCTATAGTGATGCTATATAAGACATGCGTGACTGCTCTGTGTTATAGTTACCACAACAATAGCGGTTGTTTTCTGCCGATTGAGGCTGTAGAGAGTAGGCCTTTGTGGGAGCCGTAAATACAACATGACAGATCAGAACAGGAGACAGAAGGCTGTTACTTAATGCCGGGGCAGAGACGTGGTTTGCCAACACCTGTCGGCTTCCAAAAAGGGTATCAATTCTCAATCTATCATTTAAGCCCTGGCAAGTGGAAAGGAAATGACATCCAAAGCGGGAATGCACGACAAAATCAGCCTCAACACCCCGCGCACCCTCTGTCCCGTCTCCTGGATTTTTTTCATGGCCCACCTTCCACCTGCCATATTTCATGTTGTTCAAAAGCACACAGTACCCTCGGTTTAATTTTCGATCCTTAATTCTATCAATGCTATCCTGGCTAGGTGTTTCAAGACGACGCGGCCAGCAGCCAACCTGAAGCTTCAGGCGAAAGATGAATTTCTTCCAAAGCACCCCTGAAGTAAACTCGACCGTCTTCTGTACGCCATAATCTCTTATTTGAGAGATTAAAATTTACTTCATCAAGTTGAGTCATTTATTTCTATCGTTATGGCGCATCCAGCTTTACCATCCGCGTTCTGGGTATCATGCCCAATAATGCCGGAGTCCGATAATGAACTTCAGGCTTCAGCGCCTCAACTGCAGCCTTGGACAAAGCCGCCATCAGAAGCTACAGATGAATAGCAGCATCTACATCAATCTTCACTAATGCAGGTTGTATTATCTGTCATGCTTTTGTAGGCAGGTACCAGATGCGGCGCCACCGATCCTTCGATGGAGAACTCAATGAATCCAGGCCGAGCCGCCTAGCTAAGAAGGACGAAAACATGCGAGTGAAATTACACACCGATGATAAGTATCCATCGGCTTTACTACTTAGCTTTCTTGCATCCCCAGGTTTCTCGTTCTCGTTCCCCGGGTAGCAGCATCATTAATGGAGCCTTGTTTATTCAATAGATCGAGGGCATGAACCAACCCCTGGAGCCACCGTTCTTGATGCCATTTTCAACGGGCCATAACCGCGGCTATTGCTGCTTCAATATGGACGAGGTAGAGGAGGGTCCGCGTGATAAGCATGTGCTCCTATCACAGTGTCGGCTCCATCTCATTATGAGTGTGTGGACGCAAGGTTGCCCGGCATATTAGCCACTGATGAAAACATGCAGATCAAAAGCCAGACCTACAGACTACCTGAAACAAAGGCGAATCAGGCTGTATAAAATATAGTTCACATCTAATGCACGAGAACTGGCGGCCAAACTCCGAGGCTAGCCTTCGTATCCATACGCATTGGTCATTGGTAAGCCCAACCGCGGTTAGCTCTGCCTGTAAGCATCGAGGTCGCCGACTACGAGTATATAAAAAAAGAAACCCATGCATTGACATTACCTAATGCAACGGACTACTAATCATTGGGCAGAGCTGCCAGCTCCTAAGCGGCTACGGTAGCGCGGCTAGTTTGAAAGCTTGGAAGAAACAATGTTCTAGCTTTCGGCATAGCATTTGCCTTTCACGGTGAACAACGGAAGAGGCTCAAGCGGTCCACTCATCTTCCCCTGTGCTAGTATTGATTACAGGGCTGCTGACCCACCCCCTTATTACATTACATGTTCACGCCGTTTGGGTGAGATACGACGTGGATGGCGAGGCGTTTTTTAGTTTCCGATCCTTGAATTGTTTATCAGAGAATGAAGAGAACAAAAAGCTGATGGACTTGGGTGGTTCTGTGAAGCACAATTCGGGTTAATGTATCCCACCGATCGACATCCACGTCTCAGACCAATTTCTCATGATTTCTGACACTCACCAACCCTAGCGCAATCAGTGTTCCAGAAATACACCCAGCCATTGGGCCAAGATGCTTCCCACGAGGGAATGGCACGTTCATTTCAGGTTTTGGCGTTCTTTTACCTGCTCAGCCATGTGAGTGGTCAACTCGTAGAAGCGTGTGGTGTCCTGGATTTCTATACTTAGCGACGTGATTCGGCAGGGGTCCAACTAATCAATTACCAGAAACAGGCACAAAATCCCCATAAATTGCAAAATAGTCAGGCTAGAAGCGGATAACCGGCGGAGCGGTCCAGGCCAGTGGTGCCAACCAGAGGCTACGTGCTGCACTAACACGATTCCTGGGGATGGATAGAATCTGCGCCGCCTTGTTCGAAGCGCAGCTTACAAGGTCTCATACGTTGTCAATGTCAGCGCTAGTGATAGACCTTGGATGTTTGGTAGAGTCGCGTGAAATCTCTGCCGCTCCAATGTTTTCTCATCAAATAATCCATCAGACATACCGACTTTGATGGATGATTTGATTTAGGAAGAGATAGATTTTATCTGCGGCTGATAAAATACGGCATATCCTTGCTTTCAACGAGGCCGATGTGGGCTATACTTGTACACAGCATCATGACATGTAGGGCTGAGCAAGGACCCCAACCTACTATTTGGATGGCAAACCAGAATCCTTGTGTGAGCAGGGTGGATTTCCAGGTGGATGCTCCGAGATCCTTGTCCTCCATCTCCTGATTGAACTGCTCGCAGCCTTGGAAGAAGAAGGTATGCCAGGTTTAAACAGCCACCAAATCGTTCATAAGCTCGCTAGACCCCCAGCTCCCCCCGTTCCCATGCAGTGCTCCTGTTTTCTTGGGGCTTGCTTGAATGTCTAGGGCATATCCTTACTCATATAAGATGGCGCCGACTGTATGTTTGTAAAATGCCAAGCCATCCATCCGTTGTGAAACTTCTTGACTAACATGGCTGCCAAGTACGACGACTCACCCGAACTCGCTGAGGGCCACGATCTGCCCGAGGCCTATGTCAGTCCACCACCTACGGAACAAGTCTGGTCTCCTCAGCCGTCTATTGCACCCACATACACCTCTCAGACTCCTGGACCTTATGGACACGATGGGGCCTACGCAAACCCCGGTGCATACAGCACCACTGGGACATACTCGGAGGCTGGAAAGAGTGCGGCAGTGGGCGCTGTAGGAGGCGTGACGGCAGCAGTTCCGGCAACCGAAGCTGGAGCTGAGGGGACATACTCTTCATCTCCCGAATCAACCCACCCGGAAAAGAAGGCCGCCACTACTGTCGGTGGAATCTCATTGGTTCTCGTTCTCTCCATCATCATCGCCATTCTGGCTGCTGCAGTTATTGGACTGGCAGCCGGTACTGGCGTTGCCACCAAGAACTACAACGACGCAAACTCCAAGCTGGCAGTTTTAAGTTCCTCCCTGTCTGCTGTTCAGGCTACGCCTCCTCCGAGCACTGCCACTGGTACGGCTACTTCGAGCAGTACTCTTCCTTCTGGCACGCCAGACTTCAACGACCTCACCAACGGATGCTCCGATGACCCGGGCAGTGTTACTGGAAACATTTACACCTCTTCATGTAAGTTGCTGTCAAATCTATGCGATACGGGACGGACTTGGATACTGACTACCCATCTCCAGTCTTTGGCAAGCCGCATTTCACCATGTATTGCAACAAGGACACGAACAACCCTGCCTTGTATTCTCTTTTCGCTACTGACTTCAGCGGCTGTATGGATGCTTGTGCCGGATGGAACTCGTACAACACCACCACCAAGCAAACTTGTGTAGCCGTCTCATTCATTCCCTCGTGGAGCATCTTGAAGAATGCTGTGAACGGCGGCGCTCCGGGAGACTGTTACCTCAAGGCCGGCCAACAAAGCACGGCCATCCTGAAAACAGCTAACATTGGAACCGAGTGCCACGCTGCTGTTCTTCTCAAGGCGTCGTCCTAAGACGACCGCATACTGGCTCTCTAGCGCAATATTTCTTCTTTTGTTTTAGGGGAAGAGGGAAATTTCACATATTTGTGGAAGACGATGTTAATAATGTAGGGAATGTTTGGAACTTTTTGTGACGAGCACGGCGTTGGATTATCAAATTGGGAGCCTACTTGTGAAGATTGAATGGAATCTCCGAGTAATTTTGCAATGTACTTTATACCATACCTTTTCTTTGCTTTTCTAATTCTCAGGCTCTTCAATTTTACGTGAGCACTGACCAAATATGTTAAAAATTTGTTATGATTTGAGCTTTCCAAACTGTTACCACTTCAGATCTGACCCACCCACAAAGAACCACTCTCTAGTTTAGATGTCGCGAGGTTCGTCTCCATTTCGGCAGTATCAGATTCGCGAAATTTCAGCATCGAGCGAGTAACAACAAGGGTATTATATAGTGCAGTGCACTTGATAGTCTTAATCATTAAGATAGGGGCTAATATATATTATTCGTTTTTGAGATCGGGATCTGATGGGACGAAGCTAACGGAGCAATGACTCGATCAAGACAAGACAGTATGGGGCAACGAGCTCGGGCGCTAAACAACATCCACAACTCAACCACGAAATATTGATGAACGCTACCAGATTGCGATGATTGAAGGAATTCAACTTACGGGTATGGCGGTAGTGGCTTCAATGTTGAGAATCCCAATCTAAATTGTGAATAATGATATTCCGTGACCCGATACATTGTGCATTTTGCTCTTTGATACTAAGAACCTATGTATGTAAAGCGCATGAGTATCCAGCATTCAAAGGTTATGAGGCTCTTCAAATACCACAGATGTGAATGTTTTCAGGTGGTAGAATATCACCTTGGTGCTGTCTATATATACCAAGTCACATTTGAGTTATTATAGGTTAGTTAAAGAGTCTCATCATACATATTGTCAGTCATTGCGACTGCAGGGTGCATACATGTAAGCTTCACATGGTGGAATGATGGTTGCCGGTGAGCCGAGCTGACACTCGGATCAACTTGAGTGAATTACTATCCAGTTGCCATCAACACAGCCCCATGTGGATGGAGTCGCCAAGCATGAAAATGGCCCAGGCCCAACGAATGAGGGGTAAAACTGCATGAAGATGGAGAAGCTGCAGAGAGCATATAGGTACAGCCATTGGGGCGGGATATTGGATCTATGATGGCGAATAGATATTGCGCATTAAGCTCCGTTTGCTGTTGTTTCCCACTTGCATAGTGGGAATTGCCAACTGTCATATGAGGTCTGTTGGCAGCTACAATGATCATTTTCACATTCCTCTTCTTGGCAAGTCCTTGGCTCTCTTGGCCTTCTATGCCTAAACGTGGAGTTTGTGCTGTCAAATCTGCCTTGCCTATCCCCGATAGGATGGAGGTCTCGTAAGTCCGCAGGAGATATTCCCTCCATATCTACTAATCTCTATGCATGGAGCGGTGAAATCGTACGGTTTATGAATGTAGGTTGACCCTCCCGCCAATGTCTCTGGCATGACCCAATTTATTATAAATAAGACCAATCCTTTCACCTCCATTCCCATACAACTTAGTTGAATCATCAACCCAGTCATTACTACTACAACCACTCCAAAATGTCCTTTGTCGATTCCGCCCAGAACTACCGCCTTGAAGGCTCTGAACTAGTTGCTGACGTCTGCCGCGTGGACGGTAGCTGGGTTGAGAGCAGGCTCGATCTCAACAACCACGTCGGCAACAATGAGGGAGTTTTTGAAATCGGAGGCACGGGCGTCTATGGCTCCGCTGACGGAGCCTCGTGGAGACTTGATGGCACTACCATCATCACTCTGCTGTACTTGCCTGATGGAAGCTTTGGAGAGGAGCAGTTTCTCGACTTGAACGACTATGTATCGAACGAGGATGGCGTTCTCGTCTTCAAGTAAGTCTTTGTCGTGATGTTTGGGTCTTTCTATGCCTAGATGCTAAGAATGAAGCAGCTATTAAAATGGTTTACGATTATATAACGACTCTGAAAAAACATAATATCTATTTGTTAGGAGGTAACTCCTAAAGGCGCAACAAAGGAGATTGATACAGCATATGAGAAATTCTGGTGTTGATAGATCAATGCTTTACCATTGCTAGCAACTTTCTTCCGCCTTTTACCTACATTGGTAAATACTAGCAGAATAGACATTATGAAGACAAATTCATTCAACTTTTACTATTCTTTGCTGCGCATTCAAATCCGTCCATCTTCGTAGATTTGAAGGTAGTGTAGAAATATGTTTCCATTTGCAGTACCATCATTCTCAGAGGCATAGTAGTTTTTTGCTGGTATTTTGACGGGTATCGATGGAGTTTTTAACTCATGATCATTTGCATCGATAATGACAATATTAAAACAGCTGATTAGACCGTTTTCAACGGCAGTTCTTTTACTTCCCACAAAAGATGGATAGATGTGGTGGTTTAGAGGCAAATGATAGGGTCAGATCATTAGCACCAGATACAGGTGCATAGACTAGGAGGTACAAACAAACGGCACGTCTCTTATCGATAAAGCATCAGCGATGTCTCCGGGCGGGGCACAACCATCCGTGACATTGTAGCTTCCCTCTACACTAAGCTTCACCTTCATCTGCCAAACATCCGCGCGGCAGCCAAAGATGGAGGCCACAGCTCTTCGATCATGGGGTACGTGATGAGCTAATGTTTGATCCTTTTAATCTGTGTGTTTACGCTGACTTTGTGTGATGTGCGATAGAGCTGGACAACAATGTCCAGCTGGTTGACGCCAAGCGGGATGCACTCTACAACTACGATGCCGACGTCCAAAGGGACATCGCCAACGCTCGCCCGTGGCTCAAGGATGCAAACTACTTCAAGTATGTGAGGATCAGCGCCGTTGCCCTCATCAAAATGACGATGCATGCGCGGTCTGGAGGCTCGCTGGAAGTCATGGGCCTGATGCAGGGCTACATCGATGGAGAAACCTTTGTGGTGACGGATGCTTTCCGACTGCCTGTGGAAGGTACCGAGACTCGAGTCAACGCACAGAACGAAGCGAACGAATATTTGATTGAATATCTGGACCTCAGCCGCGCACAGGGCAGGCAAGAGAACGTCGTTGGATGGTATCACAGCCATCCGGGATACGGATGCTGGCTCAGCGGCATCGATGTCGAGACGGAGGCGCTGCAGCAGCAGTTCCAGGACCCCTTCTTGGCTGTGGTTATTGACCCCGATCGCACCATCAGCGCCGGAAAGGTCGAGATTGGGGCATTCCGGACTTATCCTGCCAATTACAAACCGGAGGGTGCCATTGGATATTCGTCAGACGGGTTCCAGGCAGTCCCTCTAGATAAAGCCGCCGAGTTTGGCGCTCACTCCAGTCGTTACTACAGCCTCGATGTTTCTCATTTCAAGAGCACGCTCGACTCTCACCTCCTGGAGCTCCTGTGGCACAAGTATTGGGTGCAGACGCTAAGCCAGAGCCCGCTGGTGACGAATCGCGACTTTGGCACCAAACAAATACTGGACCTGAGCTCCAAAATCAAAGAGGCAACCTCCAACATTATGCGGTCTAGGGTTAGTCAGGCAGCAGTGGTGAGCGGAAGAGGCACCGACAAAGCAGTGGAAAAGCTGGCTCAAGATGCAAATCTGGTTGCCACGAAGGAGATGTCTGGATTGATGGCAGCCCAGATCAAGGCTAAAGTGTTTAATGATTTGGGCACCCCGTCAGCAGCACCAAGGGCAACGGCAACCGGCGAAATAACCAAGTAGTCGGCTGCATACCTTCATATCATGTTTACGTGTTAACGGACCAATTAGATGGCGTTTCGAGCTGAATACAATGGATTCTTCTTTTTTCTTTTCAAATGCTGCGGGCTGTCTATGTGATTCAATCGTCTTATGTGATGTACTCTGCGGCCAAACCTAGAGGCCGACCATGATGGTTTGTTGCACGGAATGTGGAAACCAACTCGGTGCCGGTCAAACTTTTGTCACGAAGCAGCACCCCTTGGCTGCATATTTACTATCCAGACAGCCTTTGGTCATCTCTTACATGTCAGAGATGCCTTTTTCAATCAAGTTGGGCTGAAATATGAGGGCAATGCGTACTCCGTATTATACGTGGCCACGGAATTATGCGAGGGTGAATCAGCACGCGTATTGTCCCTGATGACAAAATATCAAGATGAGCGGACACTTTCCCGCCGGCTGAATTCCAGCCTCCGTCTTGGTAGATTTATAATAATGGATGTTCTTCTTTTAATGGATCACTGGGGTATATGAATGGAGGTTTATATAGCTGAGCCGGTCAATACGATCATTTTACACCCAAACTGTCGTCATTCTTCTCAAATTCTCCTACAAATTATCAGGCAATTCGTCACAATTCAACCCATACAATTCATACATTATGAAGACCTTCCATTGGATCACGATTTATGCATTAGCACTATCTGCTGCCTTATGTAGCGCACAGCTGGGTAACTTTCCTGCTGCATACGACGATGTACGTTCTTCCACTCTGAACAAGTACTCGTTCAAAGCTGACAATACCTCTCAACTAGCAAATCCAGGGAGTAAGTCATTACTGTGGATAAAACGACGTTACATCGTACTAAAGACTAGCAAAGGGGTCACCTGATGGTAAACTGGCATGCTGTCCTGCGGGATGTATCACTTGTCAAGATCCGGTAAGGAGGAGCTCTTGTTTCATATGGTGGCCTCGCTAATAGATTTATGATAGAGCGGTCCTCTTGGTTAAATAATAGTGTATGATGTAACCTAGAATTGAGGTAGCAGTGATATCAATGGTAACTAGAGCAGCACAAGATCTATAGTAACGAGTATCATAACTACAGATTCATAAGGGCATATCATTTTGGTTATAAAACTCTGAACATAAAACTTTAACACCTGTGACATTAGTTGTATAGAGATATTTGAAACCAGTTGTATTGTATACTCATTATCTGGGGTGTATTTATCCACAGACTCGACCTGTTGCAAGTATAAGTATGCATTGAGTGTTGATCGTAGAGCACACACTTTTCAATCTCAACGACTGCATTTCGGTATAAACAACCTAAAGACAAAAGGAACCAATTACACTCGCATATTCCATTTATGGTAATTCACACCTGCCCTTTCAAACGAAGAATGCGCTCGGCTTATAAATATAACATAATTATTTGATGACCGGCGGATACGTGTAAGCAGGGTGCGGTAAAATTTCCACCTGGCAAAACATTGAACGGACAATATGTATTCCCCGAGGACTATCCTGTTGATCAATCACAAATTCACTGAACCATATAAACACCAATATTTCTTGAAAATGGACTTCTCTTCTGTGTTACCCATAGAAAGAAGAGTTTCCTATTCTACCAATCATGACCATGTCCAAAAGAATTCTTTTACAGCTCTTGTTTGCCGCGCTGGCAGTTTCTACAAAGCTACCGTTTAAAGCACATTTTGGGAACAAGCCTGCCCCTTTTTTGATTGACGTGGATCAGTCTTTTATTGAAGAAACAAGAGTCAAGGCCTCTCTAACTCGGATTGCTACAGATCTTGTCCAGCATGATCCTCGTGATGGACCCCTTGTCCAGAATGTCAGCGCGATTAAAGATTATTGGACTCACAACTACAACTGGAATAAGGCGCAGAAACAATTGAATGATCACCTACCACAGTTTACTACCACAATTGATGGTGCTGGTAACTACTCGCACCCAATCCCACTCCACTTTGTCCACCGTCGATCCTCAAGGAAGGATGCCATTCCCCTGCTGTTTGTACACGGCTACCCGGGATCCTTTATAGAGGTAGACCGCGTGATTGACGGGTACTCGAATCCTCCCAGCAATGAAACAGCATTCCATGTGGTAGCTCCCAGCCTGCCCGGGTTCGGCTTCTCGCCGGCTCCCGAGTATTTCGGCTTGGGACTGCGAGAGGCTGGTCAAGCTTTTCATAAATTGATGCTACAGTTGGGATACAACAAGTATCTGGTTCATGGCGGTGACCTTGGCTCCCACACCATACGGTACATGGCTATCGATCATCCGGAGAGTGTTCGAGCACTACACACCAACCTCTGGTATCAAGTCCCCAACAAGCAGGACATGGACAGATTCAATGCCAAGAATTCCACCGCAGAGGAGGCCTTTCTCATCAACGTTCTTGCAGCATTTAGGTTGACATTACTGGGACAACGGCAAGTCTTTGAGAACCAGCCTCTCCAGTGGGCATACGCTGCGACGGATAGCCCGGTTGGTTTTGCGGCATGGGTGATATTCGAACTTCAAGCCGGCAGTCCATCTTATTCCTGGACAATAGATGAACTCATCACATGGACTATGTTGTTATATATACAGGGGCCGTTTGGCAGCGCCAGAATGTACAAGGAGCTTCAACTACGAGTAAGTCGTCCTTAAATGACAAGAGTGTTTGTGGTTACTCATTGAAAATAGGGACAAAATCCATGGTCAGGCAAGTTTGACTACATTCACCAGCCGGTGGGCATCACTCAGTTTGCCGAACAAGGCTTTATCACGGTCAGTGAAGCATGTTTGATACATCTAGTTGCAATATCTAACATATGAATAGCCGAAAGATTGGGCACCTCGCCAGGGAAATATCGTTTTCTTTAACAGCTATTCTTTTGGCGGCCATTTCGCTGCTTGGGAGGTGCCTAACGAGCTTGTTGCCGACGCGCGAGAGTTTATGAAGCCTGGTACCGCTGCATGGGATGCATATCACAAATAAAGAGACTCAAACTAATGGGGGGAATGTTCGTCTTTCAAATTATTAAACTATCGTGCTGATGAAAACAAAACTTTTGTGGCATAAACCCTTGGTTTACAAATATGGTTGAAGAATTTGTTGCGTATGGTCCCAAACTTTTTCCTGTGCCTTTTCTCGAAGTAGAGGCATGACCTTTGCATTCGGCGTGCAGTCGCAGCTGTAGTTGATAAGAAACAGTCCCTCTTCCGGCTTTTCGAGTGAGTTCACTCCCTGCTTTCCTCCCCATGGTATGCCACGACCACCAAAGGCAGCACTAGTAGCTTGAAACAAATATCTCTGCCCAGACTCCTCGTCGCTGTACCCAAAGAGATAAACAATTGGCTCGAGGATAAACCAAAAGATCCGAGCTACAATTGAGTTTTCATCCCAGCCCCTCCGCATATTTCCTGTGCTGACCCATCCGGGCCAGGAGTGGATAAACGTCACGTTGGGGTTTTGGCTGGCCAATTTCTCCAGAAAGGCCGTGTTCATAGTTCCGTATTGCATCTGGGCCCTGATAGCACTGAAATTTGCCGGGTCTTTCAAGTCCAAGTCATCCACGTTGATGTTTGCCTTCTCTAGCCCGCCCGCCAAGACGCTGATGACCCTGGGAGCCTCGGATGCACTGAGGACGGGGAGAAGATGTAGGATGAACAGCATCCGCGAATAGTATTCCAAGCTCTGTGCGATTTCCACGCCCTCGCTAGTCTCCTTCCGCGTGCCGAACGGTGCATAACCCGCCGTAAGGAACAGTAAATCGACGCGTGATTCAGTCTTTTTAATGTGCTCGCATATTCTCTTGACTTCGGCAAGCAGTGAGATCTCACCCTCAGTCCAAACGATGTCCGCCTTGGGGTTGATGGCGTTTAGTTCTTGGATGAAGGCACGCGAGGATTCTTCGGAGCTCTTGCGCCCAACAAGGTAGATCCTCACGCTGGCACCCGTGGATACGAGGGCTCTAATGGTGAACTTTCCAATGCCTGAGGTGCCGCCGGCGAAAACAGCGACACGGGGCGCCGTTGCGTCGTTGATGAGCGCGTTGGAGGCTTGTATCTCTTTGTAGGAAACCATTGTGGATAGTTGAAGATGTCTGTCGATGGCTTCGACTGGTAAAGATGAGATATGTTGATGATATTTGTAGCTTGCGTGAATGGCGAAGCATGTATCTGCCTAAAGTTACTATCCTGAAACTATCCTCCGCGCGGTGCGGAATTCGGGCTCCCGGACTTGTTGTCTATGAATCCCGTTGCCTGCATTATAGGTATCATGTGATCAAAGGCTCCTCCGATTGCTGTTGGTGGTAGCATTGCGAGATGATTTATATCGTCACGAATCGTGAGAGTACTGTTGATGCGCTGAAGAGAATCTAGGTGGTTATATCTCTTTGAAGCGTCATCCACGAATTGTCCAGGGTAGGTAGGTACCTAAGTAGCTGGTACTACCTCTGTAAGTAAGGACCCCACAATTAACGTGTAGAATGTTCCCAAGTGTGGCAGGTAATACAAGTTCTGTGTACCTGTGCTTGCAGACCTACAGGTACCTAAATAGGCACATGCAGGTACCCGTAAGCAATATAAGGTAGTATGAAAAGTTCATCTTTGCATCTGGCAGTTTCGTATGGCCAAGCGGCTGGATTTGATGCAATACAAGTAAGAAAAAGCTGTCCTAATAATCCGCAGCTTGCTATGTCAGCCATTCTCGAGAACCTTGATGGTCCAGGCCAGTTTTGGGTTCGTCAGCAAAAGGCTGGTGGGGCCGCCTAACGAATCAGCGCCGGCGCAATTTAATAACTTGATAAAGCTCTAAGGTACCCGTCATCACGACTCAACCACTAGCCAGAATGGCTGGTTTTGTCCTCACATGTGCGGCCGCCGAGAAGTGCATAGCCCCTCGTGACTGCAAAGACAATGCTCACCGGATATTTCCCGCAGACTCAGCAACCTGGTGATCCGGACAGCTGCGCTTGGTGATTCACGAATAGAAAAGAAGAAATGCCCTAGTGTTCGCCCTTCCTTTTGTTTTGGGTGTCTTGGGGTGTCTTGGGGCTCTTGGCCCCTTTCCGCAGCGACACGATGATGGACGCATGGCAGAGAGGGAATCTCCCATTTGTTCACTAATTCTCCCACTCTCTGATATCGAGTGCCTCGTGGGAGATTCCATATTGCCGATACAGGCGTGACAAATTGCAGCATCTGGCGCAGGGAGACGTGGTGGAGCTTTTGCGACAGAGGCCATCAGGGTTCTCATCACACCTTTGACGTCTGCGGGGCTAAAAAGAAAACGCCTTTTTCTCTCTCCCCAGAGCATCAAGACCCATTTCTCTTGATTTTCTCCCAATAATCGCACTGAGGCGCTCATTTTGAGTTCTCCATGTCCTTTGTCGCGTTCGCATAGCATTTCCTACGGCTCTCATCTAACTTTTGAGGCGTTCTGCAATTGTCCTGCCCCAGATCCACATCTCCCTTCTCCTTAATTGCAACTTTCCGATTCCCCGGCCGCGACTCAAGCTTCTTGCGACTGATCTACCTCAATCCTAAGCCTTTCGCCATCAGCATCAATACGGGAAACTGTCCGGAGAATCTTTATGCTTCAAGTTTCTCCTATTCTCATTCGACTGCTGAAGCGCATTTTCTTCGCCGACTGAGCATCCTCGTTCTTGCCTCATTGCCGAGGTGACGACTGACGGAACTTTCCGCATCTGTGCAATATTTCGGGCGGCTTGACATCTTGCGAACATCTTTTTTCCAAGAACACTCTCCTATTTCCAATTTCTAAATTGCTTCAGTCAAGAGCAAGTCACATCAACAAATTGACGCCATTGCCTATCTCTTTTACTTGGACGCGTCTGTTCTCATCGGACACGAAGATAAAGTTACCGATACCTTTCTGGAACGCAGTTTTATCTCCGAAGCCACTTGTCGTCTATTTATGCTGTGATAGGACACGAGAATCAGTGAGCAATACGAGCTCACTTGACGACTCTGGCTTGCGAATCGGTCACATCAAGGAAGACGAGACATTGCTTTCGTGGCAACATTAGCAACAGGATAACCAATCATGGCGGACAACGAGAATGCTTGTAACGGAGATGTTGTTGATCTCAACAATCGTGGGCTGCGCATCGGCGCCATTTTCATCATCATGGCGGCCGCGACCTTTGGCGCATTTGCACCAATCCTCCTGGCTAGACAACAGAAGATGCATGTGCCCAAATTCACATTTTTCATCTGCAAATATGTCGGTACTGGCGTCATCATAGCAACTGCCTGGATGCATCTGCTGGACCCAGCCGTGGATAACCTGTCAGATCCCTGCCTTGCTCCGCGACTCGGCGACTATCCATGGGCGTTGTGCATCAGTCTAATGACGGTCATGGTCATGTTTTTTGTCGAGCTTCTTGCTGCAAGAATCGGGGAGGATGACGATGAGCACAGCCACTCACTGGGCTCTGATAGCGATTCTGACCCGTCACTGGGTGTATTCTCTCGCAAGAAATCAATAGAGAAAGAGGCAATCGCGGTAGCCTGCCCCCACGACCTTGAGAAGGGCGGTGTCCTGCGAGGACCGGATCCAAAACATATTCCTGGCCTCCCCGACGATGTGAGTTATCCACCCGGTGGTGAGGATCACCTCGCTCATGGCCACGAGCACGATGACAACGACTCTCATGGTGGACTTGCGGGCCAGCTCACCGCCATCTTCATCCTTGAGTTTGGCGTTGTCTTCCACAGTGTGTTTATTGGACTCACTCTCGGTACTACGGAGGATCTTGTCGTACTCCTCGTCGTACTAGTTTTCCATCAAATGTTTGAGGGCCTCGGTCTGGGATCTCGACTAGCAACAGCGCCCTGGCCCAAGGATAAGCAGTGGATGCCGTATCTGCTTGGCTTCATCTTTGCCATTGCAACTCCCATCGGGACGGCTGCGGGCATCGGTGCGAGACCCAACAATGCTAATACCCAGAAGTTGGTAAATGGCATCTTCGACTCTATTAGCGCAGGCATCCTCATGTACACCGGACTAGTTGAGCTCCTCGCTCACGAATTTATGTTCAACCCTCATATGCGCAAGGCACCCTTAAAAATCCAGCTCTTTGCTTTTGGATGCGTGGCTGTTGGCGTTGCGATCATGTCTTTGTTGGCAAAATGGGCGTAATGGGTAGATTGTTGGGTTCTTTATCTTGTCTTTTCATTTACGACTGTATGATATGGTGTATATAAACTTGGGAAACGGTTATATTGGATGGTCTGGTTACTAGAAGAGCGTTGGCCACTGCATTCTGGAGTTTGAAAAAGGAAATAGATGTATATTTATTCCATAGATTTTTCAACACGATTTACAATTTGACCTGTCACTTGGCCTTGCTTGTTTGTATCATCAATGCAGCCGTTGCGCAGTTCAATATGCGTCGAACCAGCATCCAAAGTTTCAACATTGAAGCATTTAGCCGATATTACCCCGTTGCTCCAAAATTGTGAGAAGCCTAGCCAGTTGATGCACGTGGGTATCTCCTTAGTCATCTTTTTTTTTTTTTTTTTGTTAGCTCAGCTCAGCTCGTTCGCACTAGGGTCACAGCCCTAGATTAAGCCAAAGTCCACTACACTCGTGCGTCGTTGAATCTAGACGAACTTTCTTTGACCTCACGCCCCGTCAACTGTCCACCAGCTTCACCACCCCAATCACCCATCTAACACTGTTAAAATGGCCGGCGGAATCACCGTTCGCGATGTCGATGTAGGTCCTCCTTGAAAGAAAATGAAATCATGAATCTCTAGGATTTCCCCCCTTCACGATCACCTCTCGACGATCTCGCAACTTGGCCCCGAAGAAAGAAGAAGAAAATATCCTCGAAACCTCCGACGCGACGATGTTGTGGTCTGGCTCCGATGAGCCGCAGCGGCTTTAGTCGATCTGAATTCAATGCATTGAGAAAGACCAGCTGTCTGAGCCTCCGGACCAGCTACATACATGGTTGTGTATGAGCGTGGAATATATGTGGAAAAAAAATTCTTTGAGGGATCTAGGAGCAGGCGCGAGGGAGTCGCAAGACTTCTGACGACGGAATATTTGCTAATGGGTCTCTTTCTGTAATCAGGCGCAAAAGTTCATCACTGCCTATGCTGCTTTCTTGAAGCGCCAGGGCAAGCTGCCCATCCCTGGTAAGTTTTCACTTGTCTAGCTCATTCACTCCAGGATGGGGCACAGATTTACTGACATTATCAAAAGGTTGGGTTGATACCGTCAAGACTGGTCCCGCCAAGGAGCTGCCTCCCCAGGACATTGACTGGTTCTACGTCCGTGCCGCCTCCGTCGCCCGCCATGTCTACCTCCGCAAGACCGTCGGTGTTGGCCGTCTCCGCAAGGTTCACGGCACTGCCAAGAACCGTGGCAACCGCCCCTCTCACCACGTCGACGCCTCTGGCTCCGTCGACCGCAAGGTCCTCCAGGCCCTCGAGAAGATTGGCGTCGTTGAGCAGGACGAGGACAAGGGTGGCCGCCGCATCACCCAGTCCGGCCAGCGTGATTTGGACCGAATTGCCCAGACCACCGCTGAGGCCGAGGAGGAGGATGAGGAGTAAATCAAAATAAAAAAAGTCTTTTTGTTTTCTCTTTCAACTGTCATGGATGGCGGCATTGGAATGGGCGTACGGTCTTAGTGTTTGAGATGTATGAACAAGATTCCCTCTGGTTTTGGGCTTTCGGTTACCAAACTGGACGTGCCACAGCCGTCTCTTGATGATCAATTTTGCGTTCCAGTTTCATGTGATGTTCCTGTGCTCAGCTGTCGACAGAAGGATAGCCATGCCGAGCAGTCGTAGTGATGTTTGCGTCTCCATATCGTCTAGTACATGTTGTATCTGATGGCCGTCCAGGAGTCCTGATTACATAAGCCAAACCACTTCAACCAACATCGAAACCCAAAACACCATACCTACTCTCTCCCATTCCAAAGTTCATGATACTCTTCCTTCATCACGTATTCGCACTCCTCATTATCATAACCATTCCCACATACACCAATTGCTTCAAGAATTCCTTCAAGAAAGCCCCTTACTTTGAGACGATGGCAATCCATTACCGCTACATTTCAAGCTCGCCTGGGATATTTCGACGACACGCTCGCTAATATGCTTTTTGTTGCACATAGAATCACAGTCGTTGCCCCGGCAAAGTAAAGGCTGCTGCTTGATAGCTATATTTATTGCCCAAGCGGCCAATTCATCATGCAGCTATTTCAGCAAGATCACTGCGTACGCTCCTTGTGCACGGATTTCAAACCCAACACAAGCTCCTCTTCTAGGCGGAGAGGCAGGATATGCGCTTGACCGCCTGCAGAGCCGTGTTACCGCAGGCCATTACTGCTTTCAGGTATTCGCAATCGATCTCAAGTCGCTCAGCAGATTTGATCGTCGCAACTATCGAGGAGCTATCATCATTCTTTACTCGTAAAAATACCTTGGGTGAGTGTGAAGCCATCATCACTGCGGAGTTCCAGCCCAGGAGCCAAGGAGTTTGGACTAATCTAATGGCAAATGCTTTATGATCTGCAGATTCCTCGAATGATAGACTGCACTCAACGTTAACCTTTACAACTCACGGCACTGCATGGCGGCTATAATGGAGGCAGTTGCCGAAGAGTCACCCCAACCAACCCAGTTACCCGAGTTTGACCCTTCTTTTCGAGATACGGCATCAACTTGCTATTTCCACCATATTATCGATGTCACTGCCGCTACGCTCCGCGTCGAAGTGCTTGGTCCAAATCTCACATACACCTTTCGACATGAACGCGCAAAGGAGCTGCGTTTATCCGCCTCCACCATCTCTAAACGTCTGGAGTCAAAAGTGGTGGGGTTCCTCGCCCTTCGGACTGGCAGGGACCAGAAACGAGTGGTCTTGGCCTGGGCACAGAGCGGACATGGAGTTGGCCTCAGAGGCGACTTGCTCGACCCCGAACCGAGTGTGCTTCCTAATGACGTGTGGACGAAGAGGGCGGTCAACATGGGCCGCGCTCTCTCTCTACAGATGAGCCGGCCCTACGACGGGATAGTCTTTCAGACCACTGGCGTGAAGATGGAGGGCGTATTTCAGGGCAGCCACGTGGAGGTCAAACTCGCAGTCCACGCCATTTGCATCTTGTTGAGTAGCTTTGGCATCACGCAAGACTTGGATCATGTCACGCCTGAGCATCTGAAAGCGCTACGGCAGGCGGCTTGGGCCGACGGCTCGAAGCCTGCATTCGAAATCTACTTTTCGCGCAAAAACTGCCATTTCTGCGGGAAATTCGTCAGGAGGCTGCAGAGTGCCACGGGAATCACTCTGAAACTCGTATGGAGAGACCGACTTGTTAAAAAGGTGTACGAAAATAGGCGGATGGGCGAGGGCCGTGCGAATCGTCCACAGCCGCAGGATGCGATCCAAATCGATACCGACACGGTTATGACGGATGATGTACATGTTATTGAGACTGTCGATCTCTCTGGTGATCACCCAGTTGTTCCTGAGATTGTTAATCTCACGGGCGACAACAACAACAACACCAACTCCGACCCGTCTCTCCCCGACCAAGAGCCAAACAGACGCGCTGAAGGGGACACTTATATCGAAGGCCTGGCATATTGTGTCGGCCAAATCGACGAGTGCCCTGCAAGCGCCCGAGATGCCATCCTGACGCTTGCCTCTCAACAGCAGCAACGCAGAGCTGCGAATCTGGAAAACATCAACAAGCCTCTCCCTGCTACGCCCCAAATTGCGCCTCCAGGATACGCTACGGGCATTTTTGCGGACACAGAAGAAGCAGAACCCCAGGAGGCCGTTGAAACGGCAATCGCGAATTCCTTGCTGACTCCACCATCCAGCGGCGGCAGACAACACGTCCGTGCCAACAGTAGCCGTCCAAGAGCTTCGCAAGGCCACACCTGGACTCGTAACCCCCGCCCGCAAGCACCGCGTGTACGCATCGAAGAAATAACTCCGAGTCGTCCTCCAAGCAGGGGCCGTGACCTGCGCAAGGATGGAGGAGCGTTGAGAATTTTTACGGCTGCTCCCCATAACACTAGGTCTACTATGTGGATTGAGCTTCCTTCTCGTCGGTGCTCCGACTCTCCTGATCCGTTTTGAGTGCATTTAAAGGGTGCACACTGGCTGGAAAGGGGGCACTCTGAATGTGATGTGAAAGTCACTGTTATGAGCTTTTTCATGTCTGTAGTACTAGAGGCATTCAAGCTTTCTACTTTTTTTTTCTTTATTAATATGCTTTTTATGATGCATATCTTACTCTGCCATCAGCATATATATACATAACTCAGTCACACACTCATCAATTAGCTTGTTTTCTTCATCAATCCTGCTCTATTTCCCAATGTGCGTATACAAGACAAAACAACTCCATCACAAAAACAATTAAAAAAAAAATCATCCTCAAATGCACCAAAACACCAAAATCCTCAATGTTAATCATTCCCCTGCCCTCTGCCGTATCACATCTCTAAATGCATCCCCCAAAGCCGTCACCACAACACTCACATCCGGGGCCTTCAACTCCTCATCTCCCAACCCCTTGCCTCCTTTCAATTTCCGTCCTCCGAGACCAAGCTTGCCCATGGTGGTGACGTATTTGACGTCCTCGCCGTGACGAAGAGGGCCTTGTTTCGAAGATGGCGTGATGATTGTCGAGTCGAGGAGTGACTGCCACTGCGAGAGATAGATTCCCGGACCAGATGCCGTAGTCCGAGAGGTAGATCCAGATCCAGACCCAGATCCAGATCCAGAAGCATCAATGACGGCCTGTAACCGCCTCTGCGAGAGCTCAGTGATAGCCGCAAGATACCGCGCATGCGCATCAACAGCCCTCAACACCTCCTCCCGCACCGCCCCATCAAGACCCCCAACCATCTCATCAAGCTGCTCCTCCATCCTCCTCTTCGCCCCCAGCCCCTTATCACCGCCCTCAGCATCCGGCTTTCGAAACCTCACGGCGATATCCTGCCCCCACGCGGGAAAGTCCTTCCACACCTCGGGACAATTCTTGGCAAAGTCGTGCACCCATTTGTACAACAGACCTCTATGGTTCCGCAACAGCACCACGTAATCCTCGACGCTCGCCCCATCCTCTTCGTCCTCTTCTTCCTTGGAGCTGCCTTCGCCGCTGTCGTCCTTTTTCTTACTCCTCTTCACTTTCTTGGGTCTGCTAACGCGGATAAGTTCCGACACGAAGCTTTGTATCGCCTCGAGATAATACCGAATGTCGATTTGTGAGTGCACGCTCCGAATCATGGGATCGTACGCACCGACGACGTCCTTGATGGCTTGGGTAAACAAATCCGGCGGCTGCCGACACAATACCGACGTGATGGCGTCGCGATCATGAACGGAGAGCAGCCCAGAGTAATACTCCAGGCACTGCGTGTGCTGAGCTTCCGTAAGAGACGACGCCAGCTGCGGATCTGAGGCATTAAGAATAGCCACGATAATCGACTCTGAATCCCGCGTGCTGGCCTCTCGAATAGCAAGATGCTCGCTCCGAGGTAACCCAACATGTAACCGAATCGCCTCTAGCATCTCATCCGTCGGCGCCGCATCTCCCTTACCCTTTTCGACCTTATCAACGCTCTTCTTGAACTCGGAAGCATCCCACGATAAGGCCAACGAAATGATTCTCTGCAGGAGATTCATCCCGTCGTCTGCGTTGGCCGTCAAGCCGACCCAGTTGGTCAAGCTGGTGACGCTCAACTTTGCCAGCATGAGGCGCATCATGCCGCTAATCATAGTAGCTGCGTTTCCGATGCGCAGCGTCTGCTTGATCATCTTGTAGGGCACCAAGCTGTTGAGATTCTCAATCAGTTTGAGCAAGTCCTGGCCTTCTGGAGAGACGGTAAAGGTGTGATGAGCAAAGGTGGCGACGCTGTATCATCGTCAGTTGGCCAATACTTGCAGGAGTCGATTTCTCGCGGAAAAGGATAAACAAGAACTCACTTGATAATGGCATAGTTCAGCGCAGCCTTGACAGCCGGCGAAAGGCTCTCCACATCCTCCGTCGCCGTGACATGCTCCGACACCTGCTCCATCAAATTACCATACGCCCAATCCTCCAACACGTGTCCAAATGCCCTCAGCAGATCCTCCGCCTTGGTTTCGTCGTACTCCCTGCCCGCCGCATCCTCGCCCGCCCTGTCGACGCCGCCCAGGATCCCCCTCGCCACCATCTCCAGCACGCTGCTCGCCCCCGTCGCCAACGTCTTCCTCGTGCCCATGGCGCCCTTGTCGTAGCTCTCCGACAGCTCGGCCTCTGCAAAGCGCGCCAGCAGGCCCTGCATCCTCACGTTCCAGAACTCGGCAGGCAGGTCTCGCACGCCCGGCAGCGGCAGCACCAGCTTCGTCAGCATGAACTGCAACAGCGGCGATGTGGATTCTGTCACAGCCTCGTCGTCGCTGTCAGCCTCGCCCTTGGCCTCATCACCACCATCGCCATCTCCCTCACTCTTCCCATCATCCGTCTTCTCCTCCGCACCCCGCCCCCTCCCCCGCCAAAACGACACCGGCGTCCTCGATCTCGGTGTCCCCGCCTTGGGCGTTCCCACCGCCGACGCCGTCAGCTTCGGCATCGTCCTCGTAAACGGAAACCCGTAGCCCGTCACCGCATCCGGGGCCTTGAAGCCTTCAATCTCGGCATACGTCTCACGGTGCGTGAGGATGTCGAATAGCGCCCGCGTCTGCTCCCCCGTCAGCGCCCTCGTCGTCGGTGAATGCGCAGGCTCAGACGCAGATGCAAGCGCCTCTGCCGCCTTTGCCGCCTCCATGGCTGCAGGGAACGATTGAGCTGGATATGCCTATCTGGCTTATTAGAGATGGGCCCCCAGGCAGAGATATTTTATCGCATCCTTCCGCAGAGTGGCCTTGTATGGAGAGAGAGAATCAATAGGCCCCTAAAAATGTGAAAAGATGAGTCCGCGATGTTCATACGGAGCTATCTATAGCATACCTGCACTCATGTAATGCATTTGGGTGGCGGTCAGTCATGGCACATGGATGGAACAGGTGAGTAAGCATAAGAACAGCAGCAAGTTACGTTGGCGTATCCGATCTTCGATTCCCTGTTTCGATCGGCTAGTGCAGAATCCCGTCCAGCCTTTTCAGGCAGTACTTTGCTACTAACAACGCCCTATCGACCGATACGAACATCGAGCAGCTTGGCCTTGTTAAGGATCCAGGTCACAAGCTAAAACAAAGCAACAAGCAAAACAGGGGACTAACAAAACCTCATGGATACGTCGTGAACCCATAGCCGTAAACTCAATTGGGTACTAGCCGTAAGCCACCGAGATCATCCTACATGTTTAAGTTTCTGTCAATCCCACCCCCAACTTCAGGTAGAGACGTCATTCACGATGCCCCAAGATGGGCCCAACGCATGGTGACAACAAATATATTCATCAATTCAATTGCTACACAACTATCATTACTGTGGTATCAGGTAGGCAAGTGCCAGGAAAGGAGCGGGGTGGATAGCAAAGAAAAAGGGCTGTCGAATCGTGACTCAATAGGGCATTAAGTATGAAACCAAAAAACCAAGAAAAAGAAGAGGAAAAGGACGGGGAAGAGAAAGGAGAGATGGGAATAACGAAGATGAATAAAATAAAACACTGCTACGCCTGTCCCAATGGGTATAGAACTTGCACGTCTCCATCCCCAAGTGACTGCTCACTACTCTTCTTCCACGCTCTGGAAATGAGCCCTTCACTGCATCCCTAGTAAGCAGTGAGAACTTGTCCACCAAGGGAGTTGCCGCTTGTGCCTTCTCCGGCCGTGAAACCACCTCCTGCATTGCCTGAGCCATCAATGTTTCCGTTTGCGCGCCCGCCAGCTACGGCATGGGCCTTTCTCTCGATACGAGGCACAGGAGGGATATCCGTACTCCGTTGGGCGTCACCAATGGAAAAGACGGGGCTCTCCCACCTGTCGCCCTTGCCAGCAAGGTCCTTGTATTCCGTGGCCTTGGAGCTAATGCCTCCGGGCAGGGTAACGTTGGGGAAGATGCTCTCCTGTTTGGTCATGGCGACGTTGACCTTCTTGTCCTGCGTAAAGGCCTTTGCCTTCTCCTTGCCCTGAAGGATTCTCTTATGCATAGCATTGTAGTAGCGACTATAAATGTTGGGTGCGTTCTCAGGGTCATTCTTGGCTTCTTCAAGAGCGCGATCCGCCTCCTCCTTGACCTGGAACAGAAACTGGTCGGCCTTGTCGCACTCGTCCTTGATGGCTTTCTCAATGGCTTTCTGTAGCGCCGGACGGACGGCCCTGAGAGCAATGGGCTTGAAGAGTGTGAATAAGAACTTGTGCCTCGACTTCTTAATCTTCAGCTTCAGGCCCTTAACGTTGACGTCCACCTTTTCCACCTTGAAGACGTGTTGAGCGTCCTTCTTTTCTGGAGTAGACACCTTCAATCTGAAGGAGAAGCCGTCACCGGGGAGCAATAGATCGAGCACTCCGGTGTCGGTGAGGGAGGGGAACCCAGATTTCTTCTTGATATGATAGCTGACGTCTCGGAGATCCATCTGAATACCAGTAACTTTTATGTCCACAGTATTCTTATGCTTGTTGGCAATCTTCTTGCGCCCCCATCGGAAATAATTGTCGCTGGCGATTTCAAGAACGTTTGGCATGAAATTATCGCTCTCGAGGACCAAATTCTCAATGACTGCATCGAATTTAGGATCCGAGTATTCGATACGTGGAATCGGTACATATGCAATATTCTCAAAAATGGCAGGGATAATGATTTCGGTTAGATCTTTGACGAGGTGAGGCTTGAATGTCGGCTTTCCATTTTCATCATTTCCCAGGTCCTTGAATAGCTTCTGGACTGCATGGCCAAACGCCTTGTTTTGGGGATCGTGGTCAAATTGATCCGTAATGAACCTGACCTCGTCGATAACGCGGTCGGTATGGCCACGATATTTCTCACGCAGCAAAAATCGGCCCTTGTCATAGAGCCGGTTCCACTCCTCCGTGGAAGCGTCTTCGAGGACATAGCCCTGCTCCAACAGGCATTTGCGGATGTAGGTGTCAACTTGCTTGAACCAGTCTCTGAGTTCCTGGTCTTTATCGGCATCCCTGTAGATCTGGCCGATGGACTGCCAAAGATCCTCGGTCGAGGTACCGTTGGCGAAGCGCTCAATCAGAGTGCGCAAATCTTCCTCGGCTGCGGAAAGCCCAGTTCGGACATCCTTGGCAGAGTCAGCAGAACCTTTTCCATAGTTGCGCCCATGTCGGCCGTATTCCTCAGCCAGCCGAAGAAGGGTCTGCACAGCTTGGGAGTAGTCAGGGTGTTGCTGGCATTCAAGGACAATCTTTTTGAGACGGAAGATGACCTGATCCCTGCGCTCTTGGGGCATCTTCTTTTTCAGGTACTCTCTGGCCTTGCGGCGGTACTCTTCATTCCGCTTCTTAGCCTTCTCTTGCGTCTCGTCGTCCAAATTCCGATCCATCTTCTGGTTCACGACTGCCTGAGCCGCGTCGATACCAGAGGTTGCATTGGTACGAGAGGTGCTTGTAACTGTACCTTGGGGAGCCGTAGCTTGAGGCACTGCCCCAGTTGGGGGGGCGACTTCATATTCTGGAGCGACTCTAATCTGAGGAATGTCTCCCTGTTGGAGTGCTACTCCCTGTTGAGGTGTCACTCCCTGTTGGAGTGCTACTCCCTGTTGAGGTGTCACTCCCTGTTGAGGTGTCACTCCCTGTTGAGGTGCTACTCCATCTTGAGGCACTGTTCCACTACCAACAGCAGCAGCTGCGGCAACGTCTTTGGCATCCTGTTTGACATCGCCCTTGTAGATGGCTCGAGCTTGATTTCTAAGATTCTCCTTGGAAAGATCAGGCTTCTCGTGCCATGTATTGTCTGGTGCGGCCTGGTCCATTTGGCGGAGTTGTTCATCCGAAGGGCGAACCCAATTGGCAGCGTTAGTAGCGCCATCTCCAACCATATCACGGACCAGAATACTAGCATCCTTGACTATAACAGAAGAGTTAGCTGCAGATAAATGGGACATTGAGACCAGCCTGGGCTCCACTCACGAAGTTTCCGGAACTGCCCATTGGTGATGAGCAAGGTGCCCAGAGTCCTCAGTCCTTCGAGAGCGTCATCTTTGTCTCGTGATGCGGTATCTTTGGTCAAGGGAGCATCCGGAGACTGGATGCTCTGAGTGTCGTAATGCGTAGTCTGCCAGATGAAGTCCTGAATGAGGTTGCCGTGGTTTTTGGACAGCAGGAGCTGTTTCGCGAGCTTCACAACTTCTCTGGCATCCTCAGCCAGTAGTTTTCCCTCATCAGATAGTTTATCAGAGGGGTGAGCGATTGGTCTAGATTGCAGGAAGCTGTTCAATGCCACGTCGATTTGATCATTCTAGAATCCTGGGTCAGCACATGGCCGAATTATAGCACGCCCGGCTCTCGTCACGAAAGGCAGAATACAACATACCGATGGGAGTTTCCCATTCTTGAACGCATGAAAGATGCCGTATATCTGAAGCTTGCGGTTGATGTCATCCTCCTTCTGCTTGATGTCGGTGGGTCTGTTGACACGCGCAGCCATGGTGAAAAAGGATTTGCTATTCTTAGGATTGTAATACTGTTTGCTGTTTTAAAGCGAAAAATCGAGAAGAGGAGAGGAGAGGAACGAAAAACCAAAGGGCGCCCTAGCTGCGTTGCGTAACAGGGCCTCTTTGCAAGGAGAAGCGAAAACGGGCAGAAAAAAAAAAGGATGTTCGATTTGGTAGGTATTTTTGTTTGTAGACGTGAAGAGCAATAGCTCTCGGGGTATCACAAGAATTAAGGGCAATAATTGATGGCAGCCCTGCCAAATTGATGGAATTGCACGTTATCAAATTGATGAATTGAAGGGCGGAAGGGAAAGAGAATGAAGGGTAAGAGCTGGCTGCGACACCAGAGAGTTTATACTCAGTAGCAGCTGCCACGAAATAAAACGAGCTCCTCGCTACTTCCATCGCTGATCGACTGCAACTACCTGCTACCCAGTTGGAGCAGCTGCCACGGCAGTCCAGACCGGGCACCTGTTGCCAGTTTGATGCCCATCTCAGTGAGTGACGTTGACCGCGGGTAACAAGTACGTCATAGACGCTTTTTCAATTCGTCGTGCCATTGAAGCTAGACGACGAATGAGAAAAGGCGGAGAAAGGGGTGTAGGTGTAAGCTTTGCAAGCTTGTTTGAGCCACGGTGAATGATTTTCTCGATTTTCTCCTTGATTGGTACTGTTTCTGGCCTGGTGCTGTTTCGGAGAGAGGCGTCTGCGGATTGAAATCAGGCTGGACTTCGGGACAGGGGCGTGTACAGAAGTATGGCGGCACGATTCAAACTCAAATATGGAAATTAGCAGGACATTTACATGTCACTCAACGAAATGAGCCCTTATCTATAAGCATTATTATTTTTATTATATCTCATCCCATGAATTGCATCAGCAAAGAGTTCCATTGTCCTCACCCATTCTCACCTCAATAAATAGCATGTGAAGCTCATCAGCCGGCCACTCCCGGCACTTGGGCTGGAGACACCCCGCATACATGCATGTACATACCTACGGGTACTTCGACAGCGCTTGACCCGCTGTGGCGATGCCTGGGGAGGCGCCCTGAAATTGGCGTGTAAGCGTCATCGAAGCCAGCGCTGGAGATCTTGCTCTCCCTCCATCTTGAGTATTAGTACACTAACGAGATGCACATCAATGACAGAATGATGCAATCGTTAAAGAGAGTGTTTTGTGACACTACAGGGTCAATCTATCACTGATTACACGTGAAAGCACTTCACGATATGTCCCAACCACTGCAGATTGCCATCTCTCGAATGAGATCGTCATTCAAGCCCGGTCTCCTCCTGATGGTACCACAAACAATGCCGAACGTACCAAATTACAGAGGCTTGAATTTCATTTATTATCATTGATATTTAGATTAAGAGTGGAGTACTCTGATAGGTACTAGTTTTCCGAAAGGAACATAGAAACAAATCCAAAGTACTACTAGCCATCAACATTTCAGTTTGATGGCCCAATGCCTCTCACATTGAGATAGCACTCATGTCGTTCATCATTCACATCCCACCCAATGCAGTTCCAGCACGACATCAAGTTATCTGGGTCGAGCTGCTTCTTGATAGCCAGCAAGCGGGCGTAGTTCTTTTCGCCCCAGAAAGATCCGATGGCATCAGGCTCATAAACGTCAGCCTCGTTCTGATACGCTCCGGCGCCAGGCGTAATGGCACGCATGGGGTCCATTGCCTCGCTGATTTCCTGAAACATGGTCGCGAGAGCTTCAGGGCTTGTGGCGACCGGGTCTGCTGGATCCCAATTGGTTCCGTAGGTCAGATGCCACATGGAATCTCTCTGTGCAATGTGTCAGCTTAAGTTGAGTCTTCCAGCCATTCAACTTCATAGACTAAACTCACCCATGCTGGCGATACCGAAGCCTCGCCTGGGCCACCAGGCTGATCTGACTCGGCCAATGTATAGTTGGTTGGAGATGCAATGACAGCCCCCCAGCCAAACTTGTTAGCCATGAGGGCGTCAACAATCGCCTTCTGGCCATCCGCGGTCTGGAAGTTCTTCTTAGGCACCAATCTAGATGATCGAGTCAAGGAAACTCCAGCTTCAGGCAAAAGAAGAGCGAGTAATGCGGGGTCGTTCTGTGCGGCATACTGATTCGGCTGCGTCTTGAACTCCAGGAGCATCGACTCGCTGCCTGGCAGAGATTGAAGATAGTCGGTCAGCGGCTTCAAAGTAGCCTTGGTTTCGTTGAGGTTGAGGTTGGCATTATAGCCGAGGAATATAATATTACTGCCAGGTTCTATGCCTGTCACTCCGTAGAGACCTCCAAAGCCCTCATCGGACCATCTCTCAGCATTTGCAACCAGAATCTCGTTGGCTGCGCGAACGTCCTGTACCGGCATTTGCAAGAACACAAACTAGAGCAAGAGCTCGCTGTCAGCTATGATAACATATGGGCAGCTTGGGAAATGCCAATATGTCGGACTCACCGAGAATTCCTGGTCCTTGTGAAGCAGGGTGGTGGTTTCTGTCACCACTCCAAAAGTACCTCCGCCACCGCCACGAAGAGCAAAGAAGATGTCTTGGTTCTGGCATCGATTTGCCGTTACATAAGTTCCGTTGGGCAGTACGACTTTCATCTGCTGGGCGTTATCCACGCCGAGGCCAAAGGATGGCGCAAAGATGCCGTGGCCACCGCCAGCAACCCATCCTCCCGAAGGTCCGACAGTAGAACACGAACCGGCTACGCTCTAGAAACGCAGAATCAGTCAGAAGTGGTTTCCTGAGGCGTCGAGATGGCCCGGTACTTACCATATAGCCTGTCCCCTGGAGGCTGCTGTACAGATGAGTACCGATTTGGCCGGCGTGGTACGTTACAACAGGTCCGACAGGGCCAGGGCACCCATCGGGAGTGAAGTTTTCTGTAATCACTGGGTCAGGAGCGAAGTTGTGCGTCCAGATGGCAAACGTATTGACGCCGGCGCTTCCGCCCCTGTAATCATGGCCAGTATTCTTTACGGTGATGGGAAGCTTGTGCTGCTGAGCAAACCGGAGACTCTTCTGGATGTCTTCAACCGATTGGGCATCCACATAATAGTCAGGCACAGTGCCTTGAAAGCAGGTATCATTGCGAACCCCTTCAGTGGCAGTCAGGGTGCATTTCTGGCCGCGTTTCATGCAAGTGCTAAAGGTCGGGTTATGGTAACCTCCAAATCTCGAGATGATGTCCAACGACGTCGACAAGCCAGATTCAACTGCTTGACACTGCGCCACGTTTGGCGCATTTGCATCAAGCCCCCATGCACTTTCATAACTGGTAAAGCACGGTAAGCCCGCAGGTGTGGCAAGGTGCAACCGACCGGAGACACTATCATTGAGTGACTTCCATGCCGAATCTGAGACGGCAAAGATGTTTGAGGTAGACGCTGCCGTTGCACTGGCCGCAAACGCAAGGAGCGGCAACGCTTTCTGAATAGTGTTGGTCCTCTTACCCATCTTCTCCAGTTAGTTCTGATGGTAGATGGTTGTGAGGAACATTAGACATTAGCGCTCCAGCTTCATATATACATGTCCATATATGTAGCGGCAAGGGTATGCCCTTTCTTGTGGAACGTCAGCTGCAGCTCCACCATTCGATGCGCGTCTTGATACATTATGAGACATGCATAATCTAGATGTACTAGTCGAAGAAGTTGACAATGTATAGCTACTGCGTAAAGAGTACATGTAGTTGATTACAAGGTTACCACTTACTACCTATGTATGAAGACGGGACACTAATACGGATACGACTGGAATAGTCATCTGGCGGATTTAGCGCATATTTGCCTGAATTCTTTCTACAAAGTCAATGCATCATCGTTCGGATTCTTGATAATCTGATTTGAAGATTGTATGTTACATTGCTTGTAATCTGCCGGTTTTGGATGCCGGTGCTCGTTGTTGCATTGCTCCTTAAACGCCGAGCCCAGTTGATTGTGGATAGATACGTCCAGTAGTCTGACACGATGCGTGCTTACAACTCTATCAAATAGTATTAGTGCTTCATCAAATAGTATTAGTAATGGATATTAATGCTGCGACAGGACATTTTCAGGCAATGATTCCGATTGTGTTTTGAGTTAGCGTTATTCAAAAGTCCCCTGGTAAGAAGCAATGATTTCATATTGATCTGTGTCAGCCCAGTCGCATTCGGTCCAGAAGCGAGTTGTCATACGAAGAATCCGAAGCAAGTGGGCGTGATCACGAATACTTAAGAGCTTGACTTCAGCGGGAGATGTTCTGAACGAGACCCTGGCACAACTAATCAGTTCATAAATCATTTCATATCAAAATGGGATATGTCCGGCATGTCCAGAGCGAGGTATCCTGACAAGTGCGAAAGTGCTCCGTACGCATTTACGGCTATTGAGCCCCAGTAATAGCCTATCGGAACTTGGTGTGAGGGCATGTCCAAGACTTTCCCAGTTCCAGGCTCGCCATGTGCAAAACAGAGATCGTTTCATTTTTGGGTCTCAGACAAGATGGTGGTAATCAATGGCCACAGCATCGATGGTAAAAACAGCCGTTACGATAAGCTCGATTGCTACACAAGTACCGAGATTAAATCCTCCTAACTGGGGCACGGATCGTCCCGAAGCTTATCTCGATCGGTTGAGCATACAGAAAAGCTATTGGCTGTGCTTTGCATTCTTGACAATCAAGTTCAGATTGTGATGGAACGCCCGATGCCCTAATTGGCTGGGCGATAAGGTAGAGTAGGTGGATGGCCTGTTCCTTTGAAGCTACCCGAGTGTGGTCGCGGCTGTATTAATAGTATATTGCCCGGATAATATTGGACAAATGAAAAAAGACCGTGCCAGGAATAATTGCGCAGCTTGGGAGGAAGGACAGATGTAAAGTAAGTGTTGTACCATATACGGTGGAATTAGAATTTGTCAAGTACCTTGGCAGGTAAAAGCTTTGTTATATCTAGCAGTAGTGAGGTTTGCTCAATTACCAATGGTTATTTAGTACCGTACGGCATGTTCCGTCACAATGCTGTATTGAGTCGTTTATTCTGCCCGCCACTTCCATTTCAACGCTGCAACTGGGCCACAAAAAGACGGACAAACTCTGTTTAGTGTGAGCCGTACCGGTACAAGCAACTGCTGTCCCACGTGACGCGCAGCCAATCCAGCTGCTGCAAAAAGCTTAAATCCCATGCAGGGAACCTTTACCACCAATCAGACACGGATCACTTGACTGCTTCTCAGACCCGGCCAGCAGCCGAGGTACCAGTACGCAGCTCCGGAAAGGCACGAAGTAGCGAGGTACTAGCCCAGGACCAATTAACGACCACTCGCATCGTGGCTCAACTCTGCACCAGAACCTTCTCTTCCGATTCCATCAGGGCCCATCATGGCCATGCGGCTGGCCATGTCTTCTCTACACCAGAGCAGCTATCCGTGGGCAGTATAGCATTGACCGCGCCAGTTGGCCAGCATCCCGCCATGTATCCCGCCAGGCCCCGTCTGCCGGCGCTGGCCCCTCGCCTGCCAGGCAATTCGCCTCCGGTCGTCGAGAGGCCGAGCGTCAAAGAGCATACGGAAAAGGAGTGGGCCGCGCGGAAGGACCTCATTGAGGCGCTCTACATAGGCGACAATCGCAAGTTGAACGAGATTATGGCTATTATGGAGACCAAATACGGCTTCGCCGCTACGTAAGTCACGGTCCTGCTGCTTGTTGTTTGTTATGCCTACCTACCTACCTATTCGCAACCTCGTTGCACATGCCTAGGTACCTACCTACTACCCAAGGTACATGCGAGTACTGCTCGTATACGAGTATAGGCAAAATCCCACAGCGAGGCGAGGGGTGACTAACCCAGTGTGCTAACCCAATGCAAAAGCGAGCAAATGTATAAGAAGAGATTCAAGAAGTGGAACATAAGAAAACGAGCATATCGCAAATCGGCTGTTGAGACCAAAGTCCCTACTCCAGCCCCCACTCCCACTTCCACTTCCACTCCCGCCTCCACATCTTCTTCTTCAACCGACTCAAAGCAAGAGGATGACGACGATGTCGAGGAAGTACCAAGGACGCCAGAAGCCCCTTCAGTTACAGGCCTTGACCTGGTGCCAAACCCCCAATTCAAGCCCCTCGCGGATCTAGAGTTCATCTTGAACGGTGTCATGTCTTGGAGCTCGGAAAAACTAGAGTCTTATCGCATAGCGTCCGATCCCATGTCCCGATACCTTGCCACTCCCAACAAGCCTATTCAAGACAGCCGCACCATGTACCGGACGTTCGAGTTGGTATTCGACTTGTGGTCCTATGGCAAAGGCGACCTGGCGGGCATGGCTGCCAGGAAGGGTTTCTACGTGATGGAAACAGTCTTGACCGAGGATCACCCCGATCTTCTTTGGCACATGCTTGACACAATATTTGACATGATCGACCGAGGCCATTTACAGCTCCTCAGCATGTTTATACGGCATGCGCTCGTCCTGGCACGGAGCCGCTTTCCTGAAACTCACCCCCTCATCCGTATCCTTCAACAGCTCTTATCATGCGACTATCAAACCGAGCACGGCCGCCAATTCATCTGCTATCTATTACGGCAAGCATGGCTACGGAATGTCGATCTTCTCTCGGAGCACATTAAAAAATCAGCGCCCCAGGAGTTCTGGCTATATGAGCAGTTGATCTGGGATGCCCGGACGAGACTACGTCGGAACAATGGGCTTGCCAATAGACGAGAAATCATGTATGAAGGCCTCGAGAATCTGGTCCACCATGAAGAACCCCCAGAGAATGACGGCAACTTGGAGAAACTAAGAGTTGACGCCCTCATGCTGGAGTTTACACAAATGGACCTAGATGACAAGGAGAAGGCTGAGAAGATGGCGTTGGACTTGCTGGATACTACCCAATTCTGGTCAGGAGCGCTTTCAAATGCCAGATTCCACGCATATGCCCGCAAGATGCTGGCTAGAATATGTGAGAGCAAACAGGACTGGGACCGAGTTGAAGAGAATCTAAAGTACGCCATCCACATGCGAGAGGCAGCCCATGGTACGACCTCCAATTTACGGGTCATCCGAGACATGTGGGTGCTCGCCGCCTACTATCAAAAGGTTGGCAAGATAGAAGACGCTCTGCAAGTCGCCCAAGATGCCATCACCAGAGCGCAGCAGTATTTGCACGATATTCCAGGCTGAATTTTTACATGATGAGATTACGGATCGCAAGGTCAGTTGGCGTTTAAAGAGAGTGGAATAATAACATTGGCAGATTAGGAAGTATATTTTGGGAGGCTGGTATTTTGCTTTGCTTCTTTTAGTTTATAGAGTTTTATTTGATGGATAGGTAGCTATTGGGTTAGAGGCGAAGTTGAAACTCGACTGAGCGTCGACAACAGCATACAAGTAATACTATTTTTAAAATGGCCACAACTACGGAGTACTGCTATGCATGTAATACAGCATAGTGTTAACTGCACTCCATATTGTGTATATACTAGGTACTAAGCTCTATTCTGCTTTATTCCTGTACTTTAATAACAGCTGGCCTCGCATAATACATCTGGCTAAGCTAAGGCAGAACCTGCAATCATGCGAACCAACCTGTTTGTGGAGTCGGGCTGCAGATGCGCAAACGTGGCACCAGCCACATCGTCGTCTCGCCACATGACGTTGACGTGGTACTGGATAAACCGTGCTGGGCTTGCATGCTTGCAGCGCCGAACCTGCATCAGGCACCTATCAATTCACTAGCTGTTTTATTAGAATCTATTAAATAACAGGGATCGGGCTGTGGCCATTTTTCCTTTCTTCAAGCCTCCTAAGACATTAACACAATGACGAGAAACACGAACACGCCGCCTGATTATTGTGAGTCCATGCTGCAATGCACAAGCTCTCCTCGCCATTGATCCAAGACAAGAACCAAAACATGCCCTCCATTAGAGACATTTTGTGCCGAGGCACTTGCTCATACATGTATACGCCACACAGATGCAATCCTCGAGGTTTCAGAGAAGGCCTCTGCTGCGCAAATCCGAGATGCGTACAAGCGGTATGTCACCCCTCTATGTCGCCCCTCTGTGTCAATGCCATGTCTGCGTGGCGGTGACTGACTGACCATCTCCTCTAGGGCTGCTCTGAAGACACACCCCGACCGGGTCGCCAACGATTCACCCGATCGTGAGCAGAGGACCCGACGCTTCCAGCTTGTCAACGACGCATACTATACCCTCTCGGACCCTACCAGACGACGAGAATACGACCTCCAGCGAGGATACTACCACGTGCCACCGGCATCCGATCCCTTTTCAGACGCCGACGACACTGCAGGAACTGGCCAGAGCTACTCATGGGCATGGGAGCACTTTGAGAATAAGAGCGGCGGCACGACCCCTAGCGGCCGCCAAGAGACTGAAGATGCACAGTTTAGTGACGCCTTTGAGGAGATGATGCGAGACGAGGGGTTCTCACAGGATGGGACTCCGAATCCGCAAGGAGGCACCTCGACCATGTGGGGTATGGTCGGTGCGGTCAGTGGCGGCGCTCTGGGATTCATTGTTGGCAATGTTCCTGGACTGCTCGCCGGAGCCGTGGCCGGTAACCGACTTGGAGCGATCAGAGACACAAAGGGGAAGAGCGTTTACGAAGTCTTCCAGGTAAGGCACAGGCTGCGTACCACACTACTACGCATCTCAGATCACTCTGAGACTGACTTAGTTATTCAGATATCTCTGAGCGCTAATGTATACATAGGAACTTCCTCAAGACGATAGGGCAAGATTGTTGAGCCAGCTGGCTGCAAAGGTGTTCAGCCACGTTGCTAGCTAGCCCTCCGTGATGACGAGGAAGACACAATGAATTGGCGCTTGGGAAAAGGATGGGAATCTTGGTGGATGAGTCTTGGGCGGATTCCTTTTTCTTGAATGTAGCTTTCTTTCTTTTTTATTCTTTTACGACCTCCTTCTTGACGATGGATATGCTATGAGACAATGGAAACGACATTTACCTTTCAATCGCTAGTATATATACTACAAGGCAGAAGATATGCGAAATTGCAAAACATGAAAAAGACAAACAATACCACGGTTAAATAGTCGACGTTGACTTGGCAGTGAAGATGGCTGCCGAGCAACCAATGGCTGCTTCGTCTTCTTATTTCAGTCCTTAATACCCAGAGGCATTTATAGCATTAGCAAGACGCTCATGGACAATATGCTGCTATATCAATTCCGAGGTTGGACTGATTTAGCAGCCGCAGAAGAGGAGGTGTAAGCGCTATTGAAGGTTACTCTATAAATACCTACCAATAGCCGACTACTAAGGGTATTTCAGAGTACTTTTTAGTATCTCTTGCTAGTGATAGCTCAATGAAGCCAATTGAGGTATGGAGCTCACTAGCGGCGATGCGATGAGAACGCTAGCCCTTGTCTGGAATAGCACCCCGCTTTTTTGTGCTCTCGCTTGAGGGCAGACAAACCCTCGAAATTTTCCCGCCCTCACAAAATCGGCCGACCTTGTTCAACCTCACTTTTTGCCATTTCCGACGCAGCAGCAGACACGTCGATTAACAACCGCAGCAATGGCCTCCGAGAAGACTAGCAACCCCATGCGGGAGCTGAAGATTCAGAAGCTCGTTCTGAACATCTCCGTCGGTGAATCTGGTGACAGACTCACTCGTGCCGCCAAGGTGCTTGAGCAGCTGTCTGGTCAAACCCCCGTCTACAGTAAGTCGCAACTAGTTTTTCATGAGGAATCGAAATGGCCGAGATTTTAACCATTCAATTACAGGCAAGGCCCGTTACACCGTCCGAACCTTCGGTATCCGCCGTAACGAAAAGATTGCTGTCCACGTCACCGTCCGAGGCCCCAAGGTAAATTGAAAACGGAAAATTCAACAAGAAATTTTTGAACAATTTTGGCTAACGGAACCTCTAGGCTGAGGAGATTCTCGAGCGTGGCCTCAAGGTCAAGGAGTACGAGCTTCGCAAGCGCAACTTCTCCGAGACCGGCAACTTCGGCTTCGGTATCAGCGAGCACATCGATCTTGGTATCAAGTACGACCCTTCCATCGGTATCTACGGCATGGACTTCTACTGCTGCATGACCCGCCCTGGTGAGCGTGTCACCCGCCGCCGCCGCATGAAGAGCAGAATCGGTTCTTCTCACCGCATCAAGCGTGACGAGACCGTCAAGTGGTTCAAGGGCCGCTTCGATGGCATTGTCCGATAAATGGGCAAACCCAATCGAATAAAATATTTTTTTTCTGTCTTGAAGGAAATGGGCATGGCGAACATTTGGGGGTAAAAAGGATCATATGGTCATGTATTCTTCCGCTTGATTTTTACATCAGCTCGTACCAAATTTTGAGTCGAGCAACGGCCTGAGAGACCGACCGGCGCTATGCCGGCTTCACATATTATTGCCCCTGCAATGTGATGGCACCATTCATACCTTTTGGCAATGCCTGTTTGCTTGCTTGATAGGAGGATATTCGTACTGGTGATCCTCCTTCTTTTTTTTTTTTCTCTTTGTAGACTGTAGCGATGTGTTTTGGTTGTTGAGCTTTGTTGGCAACCATTTGAATGATGATAATCGATGATATCTTGATACTTCGAAGCAGCGCATACCGAATGCCGAATTTTCGTGGTAGGTAGGGTATCAATAGAGCACCTACCTTGTATTCTTTGAAGATGGTACGTTGTACAAGGCTGTCTTATATCATTTCAGCATCATGTTGCATCATCAGCATCTGACCAGAGCTTTCTGGATGTCTCATGTTTCAATGTTGCGAGTTTCCGCAGCTATTACCTATTTCTTCCAGACGTAATATTATTCATTCATCTTTATGGTGAACTTCCTACACTGTTACTGTTACTTCGTAATCAGCGAAAATATATTCTTCATTTCCTAAGGATCCTTGCGTTGAAATGTTCTTATGGAAGAGGGAGAGGTTTCCTCACGCCCACCTGCATGTTTCGGGTACGTACATAGTACCTTCAGCAAACGCACCTTCAACCCACCTTCTCCACGATGAGCAAATGCGTGCCTTCACGATCAGGCAGGAAAGGCACCAACTACTAACCTCCGAGAAAAAAAGCCTCCCCTTCCAGTGTTAGCCTCAGTCCTCACTTAGCTGCCCATGGAAAATTGTTAAGGCGGCGTCGGCTCCTCCAGCAAAACCGCGCAAGTCGCCGTGATTGGCCAGCGAGGCAACCCGAGCCCCCACCTTGGTCCTCACAGACTCTGCTCTCTCCATCACCCTCCTCCCGAAAATCTCCATTTTGCTCTTCCTGCAAAAGGCAGCATCAACAAACCCTCAATCCCCTCCCCAATTGCACGCCGCTGCAATTGCTTCCCTCTTTTCTGAGGCCTCTAGATACCTCCCTCAAGATGTTCCGCAACGCCCTCCGCCAGTCCTCTCGCGCTGTCGGCGCCGTCGCTGCTGGCCGAGTCTCCGTGGTGAGTGTCTTTTCCGCACGCCCGAGGCGACGATGGGCAAAAAAAAATGAATCCCGGCCGTGGATAGCAAGGGGGGGCATCGCAGCCATGCGCATCCATCTGCGTCTTGCCTTACCGACCTCAATTGAGCTTTTCGTCGACTTTTTCGAGCCGCAGAGCATGCCTTTTGAGCTTTTTCATGCCTTGCCGGGGTTCTCCATACTCTTTTATTGGCCGTTCGGCTAACATGTTTTTTTTTCCCTTACCCAATATAGACTCGAAATGCCGCACCGGCCGCCATCAACGCTGTCCGAACCTACGCTTCCGACGCCAAGGCCTCTCCCACTGAGGTCTCTTCTATCCTCGAGCAGCGCATCCGTGGTGTCCAGGAGGAGTCTGGTCTTGCTGAGACTGGCCGTGTCCTGTCTGTTGGGTATGTGGAGGCCACCTATCGGAAGCTATTTTTGTTCTCGAAGCCGCAACGCCGGATGCAATCCTAGTCAGCTTTGGATGCATGCGATGGAGGGTTATCAAGAGACATGCTTCTTGCCGACTGGTTATTTTTTTTTTCGGTTACTTGTTCTAACTATGAGCGTATAGTGATGGTATCGCCCGTGTTCACGGTATGGCCAACGTCCAGGCCGAGGAGCTTGTCGAGTATGTAGAGATTCCTCTTCCCCACTCTGGAAAACTTGCGTCTAACACCATCCAGGTTCGCCTCCGGCGTCAAGGGCATGTGCATGAACCTCGAGGCCGGCCAGGTCGGTGTCGTGCTGTTCGGTTCTGATCGTCTGGTCAAGGAGGGCGAGACTGTTAAGCGAACTGGTGAAATTGTGAGTTATATAAAACTGTGCTGCCCGGTTATTGTCTGATGGCAAAGCAATGCTAACTACCCGCAAAGGTCGACGTCCCTGTCGGCCCTGAGCTGCTCGGCCGTGTCGTCGATGCTCTGGGTAACCCCATTGACGGCAAGGGCCCTCTCAACACCAAGGAGAAGCGCCGTGCTCAGCTCAAGGCCCCCGGTATCCTGCCCCGCAAGTCCGTCAACCAGCCCGTGCAGACCGGTCTCAAGTCCGTCGACGCCATGGTTCCCATTGGCCGTGGTCAGCGTGAGTTGATCATTGGTGACCGTCAGACTGGTAAGACTGCCGTCGCTCTCGACACCATCCTTAACCAGAAGCGATGGAACAACTCCAACGACGAGACCAAGAAGCTTTACTGCATCTACGTCGCCGTCGGCCAGAAGCGATCCACCGTCGCTCAGCTCGTCAAGACCCTGGAGGAGAACGACGCCATGAAGTACTCCATTGTCGTCGCCGCCACTGCCTCTGAGGCCGCTCCTCTGCAGTACATTGCTCCTTTCACCGGTGCCTCCATTGGTGTATGTCCATAATCTATCCCTTCTCGTTCCTCCTACTATTTACTGACTTATGAACCCCTACAGGAATGGTTCCGTGACAACGGCAAGCACTCCCTGGTCATCTACGACGATCTGTCCAAGCAGGCCGTTGCCTACCGTCAGATGTCCCTGCTGCTCCGTCGTCCCCCCGGACGTGAGGCTTACCCCGGTGACGTCTTCTACCTGCACTCCCGTCTGCTGGAGCGTGCCGCCAAGCTCAACGACAAGCACGGCGGTGGTTCCATGACTGCCCTGCCCGTCATTGAGACCCAGGGTGGTGACGTGTCTGCCTACATTCCCACCAACGTCATTTCCATCACCGACGGTCAGATCTTCTTGGAGTCCGAGCTGTTCTACAAGGGTATCCGACCTGCCATCAACGTCGGTCTGTCCGTCTCTCGTGTCGGCTCCGCCGCTCAGCTCAAGGCCATGAAGCAGGTCGCTGGTTCCCTGAAGCTTTTCTTGGCCCAGTACCGTGAGGTCGCCGCTTTCGCCCAGTTCGGTTCCGATCTTGATGCTGCCACCAAGCAGACCCTGTCCCGTGGTGAGCGTGTAAGTTATCTCCCCAGCATATGCGCACCAGTAACTTGTAGACCTCGTGAGATAGCTGACCAGCCGTGATTGCAGTTGACCGAGCTCCTGAAGCAGAAGCAGTACTCCCCCATGGCCGTTAACGAGATGGTTCCCCTCATCTACGCTGGTATCAACGGTCACCTCGACTCTATCCCCGTCGACCAGATCCTCAAGTGGGAGGCTGACTTCCTTGCCCACCTGAAGACCAACGAGTCTGACCTGCTCGCCACCATTGACAAGGAGGGTGCCCTGAGCAAGGACCTCGAGGCCAGACTCAAGGACGTCACCGTCAACTTCGTCAAGAGCTTCCTCAGCTAAACAAATAATAAGTTGAAGCACGCGTCGAGCGAAATAGAAAAAGGTCACTGTTGGGGGGTGCTACTGTCTATACCAATTATTGTTGGTCGTTCTCTAGAGATGGAGGAGGGGGGATTAAAAAGTGATGGCTGCGCCAAATGAGAGGGCCATGGCTTATACAGGGAGACGCGCCAGTCATTCTACCACTTGTAAAATACGAGCACATTAACTCAATGGATGTCCTTGATTCCTTTTGTTCTGTTAATCTAGACAAGACGTCTGAGAGGTGACTGTGCTTTGTCGTGCATGTGTCTACATTGTGAGTGGGCAATAAATAAAAATAAATAAAATAATAAAAAATTCAGTCACTAAGCTGAGCTCAGTTTACCCAGTTGCAAATTGAACTCTATGGTTGCCTTGATAATTACTGACATTTATGATGCGAGTATATTTCTAGCTAGTAAATCAGGTCCAAGATGCACCACCTATTTACCTAATTCTCATATCTCTTTCTTCCCCTTATATGTACTGCAATGGATAAATTCCTTTGATATCCGATATTAGTAAATAAGTAGCTGTATGCTGTGCACTATGCAACTTCTGATACAAGATATTGGGCAGCCAATGTGTGATGCTGGATAATAGCACCTAAATTTGAAGTGATGGTGACATCATAGTGTTGCACATCGAAGCAGGCCACGCATTCTATTTATCAAGTAAAATGCAACCAATTGACATTCCACCCCATTCCATTCCACTTCATCATTTTGCAGTCAATAGAGGATGTCTTAAAACATCAGACGGGCCATCACTAGAACTAATTCAAATCGCAGCGGAGGTACGGGACTTGCAGCGCTGTAAATCCACCCCTCACTTACCCTAGAACATCCCAGTCTTTTCGAACTGACAAATCTAGATCTGATATACAACCTGGTTATCGACACCGCATAGACCCTGCCTCTGTTCTTGGTCAACTGATAGATAATGTCTACCCACAGAGAAAGCCCCGAAATGTCTGCCTCAACGAGAAACCTGCTGGGCAGAGTCAGGCGAATGGTCCCGCCTATGCTAGACACGTTTCATAAGGGTATGTATGTGGTGTGATGTGACCTTGGTGATTACGCAGTCTTTCTCGCAGAAAGAGCTCTTTTATCGCTCGCCTTTTGAAGAATTGGAAACGAGAGGCGAAGATACTGACGTGAATACATAGGCCAGCTGGGCCGAGTTGCTGTTATCGGAGGCAGCGAGGATTATACCGGAGCTCCGTACTTTTCGGCCATGGCTAGTGCGAGATTGGGATGTGACATGGTGAGAGCTGAATGACATTCTTGGGCATCAGATCGAGAAAATAAAGGACATCCAAAATATCATACAGCGGCTGATTATTGAGGATAGAGATGATGCTGATACGAAGCACAGTCACACGTTATCTGCACTCCTGCAGCTGCGGCAGTCATTAAGACATACTCACCCAACCTCATGGTCCACCCGCTCATGCGCCAATCACCTCCGCAGAAACAAGCTTCACAAGACGATGACCCGGACTCCAACCCTGATCACGTATCACGCAAGATCATTGAGATGCTGGGCCGACTGCACGTCCTGGTTGTTGGCCCCGGACTGGGCCGTGATCCCCTCATGCAAGCAACCGTGGCTCGCGTCATCAGGGCCGCTAGAGAATCCAACATGCCCGTAGTCCTCGACGCTGATGCCCTTCAAATCGTCCAAAACGATCCAGACATAGTCCGAGGCTACAAATACGCAGTTCTGACCCCCAACGTCGTCGAATTCAAGCGTCTATGCGACGCCCTCAAGATCAACATCGGTCATCAGTCCAGCGAGACGGGCAAGGTAGAAGCCCTAGCTAAGGAACTAGGCGGCGTGACAATCATAGAAAAAGGTCAAAAGGATTTTATTTCCAACGGTAAAGTCACGCTTGTGAGCGATCTCGAGGGAGGAAAGAAGCGAAGCGGCGGACAAGGCGATACTTTGACTGGTGCTGTGGCTACTTTCTTGGGATGGCGAAAGGCTTATCTGGATGGCCTATGGAAAGACCATGAGCAGCCTGCTCTTGATGCCGATGAGATGATGGGCTTGGCGGCATTTGGAGGAAGTGCAGTGACTAGGGTAAGGTTTTTTTTTTCTCCTACGGCGCAAAATTGACTTGAAAGAAGACATCGTCATGACTAGAGGACAACGCTAACACGAGGGAACTTTCATAGGAGTGCTCTCGACTAGCTTTTGTAAAAAGGGGACGAAGCCTGCAAGCAAGTGACCTGACGGACGAGGTGCATACGGCATTTATGGGGCTGTTTGGCGAGGTTGATGGCGAGACAGATGCGGCAAAGCTGTAACCCTGTGAGGAGCTGTGTAGGACGTCATGCTTCTTGAAGCCTCACCATGTCTGGTCCTATTTTGTGTAGTACCATGTCTCGAGCAGAAATATATTGCAGCGGTTTCTGATGTTTATTCCTTTGTCATACGTGTATACATCACAGCTTCTGAATGCATAAACACAACTCATGTAAGTTCTTTCCTTTGCTTGCGTGCCTTGCGTGCTTAGCTACTTAATACGAGCTGGTCACCGCCCCCCCCCTTCAGCGGCCTTCAGCCGCCCACACCTTATCTACGGAACCAATAAACTGAAGTCAGATCCTTTACTTTACTTTTCTTACTCATATATTGTTGTATTACGCGCTGTCACCCCTGGCCGCCACCTGAATATTACGTATAATTGGAGCCAATAGCAATAATCAAGATCCCGGATCTACCTCCCCCTTGCATGAATGAGATAGCAGCCGCACGTCTCCTCACCCTCACAGAAACAACGAGTCAGCCAATAACAGCTGTTGTAAAACAACGTTTCCTGACATTGCAATTCTGCTTGGACAGAAGCTTATCCACCTAGAATATTATATAGTCTTCGTTCTCTCCCACTTTCCCTCTCCATATTTATAACGTACCTTTATGTTATATAAGGTTCTAAACAAAGTACATCCACTCATCCAGCATTACCTATTTATCCTTTATTTTCCACCAGTCATTAAAGAATACTACCCAATTATTACAAATGAAACTGCCACGATGGTCCAGTTATTTCCTTGCGTTTTATCTACCGCCACTTGTTCAAGCCTACACGGTCTTTGAAACAAACTGTTCAGCCCCTGTTATTACGTCGAACTATGTGTCCTCTCCTAACACTCGTGGTACTCTCGATATACTATGGAGTTCTCTCTTCACAATCTTTGCTTGCACTTGGACCCTGCAACACCCCAATGTTCCTAAACAACGAGACGAAGATGTTCTTGAACTACAAGACAAGGATGCCCCCAAACAACAAGACGATAATACCCCCAAACGACAAGACGATGATAAACCCAAATCACGGGGGTGGGTTGCATGGATACTCTTTCGATGGAGAAAGACAAAACGGAGAATTGCAAAATTGATGCACTTTCAACGGGAAAAGATAAATGCAACATGGAGAGATGCCAAATGGAGAGAGACTAAATGGAAAAATGTCAAATGGGGGTTGAAAAAATTCGGCAGAAGCACACTGCGGATGCTGTCGACAATCCTTGCTCCCGAACTGATAATTGCTGCGGCTTGTGATGATTTCATAGCGGCACGTGAAAATCTTAAAAAAATGAAGAAATACGCCAAAAGAGATAAAGTTCCTTGGACTTTAAGGCACAGCTATTATGCGAACATGGGGGGGTTCGTTATACGATTCCAAGGCAAACCGATCGGAGTAATACCCTTGGACCCTCCTCCTGCACCTTCGGTAACCTCAGAACCTCCTGCTACACCTTTGGTGAACTCAGAACCTCCTGCTGCACCTTCGGTACCTGAAATTTTAGTATCTGAAATTCCGGTACCTCCCGCATCTTCGGTACCTGCAACTTCAGCACCACCTACATCTTCGGCACCTACAATTTCTCTATCTGTGCCCCCTAACCCCTTAGGACGTACACTCTCAACAACTTCCTCCTTGAACTCTTCGGAACCTAATCCTTCGAGAGCGGAAGCTGCATCCCAAGGATCTGCGCCCTTGGGGCCCTACCTTAATCCATACCATCTTACTGGTGCAAACATTATAACCCTGCGACGGAACGGTTATATTTCGAAATTGCCTTATATAAAAGAAGCGGAAATCAAAGATAGATCCAAAGGCGATGTGCTCGTCAAAATCATTGCACTTGGCCAAATTGTGTGGTCTATTTTTCAAATCGTCGTACGGGCTGTCAGAAGGCTCCCTGTTTCGCCTCTCGACGTTGCCGTCGCGGCCTATGCTGTTTGCGCAGTCATCATATATTTCATCTACTGGGGGAAGCCACAGCGTGTTGATTACGCTCACACTATTCAACTGTTCAACCCGCAAAATACAACTACTGAAGAGAACACAACTAACACAACCACTCAACAGAAGGAAGCTACTTCAACAAATACAACTACTCCACAAAAGGACACAACTGGCACAACTGCTCAGCAGAAGGAATCTACTTCGACAGGATGCGGTAGTATAACCAGGCTAGTGCTCACCGATCCACTGGAGAGTGATCCTATGACGCATGAAATACTCCAATTGATCAAATTCAACGGTAATCGCCGAATATTTAGGGAGGAAATGAAGGAGTTATTGAAGCTTCAGCCAGCTCCTATGGGTGCTCCAATAAGCATGGACTCTTCAAAGAGACCATGGTACAAAATGAGGGTTCCAGCTTTTGCAGCTCTTGGTGCCGTGCAGTTTGGTGGAATTCATGCTATTGCGTGGAATTTCGCTTTCCCATCAACGTTTGAGTTGATCTTCTGGAGATGCGCAAGCATTTATATGACTGCAGCTCCGCTTTGTGCCTGGCTGCTATTTTTTCTCTACGCAAAAGTTGGTCTCTCCTTTTTATCGTCCACTTTCGAGCGTCGGGGGAATCTCGTGTTGAAGGCTATCCTCTATCTTATTATATTTCTTTACCTTATTGCGAGGCTTTTTATTCTTGTCGAGATGTTTCGTACTCTTTGCTTTCTTCCCCCTGGGTCATATGTTTCTACTTGGACAACCAACATGCCACATCTTGCTTAGTTGGCGGCGTTGTGCGTCATTCACATGGCTTTAATATTGAGGTTTAATGCTTTGGGAACTATATATATATAGATTCTAATCTATACTCTCATATAGAATTACCAACAGTCGAAATAGATGGATTAAATTTGGGAGTGGCTATCCAGCATCCCGTGTCCCAAACCCACAGTAATAATAGCAGATACTTTTCCTTCCAGCGTGATGACACAAGACACGACCAACAGGAACTTGCTCATCAAGTGAAACTGTAAGACATCTCTTCATGTAACCATTCACGGGTGTGACGAGATCCCGAAGTTCGCCACCAGGATGCGGGCCAGTGCCTAGATCTCAGTGAAATGAAACCTGCGGCGTCCCGTGGCTACTTGCATCTAAGCTTCAAGCTGGGTGGCACCGATCATGTAGGCTGGCGATCGCGTACGTGCCAGAAAATGGAAATACCAAGACTCGCCAAGCGCTGTGAATACATGGATACTAATGTCTACGAAGGAAGAGTTACGCATAGCTAGCACTTGAAGTCGGCTATCCAGCGTCCTATGCCCCAGAGTTTGTAGTAGAAATATTAGGCACTGGGAATGAAGCGGCAACAGTCACTAGTTTAAGAAGTATGTAGAGTGAAGGTATGCTCTAGATTGTCTCTTCAAGTCTCAAATGCGCATGTGCCTAATTACTTTTTTATAAAATCTGCCAACGGTCAAGTCCTCACAGAGGTCCATCATTAATCCCTGGCTGATATCCCTTCCATACTACAGATGCAGCAAAATTCCATCGATCATAACTCGGTAAAGATCCACCCCAATTATTATAGAGAGAGCTGAAGAGCCTCACTATCTCTCAAAACGCCAAGCCTAACATGTAAACCGTCTCGTGTACTGAGCGGCAAAAAAACAACCGCTCCTATAGGTATCTTTAAAAACGACAACATGACAAAAGAAAGGCAACCAACAAAGGAAATCCATTCGTAACTCGTCATTTTATGGTGACAAAAGAAAATCAGAATGCAAGGACAAAAGTTGGTGTACAGACCAGTACAGGCCATAGCTTGTGCCAAAGATGACCATCGGATTGAAGGCAAATAAGTCGAGGAGGAGTGTGTGGGTTGATTTCGATCTAAGAAGACACTTGGTCAAGCTCTTGCTGAGGCATGGGGCCAGTTTCGTCGCAGAGCTGACTGTAAGAATCTGGCTGGCACTGGCGGTTGCGAGCATGAATATCGATCAGCATCTCCACCAAGGTCTCTGCGTCTTCGTAGAGAGAGCTGAGCTCCTCTCCGGTAAAGGTGTGCCCCAGTCTGCACGGGCCAATTCTAGGCTTTCTATATGCTGCAAACACGATGCCTCGGTCAATCATCTCTGAGAGCCGAACTCCTGAAACCGGGCTGTCTCTGTCGACTGAGCCACCTTGAGAATATTTGCCCGTGTAGAAGGAGCATGCATAGCCGCGGGCGAGTTCGTGTGACTGCGCTTCTGGGTTGCGGTATTCGACCCAGCCCTTGGACCGCAGGATGGTGGTATGAACATTTAACGCGATTTGTAGTGGCGAAGGGACTTGATGAAGACCATGCGCTGCTAGCAGTCGGCCAACCAATGGCCTCTCGCAGGAACTCGCAGACTCGAGGCCGAAAACTTGCTCACGCGGCCCGCCTGGCCAAAGATTCACCACGTATACAAGATCGAAATCGTATCGTTTTGCAATTCTGGCCGCCTCGAAAGCAGCGGCGGTAGCAGGTCGACTTGTGGGAGGAGGCGTCAGTGTCAAGAGGGAGGGGGTAGCAGGCTCTGGCGGAGGAGAGGAGGTATGCATAGTGAGTGGAGAGTACAGCTGCGAGCCGCTATCGGACTCAAGGTCTAGATTCTCGGGTGCCAATTCAGCAATATCATCATCGCTTAGATTCAAAAACTCGTTGAAATCAGGCTCCCGCAAGGTAGAGCTGCTAGATGATGCTTCAGAGGGGGACGAGTCGCTATACGAATCGTTCAAGGATCCGTGATCAAAAGATTGAAGAAGCTGATCTTCAATTTCTTCAAATAGAGCCTTATCGATCGCAATGTCGAATATTTTGGAATCGGCAAGGAGGTTTCGCACAGGTAGAATCTCGGGCGAATCTTCAGGCGTTGGTGGGTAATTATAGGAGGAAGGTGTTGGGATTCTAATGCTCTCCATAGAGCGATGACAAGATCCAGTTTCTTCCAGGTCGGGCGATGGAGGTGTGTCAAGACGAGGTGTAGTATGTAGACGAAGAGGAGACTGAGAACGAGGGCTTGGGATCTCACGTCTTTCCGTTACAGAATTGAAAGCTGTTGACATTGGTGTCGCGTTCTCCTCTCGGCTCGGTGAGTTAGGAAACTGATACTCGCGGAGCTTTGCCACTAGAGAGTCTGCCTGTGAATGAGGGCCACGCAGGGAAGGTGATCGTAAAGGCGAGAGACTGAAGCCTGGACTGGAGGCATGGGAACTCAGGGAGCCTAGGCGAGAAGGAATAATGTCTGGAACTGAGGGAGATCGACCCGTCGCTATTCGCAATCGCACTTCCTCTCGGGCTGCCATACGAGTGGTTGTCGGGCGAATGAAAGAAGGAGAGGGAAACTGAGGCCCTGTTTGGGGGCTGGTAGAAGTAGCAACCGTAACAGAGGCAGAGGAAGCTTTGCGCTTGGAGCTGAACAGCCTCTCAAGGCGATCGAATCCGGTCGCCATCGTAGGAGAGAGATGAAAGAGAGAGAAAGAAAGAAATAGAGAAAGAGAGAGAGGGTGTGTATGTGCAGATGGGAATTTGCGGCGAGGGCGGTTGGGAATAATGTATTGAATATCTTTGCTGTTTTTGATTTGCGGGAGAAGGGTTAGAGAAAAGGCACTGGCAGAAGTTTTGTGGTTGAAGTGAACAGCTGTGCGAAATTTTTTTCGAAATCGAGTGCCAAATTAATGGGTGGCAGGCAGTTCCCCATACAAGGTGAGATGTGAAGCAGAAGTGAATCAAAAGTGAGCAAGTCAAAACAATGATTGCGAGTCCACTCTGCAACACCTCGCCGAAGGGCGGCTGCAAATTGATGAATCAAAGACAACTAGGCGGCACCCTTACGGCCGTGGCCAATCTGTCGCAAGATCGGTACGTGATACCCAATCTCTTCGCACCGGCGCAAAAGCGAGCGTCGTGCAAGATATGCGTGCCGTAGGAATGTGTCAAAGTGATGCGCCTGGCGATGCTGTGCGTGGGTGCGCCTTGTATCTCCTCCAGGGGTGACAGTGACAGTGACAGTGACAGGCCGATTTAAAATTAGATGTCGCAACGTCGAAATGTAGAGCGTTTCTTGGTGATGGATTGTTGAGTTGCTGAGTTTCGAGAGAGAAAAGAAATTCCTGGCGCAAATTCGTATGGGAGTGATTGTAGAAGAAGATTTGCTTGGTGTCCGTGTTTTGGAGGCAATGCGCCATATGACGTATAAGTGAATGGAAGGAGTCGACGAGAGGCTCTTGCCAATCTCCCCGCAGCCGGTTCAACGAAAGAACAGAAGCAGCAACCGCAAAAGAGACAACTTGGCAAGAGCAGCAACTCGAGGCAGAATTCTTTCAGTCAAGAGAGCCGGAGAGTCGGCGAGTCAGAGATTCGAGCAACACGGAACACGCAACGTGCACGAAGCCAATAGTCTACTACTTCCTTACTGTAGCCAGAGGGGTCGAGGGAGACTTTATCGTGCCTCCAAGGGCGGAATTGAGACCGAGCGCAGTTCCTCCCTCCAAGACATCCCGGACCCTAGACCCTGGGAACCAGCATCCTCGAACAAGCAAATCGGATATCCTCCTCCACCATCCCCACGGCCTGCGCTCGGGTGCACCAAGCCACTCGACTAGCAGCCCGAGACTCGAGACAAGGAAAAGCTGTGAGGCTAGAGCCAAGAGCCACTACTTCGGACGCAGGGCAGAGACAAGATGCACAGATTAGCGCCGCGGCTCACGGACGTCGACCGGGGTGGCTTGAGGCCTCTACTCCGTGTGTCCAGATGGCAGAGATGTGCCCTGGCGGGACGGCCAGCTCGGGGACGAGGCATCGCCTTCCGCTCGCCTCCAGCCATTCTCCCCTGTTGGTACGGAGCGCGCATCGGGCGGGTTAGACATGTGGGAAGCGTCCAGGCTGAGCGACCAAGCGCCTCTCGTTCTAACAGGACCTCAGACCCGAGGTATGCATCACACAGCCGTGCCATCCAAGACAGTACGACTCCAAAAAGAAACAGCGCGGCCAATGGTCAACTCCTGGAGCTTTTGATTTTCCGTGTCCTCCAGCATATCCAAAGCCATCCTTCACGCATTAGCTTGCCCTGTTGCTACGTCGTCACCTCGACCGTGACGTTTCATTTCTCTCGTGTCTAAGCGGAAAATAGAGGGGTTTGGCTCGGGTAATGTGACAACCGCATCTACGAACGACATCCGCTTCACACCAATGTGGACTGCCTCTGACAGGCCGCTCTATCACAGTACATACTCGTACCTCCCCTCTTCAAGTACTCGTACACCAAGAAACATTTCAGCGGACCTTTTAGATCTATTACCCTTCTCCGCCCTCCCCGATTAGGTTGGTGGTTTGTTTTTACTACTACCAAGTACGGACTCAAGGGAGAGTTGAACGAATTACAGGCTGGCCAAGGGTGACGGCCCCACTACCCTCATGCAGGCTGTTGCCAGCATGCCAGTCCGACGATCTAATTCATATCATCGCTCACATCTCACATTCTGCCCTTATATCATTTGCCCCTTCAGCAGGGTCTTATTAGTAGTACCTTATAGCCAGTGAGCTACTGAGCTGATGACAAGTATTACTTTGCTAGATCTCGGCCTTGGCCCTGATGTACGACCAACCTATCATGCCGCACATCTCGTTGCGACAGTCATGTACGGCAGATTTGACAGGACCACACCCATACGAAGCACACGATCCCCGATTCTTGGATTCGGGAGCGTTGGCCCCGAGAAGGCATGAGGAAATGTCACCAGAGCATATGCCACTAGAATCAGACCGCCCCAAATAACGGCCGCACTCTACTTGGCCGTTGCGCAGAATCTACGCGCGGGAGGCAGCGTTGTAATCGCTAACCAGTACTTCACAGGGATGGGAGGTCATACGTGATACATATTTCTTGCTTTTGTTCCGCCCCTGGTTCGCCTCCCTCAAGATGGAGTTGCACAGATGCGCTCTTCTCGTCCCCACCACCCAGCATCCAAGAAGGCCAAGAAGGCCGTTATACAGTCCCATACTAGACTTGGTTTTCCTTTTTCGCAGACGGCACAGCCCCGAGTCATGAGCCCCTACCGCATGTCCTACTCATCATGCAAAGTCCGGCGTCGTCCAAACAGACGCTTCCTTCAGCGCCATCGACAAAAATTTTCAGGGAATCCCTCGCTAGGGAATTTACGATATGTGATACTCGCCTGTTCAAAGGATCACAAGGGCAGGTGGAGCGCAAGAAAAAGAAAAGGGAAAGCAGGAAAAAGCAATACCATGCGAGTTGTCATTTCGCCTCTGCCCTGTTGTGTGAGTACCAACTAATCTAGTAGCTGGTGGCGCCGGCCGCTAGCCTTTTGGTCTTGACTGAACAAGCTGACGCTGGCAGTTCCTAGCAGATGGCGTCCAATGATCAAGCCAGGCTCGTTCCCGCCTCCAGACCGAGCTGCACGTTGTCCTGCATAATGGCCTGGCCAGATTATTGACAGGCATGTAACCACTTGGCACACCAATTCAGCCACCACTACTTTACTCAGCCCGTGTTATCTCCTCATCACAACTGCCTGGTCAACACTACGACTATTGCGGTATTGATTCCGGCTTCTGATCCGGCAATCTAATCAACGGCCGTAATACGCAGCAATCCGCATAAAACCGGCCCCGACAACAGGAGACACGAGGATGGCTTAGAGAAGCCTTGACCACTCAACTTTGGTGTAGCAGCCCCTGGTGGCACAAATGAGCGGAATACGGTTCATCGTGTAACTAGTTTGCCCAATCGCCGTTTTCTTCCGGGGCGTGTTTTTCAGCGGCCACTGCCTTCCTCTGGTACTCGTATCTGCTCCTACCGCTACTTCTTCTGGTGTCTGCTACTACCTTGTATATCCGACTAAGAACAAGCTGTGCGATTGTGTCTTTGTTTTCGTTTGTTGCTTTGACCACGCACAAACATGTGGCCTGCTGAGAAAATATCTGCGCACGTGGTGCATGAAGCAACAAAAAAAGCTACTGACCGCTATCAGATGAGTGAAGCGGACATTTGATCTCACAATGCTCCAAGCTTCAACCTCAAACACATGTGCTGTGGTCCGTGGTCTCCTGGAACCAACAACTTCACCGCCACAACGGGACCCTTGGTACTAAATATACCAAAACAAATACGATGCCTCCTGTACAGCATTCTGCTCATACTCTCTCTTAGGTAACGGTATTTTCCGGGCCATAGGGCAGTTTCACACTCAATATCCCTCGTTTCAAGTTGGCTATTCAGCATGCCGTATCCTATATTTATCTTCATATTGTCCCAAGAGTACAACAGCGCTTGCAAACCTATCTCAGGTCGAACGTTGGTAGATCCTCTTGTAGTTGAACATGAAATGGGGACAATTTCTTATCTAGCTGCAGTCTTTTCACCGTGGAATAAATAAAGATGAACATTTATGAAGCTTATGGCGAATTGCATCATTGCGAGGTCAGTGTTGGCGAATATTCTGGAGGCTATTAACTAGTTGTAAAATTTCAACCAGCTGGTTATATCGTTGCTGAACCTGGGTTCCATCTTCTCATATCGTTAGCACTAAATGCAAACTCTGAGAAGCTAGGCGGCACAAGAGTATTACTTACTGGAGGTGTTAAATCCGTATATGAGGTAGCCTTTGGCCAACAGCGTGTACTTGTAAAAATCCCTCGGGGGATAGTAAAGGGAGATGGACCCATCAAAATCTCCACGACACATCAATGGCGAAAACGACTAAATACGAGAACGTTGAGGCAGGCGCACAAAAATAAGACAGCCAAAGGAGTATACGTTGGCTACTCTGTCTATATGATGGGACTTGTATTTGCGAGAGCTGCTCGCGGTGATTGGGTAGATGCTACTTTTGGGAACGTTAATCACTTACAATTCGAGAGGTAGAGAGTTCAAATGGGAATTCTGAGATCACCTTGACGGCTCCAAGTCTTGGGTGTACTACTGGGCTTATCATACTGGAAGAAGATGGTAACAGTAGCTGACACCAGAGAGAGTAGCTGATAGTAGAGCAAGTAGCGATAGTAGTAGATACAAAGCTCTAAGGGTAACATGCAAATAATTGTTCCATCATGGACTAGCACACCTTGTAGATGGGGATATCTCAGAGCCTTGGGATGCAAGATACCTACTAATAGTTGGGAGGAGTCTATCGGAATGGCATCAGGCCACTACGCCTGTGGCACAAATGATAACTCTTTATAGCCATCAGCCTTTATTCAATTTGGCTGAGAATACTCTATGTATCTGTGGCCGAGTCCACATAGGACGAATTATATACCCATGTTGGCAACGATTTCACGGCTAGGGTCACCGCCAACGATACCAAATAGAATACTAGACTGTCTTACCTACCTCAGCTTTACCAGATAATAATACGTATCCAGTAGTTTGCCAACCATGCAAGATTTCTCGAATGAATATTAAGAGCTCGTCATCATCCAAGATAATTAGGCATATATTCACTGCAGCCAGACACAAGATCGTTTACCAGGAGTTCACATAGACTAAGAATTAACCACAGACCCCCCACCCATAGCCTCTTCTTCCAGTATCTGGTAGGCAGAGTACCCGGCGTAATTCTTTTACATCTCGCTGTAACACACGTATTACCGTCCACGTAGTCGCTGGGGTACTGGTATGAGTAGGTGTTTGGACAGATGGGCACTTGAGACTCGAAGAGATGGTTACAATCAAAATGGGTAATATACCTTTTGACTACAACTTTTAGGTCAACCAAAACGGATTCAGATGTCTCTCATTCCTATCCAAGGCTATCTTGCGATAATCTCTTCTCCTCTGAACCAAAGTTATGTATTGTTCTGCAATATATAAGTGGCATCCCGCCATTAATCAAAGGGAATTCTACGTAAAGTTTCCACATGGCCTCCTTTCTTCATCTCTTGGGCAGCAGCAAGAGCGCTGGGTACTTTGATACCACAGCAGTCACCCCAGCCCGTGCCATCGTGTGCGTGGCCAGTGTGACTGTTGTTAGATTGATCTTCGCCACTGTCTTCGCCGGCAGCGGACGGATCTTCTTCGCTCATACCAGCGGCAGCGGAGATGAGAGAACCAAACAAGAAATGCTGCATCACTGGTAGCTTTCCCAGAACTTCGGCGACAAACATACGGCGCATGCCTCCGTCGATTTTGGTCCATGACTTGGAAGACGAAATGTCATCCAGCATGGGGCTGTGCCATCGTAGACCTTTGACGGTCTTGGTACTGTTGACGAAGTTGACTTGGCCGAGATAAAGATAGTCATCACCGAACTCTTCGACTGTGAGGTCCTGGTGAATGCCACGAGGTGTGATGTATGGGTGGTGCAGAAGCTGAGAAGCGCCAAAGAGGAACGGCAAGAATTGGTAATCGTCCAATCCCCAAACACCGTGGGAGCCCGCAGGTTCCAGATAATACGCCATTTGGACGACTCGCATTAAGGAGAGGTAGCGAACAAAGACTCGCAGAACAAGAGCCTGAAAGTCGGACCGCTGCAGGATGCCGAGCTGGTACAGGCAAAGCAGCCACATCATAAAGTTAAGTTCGTGTCCTGATCCATAGTCAATTCGGTTTCGGTTGCCGAATGACTGGACAAAATAAGCAGATGCCTCGGCGATGGCATCAGCGTTGTGCAGACCTAGACTTTCGTGCCATGCTGTGGTCTTTTCCTTGACCAGATCCAGGAAGCCTCTGAAAGCTTTATTGCCGAAGCGACAACCACCCTGCTCGTTTGGTGGTGACTGAGATACAAAAGCTTCTGCTTGGTCTAGGATGCTCAAAATCGTCTTGGCCCCTTGACTCAGGGATTCATCCCTGACAGCGGATTTAGGGGTGTCAACCACCGACTCAGACAGGCCAAAAACCCACGCCACGATGAGGTTGTAGGTTGGAGAAGCTAGAAACAGATCATGGTCCTCCTTTGAAAGAATCCGCCTGCTTGGAAGCTTGAAGCTCCAGTCCGTCAAGTCCGGTGGTGAGGGGAGGGCGGGAGTCTGAGGAACAGGCGTTGGATTGGAGGGGCCAGGTCTCCTCCTGCGAGGCTCGAGCTTGGGGATTCTGTCTTTCAAGTTGGGGATGCCTGAGGCCAGGGATGGTGAAGAGACTGGCTGGGCGGGTGATTCGGAGGCCATGACGCGCTTATTCGCTCCGGATGTTGAAGCTGGTGTCGGTATCAAGTGCTTTGTAAGGAGCAGGATAGAGAAGCTACCCGGATGGCGAAAATCGGTACCTGAAAGTGCCAGCAGCTCACCCCACGTCACTGGTGATGGGAGGTCCCCACCAGGTATCTGCTAGTACCTAAACCTGGGCGCAGCAGGCACTCTCGCCACTGTCCAGGTACCTAAACGAAGAGTCTACTTTGGCAGATCGAGACTAGCAAAGCTGGCTCCTCATCACGGGCAAAATTTCAATCTTTTGCATATCTGAGTCTCAGGCACTTGTAGCCTCATCGCCGTCTTTTCACCACAACGATTAATTTTTTTTTTTTTCACAGCCATGGCCCCCCCTACAGCTGAGCTGTCACATCTGCCCAAAGCAGACGGTTCGGCGAATTTTGCATTCGGCGGCTATACAATCACAGCGGCCGTCAATGGGCCAGTCGAGGCTCAACGCCGGGATGAGAATCCCTTCGAGGCGCTGGTAGATGTGAATGTGCGGCCGGCAGCAGGAGTGGGAGGTGAGTTGACATCACATCACAGCGACGGGGATTTCCATTTGTCTGGCTAACCTCTATTGCTGCCTTGTAGGAACGGCCGAGCGGCAGCTGGAGGCTATCCTGCAGCCTGCTCTGCGACATCTCATCCCGGTCAGAAACTTCCCGAGATGCGTGATTCAGGTCACGCTCCAGGTGATGGAAGCGCCTGAAAACGCCTATGTGAACGCCAAAGTGCTCCAGCCCCGACTGGTGAGTGGCCTCGTCGCGCTGTCGAACCCGGTTGTTGGTCGCCTGATCTCACACTCATTTACGTAGAATCTCGGGATTATTCCAGCGCTTCTCCACGCCGCGATTCTGGGTCTCCTAACGGCAACAATCCCCCTGAAGACAGTGGCTTCAGCAACTTGCCTGGCCATTACGAATGCTGATGGAAGCACCGTCAAGGTAGACCCAACTCCCGCGGAAATTGATCAAGCGAGATCTGTCCACGTGCTAGGCTTCACGGCCAACCGCGACCTTCTCTTGGCCGAGAGCGAGGGTTCTTTCTCAGCAGAAGAGTGGGACACGGTTCTCCAGACAGCGGAGAAGGTATGCTGCCGCAGCCAGGAGGCTGAAAATGATGCGGAAATGGGAGGCTACGGGGCAGAATCCGAAAATGTGCAACAGTTTATGCGCTCGGTCTTGGAAGCTAAAGCAGCCGAAGGTCTCCACTGGAGGTGAAGCATCTGGCGTTGTTGATACATCATTTCTTCCCTACCATTGGCTCCCCCCTTTCAATAGAAATCACGGGCGCCAGCAGAGACGGTTGTGCCTATTACATCTTCGCGATGGTGCGGAGCGCCCTGGCTTAGACGGGCGATTCACAGGTGATACGTGGGAATTAGCTTTAGTGAGGCGCTATCACCTCAAGGAAACACGACGAGATTGGGCGTGAGGGAGCAGCGGCGTAGGAAGGATGGGACGGAAAACGCTATTGGATTTGTGATACTCCTACGAGATGCCATCCAAATATAGGTCAGCTGAGTCGAGATGGCAGTTCGCTAAGCTGCTGCATTAATAATTCCCGGATATGGCGCTGCACCTTGAAAAGGGTGCGCCAAACAGGCTGAATTCTCTCATGATAGGATTGAAGTTGGGGGATAGATACGGAGTACATGCGGAGTACATTACATGCTCATTGGAACTTGGATACATACCTTAGTAGGTAGCAAAAGGAATCAATACTAAATCACCTGCCTGGTTCTCCAAGTCCTATACAGTGTCTACTATTATCTTGAAATTTGGGGTGCCGCCTACTAGCAAATCGAGACATTTCCCTCCCCTCATTTCTGCCTTGCGGTGTCTAAATTTGGGCTGACGACTCAAGCATTGCGTGTTTATTTGCAACAGCCCCTGGTGTGAAAGATGAAACGGCGTTTCGGCCACCAGCGGCCGGGCCCGTGGCGACGGTTGCAACAGCGAGAAGGAGAAAGCTATTCCTCCGTAGAGAAGAAAACAAAGGGGAAACTGTCTATTACTCCATGCTCTTTTCGATTCTAGATGCGGAACACACTGACCAGGCTTAGAGGATGGGGGTTGGTGAGACTGCCAAGATGCCGCACTATCAACCAGCGGGTATCTGGCATGGAGGTACCACCTCCGTACTCGTTACCAGAAACGTGCACTGCGACAGGGCACTCCAGGGACCTTTTTTTTCTCCGCAGCGTAGCATTTTGGCTTGATTTGGTTTGTTATTTGGGGGGAATTTGGCCGTTGGATTATGGAGCACATACCTTGCTTGGTATAGCAGGTTGTTTACAGGTACCTGCAGTGAGCATTATTTTGAAGTGCGGCCAGCTTGTATCCGATACTCGTACATGCCAGTTCAATTGCCGAGCAGCATCAACGCCAGTCTGCGTCTCAGATGCAAATTCCTCAATGCGTCTCCCCCAGTCCTCGCTCCTCATTTCAGGGGATGCGTTTTGCGGTGCGTGCCGCTACTCCGTACTATTAGCTCCGTGTGCTGCGTGGGTAGGGACAATGGCTGTTGTTTCGCTCGTCGCCACGCCAAATGTTTCTGGGGCTAGTGACAGCCTTAGTTCCTGTGACGATGGCTGCATCAATTTGCGGACAAGGACTGTGATAGATGATGGGATTTGCTAGCGGTCAGAGATTGTGATTTCTTCGTCGTGTCGGTTATAAAAGACTCCTGGCGCCAAGCTACTTCTTTGTTGGCGGTTTTTTGTTTGTTTTGGTGTCGACGCATTGAGGTTCATCTTAATCACCACATCGGCTTGGAGTCGCAGTGCTGGAAGCAGAACTCTGGAAGTTCCTGCAATTGCTTTTTACAGCGTGTCTTTTGATTTTTGATTCCTCTCGTTACTTCTTACGCATCCTTTCTGACGACTTTTTCTACATCATTTCTAATTCTTGCCGCTCTCTTTCTGTATTGCCTATTCCGGCCTACTTTTGCTATCGATACAGTACAGCACAGTTGTGGCAGAACCAGATCAGGCGTCGGATCGTTCCTTCTACCATCTGCTAGTGTCTACGAGACCTGCCCCTTTTCTGCTTCTACCCCATTCCAATTTGGAGACTCCAGTCTTCAGCTTCGCCCTTTAGCCTCACTTCTCCTCATCTGTGCCGATTCCATTGCCGTTACTTTGCGCTACAGCCGGTCTGTTGCAATTTTCAACGTCATTCTTTTCTCAAGACCACTAGCACCGGCTATTCTTGCCCTCGCTGCCGGGACCATTTGTCCAAAGAGGTAATATTCGAGCCCGCCCAGCTGCGGAGAAGCTCCCACTGAATAAGCAATTGGATATAGTGGCATCGATTCCAGGGCGCAAAGAGGAAACTGCAAGGTTACGCAGACAAACGCTCGCTCCGACGCTTCCGCTGGAGCCTTAGCGTGTCGTGCTTTATCGCATCGCGTTCTGCAAATTACAGTGCTTGTACATGAGAGGGATTCGCTGTGACGCTAGTTGCATCACTCACTGTACGAAGAACTGTGCGCAAAGGTAAGCAGCCAATCCTCCGCAAACCCCCAAGGCGCCGGCTGCTCTGCCTTTCCCGTTTTGTAAAGCCGAGTCCCTGTCTATTGGCCTTTGCACAGTGGTGGGCGCGGCGCAATACGGTCGCAGTCTTGCTGACACTGTTCCACAGCTTTCCACGGAACACGGGATTCCGCCATCATCTCTGCGCCTCACAATCCCGGCGTTTGCTACACCCACTACTAAGCCCGCCCGGGGTTAATAATCGCATTCGCAATCGCACTTGCAACGCGCTGTAGCCGCTACCGCTCGCTATAGTAATCATGGCCGCCGTGTCGCCTCGGACCGATCTCCACCCTACGCCCGAAAGAAGCAGCGGAGTTGAGTCGCAAGACTGCCCTGCTTCGCTTTTGCTGGCTAAATCCGACATATTTGACCGCCGCCCCAAGTCATCGTCTGGCATTCATAATCTGTCCGTCAACGTCACCAAGGCCTCTCGATATGAAGTCGACTCGAACATCCCATACACTGCTATTCCATCCCTAGGTGGCTCTGGTGCCACGGGTCCTTCCGTCACGCCCGTTATCATTTCCCCGGCAGAACCCTCGACAGTGGCTTCGCCCAAGACCGCATTTTTAACAAGCCTATCTGCACCGTCGGCGGATTCCAGCGAGCAACAACAACCACGCGATTTCTACCAACCTGCTGCTTCCCACGAATTACTTCCTCGCCAAACCATTCTCAAAGCACTCGCATCTACAACTTCTGTTTCGCGCCCCAGAAAGCCCGAGGCCCTTTCGTTCAACAATATGTTATTCCCTCAAAGCAACGGCGGCTCTTCCGCCGGCGCGAGCCCCCAGCAGCTCGTCGATGCGCTACAGGACCTAGCCAAGAAGAGATCTACGCCAACCACTGCGATCAGCAATTTACTCTCGCCATGCTTCTACCATCAGCGATTTGACGACGCTGTCGATTTTGAGAAAGTCCTGGAAGAAATCAAGAATGACGAGTCCATGTCACACTCTCGCTTGGTCCAGACCGCGACAAGTGTTCGCGAAATCTCCAAGCAACTTCAGCGGCGCCCCGTCAAGCGCGCAGTGCGTAATGTCATGATTGTTACCAAGGCGCGAGATAACCAGCTTGTCTACCTGACTCGGGAGTTGACAACGTGGCTTTTGCAAACCCCCCGATATGGGTCAGAGGTTGGCGTCAATGTTTACGTGGACGCTAAGCTGCGCAACTCGAAGCGATTCAACGCTGCAGGCATTGTCGCTCAAGATGCGCGATTTGAGACCATGCTCAAGTACTGGACTCCAGATCTGTGCTGGAGCCAGCCTGAGAAGTTCGATCTCGTCCTGACCCTCGGAGGTGACGGCACTGTCCTCTTTACTTCGTGGCTCTTCCAGCGCATCGTGCCCCCGGTCCTCTCATTTAGCTTGGGCAGCCTTGGCTTCATGACAACGTTCGAGTTTGAGCACTACAAGAAGCACCTCAACCGCGTAATGGGCGATGATGGTATGAAGATCAATCTCCGCATGCGCTTCACCTGCACCGTATGGAGAGAGGGGTCAAATGGTAAGCCCGATGAGGGCGAGCAGTTTGAGGTTCTCAACGAGCTTGTCATTGACCGCGGCCCATCGCCGTATGTCTCAAACCTGGAGCTGTACGGAGATGACGAGCTCCTGACGGTTGTCCAAGCTGATGGGTGCATCTTTTCCACCCCAACTGGCTCGACGGCCTACTCCCTCTCGGCTGGTGGCTCCCTCGTCCACCCGGATATCCCTGCCATTCTCCTAACTCCTATCTGCCCACACACGCTCTCGTTCCGCCCCATGGTTCTCTCCGACACCATGGCGCTCCGCGTTGCCGTGCCACGGAACTCGCGAGCCACCGCCTACTGTGCTTTCGATGGCAAGGGACGCGTGGAGCTCAAGCAGGGTGATCACGTTACCATCACGGCATCTCAGTATCCCTTCCCTACTGTCACCCGGACCGACACTGAATGGTTCGATAGTGTCAGTCGCACTCTGAGGTGGAACGTCCGCGCTGCTGCTCAGAAGCCCTTTGATGCATCCGGCATTTCACCTGATGGTGATGATGATAATGACGACAGCTGGGACATCGACACTGATAGCGCATATTATGCGAGCGAAGAGGGCAGCACCGCCGCCAGTCCCATAAGAAGGCAAATGAGCTTGCTGGGCATGTGATTTCGATAGAGGCGTGCAATCTTTTTTCTCCCTCTCGCCCATTTCTTTCTCAAATTATACATGAGCGTGTCATGCCAGCACTTTTTATTACACACTTGGTTACACCGGCATCAATTCTTATACACTTTCACTGAACATATAGATATAGGATATGTTGGGAGTTTTTTGGCGTTAGAATACGGATGGGGCTCCCCTGGATAATGTCCCCCTTTTGGTTGGATTTTTGGTTCCCTCTTTACAACACAGTCTAGATCTTAGACTAGAAGATACTATTTAGCTAGACACGACTTAAGCAACGATCTTGAGTCGCTTGAAATGCAAAGCACACGAATATTTCGTCCGCACAATATGATCAAAGTAAACCTTTAGTACTCGGCTAGCAGCAACGTGCCAGTTTCGGTGCCGTAAAGAATCTATATCTACCCTCAGCTGCATAGCCTGCTCCTCATTCGCGGAAGCACACTCTCCATCAGTGCCCAACACATCCCGTTTCGCCAACTCGAGAATTCATCTTTCCCCCCTCTCCACCATTCCCAGTAGCGTTCATCTTTCAGTCATCCCCATAAACTTCAACAGCATTTGTCACCAATCTGACTTTGGGTCAGCTCAGCAACAACCCCCACGGCGCCCACTTCCCCCATGAGTGTCCAAGGCAAAAAAAAAAAAAAAAAAAAAAAAAAAAAAAAAAAAAAAAAAAAAAAAGGGTTGGCAGAAGCCAAGTTTTTTATTGTTGCATCAAAGAGGGAAATTTGTCACAGGGCGCTTTTTCCAACAGTATGATGTGCTTCTGTCCAGGCCCTATCGACCCCGGGGGAAGCTGGGGGCAGATGCATTTCCAAGGTCAACTACTCCAGATTGGGGTTATATTTTTGTTACTTATTTGCGTTTGGTCCAAGTGTTGAACGCGATATTCTTGTGTTTTAGTGGCAGGCTGAGGTCGAAGACGACTATCTGTTTGTTTTTCCATTCCAACTGTTGTCGTTGTGTTGGTGCTTTCAGGTCACTTTGTAACCAGCATGGGAGGATGTGTGAGTGTGGACTCTATACTTGTCAACTCTGTCGACAGACTTTTGTGAGCCTAGCTCATCCAATTCATCACTAGGTAGCGACAACAGCCAAATCCTGTCATGTTCCGAAAAGTTGAGCTGACACAAGGTGGTTTTGTCAGTATCTAGCTAACCGGCCACGGTTATATAGACAATATCTGTCACTTGCGTGAAGCCAGTGGCATTACTAGAAGAAGATGGAGATAGTAGCAGACACCCGAAGAACAAGATGGATCATGCAAGTAGCTTTCTAAAGTCATTGATTCTCATGCATTGGTGCCAAGTAAACAATGTAGACTAAACAATTTCTTTTCTATCCCCACCAGTAATATTCCCGCCGTTCCAATGCGCCGTTTAACAATGCTGCTGCTGGCCTAGGAGAAATCAAATCCAACTGTTGCCAGTTCCAGCCATAAGCAACCCCAGGACAGAAAAACTCCCGTATCCGCAGTATCCAAACCAACAAACATTCCTGTCTCTCCTAGAGCTGGAGAGAAATAAAAAAATAAAGTATCCTGGAACACAGATATCCCCCTTACTCTCTAAAGACAAAAGAGAAATGCCAAAAATCGTCAAGGAGTACAAGAATTAGAAATTCATGCCTTCGTATAAGAAAACAAAGGGAATGATGAAATGAGTGTGCGCAGTGATGCTTTTCTTGTCTTTCTTTTCTTTTCTTTCTTTCTTTTTTTTTTTCAATATTATTTTTTCTTTTCTTCTCCTTTGTCCCCGATTCTTCGCCTCCAGCTTCACCTCCAAGCGCCCTGGCTCAGAGACAGTAAGCCAGCAACGCAGTCCATGTCGCCCTTTTTGCTGGGGCTGACATCGCCGCACATGAACTGGCTTACTTCATCGTCCCGTGGGGACTCTGCCTTGGCCTCTAGATCCCGGAAGCCGTGGATGCCCGTTTTCACGGGAGAACAAGGCTCCGATGGCACAGTGTCGGACCGCACCAGGAACGCTGCTGGGCTCTTTCGGCCCTGCAGCGCTCGACCGATGCGTCTCGCACTCTGCGATCGAACGGGGCTGCCGGGGGGCATTTGCCGACGTCCCTCGGCAGAGTTTGTCTCATCTCTGGGGCTCCAGTTCTCCTTGTCTGAGTCGGACGGAGAGACGAGCATCGAGACGTTCATTTTGGCATGAGAGGACTCGCGCGGCTTCTCCTCGGTTGCCCAGCAAGTTTCCAGCCGGGCAACGCTAGAGTTGGTACGGCCGAATCTGGGCTTCTTGGTTTGGCGAGAGCGCTGGTACTTTGACAGCGGGAGGTTGCGCTTGATGCTGCTAGGCTGCAAGATACCGCTGGTAGAGCGGAGCAAGCTGATAGCAGCAATGGCAGAACCGCTGGACTCGTGCTCAGCTTGAGCTGTCAGCTCATCGCGAGTTTCAGAGTCAGCACACAGCTCCCAAGCATGAACATCACGGGATCGGCCACGGACAAGACGTGGTGGAAGTGAGTTGGTCAGCGTTGAGATGGGAGGCAAAGTGACAGCAGGGAGTGCACTGTAGCTACGCTGAAGGCTTCGCTGCCGGTACTGGGACAGAGATGGCAGAGTGGACGAAGGCCTTGATGGGGTTTCACGGACAGGAGATGAATCGTTGTGGGCCACCAGCTCAGCCTTGCCCTCAAGAGAGAGGGAAAGACGCATCTGAGACCGATATGCTCCAGATGAATTAGATGAGCAAGAGGAAGGGTAGAAGGGGTCGTATCTGGGAATCCAAGTCAGCGAAATGAAGAAGACATATAGTCCTGATAAACATGATGCAACTTACTTCACAGAGCTGTCGCGAGACAGAGGCGTAGCATACGAATTGCCCAGATTCCATCGATTTGCCAGGTAGCCGACAGAGTGAGGTAGATGATGGACCTCGTCCTGTGAGGATGGGTACATTTGTCGTTGTGGTGTCACATGCGGCAGACCACTGGCAGAGAAGGGCGGGCAGCCGTAACGGGGTGCAGGCGTAGCATGAATGGCCTCCACACCAGCGTGGTGAGGGCGCACATGGAGAGGGCTGTTGGGATGGTGAGGTGGCGAGGGAGCATGGTTGACAAGGTCTGCAGAATGGTCGGAGGCAGGAAACGAGGCGGGATCCAGCTCGACGACGATGCTGCGGGAGGTCATGGGGTCTGACGCGATGTTGTGCATGCCACTGAAGCGGAGAGCCGCCAGCTCCTGCGGTGACAGCGGGCGTGATTTCCGCCTGTCATTCTGTCGACGATTCTGGAACCAGATCTAATTCGGCAAGCAGCCTTGTCAGCTTGTGCTGTCTCCAAGCATAAAGGGTTTGCATAAATCTTTAATTGATTTATTTTGGAGACGCGTTGACCACCCTTGATCCTGGCACGACAGCCAGGAGTGGACGTGCAAATTTTACAGTAGATGACATACCTGAACTTCCTTTTCGTTAAGTGAGACGCGGTTCACGATCTCGAGACGCGCTTGCTTGTCGGGCTTGGGGTTGATGGAGTAAGCTTCTTCGAGGATCAACTTGTCCTTGGTGCTAATGGAGCAAGAGTAAACATGTTAGCTGTCTGGGGGCCAATTGATGCTGAAGCTGAAGCTGGGCCTAAGCAACCAGTGTTTGTGGTTCCTAGGCTCCATGGAGCAGCAAAGCAGCAAAGCATCAGGTGGACATACGCTGTTCGCTTTCTCTTGCCCTTGGGATGTTTATCTGTGGTGGGGGATGAGACGGTGGGGAGCGCGCTCTGGGCCAGGTCGGGCATGTACTCAGAGGTTCGGATGGGCGACGGGGAGCTGACATGCCGCAGATGCTGGTGGTGGTAATCCAGCTCGGCCATGGATGCAGGCGGTGTCAGAGGGCTGTTGGACATTGTGGACATTGCGGACATTGTGGACATATTGGTGGTTGTTGTTGTTGTTGTTGTTGTGTCGCGGACGGGGGATTGTTGATCTAAGAGGCGCCTAGAGCTAGAGGCATTACTCTCTTGGGCGTCGGGCTGTTGGGATGTCGAGAGCGGAGTGAGGAGGACGAGATGAGGGGGGGAGGAGGAGGATTAAAGACCAAGATAAACAACAATTGGGTGAAGGGGAAGACAAGGAAAAAATAGCACAGATGGCCCGTCTCGACGTGTAGGTAGCGAAAGGACGTGGTAAGGCAGTGGCGTGTGTGTTGTGGACGTGCAGGAGGCGGTGGGAATTGGGTACATAAGCTCCAGTTGCATCGGCGGGCGATCAGGTAGAGTACCTTAGGTACAGGGGGCGCTAGTGCTGCTGCTTGCCGTGGACAGCGCATAGTACAGCAGGTTACAGCACGCACAGCACGCCACAGGCGGTCCCCTGGCGCTGGACCCAGGAGGGGCGTGGGTGGCCCAGGGGGCGTTTTGCCAGCGATCCATAGACGGCATTCCGACCGCTGGTATCGGTACGCAGCCCGCCGTGGCCCAGGTCACCCTCCAGAAGCACCCCTCTAGCTCCGGGGGCCCTCGAATTTCAATTAGATTTCCCGTCCAGCTACTAATGTTTCCAGCAATTACTGACACTACAGTAAGAAGAAGAGAAAAAAAAAAAGCACACTCGATCCGCGTCTTTTGGCTCCATCCACGGCAAATCACGTCGCGCGCCCGGCCGTTGGCATGTCCAAATAGGGAAACATGTCGAGACGCGTTGCACGTGCAAGGGTCCAGGTCAATGATGCATCGCCCAACCCATTTCCTGCGATTCTTCATCACTTCTTTTGTTGTTCTTTTTCTTTGCCAGTACGGTAGCTCGATTCGGACCATTCACAAACCCCTGTCACTAGATGCAGACGACTGCTCCTTTTTTTTCCCATCAAGTACAGTAGAAAAGACACAAAATACTACCTGTAGCATTAAAAAGAAAAGAAAAGAAAAAAAGAGCCGAGCCATGCATCGAAAAAAAGGGACCAGGATACCTACCTAGGTACCTAGCTTGGCCAACAAACGCATGAGAGGCGTACACGATACCTTGCTTGCTGAGTGCTTGCATGGTCCCGCCCAGAGCATCTTGCTGTTTTTACCGTAGTGCTGCCACCGCCAGCGCTACTCGTGCTATGGACTCTACTAGCTTGAGGTATTGAGTCGGGTCAGCTAGCGGCAATGCTAGCAGCAGAGCTTTTGTTTACTTTTGGCCGCATTGGGGTCATCGTATCTAGGTAAACAAGTATTAGGGCGAAAACAAAACAAAACAAAACAAAACAAACAACCTGTTCTGTAGTCCATCGTCTCTTCATCAATCAATCCATTAATCAATCCAAAGCACAGACCTCTCTCCCTCTCTTGCATATCCAGCTTTCGTAATGCTCCTATCCGACAGCAGCAAACAAAACAACCCGCCAAGCTAAACTTCTTCATCAGGTCACATCATATCAGTCCCCTACGCTTAAATGGACACCGCCAATGCAAGCACTCCAACGTGTCTCCCTCAATGATCCCATGCCGCTGCTGCATCCGCTTTACGAACACCAAAAGACTCGCCCGGTGGATCGTCTTAGCGCCCAGCCCCCCCTGTTTTGGAGCCGCCACGTTGTGCGTTGTAACATGCTGCCATATGGAGATGCTGCTGCATCCAGACGGATGGCCAACCTTAACTGGCAAGGCCGCCATCCTTTGTACCCAAACCTTCTCGTGCTTCAACTCGCAAAAGCTTGACCGCCTTGGGCTCCCCGTCCTGGCCAGGATATCTGCTCCGTCCGAGCCACCGGCATTGGCCTATCACGTCTGCCCGCTCGTCCGACCTCTTCAACGGCAAAGCAGCCGTGCCCAATGCTATGCGCTGGCCTCGGTAGATTCGCCCAGCCTAATCTATGTACGATTAATTGAATGCCTTCCGCCTTTTTGCCTCTCTCTGTTCTTGGGGGGGCCTCACCTGACGCCACCCTCTCCATCTGCCTCTGCCTCTTCTCCCACTCACTCACTCACTCGCTCGCTCACACACACACACACACTCTCTCTCTGTCTACCTCTGTCTCTCTCTCTCCAGGTCACTCACAACACACCACGTCACATTACATCCCCAATCGTATCTCCAATCGTATCTCTATCATTCTCAAACAAACCAATTCCTCTCCATCCATCCCATCGCCCATATCACTGATCCAATTCATCCGTAGAACAACAACAACAACAGCAACAGCATCAACCACCCAATCCTTGCCCACCCATATGCACTGCAAACTCAACTTACATGGCCAGCTCCGTTTCTCTGCCGTCTTTGTATCTCTACATCGCCTTACATGACATCCAAGTACATCCACGTCGTACGTGTCAAGGCCTGGCCTGCTTCCTACATGTACATGCGTCCTGCATCCCGCACGTCCCCCCCAGCCACAGCATTTGGCTCACCGCAGTTGACCAAGCCAAGGGAGAGACCAGAAATGCTACCCTGTCAAAAAACCCAAACCACCACCCCCATTTTCTCGTGTGCCCAACCGTTTCTCTCCCTCCTCGCCTCGAGCTGCTTTTCTTCATCTCGTTCTGTTTTGGCTTGGGACTAATCCTGCAATGCAGAGACTATTGCCCATTGCATGCCTACAACTTACATGAAGGCACCAGACTTCAATCATGTACAGTAATATGCCCGATTACATCAGTAGGTCACTTGCTCGTACTACTCGTACTACCTTTGGGTGCTACATGCTGCATACCTAAATTTAGGCAAGGCCGTGGTACTTGGAAGACAGGGGCCCGTATTGGATCTTTGCTTGGACCGGCCTCGTTAGTCAGTATGGAGTATTACGGAGCTCCTCGCACATGAATGCGTTGTCCGACATGCATCCCACAAGTCTAGATGTCTCGCTGTCTGGTGCCATCGAAACAAGGGGAGTGGCTAGTCAGCACTCCAGCGATCACAATGTTACATGTCGTCAAGCTCAGGTAGGTATGTGTGCGAGGCATCAATAGCGAGATGGATGCAGAAGAACGGCATCATCCATCCATGAATAAGTGGTTTCGCTACATTTACCATACCCACTTTCTTCTACCTGTGTCTGCTACTCTCGCCACTTTCTTCTAGTACTTGTCATGTCAAGTGGGTGATAAGAAGCCCCGTACGGGATATTTACGAATACATACATCTTACCATAGGTTATACTGTATATGTCCTATGTAATATGTACTAACCCAAGTTATGGAGTGGGAGCCGGATAGCCACTCCCTACCTAAATAACGTCTGCCGCCATCATGGGTGATGTAGTAGAGATTCTCTCAATAACTAAACATGTATACATATTTATCCGTGCACGGAGATATTTATCCGTACATGTACGGGGAATATTACTACAGTACCAACACCGTATGTTGATAGCTTCCTCATATTATATGGGGTGCTGACTACAGTACAGTACTTACCAACCTCCCAAGACAAAGTAGGCCCATCATCGTGCATGTACCTCCGTAGTGTGCAAGGCAATTACTCGTACACAAAGCAGCGACTGGCCGAAACGGCTGTTGCTTGCAGATCTGATATCTCTGCATAGGCGATACGTGCTTGCATCTCAATGCTTGTACTATTTCTACCTACCTATGCATTCCTTACTTTGCCTGATAAGAAGCAGACTAGAAAAACGGCCAGTACTTGCCATTCGCATGCCTTGCTACCCAAGGATCATACAAGATTCTATGATCGACATGGACAGTGATAGTTCGTGTCTTAGGCAATTTGATTATACCGAAGTACTAACCCACATGTAGTAGTATGTTTACCTCACCTCTCATTGGTAACATCTTGAGATTGAGCCAGGGAAAAAGTAGTAATGTAAAATTGGGCATAATGGTACGAAATAGGTGTCTTTAATATGAAAAAAGTCTAGCTAGGTTAGGTTTTGCCGCAGCTCCTTGCGGCGACGCCCCAATAATCTACCACCAACGAGGTACCAAGGGTATAGCCTTGCCCTCTCCAATCGAGCTCATGTAAACCCGGAAATCCCCTTCCTGTATCATAAACGGTCATTCCAGCTGCCGATGGCCTAATCCTCAAGTAATCCGGGATGTCCCAGCATCATCAAATAAAACACTTTTCGCCGTCGTACGAATCGTTTACAGATCATCATCAGACAGCTCACCGGGCAGAGGCATGGCGGCAGCCTCGTCCATCTCCTTCTTGTACTGCTCCAAGAGAGCCTCGTCGACCTGGGCGGTAGGGGGAGCCAGGGCGGGGGCAGCAACAAACTCCTATATCAACAGTCAGTCAGCGCCTTGTCACGATATGTTGATTTCCATGCCGACGGGAGTACTAACCAGGGCGGGGTTGCCAACCAGCTTGCGGGCAAGCCACAGGAAGGGCTTCTCGAAGTTGTAGTTGGACTTGGCGGAGATGTCGTAGTACTGGAGGTTCTTCTTTCGGTGGAAGGTGATGGTCTTGGCCTTGACCTTTCGCTCCTTTACGTCGACCTTGTTACCGCACAGAACGATGGGAATGTTCTCGCAAACACGGACGAGATCGCCTGCAATCCATGTGTTAGTACTACTACTTATTCCTCATGCTCAAGATAGATATTCAAGGGGGTAAACATACGATGCCAGTTGGGGACGTTCTTGTACGTGATGCGGGATGTCACGTCGAACATAATGATACCGCACTGGCCGTTGATGTAGTAACCATCACGAAGACCACCGAACTTCTCCTGACCGGCGGTATCCCACACATCGAACTGAATCTGGCCGTAGTTCTGGTTGTATATCAGTATATGTGACGCGCTATCGACTGCGGCGGTGTGTTGAGACTCACGGTGGTGAAGCCAAGGGGGTGAACCTCGACACCGAGGGTGGCCATGTACTTCTTCTCAAATTCACCGGTCAAGTGACGCTTGACAAAGGTGGTCTATTGCGACAAAGGCTGGTTAGCGGGAGGTGGACGCCAAGGCGTGGATCGCCATCGGGGGGGGAAAAAATTATCGTTCGCCACGACAGGCAGGAATATCGGTTTCGATCCCGTTTGCGTGCAGCGCCGATTGATATCCATGAACCAAGAAATAACACACCTTGCCGGTACCACCATCGCCAACAAGCACAAGCTTGAAGGTAGGAGTCTGTTGCTCAGCCATGTTGACGGCTCGAGTGATTAGCGACGAGCGTGAGGTGATGTAAACAGGCGGGGTCCTGCGAGATGGCGTTAGTCTGGTTGATTTCGAATCCTGAACGCGAGTAACGGTTTGCTGAGGTGCATGTAGATCTAAAACGGCCGGCAGCTCATAAAGACGGGAGAGAGAGAGGGAAAATAAAGGGAAAACCAATAGGTTGGGCACATACCTGGTGGGTTTTTGGACGACGCGAGGGTGGTGTGGACGTCAAAAAGTTGCACTGGATGGACTTGACCTGAGTTCTTTTGAAGGCGGCGGGGAACTGGAGACAAGGGAGCAAGACCTTGCCTCTCATCATCAAGCGAAAAATTCAGTCGCCAGGGGTGGGCTAGCCGCACGTGACATCACCGCCCTCGCCCGCTACCTGCGAGGACCTGAACGGAGCCCCTCCCTGCCTGTTTTTTGCTCTTTCTGGCAGCCGCGGAGGTTCTGCCAAGTACCGCTCCATTCGAGGGGCGAGAAGCGCCGGCAGTAAAAGCTGGCTGCAGGGCAGCTTAGGTGCCTACCGCCTGCCTGTTTGGAGCCTCTAGACCCAGCTGGGATCCATCATCTCTTCTGGTCTGTTCTCCGTCCTTCGTAGCGCAACCCGCGATGCTGCCCAGGCGAGGCAGGCTGTATGTACTCGTATGTATGGACGGAGTACCGCCATGCAGAGCGGCTGCAAGTGCCCAGGAGCAATGTCTCAGGGCCCAACGAATGTGCGGTGTACGGGAGCTACTGCCAACGCCGATTGTTTGATGGATGCAAGGGAGTGTTTGCTCCATCTTGATTTGCTTCAATGCCACTAATACTTAGGTACCTACCTAGGAGGTTGTTTATTGCAGCAGATACTTAAAGAGCCCGACAAAAAGGTAGGTACTTTTACTGTTCAATACCGGCATCACATTACTTGATATCCGTTCTGCCTACCCCGTACATGTGATCGTATAGGGAGATATCTTGGTTTTTGCGACGCTAGGAGTTCCGGTTGTCCTCCCCTTCACAGCATTTTTAAGCCCTCCCAAGTCCTTAACCAACCTACCAAGGTACCTTGCCTTTTGCAAATCGGGACTTTTCGTTGCCATTAAGCTTGTCTACCTTACTTCTGAGCCAACGAACCCCCTGCCCCCAAAAGCGCCTTCTGTCTTTCACAGCATTTTTAAGCCCTCTCAAGTCCTTGACCATGGAAGGTATAATTACATCAATACTAGGTACTAAGCCTTTGCTCCTAATACCTAAGGTAGCACTAGGATAGATTAGCAGTGCCTGGCAATACCAATCGCCACTCTTCTCAAAAAACCCATCAAGCATTTTCACATGAGCAGCTTTGATATCTTGGCTTTCTGCACAGCATCATGACGCAACTTCCCCCCCCTAGTGCCACCCCGGCTTTGTCAGCATCTTCCTGGTGCCTAATTCAACCCGTCCAAATGCGCGCCGAGCTGTTTGTCAACAGGCCGCAATTATACTCCGTATCGTGCTCCATGTACACAATCTCCTGTCTATGATGACGCCGACAGGTGCCCAACGCGTGATAGATGGCAATACAGCAAATAATTTGACATTGACCTTCTGGCGCTGGCATGGCGCCACTGACTCGGGTGTGACCAAAATCCATCTAGCCGGAACTGCTGATTAGGTCAGTTTGTGAGGATATTGCATCCCGATGACATGTTACAGAGGCAAAATGTGACAGCCTAGCATCCCCCTTCCACCCCAGTCTTTCCTTGGAGTTAAAGTCAATCTCAGCTCCTGTCGGCGAGCTACTCCATCAGGCCGGGATACCTTAATGAAGATGTTTCTCTGTTGATGATTGTTAGAATCAACCGAGGAGGAACCGGACAATCTGGGACATACTCCTTCGTTACCCTGAACACACTCTGCCACCTTTTTGAGACCATCATGATTTGATCGGTTAACGTAGCCAAAGTTGCGAATCTCATCGCCAGCCTGTAAGCCAGCCTGCTGCGCCGGACTGCCTGGCGCGACGGTGTTGACCTTTGCAAACGGCTCATCCAACTGTTCGGACTGAGAATCCGGTAAGATGCGAGGTTCATCCCCAGCTGTACTAGGGGCTTCATCCCCCTCTTGGATGCTCGCAAAATGTTCGTGTAGATACTTTTCTATCGCCGTCATGAGATCCTTGTAATCATTACGTAGACGAATGATACGCGCTCTTGTGGTGCGAACTGTGGCATACATGTTAGACCCCATTCGTGAACAAGCTTTTTGCGTCTCATATACTCTGAGCAACATCGAGATCTGCTCGGGGAAAGCCATCTCTAGTCAATAGCGGCGTTTGCATATCAACGCCGTGCTAGTAATCATATTAATCATTACTCGACTCTGATTAATATCAGGAGTAAAAGATGGATTCTCACCGAATCAAGGACACTTCCTAGAGCCTTAAGTTCTGCCTCCATATCGTCCTTCTTGCGCTGCAGTTCTGCGAAACTCTGCTTCCCTGCGTCGCCGTTTCTCTGGCTGAAATTCGATGTCGGCCCAGAGGGCACAGTCGGTGCGTGAAGAGTATCCATTCTAAGTGGCAACCCTATACCCCAACTGCAGCGTTGAAATGGAGCTGAAGAAGAGAATGGAAAAAAGATTGCGATGGGTTAGAGGCAGTTGGTTTGTGAACTCGGCACAGCTGTTTTAGAGCTTGTCATCACCAACAGCGAACATCCCGGGGCGTTTTTTGCGGGGTCCAGGAACACCAGAGGCCTACGCACTCACTGAAGCCTTTCCTGGCGGGTTAGAGAAGTGTACTTGGAGGGTACATCAAGAATGCTCTGGATGATTGCTGTCGATGAAGTTCCATCAGGTACCCAAATCTTTAGGGCGTCTGGTGGGCTACAGCCAGCCTTACACCGTCCACTCTAGCTGGCCCGTGCGTGTTTTCTTATACGAAGCACTAACCTCCGGCTCTTTTTCAACTAACAGCGAGCACAGACGTCACCTGGGCTTGCTAATCTTTCTTTATCCTGCCAACTTCTCAGACGCGTGCCATAGCATTTTTGTTGTCGCGACGCTGGCCACAATGGCTTCCGCAGGAGATGCTCGACTTATGAAGTCGACCAAGTTCCCTACTGAATTCAACCAGAAAGTTGACATGCAAAAGGTCAACTTGCAGGTCATTAAAAAGTTTGTCACTGGGCCCCAACATGCCGCATCGTGGATCCCGACTTTGCAGTCCTGACGCCAAATCTCACAGGTGGATTGCCAACAAGATTTCTGAAATCCTGGGCAGCGAAGACGATGTCGTAATTGAGCTGTGCTTCAATCTTATCGACGGACCCAGACATGTATGTTGCATCATTCTTGCTTCGAGTCTCTACCGGCCGTCCATGTTAACTGTTTGGTCACCAGCCCGACATCAAATCGCTTCAAATTCAGCTTACCGGGTTTCTGGACAAAGATACTGGACCATTCTGCAAAGAGCTATGGAAATTGCTGTTGAGTGCTCAAAGTAACCCTCAGGGCGTGCCCAAAGAGCTATTAGAAGCAAAAAAGCTGGAGCTTATGCAGGAAAAGGTTGGCATCCCATCATGAGGACGTCTCACGCTTACTTTTCTCTGGATCTAACAATCAGCCTAGATCGAGGCCGACAGAGCTGCCGAAAATGCCAGAAAACGTCGCGATGACACGGACCGCCGTGATCGAGATATTACAGAATTGAAAGATCGAGACCGTCGAGACCGAGCAAATGATAGAGGCGATCGATCGGGCCGCCGTGGGGATCGAGCTCCTGAAGGCCGTGGCAGAGGAGGCCATGGTTGGAGTGCAAATAGATCACGTTCTCCCGAGCCTCGGCACCGCGCCTCGGGAGATTCGTACCGACGAGACAGCTATGTCCCTCGGACTCGAGGCGGCCGGGGGCGTGATCGTGGCTGGCAGCGGCGACGAAGTCGCTCACCATCCGGGTCAGCGTCTGAGCGATCCCACTCTCGAAGTAGCAGTGCGTCTCGCAGTGATCGAGGCTCTAGAAGCCCTCCTCGCCGCAAAGGACCACCCGCGCGATACAGAGACTCGAGGAAGAGATCCAGGTCTCCTCGCGGAGATGCTTATCGACCAAGGCGACAGTCACGCAATGGTAGGGATCGCCGTGATGCTCGAAACCGACGCTCACAATCTTCAGAGCGCACCTCGCCACCACCGAAGCGAAGACGGCAATCTGCCTCTAGAAGTCGATCTGTAGAGCGCAGAAGACGCTACTCAGCCACACCATCCTCTGTTTCGCGGAGTTCTTCGGTGGCCCGTAGCCGCAGCCCCAATCGCCGCCGCAATCGATCCGTCGATAGCGTTGGATCAAATTCACACTCAAAACGCCGCCAAGATCGCCGACGAGGCAGTGTGACAAACGAGTTGGGGGATGATAACGAACGTCACCGTCGTGGTAATCGTCGCCATAAAGATCACGATGCTCCGACGAAGGACAAGGAATCTGAAAGGCGAAGACGCAATAGCTCCTCTCCGCCCTCGTCTCCGTCTAACCGTGGCAAGTCGGCTGATATTTTGGAAGATGAATCGCGTGCTCCGAATCCTTAGCTAGGCACCGGCCGACGTCCAAGAGGTGGGTAAGCTCCTGACGGGAGGGTGAAAAGAGCGGCTACTCTAGTTCATCACTGACCTTGATGCTTGACGCAGTATCAGACTCGCCACTTTAAAGGCAACCGTGCTGGAGAGGTTTTGCAAACGATACTGAGCAGATGAGAACCTCTGATACTAGCACTCACATCAGCAACCGAGGCTAACTGCTATTCAAGTGCTCGTCTCTAGTACATGAAAGAAATGGCGACCAGCTCTTGCCTGGCAAAAGTATACAAGCCAACGAATAAATCTGGATAGAACTACGAAAGTAGATATTGGGAAAAGAAAAGCGATGCGCGTTTGTCACTGCACTTTGGCCAGTTTAAATAGATGGTTGCTCTCCACAGTTATTACCGGAAATTCATGTATAGTGTCGATAATACAAAACTCCGAGCCACCTCGTCTGTTTATTGGAAGACGATGGCTAACCAACACCCGAACGACTGGAAGTACAATACGTAGAAATAGGCGTGCCCTCCCAGGGACTGGATCAATTCTTTACGGATCTGATACTATTGCTACTTTGCATGGCTACTTGCATCTATTATCGTTACATTATATGTACCCTTCTGGAGGTGCCTGTATCTGCTCATTATGGCTCCATACCTATCAACTTTGGGACGCAGGATGCTCAATAGCACTGTAACTTCTGGGCGCTGGCAAGCCACTGCCTGCTATTACTCTGTACGGCCTAGTGGGAACTCTCAGTGGCATATGCTGCACATTTCAGCTTAGCGTCTCCCAAATCGGCTTGCCTTTCGCAAGTTTATTTTCCCATGACAACATCAAAAGGACCAACCGCGAAACCATTCCATCCACCAATTTGACGCTGGCATCGCCATCGCATCGCCAACCGATTGAGATAGGAGCGCTGGCGCATGGCGGACAATAAACAAACCATTGCATCCCGACCCAGCGAGGCGCAACCCACCATGGCAGAATATAAGAAGGCTCAGGCGCGCGTGCGAGACTTGGTCGATCGGCGAAGGCAGCTGGAGCGCCGTCTTGTGAGTTTGCGCCTCTCCTTTTGCAGGTCCACTGCGTTTGCGTAAGGTGACACGGGCTAAACGATGGCGTTCGAATAGGCAGCGATGGAGGAGAGCATCATCCAGAAGGAATCCGCCTACCTCGACAGCACCCCTAGCGGTAACATCATCACCGGCTTCGACAACTACATGAAAGGCACAAGCGGTGCGGCCGCCCAACGACGCAAGACAGGTCCGGCGGAGCAGAACCGCGTCTTTTCGCGCTCATCCATCTCGTACCGACCGAATAATGGGGTAAGATTACCTTAGAGAAGGAGCCGAAGATATAAACCTCTAGCCAGCCAGGCTTTACGGGCTTTTCTGTTCATCGCTAACTGGATGCACTTGTCTAGGACTCTTCGACTCCTGGATCAGTAGGCTCAACGCCTGCACCGACACCTTTATCCACCTCGTTCCGAGACAGCGCATCAGGCAATCCTACGCCAACATCGGCGGGCGGAAACAAGGCGAACAAGCCCAAGAAGAGAGACACGGAAGATAGCGAGAATGATGCGCAAACGAACAAGAAGCGAACGAATTTCGGGGCATCGAGAAAGTGAGGCTTCGAGGCCGTGTCATTTGGCTTTTTTAGAATTTAGGTGCCCATGTCAGCCCGCAGTGCTATAGCCTCTAAGGGGAACAAACCTACACATGAGCGGCGTTTTAAGGTTAGGATATAATAAGGTATAATGAATATGGCGTTGGGGACGAGGATATATTGAGCGATATTTATGTCACATGATGGTTGGAAGATGGAAATGGAGCATAACAAAGGCTGAACATGGTCTTCAGAAACTGATGCCTTAATGGTATGGTAGCAATATCTACGCGACTGCTGTACTTGAAGTGAACACAACTAGGTCTAGTTCTTCTAATAGAGCGCTGAAAGAGAGGATTTCGAGCACTCAGATGACACCTTTTCTTAGCTAGCCAATGTCATCAACTAAATGAAATATCTTGAAAGTGGAGATGATTGTAAATGGAGCAGACTCGAGCTAGATTTGGAATTCGGCAAGCCGGCACCGTAGCAGCGAGAGATTTATAAGTCAGCATCCGCTCGCCGAAAGGCAGCGGATCTTTCTTGCGTCCAGGGCTATGAGGAAAGGAATATCGTGACTACCAGATAGTATCTGCAGTGGTTCTTCCAGCATCTGCTATTATCGCTAACTTTTTTCTGGGATCTGTAATTATCGCCCTCTTCTGTTTGTAGCTGCCATCATTGCTGCTTGTTCTGGCGCCTGCTGTTATCACTGCTATTAAAGGTACTTTGTATTCAAGTTGGGGCTCGGGATATTACTGGATAGCCTATTTGGGACGCTGGCCGCGAAGAAATTGTCGTTGTAAATTATGCAATCGCGAGAACATACTTTGTTTAGGTAATTTATTGATAGCCTACAGAGAGTACGTAAGGTGGGAATTGAGACCGAGTCTATCTTTCAGCGTTTTGCGCTCAATGTCTTACGTACTCCCTTAGCACCTTGTATAGCAGCAGAGCCAATTGACCGAGTGTCAGTTATCACAACAACGAGCCTCCACAACCTCGAGTCGTGATGCAAAAAGTCCCTTTACGTTCCCATTATTAATTCCACCTAGACTAAAAAAAAGGTCCCTGGGCAGTGGATTTGATCTAGCAGCCATACGTCTTTGATAGTGCGGGGTTGCAGATGAGGGGTCCGATGGGGTTTGCAGCCATCGGGGTTCTCGTATGATGTGATAAATAGATAACATCAATTGGCCCTGGCATCTTTGCCTTTTCGTTCTTACGTCGACAATTGGTGTTGAGCAGCCCTTTATGATGACAATCCAGGCCGAAAAGTTTACTCCAGAGGTTCTCCTCTCGGCGCCACGGCGCTCGCCTGGCGTGCCCAATTCCACGGGCGAGCTCGTCTTATACACGGTAAGTTGTGAACGGGAATACGCGATTCCCTGGAGGCATCGCATCATCGCGTGTAAAGCTGCGGCGGATTGGATTGGATTGGATCATGCTGTGCTCGAGGCAGCTGCTGACGCAGACTCTCATCTAGGTCTCGACATACTCCTTCGACTCCCACTCCAAGACGGCGCAGATCCGCGTGCTCAATCTCAAAGAGGGGACCTCGCATCTGGTCTCCGAAGACTCCGCAGCAAGCGAGCCCATCTGGATCAGCGAAAAGGAGATTGCCTATGTCAAGAGCCTCGACAACGGTGCCTCGGCCCTCGTGGCGCAGCATGTTCTCCAAGTGAATGAGTAAGTGGATTTCCTCATCATCGTGGCGGCCTAGAGAAACTTACACTCATGTCAAATAAGGTCAAACACCATCCAACGCTTCACTGGAAGCATTTCCAGCCTGAAGGCCAAGTCTTTGTCAGCAGACAAGGTGGCCTTCTGCTGTGCTGCTCTGACGACCCCCGATGGCCAGATGTACAGCCCAGCTGCGGAACCAAAGTCTCACACATCCGCCAAGATCTACACATCCCTGTTTGTGCGACACTGGGACTCCTGGAATACTGCAAACAAAAACTCGCTTTGGTATGGCCAGCTGGAAAAGGTCGACGGAAAATGGACTCTCGGAAACTCGGCCCTCACCAACCTGCTTGCGGGCACGCCACTCAACTCTCCCGTACCTCCCTTTGGAGGTACCGGCGATTTCGATATATCCTCGACTGGCATTGTTTTTGTTGCAAAGGATCCGGAATTGAACCATGCTAGAAACACAAAGACTGACCTTTACTTTGTTCCTCTGAGATCATTCTTGGATAAGCCCAGTGTCCCCCAGATTGTCAAGACGGGAAACCTTCTCGGATACTCCATCTCTCCCGTCTTTTCAAACGATGGCAAGCAGGTTGCTTTCCTGCGCATGAAATCTCAGCAATATGAGGCCGACAAGACAAGGCTCTTGCTGATCCCAGATGTAACCGATCTGAGCAACGTTCAGGAATTTTACGAGACAAGCGATGGCAAGGGCGGTTGGGACTTCAAGCCTGATTGGATTGTCTGGAGCCACGACGACAAGGAATTGTACATTGCGGCTGAGAAGCACGCTAGAGTTGTCCTGTGGAAGCTTCCATCATCTCCACTGGAAGCCAAGGACCTACCCGTCGCGATTCACGAGGATGGATCTGTGGCAGAGGCAAGAGTTCTTGGGAGCAGCTCATCGCTGCTGATAACAACAAGGTCGCGGGTTGAAAGCTCCAACTATTCGATACTGGACCCTGAATCTGGATCTGCCACCGTCGTCTCTTCTAGCTCGAAACAGGGCCGAACCTTCTCCCTGAACAAATCGCAGTGCCAAGATATTTGGTTCGACGGCTCAAAGGGCTATCCGATCCACGCTCTAGTGACCCTGCCTTCGAACTTTGACTCTTCCAAGAAGTATCCCTTGGCTTTCCTTATCCATGGTGGGCCTCAGGGAGCTTGGGGAGATGACTGGAGCACTCGGTGGAACCCCGCCATCTTTGCTGAGCAGGGCTATGTCGTTGTGAGCCCCAACCCAACTGGTAGCACGGGTTATGGTCAAGACCATACCGACGCCATTCAAAACAACTGGGGAGGTGATCCGTATGTGGACCTAGTCAAATGTTTTGAGTATCTAGAGAACGAAGTGAGCTACATAGACACAACCAGATCCGTAGCTCTCGGCGCATCTTATGGTGGCTACATGATTAGTGAGTTTTTCCACAGCAAGATAAGAGATCTTTTCAGGATTGAGACGCTGACTCGCATCAGACTGGATCCAGGGCCATGATCTTGGACGAAAGTTCAAGGCATTGGTATGCCACGATGGTGTCTTTTCGACTCTTAACCAGTGGTCTACAGAAGAGCTGTTCTTCCCCGAGCATGACTTTGGCGGCACCCTCTGGGAAAACAGAGAGGGCTATGAGAAATGGGATCCTGCCAAGTACGCTGGAAACTGGGCCACGCCGCAGCTGGTAAGTTGGAATTGAGTAGTGCCATATGTCCACTGTCACCAACTAACTTGCCTGCTTCTCAGGTTATACACAACGAGCTCGATTACCGCTTGCCCATTTCAGAGGGTCTAGCCATGTTTAACGTTCTTCAGGCTCGCGGTGTGCCGAGCAAGTTTGTCATGTTCCCAGACGAGCATCACGTAAGTCAAAGAGGTTCTTTCTCCCTAAAAGAGGATATAGATGCTAACAATATGTGACAAGTGGGTGCTCAAGCCGGAGAACTCATTGGTCTGGCACAAGGAGGTGCTGGGCTTTATCAACAAGTACAGCGGAATCTCCGAGCAGGAATAAATAAGATATACCCTCTCTATCTTGCTTTCTTCTTCTTCTTTTACTCTCCGGATATTTACGTACTAAATTTGCGCATGCATTATGAGTTTGTGAAACATGTGGAGGTTTAGGAGGCCTTCTTTCGACGGTAGCAGCTTGTGCTTGGTATTAAATTGCATTGTCGGTCATGGCATATTGTTTTTGGGGTTCTGATAGCAGTACATACCTATCAAAGTAGCAAAACAGCAACCAATTGAAGTTTTTTTAATAAAAAGAAGAAAAGTAACTGCTTTCTAGCTTATCTATTGTAGCGCCTTTAACTTTATATAGGAATTCACTTGGGAGCCAAGTTGGCAATCCAGCTAATAGTAGTAATAATAGATCGCTGGGACGTAGGGTAGCCAACTCTGGATGCTCTCCATTCATTCCATAGATATCAATAAAAGAAGCACAAGAATAAAATAAGAACTTGGTAATAAAGCATTACCAAGAGACTGAAAGGCTGCCAGCCGAATACACAGTGTAAATTTCAGTCACTTCTATTATACACTGTGTGGGTTCCTATCAGAGGAAGCTGATCTGAACCTCAATTCACAGATAAACTTAGCTTCACTTTTAACAGCCCTCCCAGAACACAGTTTGGCTGTCCAACCACCACAATCACGAGCTTTGACCTTTGCTTCATACACCAAACAAGATCGCGCACTCGACCAGTTACAGGCGAACATGCGCTGTGCGAGCTATTCAGTACGACAGAATCGATGACGTCCTTATAGAGCACATGCGACAGCTTTGGAACGATCCTTGTAGCCACTTGGACTGCTTTGCTTTCTTCCCTTCTCCCTCTGCTTCTCCTCGAAAATCTCCTGGAATCTCCTATCTCTCGACATGGCTCGTCCGCCCTCCATGTTCCACGCTTTCCTGCGGCCCTCGATCCTACAAATCCTTCGCGCGACGGGCTACCACAGCACGCGCCCTGCAGTGCTCGACACCCTGACCGACATTGCCGCGCGATATCTGACGCTTCTATGCGAGAAGACGGCGAGCAATGCGACAAACAACCACGGCGATGCGGGGGATTACGACATAGTGGACGTCAGGATGGCGCTGCAGGAGGTTGGAGTGCTGCTGCCGGAGAGGGCTGAGACGGAACAGGCGTGGAAGGGAGAGGAGGATATGAGAGGAGTGGAGGAGTTTATTGAGTGGTTTTCGGGAACGCGCATGAAGGAGATGATGGAGATGGGCAGCGGAGATACTGAATCTGACGCTACCGACTATCTGGCTGGTAAGACGACGAAGAAAGAAATGAGAGGCGAGGGAACAATTTCCTAGTTTTCTCTCTCACCCTCTCTTTTTTTTTCCCCTTGCGAACATTTGGCTAACATGGTAATCTCATTAGCACTAAAAAAGAAGCACAGCAAAACAGGCGACGACGCAAAGTGGCAAGGCACCATCTTTGGCAAATCCAACGACGGCAACGAGATCCTCGTCGAAGGCGGCTCCATAACCAGCATCAGCGAATGGATATCCAAGAGAGCACCGGAATCACTTGAGCCCCAGGAAACGATAGAAGAGCAGAACGGAGACAATCCCGAAGCCGCAGACATGAGAAGGTCCCCTAGTTCGGGCCTCAGCTCGGTGGGGGATAGGCTGGGCGACGATGGCGTCGAGGACATGGTTCTTACCTAGAAGTCGAGACATGGCACCTTCGAGGCAGATGCGCCGCCGGCTCACTCTACCAGAGCTAGAAAGCGCAGGAAGAAGAACCATCACAGTTCTCGGAGGACGTGAATGGGGTGGTTTTGTCATTTTGAAGAATACTGGACATCTTCTTTTCCGACGTGAAAACGAGGAAGCGAGATTCCATCTTCGCCAAAGGAAGGGGCTAATAACAGGAGGATATGAGATTTTAAACTCACAAAAAGAGACAAGGGAAGATGAGAGAATGGCTACAAACACACACACGACTGTTGTCCCCCCTTTCCCTTTTTTTCCCTTACCTTTTTTATTATTGCATAGCGTTGGAGTTCCGGAAAGCCAAGAGAGGAGACTTTGTCGCGTGGTGGGTATAATGGGATGGGCAATTGACTTTTTATTTTTCTTCTCTTCCCTTTTCACATAGCGGCTAGATTTGATTGCTATGGAGGCGAGATAGCGGGATATTCTGTAGCTGGTCAATAACAAGTTTCACTCTTCTATATGAGATCTAGAAATGAAAGGTTAGAGTGTACTTGTCTTAATATTGTACAATGCGTCAGAGGACGTCTGCATGCGCTATGATACAGTTTTTTTTTTTTTTTATCTGCGAGCGTCCCACGTATCCCCGTAAATCCCCTGGTCATTGGAGATGATCCATCCAAATCATTCATCATATCTCTAATGTACAATCTATATACTTCTCAAAAAAGATCATGCCCTTCACCTCCCGCCGGCGCCCTTCTTCGGGCCCAACAACTCATACACCCCCATCTGCCTCGCCACCTCGACAAATATCTTCCTCTTATCTTCCTCCTTGCCCTCCGCAGGCCAAAACTTCTTCTGCAAATACGCATACAGCGCCGCGCCGCGCTTCTTGTCGCCCTCGAGATTCGCCGTGTTGAAGTCCGCCCACGCGAGTAGCTCGCGATCAATCTCCCGCTTGGCCACCATCAGCTTGCCGCGCTGGGAGGGCGTGTCCCAGGTGAGCTTGGTGGTGCCAAGGACCATTTCCATGACGAGTGTCTCGGGAGGGAGGAACTTGAATGTTTCTTTGAATGCGGTGATGGCAACGAGGAAGCCTGCGTTGTCCTGGAGGCGGCGGAAAGTGTGAAGGATTTTGCGAGCTAGTTGCCCATCGATGCCGTCAGGTTGAAATACGTCTCTGTGCTTGACGGTTTCTTTAAACATGGCTCGTGTGGCCTCAATCTCCTTTGCTCGAGTTTCGGGATCCCTGATATGGTATCGATTCGCACCAAGTGTCTTCCAGAGCGCACTGAATGTGTATGGATCAGGCACAACTTTGCTACTCTCTATGAGAGAATGATACAAAGCTAGTGCTTCTTGAGGTTGGCCCTCGTGCATGAGCGATTCGACAAGTTGGTTCATCATGAAGGCGTCAGGGCTAATCTCTGCTTGGCGGAAGGCATCCCATAACGCCTCCAAGCGTCCATGCAGGCTCCGCTGGCGGTAATTCTCAGCAAGTAGAGAGAACGTTTCAATAGTAGCCCGTGGGAAACCCGCTGGGGTATCCTTTGGCAATGGCATGGTATAGGTGCTGGAGACGCCACTGCCAGACTTTCTGCTGGCGACAAACTTGAGTCTGGACTCAATCATGTTCCAGCCAAGAGCATCGGCCTTCTCAAGATCATCGGCACCTCCTGACCGTTGCCATGCCCCAATGAGGCCATTCAATTGTATCGGCGAAGCCTCAACTCCCTTTCCTCGCATGAACTCGACTACACTGAAAGCACCATCCAGATCCCCAGCGCCAATTAGTCGCTTGAGCCACTTGCCTAGGAAGAATTTGTTTGCAATAACAGAAGGCAAGTGTCTTTGCCTCGTCATATCAATCCGACCATCACTCATCATGTCCACAAAAGCGTACAGCGCATTCTCGACTTGATGAGCAGTCAGGAAATATGAAATCACTTGGTCGTAGTCTGTGAGTGTCATTTCTTTCCCCAAAAGCTCCCTCATTTGGCGATAGGTAGTCCAGGCTTTCTGTCGACCCTCCTCTGTTCCTTGCTCGCAGCACGTTCGGATGAGCGGGATCAAGATACGTGGGCTCATGTTGCGGCCAAGGAGCTTATTTATTGCTCGTTCTGCTTGCCCCAAGTCGCCTACACGGCAGTACATCCTCGCACCGAGCTCCCAAAAGTCTTGAAATGTCTCCGAGGTTTCAGCCCCGAGTGTGCTGATACACCGTTTCCAATTCTCAATGGCCTTGGACTCCCATCCGTCAACAAAGATGGCTTCGATAGCTAGGACCTGTTGTGCAGGACTAAGGGTAACCTTGGCATCGCTCATATCTCTAGCAAGCCGGGCTATGCGTGATATGCTGTTGGGGCTGTCCTTTTCACTTGAGAATGCTCTCCACAGGACCTCCCACAAAGCGGGTGGAACATCGTTCCAATTTTGGGCCAACGCCGGTCTCGTCGCATGATATGATTTGTATAGGGACTGTACTGCCTTCTGCTTCAATCCTGATTGCTTCTCCGCAAGAATGAAGCGTGTGACGACGGAGTTGAATGTGTTTAGCTTTCGCCTTCGGTTTGCCTTTGTCTCGTCGAGATTTATGCGGACTTGTGGTATTGAGTCTCGAGATCCGTCAAAGGACTCATCTCCTTCCAAGGATAATTCAGGCACGTCCCCGATGAGCTGTTCCAGCACTCCTTTGGGCAGATCAGAGCTTGCTTGTTCTATTTCGGCATCGATCGACCGTGCGTAATCTTCCATCTTTGCTATAATCTTCTCGACATCTTCCGCAGAGTTGATCTTGCCCCAGTCTTCGCCCATCTCCTTCAAGACGTCCCTAAAGGCATCTCTGTCGTCTTGATTTCCGAATTTTGTTCTGAGGTTGAAAAGATCATCTCGCAGTGTGGAGGCGCTGATGCCACTTAAGGAATCCTCAAACGCTTGTTCGTTGGTTAACTCTTTCCGGTTTTGGTCGCCCTGCTCGAAGAATCGGACAGAAAAGTCCTCCACATTGGCCTTTGCCTTGTCTGGAGTCCGCAGATTTTTGAGGCCTTCCAGGTAACGAGCCAACTCCTCTTTTGTTGGCTGGCGTGTAATGTCTTCATTGGGCCGTGGTCGAGGTCGTAGCCTTGCTTTACTCGCGGTTTGAGAGGCCTGGGTGCTGTATGAAGCCGGCCGCCATACCAGTGGAGGCTGCTTTGCGCGACCAGCCAGACATGAGCGGCAGACGATGTCGTTTCGACACCGGAGGTCGCGCAGTATCGGCCGGCATGACATCTTTTAGGAAATAAATAAAGCGTAGTGCTTCTAGCACTCGCTCGTCTGAGCGCCTGGAACTTTTTTTTTTTTTTTTCGATGATCAAGATTCTTGCGATTGCCATGCCAGTAGCGGATTTGCTCCCCACCATGGGAGTTATCGATAAGCACCCGCTTGGTGCTGCAGAAGTACCTAGGTACTCCCTTAGAGCCTACAATCATGTATAGGTCCCTTTAAAAGATCCATTTCAATAATTCTTTTACTTGTGTCGTTGTCTGTACTTTTAATATTACCTAAGGTATCTTCCTACTAGCGACTGCAATTTCGCTATTGTGTCATTGTGTCATTGGGATTGATTTTTTTTTCTAGCAATACAGGTACCTACCTCTGTAGGCAGCTTATATAGCGCTATTCTCACCCGTTTTCCATCAAACTACCTACTGTGGATACACTGCATGCGCTCTCGTTACATTTTACAAGGTTATTACCCATTGGAATCCAATTCTGCCTCTAGCACATATGTGGGATTTTTGCAGCTGTTGTATTGGTTCTCTGCAGCTTCGCATTAGCCACCTTGTTAGGGTCTAACAGGCCTGAAGCATTGGAGGGCATTATAAGCTGACAGCATTGAGAAGCGTCGCTCGTATGGAACTAATAATCAATTATGTTTACACTGAGCTCATTCTGTTTCCCATTCCAACTCCACGGCTTTCTTTATGAAAATCCGATGCGCGCGGTATCCTTAGGGTAGATAGGTAGATACAACAATAGCTGTGAGAACAGCTTTCTCGTCGCGAGGACGCCATCATGTATATACTTGTTACAGATTACTTGGCGTTTCTTCCGAACGTACTAATGGTAGTAGATGGTTAGATAAAGCACATGGACTGAAAAGTCGGCGGTTTGGATGAACTAACTTTTGGAAGAATTGGCCGAAGATGCCCGGTTTGGACGTTTGGTCGGACATACTCTGACGCCGGGCGGCATTGTTGGCGTTTTGGTGGTGTTGAGAGAGACCTTCAAATGCGGGCATGAAGCCGGAGCTCTGGACAATTATCATCAGCATGTATACTCGGTGGGCGACCGGTGAAGGATATGAGACGCACTCGACGGCGGGTACCCTGGTTTGCCGGTGGGGGTTGGTTCTGCTCAGGATTGTTCATATTGGCTGAGAAAAAGGATCTCAATTATCAAGATGGAAGAGATCTTTAATTTTGGATATGATGAACTTTGATGAGATGCAATGGTTTGCATAGAATAGCAAATCGGATAGAAGAGGGGGAAGGAGGGGAAGCTCCTTATGTAGCTTCCGTGAGAGAAGAAAGCGAGCCAGGACAAGCTTTCTGACCATCAATGACGCCGGCCAATGACCATATCGGCTCGCCACACCATTCGCACACCGTCGAGGCCTCGATAGACATGCCAAATGGCGGCTTGTGGCTAGAGGCTCGATCGGCGCTAATAAGGTCTCAATGGCCAACCAATTTGCATTCGGAATTACCTTGCCAGGCCCGCCGGAGTGGGAGAGGCAAGAAGAGGGGGTCCGCTTCTATTGGATAAGCCATGTCAAATCGTTCGATATTGTTTACAAATGCGCACGAGACCTCGCGTATACGGAGCATTGTAGCATGCGTTATGCTCTAACTGTAGTAGCGAGTACAGTGTGTAAACAGAGAGCCTGGGCTATTACAGCGCGGGATTGGATCCTTCAAATTGGAGAGCCTCTAATAGTGCATCTCTGGCCGTGTTGGTGTCTCAATAGCACGAGGTTGTCGAGGGTGTGATGGCACAAAACACCTGCATCAATTGCCGCGATGCCATCGTCTCAACCTCGCCTCAACCATCTCACTTTGCCCACCCTGTCGACTTCCTCTCCAGTAGCGTCTGATGCCATAGCGTCATCCATCATTCCGTGACGTACGTCGAAGGCGCTGGGCAACGGCCATGTACAAAGTCCATGTATGCTCTCATTGGCGTTGATTCATGTACCGGCTGGTGGAGCTGCGTGGGGCACGACAAGACCCTGTATTGCGGGGGAAGGACCCACGTCGGCAGCGGAGTACGTACCGAGACGTGCGAGAGACCCGCGACGCTGTCGGTCGGATTTAGTGTTGATCCTGAGAGGTCAGCCAAGTCAGCTAAGCCACCAGGAACCAGGTTGCCAGGCAAGGTAACGAATGCCAGACCGAGACTCCACCATCGAGCTGCTCAATGGCTTGATCGCTCGATCCTTATTCCTGCAAGCTATCCCCCGAATCTCCATCCGCGAAGCAACCACCGAGTGCAGATTCTCCGAGCTCGAGTCGTCTGGGCCTGCTTCAATGCAGAGCAAACCCCTCTGCCGAGCCGGACGGTGACAGGCGACTATGAACCATGATGCCGCGTCTAGCTCCTCCGCGCGGATTCCCGACCGGCTCTCACCACCTGGCGTCGGAGCACATGCCGATGCCGATGACGCAGAGGCAGATGCGGACGCCCGAGACCGTCCCCAGTCGCGGCAGCGCTCGAGGTCCAGCAGCGGGCGGCAGCGCAGGAGGAGGAGGAGCAAGAGGAAGCAGAATCCAGGGCTGGCCAAGAAGCTGGCCTTTCTTACCCACCTGCTCAAGACTCTCGACCTCGTTTTATTTGCTGAGCTGAGCTCTTTATATTATATGGAGTGCGTCGACGCTGATACATTCCCCTTCTCTTCCCAACTCCTTTCTTCTCTCCATGTCAGCACCCTTTGAGCAACCATAGTGCTAACATGCTCCTGAATGCAGATGTTCCATGTTTCGATTCTTCTTACGAGCCGCACCTCAATACATGTATCTCTCTCCAAAAGACGAATCATTCGCACTTTTGATGCCAGCTACACAACTTCACGTCCTTTTGATACTGTTGCCCAACCTGCTGTGCATGGCATTGCATCTTTTTGGCTCGCTTCCCACCGGCCCCGATTACCACCGAGGATATCAGCATGGGGGGATGGTGATCGATTTCATCGGCCAGATGCCCGCCGCCTATAGGCTATATTATCTCATGGCAGACCTGCTTATCCTCTTCCTTCAATGTCTGATGCTTACGGTACACAATCATCGGGAGAGCCTGCGGGTTGCGCTTAAGACATTTCGGCCGCTTCTCTCTGAGGTTCTTCTGGAGCCAATCGCTGGTCGTACTGCAGAAGATTTGGACGCAGAGGAACGCGGCGTGTCTCGACATGTGCCGGGCATGATGATTAATGAGACGGACGAAATCGAGCTGCAGCAGCTCGATAGACAGGGAGATGGCGAGGGATCAGAGGAGCGGAATGAGCAGCCTGGAGCTGCTGGTGGAGATGGCTCTGACGAGCCACCACGAACGCACTTGTCCGACATTATGAGTTCCGGCAACGCTGTTCTTAACGAATATCACATTATTCACACGATAAAGAACGCTGCAGTGAACACTGGAGGCTCCACTGCGCTGTCTCTTCAGTCGATTGGCTATCGAGCAACCATGGCGAGTGTGCAGGGTCGACGCCGAGGAGCAACTCTACAGACTTCATTGGCTCGTCCAACCGGCTAGAATATATATGTATTGATATACACTAGTATCTATACATGAAACGACAATCCAATTAATCCCAAAAAGCAAGCCTTGCAGACCTTTTTATTTCGCTGTGATTTCGCCAAAGGGGAGCCAAGGGGAAATCCTCCCCATGAATTAGTTAATCTAGTCTAGGCAACTTTTCTTCCTACATTACCGACGCCAGTACCCTTGACAGAGATGATGATGTCGCCACTGTCATCGTCATCAACGTCTCGTAACCCCCAGCTGCTTGCGCCAAATGTCTTTAGGTCTCGTGCGAGCTCAATTATTTCCTCTGAGGCGAGGATATCCCTACCAATTCTCAGTCGGCCAACATCTTCAGAGCCCATGGCCATCAGAGTCAGCATAGAGCCTGCTGAAACGGGTGTTACGCAGCCTCCCTTCGCAATTGTTTCTAGCAGCTGATAGGCGCATCTCTTTCCAATGTCTTCGGGGACCTCTCCACCTGAAGGCAGCACGACGACATCTGCCGAGTACAGCACTCCCACGGAGTTGGACTCTGCCACGAGACTCAGTCCGTAGCCTATGCCCAGTCTTCTCTTGCTGCCCGCCTTGTCTCCCGTAGGTACTAGTGGCGCTTGGTCGTATTGCGCTGCGATGTGGATATCTGTGACGAAGGGGTTCAGAATCTCTCGCGCGGAATGTATCATGCGGGCATTGTTGGAGGCTGAGACACCGGTGCAGTACGCCACTCCGCGTATCCTCTTGACTCGGCCGGGGCTGCGATGCAGATGCAGCGTCTTGGGCAGGCGAACCTGACTGGCGAAGCGAAGCTCGACGATGCCACCGCCGCCCTTGCCTCCGGGCCCTGCGCAGGAGCGCTGCAGAACGCGCAGCTCGATGCGGGCCGGCGGGATGCCAAAGAGGCCGAAAAGTGGGAGGATGGCAGTGCGGAAGGTGTCGACGGAGACGTCGCCCGTTTCGGTCGAGGACGTGATGACGCCGGGGCCGGAGAAGCGCACGTTCATGTGCGCCTTGGAGAAGGGCGCCAGGAGACAGAGCGGCAGCAGGAAGTAGGAGATGCCCCTGGTGCAGGTGACGGGGATATTGTGCTCAATGACGTCTCCGTCGGCGGCGCCCAGCCCGGCAATGGTGCCTGTGATGAGGCCCGGGTGGTATGTGATGGTGGTTCCGCTGTATGAGATCTGCATGGAGCTGCCGTTGGTGACGGCCTCGAGGAGGCGCAGGAAGGAGACCTCATGGGGGGCGAGGCCCGGGTTCGTGGGTGAGGAGCTTCGGATCTTGGAGATGTGGATGGGACGGCCGGTGAGGGTCGCAATGGTGAGGCGGCGGGTGAAGGACCGGTGGCCGGTGAACCGGAGGAATTCAGGCGAAGAGCCCGACATTGTGGCTCTGTGTATTCTTCTCCGGTTTTCGATGCGGGATAAATTGGTGTGGAACGGGCCCTCTTTTGTGTTGATATGCTCGGGAAGGGGGATCTGGGGGGTATTATTTCGTTCTTCGTCGCAAGATTTTGGTGGTTTGGATGGGCGAGGAAAATTATTGTTTTCTGCCGGTTGATTGGTTTTCTGTGGCTTGGAAGAGTAGGCGGTGAGCGAGTTTGGCTTAGCGGGAATTAGCCCACCTTGTTCCTCTTGTAAGCAGCAATACGCCGTTGGAGGCATCATTCAGAAGGTAAAAGTAGGGAAAACAAAATGAGAAGAGCCATAAATAAAAGGCAACTATACTTTTGTTTTGACTATTGAATTCACGATCCAAAGATCCCTTATTATTTTTGCGCCATTCCTTGGACGCAACACAGCCATGTCACAATAACCGTTCTTCAAATCACCCTCTTTTCTCACATGCCAGTAATAGGAATCTTATGCTTGTTTTAATTTCAGTAAATAAGATCAACAGCTACTACAAATTCTCAAATCAATGGCCCATTGTCTTCTTGTACAACGCCAACAACGCTCTTTCCGCAAAATTATCAGAAGCTTCTATAGTCTAAATCCTTTCTAAGAATTCCGATTAGAGCCTCATTGAGCAGACGAGAATAAGTAGCCAAACCAATCATTAAATCAACGCCGCGCTTGAACTTTTGTGGATTACGCTTTCACCATGAAAATCTACCATATCGGTTAGTGGCCTGCTTTGTAACAAGATCGAACGGATGTAAGTACCTGATTCAATGCTTGGGCATCCATGAATGCAGCCCTCTTTTGAGCGATAAACCGGGACCTAGGAGTGACAAAGTTGCCTTTAGTCGTTGGTGTTGACGTGCCCGTCGTGATTGGAGTGGCTGTTCCTGAACGCGATGCTAAGGTAGATGATGCGTCAGGCATCTCCGTATCGGATGTGTCGTTCTTCTTTCGCTTCTTCTTGTCCTTGTCCTTCTTATCCTTCTTCTCTTTCTTCTCTCTCTTGCCCTTCTTCTCCTTCTTAGAGCTCTTTTCCTTCTCGGGGCCGCTGTTTGAAGCTGATGATGAGTTATTCAGTGCACCATCCAATTCCATGGCATCTTCGTCGGCCTCCTCTTCAGCCAAAGCTTTGTCCTTCTTTGACTTCTTCTTTTCCTTCTTCTCTTTCTTCTCCTTCTTCTTCTTGGCCTTTTCTGAATCGCTGGACTGGGTTGAATCAGACTTAGCAAACTTTTTAGCCCTTCGCTCTTCCTTTCGCTGTTTCTTCTTCTTTTTCTCATCGTCCTCATCATCAGACATCTCATCGTCGTCTTTTAGGGCCTCGGCCTTTCTCTTGTTGGATTTCTCCTTCTTCGACTCCTTGGTAGCCGTGGGTATCTTATCATCCGCTGCCGTAGAGCTTTCTGATTCTTCTGAGCTGTCGTTCTCCTCCTCCATGTTATCGCCGACCAACAAGCCTCCTCGCACGAACCTCATAGGTCCCCATTTCTGCTCCACGTACTGGTGCATCCTCACTTCCAATCTGGCTTGTCTCTTCTCTTCTACCTCTGCCTCAGATTTTCCGTTGAGGCGACTCAACAGGTCTGAGAAAATGTCGAGACCGGTCACTTCGTCCTCTTTCGATTTGCTGTATCCCAGACCCTTCATATCGTCCTTGAGCGATACTCGGATATACGACGCATTGGCAGCGGTATGGAACTCGGAGTGCGCCGCATCTTTAGCTCCCAGGAGCTGGCCAGGCTCCCAACCTTGCGATCTCAGCATCTTCTGGCCAAATGTGGTGGTGTCGCGAGTCCATCTTGTGTTGTTGGGATCGTTCTGGATCCTCCGGCGCCTGCATTGAGATTAGTGCCTCGTCTGAGTAACGAATTGCTCTTTCAACGACTTACGACTTTGACTCAGCAAGCAGCCCCATCGTGTTGACTTTGGAGAGCCGGCAGCTCTTGTGATTCTATGTTTGTATGATTCTGCACTTGGCTGGCCATGAAACTGATTGTGAAGATTGGGTGGGCAAAAAAAATAAAAAGATGGGGTTGCTGGCTCTTATCGCATGATATGATTGGCCAGTAATCGACGGTTGGGCTTGACCAAAATAGGCCTAAAAGTACACTAGACCCCTGTCAATCTTCAAAAGGCCAATGGAAGATGCAACTCGATTCCGCTGTTTTACCACAGAATAATCAATTCGGTAAGAGAAACCACAGTATTTCATTCTGAAATGGTTTCTTATCTCATTTTTATTAGGAGTATCAATGACGGTTTTATTGTTGATATAAAGCCAGTATGCCCGCCTAGTCTCAAGATCCAGGTGGCAGAAGAGAGCAAGCGCAGTATCTGGATTTTGCACTTGTTCCGCGCTGGAATTCTTACTTGTAGTTTGCAAACATCTATACTACACTTGCAATGCCTAGATCATTACCATCTAGATGTTTCTTTCTACAAAAATCGTAACTGTCTTCTTTCGTTCCCCAATTTATCCCTTCACTCGCCTTTTACATATCGCCCAAGCTGAACTAAGGGATCCCTGATTCCAATTTATTCGAACTTTTAATTCACTCTCAGGCTCATCCCTGCTTTCATCGGCCAGCTCAAGCATGGCTATAGCAACTCGAAATGGTCATGAGTTGCAATCCAGAGATGATGGGGACTACACGATTCAGCCACTGAGTAGGCAACTACGTTCTCTGCTATCTGCCAGCATCGATTATACTTTTATATTTTATTTGTAATTGTTATCTTCGTCTAGTGACCTTGGCGCTTTGGATAATTAAAAAATAAATAAATAGCCAATGGGAAACATGCTATAAGTGATCCGAAAATACTTGACCGGCTCTCGGTGTTCCTGTTACCAAGCCTTTGATAGGCATAGAGGTGAAACGATGGTGAGGCGCGTCACTTAAGTGGGCAAGAGTGACAGCCACCTAGGGGAAAATGGAGGCTGAAACAGATGAGCAAACAGCTCCATCTGTAGTAGACGTAATAGAGGATTGTATACTCCGCAGAGGATTTCAATATGAGCCGCAGGGTGTGATTTATTAGTGAGCTGCTTATACTTTAGACCTTGGATAAGGGTGACAGTAGATGCAACTCCGGAGCTGATTATGATCGGCTACAGACGTTTGGACCCATCCGTGTGGCTAGGAACAAGGCCATCAATGGCTCTCGGGCGGAAGTCATACACTTTCGCCAAATTCCAGCCAATAGATGGGAGTCCTCACAGCAAGGCCAGTGTTAAGCAGAGTTCCTTGATGACGCAACGGGAGGCATCGCCTGACAGGTTTAAGTAACATGGAAGTTTTCGAAGTCCAGGGCTCCCAATAAATACAGTGCTGATGGTTGATAAGAAAAAGAAAAAAAAAATGCCGCACAGCAAAAACAGTCTTGTTAATGACATACTTGTCTTCAGTTGAGGCATATATAAGTCTGATGCAGCTCGCTGGTTGAAATGGACCTAAACTCGTCCGAGAAGACGGTGATGCTTCACACGGTATATCCAACGTCATATAAACCGTTGCTGCGTACGCGTATCTCGTCGGCAGTGCGCTGCTCCCGCACAAGGCGATGCTCAGAGCGTACTAGCAGCATGCACTCCGTACACGTATCGCAAACGGGGTATTGGAATTATAAGTGGGCGACCGTTTTAAGTTACGGGACATGGGAAAACAGCAGGCAGAGTGATGCTCATCATGCGCCTTTGCTGCTTATCTAGGGGTCCTCCCTGGCCACTCCACCATCCCTTTTTTTTATTTCCGGGGTTGGAGATGCATGCGCCAAAGGAGCGTCCTCATAGGATCAATTGTAAACGCCGATCCCTTAGCGGCCAGCCGGGGATATGAAGCTCATGGGTCTGTTCACGCGCCGGTGCTGAGGAACAAAACAGCCGTCTTGGTCTTGAGCGACCCGCCTGAAGAGCCGGCCGTCGTCCACTGGGGTTCACATGCCGTGCCGTGTGGCATTTGGGTTGGCCCAGACGCTTTTGCGACTCGTAGTTTTCGACTGGCCAAGCTCGCTTGGAGGTGTGCCAGTGGGCTGAGAACTGGATACCAAGCCGAGATGAAATGCGGAGCCTGGGCCTAAGAGATCTCCAAGACGATGCGATGGGGTTTGCCATTTAGATAGCGAGAGACTTGCTGGATGGCCTGGAGACGGCGGTTTCTGTCGGGTAGCGTCCTAATGTGATTGATGATGGATGCCAATGACACTATATGCACATTAACCGTGGTCTGCATGACATTGCCTGACCGCCTAGAACAGGCAGAGGCAGACCGTGTCCAAGTTTTTGGTGTTTAGTTAGGGCGTTCAACGTTCCCACTCTAGATGTACGAGTAAGTGTTGCAACCTACCAAGAACATGTACGAGTATGACGGATGTTATCTCCATGAGAATCTAATACGCTGACAGACTGCAACATGGTGTACATTGTGGTGCTTGAGTGTCAGAATACATTTGTACAGTCATGGATAAGTCTCCCAGCCACTAACACCAACATTCATTGTATTTCTATTCACACATGACTCCGTAGAGTATATGCCGAGATTTGTCCATGTCTCCCTGAGACAATAACGCCCATACTAGACAAATCTAGTACATGTACAAACCGCCTACCTGGTCTTAGCCTCACATTAGATACATGTATAGTCGTGATGCTACATGGTAGCGCGGCGTCTTAGTAGCCTTGGGTTTAAGTGGCCCATGTTTGTTATCTGAGCTTTGCAACAGCAGTGCGGGATTTGCACATGTCTCGGCGTCCATTTTCCTGAGAGCCTCCAATTTTGTGTTCGTAGGCAACCAACATACACAGATTCTTTCTCTTAGGAGGCTGTGTACCTCCATCTTCGCTGCCGAGTCCTTGCCTCGATGCCTACTTGGGCTAATGACTGGCACATTCATGCCCCCTTCAGATCAATGATATCAGCAGTACATTTATGACAAAATAAATCAAGTAGATAAGTTTCCAGATCACTTGTATCACAGCATGTTTCTACCTAAATGGGCCTAGCAGCCTCGTTGCAAATCGCATCACTTGGCACATGGTGAAGTGCATGGTCAAGTTAGTACTAAAACGGCTATGCTGGGATCATGAGCACTACCAAGAGGGTCTGGGGTTCTCAATATTTCAACGAATCCAATTACTCGCTTGCATACGCGTGTTCACAGACCGCAGTTGGTTTCCACTGAGTACTACCATTTATAACCGCTAGCGACTTATCATGGGCTGAACATGTGCATGGGATAGGGCATCTCCTTCATCTAGCCAGCTATCGTGCTCGTGCAAAGATGTCCCGTACCCCCCCTTTCCGCTCTTCTTGCCGGTGTTAAGGACCCATTCGTCATGTATCTCATAATAAGAGGTCTTGACATGTGTGTGGATCCCATACCCTACCCCATATACGCACTTCGTAGATCCAGGTTTTTGTATCTGCCTTGGCCGTAGCTTGAGCTTGGGTCTTGCCTTCGTCTCTTCGATGCCACTGTTTCTTTTATTCTCTTTTCTCTCCTGCTTTCATTTTCATTTTCATTCTATTTCCCTCTCGTCGTGTGATCCTGCACCTACGGCCACTTTTTGGTCAAGTGTTCTGCTTGGAAGCCTCCATTGCCGTGACGATTCTCCTGGCTTCCTCCTGCATATCAGCTTCACCTCCCTTTTCCAGACTGATCGTCAATTGCAGACACGATGGGTTTCCTCACTTGGTGCTCGCGATGCGCCACCGGCTTGAGCATGCTGATCCTGATCGGCCTCTGCTATTGGGTCATATCCCAAGAATCGATAGTAGAGCGGCACGGCTTTAAGTTCGAGGGAACAAGCACCGAAGGCGAGACATACTCGTCAAAGACGACTTCCATTGGTGCTGGTATTTGGACTCTCATCTTCGCCTACTACTGCCTCTTGATTCACTTCATGGTTGCCATGTTTCCCATTCGAGCATGCTGGTCCATCTGGAGCATTACACAATCTCTGAAGCGAGGTGTGCAGAGCAAAGCCATTGAAGAGTACAAGGACGCTGGACATCGCCGCTACAGCTCTTCATCCTCAGTCGCCAGCTCAGAGACGTTCGCCTCCAGCAACAACAACGGCATTTCCTCGACAGACAGCGAGCTGAGCGATTCACAATCCGAGTACTATGTTGATGGCAAGGCTGTGCCCGAGAGCCCCATCATCCACGCCATCGTCATTCCCAACTACAAAGAAGAGGTGGACACCCTCCGCGAGACTCTGGACGTCCTGGCCTCTCACCCCCAGGCGCAAAGCTGCTACGATGTAAGTCGAGATACGCCGTAGAACAGCTTTAATATCCCCCTTGTCGCTCCGCACGTGGAGTGGTTGCGCGACATGATTAGCGTGGGCTAGATGCTAATTGGTCATGCGGCCGTATTCAGGTCTACCTTGGCATGGAGCTGCGAGAGACTGGCAGCGAATCAAAGGCTCTTGGCCTTATCCAGCAGTTTCTCAAGAAGTTTCGGTCCATCGATTATACGCTGCATCCAGGAGATATTCCCGGTGAAGCGGCCGGCAAAGGCAGTAACATGGCCTGGGCGGCCCGCAAGCTGAGCTCCAATTATCCAATGTCTGTTCGCAACAACGTCATTGTCACTGGTATCGATGGTACGTCTGGATACCCTTCATGAGACATGCTCACAATGATTTCCACCCTCTGTTGCTGTTATTATTACCATTGCCATCACCGCCGCCGTTGCCAAATGCCCTCAATTTATTCACTTGGATGCCGCGTGCTGACTATGTGTGTCCTTGTAGCCGACAGCCATCTCTCATCACGATATTTTGCCCAAATCTCCAATATGCACATGGTCCATCCTGACACAGCTCGTACCACTCTATATGCGGCTCCCATAATCTTCGACCGCAATGCCCACAACGTGACTGCTCTTGTCCGTGTCGCCGATGTTCTCTGGTGCGCTGCTGGCATGTCTGGCCTGTATAAAGGCTCTGTCATCGCCCCTCCTACATCTGTGTATTCCTTGCCGTTGGTGCTCGTTGACCGCGTCGGCGGTTGGGACTGTGACTCTGACGCCATCGGCGAGGATCTGCACATGTTCATCAAATGCTTCTTTGCTTTGAACGGCCATCTTACTTGCCGCACCGTCCTCAGCCCAGTGAGCCAGACCAATGTGACTGGAGGCGGAAAGGGAGGTATCCGAGGTGCCTATTTAGACATCAAGGCACGATACAGCCAGGCACTTCGACACATGTGGGGTGCTCTGGATAGTGGATTCGCATTGCGCAAGGCGGCTGCGATGTGGAAGGACAGAAAGTATACATCCAGAGCTTTCCGTCCTCTTCACCGATCTTCCAGTGGCGAGAATCTGGATGCTTATTTTCCCGAGTCTCAGCTTCAAGAGACCTCGGAGGCGGCAGCTGAAAATGGTGTCTTTTCCGACATCACGAGGGATACTCTCAAAGAGCCTCACTGGGAACACATCTACTACATGGGCCACCGTCTGTTTGAAGCACATTTCCTCCCCCTCCAGATGCTGATTCTGGTAGTCGCATCTAGTCTGTATACATGGGTCACTGAGGGTGGCGAGGACCCCAACAACCTATTCTGGATCTTCTCGACCTGCAACGTTCTTCGCACCATGGGTTTCATGGAGATGGCTGTTTACATCTTCCTCTATGAAAGCTACCACCGAGTTTGTGTGCGCACTCGTGAAAAGGACATGATCCAAGCCGGACTGGCTGACGGCATGTGCTTTTCTCATCGCACCTTGAAGAAGAACTTTGTCGACTATCTCCTTGTTCCTCTGGTGGCTCCTCTATATGGAGCTATTCCTTGTGCTCAAGCGGAAATCGCACACTTTTGGACGGCCGATTTGCAATATACCGTCAGCAAGAAGGCTCTTCGACAACGAGCGAAGTCTGCGGCGGTGGAAGACATCGCTTAAGAGCGTTCGACGTCATTTGCTTTTGAATACCCAATGTCGGCTACTCTCTTGGACAAATGTTTGGAGCATCATTCGCCGTGGTTGACTTTTTTTCTGGTAGGAGTAAGTTGCATGTAATGGAACGGATACGGATATTTTTCAACTCAATTCATGGGAGATATTGTGAAGGACCTAATTGGAGTTTACGGGGTACGGAATAGCCCCAAGCAAAGAAGCATGGAGTTGGGATCATATTTTGCCAACACAATAATGAACGAACTTGGACGACAGAAAGGAAGATAATGATAATATACCTAATCAAGGACTCTACACACACTTGGTGCAGGATCCGGGATTGATACCAGTATATAGCTATAATAAAATGACGAACATAACATAATACACTAGCCTATGGCGATGACTTCAATCTCTCCAAGTGCACTCTGCTCTAATTTAGAGGCTGCGGCTAATGCAGTGTTCCGAGCTGCATCGACATCTGCTAAAATCCCAAGTGCGCGGGACGGTTTTGGATTACGGAAGCGGAGCGGAGATTAGTGGGGCTTCCGAGCCGGGCGGCGAGTCGGATGTGAAAAGCAAAGCCTCAGCCAATCAATAAACAATGGTGCCTGGAATGAGCGAGAAAGTATATTATTTTATGCATATCCTATCTATTCTGTATTTGATTGGTGGCTGAAGTGATGATTGGATGGAGTCGAGAGGAGGAAACGGAGGATTTAAGAAGGCGGATTGTATCGGGTAGGTGGCTCTTACATCTGGTGTAGACGACGAGGAGTTGGTTACGCCGTGGATTAGAGAGGGTTATAGTTTAGCATTCTCTCTTGATGGAGTGGCTTTTGTAAATTAAATCTTGGTTTAGGAGAGCTCTCTTCGCTCCTAATTGTTGTGAAAGGAGTAAAAACTCAGAATAATTCGTTCTTCTGCGTGCTTGACATTCATTTAGGATATCTAGAGATGAATGCTACACTCAAATACTTCTAAGGGAGCGCACACTTTATGCACGGTGTCATCATAGGAGGCATCAATGTCCCCAGAAGAATGTATTTAGGAGAGATGGAATTTAGAACATTTCTCTGTAATGTTAGAAAGTGTAAAATAGACGTCTTGGGTTTTGGATATCCACGTCTTGATAGCTTGACGACTCAAAGCGTGGAACGGCTTCTTCATCATAGAGAGCCTGTTGGGGCAAAGTATTAATCATAGATAAATAAAATCAGAAATTTACAGAACCTTAGAGAACATTCCAAGAGTATTGATACGTCTAACATGACGCTGTTGTGGTCATGAGTTCATTGTGAATAAGAATTATACGAACCAGCGTTGTCCAACTACCCACCACGGGTGCCCAAAAGAAGGACTATCGATATGAGGCATGAATATTGTATTGTAGACGAGAATAAATGTAAAGATTGATCTGAGGATTTAAATGTGTACTTGTATCACATATTTTTATTCCAATTGCTGCATGATGAATGACTTTGTAAATCGAGGATATCGCAGCTTACAAACTGCAGGCGGTCAAAGACGCTCAATGGCGTGAGACCCACTCTAGTGCATCATTGGCTCCGCTTCGGCGGGGTTGGTTGCTGAGCCAGCGACATCCATCCACGATAAGCGCCTTATCGCATAATCTGATTGGCCCAAATTCACTAGTGGAGACTACGTTGAATGGCTTGACGGGAAAAAAAAAAAAAAAAAAGAGCAACTAGAAATTTTTTGAGCTTCTCGCCTGCTCGCCTCTTTTCTTCTTCACGTCGCCATCCTCAAGCCTTGGGACAAGCAGAACCACATTCTCTCTCGCACTTTTTCTCTTCTACTCTGTACCAATTCGTTTGGATTCTACCCGTAACCATCAGTACTAAGATTTAATTTCCCCGTCACAATGGCTGCTGTTCCCGGTCCCGTCTATGGCCTCGAGGTCCCGCCTGGAGAGGTGCTGATCCCAGCCAACTTGGAGTTTCCTGCCTCTGTAAGTTGTTTCTCTCTCAGTTTCTGTCGCCATTCAACCTGAGCCTAGTTGGATCATCGAGAATTCTTGCGCCTTCTTTTCCAGCCTCGATTCCAACGGCCGGCGATGGATGCAACTGTTGGTTTTGCACGGTTGACTCTAACCATCCAATTTCCTTGTCGCAGTTCCGCATCACCATGGCCGCTTTAGATCCTACCCAGGAGCCAGAGCTCGATGACTCCAAGAATACCCCTTCTGTCCCTCGTTCAACTCTGCGCCTGATCAAGCGCGCCTTCCCTGGCCTTGATGAGGATGAGGATGATGAGCTTAGTGATGAGTACCTGAGCGCCCTTCTCGGCAACTCTGACGACGAGGACGACGAGGCCAACGGTGGCCCCAGCGACCCTGCCAAGGCTAAGAAGCAGAAGCAGGCTGCTGCCATCAAGAAGCTTCTGGAGGCCACCAACGGCGAGGACTCTGACGACGAGGAGATGGAGGATGCCGAGACCAACGGCGTCAAGTCCAAGAAGGGCAAGAGCAACGCTAAGGGCAAGGGCAAGGGCAAGGCCATTGAGGAGGAGGAGGAAGATGAGGAAGAGGATGAGGAGGACGAGGATGACGACAGCGAGGGAGGTGACCTCGAGAACTTCGTTCTCTGCACTCTCGACACTGAGCGGGTAAGCTTACTACACCAGAGTCGTCTGAAAATTTTCCTTCAGAGCAAGACTCATATCGCCAAGTCCTATATCATATACTAACAACCAATCTAGAACTACCAGCAACCTCTTGATATTACTGTCAACCAAGGCGAGAAGGTCTTCTTCGTCGTCTCAGGAACCCACACCGTTTACCTGACCGGTAACTACATTATGGATGATGAGGATGAGGAGCGCGAGGAGGGTGAGGATGACTATGACCTGTCCCCCGATGAGCTGGAATATGCCATGGGTGAGGAGGACAGCGAGGAGGAGAGCGACGATCTCGACGATATCGCTGATCCCCGCATCACCGAAGTCGACTCCGATGAGGAAGTCCCCAAGTTGGTTCCCACCGACAGCAAGAAGGGCAAGAACAAGCGCTCTGCTGCCGAGGCTGAGGGCCTTGACGAGCTCATCTCCAAGGCTGCCGATTCCAAGCTCTCCAAGAAGCAGCAGAAGAAGCTCAAGAACAACAAGGGCGAGGCTGTCGCCGCTGAGGAGAAGGAAGAGAAGAAGGACACCAAGAAGGTCCAGTTCGCCAAGAACCTGGAGCAGGGTCCTACTGGCTCAGCCGAGAAGGCTAAGCAGGCCGGCAAGGCCTCTCTTGGTGTCAAGAATGTTCAGGGCGTGACCGTTGATGACCGCACAATTGGCAAGGGCCGCACTGTCAAGAATGGCGACACTGTTGGCGTCCGATACATTGGCAAGCTCCAGAATGGACAGCAGTTCGATGGTAAGCTCAACTCGTGACTCTTTGTTTTACACAGCGGCTGACTTTTGAACCATAGCCAACAAGAAGGGCAAGCCCTTTTCTTTCAAGATCGGCAAGGGCCAGGTCATCAAGGGCTGGGACGTTGGTATTGTCGGCATGGCCATCGGCGGCGAACGCCGACTGACGATTCCCGCTCACCTCGCCTACGGCTCCAAGAGCCTGCCCGGCATTCCCGCCAACAGCCAACTGACCTTCGACGTCAAGCTGCTCGAGATCAAATAAATCAAAGTCAATATAAACTTGGGACCGGCGTTGGATGACTTCCATGGTTGCGTGTACTAATTCTTTACCCCCATCCTCTGGACGACGTGGAAAGTTGGGCATGGTTCATTTTGTTTTTCTTGTTTCCTTTGACATGTTGCACTGATGAGGAGCCTGAGGCCTTCAGCTCTGCCATGGCGTGTAGTGCCATGGAACGTTGGGATGTGGCATGCACATCGGGGTTTGGGATTATCAAAGGCGAGGAGCCGGAATTGTTTGAGCTAAGCGTACAAGCCGAGCACTCCTTTGGTGTCTCTTGTGTACAACGTCGCAGCTGTTGATAAAAATTCGGGTGATTAAGGGTTTGAAATGGGCGATTTAGACGTCTATAAAAAGGAATAAAAATATGTTTTCATATATGTGCTCTCGAAGTCGAATATGAACCGGTTAAAGTGACGAGTACCTGGCTGATCAACCAGCTTGGGGGAAATGAAGTTGAAGCTATCGTGTAGTCGCAGTCTTGACTTGATTGGTAGTCGGTCGACGTCTTTGTCTCACAAGCTAAATTGCCTCCTGAGTATTGGGTGCTGGATAGCCACTCCCTATACAGAGTAGATTCTCTGCCCAAGGTAGAAAAGAATGATCGGGCGGTGTGCTCAAAACTGGAAACCGCGTTCGATGGGCGACGTCATGTCTCTTTATTCTCTTCCTGGAACTGTCATCTGCTCTATTTCTCTCCCTCTTCACTTGTTCACCAGGTCATTTATATAATCTTGATGTGGTCGTTCATTCATTAACTACAAACGTACGAAGAAAAATACCAAAAAAATTCATCATCTCTATCACCACACTCGTCCCTTTCTTTTGCGGATCCTGTGGCCGCCGCCTCTCTTCTTGCATACCCCCGGACAAGAATGCTGCCTCAGCATCAAAATGCAAGACGAAATCATCCGGCATTGGATGCTGCTCCTAATGGACCCGATGAGTCTCGTATCACATCTTTTCAGTCTCCGTTCAATGGAGACGAAGGTCTTGCAGGATCTGACATTCTGAGGCTTCATCGAAAACACTCAAGGCAGTGGACTGATAAATTTCGCAAGGTAATTGGAGTAAAGGGGAAAGATGAACCTGGTATTTCAGACCTGCATATATGGCTTGGGGATTGTACAGCGCTGATAAGTGACAGGCTCGCATGTTTCTGCCGCCCTTGACTGGTATCCAAGAGAAGGACTACGATCCTTGAACAAGGGAAAGAACCCAGCCGTCGGTATTTCAGGTAATGGTGCCACGGTACTGCGGAAAGCAAGAGGGCTTCCGGCGACAAAGGGATTTATCAGAAAACTACGGTCGAATGATGTCAAGGTTTCGCCAAGCTCTACTGTTGTGGTTTCTGACTCCCCTCTACAACACCATAAGTCGTTCCAAGATCTCACTGGTGTTACCGAATCAGACGACTCGAGCGAGCAGGATGATATATGGTCATCTAACCACAGCAGTAGACTGGCAAGCCCAGACGATAACCTGACAGGGAAAACATCAATCGACTCTCGTATATCTGGCTCACCCTCAGCGAAAGGGAGCCCAAGAAGGAAATTGAGTCGTCGGAGTCGCTGGACCAGATCCAGCCCAGAAGGAGCAGGCTTGGGGACCATTGAGGAGACGGCGACTGACAAGCCGAAGCCAACTATTCTCACAGTGGAAAAAGCGGCTGCTGCCAAGATATACCTCGAGACGCACTTTAATGAGCTCTGCCGTGAATCACAACGCCGCTTGGTCCGATGCCAAAAATTCGCAGAGCAGCAAGTTAAAGAAGGTCTTTTTTACGCTCCAAGCCTGGTTTCTGGAAATAGTACCATTAACAGCAGTTCTTTCTACTACTCGGAAAGCTGTCGCCTGAGGGACATACGAGCGTTGAAATCCAAATGCACAATCCTGGCCAAACAACAAAATGCCAGCCCCTTTGTGTCCAAGTATGAGCCGCTGAAGGTACTGGGGAAAGGTAGTTTTGGAGTTGTCAGGCTAGTGCGGGAGAAATCAAACTCGCCTTATAATTTCTCAAATCAAGTCTACGCCATGAAAGTTATACGAAAGTCAGATATGCTTCGAAGCAGTCAAGAGGGCCATCTGCGCGCCGAGAGAGATTTCCTCGTTTCTTATGAAGGCTCCACCTGGTAAATATGCTCATTCTTTGCTCTTTTCTCTCACTATATGTGGATTGGCTAACTAACATATCGTCTTTTTACACAGGGTTGTGCCCTTGATTGCAAGTTTTGAAGACATGTCAAATCTCTATCTTGTGATGGAGTACATGCCCGGTGGTGACTTCCTGGGACTGCTGATCCGAGAGAATATACTACACGAAGCTGTAGCGTGTTTTTACATTGCTGAGATGATTCTGGCCGTTGAGGAGGCCCATCGCCTTGGATTCATCCACCGTGATATCAAACCTGACAACTTTCTTATCTCCAGTTCGGGGCATCTGAAAATTTCCGATTTTGGGCTTGCATTTGATGGACAGTGGCCCCATGATGCATCGTATTACAATTACCATCGATATTCACTGCTACGAAAACTCAATATTGATGCTAAAGGGGACGAAAAGGACCAAGAGGATTGCAAAAGTGTTCAAGCGCAGGTCGAGAGAGCTCAAGCACTGGCAGCTGAAGTCGGGCGACATGACGAGCAGACTCCAGGAAGTGATCGGGACCTCACGGCTATTCTTGGATGGAGAAGCACGCGTAGCAACCGTTCGAGAGCCAATTCTGTCGTTGGCACAAGTCAATACATGGCTCCCGAGGTGATTCAAGCACAAAACTTTCAGACCTACTACGACGGTAGATGCGACTAGTAGAGCATCGGCATCATTCTGTACGAGTGTCTTTACGGACACACTCCTTTCCTTTCAGACGAAGGCAGAAAGCCTACAAAACAAAACATCTTGGTAAGTGGATATCTGATGACTATTGTACAAGCTTTAATGCTATCCAAGGCCCATAAAGAGAAATTCCGCTTTCCTATGAGACCTCTCGTCAGTGATAGATGCAAAGATTTGATCTACCGCTTGATCCAGGACAAGGAAGTTCGACTCTGTTCCAAACGATACCAGATGCTTGATAAGCACCAACCAGGAGCTGCGATGCCAACCGATGCCTATGGTAGATATGTTTTCCCCGACGATGCCGAGGATATTAAGGCACATCGATTCTTCAAAAGCGTCCCTTGGGACACCCTGCACAACACGGCACCACCTTTCGTCCCTCATATCAATAGCCTTGAAGATACGCATTATTTTGATGAGTCCGAACCTCTCGACGATCGAGTTGAGTCGGTGGCGGAAAAGGCTGGGCTTACAGATGACGAGGTTCGGTGGGTATTGCGAGAATTTAGGCCGAGCATACAGAACGTGGCGATTCGGATGATCCACACGCCATATGATTCAGGGGCTCTTCGTAGCAGGGACTTGGAGATTGACTCGATGGGTGCATTTCTGGACGAAGAGAAGGAGCTTCTGAAGAGATTTATGAGGGAATACGGACGGAGAGTACCCAAGCGACCAAGAGACATTATTCTACGAGACGACAGTATGAAGGGCATGGCCATGGAAGTAAGGAAACAAAGCGCCTTTATGGGTTACGCGTGGCATAGCGTGAGGAAAAGGGCCATCTGATGCCCAGACTGGTGAGTTGAAGCTCTAATCCCTTTGACGGAACTTGGTGAGGCGAGGAGGGGGGATGTTTTGACTAGCGAATGGAACATACATGAGAGAATCACATAGCAGAATTAATGGATACAGCATTAATTGGTATTAATTATATGATTGCACCTGATTTTTGGTCGTGTGAGACGCCTACATGAATCCAAGTGGCTGCATCCCCATATTACTAGTTGTTTCTTTCCTTTCTGTTACCTCTCCCCGACATCGAATTAGATACACAGGAACATTTCATTGAATATGGCGATATGCACCAGAATCAGTGCTAGCCAGCTTTTGCTGACGTGGTTTGGGCCGCTTGGTCTGACGAAGCAAGTGACCTGGCAGTACGAATCTCCCACTCAAACTCTCTTAGAGCCCGGATTTCAGACCAAAAGAAGAGCAGGGCAAGGAGACCATCCACGACTCCCGTGGCGAGGCCCAGGCTCGCAACAAGCATGAGAATAAAGGCGACAAAGTTGCGAGGGCTGAACCACACAGCAACGAGGCAGCCTATCCAGACAAGGACAGAGGCGTAGAAATGGATGCCGCGCCAGTAGCGCTGGCTCACTTCGCGGGCCATGTACTCTTTGGTCATGGCAAGGATTTCATCGTAGTCAGAGAGGGACAGACTGGCACTTTCAGGATCGTCGCCTTCTGTGGGAAGGAGCTGGGCATCCAGGTGGGGGACAGGGGAAGAAGGCGAAACTTCATGGAGCCTGAGGGTGGCTAGGGCTGCGAAATGGTCAGATAGGGAGACGTTGAGCTCTGGATGGCGCTGCGTCATCTCAACGGACGCAGAATGGACGACCCAGCCTCGAGGTTGGGCCTGAGGATCGGCAGCGTCAGGTTGGAAGGGGCCAGTGGAGGCGAAGACGTAGTCGAGGCGTTTACCCCGAGGATCAGGACTGTTTGGGTCGACCGGGCAAGGGTCAGTCTTGAGCTTCTTCTGGGCACTCTTGGACCAGCGCCAGGTGTTGTAGAGGCCGTCGCTAGTTGATCCGTTGATTTTGAGATTAAAGTCAGCAGTGGGCACAGGAAGGCCTCTAGCCTTCTCTACAGGGTCGTCGGCGGTGCCAAGAGAGCTCTCGGGGTGAAGAACACGCCATGTATCTCGAAGAGGGCTGCGAGCGGTGACGATGCGATGGGCGAGCGATCGAGGCGTCATGTTAAAATCGCCCAGAGCGACAACAAGGCGACCAGTGAGTGAGGCGGCACGGAGCAGCTTGGCGATTTCCCAGGACTGAGCTGTGCGGTGGCAGAGATAGCTGTCATTCGGCGGGCTCTCGTAAGGGGCATGAGTCTGGAGTGAATTAGCATGAGAATGAAAGGATGCATAGGGGGTGGGTTTTCATGTAGAGGAGAGGAAAGGATGAGTAGGGATTATGTGATTTGCAAATTCCTTTTCCTCTTCTTCTCTAGAACATATAGACGCAATACATAGCTTATATAGACAAATGAACCATAGTGAGGAGTGAAGAGTGAGGAGTGAGGAGTGAAAAGAAGAGATGGAAACGGATGAGAGAAAGCTCGGAAACTCACATGAGTGTTGAAAACCTCAACTACGTCATTCTTCCCCGGCCCAAACCTCACACTCGCACATGCCACACCCTTGCCGACATACCAATCGCCTCTCCAAAAGGCCGTGGGCCGCCCATTAAGCGGATACCGGAACATGGAGCTCGTCTCGACAGGCCATCGACTGAGAAGCGCAAGGCCGCCGCCAAAGGCACCGCTGTTGTAAAACTTGCCATAGGGCAGAATGTCCGCGGTGGCCTCGCAGATGGCGAGGTAGTCGGCCCGGGTCCAGCACTCCTGGAGACAGACAATGTCCGGCGGAGGGTCGAGGAGGGCCAGCTGGCGGCCGATTTCAGCGAGGCGCGGAGTGCGGAGGTCGGAGATGTAGAGCAGGCCCCAGCAGTTGAGGGTGAGGAGGCGGATTTGCGTGACGGGCTGGCTGGTGGCCTGCGAGGCTGAAGAGGGATCTGTGCCCATGGCGTCTGTCGTCACGAGGCTAACGATGCTGGGATTCCGGCTGGGGAGGGATTGGGGCCTGGCTGAGATGGCGGTGGGGCGTTGCTGGATTTGGTGGACTGAGATGTTGGTTGGCAATGGATTGATAAGGAGTGCGTGTGTCAGCTGAGTGAGTTCATGATGCTTGGCACTGATGAAGCCAGCACATGGGAGATTGAAGATGGTGAAGATGGAAAGTTTGTCGGAGGTGAGGCTGGAATTGGCCGTGACGTATTGTTGTAGCTCGCCAGGTACCCGTTAATGTGCTGCGCTGTGCCGTACTAACGCTATACGCTGGCCCTGCAACGTCCTCTGCTGTACAGGCCACTGGACTGGCTCTCTTATTACCCAGTAGTGCCCTGTTCTTCCAGTCGATCTGACGCTACATTTCTTTCTGCTACAGTAGTACAATAGAAAGATTGTTGCCCATTTAGGATGTATTCTTCAATTCATCTTGAATTCCTGCTGCGTCTTACGGATAGACACCTAAAGCCAACAACTCGTGATTTCTCAGCTCACAATAGTGGAGATTTGCTTATCAATGGAACCTCCCAAATGGGGGTTCGAGAGCTTCCTTCTTTTCATACAGATTCTCTTTACATGCGTGTAATACAGCAATAAACATGGAGGAATGAGAGCTTAGATGCGTGCGTTGCGGGGCTTTGGAGGATGATTGGTGTCGCTGCTTATAAATGAGGTAGATGGCGCTCTCAACTATATAAACCAGCATTAGCAACTACAGTTGCAAACATCTTACAGCAACACAACTCCAATACTCATCCTCCATATCAATTGACATATATATAATATAGCCTTATTCTCACCTCACCTCATCTCATAACTGCAACCATGTCCGAAATCATCGAGCTCTCAACAATCACCCTCAAAGACGGCTTCTCCTCCCCTCCCCAGTCCCTCCTCGACGACCTCAAAACACTCGCCTCAACCCCCGGCGTCATCGCCCTCTACTTCGGCCCTCACCTCGAAACCCCCTATAAATACACCTGGGTCGCCCGCTGGTCCTCCCAAACCGCCATCGACAACTTCCACACCAGCCCCGGCTTCGCTGACTGGGCTGCCTCCTACGTCGCGCCGCTGGCCACCTATGCGGTATCTGCCTGCACCGCTTACACCGGCGATGCTGCCGTCCCGCTTGAGGCTCCTTGCACTGAGTTCTTCTCTAGCTTTGGCGCCGACGATGACTATCTTGATGCTCGACTCAATCCCTTTGTGAAGGCTCTTGATGACGCAAAGCTGCCCGGCATGGTTGGCGGCATCACTGGCGAGTTTGTGCCTCTAAACTATGTCGGCGTTGAGCAGCCAGAACCAAAGGTGGTCCTTTTGCTACTGGGATGGAACTCAATGGCTGATCACCAGGCTCAGAGGGGCGAGGGTAAAGGTATACTTCTTCTTTATCATCCATCATAGTCACCGTCTTTCCCGAGATGGAGCTGACGCAAGAATCCCAGTGATTGACAACAACATCCACCTCGTGAGATCGGGTCGCAAATCTGTTGGAATGGTATGGACCAGTTGCCCATGAATCAAACGCCAAATATGCTGACTTTGCCTCTGCAGTTCCATGTAAACCTTCAGAAGCTATAAATATGTCTAGGATTAGAGGACCCTACTTGTATAGATACATGATAGCTGGAGCTTGAACGAATGAATACATGGCATCTTCAGTTGGATACACATTGGCCGCTTGTAATAAGTGAATGAAGGGAAAAGCGAAACAGGAAGGTCGATAAAGTTGTACTTGGTACTTGCATTCGTACACTTAATGGCGCTGGGTCACTTCTTTGGGCCTCTTTTTAGGTCAAGGGCTGATTCTGGGGGCGTCATGGGAGACTCCGTGATGCTATTCACTAGGGTTAGTATTGGGTGTTAAGTGAACAAGTCCCAAAAGATAAACTCAGAATACAAAGAGATGAATAAGGAAAAAAGAATCAATTCATAGCGAAGAAGCTGTTAACTACAAAGAAAAAGACCATTGTGTTGCCTCAAGCATCAAAATACCACCAAGAAGTTGCTGTCCAAGTGATGTGGCTCTCAAGCGACGTCGAGAAATAAACCCCCCTCCTTCGGTCCATCACAATCTCATAACTGTAGAACAAAAGCAGCAAATAATTTCCGCCGAACCTAAATGGATAATGGCTGCTGCTCGTCCAGGCGCTTCCTTATTTTCTCAAGCTCCTGGCGTTTATACTCCTTCATCTCTTGTTCAGATAAGTCGGTCATTCCATCACCAATAAACCGATACAGTAACTCCGGGAAATCAGTGATCAATTTCTGGCGCCAAGATCGATATACTTCTCCCCCTAGATAGGTCAAGAATTTCCTGTTCAGATATACTCCTACTATAAAGATCACCTCAGGACAATCTAGACCTCGTACAAGTCGCAGCAGTTTGAAAATTCGGGCGACCCACTCATACCCAGGGCGAGTTTCCCCAACGGAGACTTTAGGGGCGTATTCACTCTCCCAAACGTCCTCTGTTATTTCCATCATAGGGTGTGGTCTCGCCAATCCCAGCAGTTGTCCATAAATGCAGCGGAACTCCTGCAGATAACTCTCCGGCACGAAATCAGCCGTCGCCGCCCTGCACAGCAGGATGTCCAACGATATGATAGCTTTCCGTTCGTTCCGACGGGCTTCAGAAACAATGTCTTTGATCGCAGTCAGCGTGCGTCCTCCTTCGGGCAGAGTGCTTGCTGTTTCCCGAGCTGTGTGCCACGACGCAGGGAATCCCCGCGGAATGGTCTCCCAAAACGCCATGAGCTCTTCGAACTTCTCGTAGTCCGGCTCCTCCGTTTCTCCCGTTAGGGACACACTCATTTTAAATGCTGGGTTATCTTAAAAAGGAGAAGAGAGATGTGAGTAGAATAGTGAGGAGAAGAGAGATGTGAGTAGATTGGTGAGAAGAAGAGAGAGGAGAGGGGAAAGTCGAAGAGAAATAGGAGAGGGAAGGAGAGAAGAAATAGGAGAAAGCAAGACAAAGAAAAGCAAGTCGGTGTGGCGCAGCAGGCCTATGGTTGAACAAAGACAAGATTGAAGAGAGAATGCAGATGAAAGAAAGAACAAAGAACCTCGAGGAAAGGAGGAGAGGGCTTGTATATGTGCCTTGGACAGCCACCCAGCTGGATACTTGGCAGTTGCTCTTTGACCCGATAAATATAGACGGCGCCTAGGTATGCATCATCCCACGTCTCAAGATACTTACATACAAAGCAAAGCACATGAGTTGTGGATGAAAGGTATTATCCCAATATCTTCTCGTGACACTTGAGCTCGTTTGATAGGTAGCCAACTTGACTTGGGGTGCTGGCTTGTGACTCCATCATAAAAGGGAAAAGGGCAAAAGGAAAGGCAATGAAATCAACAAAATATGAAAGAGAGGCAGAGAGAAATCATTGCATATTATAGTGCATCTGTACTTTTTTTGCAGTCCCGTGGCATCATGTCAAACGATGACCCATCTCCATATAAAAAGCCAGTTTCGTAGACTCCCATTTCTGATAAATCAATAACATTAAACCTGCCCTCAAACCGTCAACTATCCCATTGAGCTCCGTTCTAGTCTTCATCAGTCTTTGCCTCGCCTCCTTCCACCCCTAGATCACCCCCAGTCACAGTAGAGATTCCGATTCTAGACTGCCAAAGAAATGGTTGAAAACTAGAATATCAAGAAAAAGTAAAATAAAAAATAAACCGAGTATCTGTAGCTGCCATCATCATATAGCATCTCATTGATCCCTTATCAACACCTTAATACAGTGCACCCAGTCCGACCCAGATCCCTTGCCTCATCGTTCGTCAGCTTCATCACTACTTTGGCCTCCTAGTTCTCGCCTATATTCCAAGGCGCAGCAACCTTGTCGTTCTCGTCGCCGCTGCAAGTGGTTAAATACGGTGCTTTTCCGATTCTGTCGCTCGCTACTGGTTAGAAGCTTAGGCTCCCGTGGATCGGTTTTGCGTCTCACCAAGTCGAGAGTACAGCATGTAGAGGGCCATGCGGTTGCACTCTTCCGTTCCCGTAATTGTTACTAGCCGCTCGTTGCTGTTGTCCTGGGGCTCGTTAATCTTAATCACGCTGCCGCTCATCTGTCGTATCTCATTGATCTTCTGCCCTCCCTTGCCAATGATGGCACCAACCATGTCGTTGGGAATGTAGATTTGCTGGGTGATTGGTCCTGTTCCTGGCATGCCGGCGTGCATGGGCTGGCCCTGGGGGGCACCATGCGGCTGAGGGCCGGTATGGGGTGCCATGTGTGGCTGTACGTGAGGTGCGGCCGCTCCATAGGCGGCGGCAGGCTGACCTGCGCCGTATTGCATGGGAATCGCCGGAGCACCGTGAGGAGCACCATGAGGGTATGGCTGGGGATACGGCGCAGGTGGCATGTGATGAGGTCGGCGCTCCTGATGCCGGCCGTAGTTCTCTGCTCGCCCGTAGTGTCCCGATGCTGGCTGGGGGCTGTAAGGGACCACTTGCATACCGCCAGGGATAGATCCCACGGGAGCGCCGCTTCTGGTCGCATATGCAGACGCGGCTGGCCCGCCGAATCGCTCATTGAGCTGCTCAAGTAGAGTGCTGCCGACATAATAAGTGGCAATGTGTACTGCGTCAGCAACGCCCATCACAACGAGGGAACGCTCGCTCGACATGGGGAGGCATGAGTCTGAGGCATTCAGCCGGGCGCCGGACGCTTCCTGGATCTCCCGGATACGAGAACCGCCTTTGCCAATAATAGAACCGATCAGGATATGGGGAATCAGAAGGCGGAGGGGGTAGGTCTTGGAGGAGGCAGTGGATGCCTCGTTGAGCGGCTCATTGTTCAATGTTCGTATAATCAAACCAAAAGCCTATTCATGGAGAAAACAAAAACAAGAGAAGAACATGTTAGTCCAACAGCTTACACAAATATTTACCGTAGGAGGGGGGTTGGTTCATTCGCACCTTGGCAACTGCATCAACGATGCCACTAACGGTCAAGATGCGCTCAACAGCTCCCTTTTGATAGTCGCTGACAGTGCACTTGGCATTGGACATTTTTCGAATGTTAGATACGTTCTCACCGCCCTTGCCGATGATGGTAGCAGCCTCCGGACTAGAGATGACTGCTCGAATATGGATCCATGAGCTCTCGTCATGAGCGGCAGCCGAGGCCGCCACAGCAGACGAGGCCGCAGTTGATATCGCTACAGTTGGAGTCGCCTTGGTATCGGTGCCAGCATCGGTTGCGGTGGTCGATTCCTCAGTTGCGGCGACGCCGTTGGCACTCTCTTCGCCGTTCTGCTCCGCAGTCTCGACGGGTGGTTCAGGTGCAAGATCGAGCTTTTCCGTCTCTTCGTCATTCTTGGACACCTTGTCCAAGGCAGGTCGCTTGGCCTCAGGCTGGTCGGTGGCTCGGGAGGGCGAGGAAGCCTCTTCGAGGGGGCGCTTGGCCGATTGAGTCGGTTGTGGTGGTGAGGCAGACATTGTGGTTTCCGTTGGAACGAGTTTTATTCCGATTGCAAAAGGAACAGTATGTATGGTTCACAAAAATTGGAACGAATTAAATATCGTCTAATCGGCGATGACCAAAGATCTTGTCTTCTTTTTCGCTCTTTTTTATTTCTCCTTGTTTTCGATTGTTTATATCTACACTCAGGGGGTTTTCGAAGGAAAACGTGCTGGTGTAGTGGCTGGAATCGGTGATGATAAGGATCGGCTTTCTCGTGTGTGTAGGATTCGTGATGTGACTTTGGTGGTGTCGCAAAAGGGCGCTGCCCAGGCTGTGTGTGTAGCGGAGTAGATGTGGGAGGAGTTGTGTTCTCAAAGGGTGCAACTCTCTTCTTCCGCGTCTAGATGATCCAGAACTTTGGCAAAAAAAGGTGTCGGACTGCTAGGGATCTTCGGTGAACGTCCAAATGGTGAACGGGCAGAAAGGGCGATGATGAGAACTGAGTGGCTGATGACAAAGTGGTGGTGATGGTGGAGAGGATGGTGCAGCGAAGTATCGTTACTGGGACAGGTGTCTCGAAAGCAGAGAATGAAGAGACAATGCGCTCAGCTCAAACCTTGTGTTCCTTCTTGGCAAGACCTTGTGAGTTCCCGAAGCTGGCCAGCACCTCGCGCGTTTAAAGTTAGCTTATCAATCGACGGCCCGTGTCTCTCGAATATGGAGGAGTCGCCTCGACGATTGCAACGGATTGCACGTGTTTCGATAACGTGGAGGCTTCCGATGAAGGGACGGACAACAAAGTAGAAAGAAAAGAGACCAAAGCTGCTCTTCAGCCCACAACGCCAGGTACGGCTAGCTAGCTAGAACACGCGGACAAGCACACGTGGAAGATGGCCTAGAATCAGCGGCGAAACGGAAAGTCGCAGGGCGCTGGGACAATGCCACAAGGACGCTGATGCGATCGGATCGATGGCTTCGAGTTGGCGCGTCGCAGGAGGGATGATGGGGAGAAGAAGCGGCGGGTGAAGGAAGAAACTTTGATGAGACGTCGGGGTTGACAAAATGGCCCATGCCTCCCTTGCTGGAGGTCGCCCGCGGCATTATCACGTGACGGCCCCGATTGGGCGATTGCATGCGCGACACTAAGCTGCCAAGAACAAAGTGCGGCGCGGGCGGCACAGTGCGGAATGCGCCACGTCGCCGCACCTCTAGGCGATTGGAGGACGCTACAGCGGACAAGGAGCTTTTTCGGTGGGGAGAGTCGCCCCCCCACAGGGCTCGGGAGCCTATTCAGCGCTGGAATCGAGTTGCTGCAGGGGGAAACCCGCACAGTTTGAAGACTGTGCCGTCCGTACCTTGCTCTAGAGCATCTACGCACCTACCATAGCTAAAGATGGAATCCGAGGCACCGAAGTCAACCAAATAAATACAGACCATGGACAACAGATCGCGCAACAGCTCGGAAGCCCAGGCGCATGCCACCAACATTGACCACACGCTGAAGGAGCTCCAGCGGAAAGTCCGCGAATATGAGGCTCAGCTAAACGAGGTAGCTACAGGCGCATTACTGCAACGCATCCGAAACGACGGCTAACACAGCAGTCACAGTTGCGCTCCGCAGAGCTTCAGACGCCCAGCACCGCCGCCGGTCAAGCCCAGATCCTCAAGGTGGCCTTTGACGAAGTCACCGGCTCCGAGCCCTTCCTCCCGTTTCCAGGATCAGTTCTGCCGGCGCTGCTAGCCCTGCGCAAGACTCACCAGACAATTGAAGAGTCCAAGGCGTTCTTGGCTTCACAGACCGAGTCGACCGAGAGAGAACAGAGACGATTGAAGGAAGACGAGGCTACGCTGAAGGATCACCAGCTCCTCAACGAAGCTCTTAAGCAGAGGATCGAGGCTTTACGCACAGAAGTCGAATCAGGAGTCAACACACCACCAGAGGATGAAGCACGCAAGCGAATCGAGGAACTACGGCGAAAGAAGCAAGGCTACAATAAAGAGACGAGCAAGCTGATGAAGGCCCTCAACCGCTTCATCGATGACCACCTAGCGGTGATGCTCGCCGCAGAAGCTCTGGGCGGGCCGGTTGTAGGCGACCTGATGGACATTGACGCCGAAGACCTCGCCGCAGGGTTCAATGCGCAGGGGAAACTGAAGAAGCCGAAAGGCGAAATCAACAAGGACAAGAACCAGCGCCGGATAGACGAGATTTGGGGCCCCAGTGACGCCAACGGAAGTGGTAGTGGCAAAAGGAATAAGCCAAGGGACGCAGCTTCGGCGGCGGGCACAGAGATGCGGCAGCTTACGGAGGAGCTGCTCAACAGGCTCGTCGAGGCAAAAGGCAGCAGCTCGGATGCCTACGTGAAGCTGCCGTACGAGACGGCGGCGGCGAGGTTTCTCATCAGGTCCAAGGTTGCGCAGTTCCACCCCAGGGACGCTACCAAGATACGGCTGGTTGACTTTGGACGAGAGCTGGACGATTAGACTGACTTGTCTTGGATGCACGTTGGATAGCACACTGTACTAAACAATGACACAACCAACTATTGGATACTACTCTTGATTACACTCCATATTGTTTACCGCCTCCGTAATCCAACCCAATCACATGCAGCTATTTCCAGCTGCCCAACGCAAGGGAGAACCCACGGTCAAGCCGCCCTGTGAGACGCAACACCGAACCCCGCCTCAATTGGCCAATTTCTCTCCCCGCCGCCAACCTTGAACGCGTCGCGTCGCCCCTCCAATCCCACCAAAGACGCTTTCTCACCGACTTCCTTTTTCCAGCAATTGGAAACCAACCTTGCACTACCAACACCCAAAAAAGTAAGTAAGCCGAAAAAAAGCAAAGTTACTGCCTCTAGTTTCTTCTCTCTTCCAGATAAAATCCCATCCCTTCAACAATTGGATTTCCCTCTGTCCACTCTATCTCTATCATCTCTTCACAAGCTTTCTACAAGAAAACTTCAATTCAATCAAATCCAATCCAATCTAATCATGTCCGCAGTCCTCGAAAACGGCACAACCTCCCCTCCCGCCAAGCGCATCAAGACCATCCCCCTCGACGACGACGCAGAGACACCAGCAGCACCCGCCGCTGTCGAAGAGCCCGAAGCAACAGAAGCACCACCACCACCCACAAAGACCACAATGGAGGCCTCTATTCCCCTGCAGGTTAAGAAGCTCACGCCGCAGGGCAGACTGCCCACGCGCGGCAGTGCCTTCGCCGCCGGCTACGACCTGTACGCCGCGAGGGACACCGTTGTGCCCGCGAGGGGAAAGGTGCTCGTCGATACGGACATTAGCATTGCCACGCCCGCGGGAACATGTAAGTCAAGAAACACAAAACTAGCAAAGCACATTCTCATTCCTAGAGAAGAAAGAAAGAAGGAGAACAATGGCTAATCGCAGAGTCGAAAACTATAAGATGGCCGTATTGCTCCCCGCTCTGGCCTCGCGTCCAAGCACTTCATCGACACTGGTGCGGGCGTCATCGACGCTGACTACCGCGGACCCCTCAAGGTTCTTCTGTTCAACCACGCGGACGCCGACTACGAGATCAAGGAGGGCGACCGAATCGCCCAGCTTGTGCTGGAGAGGATTGTGACCCCCGACGTCGTCGAGGTGGAGGAGCTGGAGGAGAGCGTGAGAGGAGCCGGTGGATTTGGAAGCACGGGCAAGAACTAAAAGGAGAATGATACAAGGGAATAATAGAACCATGATATGCTATGATACACAACAAGAAAGAGTACAGCTGTGCCGACTCGGGTCGGGAACAGAATAGAATGCTGGGGATATAAAGACAGCCGTCCGATTTAGGTCTATAACAATGAATACTAGACACAAAAAGAATTGATTCTACGCCGCCCGCCTCCCTTCCATCTATGTCCAATTCGCTTTCCTTTCTTTTTTTTCTCTTTACCACCCCAATCTAATTCTTCATCGCCGAAAATGATATACTCGGGCTTCGCAGGCTATCCAAGTTGGTTACCAACTGCAGCTCCGCCGCCTTCGACTTGACATAGTGCGCCTTCTTCTCGTCGTTCCTATCATCCGTCTGCAGCAACGCCCAAGTTCTCTCCATCACCTCGGGCATCGCATCCCGCGTCTTGGCCAGCACCTGGTGCATGCTAGCCAAAACCTTCTCCGCCGCCCTCGCTAGCGGCAGGTCCGTTGCGGCAACATCGTCGTCGCTGACCCAGCTGGCACGGCTGCGCAGGCCAGGAACAGCACTGGCGGCCTCGCGGATGCGGCTTGTGATGAGAGCGCCGAACATGTCGCCCGTGCCGCAGAAGTAGCAGTCTATAGACGGGAAGACGATCTTGAAGGTTCGAGCCTTGTGGTCTGAGGTCATGGTAGAGCCGACAACGGAGAGGTGCGAGGGCGGGTGGTCTGGGGTTGTGAAGCTGACTGAGGTAATGATGATGTGAGGGATGTTGAACTTTTCATGAAGCACCTGGATGGCCTGGGTGAGACTGTCCATGTCTACAATCTTGACGTCTGAGAGTTGTCTGTAGGCGGAAGGGTTAGGTCAGCCGATAACGCTGGCAGCATCACAGAACACTTACTCGGCTTCAAATTGATTCGGCAGTATCAGGTCTGCATACGGGAGAAGAGCTTTGTACGCGGGCACAACCTCCGGTGCCACATATAGCTTCCCGTTGTCTCCCATGACGGGATCCAGTACCCAAAAGAATTTGCCCGGGGAATTCTGAAACTTCTCCTTGAGTCCCTTTGCAATGTTGCCCACTGCCGTGACACCCTCCGCACCGGGGATGTAGCCGGAGAGCATCATGTCAAAGTCATCCAGATACGACTGCTTCAGACCGTTGTAGAGATCGGTAATCTCCTGTGCCGTGGCCCTTGTCCCCGTCCATTGCATGTAACCTGTGTGATTGCCTGGAGGAGAGACACACAGATGTGAGTCAGCATGCCTCGCGTGCGTATTCCCGCCTCTCATCCCGGACCAACTCACTGAACTGCACCGTATTCAGAGCAGCAACCTCAAACCCCAATGATTGGAGCACGAAAACGGCGACCTTGTTTCCCACGTTGCTGAAAGTCACGTTAACCCAACTGCCCGCAGCATCTCATGGACCAGCATTTTCACGCTTGCTTTCTATTTCCAAGTCATACCCTGAGACAACCTGAGGAAACGACAGAGTCAGCCGGCTCAAATCCACGATGAAACTCCTCAAAAGGCTTCCCTAAACCATCAAATGGACTTACATGGCTGGCAACTGCCAACACTCGCGGCGCAAGCAGTGAGTCAGAGGACATTGTATTCTTTTTTTGTGTGTATGAAACTAAGAAAAGCCACTATTGCTGCGCGCCGAGATACGGAGGATCGCAATATTACCCTGAAACCCTAGGTTAGAGAAAAAAGGTCAAAAAAGAAGCAATAAAGGAGAAATAATATGCAATGACCAAAAGGGGGCAGATCTGGTCCAGGCGTTATAATGGCATCCAAGGCTTGTCAGACCGGTGAGGATCATAGTTGATGATTAATGATACACTGACGTTACCGGGTCCCCCATGCCAACGGGCCCGCCGTCAGCGGAGCGAGCTTAATGCCACAAGATGATCGGAGGTGGAAAAAATAGAACGCGACTCACCACTAGGATCTGTTGAGGAGAGCAGACGCCCGTTTCCTTTGCTGAAGCGACAGCCGCATAGAAAAACTCAAAAGCAGGGCGTATGTCTGAGAGCTAGCAAAAAGGGCGCCAGAGACAGTATCATTTCATGGGGGGTAGGAAAAACGCCCCGCCGATGGCCGAAACTACGATCCGGTCTAAGCCGCTTGTATGAGCGTCTGCTCCAGATAAGCACCGGGACCAGGTTAGGCGTCAAGAAGAGAAGAGAGGAGAGGGAAAAGGGCACGGTGTGGTAATCAGTCTAAAAAGGAACTCGACAAGAGTGTTCGAGATAATTATCGGCAGGAAGACTAAAGCTAAACATGTGCTCGTTTCATTTTTTCTTTTGCTACAGATCATGATTAGAAAAATAAAGAAAAAGGCCTGCGACAATATTCTCGATATCCATTTCTCTCCTCTGTTTCATCGTCGGATAGTCGAACAGCCGCGATTGAAGGGCTATGTCGGTTCCTGCCCATGGCCCGGTCTGGTGTATGCGGAGGTTGTGTGCTGGGTTGTCTGAATCGGGAGTGTAGGTGTAATTATTTACTCATCATCACCAATCTAGTCCCATGTTAGCATATGATAAATTTAGGATCAAAGAAGAAGAAGAAGACGAACCTTTGGTGCAAGGTAGAAGCGCAGGTAGCTGCTGCCAGAGAGGTTGTACTCAACCAAGAGCGGCACCTCGCTGGAGAGGCAGATCTTGACCTGGGTGGACAAGGCAGCAGCCTTGCAGAAGTTGACCAGGTACTTGAGGGAAAAGGTCAGGGACACAGGCTCTGTCAACTCAATGTCGACATTGTTCTCGGGCTTTTCAATAGAGGTGTGGCTCCTCAGAGTGACGGAGCCATTACCAATGTCACCGTTGCAGGAGAACTTGACACCGTCCTTGGAGGCCTCGATGCCAACTACCAGCAAGATTTTATGTTAGCTTCAGCCCTATTTAACAAGCCCACGCACACACTCTCTCTTTCAAAGTGATGGGTGCAGGAGCGTTATTCATGTTCCGTACCTGACTCTGACATGGCTGCCAGATCTGTGCAGATTCTCCGGAACTCGGCCGAAGGCATCGTAATGGTGGCCGCATACTCGGTCTCGGGAATGCCCAGGTGCTCCTGGTCAATATCCATGAGCTTGAGGTCGTACTCGCTGATGCGGTCCTCCCCGCTGCTCTCAAACAGCAGGTTCATAACATCCGGGGCGTCCTCTGCCTTGATCGTCAAGATGTCATCGCCCTGGGCAGCTCGTAGCACCTTTGTGAGAGACGTCAGGTTGACGCCAAGGGCAATGTTGCGGTCGCATCGGTACGGCGAGAAGCCCTCAGCCTTGAGCATCATCGACACGAGGGCGACGTGCGAGTTGTCCATGGCCTGCAGCGCGATGCCGGAGTCATTGCAGTCAAAGTTGCAGTCTTGGACGAGGTCCTTGATGGCATCAACAACCTGCAAGAATCAGTTTCGTGGTCAGCAACGGGTCATTGGCCGAGTGCCAGGAAAGCGTCCCGAAAGACGTGGGATTGGGTCAATTTACCTTTTTCAGGATGCTAGCCTGTTCCAACCGTGCCTCCAACATTTCTGCCGCGTGTTAGGTATGCTTTTGCCTTTCCTCTGGGGTTTGGATTGGGGAGATTGGGAGTGGGAAAAATCAAAGAGGGGATGCACGCAATTTATTGCAGTGCTCTCAGCACGTACTGGATGGTTATGTGATTAAAGTAAATGAGAGAGGTGAAAAGGTGAAAGAGAGGGAACCGGTGGGCAAAGTCCAAGTGCAAGGCAGAGTCAATCGGCCTGGTATTGCAAAGCTGGAGTCGCGGGTGTTTGTTGGTGAAGAAGCAAAATGCACGTCTTGGTGGAGGCGAAGCTTGAGGTAGCAGGCAGAAAAAGCACTTAACACGATGGGCTCGAAGCTGTGGGCAAGTCGAGACGCGTCTGGCTGGAGACGCCAACTTTACGCGGGGCAGGTTTAGTGCCCAGCTGAATGCCAGGTACCTTGTGTGTCGTGGATTGGCAGCCTGCGCGCGAGGTACCTTCAATCCATCGCTGCTGGGAGCTACAGCACAAGCACAGGGGAGCAGCACTACTGTACAGGGACTGGCAGCGGCACTATACAATTTTAGGTATAATCAAGCGTGACAAAAGATGGATCTCCTCACGTTGGCATCTGCAGGGACAGCAGCAAGGGGAGAGAGATGTACAAGACAAGCATAAAGAGATGAATAGGTAGGTACAAATACACAAGTAATGAATGTTCAGCATATATACGGTACACCCGCCCACTCCAGTTGCTTCGTCTAAATAGGTAGTCAATTTGGTGGCTCCATCATCCCATCTATACGCATTCCAACACCCACGTGCCGAGATAATCTGCCAAATGTTTAGTTACATATATACAAAGACTGCGTTGCGTTTGATCCCATCATACGCCGTATCTAAACAAGTTCAAATCAATCAACACAAAAAAAAAAAAAAAAATGAAACCGCCGCCGCCACCAAACTGACCGGGCTCTAAAGGTAATAATCACAACAAATACAAAAGCAAACAGCCAATCGCCCCAAACCCCTAGCCGTTGCACCGTGTCTTGCCCCATTGTATGAAGTAGAGAAAGGAAAATAACCGATGACAGATCAACAAAAAGGAGAAATGTAAAATGATAACGAGAGATGTGATGCTGCCGTGCGCCTGTACATGTTGCGTGAGATGTAGGAAAATGGTGTTATGTCGTCGAGACTTGTGTGTGAATCGAGCTCACATCGAGACCTTGCGGGTTCCAGCTGGAGCACTGGCTCGTTTTTGCGGTCGTAGGCTGATGACTGTTTCCAGCTCTCTCAGCATGCCCTTGGTAGCCTCCATTTGCTGCCGGGCTACTGCCCTCTGCTCCCTCTCTTCCTTCACCTTTGCAATTCTCTCCTCTCGCGTCAGCAAGCTCCGCGGCCGCGGCTTTGCTACGGCTTCAAATATCTCCTGGTCCTCTTCTGCGTCATTGATATCTGACGCCGGTGGGGATTCACCGGTGAGAGCCTTGAAGGCCTCTGCTGCACCTCCCTCACCTATCGTTGTGAGTCCACTCAGGGAGATGGCGGGCGATAGCAACGTGCTTATTGATGAAAGCCTCTTCTCGTTTCTATCAATGCCCTGAGCCAAAGCGGCTCTACCCTCCTCCCACGCCGCCATGAGCATCCTAAGGTCCACCCCAATGGAGTCGTATTGCGACATGAGATTGGGACCCATTTCAGAGATATCGTTAGAGTCATCCAGCGCTCTGTCAGATTCTTCTCGTAGCAGGTGGAGTTTGGCTTGCAAGCCTCGGATTCCGGTTGACATGGAACTGATCTTGCGAAGCTGGGAGCGCCATCGCTCTTTGCCTGGTGTAAGGGGCAGCTGTGGAGTTGGCGGAGCGGGAAATGCTGTAAATCGTTAGAAAACTTGGCTAACATAGCGAGGGATGACGATGAAGAAAAGGGACGGGGTAGTGGAACAAGTTAGCCACTTACATTCTTCCTCGCTTAGTATCCCTTGCAGCTTCTCAAAGACAGACTTGGTCACGATGTTGACGCTTTGCAGCGACTCCACCGCAGCTGTCCAACGCAGCAAATCTTTGGCCTCCCCATTCGCATCCAGAGCCAGCAGAGCGCAAAGGAGCATCTTTCGCGTGGTATGAAATCGCGCGGCAAGAATCTTCAACGTTCTCAACGACTCCAGGTCGTCAAATTCGGCCACATTAAAGCCCAGGCGAGAATCCGAAATGTCAAAGTCGCTCACGTCATACATGTCGTAGTATTTCTCCAGTTCCATCTGCTCGGCGAAGCCCCTGACAACATCGGATACCTGGTTGTACGTCTGAAGAACCTCCGCGAGCGCGTTCTTGAGCGCCTTTCGCAGCCGAACACATTTTCTGCTTTGGGTACGATCCTCGAGCCGACTGACCGGTGGAAGAGGGACACTACTGTAGGGTTGTCAGTCTGGGATGCATATAAAGTACAGCCGTAGCCAAAAGCTCATAACCGGTAGACGAAAGAGGGGGGAGTAGGTTTGGGGACAAGACTGACATTCGGTATCCTCGTGAGACAAGCTCAACTTCTTGCACAAGAGAGAGCGAAGCTTCGGCCGCACTATCGAAGTTTTGCGAGTTCGAGATGAATGTAGAGATTTCAGATAAGGACTGTTCTCTCCGGTAGCGAAGCCAGTGTCGTCGCACAAAGACTTGTCCTACCAGCACCGCCGCTGCAGCAATAATAAGCACCAATATTAGGCGTCGTTTCGTCACATGCCATGGCGCACTACTCAGTGCCCAGCTTAGGAAGACTGCGAGAGCGAGCGCTCCGACGACGGACACTATAATACCTTCGGTCGAGAGCAGAGACTGGTTATTGCTATCCGCGGTCGAGCTCGGCGTTTTCAGGGCCGGCGGACGGTGTCCTAGCAGGGAATGGCCGTTGAGGAGCTGCGAGGCAATGATTGTATATCTAAATTGTTCGAGGAACCGGGCATTGTCTGCGCGATCGAGGCTCGCAGCCAGGAGGGCCTATGTGGACGGATTCGAGCCAGGTTAGGTCATGAGGTGTGTGTGGAGCAGAAGCGGTGAAGCTTCAAGAGAGGGGGTTGTTCAACATACAGAGCAGCTTTTCTTGAGTGATTGCAGCGTCAAGGGCTGCTGCGCCGGTGGCTGCTGCTCAGGAAGCTCCAGCTTGCTGGCAGCGTTGCGGAACCGAGCCTTGACCAAGGGACGGCCGGACGGCGCAAAGGGAGTCGGGCTCGCAGGAGGCGAGGAATCGGACGCTATCGACAACTGGCGATCGGGAGTGCCGTCCATGGGAGCCCATTCCGCCTCCGACAGGTTACCTCCATCTTCACAAAGCACATCAGCATGCGCGGGATTCAGGGGGGAGCAGGCGACCATGCGGAAGCCTCAACATACCTCTGAGGTAGTCGGCTAGAGGCGTCTCTTCATACACCACGGGCTCCATCAGCAATTTTCATAAGCGACTTTCGAGGTTGGACAGCAACAACGAAGGGACACGCAGAGCCATGGAGCCCGCAGCAAGCTAGGCAGTCGAGGAATGCGATGGGGGATATGGATGAAGAAGCTATGGCCCTGGGATGCGATGCGATGGGATGCGACGGGATGCGACACAATTCGATGCGATGAGCGGATTCAAGTACTGTACAGGCAAAGCTCCGGACAAGCTCGGTGGTCCTGTGCCTTTGTTTATTGTTTTGTTTCGAGCTTTGTTTTTGTCTTTCGCTTGCCTCTCTGTTTGGTTTCAGGGAGAGCTCAGTGAAACAGAACAGAGTCTCTCTTTTGATGCTCAGGGGAGCCAAGCGAAAGCGGGTTGGCGGTTCGCGTGCCCTGCGGACTAGCGAATGCAAATAACAAGCAGCTTCACAGTCGCTTGCGGTCGCTCGGGTCATGTGCAAGGATGGATCGGCCATGCATGGATCTGCCCCGTCAGCTCATTTGGAGCTCCGAGATTGGAAGACGGGGGCTGCGTGTGTGAGCGAGGCGGTGCGATGGACTAATGTTAATGTCACTGTCACTCCAACGGATATGCCTCTCCATATTGCATGTTGCATGCATCCCGATTGGTGCATGACATGCGACCTGTACTTGTATTAGGCAGTACGTGTAAGGAGTCGGTAACGGGGTACGAGATACCTACCGCAGTACATGGCCCGTGCAAATTGCAGGTACCCGGTGCTCCGTGCCAAATGTACCACCCAGAGTACCTCCGACTGTATCTGTGTACCTCAGTACCTCCACCTTTTCCCAATAGTGGTACCGCACCAGCTTCAGGTCAGTGCTCCTCCCCCCACCGGAACTACAGTTTTTCCCGACAGCCCGCTGGCGAACCCATGTATCGAATTCTTGTATGGAAGCTTCCAACATTCGAGCAAGCAAGCAACAAACTCAGTGAGACGGCGAGGCGCTGCCACATCTCCCTAACCCCGAAACACCACTCACTGCAATGGCTCGACGATAATCCTCGCCGTCATCCCGCCAAAAAACCCTCGTCCGCGGCGCTGCAATGCCGGTGCGGTCAGCGGCGCAATGCCGCCCCGTGGGACGTGTTTCTCACTCGTCCGCCGTCTGGATCACAGACTCGATGCTTCGGCAGGCCATTGAGCACTATCACCGCCAATTCTCCGCTGCCGCGCCATGTCGACGAATCAGCTCACACTCCGGGCCCCTCGAGAGCCGCCGCCGCCAGCTGGGCAAGCGCAACATGACGGGAATTATGCCCTCGTCGTCGACATATCCCCCGCTTTGGCACTTTGAGGTTGCCTGGGTTCCCAGCGAATGGAAATGGGAGCCGCCGTCTACCGTGGAGGAACGGAAGAGAAGGAAGCAGGCAATCAGCCCCTCGGCACTTTTTGACGGCCTGATATCGTGGCTCGAAAAGTCGGATGCCGACAAACCGTTTATTCAACCTCCAGTGGCAGACGTGACCGCTTCTAGCGTATCAACTGGAGAGGCCACTGCAACTGAATATGTGTATGACGATGTCTCTATACCGCCAAAGGCACCCCAGGAGTTGGCGGTGCTACGAGACGGGATTCTCCTACTTGATATCGTGGATATTGAGGCGTTGGATAAGTTGAGGAAGCTGTTTCGGCGTGATTACTTGCGCAGAATGGAAACTGCGTCTCTTTCTGTCGAAGAACTACGTCTCGCAATGGAGCCCCTCGACCAGGCTTTGAGAGACAAGATATCAGATCCGAAAATGGAAGATTGGCTTGTCGCTAGGATTCGTCGTAACCTCTTGACCGGTCTTGATGTTGCCCAAAGGAGAAATCCAGACAATGTCGTTGTACTGGATCTTTGGATGACGTTTGCTACTACTCTTTGCACATCAGGAGGCGGATACCAGAATATCAGACTTATCAAACGAATGATGAGCCTCATGCCGCCCTGGGTCCGAGCACAGATTCCCATGGATCAGATGTTGACCTTGACACGATGCTTTGTCGTGGCTCAAGCGAACAGTGGCAATCTCTCTACAAGCTGGACAGCCACCGCAGCTCAATTTGGGGAAATCCTTTCGATGTTGAATCCCACACAAATACAGGCTCTAGATATCGACATTGGCAATCTCCTTTCACAGCAAGGGCATGACCTGGAGACAACGAGGAGATTACGATTTTCATGGTTAATGGCCAAGGCATATAACCCCACAGCAACAAACGAAGAGTTTACCCAATCTTATCGGGATGCTGTAGAATCCCATGAGATTGATCTACGACATCTCCAACTGTGGCAGATTATAGTCGGCCGATTACATTCAACTGGTGTATTAGGTGTTGATACCCACTCCGAGCTTACACGAAAGCAGTACAACTCTTTATCACAACGGTGGAGAGCTTTGTTTTCCACGATCTATGGCCTTCCCAGCGCAGACAACGTCTTGACAGAGCTTTACAACTTCTTCAGGGATATTAACCAAACGGATGCCCTAATTCAAGCACTGTCTTCACTTCCTCTTTCTCGAATGTCCATCGACTCGGCTCGGACAATAGCCACAGCATGCGACGACCACAGGCTCGCCCTGCAGCTCTACGAAGCTGTTCGACTACGACACAGCCAGGGAACTCACATCACAACATGGGGCTGGGAGGCATGGGTTCCGTACGTGGAGCGCATCATCAAAGATGCAGAAATCACACGGCCGGTGCACTGGGAAGTGCTCGACCTCACGCGGCTCGCAACGGCGCCCACCGCGGCTCCGGAGGAAATCGCCCGCGAGATCCAGGCCAAGATGGCCCTCGTCGACAGAATGGGCCAGTGGTACTTGGAGGCGCCGCACCTCAACGACCGTCAGAGGCTCCGGCGCCTGCAGCGCTGCGCAAGCGTCCAGCGAGCGCTGACCAGGGCCGTCTCGCCGCAGGTGCTGGCGCGCGTGGCCGACGTGGTGACACGGGACCTGCAAAGGGGCGAATGGGGCCGCACGACGTGGTTGCAGTGGCTCCTGGGCATGATTGCGCAGACGCACGGCGACAAGCACGCCAGCGACGTTTCCAAGACGCTCGATGGGTGGAGGTGGATGGTCGACCGTCACAAGGGGCCTTGAGAGGGGGGGAGGTGTGATTCGGGCTGGCTGAACTACTAGGCTAGCATACCTAGCGTATGTACGGCAAGATTGATTGCCGCTGAAGAATAAATGAATAAAATAGACGAATAAACGAATTAAGCCAAACAACCTCAACAAACCAATGTCCTACAAAGTACGGAGTACACAAAAACAACCAAAGAAGAAGAGGGGAAATCCCAACGAACAAGAAACTTGCAGGCATCTCGAAAAAGAGGCGGCCAGATTGGGCGGATAAATGCCCAAAGGTGGAGGAGCAGTGCCTAAACGTCATGCAAGTTCCTCCGTCATCGTCGAGACCCTCCAGCGCACCTCCATCCTGGGCCAATTCGCTCAGACCTGCAGGATACTATTAGATACTAGCATTTCACCAGCTTTCGCCAACGATTGGACAAGAGGCAAGGGAACTTTTTCGTCTGTCATGGTGGAGAAACTTTCTAGTTTTTTCATTTCATTCAAATCGTAATCTAGACCCCAAGGCCAAATAAACAATAAAAAAAACAAGAGACGCATAAAAAAAGAATATTCATGGATAACGTGGCATAAAAAAATGAATAACACACATACACACAAAATGCTGTCGATAATTAGGTACAGGCCTCCAGAGTGTAACAGAAAGTTCATCATCCATCAACCCAGGAGGAAAAATAGGTCGTCGCAGGAACAAGGAAATTTTCCAATGGATATCGTATCATCAAACCATGTTGAACATGTTGCTTTGCTTTCCCGCAGTCCGTCGAATAGAAAAAATAAAAAGAAGAAGAAAACACAGCTGTACTGAAAATAACAAATAATAAAAAATAATAAACCCATGAACCAAAGCCGTCATAACAGATATATGTACGGAATAAAAGGAGACACACCATCGCTTTTTTTCAAACCGTACGGATGAAAAGAAAAGAGAAGAATAAGAAAAAGAAGAAAAGGTCATCATAAGTAGCATCAACATCAACTCTCCCAGTCTCTCTCCCTCTCCTTAGGTGGCATTGGCCGTTCTGGTATCGGGAGAATTGGTACCGCCGCTCAGGCGGCCTGTGCCCACAGAAACTCTCCCCCCGTCAGATGGCGTGGGTTGGCGCGTGAGTTTGCTGCGGGCAATGAGCACCTGGGCGGGACAGATTACAATCTCCTCGTCGTTGGAGCCATCGTCGTCTCCCTTCTTGACGACGAGAGGGAAGAGGACAACGCGCACAATGGCGCCGTGAGCCTCGAGCTCTTCGTTGGTCAGCTTCAGCGTCCCACTCCGCTCATTCATCATGGACGCATTGAATTGGACGGTTTGTACAAGCTCGCCGTCTGCGTCGTATTCCGGCTGCAGAGGCGGCAGCATCGTGTACTCGGCCTTTTGCGTGCGCATCTCAATGGAGAGATGGACGGCCTCGTGCATGACCCTGCGTAGCTGGGCTTGGATCTGGGCCTCCAGGTTGGACGGTGGCGGGAGGACTTTGCATAGGGTCTGGTAAATGGCCTGGACCACGGCTTCCGTGTCCAGGTCTCGTTGCCTCTTGAATGTGTCACGCTTAGAGAGCAACGTAAGGGTAACGGCACGCCATTGGCGCACGGCTTGTGCTGGGCCAACTTCTGTCAGCAGCTTTTCCAGCGATTTGAGCTTCTGTCGCTGCTCCCGGTCCATTCCAAAGAGGTAGCGGGTAAAGACAAACTCCCAAATCATGTTCATGGTCATGGACATGAAGATGTCCCGCCGCCTGACTCTGTCGTTGAGGTATCTGTCGACGTCAGAGCCATCCAGGACGGCATTGTCAAGGCGGTCGATGATCTTCTCATCGTTGATCTCGCTTGTCAGGCGGCAGGCCCGCATGTCGGAGAATTTGGAAAAGCGCAGAACCCACTGCTGGACATGGGAGCAGAGCTGCTGGCAGCGGTGGTCAAAGTAGTCCTCATCCTTGATGTTGAGGAACTGCACGTCGGCAGCCTTGGACTCGAGGATCTGACGCTGCAGCTCACGGATCTTTTCCTTGGCTGCATCGAGTTTGGCCGTCAGATCGGCAATCTGAACGTCCTTGTCACGCAGAGCCTGCATCAGGGCATCCTGGTTATCGCCCCGGCCGGCATGGACCTGCAGGTCTGCGTAGCGGCTGTTGTCCTTGTTGGCCAGCTCTGCGTTGGCGCTTGTGAGGCCATCGTTGACCTCGGTCAAGCGAGAGACCTCGCCCCGGAGGAACTTGAGCGTCTGCTTGAGACTCTCGATCTGGGTGTCCCGGTCGGAAAGAGCGGTGACGACACGATGGCTCAGATGCTGGTCGGTGCTATGACGAGCCTCGGAGAGCAAGCGGTTCTCGGCTATGAGCTGCTCGACTCTGGCCTCGAGCTCGAGGACTTGCATACTCTGACGTCGACGCATACTGTGAGGCCTTGTTGGTGATAGAGGCGAGCCGATGCGGCCCTCGCCGAAACCATCCTATAGAAAGCCCAATGAGTTAGAACGAAGCGACGCCAAGGGAGGCCAGTAAAAGAAAAAAGCAATCCAAAAATAAATAAAATTATCAACTATAGTTCAGTAAATAAAAAACACAATCGAAAATGCCCGCAAATGACCAAACACGACATGCAAGCACTTCGGCAGCAGGCAATCAGAAAAGCCAGAAGCTGAGGGTGCAGACCCTTCGCAGCAGTTGGGCGGAGCTGCTGGGGGTGGAAAAATCACGAGGCTGGGCGGTGAGGGTGCTGCCAGTCACCAGTCCGGGTGGCTGGGCGCTGAAAAAAACCAAAACACAGCCCAGGCCGTGCTCATGCACGCCGGTGGATCGGGTCATTTGCGGGCACAAATCATGTGACGAGAGCTTCAAAGAGAGTCTTTTGCACTCACGTATACATCCGTCTTGTCCTTTGCGCGCACGCGGCCCTCGTTGGCCACGGGCGCCTCAGACGACGCTGCTTTTGGCGCGGGTTTGGGCGTTGGCGGTGGCGCTGGGCTTGAGGCAACGCTGAATTCTGTGGGCATCGGGCTGGGCGTCGGGTTCGGCACGATGGAGCTGGTACTGATATTTGGCTGGCGCAGCGACATTCGCCTTTCCGCCCGTCGCAGCAGCGGCGGCGTTGGATTCGACGACGACCGCACTGTGCTGCCGCTGCCGCTGACGCCGTCCTGGTGCGAGATTTTCAGCCGTTCAGGGGTCCGCTGTCGTACCAGTCCGCTATTGGGCGTGCCCCGACCGGGGTCGGCCCGCGCCTCATCTCCCGTCTGGCGCCTTGTGGCTGACGGGATCTTGCTGTCTGAGACGCTGCGTGGCTGCTCAGTCACCACTGGCATCAGCGGCACTGACGGCGACTCCGGTCGCTGGAGCCCTGGCCCAATCTGCGCGCTGACGGCTCGTCGCAGGCTTCGTAGCGGCGCTGATGTAACTGGCGATGTGACCGACCGTCTCAGTGCTGGAGGAGTGTCGGGTCGTTCCGTAGATACGGGCATTGGCGATGCCCTTCCGTTCGCAAGCCGTGCAAAGCCCATCCCGGCGATGGCCCCGTAGCCTTTCCTAGTCGGACTGGATCTCCCCGTTGGAGTCTCCGGTCGTGTTCCTGTTCCCGTCAACACTCGTTCCCTGGTTCCCGGTATTGTCTTCCTTTCAGGGTCCTGGGCCGCCTCCCGTAGTGACGTGGGGTCTCGTAGTCTCTGGCCGGCCAGTGTAGATCGTCGTAGGCGTCTCTGCGGCTGCCGCTCTGGCGACCTGTTTCTCGGCTCAGGAGTCTTGAGCTGTGCCATGGCTGCTTCTAACCAGTCTGCGTCAATCCCACTTTCGCGCACTTTCTCCTCGTCGTCTTCGATAGGCATCGTGCTTGTGCTGTGTCTCCTTGATCGGCTTGGGGGGCTCCCGGAAAACGAACTGTCTCTGTAAAAGCCAACTTCTGATGCTGTAGCTTCGGCTTCCGCCTCCGGCAGCTCTGCAACTGCAGGCAGCCCTCGTGGGGGCGACAACCTATAATCAGACAATTCGTAGTCAGATATTTCAGACATCATATCCATTGGGGGAAGCACCGATATTTCTGATGCCTCCCGAAGAAGCCCACCGATCGGATCCTCCACTTGGGAATTCCGCTTCAGTAGCTCATAAGGTCCCAGGACTTCCATTGCCTCAAGAACTGGGCTCTCGACCAGCTGTCCTCCAAATACATGTTTACGCTTAAACACCCTTTCATTGTCATCCTCATCATCTCTAGCCTCCGCAATACTTTCAGTCCGCTTTGGTGTAGTAGGTGTGTCAGATTTATCTTGACGCTTCTTGCGCTTCTTTGGTGTGGTAGGGCTGCCACTCCTTTGCAAGAAGTCATCGATTGTTTCGATTTTTGTCTCCCAGCTCCTCTCGTCACCGCTTTTCCGAAGAGCTGGATTCCCTAAAAAAGACTCCTCGTTGGGGTCTTCTTTGTCGTCTTCCCCTATAGGGTCTTTGTCTCTGTCCCTAGTCTTCTTTTTTTTAGGGCCGAATCGTTCAGATAGGAACCCCAGCCACTGGTTAGATCCTTGACTGGATGCTGAGCCCGGCCTCTTCGGGTCATTCCCCTTTGGCGATTGGGTTCCAGAAAAGGATGAGGCTCGCTTCTCATCTCGCAATCCTGATCCTGTGGGCTCATGGCTTGCAGTGTTGTCTGTTTGGCTGTTCCTTCGCTGCGGTGTAGATATCCCAGAGGGCTCGTCAAACAGAGGCGCATCTTGAATTATTTGAGCTTGCTTTTCACCTGAGTGCTCTGGGGGTTGTGTCTCGTGCGGGGCTAGCTCTATACTTTTCGCAAGGTCAGATTCGGACCTTTTCCCAGAAGACTTGTCCCAGTTGCCTGTAAACATGTCCCACGCGTTTTCCGTCTCTCCTTCTTGAGGTGCGGAATCCTTTTCAACGAAGTCGGTACCCTTATTGTCAGGTGAGTCTGTAGATTCTTTCGGCTGTGGAGTTTCATCTTCTCCGCTAGCATATTCAGGGATAGTTTCTAGCGGTGCAGCGACGCTTTCAACAGGCTCACTTTGCTGAGGTTCTAACAATTCGGGCTCATCCGCAAATTGCTCCAAAAGTGCGTCAATGTCCCTTGAAGCACCGACCACTGGCGCTGGAGGTTCGGCGACGGCAACCTCTCCGATAGCAGAAGATTGCTTCTGCTCCTTGTCGACGAATTCATTGGAAAGAGAAGGCTGGCTGTCATTGATATTAGGCACGCTGCTCTCGAGGCTGGGATTCGAAGTGAGCGGGAGACTTGGCAGTGAGGACGATGGTTCACTCCCGCGTTCACTTCCGCCACTGCGAGACTTCTTGCGCTTGTGCTTTTTGCCTCCCTTCTTCTTTTTCTTCTTTCTGTGTCGATCTCTGTGGGCATGTCCTTCTACACGAGGAACAGCAACTACCTCAAAGCCAGTAAGTCCCGTCGTAGAGTCATTTGGTCCACGGTATCTAGGATATCCAACTTCGCTATGCTGGTATGACACATCGGAGACAAAGGAAGCGTCATCATCATCACTGTCTTCTTCACTCCCTGAGGAATCTGCTGTTCCGGGGATGGCCAAAAACATTGATGAATTTTTGCGAGACTTGTCTGTTTCCCAAGATCTTGGCTGTGGGGCCTCGGGCTCAGCACGATCAACTGATTTTTGGGGTTCTTCTGTGGGTTTCTCCAAAAGTTCCTCCGGAGGCTTAATTGGCAAAGCAGCCTCAGGTTCAGGTTGATCAATTGGCCCAGTAGACAACGGTTCTTCAAGCGGCAGACTGATTGCCTCAACCGGTGGTAGTCGTTCTGAATCAGCAGTGACATTGTCAACAGGTACATCTTTTTCTCCAACGACAGTAGAATCCGGCAGTGAAGGCTCAACCAATTTGTCATGAGTCGACTCCTCCAGAACAATGCCTGCTTCTTTTTCTGGGACATCGGTTGCAAGCTCATCCTGCTCGGTTATACTTGTTAAATCAAGATTGCGAGAGTTGAATGCCTCTTCAGTAGCAGATTGATATTGAGCTTCATCCTTCCACGCCACTGGGTCCACAACAGCTTCCTCGACAGCGGCAGCTGCTGCACGAGCACGTCTTCGAGCCTTCTTCCTTTCTTTCTTGGCAAGCTTTTTGGCCGTCGCTTCATCTACCTCTTTTAGTGTAGAGTCTGCCGTTGGTGGCCCAAGCTCCTTGGACTCTGGTTCGTGCTCACTTTCATCATCAGATGATTCGTGGTGAGGCTCTTCCACCTTGGGTTCCTGGATATCTGATACTGGTTCTGGCAGAAGTTCTTCAACAGCTGGCTCTTGCTGAATGACTTCAGAGCTGGGATTCAATGCTCTGTCAGCCTCCTCGACTATTGACTCCGGCTCAGGTTCATCAGACTTTGGCTCTTGCTGGGGTTCATCTGAGGCCTGTTCCAACGGAAGTTCTTCGGGTTTTGATTCTGGTTGAGCTTTCTCAAGCTTGGGTTCATCTTCAGCAGGAGCGTCTGTCACTGTACTAGGGACCTCTGGCTGTAACTCATGATCAACTTGGTCTTCAGAAGCTCTTTCTTCAACCAAGTCATCGCCAGCCGCTGCCTTGTCTTCAACGACAGGCATGATGTCCCGAGTCGTCTCGGAATCACTAGAGTCAACAACATCTGTAGGATCAGAGCGTGTATCATCAACCACAATAGTATCATTGTCCAAGCGTGAAGCATCGTTGTCATCCGTGATCGGATCCGAACTTGGCAATGTGGTGTCGATCGAGCCATCCTTAATAATCTCTGCCGGGGCCTCGAATTGGCTTAGGTCTTCAGCCACAGCTGATCCTTGGCGTTCATTTTCAGGCTCAGTAATCTCCTTTTCCGTTGGTGGCTGAGCCTCTTGCGGTGCCAGGGGGTCTTCAGTCTGTAGCTCGACCGCCTCTGTGGAAGCATGCTCGGTCTCTGGGGCAAGCCCAAACTCCCCGCTAGGATCTTGAAGCTCCGTGCTTACAGAATCGATAGCACCATCCTGAGCGCGATTCATTTGTTCGGAATCTTCAGTTTGAAGGGGATGCTCCGATTCCACTTTCTCCTCGTCGTTTGGTTGCGTGGTTGGTGATGGAACTATTTCAGCTTCCAGTGTGGGTTGCTCCAGTTCAGATGTCATATTAGATTCTTGAGGAAAGCTGATTTCCACTGAGCGTTCTAAAGTATCAGTTGAGCCAAGTTCTACGGATTGGTCAGGGTTTTCCGATTTCTCTTCTCCCTTTTCTGTATCGAGATTCCCATTGTCGGTGTCCTCCATCTCTGGCCTATGCTCCTCTTCGTGAATTGGCTGAGCGTCCTCAGAAAGTCCAGTCTCTAAATGCGTTTCGGTTTCAGTGGCATCGACATTGACCTCCCTTGATTTATCTCCAGAATCCTCGGTCTCCAAGTCATTGTTGTCCATCGGCGGCTTCGATCCATCCTCGATAGCCTCCTGCTCTGGTGTCGGTTCCAGATCGGGTTCTCGGTCGAGCTCCTGAGGTGCGATTGTCTCTGATTCTTGCGGAGGTGCTGACTCCACATCCTTGACCTCATGATCTTCTTCCTGTGGCTCGGACAGCCTTGAATCTAGCGTGGTTTGGTTTTCTTGCGG